TCTTCTTTGTAATCACTGTGACGGTCTCGGCCTGTTGCCCAGTCAGTAAGCTATCCTCAAAGGACCACACGAAATCGAAATCGATACTGACCGAAACAGTCTGTATTGGGGTTGAACTAGAAGCAAGATCAGTTAGAAACGAGCCATTCAAAAAGAGATCCAAGGAAGCCTTACTAGGTCATGAATTGTGGGCAGACGATGCAAATACTCGCACTCTGGGCCCTTAACACAAGTCCCCCAAGCAAAATGCGTGCTAAAGATGAGAATCAGCAAGAGCCGCACAGGTACGACAGTGGAAGATAAAAACCCACCAGAAGAAAGAACCGGGCACTCGATCAGCGCGCGTGTAACCACTATCCCTCGCAATATTACAACGACCAGGCGCAGGCTTAGAAAGCCCGTACTTGTCATCATTATCGCTGCTGCTCTTGTTGTACCAGATATTGTAGTCACCGCCCGAAGCAGCCGCAGGCTCAGATTTCGGGGCGGTAGACGGATCAGCCTGGACTCGAGCAGGGCGCTTCTTGCGACGAATGATCTTCTTTGTCTTTTTCACGGGCTCGAGTTGTCCGTCGGCTGGTGTCGCGCCTCCGGCGTCGGTTGTTGCCACGACCATTTCTTCGGTGGTGGATCCCACGGGTTCCGGGTTCGTGCTTGATACGGGCGCTGAGGGCGCCTCGGCAATGGATGTGTCTGCCATGGCTGTTGGTGTTTGAATTGGGGGAGTTGGCGGTGTCGAGCTTCGAGAGCTTCAGAAAATCGACGGGCAGTTGATGGGATTACATAAGGCTTGGCGGGTGCGGGATTTCGTTTTTGGTCGAAAAGATGCGAAGTGCCACTTTTTGATATTCTGTTCTCTGTCTCGGTTCTTGCTTTCTTCGTGCTGCAACCAGGCAGATCATTCTTTGCTCTTTGAATGAGAGAGTGCCAGAGAAATTTCTAGTGATTTTACGGGCGTCAAGCCTCAGAAACCGCCAACATGGTGAACATCACAGAGAAGATCAAGGAGTATGTTTCTCGGACTACGGCTTATTCCAATGATCCAATTTGCTGATCTATCTGTTGTAATACAGGATTGAGGATGAGATGCGTCGGACGCAGAGTAAGTGGCCTATCTCCAGATATCAACATATATCACCCCGCTAACCAATGCCCCGCAGAGAACAAGGCCACAGGTAAGATGAGCTCTGGCTATTCAGAGGATATTTGATCTGACGTTCCGATCCAGAATACCATTTGGGTCTATTGAAAGGGTACATTCCACCCCGAAACTCGAATCCGTTTTCGAGCTAACAATATCACCAGAAAACTTGCCCGTCTAAGAGCCCAGCTCCTGGAGCCAGCAGCCGGTGCCGGCTCTGGCGGTGGCATGGGATTCGATGTCAGCAAGAGCGGTGATGCACGTGTAGCTCTTGTCGGCTTTCCCTCCGTCGGAAAGTCCACCTTCTTGTCCAAGATCACCAAGACAAAGAGTGAGGCTGCCGCCTACTCTTTCACCACGCTGACAGCTATCCCCGGTGTGCTGGAGTACGGTGGTGCCGAGATCCAGATTCTGGATTTGCCCGGTATCATCGAAGGTGCCTCGGAGGGCAAGGGACGTGGTCGACAGGTTATCTCTGCCGCGAAGGTGCGTTTGATATCCGCTCTAATCATGGCGAAATGCTGACAATATTGGTGTGTGTCACAGACTAGTGACTTGGTTCTGATGGTTCTGGATGCTACAAAGCGTGCCGAACAGCGAGCCTTGCTCGAGGCTGAGTTGGATGCCGTGGGCATTCGGCTGAACAAGGAGCCACCGTATGACATTCATTTCTCATCTGAATCTTTGACAAAGACCTTGGTACTAACACAGTTCTAGTAATATCTACCTGAAAGCCAAGAAGGCCGGTGGCATGAAGATCACTTTCTCAACACCACCAAAGAACCTAGACGAAAAGATGATTTACAATGTGCTCCGCGATTACAAGATTCTCAACTGCGAAGTGTTGGTGCGAGATGAGAATGGTATGGTACCCCTACCACGTGAAGTATATTTCATCATTCTGTACTAACTTCAGAATTGCAGCTACTATCGACGACTTTATCGACGTGATCATGAAGGATCACCGCAAGTACATCCGCTGGTAAGAATTACACCAATCACAAACACCACACGTGTACCCACTAACCATTTCTATCAGTCTCTACGTCTACAACAAGGTCGACAGTATCGGTCTCGAATTCCTTGACGCCCTCGCCCGCGAACCTTACACAGCCGTGATGAGTTGTGAACTGGATCTCGGCGTGCAAGATGTTGTCGAGCGGATCTGGAAAGAACTGAGATTGATGCGTCTCTACACGAAAAAGTATGCATCACCAGCCCTCTCACGGGTCTTACAATTTTATCATCTGTTTAACGGAACTAACTATGGTCTACCTACAGGAAGGGCGAAGAACCAAACTTCGACGAGGCACTCATCGTGCGCAGAGATTCCACTATCGAAGATGTGTGTGACCAGATCCATCGCACGATCAAGGAAACGTTCAAATATGCGATGGTATGGGGAGCCAGTGCGAGACATGTGCCGCAGCGAGTGGGATTGGGACACATGGTAGCAGACGAGGATGTGGTATCGATCGTGGCGAAGTAAATTTATGTTGAGCTCGAAAGCGACGATAACAATGTTGATACGATTACAATTAAAAGCTTAAGATGTGAACAAATGACATACGAAATACGAAGTATGGTTTAACGCTAACGTTGTTGATTTGACAGAATCATGAAACTATGAACAAAATATAAGAACCTGAAAATATTCACCCAAAACCAAATTGAATACCCGAGCCAACTCCCTCACACGTTATGAAATTTAAACAGCGCCAGCGGCGGCGGCAGCAGCGGCAGCAGCAATGTTCTGCTGGCCGATGGTAGGCTGGACGCCGACACGCTCGTTGGGGAGCAGATCAACCAGCAGGGGGCTGGGACGGCTGTCACGCTGGGGGTAGAGACCAGCCTGGCTGTTCTTGTACTTCAGAACGCTGTCGAGGTAGATGTCGAAGAGGTAAGAGGAGTCGAGGGGACCGCCCTTGGCCTCGGGGTGGAATTGGGTGCTGAAGATGGGACGGGACTTGTGGATCATGCCCTCGTTGCTCTGGTCGTTGAGGTTGACGAAGTAGGGCTTCCAGTCGGAAGGCAGGGTGGAAGCATCAACGGCGTAACCGTGGTTCTGGGAAGTGATGTGGCAGCGGCCAGTGCTGAGGTCCAGAGCGGGAATGTTGTGAGCCCGGTTTCCGTACTTCAGCTTGATGGTGCTGGCGCCGGCGGCCAGAGCCAGGAGCTGGTGACCCAGGCAGATACCGAAGATGGGGATCTGCGAGGTCTCCATCAGACGTTGGAGGTGGTAGACGGTGTCCTGGCAGTGGGTTGGGTCTCCGGGGCCGTTGGAGATGAACACACCATCGAAGTGGTGAGCGACCTTGTGGATGGGGTAGTCGAAGGGGAAGACAGTGACACTGGAGCCACGGTTGACGAGGCTGCGCAGAATGTTCTCCTTGACACCGCAGTCCAGGACGGCAACGTGGGATTGGGGGTCCGCAGCGCTGATGTGGAAGGGCTGCTTGGTGCTGACCTGGCGGACCAGGTGGATTTGCTCAGGGTCAGTGAAGGCTTCGTCCTCGTTGGCATCGTACTCCTCGCCAACGGTGATACGGGCCAGAGAAGAACCCTGCTCACGGAGGTAGGTGACAATGGCACGGGTATCGACACCAGAGATGGCAGGAACACCCTCACGGGCACACCACTCTCCCAGACTCTCAACGGCAGTCCAGTGACTGTACTGCTCGGCCACATCGGCAACAACAACACCAGCAGCCTGGAGGTTGGGCGACTCGAAATACTTCAACAGACCATTGGGGTCCTTCTCAGCGGAGGGAACACCGTAGTTGCCGATCAGAGGCTGGGTGAAAACCAGGATCTGACCACGGTAGGAAGGGTCAGTCAAGGACTCGGGGTATCCGACCAGCGAGGTGGTGAAGACAGCCTCGCCGGAGATGTTGGAGCGAGCACCGAAAGACTTTCCGCTGAAGATAGGGCCATCACGAATGGTGAAGGTGGCAGGCTCCATGGCCGCACGCTGACGCACAGTAGCCATGAAGCGGACCTGAGCAGGACGCTTCATGGAGGCGAAAGCAGCGGCCCGAGGGGGCATTGCCTTGAAGAGATTGAAGATCATTTTATGTATAGAAATTGAGTTGTGTAGAAAGCGAGAGGCTATTCAGTTGATGTTGGCTTTCCAGAGGTGGTCCGAGATGTAGTCCTGGGAGGTGAAGATCGAAGGTGCCAAACACATAAGCGCGACTGAAAAGTAGCAGTCAGGATATGGTAGAAAAATGGAGGGGTCGCTATTTAGCAAAACATGGGGAAGTTTTGGAGTTGAGACTTGACGAAATTCGAGAGGGAGAAAAGTGGAAAGAAACGAGGATTTTCACCTTTGAGTCAGCGGACACGTGCTTTCACCGACTTTGCCGGACCCAGCCAATCAGAGGTGGGCAAATTCCGCTATCGGCACTGTTATGTAACGATCGACCACAATCCACAATGATATCAGAGATAGACAGGGACCAATACACGATTGAAACAGAAAGAGAAAAGAACGAGTTATCGAGAGAGGATACTTGCTTTTATATGCGAAAAGAAGCCATTGTGCGCTATCTACACCGCACTGTGGAAACATGCAGTAGCTAATGCACTCCACTGGATACTTTGGACTCGAAAATAGTAGTTTTAGACACGTTCCAGCCGTATCAGCAAATAGGGTTGTGTCACTTGCTAGGGATCTTGTGTTAGGGTAGCCATAAGACTCGAAGCAACGTTGCTCAAAGGCAACCCTACAGTAGATTAATCAGATGGGAGATACATAAGAAGGCAATTAGCACGCAAATAATGATCCGGCAGACGCCTTGTATGTGAATTAACCTAAGCTATGATCACCTCGCGGTGTATACTTTGGGCCCTGGCATGCATGCCTGCGGCAACTTTTGGCCGGTCCATCTTCACATTGTTTGGCACTCAGACTCCTTTTCACGCTCAAACCGACTGTGACGGGACTGGAATTGTCGACCCCGACAGCCATTGCAACGGCACCGGAGTCGTGGACGATCCAGCCCCGCATGAACGAGAAGGCTTCAAGTTTGAGAACCCTTCCACCAAGTGCAAATATGTGTCCCAGATGCACATCTGGGACTCCTTCAAACACCTGGAGAAGGACATGAGCAGGCTGTTCACGCTGATCCATAAAGATGTGGCCTTCACCGTCGTCGGGCACCACCCGATCGCCGGCCGTTATCACGACCTAATGCACTTTTACGTCAACGCCCTGCGTCGGGTCAGCATGTTGTTCATCGACCATGCAGATCTATTTGAGATCCACCCGCAGCACATCTATGGCGGATGTAACAGTGAATGGTCGGTGGAGGAAATCCAATTCAAAGGCGTGATGAACTCCGGTGGGGACGGATATCTTCCGAGCTCAACCGCATTGCTGACTGGTCACAGGCGAGAAATTCGATATCATCAACGTATGGTTCACTCGGTGGTATGAAGGCCAGATGGTTGAGATCCGTACGTACATCGACGCGCCGATGATCATGGATGCGCTGCATAAGAACGAGATTTGGTGGAATGGCACGACTCTGCGGGACAACCTGCTCTACATGCCGGGGCCAGCGGGGATGCCCGATCTCAAGGAAGTCGAACAGCTGTTGGGATATCCCAATGGCAGCAAATATAAGGACTGAAGATGAAGATAAAGATGAAATGAGGGGAGATTTTATAGTCTAAATTGCTTGGCGGTAACCAATCTTCTTCACCTCCGCAATGTTCCCCGTAGTTCTCCAACTATGTCCGAGTCTACGCCTCGTAAGCGCTCTCGTCTTGCCTGCACTTCGTGCCAGTCACGGAAGCGCAAATGCTCAGGTGGACAGCCCTGCAGCACTTGCGCCCAAACTGGCGGGGAATGTCAATACAGTGCGCGTAAGAAACGCGCCAGATCCCATAGTCTGTACCGAGCGAGTCTGTCGCTCGACGAACGTCCAGATGGCTGGCCCAATTCCCTTCCAGACCCCAGCACCGCTAGCAGCGCAGCTCAGTCTTCTGCCATTCACGGCGATTCCGACGTGACCCATTCCATGGCTAACTCCGGGGCCGCGTTCGTTCGCAAACTCGGGTTACGAGTTGACCCTGCGCGTGCACCGCGATTGCACTTGTTCGCGTGGAACGTGGGTGAGAGGCGTATGGCGCCAACAGTATCATCGTCGCTCCCCTCATTGGGTACTACGGCGTCCGCACCGACAACTATCACCAATATCGTTTCACCGGACGAGATGCGACGGCTAGCAACAATCTACTTCGAGAAAGTCGACCTATGCTATGCTTTCCTGGATCGCAAGAAAGTGTTTACTGGAATCACAAAGCGTTGGGAATCCTCACCATCTCCCATCGACACAGAACACCCATACGATGCCGTTCTATGCGGCGTCGCAGCCTTCGGGTATTTATTCTCGCGGCGCGAGATCATATCCCAGGAACTACGACTCATTGAAACGGCACGCAACATCTTAGACAAGAGCGTACTTGCTGCAGAAACACCATCAGTCGACACAGTGACCGGCTGGGTTCTACGCGCCGCTTATCTCCGCATGACAGCTTCACCGCACGCAGCATGGATGGCCAGCTGCACCCTGATGCATCTCATCGAAGCCGCAGGTCTGCACCTGCAAACCCCAGACCCAGAAACAGCAGGTCTCCTCCCGACCTCACCAGCTGAAACACACACCAGCTCAGACAGCACAGACACACAGTCACCCAGTGACCCAGAGACCCGCCGTCGACTCTTCGGCATGGCTCGTCATCTCAACACATGGACCTCTTTCGATCTAGGCCGCTCGCGGGTCATCCTCCACGGCGCAACAGCCCTCTCCCAACCTTCGACGTCAACCCAAACCTCACTCCATCCCCATTCCCAAACCCAAACCCAAATCCAAGCACCAGCACCAAACCAAACACGACGCAACCACCCCCGCGCCGACCTCTTCCACCTCCTCCCCCTATCAGAAAGCCTAGACCCAACAAACACACCAGACCTCCATACTGCCCTAAAACAAGTCCTCTCCCTAACATACACAGAGCCAAGCCTAATCCTAGTGCAAAGCAACTTAATGCTCTGCATCTACCGCCGACTCCGCGCCCAATCCACCTCCCAATCCCCATCCCCATCCCAATCCACCTCCACCTCCACCTCCACAATCCCCCCAAACCTCCTCTCAAAAATCCTAACGCTAGCCTCCCGCAGCCTCCGCGCCGCAAGAGAAATGGTAGCGCAAGCCTGTCCCTGGCACCAAGTCGCTAACGTCCCCTTCCAAGTCGTATGCTCACTACTGGCAATTGATAACCGGCCCGCGTTAGCTTTGCTGGGTGATGCTATGCGCACGCTTAGGGAGGTTATGGCTGCTTATGATACGGCTTCTATGCGGGAGGCGTATTCGACGGCTTATTTGCTTGTTGCGTTGCATCAGCGACGGAAGGAGGATGATACTAGGGCTCTGGCGGAGGTTTTGAGGGTTAATGCTTCGGATGTTGGGTGGGTTGATGGGGATGGGTTTGAGGGGGTGGTGGTGGTGGGAGTAGGGATTTTGGGGGGATGTGGTTGTTGACCAGGGCAATGGCCATGGACAGCAGATTCAACAGATTGAGAGTTCGACTCAGAATTCGACTCAGAATTCGACTCAGAATCAGAATCAGAATCAGAATCAGAATCAGGCGCTTGATGAGTCTGTGGCGCCGGTTTCTGATGCTGAGTTCTCGTGGCTGGGTGATTTGATGATTGATATGCCTAGTTTGCAGAACTTCGATCTGGATCAATTTCTCATGACGGATGTGCCGTGGCCGTTACCTGAGATGGGGATTTGAATTGGATGGATATGATGGTAACGTTTATGGATGACGGCATTAGAATCTTCTATAGGTGCTATGGCTATAACAATAACGCCCAAATCCCTGTTCATAAAATGCTTATGAAAACCATGAGATGCCCTTCGAACAAGAAATCATAAGTGAACAAGACAACGCTAGTCCAATATGTAATCTAATACGAGTTTTCATTCCTTCTTATCATGCACAGTCTTCGATGGCTTCGATCCAGTACCAGACGACCAAGCCACACGAGCGAGGCACCACAATACCCAGAAGAAGCCGAGCGTGATAACCACACAGGTTCCCAGTTCGATATTCTTAGATCGGAACAAGCCTTCATCTTCGAGTCGCAGGACAGGGACCTCGATATCCTCTACAAGGCGCTCTGATGTAGGCTGAAGCTGGTAGAACACAGTGCGTGGACCGAAAAGACCGTCCCACCCTAGATTAGTGCGGTCGAAAGGGTTCACGCCCATTTTCGTTCCTTCTTCTGAGGTACATGCCCAGAATACGACTGGCCAGGGGACATATGCGGTGCGGTACCCTGTTTCTGATGGTGGGAGGTACCGGAGGTGCAGGGGGATTGTGACTGTCCAGTTTGAGGAATCAGATGGGTTGGCTGAGTCCTCGAGTGGAGTTGCCAGCTCAAGGAGCCAGTTTGAGCCCCAGCGGTTGACGACCCAATCTGGGGCTTCGAGATCCATCTCGCCTGCCAGAGCGCGGAGCGCTATCAGGTTATGAGACTCGAGGAAGAGGTTGTCTGGTGTTCCGAGCTGGTATTGGTCTCCGAAGATGGTGGAAGGGAGTGTTAAATATGTGTGGAGTGCACAGGTTGCCTCGCTTGGGGCAGGTGGTCGTCTCAGAGATGAACGGGGCATTGAGATGGACATTGTTGGATGTAGACCTGTTGGGGGAGTGAATGAGACTGTGTAGCTGGCGGGCTCGAGTAGAGGTTGGTGTCGGGAAGGGAATGAGAACATGGTTGGTTCTGCATGAGCGTTAGTCGAGCTGTTCCGTAGCAGTTAGGGATAAATATGGAGGCGTTCAACTGCCGACACATACTTAGTTTCTTGTCCTCTCCAACAACAGCCAAAAGGCCACCCATCTTAATCTCCTCAGGCTCAAGCCCTGGCTCGGCACCCAAGATACCGATCTCAAGCTGATCCGCAGCAGAAGCAGGCTTATCGAGCTTCTCTGTCCAGCCACCTTTAGGGGAACTGGTCCAGAGACCGGACACAGTCAGGGCATGTGAAATGCTATCATAATCGATATCCATGCTGTCCGAGGAGAGAAGCGAATCGGCACGAGCGTGACACTCGGTAGCATCTCCGCTCTGTGTACAGATTGAGTCCCGTATCCATTTGTTGAGAGATTGTAGTGACTCAAGGCGAGTATGGTATTGAAAGGAAGCCGACGAAGCGAATCTCGTCGAGAGAAGCGGGGGTGTAACGAAGGATTCCTGTACAGCGTATGGAAGTTAGTTCAATCACATAGCCAAAGCGAGAGCAGGACAAAGCTCCTTAATAGCGCCGACATACCTCTGGATTCGAACAATCCTTATATTGAGCACCTTCTCCAGGTCCAACGACCGTGCGGAGCAGCGAGCACAATGACTCCCTATGACGAAGTCAGCAACCATCCATCCCGCCGCTATAAGGAATTAAGCTCACGGGGACTCATTTGCATTCAATGGGGTATAATGCACATGTAGACCGGGCGAAACCCGGCTGGCGAAAGGTGCGACGGCATCGTAGGACCGTTCGGAGGCCCAGCGGAGGTGGAGCTCATGGGATTGCTCGAGGATAGCGCGTAGCTAGACGCCACAGAAGAAGAAAGAAGTCAGCGACTCTGTGTTTTCCTAAGTGCAGTTCAATGGGGCGATGGGCTTTGCTCACCTCTTGTGGGAGCTCGTCTAGTCCGACCGTGATGCGGTCCTCCCGCGCGGCGTCCAAGTCGCGGACAGATAGGGAATTGCTGGTTAGAACAGCTTGCTGGGGCTCGAAGGGCGCATTGATGCGCTGGATGTAGGTGATCCTTCGTTTCATGGTTGTATTTCGTAGTTGATTGCAGTGTTAGAGGGTAGAGTAAACAGACGTGACTTCTCCAAGGTCTTTCTCCGCATCTCAATCGGGTTAGATTCGGTGCGTTACGATCTCATCACATGTCCATTAAAAGTACAGAAATTATCTACAGTTCAGCTCTTGTCATAAACATTCATTTCCTTTGTCGTTACTCCGAAAATCCAACGCTCCATCCAACGCCAGGTATATGCTAATTAAACACGATTTCACGGCAACACGTCCTTGATAATGTCTTTTTGGGATGACGTCAGGCTGGTCGGGAACTTGACATTGACGCGGACCACGAGGTCTCCACGCTCGCTGGGGTTCTTGGAAATCACCATGCCGAGGCCAGGGTAGTGCTCTTCGTGGCCAGGCTGGGTGGGACCGGGCTTGTTGACGCGGATGGACTTGCCGTCGATGGTCTTGACGATACGCTCCCAGCCAGTCAGTGCTTCCTTTAGGCTGAGTTCAACGGTTGTGACGAGGTTATCTCCAGAACGCTTAAAGGTTGGGTGGTCAAGCTGTCATCAATTAGTATGGGTCGTTCGAATTCATAGAATAGGAAAATCACTCACCTCCTTCACAATCAGATGCACATCCTGTCGGCCGCCTTCTTCTTGGTCTCCAATGTTGCGGTACTTGATCTTAGAGCCAGCACGCAGTCCAGGCTTGATGTTGGCCTCCAGAGTAATCTCCTGGGTGGTGAGCTTGCCCGTTCTATCAAAGGCCTTGCTCTTCGTCTTAACCTTCTTAGAGACACCCTTGAAGATCTCCTCCAGGGTAAGCGGCAGATCCTTCTCAATGATGGTAGGTTCAGGTGTAGGAGCGCGCTTAGGCTTCGAGTATCCAGCGCCCGGACGGCTTCTGCCAAATCCGCCGCCGCCGCCGCCACCAAGCATTGAGAAAATGTCATCCTCGTCAAAGCCGCCCATACCACCGCCGCCGCCGCCGCCGCCACTGCTCTTGGCGAAGTTGCGGAAGATGTCGTCGGCATCACTGAATCGGAATCCGCCGCCGCCGGGGCCGGTTGAGAAGTGGAATGTGCGACCTCCGCCTCCGCTGGGCATGCCGCCGAAGTTGAATCCACCGGGCATGCCTCCTTCGAAGCCGGCGCCACCACCTCCGCCTCCAGGCGGTGGTGGAGCGGGTCCACCACGCATCAAGTAGTCGAGGCCATACTGGTCGTAGACCTTGCGCTTTTCAGGATCGGAGAGGACTTCGTAGGCTTGTGAGACATCTGGTGAAATGTTAGTAGGGTATGGCCAGTGCGGGGTAACCTTGGAACGTACCTTTGAATTTCTCAGCAGCCGCAGGGTTGTCTTTGTTCTTGTCGGGGTGGTGCTTCAGTGCAGCCTTGCGGTAGGCTTTCTTAATTTCATCTTGCGAGGCGTCAGGCTTGACGCTCAACGCATCGTATAGCTTCGTCTCAGCAACCATGGTGCGGGGTTGAATTGAGTTTTATGTCGAAAAAGAGGCGATCCAGGGAGCGCCTCAGGTTGGAGCTGCAGACTTAAAAGGAAAATGCGTTGTCTGACAGGAAAAGAATTCTAGAGTGAAAGAGGTTGCGGTGTACTTCTCGAATGATGTAGAAGGTTCAAGGCGGGTATGCAGGTTGCAGGCGGGGTGATTGTAATGGAGATATGGGGTGATTGTAATGTAGGTATGGGGTGACAAGGTGACAGGGTGAAAGAGGAGGTAGAAGAGAGCTGAAGTATGAATGGTGTAGCCAGGGATCAAGGCTGGAGTCTCTCTCCAAGTCAGTGGCGTGTGACGTCGGCGGGTCGAAAGTTCTCGAAGCTTCGACACATTACAACAAGTCGATCAACGACCTACAGTGTACCCGTAGAGTCATGTCTGTCTGCAGATACTATTTTGAGTCGCTTTACAGTTATTTAAGCGCACCTTTTGAGGGTCCAGCTGCGGCATCAACTAGGAAGATCCCGCGATCCATAACATCATGGGCCCCACAATTATGTCATTGTCTTTGCTAGCCCTACCTGACTGCAAATGTATATAAATTCTATTCAGACATAACTAAAGTAGTTACATGGGTATTGAAACCATCTCCCACCTAACGAAGCCTCCCAATGCCTTCACTGAATCACAAAAGGGTGGAAATGAAGACGCTGCTCAACGACAATGCGAGTCGATGCTGTTCAAGATGAAATGGATACAGCACCCTGTCGCAGTGCAAGCAGTTGGGAACATGCAGCCAGCTATGAGACTTCATAGAATTGTTTATGAAGTTAGCTGGGGATTCGCTCAAGGGTGGATGGGTCGACTTACCTCTCTCAAGAGAGTGCCACACCGAGGTACACATGAGTGAACACCAGAAAGATGTGAAACACCCGAGCGAAAAAAGAAAGCATGCCCTCAGAATGCCATCTTCACTGGGCGAGACCGAAGGGCTGTCTTCAGTGGGGGTGTTCCAAAAATTTTGCAAACGTATCTGCGTCGAATGACACAGTACCTGCGGAATGATCCGGTAATCATTGTCGATAGGTATGCGGGTTGCCAGAGGATCCGCGGACCGTTTTTCATGTGTGCGGGGTGTTGGATGATGTATGGCAGGACATCGGCGTGCTTGTCCTCTGCCTTAGAATGTCATCTTCACTGGGCACAACGATCTGGTGGTCGTTGTTTGTTTTGGATGCGGGTTGTCGAAATGTATGCGGAAACCGGATGGTAAGTGTGAACGGCGATGGAAGGGTTGGTGAGAGTTGGTGAGAGTTGGTGAGAGTTGAGGGAGGATGGGAAGAGAAGAAGAAGAAGGTAGAGAAGTGGAAGAAGACAGCAGTCGAGTCATAAGGTCTCGTGCACCAGAATTTCCTAATCGGGACGACCTCAAAAGGGGAATGAGTCGACCGCCAGCGATGGGAAATGAGTCACCCGACAATACGACCACGGCTGCAGTTCGGCAGATGAGTAAAATTCGTGAGCCTGGATTCTATCCAGAGTCGATGGGATCTTGCTATTGCACTCACAATAATACTGATATAGCGAATCTATTTGAGGTCTTGAGCTTTGAGCCCGCTCAAGCAATGAACTGTTCCTATTCCCAGACCGTAACTAGAGGTCCTGTGCCTACTGGTTTCACGACAATATACGTAGATGCACGCAAGACTGAATACCGTGAGTGGCTCTACTAACCTAGAAGCCACCCAAGGACAGTAACCCAAAACTGTGTCCATGCATGCTCAGTCATAGCTATCTACCTACCGTACAAAATGTATCTACGGACCAAGAGCCCTGCTGACGCATTCTACTAGCATGACAAGGAACGTTGTTGTCCAGAAAATGAAGGATTGGTGGAGTTGAAAAGCCGTCAAGAAGTATTCTTCTTCGATTCTTCGAGGGGAAGTACCGTTTAATCGAAAGGAACGACCTAGATTCTAGCAGTAGACCAGCAATGTGTGTTCAGTTCTGATTTGTGTATCGTTAGACTGCCATGCCTTCGCGGGAAACCGAGCGGCCAGGTAATGCCGTAGCAATAGATGCACAGACTGTTAGCAAACAAGTATGTTGCCGCATACAAATGCATCACTTGGAGCCATCATCAGAAAGGACGGTTTACTTGAAATTGCATGTGATTAGTGAGTTCGAGTCAGAGGTGCAGATTTAACTTACAGCACGACCACGCTCGGTTTATCTATTGATTACCTCAATAAGATAGACGAGTATATCTCAGCTGATATTGTATGATAAAAGTTGGTACGGCAACGTCTTGATCCTGTTTCCTCTTGCGAGAACCTCTCACTGGACTCGCAGTCTTTCGGTGTCACTTCTGTACAGGTGTATCCTGTTGAGTATTCCAACTGTCCCCACGAGTCCGTTTGAGATATACCCAGCAGACTGAATAGCTTGTTAGTCATATTACAGTGTGTTTTGTAGTGTGTCATACCGAACCCGGTGTACAATGCGATCCGTGGTAAATAACCGCTCGAAACGATCAGCGGCAAACTTGTCAGTCAAATGTATTCTCAATATCACTCTCTCCCCCAGAGATTACCAGTTCATGCCAGTTCATGAATGCATCGTAATGTCAAGAATATGTACCCATATAGGTTAAGCATTGCACTTCAAACCATGGTCTCTCAATTTATCGAAAGGCCTGTTGCTTGCTCTGCCCGAGCAACAAAAGCAAAAACCCAAAGATAGTCGGGATCTAAATGAAAGTGTATATGGATACCAAGTTAAAAACAGGGAATTGATCTGACTTACCCTTTTCGCGAAACCCCGAAGCTCCTTGAACTGAGTGCTAAATAATTCTGGAGCTTCTAGAAGTTTGCTACTTAGATATCTCAGCCAGATCGGAGGTTCGTTAATCCTGACTGACAAGTAAAAGACCGTTTACGGACGGAAGACAAAGCAGTTATCCACAGAAAATATAACTTATTTGCATTATCATGACTGTGCCTTCAGCAAAAAGACACTGGGCAATAAGTCTTCATGTACATTGTATCAAGTCTACTGCGATTTTCCATCAACAACAACCCAATCCTGAATGAGAGCAGACCCATTCATAACAGCCTCAATCTGCTCATCAGTGCAAGTTGCTCCAAGAGAAAGGATATAACAAAGCGGCTCCGGACTCTCAGGAACCTCATTCTTGATATCCCAAGTAGATGCCGGACCATGCGTGGTATACGAGGTATTGCGAGCAGTATTGAGCTTACCAGTAGCAAGATCACGATTGAAAAGCGAACGGTAGAAGATCTCGTACGCAGTCTGGGGCTGGTAAGCCGGGACTTCATGGCCAGCTTCGTAGACCCGGGTAAACGAGAAGTTTCCATGCTGGCGGACTTGACCACCAATGTAGGAGGAGTTGGTGTGAAGAGGGGTGTAGCCCGCATCCCGGAATCTGGCAGCTTCGGCGTAATCGACCAGTAGACTGACCTCCTCGCCGCCGATCCAGTTGCAGGCATAGTCGCGGTCGCCGTAAACGAGTGCAACCTTGATACCGGAGTCGAGGACGTAGCCGATATCCTCGAGGTAGCCTCGCACGTCCGAGCGTGGGTAATCTCCCGTCGAGGAGAAGGCATAGTAGACACCGTCGTTCGATTCGGTGAAGTTGATTGGGACGCCCAGTGCGCCTTGCACCCAGTGCTGGTTCAGCCAGCCGAGGAAGTATGGCGCTGGGAATGGGTCTGGGTTCTTGTGTGCAATGTCGTAGTAGCCACGGTCTGCGTATTCCAGGTACACGCCCTCGACGCTATTACTGCAGAAGCTGTCGGCCTTTTGGCATGCCTTGTTGACGGTTTGGTTGTTGCCGTACATTTGAGGGTCGCCCTCTGCGGCTAGGGCACGGCACTCTGTGATCAAGTCCTTGCATCCACCGGGCCGACTCCATGCGTGCATGGCTTGGTCGTAGATAGTCTTGTTGATGGTTTGGATGTCGTAGGTGTTGTTGTAAGCCATCTGGATGTACGAGGGCTCCTGTACTAGAAGATCGACACAGCCATTGATGATACCCAGGGTATCCAAGTGGATATAGTGTGAGTCTTCTGGGGTATGGATGCTGCCATTGGCGATCTTCTCGTTCTGCTCCTGGAAGAAAGCTGCGAAAGACGGACCGTAGCGACCGCCATAGGACTCGGTCCAGATGCTGACCCGATCATCATGAGGCTTGTATTCGGGGAACTCGCTGAACCAAGTCTGCGCAAAGTGCCAGAGAGATCGTGCAGAGTTCTCAGTGCTGTTTGCTGTCGCAGACTTCTTCTGACTAGTCGTCGTACCAACATAGAAAGTGTTGTTCTGCTCAGGCACTCCGTGGGTCCAGTCGGACAGGTTCCATCCGCCGTTAACTTGGTCGAAGGTACCGTTTGTCGGCACATCGTAGCTGAAACCAACTTGATTTGGTTGGTCAATGTACAGCATGTTCACGTAGTTGTTCCATGACCAGGGGTTCAACTCTGTCGAATTAGAATCCTCGTTCACTATACAGGGTCCATTTTCCTGCATGAGACCAATCATGGAGGAACTTCCAGGACCGCCATTCATCCAAATGGACAGAGGCGCATTCTTTGGATCATGGCGAGATTCGAAGAACCAAAAGAAAGTGTTTATAGGGTACTTTTGATCGACATGCACGTCGTCCAGGGACCCCGGGGGCAAATGAACATATCCCGAGTACGATCTCACCCCTGGCGTAGTTTCACAGATTCCAGGCTGTGCAATTCGTCAATATCTTGTAGTAGTTGTACAATTAAAGGAAAATGTGTCGAACCTCTTTGTATGAAATCTTGACACCATTGTGATGCTTCGACTCTACCACCTTCAACCCTTCGGGTGTGGGAGGGAAATACTGGGCAGCAGCAGTTGCTGCCAGAGAAGCGGTGATCAAACATGAAGATCTCATTGTTGGAGAGGTAAAGAAGCATAAAGGGGGAAATGCACTAAGTTATATACGTCGATCAGATGTAACGATAACGGAGCCAAGACATGCATCTTTGCCTAAAACACCTCTGAGTCAAATCAGGCATCTTTTATTGGCATAATTCCCTAAATCATGCACGGAAAACTACAATATATAATGATTGGTTCGGACGACCGACGGAGCTACGGGAATGGTCGATCACATTCTGATTTTCTCAATCTAAACCCGCCTCTTCCCAACCTCCCCAACCTCCACCTCACAAATCACTGCAACTGAACACGAAACAAGTACTGCAGGCGAACCTGAGCTGGATCCTGGACAACATATTCCGGATGGTAAAGCCCGCTGGCATACACTTGCTCAGGCGGAACCCGCACATCCGGAATTTGAGTCCCCACAAAGTCTTCATGAATACATCCAGCATCGCGCCATTTCGAATGAACAGTAGCCGCTGCATTGGTGACTGAAAGTCCGGTACCTGGCCTGCCCAGCTCGACTTCGCACAGCGCCATCAATGCCTGCTTTTGTCCTTGGCAGTAGCCTAGCGATTTGGTCGACATGTCGGCAAAATAGATTCCCGGACAGAATCTCTTTCCATTGGCACTGCAAAGTCCGCCATGGCGTAGTCCTTGACTCAAGATTCCTGCAAAATTGACAGTTGATGAGCCGTGCCAAAGGAGTCGCCGGTCTCCAATCTCGGATGTGTTTTCCTTCTCCCACCGAGCGAAGCGCTGCATCTCACCTGGCCGCTTCAAGCGGAAAACACTAACAACTTGCTAAAGTTAAGGGTCAGAGCGAAGTTTCTAGGGGAAGACAAGATGACCTACCTTGAATTGTCTCGCGTGTGCTTTTCTGGCCGAGCCATGGAGATAATTACAAAGCTCCACATACTCCTTTGAAGTTTGATCCACTAGAAATGGTTAGATTGATAATCGTGTTTAAAATTGGAAGCAGAAGGAGGCGGGAAGAACATGAATTCTTCTCACCTGGGGTCAACTTTGCCAGACCGAGCGCATGGGATATCTGTCTCATTGTCATAGATGTGTTCAATCTGCTGTTTTTTCTTCTCAAGATGTTACTGGCAGTGTGGAGCTTGATTGCCAAATCAAGAGTCATCAGTTCGCCCATGATAGGAGCAAGCCCGGGCTGATTGTAAGTAAAATCTTGTGCACCATTCACCATCAGGACAGAATACAGGTTGCACAAATTATCAACTTGCGGACCACAAGACTTCATGGCAATCTTTCCATAAAGTTCCACAATCTTTCTCAAAATTGCAATCCCAGCCTGAAGAGTGTGGCCTTTGAACTGCCCCGCGAGATCCATCCTACGACCATAGGTGCTCATCGAGTTGACAAAGCGTTCAAAGTCACCCTTTTTAAATATGAGGCCCAAAACATCCTCAACGCTTTGAGCGAATGCGCATTTCTCGCTAACGAGAACAACAGGCTCTTCGTATTGAAGTTCCAGAGATACGAACCTGTCATCTTTTGGAATTTCGTGCCTGTCCTTCCATAACAGACCACTCTGGCTGCGAAACCTTCCCTCGAAATCGCATCTGGCGCCGTCCAGGGTGTCACAAAACTCTTCGTGCGTTGTACTTGAGGGCTCATCTCGAGTAGTGGGAATTTCACGTTGCACTTGAAAAACATAATACTTGTCTGAGTTGGAATCCAAGATAAGTTGGAGTCGGATAATAGAAGTCGCTTGAGACCTCTTTTGGCCTTCAACATGAGTGACGGTGTTCATGAGTGTCGCATCCCAGATTTCCCCAGCATCGTCCATCCAAACCGACAACGTCCTGTCTAATATCAATCTATGGTTAAACCAAGTACCAAAGCAGAACGAAAGGGAAAAAGGGAGCTGACCTCCATCGGTAATAATTTCGGAATCCACTAAGGCAGCTAGCTTTGCGAACCTGATCTTTCGCTCATCCTTGGGCTTCTTCAAGGAACCGACATCTTCGTCGTCAGAGTCAGATTCTCGCGCACGCTTATTGCCTGTCAAGTCAGTCGCATTCACAGCATTCTTGCTCTGCAGCAACTTGTACTGCTGGACTTCTTCAGGGCTTTGATTCTCGATGCTCTTCAGCAGCCAATCCACATTGACAATATGACACTCTCCCGACGCAATAGCCCGATCGACTGAGAACGAAATTCATCGTTAGCTGCCTTCTAGGTTGTTGTTGATTTTCGGATTACCTTTGATGTGTCCCTGCCTGATACCAGTGTGCGTTGTGACGAGATGGGTGCATTTACTGACGTCCATCTGGGCAAATGTGGCGCCGCATTTTTCGACCATTTTTTTGATGTGGCCTATACATTGAAAGATTATCGCCTGTATCAGTGACAGGTTCTGCGTAGATATTTCTACGCCGAGGAAGAGAGGGGATTACTAACGATGCTGATACCCAGGGATGTTGCCACTGGCACCGATCACCAGACCTTTCAGGCTGTCCATCAGCTTGTCGGTTTCCTTGTCGGCTTTCTTGTCAGACATCCCGAAGAGAAAAGTGACACAGTTCCTAACAACACTCAATGCTTGTAGCTTGATGAGCAAGAGAAGAAATCACCAAATATGTTCAAGTACATAAACAAGAGAAAGAGGGCGGAAGAAAACTAGCCCTTAATAAGTAGACCATGGCGGTGTTTGAACAAACAATTAACAAAGAAATTGTCAGCGGTAAGTCGGATTTACCCTTCCATGCCAAACTTCGTAGGGGTTATCCTTGAAAGATATCCCTGCTCGATTAGCTTATTTTGTCTTGAGCTACAACAGTGATCATAAATGTGTACACAGTGCCATGAAGTATTCGACAGTTTCTATACGAAACCCTCGAAGCGAGCGTACCTCTTCATGTACTGCTTTCCCTACTTTTGCCTCTCTCCTTTCACCTCTCTTTTGTCTATTTACGAGTGCCCAGGTTAACCATCTAGATCATATAAAGGCGGGAGTGTGAAAGACTTATGACCCTGTTGTATAATCAGAAAAAGCTGTTCGCTACTATCTCATACTAAAGCCAGGAATGGAATTTACCAGGAAATTGCAAGCGTTGTCAGCGAATATGGATAACCTTCTGCCATTAACGAAGCCCACCTTACGAGATACGAGGTAGCTTTAACAAATCATATTGACTTTGTTTTTGGGTACAGCAAAGTAGCACAAATTGGCTGACGATCAAAGAGAGCAAGTGAACGCCTTGGAAGCAAGACTCAATATTAAAGCAGAAAACGCCATATTCTCCGGAACTTCATGTGCCACGTATCAGAGTTGATGAGAATTGCCTAGTTGCTGACGAACCAGTTGAAAGCGACAGGGGGACCGAGGTTGATCTTCTCCGCCCAGGCATCGAAATCATAACGGATGCGGCCCATGAGACCCAGTTCCTTTCCATCAGCTGGAGAATGATCCTTGTGGTCAAAGCCCTCAGGCTGCTCATACAAGAAGAAGATGTAACGGTGAGGAGCGCTGCCAGGAGGAGGAGCCGGGCCAATGTAGTTTGCGACGAAGGGTGCTTCGGACCCCAGCACAGAGGAGTCACCAACCTTCACCTCGGATTGGATCCAGTGCAAAATTGGGCCCAGGACGCTGAAAGAGGGGAAAGGCGCATCCATATCCAGGCTGACGACCAGGTAGGTCCTGGTGGGGGATGCGCTGGAAAAGGTGAGCTTGGGAGGAGCTTGGGCCTCTGTCTTTATGTCAGTCTTGATTCTAATGCCTTGTGCAATCGATCTCACCCGAGCGTGGGACGAACTGTCCGGGCTGCACGTTCTCACAGCTTCCAACAGTCAGGCCGAGGACCTTGGTCTTGTCGGCCTCGATGAGAGACATGGCCCTCTTGAACTGGTTGTCCGATGGCATTTTGGGTGAAAGGTGGAAGATTAAACAATCTGGAATTCAGATGAGGAATTGGGATGAGGTTGAAATAAGGAAGGAACTCAAGTATGGGTTGCTCAAACAAAATAAAGTTGCACAAGCTTTGGGCCGGACTTAACGGAGATAGGCCTTATCTCTACCTCATTTTATACTGTCTATTGCCGTCACTATGACAAAATAAATTCTGCCGGCATCAAATTACTACGACTTACTTGGTTTTACTATCCTAGCTACTTATCCTAAGCACTACGTTGCTTATAAGCCTTTACTTAAGTACCGTATATAGGCATCCCGTATGGCCAGGGATTAAAGAAAGAAGGTAAGAAAGATGGCCTTACCTTATTATAGCTAATTGTAGCATTTATATTGTCGTGATATACCAGGCGATGACCTTTTTTGCTTTTTTTGCGGTGAACTACTAAACTTACAAAACCAACTCCTACCCATTTGGCCCGCATGTAAATGTGAAAAAAACAACACCTCCCGTTCTCAAATTTCTCCAAAGCCCCGGTCTCAAGGTATTGTTTTGTTTCACAACTTATTTAAGTTATCCTCTCGGGAACATGTATTGGCATTCTATGGCTATGGTGTGGACATGATGTTGAGATCGGAGAACCAGCAATACTTCACTCCTTTACCACGCCAGTGACGATAGCACGCACACTGGTGTTACCCTCATCAGGATAAGGAGTTCCAAAGTCACGCGCAAAGGCGATATTTTTCTCGGTTGTCTCGAAAAGCTCCATATCGAAGCGACGAACAAATGTTGCGATTACGAGGAACAACTCCGCATATGCCAAACTATAGGTTCACGTTAGCAACAGATCGCGAAAATAAGCAAAAGCTCGATTGGCCTACTTCATTCCCACACAAATCCGAGTGCCCTTTCCAAAGTTGACCATGAATCTGTCCAACCGCTCTCCTTTTGCAGCAGCACGCAGCCATCTCTCTGGGTCGAAAACGTGCGGATCAGGGAAAATCTCGGGGTCAGTGAGAACAAAGTAATTGGTCTCGCTCACGCGGGTCTGATTTCAAGTTATATCAGTACAAATATGTGAATCCCAAGGATAAATTAATGGGAAGTTTTCTTACTCCGGGAGGAATGGTGTAATTCTTGTACACTAGCGCTTCAGTGGGTGCGACACGAGGGGAGCGACTTGCAATCCCAGTGGACACGCGCAGTGTTTCCCAAACAACCGCCGACTATTAACCAGTTAGCAACCAGATCAGTTTACAGAATCTCACACAAAACGAACCAAATACGGTAACTGTTCAAGCTGGCTCCACGTTGGGCGAGAATCAGGCGTAGGCATCACCGTCCGCAGCTCTTCTCGCAACTTCGTTTTGATGTGTCCATTGGAAAGCAGACGAAAAGCAGCAATAGCTAAAGACCGCGCAGTTGTCTCAGTGCCACCGATAATCAGGCTGAATCCCTCATTGTTCAGGCGTTCCGCTTCGCGCAGGTGCTCTGGCATGCTCGGGCCGGTGATAATCTCCATTATGGGGTGAGACTTTGAGCCGGACGATTTGCCGCCTAGGAACTCCTTTGTTCGATGAAGGAGATCTGCCTTCTGGCCCATCAGCGCATATGCGAATGGGTCAAGCTTTACCAGCAACCACAGCGGAAGCGACTTCATGACGGTTTGGATGATTGGGAAGAAGAATGAAAGGTGGGCGAATTTGAACAGTCCATTGAGTCCATCTCGGACTTTTTCGTTGAAGTCTTCATGATCGAGGTTTCCACTGTTGAATCCATAGGCATATTGGTGAATGACATCGGAGGTTAGCCCCGCGAAACCGGCGTCGAGACTGACGGCTTTGTGGGATTCGTAAGCGCGCTTGAAATGTTGATCCAATTTGTCGATATTCTCATGAATCAGGTATTCTATGTTGGTGACTGACTGTTTCGAGAAATATCTTTCCAGATGCGAGCGCTTCTGTCGGTGCTCTTCTGGGGAGACACTTGAAAATGCTGACCCCTCGAGATCAAACTGAGCAACCAGCAGAGGATCCTTCTGGCGTCTGCGCTTGCTGGAAGCATAAATCTCATCATAATAGTTGGGGTCCTTGATATGGACCTCGTGAGGAGTGACGCGAATAATGGGTCCTAATGCACGTTAGTGTGATGGTATTCCAGATCGCGCAATATACTTACCATATATCTTGTGCAGCCTCTCCATCTCCCAAATGAACATTCCTCGCTTGACCACATTGAAGTAAAATTCATAGGCCCCTGTAATCGCAGCAAGCTTAGGCCCCGGAATTTTGCTGAGAGGATGGAAATACAATCGATATATGCTTTTGGCTACGAGGTAGGTGACAAGAGCGCCAATCCCCAATAACAACAGACCAGCCATATTTATTACTGATCATCAAGACCCCAGGTTTTGAAAGAAGAGAGTGAACTTGTGGATCCGATTTTCTTTTATAACCATAAAAGGCGCGATGTGTGATGGAGGGGTCACTTTCTGCAAGTTACACGCTAAAAGTCACGACGGCGTGGTCGCTAATGCAGTCGATGTGAAACACCAAGATGGCCATTGGTTAAATTGGCCTCGGCTGGCCCGACCTAGTCTGTTCCCGCGGCAAATACGGGTTTAGCCGTTTTGCTGGAGACCTTAGCGTAGGCGTGGTAGGTCGTTATGTGGAGCTAGCCATAACACGGCCTCGGTTATTAAATCACGCTAATAATAGCCGTAAGGTACGGCCTCAACTCTCATTAGATCCATTGATTGTGCCCCACTAATTCCTTATAACCTTATGTAGTCATATTTGAACTACCGAAAATAGACAGCTCACCTATTAAGTATGATTGATATCACTTAGTACTATATAGATAGCTCCCGTTGCTAAACCTAATCTACTACCGTATATAGTAGTAGCTGTATACCCTAGTCTGATACTAACCTATATAGTCTATATACTATGATAAAAATTGGTTACTTAGTCCTTAACACATTTTTTTAACTTTGATACCGGTTATTGAGGATAATAACTAAGATCTTTATCTACCTCCTCTGCCTACAAATCTCCGACTAAGGAGATTTTGTCTACTTTAAAGCCCTTATACTTAGATAGAGTGGATAATATAATGTATTTTAGTAAAAATACTAAAGAAGGCGACTCGGAATAAAGCAACTTGAGCATAAATAATACGGAGTAAATAGCGAACCAATTGTCTACACCAAACCCGCGGTTTCCTATAGTAAAGATTATAGGCTTGACGGTATATTAGACTAAAAGTTTACAGCTTTAACACCACCAACACAATGTATCCCATAATGAAGCTTCAGATAGTGACCAGAATGTACTAAGTTCGGAGCCTTTGATATCCATCATTAGGAAGGACTACGATTCCGTAAGAGATGGAATTTAGTATATAGATGCTAAAGACAATTATAGCTTAGGAGCATGGCATGCTAACAAATTCTTTTGTTTGTTTTGCTTACCTTGATCTCGAGTCTACAGGAGAATTTGCCTCAAAATGTATTATTCTGCTAGCTGCCAGAACCATCAAGAGATCAACCTCAAGGCGTGCACCTCTAGCATCAAATACCAAAAGCTATTAGAAGCTCCTAACCCTACATAAACCTTACAATCAAGCGCTATCTTTAGGGTAATAGAAATGATATTAATGTCCGGTAGTATAATCTACGGTATCTATAGTCGTTTATGCCTAAAACCTCACCTCAATCATATCACGTACGAACTTAATTAGGAGTGGGATTAAGAGCTATTCCTCCGCCTTATACTAAGTCTAAATACTCACCAAAAGTCGGCGTACGGGGAGAGAAGGTTAGGGTGCGCTCGGAAGCAAGTTTCACGATTGAGCCCTTAGCCTTCCGTACTGCTTTCAAACGTCTTCCTATGCTCAATATAAGCGTATCTATTTGCCAAATCTAATGCCTTCTAAGCTTCCACTAAGCATTTAAGATAATGCCAATCTGCCTCCTTTCTTCCTATACTAATAAGCTCCGGAAAGAGCTCAAAAAGCTTCAGTTTTAACTAACGCTACACCGGTCCAATTGGGTTTAAATTAGGTGAGTGAGAGGGCTAGTCTTCGACGTATACTCTATACGTTTTAAACCAATCTTGCGTCGCTACCGCTACATAAATCCTTGCGTTATCTTGCTAAAATACTAACTAATTTAGGGGTGTAGATTGGCATTAGACCTTTTTCGAGCGCTTTAATATACGACTTGGTAATATAACCTCTCCCCGAAGGCGAGTCTTCGTCCCGTTCCATAATAATTAATTCCCTATTCGATCACCTCGCTAGATTATAGCCCAAACTATTTGTGAAATGTCTTTGACGTGTACTTTCGTGTTCACAAGATCGCGGCGAAGACCCTCGAAGTCCGTACGGAAGCACCTCTCACGGAGTCCCCAGGAATCATGCACAGATCTCTTACACGGATCTCTTGCAATCACATAGGATCGACATCGTATAGGTGTCGACACGTTAGCGTTGGCTCACTGTAACGATTTCTTTTTTATTAGCATGAGAAACAGGTACAATCCTTTCTAGGGTCCGTTGGCTAGGAGCCACTAGTAAACTCGACCCACAGTTATGCGCCGAGGGCTTGCGCTCATGGTCCCCCTGGTCTCCGGATGTCTCCTGAGGATAGATCTGCGTCTTCAGGGGTGCAGCGTGACTTCACTTTCTCAGGGTTAATTGAATACACGAGGGTTTGACATCTAACCTCCCGATATGTGATTGGAAGAACCGCTTCTTTAGTTAACCTCTCTACAGAGTATACCCATCATCTAACAAAATCTGTGTTATTCGTATTTATTCCCCAACAAAATAGTCTTTGTTTTGCAATTTCGCTGATAAATTGATGGTTTAAGGTGGCTTGCCCAGGTGGAAATGCAGAGTTAACCATATTGGTTAGTGGAAATGGAATGCTTGGCATGCCGGTTAGTCGGTCCACAGTAAATGAAATTGCAAGCGCAAGCGACGCGCCCCACTTAAATGGGATACATGGAAGCGCCAGTTGCAGTGAAGTTGGGGGATAAGATAAACACTGAGAGTTTGGCCGAACGTTATAGTGGCGGAATATCTTGTGAACCTCTAACCGCCGGTGGTTACCATTAATTCATTTTAGCCACTGCATTTAGAAACTCGAGATCTCCAGATAGTACGCTGGGACCGGTGTAGCCGAGGACACAATCTGATTATAGTTCAGACGTACTATAAAATGATGCATCACCTTTCAGGGTGAAGGGAAAAAGAAGAAAGAGCATATACCAGCATGTGGCGAATTGACTATAGTATGTACTAGCCCTGGATTACGAGTGAGACCTGACTGCATTCCGCCGTCTTCCACTAGTCGTCGGAGAAGATGATCCGAATATTGTGGTGAAGGATGACCGGGAAATCATTTACATCATGGCACTACATGATCTTTCTATCTCTCAAAGATGCAAGTCTGTGCAGGATTGTCGTTCACCGAAGCATCCAATCACTGAAAAGATCAAGTACAGAGAAAGAACCCGCTCTTTCATACATAGGCTAACGGCACATGTATAGACACTTTATCACACGATCGAGCAAAGATGGTGACACAGTTCCACCAGAAAAGCAACCGTCGCACGATCCCAGTACTGTGTTCAATACTTCGGATTTGGCAGAAAATCGGCAGCTCCATCAAGACCCTCCGCCAATTGATACCTGTCTACGCACAACCCCCTGCTGCCCTTCTAGGACAGAATTGAGAGCCCTTGAGGATCGAATCGAGAATGCCGAATTTGCTGGAGTCTCCAGAGGGCCCACTGCCCGCGACACTCAAGTTATCCTACGGATAAGAGGCATTAATGGCCAAGTTCAGTCAGTTCTGTGTCCATGGCAGGACTTCAAAAGTACCGAGGCACATAACAATCTGATCAGCCATGAAGAACGGCGCTATATTGAGAATAAATATTTATCTGAATGATTGATAGTATTTACATCTTTCAATTCTAAGAGACTATCTCAGGTTCCTTCCGATTAGAAATGACTGCAGCAATCTACCTCGTGAGAATTACGGTTGTGGGTCGGTGGCCGATTCCGACTCTCAGTAATCTCCAATAATTGAATACATAAGTGCCACAGTATGGTCCTGGTAAATCCTCGTCAGTAGTCTTCCTGTTCTAACTCTCTACCATAACTATAAACTCCTTCTGACCGCTATCTAGGTGAAGGATGGAAGATATACTGAGAGAAGAGTTTGAGGGTATGGACTGGAGCTACTTTGTTTCTTTTCAGGTCAAAAGAGAACGGATAATGGATTCTTGTCCAGACGAGGGAGACCAAATATTGATAGGGCTCAATCAATTTGCACATGTTAAAGAACTTAAAAAGTACCATTACATAGTCACAACAAGCCTGCCTTTCAATTGCGGATTCATGTAGCGACCCGGAAGGTTCGTACCTTCTTCGAGCTGAATAGTCTGCACATGGGACCGTACCCCATTTTTGGCGACAAAATTCATCATATCAGAAACTAGCCGTTGGTTTGCGACAAGACTTCCTTTCACCACTAATTCCTTGAACATGATGTCAAATGCGGAGAATCTGAACCCGCTTTCAGGAAGGCCCAGCGGAACACAGACACCATGCGGCCGGAGTAGCTTCAGACTCCATTCAGTCGCCTCGACGTTATCGGTACAGATCACCACACCGGCGAGGCCGCCACCTCCGGCAAACGCGACAATCTTCTTCGTCGCCTCAGGATCATTGTAGTCAATAATTTGGGCTGGTCTCAAATGCTCAGGAACTTCTCGAGCCAGATCAAGGCCTTCAGATCGGTTGTCAATGGCAACAACTCGAAGGCCCAATCCAGCCGCAAACTGCAGAGCCAAGCTGCCCAGCCCACCAATTCCAATTACTCCAACTGATTGCCCTGCCTTCAAACCTGCGGCCTCAAGGCCTGTCCACACGGTAGCCTGTATATAATATTAGCACCAACTAGATACAGCTAAGCGCATCGCAGAGTTCACATACACCGGCACACATTAGAGGTGCCGCTTGTTCAAAGGGCAGTCCATCTGGCAAAAGTACGGAGGTGGCGGAGTCGGCAATGATGTATTCAGCAAAGCCACCGTCAGCATTGATACCGGCCATGTTCTTCTCCTCGCAAAAGCGAGTATCTGGCTCGAGGGGTCTCAAGGGATCACGAGATACCTCACAGCCAACGCATGAGTGACACGCATGCCGGAATGTTAAGACGCCAACTCGTTGACCAGATTTCCAATTTCCCGTGGCATTTTCACCCACGGCGACAATAGTGCCCACAGGCTCGTGGGATGGAGTCATAGGAATAGGCGATTTGTACACTCCTTCATACACTTGGTAATCAGTGTGACAGAATCCCGCCGCTCCAACCTTCACGAGCAAGTCATGCTTGCCGAGGGTAGGGACAGGGATTTCCTCTAACTTGTAGGGGGCGTTGTACTGTTGAAGCATTAGTTTACGTGAAGTGTAAAGTACTGGCACAAGAATTTTACCTCTACGAGTCGCAAGGCTCTCATGTTATTTGGTGTCATAATGGAATTGTTGAAGGATGTTAATCGATAGGATGGAAAATAATGATATGCAAACTTAAGCTGATGACCGTCTCTTAAATAGACCAGTTTGCATCATCGATGATCTCGCAAAAGGCAGGTTTGAACCTCAGAGATCAAGAACACCATGCATTTATAAAGTCCCACATGCGGCAAAACCGCGGCGTGACGTTAAGAGGGGTTCCGAGATGGGTATGAATCAAGCCCCACACGCATCAATACCGTCCGGAGTTACGAGTTACGGAACCGGCGGCTCGAACTTCCCATTTCCAAAATACATACCCGTGCCGTTGCTTCGCCTCCTATGTCATTCAGACCATTTACCAAAGGCAGAACGCATCTGGAGTGGACTCGGAATGATATCGTGGGTGGTCACCTCCTGAATATCGAGACCACAAAGAAAGCATTGGAGACAGAGGAGGGCCAACAGGTCTTGAGCGGCTAGTTCATATTTGATGGCTGCAAATATCCAAGAACGCTCGATGACCCTAGGATGTTGAATCGCGGGGCAACCGTGAGAGACCCAAATATATGGAACAATAAAACAGTTCAAGCTAAGCCAATTAATCAGCGGACGATAAGTTGAATATGTCCCAATAAAACAAACAAACCAAAACAGAAGCCATAAAGACTGCATATATCAATGGCTAGCACCCACAGGAGTATTCATATACTATCCCGACTATACTAACCACCAGATGCCATCATAAAGAGGCTTTCCAGACCTTCTCGAGAGGGACGCCTGGTACCGATGGTGTCCCCTTCGTCAAGGTCTGAAGAGCCTCTTTACCAGGACATCTGCCAGCAAATATCGCCGCAAGGGTATGTAAACACCTCCGGGGAAATGCGACCTAAAGAACCAATCAGTAGTAAGGAGATGAATACAACCTAGGAACGGAGCGTAGCATTTCCCGTACATACCCAAGACTATTCCCTGGAGCGTCGGCATGATGCGCAGATGAATAACCAAGAGACGTATGTCCATAGTATTTCTATTACGGTCGAGATAGACAGCACCGATGATGGCCTCGATGGTAGTTGCCATCAGGCGCCCAGGGACGACGCCCTGGGCTGAAGGGTTCAGCTGGATGTAGGCATCCATACCCACGGAAAAGCGTATCCTCGCCAGGTTTTCGTTCGTGGCCAGAGTATTCTGTGCATTCGTCATGTCGCCTTTTATCTCATTAACAGTTTCATTAACACTTGAACAAGGAATGACATATATATATATATATAATGAGGGGGTCTCACGAATGGAGGCTTCGTCTTCATAACCAAACTCATAAAGAACGAGCCTCAATGCAGCGTCCCCGATAAGCGTAAGCCGCTTATTACCCTCGCTTGCAATGGTGGCCCCGGCAGCTTCTAGAGCCTTCACAAGAAGAGATTTATCATGGAACTCATAGCGGAGAGGAAGTGGGCGGGTGCCGTTGTACCTCGTCTAACAGCCTCGACGTAAGATCGAACTCGGGGTCCTGATTCAGTGCTGGCCTTGCTCGCCGCCGCAGTTGCAATTCGAACACTATGCATATCCTTACGGAGCTCCATGATTTCCTATTTCATGTCCGCGAACTCCCGGCGCCAGACGACCTTTAAGTGCTCCAATACCACTAAAGGGACTTTACCGCCCTTACCGACGTGCTCTAAGAGCTGCTAGGTGTCGTAGTTGATTGCAAGAGCGCGTTCGTTGATGTTGGTGCCAGCAGAGTTTTCGCGCAACCCCCCTGAAAGGGCGGGCCACTAGCTTCCTAGCGCAACCATTGTGTCTACCAATACAATGTTGGTATCAAATGGTGCAGCAGGAAGTTACGAATAACTTGCAATTAGTTTGGAAGCCGTAGGAGGTTGGATGATTCCGGGCCAGACCCTGACACGGCCCTGTTCATGGACAACTAGGCGCATAACCAGCAGTTTTCATTCACTTGTCAATTTTCATGTCGAAAATCGTTTGGGTCGCTTAATAGTCAGGGTTTAGAGTTTGTGCAAGTGACGACAGCAAACAGTTTGATCCGCAATGAGGATTCCTGAGATCATTCAGACCGAGGCTGGCATTCCAGTTACCTCAAATATACGGGAAATTGTCATAAGTATGATACTCAATTTCGACTTGTAAACAGAAAGAAGATGTCATTGTATATTTACTAATCCAAACAAGTCCTATCAACAAACAACCCCACCGAATCAGGCATCAAAGACTGACGGCCACTGGGCACGCACATATGCCAACGCCTTCTGGAGATTCGTTGCATCTCCCGAAGGCTCGGGAGCTTTCCACGTCTGTTCCTGCCACCGAAGCCCAAAATCTAACAGTTGCGCCTCCCACTCCGTGACATTGTACGATGCAGGCGGGGTTGAATTCAGATACTGCACAAACATCTCCCAGCGGGGCACGTAGTACGTGGACACCAAACCAGCCCAGGACTTCGAGGCGTAGTCATTAATCTGGCCCTGGGGTCCCCAGAGCGTGATCTGATTGCGTGCATTATACTCAAGATAAGAGGATAAGCTCTGGTTGCCGCCGGACCAAGACCGAGCAGCGTCGATCCATGTCGAGAGACGGAAGTGGGGGTTTGTGAGAAGGACGGTATCTAGATCGTTCAGCAGGTGGACGAGCTTTGCGCCTTCGTCCGTCAAGGCGCTTGAGGAGGAATTCGAGCTGTAGTAGGTAGAAACTAGATTCATGTACAACGGAATGAACGCATTGGCCATGACCTGGCGCGTCACATCGACCATGTCGTATTCGTAAGCTGGGTTGGTCCAGAGTTGTGATTCTGTGTGGGCGGCTTGGTGCATCAACCGCCACGCGTGCACGAGCACCGATGGGTCGTAGTTAATGGTGGTAGGATGGTGGCCGGTGATCCCAACGAGGCCCTCAGTGTTAGGCCGAAGCTCGAAGATAGACTTACTCACAGCGATGGCGGACGACAGGTCAGTGTTGTTGTACACAGTGGTGCGTATTAGGTCCCAGGCCTCATATAGCTCCCCCGGAATCAATTTGAGGCCCGCATACCGGCTAGTGACCCACTGATGGAAGTACTTATGCGTGTCTAGTGGAGTTGTCGACCACGCCTGGTCAAGGAACAGGTCATAAACTACCTCGTTGCCCTCCTGACCCTCCATGCTTAGACCGTAACCGACCATTGATGGCGAATGGAGACGCGCGTCAGTCACGTTCTGAGTGATATTCAAGATCTGCCCGTATAGGCCCATGTTGCCGCCATAATCGTGCAACATACACCAAATCCAAGGCTTACCATAGTAGGAGTTCGTCTGTTGCCATACTGGAGCTGATTCCGAGTATAGGTCTAGAATCAGCATGTCCTGGTTATGCTCGACACCTGAGAGATAGGCCTCAATCCGCTGATCGGTCCAGAAGGCCGAGTCGGAATAGAAGAGCCAACCCTGCATCATCCAGACAGCCTGGGGATCAGCCGCTTTCAAACTGCGCCAGGTGTTACGAGTGACATTGCGTAGATAGCTCAGGTCACCAGAGTAGGGGTCGTTCTCGTTGTACTGATCCAGCGTATAGATATGGCTCACGTTGCCGTAGGCAGCCTGTTGCTTATGGATGAACGTACGCTGGATCTCTGCATAGTGGCTGTCAAACGGTTCGAGGAACGAGTCGTTAGTGTATTGAATGGGAAACTCCGACCATTGGGAGCCTCGCACCACGCTCGCATTAGGCATGACACGGGTGATGTTATTAGGAACAAAGCCGGTAAATGCGGGCAGCACCGGAGTCATCCCTAGCTCCACCATACGTTGCACGATCTGTATCTGCAGGGCAAATTGATCATCAATCCATTGCTGGGGCAAGTCTCCACCCCAGGACCCCTGGATATTGCCGAATCGGTTCCATGCCTGGAACGCCGGCCCACTAAGAAAAGTTGCAATCTCCGCGTCCGTGAGACCGATTTCGCGAAAGACCTCAACCATGATTTTCTCGAAGCCCACCCAGGCTAGTGGCAGGTTCACGCCGCGGAGGGCAAGCCAGTCTAGTTGCAACTCCCAGTCTTCCCATGACCAGAAAGCAGCAGTGTAGGAGAATGTTACTAGCAAATGTTAGCCAGAGAACAATGCGGCACAGTTGCCGTGGGAATCCAACCAGTGTTGAAGTGATAACGCCACGGCACAGTGCTAGAGCCACTGATGGGACTAGCAAGTTGCGGCAGCTTGGCGGGCGCAAGGTCCAGGCGACTGCCAATATACCAGTAGATATCAACGTGGGCAACAGCGGTGAGATAGCGATGGAGGCTATTGATTCAGATCAGTATGGATAGGAATAATGATGATGACAAGGGGTTATGAATACCCTGAAGACAATGCACTGAGTGAGCTACCCTGCACAAGAACTGTGCCATTGGCAGCGCTGCTCACGACATACTGGTCGTAGCTATTCGCAGCTTGGGTAGCATTTACTAGTGTGAAACGAAAGCTGTCAGCATGGTTCGGCAGTCGACGCTGGACGAGATTGTAAATGCCCTCAGTGGACTGAGCGGCCACCGTGGACGCGGCACACAGCCAGAGCAGCGATTGAGACCACCGCATGACGACAGAGAAGCAAATAGAGAGAGAGACTTGAAGAGAGCCGGCCTGGAGAACTGACTTCACAGAAAGATCAAAAAGCAGGCCTTATACTTTTCTTATTGTTCGAGAAATCCACGACCTGATGCTCCACCGCCAAGGACTGGCCGCGTTTTTTAACGTTTAATTAAACCTAAGCTTTTGTCTTCCCTCTTAAGCCGACTAGTAAGTTCCAGCATGTGCTGTCAAATACCCCTGTTACATTCCCCTGATTAATTTCTGTGACTTTCCAGCCAATCGTGGGTCAATCAAGGGTGGTTAGACCCCTCAAGCCATGCGAGGTCGTGGCACTAGCTGCGAAAGAAACTATGAAAGTCGGACGAGACTTTTTTTGATTTCGGGAGAAAGTCCTTCCGCTCCTGCACTCCGTGGGTCTTGATGGCTCGTTACCACGCAACAAAGATGTCTTCGCCGTCAATACTCCAGCGAAACGTCTCATTGAACATTCGCTCTGCATTAGACTTGCCTTGTGATTCTGCACGAGGGCGTGGATCTAGTCTAATTGATCAGCGAAAATTCTCCGCGGACAGAGGGGGGTTTACATGCAGCGTCAAAAAGGGGAAAGGTAATCTAACGATTGGGAGTCGGCATCTAGAAACCCTCCCCGAGCCCAAAATCACACAGTAGTACAGTGGTGTTGTAGAGTAACGCCACCATTAGCAGTTCGAATTTCGATTAATATTGCAGGAACTCACGTGCTAGCTTATTTGCTCCTCGACGCCACGATGTGGCGTGCCTTGGAGCAGGAAAGTCAAAGAATGAGAGCCAAGGTGAGGGCCAATATGAAAATGGATATCTCTAGCGTTCGCATGGACTCTTGACATATGGGAAAGAAGCAAGCAATAATGGCAATTTATTGGTTGGAAAAACGGATGGGGAGGAAGAGAAGCTTTCAAACCTCCGCCGGAATCTCTCAGGACTATCGGGGTCATGTAATCTCAACATGAACCTACTCATACAATGCCCTAGCTGTACATACCATGCCGTGTATGTTTTTTCTAGCGTTCCCAGCGCTAAAACTAGCTTCCACTGGCAGCATCCTTTGATGCAACATGACACTGACAGACTAAAAGTTGAGTAGTGCGACGGAAGCCACTGAAGTTGCATCTCCTTAGTGGCACGTTTGCAACATTCTGTGTTAACTTTTCTGTGTGCTTTTGATAATTAATAACGATTCATGGGTGTGCTTGAGGACACTCTTCATGTTTAAGATTAATAGTGTGTCAATATCAAAGTACTGCTGCTATTTCCAATAATTGTGTGCAGCATTAAAAGGATATTCTCTAGGGCTTCTCCACACCTTGCAACTATTAGGATGCAAGTGAAAGGTATACTGACGACGGAGGCGGAAACTAAGAGGCTAGAGTAAGGATATTGGTCTAGCTAGAAAAGATCTGCACATACAGAGAGAGAGAAGAACGAAGAAGAGGGGGAGAGGAGAGAAGGTAATGAAACTACTAAACAGCAGGCTCCACACCAGAGGCATCCACGTCCCGAATCCTCAAATGTCGACCGTAAGAAGGAAGAGAACTGTAGAGAATAATGTATTGCGTACAGGCGATATTTAAGAACAAAGATTGGCTGCTTATAGGAGGGAGGGAAGAACAGAGAAGGGAGAGAGCAAACTGACTAACTACTACTAAGTAGCAGGCCTGACGCCAAAGGCATCCAATTCGCGGATCTTCAACACCTACGCATGTTCGCATAGCTCGTCGCTTCCATGCTTCTCAATCATTGGGGAGGGTTCGAACACGCCAACTGTATCCTCAGAGATATGGCCAAACAGCTTCATCTCCTTCGCCATGTCCCGAGCGTTCTGCACCGGGTTACCAGGACGCGTGAAAATAATGTCGATTTCCTCAAGTCGCAAATTGCTGGTTTCCGGAAAGAAAAAGTAAAACGCAGGCACAAAAGCCGCATTGGTGGCCATAAAGACGAGGTATGCTTTCCAGTGTAGCCGGTTGATGAGAACAGGAGTGATCATAACAACTGTGAAGTTCCACAGCCAATTTGAACTAACGCCGATCGCTGAGCCACGGGTGCGTGCTTGCAAAGGTAAGATCTCGGGGACATAGACCCACGGGACGCAGTTGGCGGTCATGCCAAAGATAAACATGTAGACAAAGAAGAACGAGATGGCACCCACAGCGCAAGCTTGCCCATTGGGGCTGTGAGAGCGAGATAGGAGAACAGCAATCATCAGCATGGAGATGCTCAGGCCGGTGCACCCCCACATCATTGTTCTTCGCCTCCCCATGCGGTCCAGAGCAAGTGTGGGTACGATTGAGCCGAGCGCAAACATTAGATTGATAAATCCGGCAAGGATTTGAGCCAGTCTCGCTGACATGCCCACATTTTGAACAAGAGCCGCTATGAACAATCAGATTAGGTTCTGCTGTAAAGAGATTCATGTTCCTGACCAGAACCAAGGTATGGGTGGGGCTTCGGCCTTACATGGCGCATAATAAACAACGAGATTGATCCCGCCAGCCTGGTTCATAAACATGACCCACCAGGCAAGCATGACTCGGTATCTTGTTTTCACACGGTCCGTTCTGAATAAGCTTAGAAGACTCTTGGTTTCTGTGCTTGCCGACTCCAGTTCCAGAGCGGAATTAATAGCGTCCCGTTCTGCTAGAATGTAAGCATCCGAAGACTCTTTGTCATATACTCTGCAAAGGACATCCATCGCTTCTTCGTGTTTCCCATGTTTATATAGCCATCGCGGTGATTCCGGGAGTTCGATGACTAAGATCACCACGATGAGAGCGAAAATGATTTGTGCCGCAATGGGTAGGCGCCAGGCAATGGCGCCTCCCACATATGACATACCGAAGTCGAACCAGTATGCAATCACGATACCGACACCGACAAACAGAACTTCCGCCGAGACAAGACGACCACGAGATCGCTGATCGCAAAGTTCAGATTGGTACCTATATGTAGATCACAACATCAGTATGGAAGGACGATGAAAGAACGGAAGGTGAAGACCGGAATGTGCTAAGCTCAGCACCGAATAGGGATTGGGAACACTGACATGGGCACAGTCGAAGTTTTGATTCCAGTACCCACGCCTGTTATTATTCTGCCAACCACAAGGTGAGGTACTGTAAAAGCTGACGTTTGAAGTGTAGCTCCGACAATTACGAAGACCATGGCGAGCCATATAGTTCTGCGTCTCCCAAGCTTTTCCCCAATCACGTAGTTAACTAGAAGAGTTAGTACCAGGATCGCCCGTATGAGCCTCAAGGCGGCTCCATAGGATATTCGATGTACCGAGACACCCGGCAAAACATCCGAGGTTATAACAACTAACGATGATACCGGTCTTCGTATCGGAAGGATGGTTGAACTGGTCCAACCAGTTTTCATTCTCCAAGATTCCACCAAAGACGCCCTGGTCATAGCCAAACAGCACAAAGGCAATCAAGCAGCATACCGTCAAACCGACCTGGAGGGTCTTGCCCCGACCAAGGAACGAGCGCATAGCCGGTGTGGATGATATGAAATGGCAAGAGCAGAAAGATAAGGCAAAGTTTGAGTGATTGAAGGAGACCAAGTCCAAAGTTATGTTCAAACTGGGTGGTGCGCATGATCTTATGTATTCTGGCTACTCCAGAATTGAGTTTCCCCGGTAAAAGGACCAAGTCTGGGGTGATTCGCACTGGGGATAGTTGGTTGCCCCAGCTTTTTGGCGTGGAGAAAAGCGCCTCGGTCGAGCTTACTAAGAGAACGAACACACCTGAATACCTGGGGAAGGCGCTTGCGGTTACTATCGCCCTTTTTGTTAAAACGCAAGCCGAATGCCAAGAATCCATATACTGACTAGGAAAGGAAATAGTTAACATGCAGATAAGTGATAAGCTGCAATTGACAAAAATGGAGGGCTTAGACACGAAGGTAGATTGACTCAATTTATGGCAGTGTTCGTTATGTAGCACTTTAGTCACTGGGGCCTTCTCAGTCGAATGCATGTTCAAGATGAAGGCTGGCCCATGATTGCCAGAAACTGAAACTGAGGGGCATTGGCTGGACATCTCTACGAGCAATACATACTCTCTTGCTAGTCATGCACATCGATCTAAATAGGCGTTGTCGTATGTCGCCTCAGAATTAACTCAAACCGTATGTATATAACCAGTTCATCTGAAACTTAACCTTGGTGGACGAGTCTTCCTTGTCTGATACATATCCTAGTATGGTACCTTCTGTAACCTCGCTTCGCCCAGTGATGTATCTAAAAATCAGAAACAAATAACCCAGCGCCGCGCGGCAGGCGTAGGGGTCGCCAATTAGCGGGTGCATGGAAATACTATGCTTCTACCGCTATCCCACTAACCGATTTGCATCTTCAGCAACCGGATACCATCCGTATTTGGTGCTTATTAACACTAGACTCTCATGAAACAATAAATATATCCTTGTGATAGTCTCAGCATATACATCTTCTCTAATAAGGTCTGCTTCGATGTCCTGAGAGCTTACGCTGAATGAGGAAGCTCCGCGTGATGCTTAGTCTTCAATTGAACTCGGAAAGTGGAAGCGGGATGGGTCCGTTAGATCTCTCAAATTGGGTCATTTTTAGTGACTTTTGTTGATGGACGATCTTTTGATTATTACACAGATCAAAAGGTTAAACTCAAGCATGAGTTAATAAAGAATTCATTGACTTACGCGAGAGCTTCTGGTACGTTAGCGATATGTCGGAAGGATTCAGAATTTTGGCCTACTGGGTTCATATGCGTTCTTGGTCAACTTGCGAGTGGATGAAGAACATGAGCTAGCAGAAACTTTATATTAGACCAGGTTTTTCATTAGATTAGGGAGACCCAAACCCAGCAGGGCGATGGCTCTCTGTTGAGGCGGCTTGTTTTAATCAATGTCATTCCAAATTTCTATTGCTCTAACTCCTTGGTTCCCCGGTCCGTTTAATCTCTCCAATTAGAACCGCTATGAATCTTTGACGTGTAGAAAGACTACAAGAAAGATGCGAACAAAGATACGCGCAGCGTCAATGACTTTTGCTACCTGGATGAGTTTGACGATCTAGACGTAATGAAATGAAGTTATGCCCAAGCAAATTGCGGTAGGAAATTCAATTTATAGAAAACCAAATATCAACTGTCGATGGTAGCTGCGTTATCGGAATCGCCTGCCCTTTCCACTGTTACTTGACAATGAATTGATTGCTAGTGGTGTGCTTCCACGAGGGAAAGGTTCCGCCTGTATTTTTCAGCTTTAAAATCCTGTTTATGAGGTACATCAGAAGAGGCTACCAAGTTGCCAGCCAGTTTGAAGCGACAACCAGGACGAAGCTTCATCGATAAGCTGCACCGCCTCTTGCGCCCCCACGGCAGAGTATCCGATAAGACCAATTGCTGTGAAACAGCCCAGTACCAGATACCTTTTCCGTGATTGAGCAGTTTGGCGCAGATCGAAGTCAGACCAACGGGGGAAAATTGTGCGTAGCCAGTATTTGTACATGGGGTCAGGGTATATGAAAGTGTTCTTTTTGCTAACAGGGTCCATCCACCAACTTTGGCAACCACTGTTGAAGACGAGATGTTGCAATTTGTCGTGAACCCAGGAAAGGTCTCGGTCCTGAGCTTCTCGCTTGACCATTATTGAATCAGCACCGTCCCGGAGCACAGGGCGAAGCAAACGGCATGAGTAGTTGATTTGACATTCGGAGTGGAAAATGACCGAGTGCTGACCAGTCGCTGCGTTGGGTCCGTACAGAATGAAGAAGTTGGGGAAGCCAGTCACGACGGTACCTTTATATGCCTCAGCACCCCCTGATGCGTCCCACTGATCGTGAAGATCCTTGCCACCGATGCCTTTGATTTTCATAGGAAACAACCATTTCTGGGTTTGGAACCCAGTGGCATAGATGATTGCGTCCGCTGGGTGTTGCTTTCCCTCTTTAGTTTCCACATAGTCTGGCCCAATCTTGATAATAGCATCCTTGGTGAGCATCATCTGTGGAGAATGAAGGCATTTCAAATAGGTAGCAGTGTTGACTCGACGCTTGCAACCGGGCTCATAGTCCGGCTTTAAAATATCTCTGTACTTAGCTGGTGCCTCACTCTCAATATAGGAGTAGGTAGCATCTCGGATCTTTTGACGCATAGCAGCACCATTGCTGTTCATGTGAAATGAATAAAAAGTGCTCTCCAGCTGCCAAGCTAGGATGACACGGTAGAGTCGAGCGGCGAGCGGCAAGTACTTCAAGGCAAACTTGAAGGACTCAGAGTAAGTTGGATTTCCCTATTTTCCAGTGATTAGAATCATAATGTGACTAATGCAAAGTTTCCTTACGCGCTTTGTCCACCAGTGAGAGCTCCGGACATGTTGGGTCACCTTGCCCTTGGGTCCAACTGACTTGACCAGCTCAGGGACAAATTGAGTAGCCGATGCACCGTTTCCCACAACGGTGATTTGCTTGCCATTGGCATTGAAGTTATCGTTCCACTCGGCGCTATGGAACGTCTCGCCCTTGAAAGAATCGGCTCCGTCGATAGAGGGGATAGCAGGGCGATCAAGAGTGCCAATTGCACTGACGACAACAGGAGCTTCGCGAATGAAGATCTCGCCTGATTTGGTATCCTCGAAAGTCACAACCCACAATGAGCGGGCATTGTCCCAAGTCATGCTGGTACACACAGCATTGAAGTGACAGTGAGGTAGAATGTTGAATCGCTCAGCGACGGAAAAGAAATCTCTGGTATGTCAGCTAAGTGTTTAACCACAAAGGAGACCTTACTTACAAGCATGAAGCTCATCCCTGCCGGGAAACATCGTAGTCCAGTCATGCTTCAATGCAAAGCTGTAGGAATAGAAGTGACTCGGGATATCGCATGCACAAGCAGGGTACCGATTGTGCCACCATGTCCCACCGACATTGTCTGACTTCTCATAGATAGTGAAGTTATCATGACCAAGGAGACGTTTCAATTGAACCGCCATTCCAAGGCCAGATATGCCTCCACCGATGATGAGGACTTCTTTGGATGGATCCATGGAAGCAGACTCAAGAATTGTCCAGAATCGTCGGATCACGAACTTCAACCAACTTGATGGTTTCGCAAGAATTTCATCTACAGGAACAGGCTGGTATTTAAATATAGTCATTTGCTTCTCTGTGGACACGATGCAAAATGCAAAAAGAAAAGAGAGCGGCTGTACTTGCCACTTCTCCCTCCGACTTCCCTGCCCTTCAATTTTTAGAATATAGCAGAATGTAGGCTTAGTTGATTTGGGGTCCAGATATTGTGCATGGTCATTGTTTGTAGTATATGTCTTCGGCATTAGAACTTCGGCACGGTAGTTTGGTTGCGGAGAAAACCCCACATTGCAGGAGCTTCAGCGGCGCTTGCGCTTGCGGTTGCACTATTGTGTAATCTCTCGTTTCGCCCTTTTGACGACACAAGAGGCAAGTTTAAGACAACCATGACGATGGGCATGGATTCTTTCTCTATAGCCCGCCCCACTGGGGTACATAACTCCAGAGAACCTCTTCGACTCCAGCATCTTAACAGGCTTTCAATTGTACGGAGTCTACTAAAGGTACGATATAGGTGCGGCACTGCGACTATCACTACCAGTGTAACCAGAATACTCCTTCCTTTCCAGCATGGTACTCCAATCGCCAATTCCCCTCGACCAGTTGAAATTCAATGTCCCAGTGCCTTACGAGCTGCACGTGGACCGGGAGCTGTTGAAAATCACCAAGCAGAAGCTGGCTTTAGCTCGCTATCCCGAAGAGCAGTCTGATTTTAACGAAAACAATTGGGCCCAAGGCGCTAAGGTCTCTCGCGTGAAACAGCTTGCGGAGCACTGGAAGAGTAAGTACGACTGGGACACACAGGAGGTAAGCAACGACCATTGCAGTCTTTGTAGTGTCATTTTAACATCGATCTAATTCTTCCTCAGAAAATCCTGAACGATGCTTTCAACCACTTCATTGTGAAGCTTAATGTCCCGGGATATGGCACTCTTGTGCTTCACTATACTCACGCGCGTGCCTCCAGCAGCAAAGCAATCCCTCTCCTGTTCTCCCACGGCTGGCCAGGATCGTTTGTTGAGGCACGCCGAGTTGTTGAGCCACTGAGCAACCCAAAGGACGCTAAGGACCCTGCTTTCCATGTTGTTGCACCATCTATACCCGGATTTGGGTTTTCCCCTGCGCCGACCAAATCTGGAGTTGGACCGAATGTTGTCGCGCGCGCCTACAAAATCCTGATGACAGAAGTCTTGGGCTATCCGAAGTTTGTCACGCAGGGAGGAGATTTCGGATCTTTCATCACCCGCTCTTTGGCCATACAATATCCGGATCTAGTCAGAGCTCAGCATCTGAACATGTTCCCAGTGCCTCCGCCAACCCTCTTTTCGGCTCCCGCCGCGTACATCCGCTGGTGCTTTTCGGCATTTACATACTCGGCATTTGAGCACAAGGCACTTCAGGTTCGGTGGAACTTTGAGCAAGATCAGAGTGGCTACCTCGAGCAACAAAAAACCAGGCCTCAAACCCTTGGCTTTGCTCTGGGTGACTCACCTGTCGGATTGCTTGCCTGGTTTGTGGAGAAGATTCACGATTGGGCCGATGTGTACAATGCGTTCAGCGACGACGACATCATCACACTTGTTATGATGCACTGGGTACAAGGTGTGACTCCTGCTCTGCGCTTCTACCGGGAGGCGTTTGGCCGTGGCATGCACGAGGCTGAAAAGACGTTCGAGACGTATGTGTCTGCTCCCACTGGCGTGAGCATGTATGCAAAGGAGCAACTCCACGTAAGAAAGTCCCAAAGTCCACCTAATTGTTTTCAAGGTATTCTAACACAGTTGTGACAGTGCCCCCGGGATTGGGCCAATCAGGCTGCTAACATACAATTTTGGCGAGAGTACGAGAAGGGTGGTCATTTCTCGTCCTTGGAGTGCCCTGATTTGTTCGTGAAAGATGTTCAAGAGTTCTTCTCGTCAAAGGCTGTTCTCAGTTCGTGGGTTCGCACTTGAGGCTGCGATTACTGCGAGGAACCTATATTTGAACTCGAAATATCAATCGGATGGGAAATAGAATTGGCGTTCAATCGCAGAGTAAGGGGGGATTCGCCTTTTTAGGGCTCGAATAGATGTAGAAGCCCACCACTGGCAAAATGACATTAATTTACATAGATTGTTGTTCCAATCCATGCTGTTTCACACAAATCCCCAAAGCATTCTTAGCTCAGCGGCCCGATCCGAGGTCTTCCAGCCCGTCTCACGCTCAATTCTAGCTAGATGTTTTAATAATAGGATTTTTTCAGAACAGAACTCATCAAAATCGTGATTTTCAGCGGCCGACGGTGCATCACCTGGAGACACGGACAGAGTATCCCGGACGGATGGGGAGGCTACGGAACTTCCAAATACTGTCCCGGCGATGAACAACGGTTGAAGCTGATTAACCCAGTTGGCACTTGATATAGGAGAAGTATTAGCCTGGTTGTTTTTGCCTACTATAAAGGTCTAGGAATATTGCAGCTCAACATACTGAGACGGGTTTGAAATGGAGATTCCGACCAGTTCCCGTGCGTGCCAGATAATATTACCCTGAGACCTAGTGAGCTAAAAAAATCAATGAATTTCAAGAGCAGAAATTGACTCACAGTTTCTTCTTTAAAAGATGCATATAGATGTTCCGGTCCCTGTGTAACGAGGCCGGTCTGTAGAAGCAGCATACAGCCTGAATGGTAGAATGTATTGCCGCAGTCTAGAAAGTCAGCCGCAGTTTCGTTGGTCAATGAGGTAAGACCTTACTAGGAGCAGATCTTATATATAGCGCTTCTGGAAAAACCTTTGTGGGAGGAAATCTCTTAGAAGCGGACAGACCTCTGATGGTCGCAGCTGGTACCACCTCTGCATTTCGTTCCAAAGGGTGCAAATGGAGGCTTTTAATCCAGCTGCCCTCATTTCCCTTCTAGATTGCTGGGAAGTTGAGAGAATATTCACAATCTTAGCGAATATTAAGATCGCAAGATTGCAATAGTCATCCAAGTCTCCGTTGGCTAGAACATAATCAATACACATATTGTCTACCCAAGACTCTGTTGGGATTAACGTCGCTTTGCCGCTATTGAAGGCTGCCCATACGTCTTTTACGATCGCAATCAGCCATTGGCTCGCGTCTGACGTTCATGAGACTACTCACCAATTCGAGCGAAGGCCCAGAAGCTCGCCTTCACTATACCTTCGCTAGACCCGTTCCATCTTTGGGCCCGCAGAAATCCCGCACAGCCTTTCAAGTGCCGTCTCCATTCTTCGACTCGCGAGGCCATCATTTCGTAAACGCAGAGAAGAGTACAAGTAGCCAAAATGGACGTGTCGGCTCGAACGGGGTCTTGGCCGAGGAGCAACTGAATAGTAAACTGGTAAAGCTCTAATGTCACGGGCCGTTGTCGCATAAGAACATAATCTAGCTGGCGGGAGGCGAGTGATAGCGCAGCAGCGACAAATGAGGATGATTTCATCATCTCGTGAATGCTTTTCACGGTGAAGTGCATTTGGGAGTCAGTTGTCTCGCACCAGGTACCCGTCTCCCGTATAAAAGCGGAAATAAGTTGAAATTTTTCCCCATCTGTGACTGGAAATTGTGGCACTGGTTGCGGGGTTGCGTCCTTTGATCTTGCCTGGCCTAGCAAGAAAGGGTATAGATGAGTTTGTGTATCCGTCGCCGTAGGCCCGGACACTGAATGAAATTGCTGGGACTGAATGAGCGGGGGTAGATCATGGTTACCGCTTGGGCTTGCTGGTATGTCAGAAGCCGGCAGGTTTCGCTGTGTAAAAAGATCGGCAATGCTCAATTCTCCAGAAATCGGCTGTGAGGGTGGGCGAGAGACATGGCTAGGTGAAGATTCATCTTGAGCTGGAAGGTGAGGCCCGCAGGAAGGGTGATCAGGTGTCGAGTATCCATCGATGATGATGTTGGTCTCATCAACGAATTGCTGATGCCGACTCGAGCTCCTCCCTCGCCCTTCCTCTACTTCACGCAATGAAGCCGCTTCACAACGTGACAAACTAATTGCACGCGAGGGATGGAACGATGCCTTAAGTCCCCATCGACAGACTTGGCCTCGCACTTCACAACCACGGCATCGTGGTCGTGCCCCATCGCCTGCATGGTATCAGCCCTTGCCACACTTTAACAAAATGTGAATAGATCAGACTTGCATTTGCGACGGCGGCTGCGACACTGAATGCTATATCCCCTCGTCAATACTTGGTCTCTAAGGAAGCAGGCCAAAAAGCTCACCAGCCGGTTCTAGTCCTTTTCCGGACTGGGCGATAACTCGCACCTATCTCATCTCCACTATCCGGGGAAGACACCATGGCACAATGCTTACAGTTGAAATGCAGGGGATGTTGAACGTAGGATATGTCGATGCGCAGGCGACGAGAAACCAAGGGCCGGGCGGACGTGCCCGCTCGGACGAGGGAAAGTGGAAGCGCCGTTACCTTACATAAACACCACAGCGTGATGACGTAAAGCTTCCCTGTGTTCCCAGATTCCCACCAAGTACTTTCGCTGAAACAGGAAGAAGATTGCTCAGAGCAAGAAGTATTTGGCCGAAAAGCGGCGAAGGCTCGATTTGTCAATGAGACACGGAATAAGAAAGTCTGCCATATGGGCGATTGATGCTGATGCTTAGTCCCATGATCATTGCGAATGACTGATACACATGTACGTAATAAGTGGAAAGATGTACATATGTAGAGAGATGATTTCAGCGTGAGTAAGCTGTAAGCCCAACGTGGTTGTAGTCGCTCTTTCTCGACTCGGTACATAGAAATGCCTTACGAGGATTTCACATCCACCACAATCAAACGACTGTTCAATTCTAGAGCCTCAACAAAATGACATTGAGACCTGTTCCGTTTATGAAAAAGGCAATCCCAGTCATCCAAGCCCTGAAACCCCCTCCCGACTAGTAATTCGGAGTCAGTCATTGTGATAACCATCCGATGCACAGAGGAACTCGGAGCCTGGGGATTGTTCCGCGTCCTACATTTGAAATAGGTCGCAAAGACTGCAAACTACAGAATGTGCCTAAGTTCTATCTTCTCCCATACTAGGTAAAGAAGCCGAAAGCAAGAAGCGAAGGGAGTATCTGGCTACCTTCATATAGTTCAAATCTTAGCGATGATCGACAGGGCCCTTCACCGCCGTAAGGGTTATGGAAGCTTCCCCCGGAAGTGCCAAGCGACCATTCCCCGAGAGAACCGAGGAGCTCTCGGGCAAGCCTCTCAATATCTTTAATGGCTCTAATAGCGGAACTTGTAAGGCCCTCGCCTACCGGCTCGCCGACGATGCCCAAGCACATGGATTCAACGCGAGGAGAGTGGATTCTCTCGATATCGCTAAAGACGCGTTGCCCAAGGACCAACCCATTGTCATTGTCAACTCTTCTTACAAAGGTCAGGCTCCGGACAATGTAGCTCACTTCGTGAGTTGGCTCCAAAGCGTGGCCGGAAAAGAGGCGGCAGGGTTGGCCTACTCGGTCTTCGGTGTCGGAAATCGAGATTGGGGACGGACGTTTCACAGAAAGTCAAGAAATAGCCAGAAAGCGGTAAAGCAGATTCTTTAGACTAAAGACTGAGTGACAGAGCCTGAGAGGTTAGCTCTTGCCTCTCAATAGTAGGTCGCTGCCTGCATTGAACTAACGGAAAATGATGTCGCAAGGTTTCACGTCCCGACCGTTCATTGAGAATTGGAGCTCCAGGGGTCTTGGAATTACTCTTTTGCTAAAGCCAGTTGATACATTGTGTCCTAGTGCATTAGTACATACTGGATGTCCACAGAACAGCCGAACTACGTTCCTTCAGCGATTTATTCATCAGAGCTGATACGCGACGCCCTAAAGTTCAACCGGAGGCAAAACCTACTTGATTCAGAAGCCCCACTAGCGAGGTCAAACAAGTCCATGGCTATGCCTGCTTTCAAAAGTTGGTAACAGTGCAACCGCCATCAAATCTTTTCTACCTGCCCTGGGTACATCTTTGCCATGCCACAAACGGTACAATCGCAACCAAATGCGCTTCCACCTGCCCTCGGATACTTTCAAGGGTCCCACCTGGCACTTTCCATGCCATCCCTTTGCTTATAAATTGTAGCTTACAAATTGTCGACGACCTCAAAAGCAGCTCCCTTGTGTCGATGATATCGAACATACCTCAAGAGTGACAATATTTAAGGTGACTCGGTGCTCATTCTACAACTCTGGTCCTTACTGGCATTGCAACGAATCACAACTGATAGATTAGGTTCAGGCAGAGCTTTAATACCCCCACAATGGCCATTGACTCCAAGATGACAGCCTTAGTTAACCGTGGATCTGCCGAGCAGTCCCCGCGCTTGTCCAAAGAAGAGATCGACGTTCCAGTTCCTGTTGGTCATCAAATCCTCGTGAAGATTTCTCACGTTGCGCAGAATCCGACTGATGGTAAGTAGTGAAGTCTTGTTCCATGCTTTTTAATTTAAAGTCATTGCGCATGATATCGTTATAGCATCGTCAATCCATCTTCAAAGCTGATTGTATACAGTCCAGAGCCTTGATGGTAATGCGTTTGGAGATGGTGCTGTGCTCGGCTGTGACTTCGTAGGGGAATGTGTTGAGCTCGGCAGCTCCGTCAGACGTTATAAGAAAGGCGATATCCTAGCGGGCTTGATCTGGGGTGGTAAGTTAACTGCTGCGCGATTAATGCCCAGACATGTTGACATATCTATTATCCTAGGCGAGATTAAGGGTCTGGGTGCTTACAGCCAATACACCTTGGCAGACGAGAGAATCTCGTTTCCACTATCGTCAACCGTCTCTCCAGAACACGCAAGTACTGTTCCTTTGGCAGCAGCAACCGCTTGGTTGGCCTTGTACTCCAAGGGCTCTCTGGCTATCGATCGGGAGCAAGACAAAGGCAGTAGCGTTTTGGTTTGGGGTGGTAGTTGTAAGTCACGTCGAACCCTAGTTCATCAACCTCCAGTGATTTTTTTAACTCATTATAATAGCCAGTGTTGGGTTGTACGCCATCCAGGTAGCTTCTATGTATGGCATGAAAGTTATCACTACTTGCAGCCCAAAGCATGCAGATCTAGTGCGCTCGTATGGTGCCCGTCATGTCTTCGACTATAAGGATGAAGACGTGGTTGGCAAGATCAAAGGCGTGGCTCCTACACTCAGATACGCCTTTGATACGATCGGCAATACTACCTCTTCGCCTACTGCCTCGCAGGCCCTGCAAGATGGGGTCGGCAACGTATGTACTGTACGACCAGGCAAGGCTAACACTGAGAATGTGGCCCGAGGGACTCACGTCACGGATGTGTTGGTGTGGACTGCATTTCTCAAGGACCATGCATATGGAACGTTCAAGTGGCCAGTAAGCCGTAAAACTATTGGTATATAAAGTTTCTGGTGAGCTAATGTGTCGTCTTCCTAGGCCTCCAAAGAGGACCATGAGCTGTCATCGGAGTTGTTCGAGAAGCTTCCTGCTTGGTTGGAGAAAGGAACCCTCAAGCCCAGTCATCCCAAATCTTATCAGGGCCTGGGATCAGTGCCTAAGGGATTTCAAGAGTATAGAGATGGGAAGATCTCGGCGTACAAGATTGTTTATACACTCTAGAACATGCAGCACCCCGAGGCCAGTAAGTGGATTAACACACTTTTGAAACTGGTGTGCTGCATGCGCGGGATATTGAGCTCAAAGAAGTGTTGTTGATTGTCCAAATCTAGATCAAACGTTAAGTTATCCCAGGAAGCGTGTTCACGGATAGTAAAGAATAGAACAGTAACATACGCGAGACTTTTGCACCGAGCAATGCTAATCCGTCAAGGAATGATTGTTTTAACCTGTATTCGGACAACCTGGCCAAAGCAGTTAGTCCAAACGAGTGGCGCCTCCACCGAACAGCTGTTGGTCAGGTGCTTGTGTTCACCCTCCAAGCACTGGCCGCCGAAGCTATGTCTCAAGAGTGGCATGATGCGGCACATGACAAGCTTAAATCCTGGGAGGTCGAATACCTGGACGTGTTGAGAAAAGTTCCCGAAACTCTTCGTAAAGATCCGTCGGCCTCCAATTATCGACCCTCGCACTGAAAACTAAAGCCGAAGACATAATACACGATCCCGTGCTCGCTGCCAACCAGGCATTCGTCGACGGAACGCGGCGGAAATGAAGTTCTATTAGGACATGTAGTCAATTCATGACCTTAATTCCACATACGCTGCACGCCGGTAAGGCTCTCGTACGTTAGGGTTTCCAGTTTACTATGTAAGAAAAAAGCGGGACCCCCCTATACCCTAGTACACGAACGAGCGAGCCGTCGCTCGAATTGCTTATCGCCTGATTGGCCGAGCTGGGTGCTTACCTTGTGCGTGCTCCTGTCCCCTTTCGGTACGTTCCCGGTACATCTAATGGTAGCACGGCATCCGCTACTCTATATATCATAATTCCTTCTTTTCATGGCCCGTGTAGGATTAGTGGCGGCGCCCTTCACCAGTATTGTTCTGGTTCCTCAAGAATGGTCAACCACTATACAGTATAATGTAGAGACAATTCAAGCCGGGGCAAAATACATTTTAGCTTCTAGAGACATAGTTAACCGGCTACAGATGGCCCAACAGCACATGATTCTGAGCGTCAATATGAATTATCAACTCCAATCAAATTTGAGAAGGCATTTTCCACGCTAACTCTCCAGCCAACAGGAGGTTTATCACTGACCAGTACCGATGCTGCGTTTCTCGAAAGTGTGAAGCATCTTTGATCATCGGAAAGCCTGCAATATCATCCACGACCAAACCTAGAGGCTGAAAAAGGAGATGAGTCTATATATCTATATTCCGGCTCTTTTCCCTTTCCTCCCAGACCATCACGATTATTTCATCTTCGCCCTCAAGCTGCGAGGGAAGCATAGAATCCAAACTTGTTGTAAGGATCAAACTTGGCCTTGATGGCCTGGAGCTTCTCGATGCGGTCAACATCACGGCCGTATACCTGCGGAAGCTCCTCGCCGCCTATGGCGTAGTTGACGTAAGAGTGAGCAATCTCACCGTTGCGGCTGGCAACTTGGAGTCTCTCCCCGAAATCGCGGGCAACGGTGAGGTCAGTCTCGTTATTACCGGACCAGAACAGGAAGGCAGCCAACATGTTGTGCTTGTTGCGCTCTTCCGGTGCGACAGCGTTCAAGTCATCGGGAAAGTCGCGGACACCCTTGCGACCATAGGACTCGAAGATGAAGGTGGAGGTGTTGTAGGTTTCAATGGCGACAAGGTCAGCGAAGATGTTGTAACTTTCGCGCATGGCTGGGGGGTCCCAGCGGACGATGGAGTTGACGTAGCCGGCCCAATTCTGACTCGGGACACAGACCCGGTCGTCACGACCGAAGTTGGTGATGTCGAAGAGTTTGTTCCAATAGATATCGGTAATGGTCTCCTCGTGGATGGGCCCGATGGCACGGTAGGCCTCAATGTACTGGGGAGCGGCGGTGTCGTAGCCCTGGTAGATGAGATCCATGACGAGAACAGGCTGGAGCATTGTTAGCAAGTGCTGCTAGATGTGACCTGCGGCAACAAAGACGACGCTATGTACTCACCTTCTCAGCGTTGATCTCAGGCAAGTTGCGGTAGTAACCGTTCAGGACAACCAGGCCGGGGTCGGCAATGGTGTCCTCGAGCTCGTTCCAGGCTTCGAAGTACTCTTCAATCTTATCGGCCTCATAGACGAGGGTCATAAATGTCCATGGATCCGGTTGGATGTCGTAAGCCTTGACCTCGAACTCGAGGACAATACCCAAGTTATGACCAGCACCACGAAGGCCCCAGAAGAGATCTTCGTTTTCAGTGGCCGAGGCGGTGACAACGGTTCCGTCGTGAAGAGCGACCTTGGCCGAGACCAAGTTGTCAGCAGCGAAACCGTGATCACCCTGGAGCACGCTGTGACCCCCACCAAGGAGAGGACCCATGATGGAGACACACTCGCAAAGACCGTGGACTAGGAAAAACAAGCTTGTCAGTTGATCGCTCTTGGCTTGCTTGTGCGGGATTCACATGAAAGGGGATTCACATGAAAGGGCATGGGAGATTACCGGCTTGCTTTCCATACGGATACAGAGCCTGGACGACTTCATATTGAATAACACCACCGCCGGCATATGCGGTGTCATTGTTGGGTCCAAGACCGACGTGGTTGAGGCCACGCATGCGAATCTGAATTCCGCCTTGGATCTTGCTGATATCGTCGGTCCAACCGTGGGTGCCGGTGACAGCCAGGAACGGGACTCCGATCTCATTAGCGACTTTGATCTGTGAAAGAGTCAGGAAACGTTCCTTTTCTTCTTGAACAGCTCGTCATGTACCGTATTCACGACGTCGTCTTCGGCAGCTACGTCGACAACGGCGAGATAGCCCGGGTTGACGCGGGGGGCAGCAGCACGATGTGTAACATCATACCATTTCTCGGAGTCGGGAAAGACAATCGTGGCATTCGCTGAGAGCTGAGGCGTGAGCAGTTCCCTGATCTGGGCTAACTTGGCCTCGGCAGTGCCATTGGAATGCACTGCGGCCTGGACGGCAATGCCGCAGAAGCCAGTTGCCAGGATACTCAAGAAGATCATATTTTGAATGATTGTAGCTGGTGTTGCTCGGGCTGATCTAGTCAGGGAGCTGCTGGATGGCAACGAGAGCGGCCTGTCTGGAAGAGCAGAAAGGTGAGATGAGACTGGCGGAACAGTGGATCTTTATACATTTCGAAGGCCGTGGGTAAACTTATCAACTGTCTTTTACAAGTCCAGCTCTTGGTGGCATATCCCAGCAAACTCTTCGGTCCGATCCACTGAAGCTCTCATGCCGCCATGTCTGGATGAAAAGCATTCGCCGACACAACAGTCCCGCTTTCGTTCGCGACAAATCTTACGGCGCTTCGAGTTGCCATTTCTTCGCAGACTATACTGCATCCAGCATCGCCAGCAACGCTCAACAGAGTTTGCAGTGGAGACTCAGCATGGTCGTATCTTATCTGAGGCTTCTCGAGCTTCTTGCGATGTAGAACGTGCCCGAACCCATGCATAGCGGCTCAGGGGGTCAGCACCATGTTCCCATAACCGATTAGCAAGAGCTGGAAAGTGGCCCCCTTATCTGCAGAAAGGGCGGCCTAAGCAATTACCATCTACAGTGATGTTGCAAAAGAAGAGTGAACTTGTGGATCCCATTTCCTTTTATAAGCATAAAAGGCGCGATGTGTGATGGAGAGGGGCACTTTCTGTAAGTTATATACGAAAAGTCACGACGGCGTGGTCGCTAATGCAGTCGATGTGAACCACTAAGATAGGCATTGGTTAGAATGGGCTCGGCTAGCCCGACCTAGTCTGTTCCCGCGGTAAATACGGACTCAACCGTATATAGAGTAGTAGCCGTATACCCTAGTCTAATACTATATACTGTAGTGGTGGAACCCATGACTGTAGCGTATTATTGGCCTGAGGTACCGCAAATGACCCAGGAAGCTTGCATGCAGTCTTCTCCTTCCAGAGGCAGCATTCTACCATCATCAATATGACTACAGTTTTCCCACCAGATTCATCATTCATGATATAATCTCAAGATCAGTACTATAGTCACTTCCTGAGACTACTCTCTACGCCTACGGTGGGCATGGGAGTGGTTGGTTGTCTTCTCTCCATTGATATCGACCCGTCTGCTATGTCAGACTGCCATCGAGCCATCCCCATTTCAATAGTTTATTATAATAAAAATTGGTTTCTTAGTCCTTAACATATTTTTTAACTTTAATATCGGTTATTAAGGATAATAACTAAGATATTTATCTACCTCCTCTACCTATAAATCCCGGGCTAAGGAGATTTTATCTACTCTAAAGCCCCTAGGCTTAGATAGATTAGATAATATAATATATTTAGTAAAAATACTATAGAAGGCGACTTAGAATAAAGTAACTTAACTATAACTAATATATCCTATAATAAAACTTTAGATAGGGACTAGAACGTACTAAGTTCGGAGCATTTAATACCCCTTATTAAGATAGACTACGACTCCGTAAAATATAGAATTTAGTATATAGATACTAGAGATAACTAAAGCTTAGAAGCATTATATATTAACGAATTTTTTTATTTTATTTATTTTGCTTATCTTAATCTCGAGTCTATAGGAGAATTTACCTTAAAATATATTATTCCGTTAGCTACTAGAGCTATTAAGAGACTAACCTTAAGGCGTATACCTCTAGCTGTACGCCGTATAATATCGAGACCACTAGTAGGACGTAAGGCTCTAATTATATAGTCTAATTAAGCTAGTATATATAAAACGAAAGATATATAATAGAAACTATATTACCTCTTCTAGTCTAAGTAAGGCTCTAGCATTAAATACTAAAAGCTATTAGAAGCTCCTAATCCTATATAACCCTTATAATTAAAGTTGAACTTTTATTCGAAGGAAGCAAGGAATTAGACGCAAATTATCCGGTTCGGTTATCGTGATTGTAGAGAATATCATTTTGTCGCTTTCGGGTCTGCCAATGTATTGAGGTTACGTCTATGATACTTCTGAGAGACAACCACCGTTGAGCACTCAACGCGACCGGTTAAGCGACCGTCTAAAAAGTGCATCTCTGAAGGTTCAACGGAGTCCAACCGTCGCAAGGATAAGATAAATGATGCTCGAATACCGCCACTCCTGCTGCGAGAGGCTCATAGGCGTTTCCAGCTTTTCAACGTTGAACACCAACTTTGCGGCATGTGTACCCTTTGCAATCGATACAACTGTTCACGGGGACCGGGCCTAGGTTATTTCCGGATCAGCGGCCTTTAATCAACGGCTTCCAACCACGACGAGTTTCCCGTCACCTCCGCCAGTTCGCGGCGCGCGCGGTTCCCCGGGTTTGCGGCCGTGAGACGGCGCATCGCATCGGTGGCCGCCAGCTCGTCGACCCGATACAGGGCAACGGCGAGCAGGGCTAGTTGGAGGCCGAGGTCGAAGGAGATGTGGTCGTCGGTGGCAATGCGGTGGATACCTCGGTCGAGGGTGGACCGGATGTTGCCCTGGCAGGCGTCAATGATCTGGCCATACAGGAGCCGTCCGATATGCCGGTCGAACTGGACCTGATCTGCGATGGCAAGGAGGGCGCGGGCGGCGTCGATGCGCAGGTCTGCGGTACCACGTTCATCAACCATGTACTCGCTCGCGCTGACCGCGTCCGCGAGCTGGCCGAAGGTATCGTCCTGCGAGAAGAACCGGTCGTGAGATCGCCCGCGCCAGACCACCTCGTCCGGTGCCACGGCCGCGGCAATCACCGCCTGGTAGCCAGCAGGATCTGCCCAGCTGGTTAGCGCAACGCAGGCCAGCAGGCGCTCGGCCGGATCGGCCGACGCGTCCTGCAGGATGGCGAGCAGGGCGGGAGTGCGTTCAGCGTAGCCACCGTCCAGCGCGTCTGCGATCACGTCGTCCGGGTCAGCGGGGTCGCCGTTGAAGTCGGTGAACAGCAGGGCGTGCATCTCGGGACTGGGCTGCCAGCTGTCCGGGTGCGGGGTGTCGGCCATGTCTATGTTCTTCTTCCTACGAGCCCGCGGTCGGGAACTAGAAAACAGATCAGCAGGCCCCTGGGAATTGCTAAGGGCACAACAACTACCATTAGTAAGTGAGCTAACGGCTGGCGTGGAAGGCTATGGATCTGCACAGTTCTTAAGTCACTTCTACTCTCCATCCCCCACACACCACTTTCAACCGGACATGGACATCGAGGTACAGTACCGGTCAACTATTTTAGGGACTCGTGCAATTTTGTCACGATATCACAAAATCCACACCAAAAATTCTTGTGGCAAAGAACCACAAGAATCAAAACAAAAATTGGAAGATAGATGATTGTTGTTAATGCTCCGTCGCACTACTTGCCTCCTTCCTCTCATCATCGCAATTATCACGATATAATTGTAAATTCTGCTCAGTGGCCTATCTTTTCGAAGTCCGGTCTTTTAGATCAACAGTAGCCTCACATTCTCTACCAATGACACCCGCACGTTCCTAGGGGGTAAGCAAGACATCACATTATGATATCACCTTTCCGACACGCATTTGAATCGGAATTCGTCCCATGTCTTCTCAAATGAGGTGAGGGGGTGCTATAGGAGGCGGTATCATAGATTGTCAACTTTACATACATGCTCACTGGTAATACCTGTGGTGCCCATGAACGTAGATGAGTGCCTTATAATTGAGTTGGGGAAGGCATCTTTGCCATTCATACATAATAGCCCAACAGGAACATCCACCTAAAGAGGCAGGCAGCACTTCAGCGTATTGGGACAATACCATCTCTAAAGTTGACATAGACATCAGGCAGAAGCTGGTACCCAGTGAAAGCCGCTATAGGAAGCCGGATCTCAGTTGGAGTGAAAGGGGGCGATATATGACTTTCGAATCGGACCACAGGATCGGGAAGCCCCCGAGTGATAGTTGCTCTATCGGTGATGGTCGCGGAAACATGTCTTCTGCGGAGCTGTGATTTTGTGGCCGCCAGACAGAAAGCGTATTCGTATCGGGATTTTTGCTGAGCTTGACAGTGAGATAGGTCTGGAAGGATGATTCGGCATGTTTGATCTAATGTCGAGCGTCATGCCCGGGCATTGAGAGTGCCCCAAGGAACAAGGACCATCGAGATGTATAATACTCTGCTCTTCAAGGAACCCAAATTCGGATTATCAACATGATGATTCCCATAGGTCAAAATATCTTATTTGGGTGAAAGAAAGCTAGTTATGATACAGCTAATTCTAGTTGAATACATAGACTAATTCTGCAACGGCATTTAGTAGGATAAAATAAGAAAAGAACATGTCAGACATCAAGATTCAGCAAACATGCGACAGGCAAACAGGCTCAAGTCGCATCATCCTTCAAAGCAGAATCCGTGACAGGCAAATTAAGTGTTTTCTCAGGCTCGGTATTTTTGACGTTATGAAGAAGCATGAACGGGAAACACAATCGACCATTGGTAGCTTCATCCTAAAACATAGTTAAACAAACATTCCAGGGATTATAATATGACCAGAAAACGTACCAGGCTGCCACCATCATCCCAAAATCTCCCTGGACGGTATTCAGGCTTTGAGTATCAATCAGTAACCTGGAAAGTATAAATAGAGATTGGTAGTACACTTACTCGTATACCATCCAGGTAGAGTCTAGGATCAGGCTGGAATCCCATCCATCTCCTAAAGAGATCCTCCGCAGCCTGCGTCGCGAACATGTATGAAATGCGGTACCAGAGGTAATCAAACCGATGATCCCAATTCCAGATACTGTCCGAACCACCATTAATATTATCCGGAGAACCTCGATTGAAGATCCGAGCCATTTCACCCGGAGACCATTGGCCATCTGCATAAATGGGGTGAGGAACATGAACAGCTTTGAATCCATGCAGAAGTGCCCAAGAAGGCGCCGACATCTCCGACGCAAAGGCCTCGCCGCGTCGACGCTGGGCGTTGTGCATCTCCATCAGAAGCCTTTTGGACATGCGCCATTGTGTGATGACAGAAGTGCGTCGTGGGATATTGTCAGAGACATTCCACGTCATATTCGGGAACGTCCATGATGTATTGCGCGGGTCGAAGATTGGTAGAAATGTGATGAGGTCGGCTTCTTCCCCGACTCCCCATTTGAAGTTATCGTTCTCCGGATGAGAGCCGGGTAATGGTTTCGGACCCGCTGGTTTGATACCCTCGTGCTTGACTGGGCCCCAGACGCTGTGCTTTCCTGTCATCGAGTTGGCGACCATATTGGAGAAATCCTCCCAAGTTCCGTGTGCGCCGGGTGTGTAGAAATACGCGTTTCGCTCCCATAGATACTTTCGAGGCTGTTTCCTGGCAAATTCGATGGCTTGCTCGAGGAAATGGTAGGTATGGCCGATGACTCGGTTGTCGAATTCGAATTGCCAATAGTAATCAAATTCAGGGTACATTCGGGCAAATACTTGCATTGCTTGGAGGTGTTGGTAAATAGCACGGTGTTCACCCATCTTGGGATACCACTGTTCCAGTAGATGTTCACTAAAGAGGACGGTCATATTGCGGAACTCGGATGGTACAACCCTTTGCTTGAGTCCTCGGACAGCTTCCTCGTCATTTTCCAGATCTATTGACTCATCATGAACATCGATCATGAAGAAAACCTGGTACTCAGACCCAGTATGTAGCGAAAGCTCCATGATCAATGAGCGGAGGTAGTGAAAGTGACTTGGGGTCCATCGCATAGTTTCCGAGGCACGGAGAACAACAGCTGAACGGGTCTTGTAGGAGAGATCTGCAGGCTTACTCAGAATGCTCATATGTTCTCCAAGAATTGGAGGATATAAGGAAAGAATGTGTTGTCTGTAATGCTGGTCTGGTCGATCAGGGCGGTATCGCTCGGCATTGCGTTCGTAGCATTGGGATTGAAGATATCCCCAATTGACGTTTGTCCAGAGGACTCTGTTGGGTCTTGGAAATCCTGGGATGTCTACGTCGTTGTTCTCGTCTATCCCGTAGGGACCATAGCGAGCATATCGATCCACGCAGACATCCTGATCTAGACTGAGAGCTTTGTGAGACCCGAAAGTGGAGGCAGGGAATCCTGAAAGAAAGGTGAGGTGCTAAGTAGATGCTTTTAGCAAGGGAATATATCCTGTGCATACCCTTCTGTTTTCCACGATAGACAGACATCATATCCTCACTGCAGCCGCGATCTAAGTCTCTCCCGCGAGGCCCACGACAAGCTTCGAATCTCCCTGCCCATGTTTTGCGCCATCGGGGCGTGTTATAAGCAGGATATGGGTCATAGATGGCCGGCTTGGGGTATTCTGTAGAGCCATTCTGAGTAGTCAAGGTGAGGATTCCTCCTTGGTAGAATCGGGGCTGCCTGCGAGTTTGTTAGAGGGGCGATCAGCAACAGATATGGTGACATACGGCAAGTCATTCAGAGTCCCTTCGCCCTCAGGCTCATCGGGTGAATCTGTTGGAGATGAAACAATATGAATATCTGGATAAGTAGTCGGATCGGTGAATTCTCCTGGATGCAGGACGTTGAACTCCTCTGGCAACGGCAGAGGCGAGAGATCCAAAGGAGCGAGAATGTCCTTGTGTGGGGGAGGAAGTCGGAAGTAAAGGAATATCAGCAAACAGCTGACAACAATGCATGGCCAAAAGCCGGGGCGGAATCGAATCATCGTGCGCTGATAAGCTGTCGGTCATGGGAGACTTGAAGCCAGCATGCTCAGTCGGGTAGATTCAGCAAGTTGAAGAATCTCTTTAGCGGAAAGACTCTGCCTTCTGTTGCTGTGTTGACGAGGCTGGGAAGAAGGTAGCACATGATTTTGTTCCCATGCTGCCCTGCGGGCTGTACAGCGTGGTCTCTGGGCATGACGAGACAATTCGTCATTGGGAAGTGAGATCCTAGAGACACGGAACTATACTCCACTGTATATAATCCCAGGATACTCAAATTTGATTAAACCGACTTTAATGAGATTGACCAAGAGGCTTGGAGCAAATTGAAAGCCCATGTGCTTTTCGCACAAGACATCTACTTAGGGCTATCTATCCCGCGACAACTCCCCGTGATAACAACGCAAATTTATCCCAGTTTCAAACCATAAAGAGCTCAGAAGAGTAGAAACTATACAAAATCAAGTTAAACTTGAAAGAATTAAACTTGAAAGAAGGACAAATACTTTTGACTATCAAAGTTTGCTACAGCCTGATATATCGATCAGGCGACAAGGCTACAAGGCAGCAATATCAGGTCCAAAAGGTTCAGGTAGTTAGTTACAAACACCAACTATCCACCCACATACAATGCAAAGGAGCAAATGTACATGTACTATAATTATCCAAAAGAGTGTATTGAAAGTGATAAAATAACAGGATATAATGCAACCGGGCCAAATTACCCTTCGACAGAGCGCCAAAGGGACCACAGACTCCCCACCCAACCGAAACCAGAAACCCAAAGCAGAAACAAAGATCCTCCACTCGCTGAAATGCAACACGCTAAAATCCATGAGATGAGATAGATGATAAACAAAAAGGAAAGTCGTTTTTGAAAAGAGGGATGAAAGGGAAGGACTGGACTCGACATAAGTCGAATGCGTATGGACGAGGTATCGTGGTAGAGGGTATATATGAGGAAATATGGATATGGTAGAGATGTATGTTCTGAATCCAAAGTCTGAATACCAGTTGCTGATGAGCAATCTGCATTTACTCAGCCCGAGCATGGGGCAAGGTACTGTCGACCTTGGTGCCACCAGGAGACTCCTCGGGTTCGGCTTGCTCAGCATGAGACATCTTGGAGGATGGCTCGCCTTCCATAGTATTATACTTGGCTTCGACTTTGTCGAGGGCTTCTTCAACCTCGGGGGTATCGTCTGTTGCGCCGAGCTTGGAGTCGATCTCTGGAGACTTCTGGAGGTCGGGAGACACATTGACGCCGAGGAAGTTTTCGTACTCTTCGTTTGTTTCTTGCTTCAAAGGAGAGACGGTCTCAGTTGACCCTGTCCATTCGGCGTCTGAGTTGGTACCCTTCTCGGTGGCGGTGTGGTTCTCGATCTCGTCACCACTGGCAGCGGGGAACTCGGCGGTGTCAACAAACTCCTCGTCATCGACGACAGTAGGGATGGCGGTGGCGGTCTGGAGCTTCTTTGGGGAAGAGGGCACGTCGCCAGACTCACCCTCGGCGACATCGGTGGGAGAGGTGTTGTGGCTGGAGTGGGAGAGAGCGGTAGGCGAGGTCGATTCACGGCTGGATCCAGAGCCCCAGACGTGCTGCGGGTGACGAGGAGGCAAAGCAGGAGGAACGCGGGCCGGGATGTTCACAAGACGAGCACGGATAAAGCTGGGCGAGAGACGCTTGGCCTCGGTGTCACTCTGTTCTTCTGCTTTCTTGGGCGATGACTGGACACTCTCCCGGGGTGTGACGATCGCATTGTTGACTTCATGAACCTCGATGTCATCATCTTCGTCGACGTCGTTCTCAGCTTGCTTTTCCTCCCCGTCGGACACGGCCTTGTCATCCTCGTTCTTTAACTCGTCATTGTACCCGTTGAGGGGCACCGCATCCCAGCTGGCAGGATCGTCATACCAAGCATTCATCGACGGAGCAGTCGACCCCTTGGCACTGCGGGACGACGCACGGCTCACAGACGTAGGCGCAGTTGGCGGAGCGTCATCAGTCTGTGTGCCACGATCAACGCTGACATAGCTTCTGTTACTCTTGTGGCTCTGCATGCTAGCGCGCCAGCTATTCCGCGGCGAGCTATCCATGCTGCGGCGCGAGAACGTAGCAAAGATAGGGCTGCCGGGGTTCGGCCGGAACTCAAAAGTATCACGAGTTGGTCTTACCTTCGTGCCGGCCTCCCGGATAAAAAGGCCCTCTGCCTCCAATGCCTTCACGCCGTATGGATCCGGGTCGTCTGGGGCCGGCACGCCGAAGGAGGTACCATCTTCGGATATCTCCAGGTCACCGGGTGTTTCGCCCGGCGGGGGGAGAACGCTCTCATCCACATCCGAGTCGCCTTGAGCTGCTTTGAGGGTCTCCATGAGCGTTTTGAGCTCGTATGGTGGGTGTCGGACCTTGCCAGAAAGGATCTCGTTGACAGAAAGGCGTTCGCCGTAAAAGCGCTCATTCTCATCCGTGCGCTCAATAATGATAGTACCGTCAATCGCCACACCCGCATATAGACCCTTGCTCTTCATATATGTCCAAATGGGAGCCTGGCGCTTGTGCACCTCAGACTCAAGGACGCCACCGGCTCCAACAGGGCCTGCGGCGACACTCACTTCGCCACCAAGAGTGCATCGGAGTGTCTTGAAAGCCTCCAGGGCCTTATATGTGTTGATGATTACCACACAATCATAGATATCCACACCGGCAAGGAAACCAATCCCGGCCGTGTGTAACATGATACCGGATGGCGGACTCCATTCGCCAGTCTCGGGGATGCGACCGAGTAGCACGCCACTGCCACCGGAACCACTCAGCCAAAGACCGGTGCGCATGGTCGTGAAGATGGCGATTCCCTTGGCGTTTTGCAGAACCTTGGCTGGGATCTTCTTAATAACGCGCTGTTGCTTGCCCTTGGGGCGATTGATCTTGCCATTTTCGTCCGTTCTGATTTCAGATTCGGGGGCGTAGAAGCCGTCTGTGCAGAAGCTGCGTAGAATGCGCGCGCATTTGTCGCTTTCCTTGTCGATAGTCATGGGCCAGAATGCTTCAGCGCCCAATCTGTTCGAGAGGCGATTGACCGGGCCACCGAGCTTGTCGACGGTGTCCCATGCTTTATCGAAGCCCTTTTTGGAAACACTTTTCGTCTTCTCCCACCGACTTGGAGGCATGATGGGTGATGCGAGTCGAAAAATGCGATGACGCTATAGTGAGAGGGGGAAAGGGAACAAGAGATAAGTGGTAATGCGCTCGGCGCAGAAAATCGTTGTGCCCGGCGCGCGAGATCTATACACGGAGCACTATCTGTAATGCGGCAGTTGTGCTGTGAACAGCACGCATTGATCTCGGTAGATTCTCAATGCGATCTGGAATGTACAGACGGGAATATCGGATAGGGATGCTGGATGAATCCGGCAGGATCCGCCTTGCAACTGAGGAATGCGGAGAGAGGTATGTGACTGGGCCTGGTTCGGATCCACGGGTTCGGTATATGAGAACGACTAGAGTCAAGTTAGTGGATGTGCAAATGTCAATAAATCGAGAGGCTTTCGATAGAGCGCCACTCAAGGCGAAGTAGAAGTGCGAAGTGCAGGCTGTGAACTCGGCTTACCTAGAACCTCTAAAGCAGGGATCCGAAGCTATCCCCGCGGAGTACTGTAGGGGTTAAGAAATAGGGAAATTTCCAGGCAGAAGGGAAGTCGAGGAAGTTTTAAACTCGGAACAGGCGGGTTCAGGCCGAAGAACCGAGTGGCGCAGATTTCAAGGTCCAGAACAGATGGCTGTTCCATGGTTGGGGCGATGTCATCATCGTTGGCTCCGTCTACATGTATATACTATTGACTAGTTAACTTAACTTAGTTTCAGTCTATGTATACAAATACTGTAGTTCTACACGTAACAATATGTTTCTATACTTTTACATTCCAAATCAAGATCATCTAAGCTCACCGAAATGACCAGTCCAGCAGATAATCCAATAATCTCATTGTCTGCGATAGATCACACCCCACCCAACCCCGACAATTAGACGAACCAAGCCTACGCGTCGTGTACATGTAATCTGGCAAAGAATTCTCCGCAGGTATCACTGGATAATATACTTTTAGATTTGAAACACATTGTTTATTACAGTTATTATTATTAATATTATTAATCGTACTCTCCCCTCGATCCGGGGTGCTTCATCTCCAAGCCTCAGTGGGTCCCCCTACGTGACAGCTCAGCTGGGCTGGGCTGATCGACCACGCTACTAAATAATGTACAGTATACATCCGTCGGCTCGGCTTCCCTGCCAATTAATCCAAATTAATATTAATTTCTTCTCCTCAGCTCAAATGCCAGCGCATATTTAGTGGATCCTTGAATGTGCGTGCTGGGATTTAGGTTACCAGGGGCATTCTTTTGTTGCTGTTGTGCTGATCTCATAACACATGAACACTGTACACTACTGGATGCGCTTGCAACTTCATGCCTGTCTTTTGTCCCAATCAACAGTGCCATCTTCTGGCCGTGGGGCTCCCGGAAGCCTCGTAGTAGCCCAATAGGAGAAATTGGGCTTGAATGCTGACAAGAGCTAAGGTTCGGATTTGAATTTGGGTTTGATGATTTCCGATTGGTCGAATGTCGCTGAGTGAAGGGACCCTAGATCTCGATGTTAGCAGGTGGATTAGACTCCAGTGCAGGGGAGTGGATCCTAATAATCCCATTGTGCTTTTACAGGTATGAGCAACAGAAATTCTGTGAATAATTCACAGCTACATGTTCCTATGTAGACGGACGTATTAATCAGGCCTGCAAATGATTCTCTTTTCTTGGGGCCAAGCGGGAGCTGTACAGAGTCTCTTTGTCCACTGGTTGGTCTTCGGCCTCCGCCTGTGGAAAACAAACCAGTTCATGCTGTCCAGCTTCCCTGCTTGAGCCCCAATTTCCCGTGAAATTGTGCATATTCTCTCTCCATGTCCACCACGTAGGCTGCCGGGACTGCCGCGCATATCACCATCCACCATATTTCCAGATCACCATCACTGTCCACCATGTCTTGCCACAGTTGTTGAGACTGCCGTGGTCTTGTATGCCCATGGATTCATCTTACTCCTCACGGTCACCACCAACTGCCATTCTCATTGTTGAAGTATCGCATTGAGGATTTCTTTGTTACGTTTCGTTGGGAAAGCTGCCCATGGAGTTCGCCTGGGCACCTTGCACCTCACTGTCCCCACCACCATTGACTGTCATCACCGCGTACAATTGAAGAGGATTTCGGGCTCAAGGTCCGTCAAGGGGTGGCTGTACCATCTCTCCCACCATCTCCCTGGGTCGGATCTTGGTGGTGGATCCGCCCATCTGCCATCTCTCTCCTTCCTATCTAGCGAGTCATCCCCCCAGTCCCTATTCGGGTCTGCCATCTTCTTTGCGTGCTCCTCTGCTTTCTTCTTTACTTCCTCCTCTGCTCGTTGCTCTGCAATCACCTCAGCCCATACAAGCTTGGCGTACTCTCTCCAATGGACCCACTTCCACCTTTCAAATCGTCGTCTTTCCTCTTCCTCGGCCGTCTCCTTCGCTTTCAACTTGGCTATCTCCTCTGCCAGCTCCTCTGCTTCCTTCTGTGCTTTGTACTCTGCCATCGCCTCAGTCCACTCAAGCACGTCCGGGTGGTCCCACTTGAACTTCAGAAAGATTCGTTCTTTCTCTTTCTCCGCTTTCTTCTTGCTAAATGGGTCGTTGGGATTGCACTCAACCTTTGCCAATTCACACTTAAGTCCGAAAAGTAGATCCTGTCGTTCTTTTTCCTGCTTCAACTCTTTTCGTCTTGCGAGCTCCGCGTGAGTAGGGAAAACCGAACTGAATCCAGCGTAACCAAATGCTTCATCGCGCGGCCCCAACTCACAGGGATCCTCGTCCTCCTTGAGCTTTCTTGCCTTGGCTCCAATCTCACGTACGATCAATCTGTCATCATTGCAGCGGAAGCAAACGTACTGTCGACTCATGAATTTGGTGATTGCGCGGTCACCCTTGTAATTGAAGTCCGGATGGACGCTGCGTAAAGAAGTGTCGAAGCCAATCCTCAAGCGTCGCAATGGAGAAGTGCGGGCAATGAACGAAAAGATTTCGCGGACTAATCTCTCATCCACTGCAATGTTAGTGAACCACTCCTTTATCCTCATCTCCCGGCGACGATCTCTCTCAACGTAATCCTTATACTCTCCCGGGTCCATGTCCGCGCATTGATCGCAGTGCTGGAGCTCTAGGGTGAGGTTGATTACCTTGGGGAATTGTCCGAGAGCCCTGTAGAGGTCGCATTCCTCTCTCCTTCCTGCGCTGCGAATAGTAGGCACTCGGAAATCCTTGAGGTTTGGGCAATGGGTTCGGACCAGCGTCAAAAACTCTGGTGTAATCCTGCGGTAATCGAAGCGGTCATACTCGCCCACTGGGACTAGGCACAGCTTTCGAAGCGATTCACCATGGTGGTCCAATATTGCCTGGAAAGTCTCCTGAGTGTATTCTCCACACAGATGGAGGCTGTCCAGGGGAGACAGAGAGCAAACAAACCGTCTTACTGTTTCATCTTTGACTTCGGAACTTGGTTGCACGGCCAGCGAATTCAAAGCAGGATATTCGCGGGAGGCTGCAGTCCAGAGCATTGCCTCGTCGACGTCCCACAGTTGTAGAACTCGAAGGTCACTGTAGTCACTCTGTTTGTTCCATTCCCAAGGGTCACCGCCGGTGAGACTCAAGCCCTGCAGAGGTTTTCCGTTGATGCTCTGATTGGAAGTGGGACCTGGAGGGGCGTTTGGCCGGCGAGGCAACTCCGATGAGATGTCCATAATGTTCACATGGGTTAGATTGGGGGCTAATCTGGTTGCCAAATCATAGAGCATCATGTTCTCGTGCGAAGTCATAACTCGAGAGTAATGCTTTTGGTTGTAGGAGAGAACAATGCTGGATAGGCAGGGGGAGGTCGCTAGCTGGTACTCGTACCAGTCGGTGCCATGACGCGAGGATTGTTTGTGGAAGTGGCGGGGCAGATTGTAGGTCATGATATGCAGCTTGCATGTTGGAACATCTGTCTGAATGAACTTTTTTGAAGGACCTTAAGCAAGGGAGGGGGGAACAGGGTTAGCGAGCGCCAGACAAGGTCCTTGAGACCGACCAGCTGACCCAGAAACTCTGGCAGAGGTGACCAGCCGCAGTATTCGGGACGTGGGGTGATATGGGGTTTGCCGCCGAAGTCCTGCTCGTAGAATTCCTCACGGCTTGTCAACTCGTTGATGTTGTCTCGGTCTTCTGCGCTAGACCATGGCACCGCTGTCAGGTTCTTGTCCTCGTCGCCCTCCTCTTGGATGGGAGGTAAACTTCCTTGGACGGTCACCCGCAGAACAGACGAAAAGGAATCATTCTGCCGCAGAATTTTGTTCCAACGGTCGATGTCGACAGTCAGTTTGTTGCGATTGACCAGGGTCAGTTGGATGTCATGGAACCGGTATTTGTTGGTCTCGCTGTACAACTTGCGGCTGACCGCAGCGAAACTGAAGATGCTCTGTGGGTCTTCAAGTTGCAGGATGTCTAAAATGACGAGACGAATCTCTGGGGGGACACCTACCAGGGTAGGTTTGTCTTTCGCCATGCTGCCGGTGTGCTGACAGAGTGTAAGAAAGCACGAGGCCTCTTACTCTCAGTTTGGGGGGTGTAGCAGTGCAGCGATGGGGATGACAGAAACAAGTGAATAGGGAAGAAAGGCACGGATCACCAGACCCTAGGTGATGAACCGAGCTCGAAAGTGTAGAAGCACGATGAAAATCCGAAAAGTGGACGGGAAGGATGAATAGAGAAGGATGGGAGAGAAGAAGGAAGAGGAAGAGGAAGAGGAAGAGGAAGAGGAAGGAGAGAACTGAGGGGTCTTATAGACAACCCCAAAACATCTCACTTCTATTAACAATCAGGCAGCGCTGTTTGACTCATGCGCAGACATTTATAGACAATACCGAGCAACTGAGCATTAGACAGACAACCATGAATAGAACCTACGGTATGGCATGCAGTGCATGGAACGCAACCATGTTCACTAAGTTACGAAGCAAGACAAACCAGGTCTAATGAGACATTCACATTTCAAAATGGTATAGAAAGACAATGAATTCAAGGGCAATAGCCCATTTAGAGAGCACCGAGCTCCTTCAGCTTGGAGACAAGGCCGTCGACATCCTCGACCTTGCCACCACCCTTTCGTGGTGGGGGCTCTGCGCAACAGAATTAGCGGAATCCAACCAGGGCAGAGACATCAGAAAGTACATACCGGTAACCCGAAGAGTCTTCAACCGCCGCGTATCCTCAACACCAAGATCAGCCAGCGTCTTCTTCTCAAGTGGTTTCTTCTTAGCCTTCATGATGTTAGGCAGACTAGCGTAACGAGGCTCATTCAACCGCAGATCCGTGGTAATAACCATGGGCAGCTTCGCACGGAGCGTCTCAACACCGCCATCAACCTCATGGGTAATCTCAACAGTGCCAGCATCATCCTTAACCTCGACCTTGCTAGCCTGAGTAGCCTGGGGCCATCCAAGCAAACCAGCAAGCATCTGGCCAGTCTGACCCTGGTCACCGTCAATAGCCTGCTTGCCCAGCAGCACGAGGTTGACATTCTCCTTCTCGACAACGGCACGCAGCATCTTAGCAATGGTCAGCGGCTCCGGGCCGCCGTCGCCCTTCTCCGGTACGTCGATGTGGAATGCGCGGTCAGCGCCCATGGCCATAGCTGTGCGCAGGACATCGGGGGTCTTGGGTCCGCCGGCGGACAGCGCGAGGATGTCTTCGACCTTGATGGGGCCCTTGCGCTCGCGCAGGCGAACGGCCTCTTCGATTGAGAGCTCGTCGAATGGGTTCAGAGAGTGCTTGACACCGGCTGTTTCGACGCCGGTCTGGGCCTTGTTGATGCGGGGCTTGATCTTTTGTTGGGAGTGTATGTTAGCCGGCTGAACATTTCGAGGTATGCCCCGTCGTAGAGGTACAACTTTGAGGAGATGTCGTTCGGAGCTCTGTTTGGAGGGGAAATATTCAAGAAAGGAACCGCAAACTAACCGCATAGTCAATGACCCGCTTGACGGGTACCAATATCCGTAGACCGCTCATTGTGTAGAATTGTAGAAGTGTAGCAATTCCTGTGTTGTAGAAGAGTTGGAGTTCGGAGAGCGAAAGTGTCGACTGCGGTGACGGAGTGCCAAGAAATCAAAATCGCCGACGCGGCCCGAGTTTAACCCTCGTCGCACCACTGACCCTGCCGAGGTTAACCATACAGCCTATTATACCGCCTGGGAGTCTGGGTTTTGCAATGTTACATGGCGTAAGTATTGTGGTATTGCCATCTACTCAGTCGTTGTCAAACTAGAGCACTATCCATGCGGTATATACTATGGATGGCGGATATGGACTGAAAAACACCGAGCACATGCATGCAACTCTAGACATGTGCATATGTATTGTTCTCAAAATGAACGCTAATAATGTATTTCTCACCACGTCTCCTGCTTATATCTTCCAATCTGCTCCATCCCAATCAAATACTCCTCAGCTTGTGCTCTGCTGAAAGGATGCCCTGGTACCGGAGCCCCTCCATGCTGGAACGCTTCAATGAGGGCCTCCCGCACAGCCTGAGGCATGCGTCCCGAAGAACCACATATGTAAACCGATCCTTTCATATCATGCAGAAGGCTGAAGAAGAGCGGGAAGTTCTCCCGAACAGTATCTTGTACGTAGACCTTGCGCTGCTGGTCACGCGAGAACGCAGTGAGAACCTGAAGCGGAATGATCTTGCTGAGTTCAGTCCAATCATTCTCGAAGAAGAAATCTGATTCGCGGTTCCGCCCACCGTAGAGTAGGACAGTTGGTCCAATGGGAGGGTTGACGCCGGGATTCTGCTCGCGGAAGGCTTGGACAAGCGCTGCCTTCTCCCAAAGCATAGAGCGCAGCGGTGCAATTCCTGTCCCTGGTCCAATGAGTACAGTTGCTGCTGTAAGTTGTTGTATTGAGGAATTGAGACCGCCGGGTTGTAGTTGGACCTTCAGTGTACTACCTGGTCGGAGAACGGAGAGATACTTGGTGCAAACGCCTTCCCGGATTCTCTTGATCACTGTCTGATATTTGACGATGGCGATGAGAAGTTCGAATTGGGTTTTTCCATCGGCAGTTTTCTTGCGGCTCCCGCCACTGGCAATACTGAACTGTCGTGCGCGCATGACTGGAAGTACAGAGATCGCATGCTGCCAGGGAATCTTGACTGTGTGGAACTCATCCAGGATCTCAAGGATACTCCGTCGTGGCCGCGTAGTGTAGTCCCATAGCTCATCGAGATATTCTGGATTCGTGAGTTCTAATAACCTTTCTTTGTGCATTTCATCATTCGTGTAGTGTGCAATGGTGGAAAAGAAGGACCTTCGAGGTATCCCTTTGATATCGAGATAATCTATCAGGAGAGTACGGAGCGTAAGGCTGGGATATGAGTCGAGATCGGGAATCGGTGGTGGAGATGGGATATCTCCTGTTGGAACGAGGTAAATAGGTTTATCTGCCTGGTCGTTCCAGCCCATCAGGTCAATAAATGCTTGAACATCAGCTGGAGAGGTCTTCGGCGTGATTGTGATCATATCTCCCGGAACGTAGGATACGGACTCTGGGACGGTCAGGGTAACAAGGCGCACATCTTGCCAATGCTTTTGCGGAGTCACACGCCGATTTTGGGTTAATGTTGCGGATAGGGTATGTGGGATAGGACGTAAGTCATGATCGAGTTGATGTAGCCCGGGATATTCATCTGAGTGCGTTTGATGTTCGTTTTCGACAACTGGTTTGGACGTTGGGACGGAATCATTTCCTTTCTTCGCCTGCAACGTCCATTTCGGGGGTAGCTGTACATCGTCTGGAATTGGGTGCTGTCCTTCTGGTAGAGGGTGCCTATCCAACAACTGCTTTCGGAAGTCGGTCATCCATGGTAGGAATGTAGCCTCGAGTCTATAGTTGTAGAATAAAACAATGTGAGTCATGGACGGATAGCGAGTGACTAGATATTATATATGACTGACCCTTCCGGATGTTGCTGATCTGCTTCGCCAGTGGGATAGATCTCATTTGCACCGAGCTGCAGTAGTCGTTTATAAAGCTTGCGGATTGCCCAATTGAACCTGTATCCGTCAGCCATGAGAGCCCATGATCGCGTGGAAGCAAACATACTTGGGATAAGAGCTATCTCCCAATCCAAAACAAGCAAAGTTTATGCCTTTTAAAAAGGTTGGAGGAAGCTTCTTCAACAAAAGCGACTTCCAGAAGGATCTCGCGTTGGCCGGTAAATCGCCTTGTCCGGTAGTCGAGGCCACAAATATCGTAAAGGTGTATGAGAACAGGGCTTGCTATAACCAACATTGTCAGAGACCATCATAACTTTGAAGAAAATAATTGTTTCTCGGGAGAAGTACACACCGGCTTGTATTGATTCAATTCAGACACATGCGTCGCAAAACGAAGCCGCTCCGTCAAGGCACCCAATTCCTCGGCGACCTCTTGCGCATTGCCTGTTTCAGAGCCATACAGAATGAGAACTGACCGTTCCAACTGGACTGGCTGGCTGTCGCCCATATTGCGCTTTGGTGTTGAAATGCCACTTTGGTACTGGCGCGTGTTTGCCCCTCCAAAATTCGGAGTTGAGGCCGATCTCGCCGAGAGGTGGCTGACGTCATCCGCATTGGCCGAGATCGCTCGGAGGCATACTTCGACGTATGACTTACAATGGGGTTAAGTTACTACGCGGTTACAATAGACGCGATGGCAGGTTGTGCTGATGGCCATAGTTTACACAAAGTTCAATGGAGTGTTTCGTAGACATTGATTTATATAGCACATGCCAATGCAAAGCCATGACACTTGATCATCAAAGCATCGAACCGCTGAAGAGCGAAAGGTTAAGTCGAAATAGAAAGGGTATCTTGAGTCTGCTTTTCAGTAGGTATCTTCATCACCACCTCCTCCACCACCATCGCCGAAGCCGTCATCGCCCATATCATCTCCACCGTCGTCGAAGTACTGCTCGGCGTTGTAATCGCCGCCCATCTCGTCATCATCCTCGGAGAAATCATCATCCATCTCCTCTGCATCCTGCTCTTCATCTTCATCAAGCAGAACGTTCTCATCCATGTCTCCCTCGGCCTCTTCATCGTCATCATCGCCGGTGGCCTTGCGCTTCGACGGTCCGCCCTCAGCTTCGTCCTCCTCATCTTCGAAGCCACGCTTGACTCCAGTTCCTGTTTGGGTCTGGTAACCGTCCATTACCGCGTCAGGTCGGAAGCTGGGCTGGAGGATTTTCCAGAGGTCGCGGGGGAAGAATTTCAAGACTGTAGGATCCGAGAATGCGCAATTAGCAATCTGCAACTCGAACCAAAACAATAAAGACTGCCAATTCCACAAAAGTCTTACCATAATCACGTCCAGCAATCTTGGGAAGAGTGCGCCGCTTCCGTTGATAACGACCAGAGTAGGTGGGCATGCCATGGAATGGGTCAAAGTTGGCACGTGCAGCACTGCCTTTCTTAGCCGAAGAAGAGGCAGCATCCAGCACGGAGTAAAAAGGACCGTCATGGTAGCTTTCGCGCAGGTGCCGGTAATAGTCGACCTGAGTTTGTTCCGTCTTGCTCAACTTGCGCGCAAACGGCACGGTATATTTCTGCGAATACGGGTCAAACAAAGGCCAATACTCAATTTCCGGCATGATTGAAGAGCGGGAGATGCAAGTTGGAGAATTTTCTGGACAGCGAGGCTAAGAAGCAAACATACAGGGTATAAAGGCTGGGGAGCTGTGTCTGGCTCCCCGCCAGGGTCGGCATCCCAAGTGAATTCTGTGCCAGGTGGCTTCCTGCCTTTTGCACCACCACCCCCGCGGCGGGACATATTGTGTGATTAGGGGGAAATTGGGGGGCCGGATTGTATTTGCGTAGTATAGGTTGGCTATTTAAATGAACGGATAGCAGTGCCATGACTAGCAGAAAAATAGGTTTCTACACCGCCCACCTAAAACGGCGCTAGTGCTGGCAATTGCCCGAAGCATTTCCCCGCGACGCTAAGATAACAAACGCCGATCTTTATAGATCTGGAATTGTGTTGAATACATTTTATTATGACGCTAGACTGAACGTTGATGTCATAATCCTAATAGGTTCTCAATCTCATATCATAAATCAGCTGTCAGCACTTGGGTACCACCAGATTGCACTGGGCCCCAAGGCCCCTCATTCACGCGCTGTTGCAAGGTTCGCATGATATCGTCGAATCCTTCAATCTGACCTCCATTTTCCCGCAATCGGTTCAACAGTACCACAAGAACATCATGCTTAGCTGTGGCCACTTTCCAAACAACATTTTGGGAATCGCCTGCGCCGCCTCCAACAAAGTCTGCGTATGAGCGGGGTGGTTTGAAGAGATAGGGCAACAACGTCGTCAGTGCAGGTGGCGTTAGAACTGCCCATGCCCCGGACGAGGGGAAGAATCCACTAGTAGCTGGAGATAACTGACTTAGATTTTCTTCGGAGGGTAGCTGGAAACGCGAAGCGTGGGAATGAGAGGAAGAAGGGGGAGAGAGTTTCCAGTTGGCTGTAACAATGGCCCTCATAAAAGTGATAGCTGATAATGCAGTATCCTTCATGACGAGAACATCGGCGGTGGCCACCACAGAGGTCCAGAAAGTAGGGTGTTCGTTGAGGTAGAGAAAGTACAGAATGCGCGCTGCGGCTGCTTCATGGTCCCAGTCGGTTGGGGTCTGGCCAGATGTATTCAAATCCATTGAACCAGGTATCTGATTCCGTTGCGGTCCGTGGAAAATCTTTGCCAGAACATCCAGAGCTTCGTCATTTGCAGGATCGGTAGGAATGGCTAGAACAGGGTTGGCGCCATGTTTGCCCGCCTCCACGAGAAGCACTCTAGGGAGTGAGGCTAGAACAGCCAAGTGCCCTGTGGGAGATTCTCCATGCGCCCATTGTATGGCAGGGATGGCGAGGGATCTGTTAATGGTTGATACAATCCCGTCGAGGACGGTAGCAGGACTCTGCAACAAGTGGTTCGGGTACAGCTCTGCATACCGCGAGACATATGCCATGACTGGACCGGATAGATAGATCAAATCAACGGGATCTAGTTTTGAATCATCGAGATAGTAGCTTAGCACCTTTGAATGCAACTTTTGCGCCACCAGGAAGTCGAGGGCAGGAGACGAGAAAGTCGAAGCTGAGTGCACATAGCTGCGAGCGTGGAGACCTGGCGCTTCGATATCGAGAAGCTCACGGAAGAAGCTGAGTAGTGTCATGTGCATCAAAACGTCGCTCTCTTGGACCATCTGACAAGTCGCAAAATGCAGGATGCTATCGCTCTGATATTTGGCTTCAACCTCTGGAATTTGTGCAGTCGATATCATGTCCCAGCGAAGCCTTCCAGCTTTTCCTAAAAGTGCCAGAAGCCTTCCTTGTGCGATAGTCCTTTCGCGCTTAGACAGATCTCCAGGAGCTTCATTCCGGAGGCTGCATAGCCCAAATAAGAGCCCGTAGACATCCTTATCCTTGAACACTCTCCTCCACATGAGACCCTGTCCCGTCTGAGCATGATCACCGGTAGGCTCAGGTTCTCCGGTTTCCAGATGACTAGCAACGTCGATCTCCAAGAGTGCCCATAACGTTTCAAGTGCAGCTTGCGCGACTTCTGTCGAAGAGGTAGAGAGCCATAATTCGACGAGCGAAGCCACCAATTCAGAGTCCCCTGCAACTATGGCAGCTTCGCTCGAGGATTTTCCTGCCTTGGCCAGTAACGATAGGGCGAGAAGATTGATGGGTGGTGACGGGGCCTTGAAGCCAGCGATAAGGTTGACAGGGGGATCGACGGATTGGAGGTCGGTGAAGCTGAAGTTTGTAGTGGCCTTGATACCTAGGGTGGTGAGGGGCGTAGGGTCCTCTTGCAAAATGGGCAAAAGAGCTGAGATCTGTGATAAAAGCGTGGCAGGAACCAAAGGGTCGGTAGATTCAATCAGCTGCAGTTGCAGCTTCTCGATGAGGGCAACGTCCAACGCCGTTGATGGATCTTGTTGTACTTGAGCCAAATGCGATTTGACCGCATCAAACGTCGAGGGAATAGACATCGTGATTTAACTGCTCTCATGCCAGCCACGAAATGGAGAGAAATGCGCAGCTTGTTGATCGCGGGGAAAGCTCACCGCCCCAGGCGAGGCCAAACGAACCAAACATGACCGCATCAACCCGCCCTCCGGCTATCTACTACTACTCCGTCATCCACGAGCGCTTCGTCTACCTGGATATAGATAAACCGACAACAATGGAGCCGTCTCCAGTTTCGCAGAAGTCATCCGACTCCGGCCTCCATATTCAGTTGCACCCGCTTGTTCTCCTCACTATCTCGGATCAGATCACTCGGCATGCCGCCCGGCAGCAGCGAGGTCCAATTCTTGGTGGTCTTCTCGGACAGCAGAATGGTCGCGAGATAACGCTTGAGCATGCATTCGAATGCCCCGTCACCTGCGGGCTCAACAATGAGACCATTCTACCAGCAGCATGGTTCGAAGAGCGCCTACAGCAGTGTGAGTACTCCCCACTGGACTACCCAGGTGCTTTCTACGAGTATAAATTAACACCTCTACACTACAGTCAAGGATGTACACAAGGACCCAGCTCTCGACCTGGTTGGATGGTGGTCAACTGCTCCAGCCACCGGACCAACTGCTGCACAGCTCCCTCTCCACCGACAGATCCTCCAGAACTACAACGAATCCGCCGTTTTCCTCGCCTTCCTCCCTTCCGAGGCCCAAGGCGCGAATTCGAACGGAGCCAAGCTTCCTCTGACCGTTTACGAGAGTGTCCACGAGGGCGAGAATGCGCAAGATGCCAGCAAAGATATGCAGGTTGATGGCGAAGAGCCGGTGCTAAATGTTAAATTCCGGGAACTGCCATACTCAGTGGAGACCGGGGAATCTGAGATGATCGGCATTGATACCATTGTGCAAGGTTCCAGCACTGCTTCTATGAATGTCATCCCAACCCAGGAATCGAGCAAACAGGCGCAGCAGACAGAGTCCGAGAGCAAGAAGCCAAGCTCCCAGGTTGAACTCACACAGGAGGAGGAAGAGTGTGAGTCTTTTCAGCTCAAAGCACAATTGCCTTTCTGGGATCCACTGACTGATTCATAATTATACAGTAATCTCAAGCCTCACCACCCGTCTCAACGCAGTCCGCACCCTCGAAACCCGCATCTCCCTCATCAAATCATACATCTCGACTCTATCAGAATCGGACTTTGCATCAGACGTGTCAAAGGACAACACGTCCACCACCCAACTGTCCCACCCAACCCTGCGCCATATCAATTCAGTTCTCTCGAACCTCTCCCTCCTCACCCCAGCGGAACAAAGCACCTTCTCCACCGAAGTCCTCTCGCAAAGCAACGACGTGCTGCTAGTCTCGCTCCTCGGCCAACTAGGCGAAAACGTCAAAGCCCTACGCGAACTAGGCCGCAAGACTGCAACCATCCAGGCTGCACGACAGGTATCTTCCGCGCGCAAGAATCCTTCCTCCATGATCCAGCGAAGTTTCGACGAGGAGCTCTTTGCTACTGGTAACCAGGGAGGTCCAGATAGTGGAATGTACTCGTGATATGGCAGGATCTGAACCCCCTTTCTTTTTTCTTCTTGATCTGTCTCTGAATATTTCATGCAAATGATACCTAGGCGTATGGCAAGGCATATGGGGTTCTGAGCCTTGGTTTTTATTACTTCCTTTGCTTGCATGGTGTTCGATTTTCCCTGGCCCCTTTCCATTGCTCTGGGCAGGACACCCTGAGACGAGATAACGAACATTGATATGATATTCTCAAGTTTCACTGGCTACTGAAGATTAAAGTAGCGTCGTACTAATTCAGAAACGATTAGTGTATGGAACACTTTATTCATCAACGACACTGGACACTAGGATCCGAAGTAACAATACAAAATGTATGAATTTCTTAGCATTCCTATTTACCTTCAATTTCTGTAAGTCCTAACCCTCTACTTTTAAAAACCTCTATAGAAATGGAATAATCAGCCTATACGGTGGCTAGCTATCCATTTTATATTGAACGTTTCTAGAAAAGTTATATCAAAAGTGAAGAAATAGTCGTATAGGATCGGATAAATATACAGCTATCTTACGCTTCCTAGGTCGATTAGACTAGGGGTCATCCTAAGACGTAGAAGTTATCGCCGGCGACGCCTAGGCCGTAGAAGAAGCTATTAAGGTGATCATAAAACCGCTAGTCCTCGGTGTATTGGCGGTGCTAAGAGCTCCATGCATTTTGACCTAATGATGCTTAGTGAATACGATTACGGCGCCTTATTAGTTAGAGTTAAGACAAATGTAGCGGGAGTTCCATTCGTCAAAAATTGGGTCCATTTAGGAGAGCCCAAAATAAAAAATAAAAATAAATAGAGGAAAACATGCCGATATGCGAATATGGCGGGTATTCATATCCAAAAAAATGCACAGGCAAGAAAAGAAATAGAAAAAGACGCAAAATAAATGAAGAGAAAAACAAACAAGCGTAAGATTCGCGGGGCATGCTCATGGGTAGCGTGAGGCTAGAACAGAATGAATTGCTACGGGGGGATGCAAATGCAAAAATGCAACACCACCAGCCCCCTAGCACAAGATAAATACCGAGTCATAAATGAATCATTGATCATAAATGGTGGTTATCAGGGTACGGAGGTGGAGGCTGATAGGGGTCTGGCATGGGCATGGGGACTTGCTCGCGGAGCGGACCGTCCGATGGGTACGGGTGAGCCATCGCATCAGACTGGAGGGGATCATGGCTTCGGAGGGCAGAGTCGTCATAAGGCGACGAGCTTTGCCCGTAGAAGCGGGTTGAGGGGTCATGGACGTGGTCCTCGAAGTCGGAGGCATAGGGCGAGGTACCCATCAGCGCGATCTCTGGGTTGGGCTGTGCGTGAGCGAGAAGCACTGCGCCTTCTTCGTCTGGCGTGTAACGGCCTCCTCGGCCTCCTGTGGTTGCGGCGCCTTGGTATGCTGTTCCGGTTGTGAGTTCGCTGCCTGCTTGCGGGGGCTGGTCCTGGGGTTGGTAGCTGGGGTCTAGCATGCGAGTTTTGCGGCCGACGACTAGCCAGCGGGCACTGCGTCCGATGGCTTTTAGGAGGTCCAGTGGATTCATGGCGTCGACTAGAGCTCTGGCGCCGTAGCGTCCGCCTTCATAGGCGGTCTTGCCATTGCCATAGAAGTCGGTGACTTCACTTTGGTTGTTCAAGGTGTAGGGCTTCCATGAGAATGCCCAGAGATGCAGGCAGCCAAAGACGGCCATTTCAATGTTGATCATCACTTCCGGAAGGCCAGTTTTGAGATCTGCTAGTGCAATCTTCTTGCTTGCTTGGATAGCACCACCGGAGACCAGAAGACTGATAAGTGTCTAAAATACGTGTTAGATCACAATCTTTCCGTTCTTTTAATAGCGGATGACGATCAACTTACTGACTGCCAGAAGGAAAGGAAAATGACGAGCTTGATCGACAAGATCTTCACAAACGGCCGGTGTTGCTTGATGTCTTGGCTGGTCTGATAATAGAACTGGATCAGGCAGTACATTGCAATGGTGACAGAGATCGATTCAAAGACAATAGTCTACCAATATGAAGAGCGGATCAGCAAGAGAAAGACCATATATCCAGCAACGTCAAAACATACCCAGATATGCGAAAAGGCAGGACTGAGGGATGCCTCGCAATACAAGCCCAAAGCCTGCGTAACAACCGCGACAATAGTCATGACAACGCGGATAACACAGTATTGGAAGACGCCAGCCCAGACAATCTGCATAACAGTCAGCACCGAGACACTCCCCGAATCATAGTATTCCCCCTCTTACATTGAACCAAGTCAATCCACTGCGCGGGTTCCGCCAGATGCCGCGGTCACCACCACAGCACCTCGCAAACCAATTCAACGGCCAAAGCCACGCCTTAGGCTGAATTCCACGGAAGTAATCCTTCTGACTGTGTAGATCGGGGGCGATATAGTGGCACATGAGGGAGAAGAAAGCGGAGATACAGAAAGCTTCGTAGCAATCGCCGAGGACTTCGAAGTAGACGGAATCATGGTAGAAGAAGATGCTGAGCCATGCGACGAGGGAATAGACGGGGACCATAAACAGAATGCGGATAATACTGTAGGCAGAAACAAAGGTCACTGTTAGCAATGCTTGCGCTGGGGATCGGGGTCCACGGAATCAATCTTACTGTCGCTGTTCGATCGGTTTACTGTAATGCATGGCATGCTGCATGATCAAAAATATTGATACACCGCAGGCGAAGAGGGCACAAGCGCCGCCCACCAGGAGCGACAGGTGGTGAAATGTAAGGCCACCATCCCAGAGCTCGACCTCCTCGACTGTTTGATCAGCATAAAATGCTTTCCAGGGGGTCGAGTGGACATACTTTCTTGGGTCTCTAGAGTAGTATTGCACACTGTCCAGCCCATGACTGGAGTGTGAAGGTCAACAGGGTTAGTGAAGGAGGGAACCTTTTTTCAGGCTGTTTATCTTATCCGGATCGACAGGAGAGCGCCACAATCGTCTGAGGCAGCCCTGAAGGAAGAAGCAAATCTAATGTTTCCTTTTTTGTTTCAAATATTTTTTGTTAGTTTTTGGGCTTATTTTTCATGCAGTCGCCAATCGGATTGAGTACCAAGGATCATCGGACCTTGGGAAGGCTTGGTCTATTTTTATTGCTTGGCTCAGCCTTTCACAGCCTTGTGGAGATATCTGCAGTACAGAGTTACACCTTTCATTCACCGTAGAATACGAATACTCATACATGCTAAACTCCTATTGTACACATGTCTGGGACAACAGCCTAGATAATTCACTGTTTTTTCTTTTTACTTTTTTTTTTACCTTAAATTCAAGCACGCCAGGAATCCCCACGTCGTCCGCCGCGTCCGCGGCCACGTCCCATGCCAGGTCGAGGGCCAGGTGCACCATATCTTTCCGGGCCGATGTCCACGAAATGATCTCCGTCTTCGAACGTAATGCGCCGCATCTCATCACCGCCACGGCGGGGGAACGTTCCTTTCTCGATAAGGTCATCAAACTGGTCCAGGCGCTTGTCGGCAATTGGGCGGGGGGACAGGTAGGTAGTAAAGCTTGGGTTTGGCAGTCGTCGATTTGAATCTTTCGTCCAAAGGCTTGAATCCTTGTCCGGGGCGTGCTGAAGGTGCAGGAGGCGCATCGGAAGGACGACGATCGATCTGCGGAATGCTGCTGCGCGGACCTAATGGAGGAGTGCGGTTAAAGCCTGACTCCGGTCGACCAGGAGCGGGACGCTGCTTCGAACCAGCCTCGGCCAGGGTGGCTGTGGTTCCATTCTCAGTTGTATCGTATGTCACTTCCCAGCGTGGAGCAGGGCCGGCGCGATCCCGCGATGCCTCCTCTGTCTGGATCCATTCTTTGATTTGGTCGTCCGGGATGAAATCCGCCCAGAGGCTCTTGCGGTTGCGCTCGTTGGGCCATACAGTTCCATGAATAGCGGACCGGACCCGCGAGGCTGCGGCAACGCTGGTGAAACTGACAAAACAATGGGTTTTGATAGAGTCGAGGTAGAAATCAATGATGGTATCGGAATCGGCAGTTCCCGGGGCAGATGCAAGGCTGGCCAGGTGTTTGCGGAGCGCGACTGGTTGCAGTGGGCGCATCAAGCCTTCAATGTAGAGGGCAGCGGTAGCAGCGTGCCTTGCAGGTTCCACATCAACATCTTCCATTTTAGTGTCTGTGGGGCCAGAGGCGGGTGGGAGAGCAGCATCAGAGGGTGCAAATAGATCGCGGAAGCGAGCGCTTTGCTTGTTGAGAATTGTTTGCGCATCTGCAGAAGCCTCACTGGGTCGTTTAGTGTCACGATCTGGGGGCGGCTTGACTTCATCACGAGAAACACTCTCTCTTTCTTCTTTCACTAAGATATGCGGGGCTGCTTCCATTGCGCGAGCCTTCCGACTCGCAATTTCTTCCGGTGTGGGAACAGGGCTCTGGCTGCGCCGTTTCCGTTTGCGGGTATCCTCCAAAGCTTCTTCAGCCTGAAGGGGGGTCGATACTCCGGTGTTGGCTTCCGAGGTTTGGGGAGCGGACAGAGATGACTTTTCTTCGAGTATCACAGAGTCTTCTTTGCTTGCGTCTTGGGGCACCTGAGATTGTTCTTCCACTTGCATCTGCTGGGAGACGACTGGAGACTCCTGGTCACGGCTGGGAGAGGCGGGCTTTTCTGTGTGTACCTCCTCTACGGGCTTTGCGACATCTTCGACTTTTCGCGACTCAGCTGGGATCCCTGGCTGTGCCGGTTCGTGCCCCCTTGTCTCCCCTTCATATGCCTTGTCGGATACAGCAATTGAAGCTTGTGTGTCATCTCCCTCTGCATTCGAATCCTTCGGTTTTTCGGACTGTTCGATCTGTGGTTGCTCAGTCTCGGGCTCTGGTGCTTGTGTCGCAGGTTCCGGCGCAGGTTCCGGCGCAGAAGGCTGTGTGTCGGTCGTCTCTTCCGGAGCTGCATTATTGCCTTGGTCTGTCTGTGAGTCAAGCTCGAGTAATTTGTCAATGAACTGCTGTTTGAGACGGAGCCCAGTCTGAGGGACAGCACGTTTCTTGAGTTCTGCCTTCAAATCAGCCACCTTCCATGACGAGTAGTCAGCCATAGTGAGAGATCTTCCACATGTATATTTGAAAACAGAAAAATAAGAGTAGCTTAGATCAAGAAAAATGGTATTGGGCGCATTGCATGAGTGCAGGGATTGAATCTGGGGACGCGATGGAGCTGCGCGCCGATGATGTCGGGTCTAACTGTATTGGGACTAGCGCAATCCTACTGGATGAGCTCTGAAACTCACTCTTCTACGAACATTTGTAAAGCTGCAAGATATATATTAAATACTTTGCAGAATAATTAAAAGAATCCTCGCTACATCCGTCATTCAAGTGCTTTTCAAAGTGATTCAGAAGTTGGCAAACGACCCTGTTTTCACCTAGACTATACCTCCACCGCAGATGTATAACTTATACTTCAAATCTCTTTGTCTTCCTCGCATTAATGCTTTGTATACGCAGTCCTAGCGTAGAAACCATCATAATCAATAGAATCCATGCTAAACCAAGTAATTACTATCAAAAGCAATGGTCAAAATATTGCAAGAATTCGGTTGTCTTTGGCTCGAGGGAGGCAGAAGCTATGCTGCAACCCGGTTATCACTGACTTTTAAGCTACCAAGCGATGCGAAGCGCTCAAATTCTTATTCTAAGCTCAAATATTAGTGCCCAGGAACTTAGCCTGTTTGATCTAGAAACCTATACACTAACAACATTGAAGCTAACCCGCTTCAAGGAAGTCTGCTAACAGGGCAGTAAGACGCGTCTCCCCACCAAAACATTCCCACATTCGAACTTCCTCAACTAAGCAATGCCTGCTGACACTGAACCCAAACAGACCCGCGTGCGGTCCGGAGAGCTTTCTCCTGGAACACGAAATGCTATCATCAAGGCCCTGAGAGACGGCGAATCGCCCAGTAACATCGCCGCCGAATATGGTATTTCCTGCACGACTATAAAACCAAAAATCGCTTCAAGACATGGCATCATCAGATCTATGTCCCAGGCTAGTCGGCTCTCATCTTGACTTCCCAGAAGTTTTAAATCATGGAGTCGTCACTGCAAGGAAACATGGTACAATCTTCGCCAGCAGACTGCGGCAATATTTCGACCCAGCGAGAAGATAGGGTATAAGGCCAAGCCAAGGTGATGCTTGTCAGGTACGTGGGCCGCAAATCCCTTGCTACAAGTGTGACATTGCACACTTCATTCTCAATATTGGTTTTATTACTAATAGGCCGTGGAAGCCCAACATTTTGGAGACGATCAATGCGTTCCGCGGTAACACGAAGCTTGAAACTGCATTGATGAACGCAGGATAAGCAACGACTTTTTTTTGTGCCCATCAAGTCAATCTCCTTAGGTTGTTTGTGGAAGAGCGGGGGGATGTTTTCCAGAAGGCTCAAAAAAGCTCTCAAATGCACGTCTGGAGAGTTAATTCATGATTTACCAATGCAAGTAACCTTGGTTCAATTGACCTTCATTTAGTAGCAGCATTTTCATTCCACAGACAGTAGCTTTCAGCTTCCAAGCCACATTTTTGATCATATCAACAAAAAATACGCAAACCGGTGCAATTCATTCCCTTGTTCCAGTAGGTGAACTATTGCCCTCAAGAAGCAGCTCTTCCTCTGGCAAATTCAACATTTCACAACAGTTCTCTGCTCCAGTCAATACTGACTGGTTAAAAGCATTTCATCTGTATTCCAAGAGATTGAAAATGGGTTGCCCACTGGATAGGACAACGAACTGTATGACTGAGGCTCCAAAGGAGTCCTCTGCACGGGGCTACCTTCTTCAATAAAGAATGCTTCGGAAATATTTAAAATCCTCTGAAAGAGCGTCCGCAATTGCACAAGAGGATAGCTTATCCCACTTCGAGCTAGGCAATCAACCATCGCCTTCATGAGGCTAAAATCACCGATGTCCGACGTGGCAATGACATTACAGAATAGAACAAGATATGCCGTCGCAGGATAGAGCAAGACAGTCCTAGGGAATGGATTAGATTGCACCTCACACAGTCTGGCTAGCGGTATGAGATTCCTACCGATTCAAAAGGTTGACCGCGGATTGTTCCTCGGCTGATTGGCACATGGACACCAGTGTCGAGAGTTCTCGACGAGCTGATTGCAGGTAATTCTCTGTTGTGCTAATTACTTGAGGTTTGTCTGTCTGAAGAAGATATAAAATTGCGGTCATGACTGACTGGTAGGCAAACTTCAGTGTAGAGATTTCCGCCTGGTAGTCAAGTCCTTTCCATTGAGAAGAGAACGAAAAGATCCAAAAGGCCGAGTCAGTATATCACGACAAAAAGGCAGAGCCAATATAGAGCCTATACTTACTTGGTTCATTCTTCCCTGAATGTATTGCATCTTCCGTAACAGGTAGTTTCCAGTATGATGAAGTGGTAACACACCTTTTTTAGTTAGTGACCCGCTCAAGTAACAAGATAATAATGTATCTTGTACGTGGGCAAGATCTAGATGAATGAGTAAGAATTCAGATATAGGAGGGTGAATAGGGTATAAGTCGCAGAGGTTGGATGGTAGTTGAGCGTCGAAAGGACACCACGATTTCTGCGATTTGAACGCATAGTTTCTGTTCAATGTGTAGCAGCGAATAAAACAGAAAATCTCTTCCTCAGTTGCGTTTCCGTGCAGAACCGCGTTGTGAAGATCCAAGTCGATGCAGATTTTACAAGCGGATTTGATGAGGTTGCCGCTCAAACCAACGTCGCCACACGCTTGGTAAAGAAAGGCCTAGATATAGATTAATTTTGAGGGAAGATCGAACCCGAATGAGGTACTGGTAAGCTTACCCCACAGATGAAAGCTTGTAGAAGCGCAATGGATGGTGTTGTTGGAAGTGGTATTTGCTTTAGTGCCGCCTGGGCGGCTAGTCGATACTCTGTGGCACTCTGCTTTAGCCCAAGGACAAGTTCAGGATCGTCTTCAAGGTTGATTATAGTTATGAGAAATCTATAGGCAGTGGCATTGACACAGACAGTGTAGATCATTGACTCGCATGGTGATGCTTTGTTGTGAAGGAGTGAGAGGCACATTCCTTTCAATGTCGGTTTTGATATATGTCGGAAGTAATCCGCAATAAATGACCCAAATCTTTCACTTTGGATATCTGCGTAGGATCAGCTTTCCCTTCATGAAACACTCTGATCTACCAACGGTGGATTACCTTTCAACATCCAGGTGAGCAATTCGGTAGAGGGAACTCGAGGTAACTCCCCGAGCTGCTCATTAAACTGCTTACCTTCTACAAGACCTCTTGAATCATCAGACAAAACCCCGATGACAGACAAGGCCGATTCGAGAACCCGGCGTCTATCCCCAGTAAGACCCTGTAGATGTTGCAGCTGATGCTGAACTGTCACTTGCGCATCATAAGCAGGATCATATGACATTATTGCCCATGGCTCATAGGAATCGCCTAGATCATGGCTTGGAATGAAGTGTTCTGGCATAAGTTCGGCCAAACTATAATCGTTTATATCTGCAAGCTTTGCATCGATTTCATATTCCGGAGTGATTTGAAGACGGGGGCTGTGAGGAGAGTTGATGATTCGATACTCCTGGGGGCGAGTAATTTTGCTTCTACGCTTCGTCTCTCGCTGACGACAACATGAAACGCCTGCATCCTGGCAGTTACCACAAGGATCGCGCCTATCGCAGCGGACCTGCGTCTGTTGTAAGCATATTTGAAAATGAAATCAAATTGTTTCTTCATACCTTGCGAGAATGACACAGGTCACACTGCCGTGATAAAATTAGTATTAGGTATATTTGGATTCTCTTAGAAATCGCACCACTGATTGATTTCGCCATCTGTGCTCAAGTGAAGGATCGTTTGGCATATTGAATTAAATCCAATTGTTCTTCGAGGTGGGACTTGACAGGGAATGGCCTATGTAGAAGAGACAATATTGGAAGAATACGGGACCTCGAACCAGGTACTAAATAAGTTTCCAGACAACTCAGAAAATTCCGAGCATTTGCCAAGAAATTTGTACAGTAGGCAGTGCCGAGCGACTTGGCGACAGTAAAGATTTACTACCTTTTGGTATATATAGTTTATATAGATTCGTTCGGAGGTTGCGTATTATCATTAGTTCAATATTAGCTAGTTTGTTTTCTGGGGGAGTCACTAGTTTAAGGCATAGTATTGAAAGCTATCATACCAATTAACCTTCAGCCTGCATATGTACCGATAGCATACATTTTACCGGACCCAGCACGAATGCTTTTTAAAGCATTCGAACTGGACATAGCCCAATTTGTTGGGTCTTGGATTATGTCTCTTCGGTCCATTCTCGCTCGGCTTTTGGTTATCTTCATTCAATTGTATCAATACCTTCAAATGTGTTTTATGGAACATTTGATGGGGTAGATGCTACACCGTCACAATTTCTCAATCTTAGGACGGCAAATTATTTGCTATAGACACAGTGTCAATGATTGAAGAGGAAAATAAGAAAAAGGAGCAAGGCAGGATTGCAGCAGCCAAGAAAAAGATCTGCATCTCAAAGCCCGACACGCGGACTAGCTATTGCACAAGCCGAGATTCGGCCATTTCGAAGACCCGAACTGCCGACTCCCGTAAAATGCAATTTATAGTTCGGCGCCCGCTGTTCTGGCATGTATATAAATATCTTTTCAAGTGGCAGTGTTGTGCCAAATTGGGCCGCTCGGGGGCGCAGCCTCAGCCATACCAGGGAAGATCCACCGCATGTGGCCCCCAGCGGCCGTAATTGGCTTACAGACACAAATAAAAGCTCAGTATGGTGAAATCTTGAAGACCGGGCTCTTCTTTGCTGCTGGGGTGATGAAGAGCGACTTCGCTGGAACATCTGTTTCCTCTCCCTACCCAATGCTCGGATCGGCATATCAGTAGAGACCCAGCTTGATGTGCATGAAAGCGGAGTCGATAGCATGCTTATTGATCTATCTAATTTAGTGACTACTTTACATACCCTCCGAAGATCTCTGGAATGTCGATAAATTTGAGGTGGACAACCAATTCAATGAGATCACGCCTCGTATCATTGCACGTTGCTTACACAGTCCATGCCGCGAAACATGGCGCCTTGACCAGAATATCAACGAAGTGCCTCGATGTGTACATCCTGCATAGCAAGTTTAAAATATCTACCCCAGTGGGTCTTCGACTTCGATAGGACCAGTCTTATTCTGGGGGCGCTTAGTCTAGAGGCTTTCTTATGCTCATTTTTCCTCATGCTTCCTTTGCCCTTTCCCATTCATATTACGGTGTTCAAAAGCTTCGATGTGTTGCAGAGCAGAATGTTGTCTATATATTTGAGCCCGTATTGCAATGCTTCAGTTGCGAACGCTCGTCTATATGAGCCTGAGAATCGTGGTGGTCATTCCACCATTTCTGTTTTCGAAGGTGGTAGGAGAATCAGACTGCGCCAAAACCCGCGTAGCCCATCAACCAATCCGAGTTAAGTTAATAAATGTCAGGACCCCGGTCCGCAAGTTGTTCGAAGTAGACTGCGCATGAAGACGTGCATATGCAACCCGCTTAGTGAACTAGATAACCGCACCATCTTTTATTGTGTCGCTGACATCCGCATGGAAGGTCAGTAATTAGTTTCACTCACTACCTGCACCCACATTCTTCTTGATACTCTACTTCCCGAACTTATGCTGCTTCCAGGACCTTCACAGGGTCCTTGGAGAAAGCAAGGTATCAGTGATATATAACTCTGTAACAAGACTTACAATTATGCTATATAAGGTGTAATAGGTACAACTCTTTCTTGAAATATCCGTCCTCCCGCCTTGAACAGATATATAGTTCCATAAGATCACTATAAACCCTTAAATAACAACTATAGCAGTACGGAAAATTCGATATAGACTTCATTTGCCGTTAAAGATAACGCACGGAGGAATAGAGTTCCGCAGTGCCCAACTTTCGACCCAAGATGTACGTTTAAGGGCTATACCGAAGGCTACGGGATATTATACAAAATGATAAGCTTATTCATGCTTTTTATTCGAAGTGATTGGTCTAAAATATGGTGGTGTAGTGCGGTATAAAATAGATATATATAGGTGGCCGGAAAATTGAGTGAGAAGATACTTTTGACCAGTATCTGTACTAAAACAAAATCTCCTTGTTATATGTCGTATTTCGCATCATTTTTGTACGTTATGCGGCGTGGAGACGCAAGGCAAGTATCTGCATTTAACGATTTAATGGCACCAGGAATCATCAAGCGAAGCCACACCACTGCTGAGCTAGTATTGGGTTTGCTCCCCTAGCATGTGCTAATTACGGTCCCACAGCCAAGAAATGATATTATGCCAGACAGAGGATCGTTGCTTCCGAGCTTGTGTCGCTACATTAAATCCTTTCCTCATTACGTCGCGGAGGCACCTCTTCCGGCATAGTATATTCAGACAGCAAAGATTCAACGGAAGTCGGATTTACGACGCAGAAAAGTGGGACCGCTAGTTGCGGCTTTTGCGGATGTTTTCAAAGGCCAGCGAATCCCAGTAGATCCAATCGGGCACCCGACTGCAAGATTCCTTGGCAGTAGCCATGCCTTAATCAGCATCCCAACTTGTATTGACGTGCCATAACTCAAGAATACCTTTTAGTTATCTTGCTACGAAATGCCTACTATTAACCGACGCTATCTCTTCTACCTACTTGAACTCGGGAAATGTATACCTAATACCTGCAACGCGTATTACCATAGAGAATCCTCGAATATCAAGGCGTTTAGCGAAATTTTCATGCTCGATATCAACACCTAATCTCAATGACCAAGGGAAATAAAACGCTCTCTGCTCGTCACGCTACCAATAAGATGCTCATTGAATTGATTCAGTCGATCACTGTTTCGTTGATACGTACGGAGCACCGAGGCACCGGGTCGAAGGTTACGTTTTATTTGCGAGGGCAGACGGGGCCTCCATAGCACATCGACTGCCTGTGGAATGTTGGCGTGGGTAAGTAAGACTGTCGATCGTTGCCATCCTTAACTCGCGGTCAATACATGGGACCCTCTTGGCAGTCAGGATGATCTAGCATACTTGCATACACGAGTCTGGAGACATGTCCGTTTCGGCCTGTCGGCCTTTTCAAGGCCGATATGACTAATTAGATAATATGGATTTCTGTGGTATTAGTTTGTATTCATTTCTTCAATGCGGTAGTTCCTAGAACAGGGAAACTCTTATAATAGAGCCCGGATTCCGTTCAAAGCTTCAACGCTATCAATAGATTCACATCTGCATTTCATTCAAGCATGGCCAAGATAATTGTTGTCTTCGGTGCAACAGGCAACCAAGGAGGTTCGGTCATCGATTCGATCCTGTCCGACTCGGATCTGTCACAGGAGTTCAGGGTTCGAGGCGTCACACGCAATCCAGAGAGTGCAAGAGCTACAGACTTGAAAAGCAAGGGCGTCGAGATGGTTGCGGTATGAACAAACCTGGACCTGGCGCGTGCTAAATGTATTGACAAAGAGAATAGGCGGATCTTTCAGACCCTGTCTCTCTCAACCGCGCCCTGGAAAAAGCTCATACGGTCTTCCTCGTCACAAACTTTTGGGAATATCTTGATCGTGAAGTGGAGACTATCCAGGGCAGGAATGTTGCCGACGCATGTTCATCCACTGGCGTGCAGCACCTCATCTGCTCAACCGTAATCAACGTGAGCGAAGCGAGCCAGGGCCGACTGACTCACGTCAAGCACTTCGACAGCAAAGCCGATATTGAACAGTATGTGCGTGAAAAACAACTTCCGGCCACGTTTGTTCATGCGGGTTTCTATATGTCGAATGCTTTGACCCAGTCTATCATCCGAAAACAGCCTGACGACACGTATGTGGTAGCGATTCCTGTCAGCGATGAGGCACTGTTGCCAATGTTTGACGCCGCTGCGGATACCGGTACCTTTCCTTCTTATGATCTCAGTCACCGAGGATCGTGGGTCAACTGACACTGCAAATAGGAAAATTTGTTAAGGCAGCCATTAAAAACCGCCCCGCTGTGCTCGGCCAGCAAATCTGCGCATGCACCGATTACTATCGTCCGTCGCGACTCGCGCAAGAATTTGCCGAGGTGATGGGTAAACATACTGAGTTGGTGCTTTTGAGTGAAGAAGAGTATAAAGCCAGTGTTATACCTCCCAGTTTCGGACAAGAAGCCTATGAAACATATCTACTGATGGAAGATCCTGGTTACTATGTTGGCAAGGGTCTGGAGGAGAGCCTTGAATTGTTAGACGAGCAGCCGACCTCCTGGAAAGACTTTGTCCGGAAGAACAAAGACAAATGGGTGTAGTGCTCTCGTTTACTCCTGAACCTAGCGAATGCGTGGTTTCAATTACGAACAACGTCAGGTAGCTATTAGACAATTCTCACAGACAATTGTACCGATAATAGTTCTAGAAGGACGGATCAAATGCGAGCTCCTAATATACTGGAGCATGCCGTTCGCCTCTTATTTACACGATGACTGAAGCGGACTAAGAGCTAAATTTCAAGAACGATTAAAGCATACTGAAAAGGCGGAGTAATAGTTCGTAAAACTGTCTTCAGATGCTAGACCATATTCTCTTATTCAATGACATGAGCCGGTGAATTCTCTTGGGGACTCGCTTGTTTAAGTTATAGTATTGTATAGCGATCATACCGGCTAATTGTACATCTGTACATGTACGGATATGGAATAGAAAGTCAACAGGGGAAGACGAAGAAAAGGAAAGAAGCAAGGTGGAATTGCATCAGTCGAGAAGGCGATCGACATTCGAAGACCACACCCGCTGACTCCCCTTTACAGCGGGATTGAATCAGCCAAGGTAAAGGTCGCCATTTAAAGGCCCGACTTGCCGACTCACATTTAGCTGTGATTATGCTGAGGCGCTGAGGCGCTCGCCATTCAGGCATATAAACAGGGTGAAAGTAGATAGGCCCCAAACGCCTAGAATGGGAATCCTTTTAGTAATGCCCTGTATATGTGCATTGCTCGCGCTCGCTATGTTTTCTTTCTATCCACTTTGCCAGTCTTGTTTTTGTCGATCATGGCGACCACTGTTCTACAATCTGTTTTAGCGATGAACCGTAAGAAAAATGAGGTCTGTTTCTAAACAGTAATGGCTAAGAGAATTCGGATTTGATTAAGACTTCATCTAATCTATAATCCCCGCTGGCAAGAAAGCCACATAGTCCAATGGAGCCGATTCAACGCCATCAGGTTGACCGACAATTTTCAGAGTGTCGCCCTTCTTAACCTTGATGCCCCGGAACTTGATACGCGTAGCCGAATGACCATCTAAGTGGATAGAGGGCGTATGACTCAAAGTAACCTCACTGTTTCCAACCCACTCGCCCACCTTCCGATCATTCAAATAGATCGTCCACTGAGACTGACCACCGTAGAGATCATAATAATTAACTGCAATATCATATGTACCAGAAGCAAAAGGCACTTTGGTAATAGCCGTGCCAGCCGTGCTGTTAGACTCCGTGACAATTGCAACAGTCTCTGAAGCCGTTTCAAAGGGACTGACAGTATAAGGCTTGTAACCATTTAGTGTCATACTTTCAGCTTCGATGCGCCATGGGTGGTGGCTGACGCGCTTTGCTTCGTCGGGAATACCAGATAGATTGTAGTAGAAGTCGTTGATTGCGTCTCTCCAGACGATTGAGTGGCCTGTTTGGTAGTCCAGGAAGCGGCGGACATGGTTGTATCGCTCCTTGTCTATCTTTCCTTGGAGCGATTCCCACTGAGTCAGGAATGTCTGTGCTGTCATTGCTCCGGTGTAGTGGGCATCGTAGAAGTGTTGGATGACGGTTTTGCCTGAGTGCAGACGGTGAGTGTAGTCGACATGATGGAACCATAAGAGAAGGTCATCTGGGGTTGTATCGATGTTTTCGTACATGGCTGCGATTTCATCTGGATATTGGCCGGAGTATCCTGTACCATTCTTCACGGTCCGGTCCATTCCAATGCTTGTTTGGTCTGCGCGGGTCCATTGGCCCCAGCCATTGTTGTCTTGAGAGGCAGGGTTAGGGCCGTAGTGGGTGTAAAGGATGTCGGTCAAAGTCTGGATTCCTAGGTTGCCGCTATATTGTTCATAGGCGGGCCACGACTCCATGGACATGCGGGTAATCGTGTCTAGGACTTTGCGGTCCAGCCCGAAGGTCAGGCGAATCCAGTCTTGCAGGATGTCTTGCGCGTCATCTGTCGGGCTCCAAGCCAAGCGACCGTAGGCGTACAGGTTTGACATGGAAAGATGACTCCCAAGCCAGGTAGTATTGGTACCGACGTTGACCACGGCTGCCGAGCCACCCAGTTTACGGTTGAAGCGTTTACCAGCCACAATATCACGAACGAGCGATGGCTGATGATCCACGCGAAGATCGAAGTCCAAGATAGTCTTCCAGAGTGGAGGCAAGTATACCAAGTGAGACTGTTGGCCCAGATATTCTTGCGTTACTTGCAACTCAATGGCCGTGTTGGTATTGAACAGATTTGCGAACAAAGGAGATACCGGCTCGCGGACTTGGAAATCAATAGGTCCAAACTTGATCTGGATCACCACATTGTCGTCAAATTCGCCATCTAGCTTTTTGAAGAAATCGACAGCTGCCTTTGCACGATCCGCCGTCCAGACAGATTCATTGAGTTGGTTGTAGACGAAGGCACGGTACATGACGATACCACCATGGGGCTGAACTTCTTTGGCGAAGAGATTTGCTGCATCGGCGAGGGTCCTGTTGTACGTTTGAGGACCAGGCTGGCCTTCAGAATCCGCCTTGACAAGGTAACCAGCCATGTCAGGAACACGCTCATAGATCTGGGCAGTAATGTTCGACCACCACTTGATGACAGATGCATCGAGAGGATCGAAGGTACTCAGGCCACCGTATGTTTTGGGCGAGGCGAAATTGAGAGACATTCCAATTTGAATGCCATATGGCCGGAAGACATCAGCTACTCGACCAAAGCCATCGATGTTCTTAGGGTCCAAAAGCGTAGCATTAGCGTTGACATTGTTAATTACCACGGCATTGATCCTGATCGAGGCCAAGAGACGTGCGTATTCAGCGACGCGAGTCAAATCTTGGACAATTTGTCCATTCTTGAAGAAGATAGAAGCGCCACCATAGCCACGCTCAATACTTCCATCCATATTGTCCCATTGGTTGACCCAGCGGATCGGTTGCGACGGATTGGTTACGTAGGCGACGTTTGAGAAGTTTCCCTGCGAAATCATCGACAAGTACTCGAAGGCACCATAGAGCGCCCCCCTCTCATTCTGTCCCAGGATTTGAACGGTGTCCCCTTTGGTGCTAAGCCAGAAGCCATCGTCTTCCAACTCAGGTATGCTGTGTACAGCGCCGCAGGTCTTGCGATATTGATCGACCGTACCAACAATTACGGAGGAAGATGTCTTGCATTTGTGGGAGACTTGCACGTCTTTTCCATAAACACCCTTCAGCCCTTTCTGCAATTCTGCGCCCGCAATATATACCGGACTACTCTCGGTTGTATTGAGGGTGACAATGGTAGAAGGAAGGTTGGAATGGCATTGTTTCGAACAAGGTAATGATGCATAACGTAGCCAGCCGTTCAAGCCATCCTCGGCGGCTGCAAAGCCCAAGGAGGCCAATAGAAAAAGTGCACGCATAGTGACTAGAGCTTTTCAGGTGTATGAAGCTACTACCTGTCCCTCAATGCAGGTCGATTGTCCCTTTTATACAACCCCGCCATCGAGCATCAGGTCATCGGTAGAATTCCGGGTGACGCATGGAAGAACTTCAGGCTAAATAAGTCATGCTAAAGTCGATCAGTACAGGCTATATAGCATTAGACAAACGTAAGGGTTAAGGGAAAATCTCGGAAGATTGGAAAGGGAATGGTGCTTCCCCGCAAACATTTGCGGAGATGCGTGGGGGTCCTGCAGCAGAGACAAAATGGATGGCGTTCTCCAGATTCAATGCTGACAGGGGTTAACCAGGTAAGAGCACTGTGTCATCCCGGTTAAGCATGATGTTAAGCTTAGATTGTAAACGTGACGGAAGACCGATAATGGCGGGAGTCTCTAGGGCAAAAGAGTACGGCGTTCGAAACGAAACTCATGATAAAGACTGCATTTGGGGTATTACATTTAGGCTATTCTATCAGATGGTTTCCACCATTGAAAATCACTGCCCGGGACGAGACATTGCATCTCGGCGCCCTTGTCTAGAATGTGCCTAGCGGAATATCATAATTCATCATTGACCGTGAGAAAATTGGTTCAAGGTTGTATTTTTTTTAAGAGGTCCCAACAAGGCGAGACGCTTAAGCCTCACGGCTCAGGATGTCGGAGTCACCGGCATCGAGGATAGCCATGGCGGAGCAGCGGAAGAGCTTACCGCAAGCGGTACCGAGCTCAATCTATACGGGAGTTAGTGTCAAATTCAAGCTCTCCGGGATACCATTCGGTAGTCCCATCGTTGAGCAACTTCACTCTCCGAAGTGGTATTTTTGACCGACTTCTTCGCTGAGTAGTGGAGCTGACTCCTAGGTGCGACAACCTGCTTTTTCTCAGGTTGCCGACCAGGGGGAAGGGGAAAGACGTACGTTGTTGCCGTTGAAGTGGTGGACGGGGGTCTTGGCGAGCATGGCGTAGTACTCGAGCTCAGACTTGCGCAGAGGAGGGCAGTTGCCGGAGATGAGGACCAGCTTGGCCTTGCCGGAGCGGAGAGTCTTCATGGTGGACTTGGTACCCATGGTAACTGGGGAGAATTAGCACCGTATTTTGCGCGATTGAGCAATTGAGCGACGAGCTTACCCTTGCCAGACTTCATCACCAGCGCAAGGCGCGAGGCGAGAGTGTCACCGGACTTCTTAGCCTTGACCATTTTGACGGGTTTTTTTTTTGGGTTGGGTGGTTGGTGGTTGAGTGGTGTACGGATGACCAAAATGGAAGGAAGAAAAAGTTTTGTGTGGAAATGGGAAAGCCCTAACACGTGATGTATTACTACACGTGACAGTTCCTCTCCTACACCGCCTGATTCTGCCACCACCCCGATCATCGGCGCTCGGCCCGCGGGGTTTGACTCATTGCAGATTTATTTCTTTTGGTTTCGACTGCTTCTGATCCATTTTCTTCTTCATTTCATTTTTCTGTTGTATCTTGTTCGTCATTTTTGATTGCCTGTCTTTTCATCATGGCCACTGAAACTAGCAGTGCCCCCACTGCGCGACTCCGTCAGTTTATGCCCCTCGTCCCCCAAAGGAACCGCTACTAAATCCCGTAGAGAGAGTCGATTCGCAGCCTGAGAACCCCTACGCGCAGCTGATCGAGGATCAGTCTATCGCAATTGTCCCTTCCTTCAAGCTTGAATCCGGCGTTACGCTGTACAATGTCCCGGTCGCTTATACCACGCGGGGAACACTCTCCTCCACGGGCGATAATGTTTTGGTCATTTGTCACGCTCTGAGTGGCAGTGCGGATGTTGCGGACTGGTGGGGGCCTCTTCTCGGCGGTCCTGGTCAGGCATTCGATGTCTCTCGGTTCTTCGTGGTCTGTCTGAACAGTCTAGGTAGTCCGTACGGAAGTGCCAGTGCTGTGACTTACAAGGATGGCAAGCCTGAAAATGGCTACTACGGACCCGAGTTCCCCCTGACCACTGTCCGCGATGACGTCAAGTAAGTCAATTGTTCAGTCTATTACACATCAATACTTTCTGACTCCTTTATTAGCATCCACAAGCTTGTCTTGGATGACCTTGGTGTCAAGCAGATCGCTGCCGTCGTCGGCGGATCCATGGGTGGAATGCTAACGTTGGAATACTCCTTCTTTGGCAAAGACTATGTGCGTGCTATCGTGCCTATTGCTACCTCAGCACGCCATTCCGCTTGGTGCATCAGCTGGGGTGAGGCTCAGAGACAGAGCATCTACAGTGATCCCAAATATGATGACGGCTACTATCCATTCAATGATCCCCCTTCAACCGGTCTCGGAGCTGCTCGCATGTCGGCACTTTTGACTTACCGCAGTCGCAACTCGTTTGAGTCACGATTCGGTCGCAATGTGCCTGACCCATCTAAGAGGTTGAACATCAACGGCGTTGAAAAGCAGCCCACTCCTCCCAACGAGCACTGGGCCATTCACAATGATGGGCACCGTGGTGGTTCGACTTCGCGCTCCGAAAGCAGACAAGGCTCTCCAGCCCCCCAGTCCGAGGTCCAGTTCATGGATCCCCAGTTCTCAGGCACGAAGACCTTTGTCCCGGAGGACGATGCGAAACCCAAGCTTACCCCAAGTGGTCGTCCTCGCCCACCTACCTACTTCTCTGCGCAGTCGTACCTCCGTTATCAGGGTGACAAGTTTGTTAAGCGATTTGATGCCAACTGCTACATCGCCATGACTCGCAAACTTGACACCCACGATGTTTCGCGCCACCGTGCCGACCCTGCCGCCGAGGATACCGTGCTCGAGGCTTTGGGACGGGTGGAACAGCCCGCTCTAGTCCTGGGTATCGAGTCTGATGGTCTCTTTACCTTCGCAGAGCAGCAAGAGATCGCTGCCGGTATTCCCGATTCCCGCCTGAAGCGCATCGACAGCCCTGAGGGTCACGATGCATTCCTGCTGCAGTTTGAGCAGGTCAACCGCCACATTGTTGATTTCTTCCACGAGGTTCTACCCGACATCATGTCGAAGTCGAACACTGACGGTGCCGCGGCCGTCGCAAGTGTCAAGAAGCTGACGAAGAGCAGCACTTTCGGCGAGGCTGAGGTGGAGGATATCACCGCTTGGTAAAGCGTTGGTTTACTCATATAGTATTGTTAGGCGCAGTGTTTTCTGCAGCCATCCCATGACTCCACTCTGGGCCCCTATTCCCGCCTGTCTCTCTCTTCATCAACTCTGAGAGAAGATTCGGTGGGATCCGCGCCCTGGTGGATGCCATGGCACTGGGGAAGTAGGTTGCCGTTCTTTTTCCGTTCCGCCAGTCAGGGAGATGAGCATCCAACTGCCTCTCCCGTCTCTCACTTGGTTTTGTCCTTGTCCGAGAAGACTGTCAAAGAAGCATCCAACTGCTCTCCATCAGACCCGCCCTCTGGGTCAATTTTCTCCGGGAGGAGACCTCCGGGGGTGATGGGTCAATTTTCGATTCGATAGCCATAGGCTATCCTCGCGACACATGTCGCACAATATACATAAAAATTCACAAATTGGGACTTTTTCCCCCCTTGTATCTCTATCCTTATCATAGCGCAGGGCGATGGTGGTGGCCATCAGCGCCACACATATCTGACGGTGCTCAGTAGCAAATGGTAGCCCTTAAACACTTACGTTCGACTTCCCCGCGAAATAACCGGCACCCCCGGGCAATTATACGAGGGCTACGATATCCGACCATGGGAATGTGGTGAGCGAAGGTTGGATCTCGATTGCGGTCTAAAGTGTATCCATGACTTATGCTGGTTTAGGGCTGTTATTTAGTAAATAAACACCAGGGATAGTGGGCTTGAATACTTCCAAGATTATATGCCGGTTGGGCACCTACATGTTCAGCAAAATGCGGTGGAAGTGCTTGTTTTATGAAGTGGAGCAAGATCTGCACTCATAATCTCCTGGGCAGATTGCAACCATCCTTTGATTTCGATTTTATTTACGTCTTACATTAGGCCGAGTGTTTTTGGATCAGTGGCGTTAGTACTTGAGTCACCAAGAAAAGAGGCGCTAGCGTATGTGCTAGTGCTTAGACCTTTACCACAATGTCGATAACGTTCCATTTCGTAAAAATAATCAAGCATGTCTCAGTGTACGGAGTATGTGTTCGCAGACCAAAAACCCGGTTTCTTTGCGACCGTTCGAAACCTGAGGGTCCGAGCTAATAACTAACTAACAGTTAAGTCTAGACTTGATACCAGCTGGTGATCTGAACCATTTTGGGTCTCGCTATCTCTAAAGTGGCTTGACCTCCGTGATAAATGGAGTCCTTAGGGGGCGGATTGGAGGGCGCTTGATGTGCCGATCCAGCCCTAAGTTCTGGAGGGGACCACTGAGTTGTTTGATCGCTTATCCTGCTGCAAGCTAATGGGGTTAGGCGTCACAGGTGTATCTTCCTCTATTTCAGCCTATCTCTTCTAACCGGGGGCTAAAGGTACTAATGGGAATGCCCATAAAGCTAAGACATTTCTCTTTAATTACTCCGTCTCTCTTATAATGCAATTCTTTCTTCCACATTCTTCTCCCCGCATACCAGCCAGTTGCACTGACAACGGGTCCCTGCCTACTACACTGCAACTGCAATAATTGCTATTGACATCACACATATCTTGGGAAATTACTTGAGCGTTGGGATCTTGTCGATTGGGATCCCTTGGAGCATTCTGAGTCGAGAATAATCGCCGTGGCCAGGTCGTTCTCATTGTTTGCCCACTCGTTCTCCCCTTGACCTCACTCTCTATACTTTATTCTCTATTCTCTATCTCGTCTATCTGTCTATATCCCGTATCTATCACATCTAATATTCCCTGTGAGACACTCTCGGAGAATAAACAAACAAACCCAAACACTCTATATCGCCAAGATGGAGCGCAAACTATCAGCAAAAGCAACCAAAATGCGGCGTCGTCTCACCTTCACCCGAAGCAGATCGACACGATACCGCTCATGCACGATGGTCCCTTCCGCTGAAGTCAGTCCCTGCAGCAGTCGGCCTCGCTCAGCAACGAATCCCGAATCTCCAACATACGGAGAAAACACAATGTGGGACAGCACTGATGCCAGCAGGTGCTACAACTTCACAGATGAGCCAGGGTTCTTTCGCCCTGCATCGCCATTTATTGAGCGCCAGCATATCGATGAAGACCTCGTGCTTGATATCAAGCACGCATGCGCCCTACTATCCCACAGCATCGATCGTGGTATCCCCATCGGCCTGTCGTATCAAAGTGCCGTGCCCAACTGGACAGGGAGAAAGGCCGCTAGGCAGTCCAGCGCCGAAATATCCTCGTCTCTAAACCAGAATGCCCTTCTCTCACCTCCCAAACCGCTCGAGTCTGCGACAGATGTCGACACCCAGCCGCACGATTCAGGCATCGGCGTGAGCTTCCACTCCCCCAAGAAAACAGGCAGACCATACGGGAACAGCGTCTCAGGCACCGAAGCTTCAGCCAGATTCTACAACAAACGATCCTCCATCTCACCACCCCACAGCCCAACATCAGAAAGAGCCTCTCGCTCCCGCGGCGAGAGTCTAATCCAAAGTTTCGCAGACCGCGGCAGCATCCAACCAGACTACCCACTAAGCCTCGGGCGCTCGCGCTCCTCAAGTCCAGTCCCATTCCCCTACAGTCCCGACCAAGCCAACGACGAATGGCGATCCGGACAAACAACACCGCCCAGCCCGATAATCGAAAACGCCCAAAACATAAAAGAACTGTCAACGGCAACGATTTCCGTTTCCGAAACCGAGATCAAAACCACCACCTCCCCCATCACCGAAGAAACTGACACACCGTCTCAACCTTGTCTCGGCGAAGAAGGTATGACCTGGCTCCGCGCCAGCAAAGGCATCCAACGTCTCGCCGAAGAAGAAAAACAGAAAGAAAAAGCAAAGGCATCTAAAAAGGAAAACACTTCCGGCCGCTTTTACAGTTGCAATGCCGCGGCCTTCCAAATCATCGATTCGCCCGAATGGCTCACGAAGAATATCTGGGAAAGTCGAGACCCGAGCGTCTACGGCGAGGCTTCATTGGCCAGGAATGGAGAAGGGCGTTGGGGGAGTGTATCGACAAGCGGGGATGAAAGTCGCGACGGATATCCCGTCCAGTGGTACATTGGTGCTGGGGCTGTGTCAAGTCGGGATCTGTCTTATTCTTCATCTTTGTGTCCTGTTGATGAGTTCAAGCATCAGGAGGCTGCTTATTCGGTCGTTGTTCCTAGTCTGCAACCGCGGCGGAGGAGGGAGAAGGCGCAGTTTTTGTTGAGGAAGTTGGCTGGGTTTAGGGGAAGGAGGAAGGAGGGTGAATGTTAGGGTTTGAATTGGAATATTTTTATGAGGATTGTATTTGGCTTTGACTGGAGCGTTTGCTGGTTTTTTTTTTCCCTTTTTCTTGTCGTCGTCTTTTAGCTGGGGTTTATGTGTAGGTGTGGTGTTTTTTTGTTTTGATAGATGTCCGTATGCTTCATGTAGATACCCTTTTATTCTTTCTTTTACTTATTAGCGCTTAGTTGGATTATTTGGGATTTGTTTCAGAAATACGGAATTTGATATGTTCGACACTGTGAAATCTCATCAATCAATCTCTCTTAGCGCTGGAGTTCTTCTACATGTACTGTAGGTGGGACTCATGATCTTAGCGCTTTCATACGGGCGGTTACATGCAGCTCAAAGCCATTTGGCAAGTCTAAGACTCCGTAAACATACATACTCCTGTCAACTTATATGTTTCAGATGACATGAAGTTAGAGTGGGTTGGTAAATCGAGTAACTATCTGATTTTTGGACCATTTAGGTGGTGTGAACAGGCACACGGAGAGACTACCCTATCACTTACGCCTAACGTTGTAGGTATTACTACGCTTAGCGAATTAGTGCGCAGTGCGCAGTTCTTAAAGATGATTATATCTGCAATCCTCATTGGCAAATTACTTCATAACTCATAAAGAGCCTCATGAAATCCACACATACCAAGCCTAAGCCAATCTATCCACATCCCAAAATAGCATCGCTCACAAGACAATCACACTATAAAAAGACATCCAAACCATCGAATCCCAATAAATCCCAATACAAATTATAGACCAAGCCAGAACCTCGTCTTCCCGACATCAAACTCACTACGCAGCTCCTCAGGCCCAGTACCAGTAACCAAAGCCCCGTACGTCCCCTTCTCAGAAATCCACTGATCCCGCTCCTCATCCCACCAACTCGTAGCAAGCTTCTTCTCAACAACAAGCCGCACAGTCTTCGACTCCCCAGGCTGAAGGAAAACCTTCTTAAAAGCCTTCAGCTCGCGCACCGGACGACCGACATCCGTCTTGGGGGTACGATCCACAACTGTACGATCTCGGCACCAACCACTGAGCCCGTGTTTGTTACAGTCACAGAGGCAGTAATTGGTTCACCGGATTCGGCGTACTTGGGTTGCTCGGGCACAGTCTCGATGGAAAGATCAGAGCGGGAGAATGAAGTGTATGACAGCCCATGGCCGAATGCAAAGCCCGGCGCGACGTCACTCTTCTCGAAGAATCGGTAGCCGACGTAGATGTCCTCGCCGTAGAGGACGCGGCCACGCTCGGATCGGAAGTTCAGGTAGGAGGGGTTATCTTGTAGACGGCGAGGGAATGTGATTGGGAGTTTAGCGGAGGGGTTGACGTCGCCGTAGAGGACGTCTGCAATGCCGTTGCCGCATTCGTTACCGCCGAACCAGGCTTGCACGAGGGATTTGGCTTTGGGTTCCCAGGGCATGGTTACCGGCGTACCCGATTGAAGGACGACCACGGCGTTGGGGTTGGCGTCCAGCACGCGGGTGATGAGTTCGTCGCTGCCGGGGGGTAGGTCCATGTGTTCACGGTCGTGGCCTTCGGTTTCCCATTCTAGGGTCAAGCCTGCGAAGATGACGACTTGCTCTGCGGTCTTGGCTTGTTCGACGGCGTTGGCGATAAGTTCTTCTTGGCTGACTTGACGGCTGGCGCCGAAGCGGAAGCCGCCTGGGCCGAAGGCGACGATGCCGCGGGTGTCGAGGTCTGAGGTTGGGGCGGTGCCGAATTGGAAGACTATCTTGTAAGTCTGACCAGCCTTGAGCTCTTTGGTGCCGCGCTCTTCAACGGTGGCTGTGCCGAAGAAGGCGGAGCCTTGCTTTTGGTTCTTGGTGTTGTCGACGACGATTTCGTCGTCGATGAGGAGTTGGCCTGTGCCAACGACTGTTACTCCGAAGTCGTACACGCCGCTCTCCTCTGGGGTGAAGGAACCCTCCATGTCAACGTAGTAGGTCATCGACTTGATCTTAGGGTTGACGTAGTCCATCAAGAAACCGGTGGAATCGAGCAGATGTAACTCATCGACGACCTGGCGGTCAGCGCCAGAGCTGGGGTGCTCATTGTAAACCTTGAAAGTGAAGCCGGGCTTGCCATCTGCTGTTTTCAAAAGCGGCCCTAGGAGCGGCAGTTCCTTGTGAGAGTACACACCCTGGCTGAATTTGACCTCACCCTTGCTCTTGGCGGAGACACCGTCGAATGGAGTGACGGTATAGTATGGCGCCAAAGATGCCGAACCGCCACCGCAGTACGAGGCAATTCTAGCATTGGGACCAATGACCAATAGAGACCCATCTTTCTTGAGAGGAAGAATGTTACCCTCGTTCTTCATGAGCACAACAGACTCGGCAGCAGCACGGCGCATGAGAGCCTGGTCTTCTGGTCGGTTAAGAGCCTTCTCAGACGCTCCCTCAGGGATACCCAGAGGCTCAACCCAGTTAACGAGGTTGAGAACATTGCGCACACGCTCATCAAGCTTGAACTGGGCAATCTTGTTGGAAGAAACAGCGTGCGCAAGAGCCTGGCCTCTCCAACGGGTTTTGCCAGGCATCTCAATGTCGAGACCGGCATTGATAGCATCGGAGGTACTATAAGTACCGAACCTATTGGAACATCAGCATCAACACCAAACCATAGAACAAGGCGAATCAGCTCACCAATCACTCATAACAACACCATCCCACCCCCACTCCTTGCGCAAGATATCATCAATAATAAGCTTATTCTCACTAACATGAGTCCCATTAATCTTATTATAAGCCGTCATAACACAAGCAGAGCGACAAATCCGCATAGCCAACTGAAACGGCATCAAATAGATCTCACGCAGCGCCCGATCAGTCAGAATGCTACTAACCGCCATGCGCTCGTGCTCCTGGTCATTGCAGACAAAGTGCTTAAGCGTAGCAGCCACGCCCTTGCCCTGCATAGCCTTGCAGAAATGGCCAGCCAGGGTTCCAGAAAGGACTCCATCTTCCGAGAAAGACTCGAAGCCACGTCCGCCTAGGGGCGATCGCTGGATGTTGATTGTCGGCCCGAGCACAATGTGCGTGCCCTTGGCGATCGCTTCGTCACCCATTAGTGAGCCTACTTCGGAGAGGAGCTCCGCGTCCCAGGTTGCACCTAGGGCTGTTGCGCATGGGAAACAAGCTGCTGGGATGCCGTTGAAGAAGCGTGTGCCGCGTACGCCGTTGGGCCCATCGGACATCCGTAGGGCGGGGATGTTTAGGCGTGGGATGGAGGCCGTGTGCCAGAAATCTTGACCTGTGGATGGTTAGCATTGGTAACGATGAGGGTCTTGGATGTGATTGGCATTGGGAATTGTCTTTACCAGCTGTGAGGTCGACCTTTTCTCCGAGCGTCAGCTCTTCAATGGCCTTTTCGACGTCAATGCGAGCCATGATGTAATGAGGTCTCTTTATCTTGGTGTCTCGATGTCGCTATATGCTTGGAATTCGATATTTACTGCTCAGCGGGCTTGTTCAACACAGTCCAGAGCTCAGATAAAAGAAGTTCAAGTCTCAATGTCCTGCTTCCAAGGTTGTTCCAAGCTAGTAAATAGTAAGCAGGCAGCCGACAGCGGTAGAAGGCCAATCTCTCGAGTCACCTCCAGTGCAAAGCTGGACAAGAATAAGATACAAGTTTGGAATCCAACGGTCTTTCGCAAGCAGTCTTATAGTCGACAAAGAGGCCAAAACGTGCAATTGCATGCGAAACCGTGCAGGCGGGGAAGCTGGTGGAGTTGTGCGCACCTCACAAACCCAATAATGATCGCCATATCAGATAAAACTAGATCAGGCAAATGATAGCCTTGCGGTCTCTCAAAGAGCCACGGAGGTCCTGGCGAGCCCGAGGTTTAACCGACAGGATCTCTGGGGACAAAACTACAGTAAGTCCGGATGTCGGCCCGCCGTGCCTGCGGTTGCTTTGTATACGCGGAGTATCGGATATGCTTGTAGTTGCGATATTTGAGATCCTTGACGTAGATCCTAGAGTATGATGGAAGAGATTAGGCAATAAATTCATGAATATTGCATTCCCGTTACGGTGTTCATATGGTTAAGAAGAAAGTACATGTAGAGAAGTGAAGTGAATTATCCCCAAACACCAGGCAGAATGCAAAAATACAGAAAGGAAATTGGTAGTCAAGAGTGTCAAACGAAATCGGAATCAATAGAGCAAACAGAAAAGCAAGGTTCCCTTATTCCTTTCGGGTACCAAGGTAAACCCATCACGCTCCTCGACGAGGGCGCTTGTTATCGGTTCCCATGCGCATGCCACGGGGTCCATTTTCACCAATGTTGTCGTCGGGACCTTGGCGACCGCGCTTACGGTGTCCAGAGCCGCCGCTACCACCGCCGCCTTCGCGGTGTTCGCGGTCACGTCGGTCACTGCGGCGCTCACGCTCGCGATGTCGGTGCTCGGACCGGTTACCCCGGTCGCCGCCAGAGTTAAACCGGCGGTCGTTTCCTTCAGGCAGGGGTGGAGGAGGGGGCGGTGGGGGTGGTGGCGCGCCCATGGAAGAGGGAGGACGCAGACGACCCTCAGCTTCAGGGGCGATGTTGTCACTGGGAGTTGGGCCAGTCATCTCTGAGGATCCGTCGGGTCGGTCACGTCGATCTCGGCGGCGCAGCTCCTCGCGGGAGCTCTGAACCCGGCGCAGGTTCTCGCGAGGTTCGGCATTGCGGTCCTTTTCGTCACGGGGGGAGCACCACCTACATCGCTGCGGCGGCTGCGTTCGCGGTCACGACCACGGCCATCACGACGGCGGCTGCTGTTGTTGGTGCTGTCCTCGCGGCGCTCCGACTCCTTTGCGCGATCAACATCTGGCTCACGGTTACGATCGCCAGTTCGTCCAGAGCGGACTGATTCGGGAGCGGGATCATCAAGGAGGTCAGCGACCCGGCCACCGTTAGGTCGACTGCCAGATTGATCCCCTGAGGGACCTGCTGGGCTGTCGGGGGGAGGTGCGTTCATCCCGCTTGACTGGCGATGTCCGCCTCGTCCGCGAACAGGCGGGGGGTTACCGCCGCGATCACCACCAGTGCCACCAGATTGCTGAAGCATGTTGTTTAGGCCCGCGAACCGTTTATCGCTGCGGCCGCGGTCTCCACCAAATCCTTGACCAGCGGGCCCTCGGGGTGGTTGTTGCGGGCCTGCTCCACTGCGAGGACCAGAGGGAGGAGCACCAGAAGTTGCAGGCTCATTAACGAGGTTCCTGAGGCGATCTGGGTGAACGCCTGCGGCATTAGCGGGGCCTGCGGGCTGCGAACTGGATGGTTGTTCTGGGGCGTCACGGCCACCCTGCCGACCAGGACCTGTAGGTGTCTGGCGTTCTGCGGTGGGTGGTGGACCGTTGTTTGAGCTTGACATTGGAGGCACTTGTCCGGAAGCATTGCGGCCGCCGCCACGTCTTCCTCGTGGACCAGCCGGGATATCAGGTGTGGGTTCCGGCTGTCGAAGACGACCATGATTCATGTCAGGACCTGGGCCAGGGTCTTTTGCATCTACATGTCGGTCCATTCGGGGGCCCCTGGGGAGTTCGTCGTGACGGGGAGGCTGAGAGAAATTGGGAGCTCTGCGGTCATCGACGGGAATGGGTCTCTCGGGGCGGTTGGGCAAGTTAGCTGGTCTAGGAGGTGATTGAGGGCGGGAGGGATACGGTCTGCGAGCATCCTTGTCCGGTCTAGATGGGTCCCCACGCCGAGGACCATCAATAGGGCGGTCGTTGTGGTCAGGCAAGAGTTCTCCGCGTGCAAGAGCATCGCGTCCATGGAACGAATCATTAGGTCCACGCATGCGGGCTGGGCGATCCATAGGCCAGCCATTCTCACGGAGAGGTCGACCATCGCGGGATGGTCCACGCATAAGATCATCTGGAGGAGGCCGGACAGGGTAATCGCGATCACGCTCATTAAGACGCCCATGGACTCGATTGTCGCTACCAGGGCCATCAAACGAGCGGTCAGGGCCGGGTCCATGTCGACTGCGGGGGTTGAAGTCGGAATGTCTATCTCGTCGGTCATCCACTCCCTCGGGGCGCGGAGGCAATCTTCCGTCGTGACGGGGCGGAGGACGAGTGGGAGGGTGGACTTGCGAGCGAATATCAGGCTGACGCCCCGAATCGGGCGCCCGAGAGTTTGGTCGTGAGCGCACAGGTGGTTGGTCAGACGGAGCATCCAGGTGAGCATCGATGCCAGCTACGGAAGGTGTGGTGGATCCAGCTCGAGAGGATGTACTAGCCATCTTGTTCTCGTCGCTCGCCTTTCCTGCACCAACATCGGTCATCTTTGCATCCTCGATCTCACCATCCTCAACTTCAGTCTTGCCAGTATGTTCCTGGTTCGTAGCAGGGCTAATAATCGACAGTTAGACATCGCGAACATCTGCAGATTCTCTAAAATCGGTACTTACTCTGAGGTTCGGGTAGGGTTGAACTCTGGGGCTGCGGCATTCAGTGTTGGTGTAGCAGGATGCTGAGAACCGGAGTGGGCCTGGGCATCGGCGGCCTTGACCATGTTGAAAGCTTGTGGCAACATCCACTTCTTCTCTCGTCGGTTGAGGTCACCAATCAACGAGGCTGCGGGAATCTTCACGTCATCACGCTCGTCGTTCTTGCTCAAATTGTTGACACAGTTCAGCATATCTCGACCGATCCAGTTCACGGCAGGGAAGTGTTGGACAACAGCCTTCAGAACACTGATTGCGTTTCGAATGTGCATGTATTCGCCTCCGCTGAGGCAACTCTTGAGGGCGTTGGAGAACAATCGGTGCCATTTGTATAGAAGACGGCGGAAGTCCTCAAACTCCAAGAACATGACTGGTACACCTTCAGGGTCAACATTCTTAGCGAAGCCAGGAAGGTCTCTCTTGGTGCCAAAGGCCTCCTTCTCGTAAACGGCTTTGTCAGCATGCCATCTAGAGAGATCACGCAAGACCTCATTCAAGAAGCGACCAAGGTTATCCGCCTCCTTAGAAGTACATAGGAAAATGAGCGCCGTGAGTCTATGCTCGCGGAAGAGCTGGTCGAGAAGACCAACGGTCCGGAAGTTAGGAGTGCCCGAGCTGTGCAGGAACTTCAACATCTTGAAACAGAAGAAGGCATCAAGAGGTGACAAGAGAAGCCGAGGAATGAAACATTGCTCTAACAAGGCAACATTCAAAGAGTCATGCTTAAGGCGCATGCCGGCGAACCAGCGGTCCTTCTCCTTTTGCAGCCTGGAGCGAGTCTGTCCATATGCCTTCAGATGATTCTTGTTCTCCTCCAGAATGCGTTCCTGCAGTTGAGTGAGGTTCTTTTTCGAGGCCTCCCTTCGTGTTGTGCCTGCAGTGCTGGGGTCAGACCGGTCGTTGTTGATTGAAACCACTCGTCGTTTGAGACGGTCGATCTCATCCTCATAGGATTTCTGAGGAATGTGAAGATCGTAGAGAGCAAGCTGCCAGAATGTTGCATAGAAGTGAGCACCAATGGTCTCCCACGTCTCAACAGGCAGAGAAGATTTGACATTATCAATCAGCTCTTGCATGACCGGGTTTGCAGCTAAGGGCTCAGCATTCACGACAGGAGCAGGAGTAGAATCAGCACCCTCAGTCGTGACAAGGTTTCCTGACTCGTCCTTGTCGACATCCATGGCGGTGTCTGCAGAGGCTTCATCAGGCTTTGCGGGCGTTTCTCCGTCCTCGGTGGTATCCATCTTGCTGTCGCCATTCGGCTTGGGCGTAGCATCACCGACGGTTGAGGCTTCCAGTTGCTTCGCTTCTTCAATGTCGGTGATCTTCCGAGAAATGCTAGTACGACGAATCCAGAAGGCGATCTCTGGCTGGATTCCAAATTCCTTAATGAGTGATGACAAGTCCGGCACGAAAGAGTCAAACTCATCAACAGACAAGTTGCTGCGAAGCAAGTCCAGGTACTGCGTGAGAATGCGATGGATCTCATCAAAGATGTTGCCAAGTAGTTTAAGCTCCGACGACGTTTCCTTGAAGACACAAGTCAACCGTTCTTGAGCAATGGCAACCAACAACTGACCAGCGAGTCTATTGTGGGTCAATGACTTCAGCAAACGCTTGGATGTGGTTTTCGACTCGTGACGCTTATCCAGAAGCTGCAAAATGGTCTGGGATTGCAAAACATCTCCACCGGCCATGGCCTGGATTTGAGCGTCGTTGAAATTGTTGTCCGTGATGATTCCAGCCATGGAGCTGATCAACTGCTCCAACACGATAAGATCGGTTGAATTGTTCTGTCGCAGTTGTTCAACGACATACTGAAGAACTGGTGTGGGGTCCATGATGGAGTACCTCTTGTAGGTGCGGCCGGCGAATGCGGATAAGGCGTTCAGCCAGCGACTAGTCAAGAGACCACTCTCTTGGACACGACTGCGTCCCTTCTGGCCAAGCGAGTTGACAAGTGCCCAGGACAGGGTATCGTAGCCGAGATAAGTGAAATAGCGGGCACACTCGACCACAACTTCGATGAGGTTCTCGTAAGACTCAATTTGGCTAATGGCGACATTGATGACGATTCCGGGGTTGGCATATGCAATCTTAGCTAATGCGCGGGCCATGGGACGGATGTTCGTCTTGCTGAGACGCTTGAGAGTGTCTTTGGTCTCTGCTCTGGCCTGATCGAAGGCCTCCTTGATGTCAGGCAAACGAGATGTCTGTCCCGAATACCACTCTGCGTACATGTTGTATCGAACATCACGGGGGAAGAAACTGATGAGCTCGAAAACCTCATTAACCACACCAGGGTTAGCCTTGGTCAGACTAACAGCGGGCAGGAGCAAACGCTTGCAAAGGTCGCGCCAACGGGATTTGTTCTGTTCAGATCCATCCTGGATCAAGCTTCCTTTGCCAATTCGGACAAGTTTCGCCAGAAGGCACGCGTCTTGTCCGATCTTGTGGCCAGAAAGGTTCAGGAAGGATGAGCAAAGGGCAAAGACATCGTCGACGGACTGGCAGATGGGGATGTTGTCGGCCCAGTCGTCCCAGTAAAATCGATAATCAGTGCCATCGTTTGTGTCTTCCTTATCCAGTTGAGCCCAGCGCAAGGTTCGTCTCGGGGGTGGAGCCGCAAGCCCGATCTGGCCCTTGGCAAATCCGCTCTGATCAGATGTCACTTGATATTGCTGCCCTGGAAAGTCGCCGGAGATAAATGACGGTCGGAATTGGACGTAAACCTTGTTCAATGAGTGGTGGAGGATACGATGGATGAATTCAGGTAGCTCGGGATATGCTTCCATCAACCAAGGGAATTTACTGATCACAAAGAGAGATTCAGGAATGGCTCCGATGGCGAGAAGACTCTTGAGAAGTAGCACTTTCTGGTCTGAGGGATCCGGTAAGTCGTCATCTGTTTTGGATGCGCCTTGCTTGTCGGCTTCTTGATCTTTGGCAGGGGTTGACAGCCGTGGTTCCGAGTCACGCAAACGGGGAAGAGGGACTGTGTCGTCCGACAAAGCACCGGCCATCATCAAAGCGTTCGTTCCACCACCTGGTCGGCCAGCCTTCACTCTCTCGGCTTTCTCTGCCAACTTCTCGGTCTTCAAAGTGTCCATGGAGTCGTCGGGTCGCCAGAGGTGCGCATAGAGATCGCGAAGGGAGATGAACCCTACTTTGATAAGCAGAGCCGCGAGGTAGATCAAGTTATCAGGGAGCACATCAGATTTGGTTCGAGCCGAAGAAGAGTAGAATCGCAGTTTGAAGCCAAGAAGCTGAGCCGCAACCCGGTTGCCCTTTGGTGGCATCGTGCCTGTCTCCTCGAGCCATGATCGTGTAACATCCTCTTCGAAAGTTGAGCCATTGGTTTCTGCGAGAGACTTTTGTTTTTCTGTCTCTGAGATCGGTTTGCGGCCAATTTCAAAGAAGGCACGAATACCAACCTCCCTCACTCTATCCCAGAACTGATGATCGCGCTGTTCATTTGACTGCATGATAGCTGCTCGTTCCTCCTCGGTGGTGACCCAGCCGGATGATCCAGGGAGTGCCCAGTTCGGGATACCAGAGTGTCGACGGCCCTCGTCGAGGCTTTGGAAAATGTCCTCCTTGGGCCACCACGAGCTAGCTCTCAATAGCTTCACAAAGAAGCGGTATTGCTTGACGAGAACCGCGGCAAACACATCCAGTGTTACATCCAGAACACGGCCAACATCCATATCAAATGCGCCGATCATCGCCTTCACTCGCTCGAACGTCTCCTCGACCACTTCGCTCGATGGAGGCTCATTGTTGCTTGTGGTGAACAGCTCGGTGAGAAGTTTTGAGTATCCTTCAGACTCTTCGCGGAGAAGATTATAGTTTGACTGTCTGTAGAGTAGGTTTGTCTGCTTGCGAATACCCATGCGCGCAAAAGTTTCGCGGACCAATCCCAAAGACTGCAACAACGGGGTATCGAGCTGAAGGCGCATCAAAGAAGGACTAATTCCAGTCGCGAAAACAAGCGGCTTGAGGGCAGGGTTTGAGGTATCGGCATCGGTCATGATCGAAAGGGTATCAAGGAACAAAGAGCGCGGGTCGAGTTCATCAGTCGAAGCTTTCTCACTGTTGGCTTCCATGTCCACATCCTGGGAGGCAGCTTTTTGGCCAATAATCTCTTTAACAACGGTACCGGCATCCGAGGGCGACAGTCGACCGTAAATCGCAGACCGAAGAAGCTCTTGGTAGACAGCTGCGAGTCTGGGCAGGTCCTGCTGGAGACGAGCTTCGGTTCCTTGCTCCACCACATCCTGCTTGCCTGTCGCTGTCCATTCCTGGACGGCATTGTCGGTAACAAACTCGTAGTCGTAGGGAGGCGGTGGGGCGGAAGGTGCGCGGGGGACAGGCTCTGATCCAGCACGAGATGGAGGGTTGTGATGCGCCTGCGAGGCCGGGGTATTGGGCGCAGGGGAGGGAGTAGGGTGGAGCGAACTGGGCTCGCCGTTTTGCTGTGTGGGTTCGGCGGTCTCCTTGGACTGGGTGATGGGCGGAGGAGACATGGCGTTCAGTTCTTTGTGCTGTGAGTTGGAAAAATTCTGACTATCATGAGACCCGCGGCGGGAACCAGCCCGGCTGCGATGCGATTGTCGGCGGGATCTATCGCGCGAGTCGTTCTGCTCGCGAGGAGAAGGAGACTGGTGTCCAGAGTTGGGAGGGTGATGCGCCATGTTCAGTGTACCAGGGCGATGGGGAGAAGGTCTCAAGTTGTCATTGCTTGCTGAGTCGCCAGAATACGAGCGTTCACCGCGCTTCCGCTTTCCACCATGCCCGGGCGCCATGTTGGTATCCAGTTTAGACGCGAGGGGTTGAGACGGTGGGACGGGATGTCGGGAGGTTGCAACTCATGGGGTTGATCTTGCAAGACAGACAAGTGTTAGCGATTGAAATGAGTGGCAGAGATGGAAAATACAAGGCAAAGCATGCATATAAGAAAGCGTACCAGCAAGAGAGATCTTATGAAAAAGAAGGTGGAGGGAAAGTTAAAGGCGCAGAAGATGAAGATGAAACTTGGTGATCGATGAAGCTTCGGTCCGACTAAGAGGCTCTGGACTGCCTGAGGTGTCGACCCCATTCACCCATTCAAATCGCCTCAAATCACTTCACTTCAATCTACGTATAATTATAATTTGGAGTAATTATTTCCTATTGGCCCTTGCATAACCATTGATTCAGCATTTAACTACAATCAGTTGCAAAACCATGGTTTTCTACAAATAGTCCAATGTATATCCGCGAGTATAGAGTAGATCAGGAACAAAATGTCCCCATACATCAGGTTCAGTGGCCTGCATGCAAGTTTCTAAACATAACTAGTCCTTATCAACAGTTTAAATCCAGTTCATTACACATAATAGTAGCCATAAAATTAGGTTCCAGGTCTCACAGCAGTCCAAGAGCCTTAGCCTCATTCTCGACAATCTCAGGAATGAGCTCAATCAACTTAGGCTTCTGAGGGTTCCAACCGAACAGCTTGCGGGCACGCAGCGATATACCACGGGAGTTAGATCCCCAAGCATATTTTCCAGCAACAAACACCTCTGTGGTCTGAGCTGCATCTAAAGATTCAACATCAGGACTCGAAATAAGCTTCTTCTCAAAGGCAGACTGCGCAACCGCCCTTTGGATATCACCCCAAACAAAAGACCCATTCTCAGCGAGGTAGTAACCCTCGTCGTTCCAAGTAGCCTTGCCACCACCCTCAGAGGCAGCCTCACCCAAAGCCAAGTAAACATCGCTCAGGTCCTGAACGTGGACCTGGTGCCAGACATTCTCGCCCTTACCAACAAGAAAGCCCTGCTTACGCTTGAGTACAGCGGCGCTGAGAAGGTATGCTTGGATACTCTTGGTATTTCCAGGTCCACGACCGGGGCCGTAGATAGTAGGTGGGCAGACGACTGCGACCTTCACACTGGCGGAGTTTTGCAGGCCAGTGCCGAGGATGATCTCGTCCACGTTACGGTGGAAAGCATCCGAAGGGAGGTTGATAAGCTCGCTCACACCTTCCCAATCATTGTACTGCTTAGGGCGCTCGATGCCGTATGTACCCGCGCGTTGGTCCTCGATTGTCAAGATACCTGTGCCGGAGGTGTGGATTAGCCACAATGGACGTTCGGGTGCGTGATGCTGAGCGCCCTTAGCAATGGCCTTCGCCGCGGCAACATGATCACAATCGGCGAAGTCTAGAGGTTAAACGTTAACCTTCTTGAACTGCAGATATGGGGGCCTTGGTAAACATACGGAAGACGATGTCGGCATTCTTCACTTCCTCTTCAATCAAATCAGATGAGTCCAGGTCACCGATCACGGTGCGAATCTGTGGATATTTGCTGGTGACCTGGGCAGATTTTTCCTGACTGCGGACTAGAGCAGAGAATTGCCAATCGGGATGGGCGCTGGCAATGGCGAACAAACCGTCACCGCCGATGTAGCCAGTAGCGCCAGTGCTGTGTTGACTATCAGATTGAGAGCTCGGCTTTCTGTGCGAAGGCGACTTACATGAATACTTTGGGAGCCATGTTTAAATTGGAAGAATGATAAAGAGATAGTGAGTGAAGAAGGAAAAAGAGAGGCAGGATCCGAAGTATTTCACTGCTATTAACACATGCTTTGAAATCAACCCATCTTAGCAAGTAGCCCCGAGATGGAACCAAGTGGGGGATTGACGTTAATCCTGGACAGAATCCTGCTAGAAACCCCCAGAAGCTGCAACTCTTTCACACATAGTCTCCGCATCTCAAGTAAAAAGCAAAATATCATATAAAACTCACAATCTGACGGACTCTCTATAGAGCTTGCCCCGCATGATGTCAGGCCCGGGTACTACACGAACATTCCACTTCCACTTCCTTCATCCTACAGTCTACAATCTACACATTATCAGATCACCATGGCATCCGGTAGCTGCGCCTGTCGATACATTACTTACACGACCTCCAAGCCTCCAACCTATCTAGTCAACTGCCACTGCACAACCTGCCGCAAACAAGCCGGAGCACCATACCAGACCTGGGCGCCTTTCTCAGCCGACGATATCAAATGGACCACCAAGCCGACTGAGTGGCGGGCCACAGACACTGCCACACGCAGTTTTTGTCCACGTTGTGGCTCCATTATCACCATGATCCTCGATCGTGATCCGACGAGTATTGATGTGGCTGCGGGGACGCTTGCTGAAGGGGAGACACAGATCCCGCTACCGAGTCATCACATTTTTCTCCAAGAGAAGGCGTCCTGGTATCATCTGCCGGAGGATGGGGCGAAGAGGTGGGATGAGTGGGCGGATTATCATAAAGTGTAGCAGGATGGTATTCGGAGTGTGCTATTGTAGAAAGAGTATATATAGCAGCTGAACAGGTATCCACTATAAGAAATTGAAGCATTCGAGGCTGAAAAAAGACAGATTGTTCATAGGCTTAGATAACATAACGGGACAAGGACACGAAAAGGTTTAAGGAAACAGAGAGGGGAATCACAAGTTCGTGCCCGGGGTTACATGTACAGACTCGTTGAATACCGGGAACCCGATCAGAATGTGCTGGTGGCTAGCCGACTAGCTGCGTTGCGCGCATCAAGACGGTCATCGTCTTCCTCCGGGATCGAGCCAACCTGGCTAGGGGCGCGGTTGCGTCCCTTACCAGAGCCCTGACCGTTTGTTTCATCGTCATCATCAGCAAGAGAAGGTGAGGTAAAGCTGCCGCTCATGCTGCGGCCAATGTTGTCGTTGCGACGAGGAACACCGCTCCAAGAGTCACCCTTGGGACCTTGACTCGAGGACATGTTGGCCCGACGCACAGCAGGATGAGACTCGCGACCCAACCGGCTCAGACCCCCGGAAGCGTCAATTGCACGTATATCAGGTCGAACGCTCTCCAGGGTTGCCAGAGTACGGCGCTCGGCTTCGATCTGGCGGAGAGTGTACTCGCGCAGACTGAATAGAAGGTCCTGTGTGGTTCGGTCAAACCAGCGGCGCTTCTCCTGAAGGAGGTTTGAGGTCACACGCTGGGTGCGCTTGGTCAAGTAGTCCTCGTGGTTCTGGGCCTCCTCAAGGGAGTTGATGGCTTCATCTACCTTGTCGGGACGAACCGATGAGCTGACCTTCAAACGGTCAGCCGCAGCGCGTTTGCTTCGAGCATTCTGTTGGGCCTGGAGTAGTTCCCGGAGCAGAATGTGTCGATTGGTCAGGGTTTCCTTCACAATGAAGGCGTCGGAGGAATGGTAGTTCAATGGCTCTCCCAATGTAGTAGCCTCCGCAGTAGCTTGAACAGCGTGATAATCGCCTACAGTCTGGACAATCTTGCCGAGCTTGCGGTAAGCTGCACCCAAGCCGGGATGGGTCTCTTGCACGTGCATCTGACCGAGCTTCACGCCGAAATCGGCCTCAGCCAATCCCAAACCTTAAACAGTCAGTTTCAATTAGGATCAAACATAAGACAAGAGCAGCGAAGAAACATCAATTGACATACCACGGCGGGCCTTGACCACGCGATCAACCTTGTGGCTCGTATCCATTGATCCCAGGTAGAACATCTTCGCGGTGGGACGAGCAGCCTGCAGCTCAGGTGTATCATCTGGAGGTGGCGCAAACTGCTTCAGCATCTTGCGTCGCACACCGGTTGCCGGCTGCTTCATCCGTAGTACGGGGCTATAGCCAAAGTCGCTCTCCACGAATAGCACAACCTCGTCATCCTGGATAAGGACTTCATTGTTCAATACGCAATTGAGCCACCGCTGCATAGCCGATTTGACTCGAATCTCATCTTCCTCCGTGCCTGCACCTGCAGGGGTTACAGGCGACGGAACAGCGGGGACCAGAGCTTCGGGGTTGGCGGAGACCAAGTGTTCGGCAAGCTTAACGAATTCGGAGTGGGTACGGCGCACATCACGGTACTGGGTCGTGCGGAACTTGGGGATATTGGTCTGCAATAATAGGAATGGAAATTAGCCATTGAGAATGCATGGGACAGCCTACGGGGTAGACGTACGTGGACATCGAACCGGAGAATAGGGTCCTTCTTGCCGGTCCTCTCCAGGCCTGTGATTTTGCCCTGGATCTTGTAGAAGGGAGCCTGCGGCCGTGGGGCTTGTCTTGCGCCGGCCTGGTACTGTGCGGGGGAAGGTGATTGTTGCTGGGCATTTGGAGACTGCGCAGCGAATGGGGAATGTCCCTCGGCATAGTCCGGGTCTCCTAATTGTGCGCTCTGGAGCCGAGCAGAGAGGTCGGGAGATTGTGGCTCCTCAATTTGGCCCCTACCTGCGTCCTCCGCGGATTGCTCCTGGCCTGGTAAAGGAGAGGACGGGATGTCATTGTTGGAGGTGGGGAAGGCACCTCGCTCAGCGCGCGGCGAACCCCAGGGTGAGCCATCGGTGGGGTGGTCAGGGTCGTTGGTAATGGCGGAGTAATCCATCTTGGTAAATAGTCGATGTAGGGAGTGTCGCTGACAAGGGGGAGCTACTAATCATGGTAGGCGTCAGTATTAAATGGCTGGAGATCAGACCCCCACAGCAACGGCCAGCTAGCTCCATGAGTCAGGGACATACCCTGTACAGCTTAGGACGTAGAGTTGAAAGAACACTGTGCTTTTAGACTCGCATATTACCGGGAGAAGAGAAACAAAAGAGAATCTTGGAAGAGACACGATGTGGAGAGAGGTCAAGGTCGCAGCTACGTACGGAGGAATGCGTGCGCCAAGCCTCGCGATCTCCAGTCCGCTTTGCGTTTTGCTTTTCTTTGCTTTGCCCTTCTGTTATACCAAGGATTACATACACTCAATGCTGTCTCTACATAATCAACCTTGATTTTCCTTAGTGCATGCACACTTTCCCTTGGAATGGTCGCGGCTCCATTGTTGCGCTTCCCCCAGGGGATGCGCTGTATGAGCTCCAACTTGTATAAAAGGCAAACCAATATTGCGAGCAAAAATACGTGCTCCTCACTCAAGGGTCTCCGGTCCAACTACACGCATCTCCGAGACTTCTCGACGACTCCTGCAACATGGCAGACCGAAACTTTGGATCGAACCCGAAATATTGGCATTATCGCCCATATCGATGCTGGCAAGACCACCACCACCGAACGCATGTTATTCTACAGCGGCTTCACTAGGCGTATCGGTGATGTGGACGAAGGGTCAACAGTAACTGATTTTCTTCCAGCTGAGCGTGCGCGTGGTATTACCATTCAATCGGCTGCCATCACCTTCCATTGGCCTCCTGGAGAGGTAGATGGATCAACACTTCAGCAAACTGGGGCCGATGGTGCACCAATTCCGCGCTCTGCATCTCCGCACACTATAAATCTGATTGATACCCCTGGCCATGCAGACTTCACGTTTGAAGTCATGCGCTCTCTACGCATTCTCGATGGTGCAGTCTGCATCTTGGATGGTGTCGCTGGTATTGAGGCGCAGACAGAGCAGGTCTGGAACCAGGCAAGCACGTATAAAATTCCTCGAGTCATCTATGTCAACAAGCTCGACCGTGATGGAGCCGCTTTTGGTCGCACGGTGCGAGAAGTCAGCTCTCGCTTGGGTGTCTATCCGGCAGTGTGCCAAATCCCATGGTTCCAGGGTGGCAATGGTCCATTTGTCGGAGTAGCAGATGCAATTCACCTCCAGGGACTGAGATGGAAGGAAGGGGAGGATGGCCGTGCTGTGAAGATGGCTGATCTTCAACAGCTCGAGGCCGATGAGCCGTCTTTGGCACAAGAATTGCGGCGTGCACGCATTGCATTGGTTGAATTGCTCAGCGAGCAGGATGAGGCCATTGTAGAGAAGTTCTTCGAATGCGATGAAGATCATCTTGCAGTTTCGTCAGCTGATATCATCGAGAGTCTGCGCCGCTGTGTGTTGGATCAGAGCAGCCGGATCGTTCCCCTCTTTGCAGGTGCCAGTTTCCGGAACATGGGAGTCCAGCCGTTGTTGGATTCTATCGTGAACCTTCTGCCCAGTCCACCGGAAGCCCCAGACCCAGAGGTCAGCATAGGCGGCGTCAAGGGTGGTCTGCGGAGACTATTGTCTGGAGACCTGATCGTTGAGCAGAGTGAGCAGGCCGCTGTGCCATCCAAAGGCAAGCAACACAAGAAGAAGAAATCAGCATTGCAATCCGACTCCAAGGATGCAATCTCTAAACTTCAAAGCTGCGCATTGGCATTCAAGGTGGTCAACGATCCGAAGCGCGGAGTTCTGGTCTATGTGCGAGTGTATTCCGGCTCATTAGACCGCAACAGCCTACTCTTCAACACAAACCTGCATCTATCTGAGCGTGCTCCACGTCTACTCAAGATGTATGCCAACGATGCGGTGGAAGTGGACTCGATTCCCGCTGGGCACATTGGAGTGGTAGTCGGACTCAAACAAACCCGAACTGGTGATACCCTCGTATCATACGCAGGAAACAAAGCCACGCCCCCAGAGCCACTCACCAGTCTCCAGCTGCGACCAATTGCAGTCCCACCACCAGTATTCTTCACCAGCGTTGAACCTCACAGCCTAAGTGAAGAAAAGCGAATGCAAGAATCTCTAGCACTCCTCCTACGTGAAGACCCCAGTCTGCACGTTACCATGGATGAAGAATCAGGCCAGACCCTCCTCAGCGGCATGGGAGAACTGCATCTCGAGATCGCGCGCGATCGATTGATTAACGACCTCAAGGCCAAGGCCTCAATGGGCCGCATTGAGATCGGATACCGTGAATCAGCACTCGGCGCATCTAACCCCATAACCAAGATCTTCGACAAAGAGGTCGCCGGTCGCAAGGGCAAAGCAGGCTGCATGGCAGTAGTCGAGCCACTAGATGAAGACGCCTCGCCCGAAGAAGTCGACCACGACACTCTCCTCGTCGAGACGTACGACGGCAACCAGATCATCATCCGCGCCCCAGGTCTGCAGATCGAACACTCGCACGATGAAGGAACCAGCCCATTCCTCCCGCCAGGAATGGACCTAGTTACGTTCCGCACAGCCGTTCAAAACGGTGCCATGGCAGCCCTTGCTCGTGGCCCGCAATTCATTTTCCCAATGCATAATACCCAAGTCACACTCACCATCGACCCAACTTCCCACCTGTTCGGCAATGAGACAACAGCCTCTGCCCTCTCCGCCGCGGCAAGGCAAGCCACCGCCGCCGCGTTGAAGGATGTGCAAGCTGGCGCCGGCACTACGATGATGGAGCCGGTGATGAACGTGATCATCAGCGTGGACGAGGCCAGTCTCGGTTCTGTTGTGCACGATATTTCGTCTTCGCGTGGTGGACATATTATTTCTCTCGATGAGGAAGTACCTTTGCCAGGGACGGATGCGTCGCCGACTTCTCAGTCTGCGCTTGAGGAAGAGCAGCTGCCTCCCATTGATCCGAACCGTGTTTATGCGCCGCCGGACCCATTCGAGACTCCTTCTGTTGGTGTTGAGATCCCCGTCTCTACTGCTCGGCCGCGTACTATCACTGCTAAGGTGCCGCTTAAGGAGATGGTTGGGTACTTAAAGCATCTGCGTAGTTTGACTGCCGGCCGAGGCACTTTTGTCATGAGCGTTGATCGGTTTGAAAACATGTCTTCTCAGCGACAGAAGGCCGTTCTTGCGGAGTTGAGAGGCGGATTCTGATTCTTTTGGCTCTTCCCTGGACCTGGCTTATTAGCCTGGGCTATGAAATCACCGGCTCAACCACCAAATCTTGGAAAGTCTTGTACATTATCTCATTTCGCAGCGTTCTCGTCACTATACAAACATTAGATCTAACTACTGGCCACATTCCCTTCCATCGCCACACTCTAATTGATACCGGGCCAAGGGACAAAGTAAAACAAGTCTGCATCTGAACCCCACTCTCTCAAAGAGGAAGATCCTAACAAGGTATATGTATGAGGCAAGTAAAGAGTAGAGACACAAATAAGAAGAATAACAACACCAGGCATAACGACATGGTACCCACAAACCAGCCCACAAACAAATAGAAACAAATGCTCCTAGATGCCTAGATACTACCAGTTATCATCCCATTCGTCCTTCCCTTTACCGGTCGATGCAGCTGTAGTACCATCTCCATGTTCAGCACCAGCAGAAGCAGGCGTTGAGTTAGCCAACGACGACGTCGTAGGGCCCTTCCGGAGAGCAGCAGTACCAACAACATCAGATCGTTGAGACCGTTGTGATCCACTGCGGCGATGGCCGGCCGGCTCCTGCGAGCCTAGAGACGAGAAATCATCCCAGAAATCCCGGCGTTCAGGTTCCACGCGAGTGCGTTGGTATTCACCTCGTCCATCGTCCCCTTCGACGAATTTGTTGAACTGATCAGCCGCACCGCGCACTCCAGTCTGCAGATTCTGACCCAAGGTCGAGGCGTGAATACGCGCTTGAGCCGCAAAGTCGGATTCAGCCAACTAAACCCAACTCGTAAGTCATCCTGTATATCAAATGAAAACAAACCAGACACCACCACCGCCACCACTAGAAGCACCACACATACCTGTTTAGCCGTAGGCTGCAGATAAGAATCATTAACCTGCTTAGCACCCTTCCCAACAGTAGAAGTAAACCACCCAAAGCCCTTAGTGAGTGTGCCCATAGGATCCTTCTGAAGATCCTCGAATTGACCGCCGCCACCACCCCATCCGCCAAAACCCCCAAACGTCGAAGACCGCTTCTCACTAGCAGACGGCGCAGGCATACCACCCCCAAACCCAGTAAACTTGCCACCCTGCGACGGAGGCAGATTATCCGAGCGCGAAGCATTATCAGACCCCAACTTCGCAAAGTACGCCTCATTCTGCTCTTTCTTGCCCCCACTAGCACCAGCGCCAGCACCCCGCTGTCCATCAGAACGAATAGACGACGCAGCCGGTGATCCTGATCCAGCACGCGCACCACTCAAACTCATAGGCGTGTTCGACCGCATCGTATTGTTATCGTTATTCTTCTTCTCCTGGCCTTGGACATATTCGCGGCCCTCGACCTTACACGATAAGCGCTCCTTCCACTCCTCGCCGGATTCACTGTCGTAGCGCTCTTTGATTGTGGAGTCTTCGAAGGTGCGACCCTCAGAGACGGGGATGGGGTGGGCGTCGTAGAAAGTCTTCCAGGGCTCGTTGCCTCCTAGTTCCATGCGCTGGATCTCGGCGTTCTTAAAGGCGTCCATGGTGATTGAGCGGACGAAGGAGATATGCACGCCTAGGCCGCGGTGGATGCCGGCGCAATTGAGGCAGATGAATGTGCCGAATTTTGGGGAGGCCTGTTTGTTTTTGCCCGGTTGGGCGCAGGGTTAGCGAGTATGTTTGTGAGTGTGGTTGCGGGGTGGTGATGGGGTTTCTGGATTTTGCCCTTTTCTTGTCTTGTCTTGTCTCTCTGGGGAGATCAGAGGAATGGGTTGGATGGGGTGTTTCTTACCCATTGAGGCGAGGGGGCGCCGCAGTCGCAGCACTTGTCGTTTCCGTTCGTCTTGGAGATTTGGAGGAGCTGTGGCTCGTGTGTCAGTGGCCTTTGGGCCGTTGCGATGTGAGAGCTTGCTGGGTAGCACCTTTGTCCTCGTCTCTGGGTCGACCTCCCACATGCGAGACATCTTGGATGAATATACAAAACCGGACTGAAGCGATTCCAATGACGTGCGCTAAGGCGTTGACTCGACACTCGGCGATGGAGGGTACCCCTTTTTCTCGGGTTGATAGAGTCGCGTAGGAATTCAAGGAATGTATCAAAGAAGCAAAGACAATGCAATTGGCTCGGGAAAAGGAAATCAATTGAGTGAGACAGTTCTATGTTTTTTGCCTCTGATCGGCAAGGCCCTGGGGTCGCCCCGACTTAGTCCCCGAATCATTCCCCCCAACCGAGTCCTACTTATACTAAAGTTATAAATTCCATTCTACATACTACTTTCTCCTCGTGCCAGGTGGCAGATCGTCATCATTTAGTAAATGTGTGCTAAGATACAATACAGAAGGCAAAAAAAAAAGTCGTTAAGGATGGAGATCGCATCAGCAAAGACGGTCCCCAGCATGGATAGTCCATGGCCCGTTAAAAAAAAATGTCATAAAATCCCCCATCGCTCCTATAACCAGCTAAGATATTCACGGTAGTCTGGATTTTAGTCCATGACACCATCATCATATCCATACTTTCCTCTGTTGTGCTCCCCGTTCCCCTCCCAAGCCCAAAGTGAATCAACAAAGACCTCGGTTGGTCGTTAGAAATCAGGCATTTAAGCCTCGGTGGTGGCAGGAGCGACGTTCTCCTGGGGGGCAGGAGCAGACTCCTCGAACTTCTCGGCGGCAGCATCAACGTCATCCTCCTTTCCGGGGCTGTCGATAGCGACCTTGACGGCGATAACGCGACCATCGATGTCCTTACCGTTCATCTCGCTGACAGCCTTGGCCTGGAGCTCCTCGGATGCAAGGTTGACGAAGCCGAAACCACGGGTCTTGCGGCGCTCGTTGCGAGCCTGGAGCTTCTTGATCATGAAGCGGGGAATGGGACGCAGGGCGACCTTGGCGGAGACAGGCTGGTAGTCGGCGAAGATCTCCTTGAGCTGTAAGGGGTCAGACAAAATAACGTGGAGCGTAATTAGATAGTGTAACCCACCTTGTCCTCAGTCAGGTCGTAGGGGAGGTTAGCAACCATGACCTTAGTCTTGGAGGGAATGCCATCATCGGGAGGGCCACGCTGCTTCTGGGGGCGAGCTGCGCGAGCCTTGTTCTTGCCAGCTTCGGAGCCAGCATCGTTGTCGTTGGTGGCCTCGGCGAGAGGAGCCTCACCGGCAGCAGGCTCGGTATCTGCCTGGCCATCCTGTCCCTGGTTCCATGATGAGAATTTGTTCCAAAATGACTCTGAGAGTCGATCGAGATCACTTACAGTTCGGCTACGGCCAGTACGGCCGCCACGACCGCGGGCACGGCCACGGCCACGACCACGGCCACCAGTACGCTTGCGGCCCTCGGCGCCACTAGCACCCTCACCACCGCTGGCAGCACCCTCCTTGGCCTCGGCGGGCTCAGGCTTGCGGGCGAGCTGCACAGAGACCTTGCGCGAGAGGATCTCCTTGCCAGAGAGGGCCTCTATCGCAGCAGCAGCCTCAGAAGCAGTGGCAATGTCCACAAAAGCATAGCCGACCGGGCGGTTGGTGCGGGGGTTCACCGGGATCGAGGTGGTCTCGCTGAAGGGAGAATGAGTCAGGAATCCAAAATAAACACATGCACGCGTTTAATGTTTGTCCGGGGAATCCTGCATGTGTCAGGATGTGTCTATCACTCACATGGTGTAGTCCTTGAAGAACTGCTTGAGCTCCTCCTCGGTGGTCGCGTATGCGAGGTTTCCAATGTAGAGACGACGACCTTCATCCGCACTGGCAGCCGCAGCATCAGCTGCCTGAGCAGGGGCAGCGCCGTTGGTCTCGGGCTTATCGGTCACCGTGGTCGCAGCCACGCTGTCAGCAAGTGCATCGACAGACATCTTGAGGTAAGGTTGAGGATGGAAAGTGTCGGGGATTGATGAAATTGGCCTGAGCTGAGGAATTCTTGACGCGAGGAGTGGCAGGGTAGCTTCGTGCCCTAGATACCAAGTGAAAAGAAGATGGGTTGAAAGAGTTTTGTCTTTTGGGAGAAGGAAAGAGGAGAGGTGAGAGAAGAGAAGGAGATGGAAAGGGACAGGAGAGGCGGTGTGGGACTAGCCCAGTCAGAGAGCTCCGCCCGAGGGGAAATTACCATGGTGATCGCGAGGCGATTCGGGGGCTCTACGCCTGGATCACGCCTGGAATTTAGGCGGTTTGTGGCCCTTACAGCCCCAAACGTTAGGCCCTAACCCTCGATCCCCAACCCCCTCAAGGGTTGACTCAGAACAACTGGCCTGATGTCATTCTGGGTCCTCGATCCTGCCACTCGTCTTTCTTTCCTTTTCCACCTTGACAAGTCCCCCTTCACCTCTTTTCCCATATAATGTAGCTCTGACCTTAACCTCATGCAAACTCTTGAGTTCCTCAGCTGGCACAGCCTGATCACATATATGAACAGTAGCTGTACGACATGTTCCATAAATACTTCTGTGGCCGATCTTCCACCTCAGATAGCTCCACTTGGTGTCATCATACTCCGCGCCTTCAGATTCAATTGAAAATATCGGAGTATGAATCTATCAGTACAGTCCAAAGATGGTATTGATTGCTGGTTGAAGCTACACAGGTGACACAGATAACCCCGTTTCTGGAGGTATCTATTTTTCGCCGTGACCGTAACACGATCTACATGACAAGGCTTTGTGATTGCCATTGAGAGTGTTCCTTTCCGCCTTATTTCTAAATTTAAAAGAGACCTTACTTCAGCTTGGATTCCTGTCGATGCTGTATCTGTGGCTAAATCTTTGTAGGTGCTATGTATCCTTGTCAACCCAAGATTGATGCTTATTTAGTTAGCTACGAAACAGTTCCGGAGATTCCAGGTTCGGTGCGACCCAGAGTTCGTGTTTCCCTACAGGCCTAGATGCATATTGCATTGGAGCGTATGCACTTGATCTAGTTGAAATTAAATATAGAAGACATCGAACTGTTCATTAGAATAGGTATGTCAACACCCAAAGTGGCGCCATACTGTACAGCAAAATAACAGGCCATGCAAGGGAGGTATTGTGTGACCTCTTATAGCGAGGAGAGCACTAAGGCGACGACAACTTCACTCTTGGCAGATGCGAGAATAGTATAGGCAGACATAAGATGCTAGTCTCAAAAGACTACGGTTTAATCTTATCTTTTTTGGCATACATGTTCATGAACATGCTGCAGATAACTTACATTAAGCTAAAGGGATAAGGCAATGATATAGCTTCACCGTTATTTAGAAAGCGAAACCTGTTATAGGAGATATATGGATAGGATAATACCGATCTACCTCGATCTGCACGATAGCTTTCTATAGTGACGTCTTATTATTTCTTTTGGCCGTGCAAATACTGGAAAAGGGTATCAACATCTCTACGTCGTTGTTCCTTCTTATTGGCTACCAGAGTCCATTGTCCGCCACTGTGACAATTTCGTTGTGTGGCCATTTCCATGTATTGAGCCATTTGAAGTTGTTCACTTGTTGGTAGAAAAGACAGAAAAGACAACAAGCGCCTATCGAAGATCGACAGTTTAGTGCGAGCACTGACGCTTGAGAACTCCACTGTCGTCAGAAAAACAAGATTCGGGGAGAGCTGAGTCATCTTCTTGGCTCTAGAGGCCTTCGCTATCCAGATATCCATCACAGGGGGAAGTCGAATCTTGCACGTTTTAATATTATCAGACATACTCCTGTTCTGCGTGTCCTCCTTGTAATCTCCCCCGGCACCGAGCATGGATCGCATCGAGCCGGTCGAGGACCACGCCCCTGGAGATCCCCAGGAATCTCCTGCAGAGCAGTCCTCTGGGTCTACTCCCCCAAGGCCAGCAGGACCGACGCCGTTGCGCCCGCGGGCCCCTTCACTTCGGACGCGACGACCGAGTATCCGCCTGTCCCGTTTACCGTCTCTGAACTCCTTAGATAACGTCGATCAATCGGCGTTATCGCAACAGGACAATCAGCCGTTGCCGTCCTTCGAACGTCAAGCCATCCGATCCCCTCCGCCGAATGAAGAAGACGAAGCATGGCAGGGTGGCCGACGGCGCAGCAGCTCCGAACCCCGACCGGGCCGGTGGTCTTCTCCTGCCACGGAGACGCTTTCACGGGTCGCCACAGCGACTCCAGGGCGGATGATGCCTTTGACCGAGGAACCGTCACGGCAAAGCCCTGCAGCACTCTCTCCGCCAGTGATAGAGCCCGGGCAGACAATCGAACAAGACTTTGAGCGCCCGGATCAGCTTGAGGCCCCATCCGCAGTAGCGCGCCCTGCAAGTCGCCTTCGGCGAACCAGCCAAGCTGCATTGAACAGGTTCTCCCGGAACCGCGCATCAACAGTCTCAGGAGCACCCCCAACTCTCAATTCTCAAGAGCAACAACGCCAAGATGAAGAGCGTCTAGAGGAACAGCGCAAAAATGAATATGGTTCTCATGTGGTCGACGTACTAGACGTGATCGGTAAGACCCGTCTGATGTGGTACAAGAGGTATACATTTGACTAACATTATCTTAGACCCCGAGGTGTCTGCGTTGTCTACTCTGACTAACGTCCAGAACTCCCTCTTCGTGCCGAACTTGGGTGGCTTCGTCAATCGTATGCCTACTTATACCATTTCCCGACCACAGTACTCTTCGGATGAAGAGCAGGGGACTACAGCAGATGAGGGGGAATTATCCGAGGAAGCCAAGCTTAAGAAGGATAAGGAGCGACCCATAGTGGAGCAACTGCGTCCTTCTCCCAGCATGTCCTCGGTGTTGCCTGGTCCTCGTTATGCCGTTCTCCCTGAAACCCGCGGCCTGGAAGGGTGGACGAAGGAAGACTATGCGGAACTCAACGATCATGTTCGGCATATGCTTCACTCCCGACGGTCCAAGTTCAAACGGTCAATGAGAGGATTCGGGCAGTACGTGCGGAAGCGTAAGTGTCGACCCTCTCCAGGGACATCTTTTATGACACTAACATCTGTTAGCTCTTGGATTTTTTATCACTCTCTACGCAACTCTGATTACGTTGTTTGGTCTGGCCTGGGTTCTTTTCTTGATTGGTACGTTTTCCTTGTATAATGCTTGCTAGTTTATATGCTGACAGTCTTCAGGTTGGATCAATATTGGAGGAAAACAACTCTATGTCATCAATATTATCGATAACGTTTTGGTCGCTCTATTTGCCATTATGGGCGATGGATTAGCTCCTTTCCGTGCAGTCGATACATATCATATGTGTTTCATCGCGCATTACACGTTTTTGACGTGGAAGATCCGTCGAAAGCGCAGTCTGCCAAACCTGAAGGACAAGAACGACCTCCCATCGAAGCCCGAGAAAGACGCCGACGTCGAATCTGGCGATATGACCGAAGAACATGAATACTCTGTGCTCAGCCCTCGCCAACAGCTGCGACTGATGCACCACCAGCATAAATTTGCCAAGTCTCACACTTTCTACAAGCCCCACGAAACCATGACTCATCACGCTTTCCCTCTCCGGATCCTCATTGCCATCGTCGTTGTGCTTGACTGCCACTCTCTGCTCCAGATGGCTCTTGGTGCTTGCACCTGGAGTATGGAGGACTACAACTCGCGACCTTTCGCCCTGACCACTGTCATCCTGTGTTGCTCTATTGCTTGCAATATCTCAGGTGGTGTGATGATTATGATTGGTGATCGACGAGCCCGAAAGAAGGATGTTGTTGAACGGCTATTCCGCCAGGAGCTGACCGAGGAAGCCATGAGGAAGATAGAGAAGAAGAAGGTCAAGGAGGAGCGCAGGAGTATGCAGATTGAGCGTGAGCGCAAGAGCGAACAGCTGGATCGCCCCGAGCTTCCCGAGCCGTACAACGGCACCTGATTGTACTTGCTTTCATATTTCTTTTACGACCGTCACGAGATGAGCTCTAGGAACATTGGTCAAGTTCCTCCTTTGCTCTAATTGTACAGTTTACCGCTGATTATTTTGCTGCTTTTTTTTGGTTCACGAGCATTTATCATACGTCTTGGAGTTTGGCACCTTTGGAATCGGCACGTGTATTACTCTATTTTTGGCATATCTTGCTGGATGATATCTATTTGGCCATTCTGGTATTCAGCCTAGAGAGGCATTTCGTTTCAGCCGTTACGGCGCATTAAATGGTGGTTGATTGCTCCCCAACTTCTTCTTTATATACATAATTCTAGTCAAACTAGTCAAATTCATCTAGTTAACGACCAACCCTGCAATCAAGTCTATAAACAAGCAAAAAGAACAGAACTCCCAAGTTCAACCAACCTTGGAATAAACCAGCCTCAAAAGGTAATAGTAACCTTCTCCCCAACCCACTTCTTCCCACCGCCCTGGATAACCTCCTCAAAAATCCACTCTCCAACCAAAGCCCTAGAAATCGTATATCCAATAGCAGGATCCCTCTCCGTCCCGACCCTAACCATCTCAAACCCCTCGCCCTTCTTCTTACTCTCGTCCTTATCAGAGATCCGATGATCTCCAGTCAAAAAACTAGGCCGGACAACAACAACCCCAGCCCCCAAAACCCCCTTCTCCCCACACCGCACCTCCTCATCAAGCAACTTCTCCATCTGCAATTTATCCGCATGCGGGATAGGAAGCAACATAGAATACATAGGCCGAAACAACACGGGCACATCCTTATGCCCAGGTAAATGCCCCGTCGTCGAAATAACAGCAACAAGAGGCGCAACAGCCCGATACGCCTCTAGACTCTCGAACCGTTCAGACGCAATCCCCGCCAAAGCAACAAGCAACGTGCGCGTCATTTGCTCTGTGATATTCGGATTGGATAGCTCAATGTGCGGCACTGCCGGCACACGGAATTTCGATGTTGGACACTTCGTCTCGCGCGTGAAGGACATGCTTGGTGTGCCGCCTAGACCGGAGATTATGCTTGAGACTAGCTTGCAGGGAGCGTGGTCATTTGGTAGGGAGTTTGAGTTTGTGATGAGTGTTTTGGTTATGCTTTCCACGTCTGTGGCGTCGCCTTCGATGATTTCTAGTTGGGTATCTAGGATTTGTTGGGTTATGCCTGGTTGGTCCAGGAGGAGGGTTGTAAGCTTTGAAGGTGTGCGTGCTAGGGCTCGGGCTTTGTGGCCATTTAGGAGTGTGTATGCTAGACAGGCATTTGCGCAGCCGCCTGTTGCTCCGAGAAAGGCGATGGTCATTTTGATGGTGTGGTGATTTGAATGGATGGATTGTAGATATTGAGGCTTGGAGACGGTAGGTGTTGCTTTGATTTGATTGTGATTGTGATGTTCTGATGATGAATATTGTCTAGGGATTCTATGTTTCTTTATACGAGAACTCGGTCTATCCCATGGGTCAACCGTTAGCACATATTCCCGATTCAGCCTTACGAAGTATACAACATTAGGGCTATGTAGTCTAAATCGGAGGCTGCTGGACCCCGGTCGGTGCAACTGGATGACGCTAGTCTGGATATGGTTTAGTGACGGGCGAACAACTACCCGCGTCGGGTGAACTTCAACGCCCTGTCCAATGCCAGCATACAGTAAGTGCTCGTGTGCGAATACATGTAGGTCCTGTAAAGCTTGTCTACAGAAGTTCTGTGATTGGCTCGAAACAGTATTCCGGGGGAGCTTGTTCATCTTACTTGATATCTAGACTCGGCAGGCTCTGCAATTTGAGGCCTAGATGTCGTTAATTACCAAGTTATAGGCGCTGCTAGAGGTAATCGTATAGGCGACAAAAGCGCAGTCTCGATTGGACAAATCCTTATCTCTTGTTCGAGGCCAGTTGAACTTCCTAAAGCGGAGGCATGTTGAGTCAGCAGGCTTGAATCTTCCACCAGGCCATCATATCTCAGTTTCAATCGCTTTATCTGGTGTTTTTCTTGGTTGAAATGAAATATATAGAGTTTATTGGGAAGATCAGAGAGATTCATTAATAGATATGTGTGAATAGGTTCGTGTTCATGTAGTGTTGTGTACAGAAAACTTTCATCTGCAGCAATATATATCTCTGAAAGAAGAGCCTCACTTTTACATCATGAGCTTTCATAGACTTTATTTCTTCCTTATTTACTCGCTATACATTAGTACGGAAATAGGTATATACCAAGGGTTAATCTTATTTCTTAAACATCTAAAGATTAGTTGGCTTCTAAAAGCTTAGAAGCGTCTGCGTAGACTGGCTATATAGACACCGTTCATCTGCGAGGTGCAGTCGTGCCGACTCACGGACTGCCAAAGCAAATGCATATTCATATGCACTTAGAAGTAGTACATTCAATACTGAACAAGCTTAATTTCACTAAGAATTTCCAAAGCTTGAATTTGACTCATTCTACTCGAATCCCTTTGATCTAGATCAAGCCCGACCGACAAAACCAAGTCCAAGACTCATCGTTTGCAGCTTGAATGAAGACCGACATTCACTCCCTGTGAAATTTTGATATTTGCATCAAGAAAGCAGAGCGCAGATCGGTATGGTTGCCCATCGTAACATAGTAAGCTATGCCTCAGAGCAGGGCGAGGATCGAAAGTGATCAAGATCGACATGGGTCTGGCGATCTCAAATTCCCGTGGATCGAGAGACAAGTGGGACCACTATGACTAGGGTTTTGGATTACGAAGGATTGTTACTAGGGACAGAGCGATTTAGACAGCGCTGCCATGACTAAACAGAGGCGCGTTCAGCTGCGTGGTGCCGGATAATTCGTACCAGTAGGGTATTTTTGACAATCCCCAAACGCCTCAAAATGGAGGCATTTGACGCCACCGGTGTCAGAGCCGTTACATAGACTACGTAGAGCTCTAAGGGCGCTTGATTGGATTGTAGAGCATTCCTCGGAGCATGGCTTCACATACCCGGTACCTGAGTATCAATTCTGGAAGGACCTAAGTGCGGATATTAAATTTGCAAAGCAGAAGACTGTTATAGTGAGTGGCCCATCTGAAGCTCGCCGGGCAGGGAATTGTGGTCCAAAACCGGGATAGTTTTGATTCCAAAATGAACCAGAGCGTAGCGTAGCCTTCAAGGATGCCACTGGCAGGGCGGCATGCAGGGTTCATGCATCTCCAGGAACTAAGGGGCACGTTTAATTGATCATAAAATTCCGGAACAAGGGAAGGGCCAATGGGATCGCCAGGAGGTAGAGATGATCAGGGCAAGCTGGGATCTAACCCTTGCGTAGGGCATTCCGAGAGCAAAAATGGGGAGATTGTTTTTGGCCTTTACTATGAACGGTTGTCGATCAGCTCGTGCCCAAACAGTGAGAATTTGGAGATAAAAGGATCCATCTGAATGGCCTTCTGGTTCTTTCTTTCACACCACAGTTCTCTACTTCTCTATCTCTCTCCATCTTCTATTTTCCAAACCTTCAAACCATTTTTAAATTACAAGATTTTAATCTTTAATACCTCTGCACAATGCAGTTCACTATCTCCGCTGTCATCCTCGCTTTGGCCGGCTTCGCCGCCGCTGCCCCTGCCGAGGCCCTGAACAACTCTGTCGAGGGCCACGAGCGTCCCCGCTTCAAGGTTCCCGATGGAATGACCGTCAAGGAGGCCCAGGCCAAGTGTGGTGACCAGGCTCAGCTCTCTTGCTGCAACAAGGCCACCTACGCTGGTGACACCACCGACGTCAACTCCAGCATCCTCAGCGGCACCCTCAGCAACTTGATCGGTGCTGGCTCCGGTGCCGAGGGTGTTGGTATCTTCACCCAGTGCTCCAAGCTCGACGTCCAGAGTAAGCTCTTCTCAATGTTAAACCCAGACATCTCCATACTAACCGACTCGCAGTCCCCATCCTCATCGCTGTCCCCATCCAGGATATCCTCAACCAGCGCTGCAAGCAGAACATTGCCTGCTGTGCCAACTCTCCATCCAGCGCCAACTCCGACCTTGTCGGTGCCGGTCTTCCTTGCGTTGCCCTTGGCTCCATCCTGTAAGCAGTTCGCTTATTTGCGATCGTGCTCCCTCCGGAGGAAAAGTTACAGAGGCCCTGTGGTATACCTTTCTTTTGTTTTTGTGCTTCATATTTGTTCGAGATTCATTGCCTTATGATATACCATCATATACGTAAAATTATCTCTGCTTAATACATACCGCTCTAATTCTTTCTAATCCTTTCCATCATCGTTGTCTAGCATATCTTAGACAAAAGAATCACCAATTCCTAATCATCACTTTTGATCACGTCGAAACTAGTATCACTTCGTCTATATTTCCGTCGCCTTGGAATCTGAACTGCTCCTATATCTACAACTGCCAAAGATTCGTGTGTAGTGGCTCCCCAAAGAAGGTTGACAGTTAGAGCCGCCCTAGCCTCTATACAGCTAGACTAGGCAGACACTCCCCACATCATCAGACCGAGTTTGGAGCCTCCTTCAGATAGAAGACATCCCATGAAATCCTGTCACTCTCTCAATGTCAGGTATAATCTTCTTTTATTTCTTCACAATCCTGGTTCAAGATGGTTATTCAATGGGCCGACACAGAAGCTCTCAACTCACTCCCCAGGCTCATCAAGTCCTACATTGACCCCGAAGACCCCTCCACTGCGGCCCACAATATCCTACGCTTGGCACATCTCCTCCTCTTGTCGAATCATCTCACGGAAGCCCACGAAATTGCCTCCGGGGTGTTTAGACTGGCAAAGAACCTATCTGAAATCAGCGAGAATGAGGTCGGTCTACCACTATACACACCAAACTCCCTGGAAATCTTCTGGCAAGAACACCAAGAAATCCTCCCCCGACCAGATGATGCACCAAAATCCGGTCGCGGCCCACTTGAAACATATCTAGCCAAAGAACAATGGGGCAAATATCGCGAATGCACTCGCACAGGCTGGATGCTGGATCGCTATGGGCTCGCCGAGCCAGAAGACCCATCGATCTGGAGCGACACAGATGATCCAATCATGCTGGCGATGTGCGCTCGGTTGTTAGCGAAAACAACCACTCCAGGCACGTATCCGTCACAGGACAAAATGCGGGAAGCACTTGCTGCTGGACAGAAGCTTTACGCTATCCCCGAAATCCCGCTCGGTGAATGGCTATTGAGCAGACCAGAAAATAGACAGAGACAGTGCTGGCTTTTGTACCGGCGGCTTATTGTGGAGTTAGCAATCCGGCTGGGAAAATTCCAGACTGCAGCGGATCTCTTGAGCCAAGCGTTGAGGGTGGACGGATTAGTGAACGGGGGTGAATTGGGAGATTTTCTCATGATTCCTGGTGTATATAATATTTTGCCTTTGTTGGCTCAGGGTGGCAAGGAAAGCAATCCATTTTTCATCCCTAAGGCGGACGCTGAGGTGATGGTGAAGGAGATCATTGATGCCCTGGAGCTGCGGGCCAAACATGGGAGACAATGGGCGCTGGATGAATCAAAGGTTGGATGGCGGGAGCTTTTGGATCGACTTGCTGAAGGTGCATTCAAGACGCATCCTAAGGAGTATCGGGCTATGGGTGTTAAGACCACCAGGGAAATTTTGTACGATCCTGCTACGGAGGAGGAGATTGAGGAAGCTGAGAAAATGGTTGGAAAACTTCCGGATGACTTCAAAGCGATGGTCCGACTAGCGAACGGGTACGAATTTCTTACTACCTGTTGCTTGGGAAATTTTCTGCTTTGCATGGCTAACCTGATTACTTAGATTCAAGGGCGGGTGGCATCTTTTCGGGGGCGGCATAGCCGGTATTCAAAGTATTGACTTCGCCGATGGGGATGCAGAGAACTCGTGGAGTAGCCGTACACAAGAAGATGACGAGATTTTTGATTCAAGTGATCTGATTGAGCTTCAAACAGGGTCAGAAAGCGATGCATTCTATCATTATTACATGCGCCCTACAGCATGGAATGAGGATGGAGAACGCAAAGACAACAAGTATAGGTACTGGCATTGGGCACCTTGGATGGGTAGTACAAACCAGTATAACTCGGTGAGAGACTATGTTGCAAGCTGCGTGGAGAAGGTAGAGGATATGCTGGACCTGGGCGAGACAGAGGACTATCAAGACGGGGATGGAAGTGAGGATTAAATACAATGTCAAGGAATCAACTTTGTTTTTCTAACATTTGAAGACCAGGGATTTTCAAATTCTTTCTATTCCCATATTTCCATTTTTCCACATTTCCACATCTCCACAATGTATGTAGAGTCGAGAATTCAATACATTAGGATATTCCATTCCACACACTTTGCCCTACCTATGCTCATCCCACTCTCTCCTTCGGCTCCAACCTCGTCCCAAAGAGAACCTGCATTTCGCAAAAGCTATCGGAACTGGACACATGGTTCCTATCCTCAGAAGGCGCACCACCTGTCGCATGATCCATCCCAAGGCCTCTTGGCCTACTTTGCAGTTGACTCGGATACCGTACAAAGAAGCCAATCATTACTAGAAGCATCAATGCAGCATCAAACACATACAGCGGCCATTCGGTAGTGACAAGATAGCCGGTCCCGTTCACTGATTGCATAGAAAACTCCACAACCCGAAAGATATTCCTCACGAGGATAGCCGTCGATGTAAAGTATAGCATATTGAGACATGCTTGCCAAGGTATATCGTTCAGATCCCCAGTCTCAGCCATATGTACCCGAAACCTCCTGTTGAATTTCACACAACAAACGATAAAGCAGACAAAAATGATGATTTGCAAAACCAGTCCGGCTATGATAATGTAATCGCCAGTCAGGGTGGTTTCTGAGTTGGCCAACAGCCCAGAGGCATTTCCCTGAATTAAGAGACACAGTATGTCGCCCGTGACGAAAAGTTTTGTGGCCCAGCGGAGGGTGATTAAGGAGAATAGCTCTCCGTGGACTGCTCTGATGATGCGAGAATATACCATATACAGCGTTGCCGCGAAGAATACTGGGGGTATGACGAGAAAAACGCTTTGCAGAACGTATAATATCAAGTTGCCCGTGTTGTATGTCGAAGCTGCTCGCATAGCATAGCCGATCGCTTCGCCTGGGAATTTTCAAAGTGTCAGTTTTGTATAAGCTACAAAGAGTAGACAAGATTAAACGCACTGATTCCGCCAAAAGCAAAAGGGAGACAAAACCACATCTTCTTTCTGTTCATTTTCCAGACATGGGCTGCAGTTGTAAGACCAAATAGAGAGGCAAAAGTAGCAGCGAGGGGTAGGCTCGGTACATAGTGCCATATATAGACGTCTTGGTAGGTTTCGAGAGTTGGCATGTCAAATAGAATAGAAATTCTGCTTATACTGCGGGATAAGGAGAGAATTCCAAGTCATCTTCATCTGAGAGCGAAAGAGCTGTTTTTAAGGCCATGATTCTCTTTGAGCCCCCACTACGCTACCTAATCGCATTGGAATCTACTAGTCATCCAAATAATATCTACGGTCGAGTGTTGAGATATACAATCCGTCCCTCTTGGATATAGGTACCTCGGGATGAAACGAACACGCGTGTTGGCTAACACGCGTATTAGCTCAGCCAACACCTACCTGGGGCAGTGCCAAATTCCGAAACATCACATTATACCGGTATTCTTTTCCATTCAAATATCATTAGGAAGCTATCGCTAGATTTGAAAAGTGAAATTCTATAGAGATTTTGTATAATATTCAAAAGGGACTAAAGCTGGTTGATTTGGAGAGATATAGGGTCTGTGTTGATAGGCTCCACGGTTGGCTCGGGGCTCCACTTCTTTCACCTCCCAAGCCACAGATCTAGGCAAGATCCTCGACTTTCCAATACATGTATAGTGCTTCAGGACCTATTGTATCCAAACGAGTTGACACCAAGCCATAATACGCGTGTTTGGCTTGCATATCCTCCTATCATCACCGGATGCCTGCAATATGCTGCGTCGCCGCCATAAGAAATCACGAGCGGGTTGCTTACAATGGTGAGTCGAGTGGCGCGAATCTTCGGGGCTTTTCCTCTTATACGGTCAACTAATTTTGTTAACTAGTAGACAACGGCATATCAAGGTAAGGCTTTGCCATGCAATCCTCTTACATGGCTGATCCAAGTACTTGCAAACCAGTGTGACGAGGGCCGCCCAGTATGTCGACTCTGCATCAATTCTGAGCGAGAATGCAGTTATACATCCCAAGTCTTATCTCATAGTCGACATGGAAGCCCAAGCAGTATGGACAACTCAAGGCGCGACGCCTTGCCTTGTATCTCCGCTCAGACCAACATATCCCCGTCCAACCCACATTTTCACAGAGCACAGAATGCCCAAAGTCACCAAGGAGAAAGCACCGAAGAAAACGTCAACCTCAAGCATATGGAACTTCTCATTCACTTGACCACAGACAAAGACATCCTCAGTCTTGGCCTGACCGCCAACGATGAACCCTCAGGCTCCGAGATTGCCTTCGCACTGAAGACAGGTCTAGAGTCACCATATCTTTTGCATCAGCTGCTTGCATTTTCCGCCCGCCATATGGCATATCTTCACCCCGAGCGCTCAGCTGCCTATCTCCACCAAGCTGTCACACTCCAGACCCGAGCTGCATCACTCTTCACTGCCGTTGGCACGGAAGTCAATCAATTCAACTGTGTCGCTGTTCTTCTTTTCTCGTCTATCCTAGGCCACCATCTTCTTGCGGACACACTTTCGAAACGAGATCGGGGCGGTTTGCATGATTTCATGACGAGCTATGTACAGTTTGTCGAGATGCATAGGGTTATCCACACGATTGCCATGACAGCGTGGCCGCAGTTGATGGAGTCTGAGCTTGAGCCTATTCTCTCGTGGAGCTCACAGTTTACTGCACGATCTCCAAGGGGTCCTGAATGTCAAAGAGCCAGGGGGCTGATAAGTAGCTCGAAACTGCTATCAGAAGAGGAAAAGAGGACATGTTTGCTGGTTATTGATTATCTGCAGGTTGGGTTTGATGCAGTGTTGGCTGACGAGGAACAAGGGAACCGATATCATATGCTTTGCACATGGCCTATGCTGGGTTCACCCGAGTTCACCGCGTTGTTGGCCGCAAAAAGGCCAGAGGCTTTGGTAATACTGGCATATTATGCGTTGTTGCTTCACCATGGGCGGCACCTATGGCAAGTCCAGGACGCTGGAGCCTACATGCTAGGGATTATCACTGCCTATCTTGGCCCGCACTGGGATCATTGGCTTGAATACCCGAGACAAAGGATAATTGATGCCAGGTAAGGTATCTGGCAATGTCGCACAGAAGTCTGGGCATTCATTGGGCCTCGTCTATTCCGGGCTTCTTGTCGGTGTTCTGCATACCTCTTCCCTTCTTATTTTACAAATATGGTGGGCAGATACGACAGAGTTGCAAGTATGCCGCCTTGTCGCAAAAACGTCTCGAGGCACTTCGACAAATATCCGTGGCTGAAAAATGAATAGCATACCGCTCCACCGAGACGGATGAGAAACAGAGATCTTTTTTGGGAAATCCAAATTATTCATTTTATAACTTGATAGCCTCAATGATGCCCTCTCCATTCCCAGGGGATTGATAGAAAGTAACGTGTGACAACCCGACTGATTCAAGTAAATCTCGCCACTGCTCTTCGGAACGTTCAAAAGCTGCAACTTGTAACATCATCATAATGCTCATACATGCCGATGATAGGTCACAGTTTGTATCTGGGAGGAGTGATTCGTGAAGAATCAGCCGCGAATAATCCGGCTTCATTGCAGCCACAATGTTCGTCAAGATGGACCGACATCGCTCGTCTGACCAGTCATGAAGAATCCAATGCATGAAGTATGTCCGAGCGCCTTTGTTCAAATTAGCAACTGCCCAGGAGTGAGGTTTATTGAGACCTTACCTTTCACGGGCTGAGGAGTGAAAAAGTCATGCGCCATCAACTCCACATCAGGTGGATTTTCGATTGCCGAAACAACGTTTGGGAGATCCTGCAATACCAACTGACCGGGAGCGGTGGGAAACTTCTCTTTAAACTCGCGCAGATATTTTCCCTCGCCTCCACCAACATCCACAAGCAGGACGTTATCCGGAGACTGGACATCGAAGCCATCAATGATATGCTTTTGTATATCGAACCAATCTGTCCAGCTAGCTGTAGCCTCCTGCTTGAGAGCCATCCATTGTTGGAAGTCTTTTGCCAGAGCTGGATTCTGATCAAGCCACTCAAAATAGTTGAGATCGGTGTTCAGCCCAAACTGAAACGGAGTGTCTCTAGCTGATGAAGGGAATTGGTTTTTATTTTGACGGAAGAACTCCGGGGCTTTCGAGGTACAGCAATTTCCGATGTCAAAGCTTTTTCCCTCTTTTTAGCATCCCAGATGTTATATTAGAGATCTTCAATACTTACCATGCGCGTGTGGTTGCTTCCATGTTAGGGTCTGCCATTACCATGGTTCGAACTGAAGGCTTGAACCTTTGTGCATGTTGATCCACATATCCTGTTACTGCAAGAAGCCGGAGAAACTGGTCTGGGTAAATGCAGGTCATATCAGCAGCCTTCACAAGAATTGATCGACATGATTTGTTCGGACTACGGCAAATATCAACCGCGTAGGTACAAATCTGGGCTCTTACCAACAACGATCGGACTTGCTCCAGATCTTTCCGCAATTTCCTGGGCAGTCACTCCATGCTCTGGGTTCTGGCTGATTTGCGTGAATATGCCGAGTTGGACCCCCATGCGAATAGACGTCAATATGGGAGGGTTCTAGTCTACTTGTTTAGAACTCGTATTCATAACTCATATCTACCAGCACTGCGAAGGGTATCTCAACATGTCAAGGTTGAATCGAGACTTACCATCACAACATCCTGGATAATTCTTTCAACCGGTGACTCCAGGGTCTCTAGCAAGTCTCGAGCAGCACTCAAAGCCTGTAGCCGGGTAACTTCATCGAGTTCCTCGGACTTGATTGTCCCAGCCAGGGCAGTAATTTGGCCTGTGATATCGAGTTCTTGACGCATTCTTGCGTTTTGTGTAAGAAATTGACACTGACTACTAAGTTTGCTAGGCGAAAAGGATATTTAATAGCACTACTCCTACGCCTAGAACACTTCTCTAGGAAGCGTTAGAGCCGTTGCGTGGTCGTGGAGTCGCGACGGTGTTAAGTACAATTGGGGCGGGAAATGCCGGTCCCCAGTTTACCAGGACCACGGTCAATAACATTGGCTTCTATTCATACACTAACACCGTGGGTTTGACTAGATCTTACTTATACCCCTCAAGCTGTTACTAGAAAGTACCAATGTTTCATTTGCATGTACATTCCACACACTAGTACACGCTAGTAATTGGGGGCCAAAACATTCCGCGAAGTCAGAGATCAAACAAGCTGCGTATATTGATCACCAATATCCATACAGCATGTAAGAAAAGTCGAACGATTTTCATGAGCTATGTGGGTGCGTGCACACGCCTTCTTCCATGAACAAAAATGGTACTGGGGGCCAGCCTGGAACAGAAATGGCAATTGTAAAGAAACTGGTGAATCTGCAATCAAGACTTTTCCAAGATTGCATTTGAGATGGTATCAGTGTGGCTGAGGCCTATTGTATTCTCGAGATTGGATACTGTATCTTCGGGTCCATAGCAGGGCGCGGACGTATTCCCGTAACAGAATGGGCGTCCATACGTGCACCCATGTCAATGTCACAATGTGTTCTTGGCCAATGTGATCGACCCACTTGCATTAAAGCTCCGCGTTGATGGACCTGACTTCTGGGAGGTGAAAGGCCATAGGATAGCAAAGGAAGAGACTGATTCGACCGTAGTATGGATGAATTTGTGTTCTTTTGTCGTCACCTCAAGAAATACTGGATGGCGAGCAGAGAGAGCGAGTGGGAAGGGAGGGGGACGCTAATGCCAAGCAGTCACAGGTAGTTTCAGCGAATACAATCTGGTTTTAATCTATAAGTTAATGCATGGTTCGAGATATGTTTTGAATCCTTCCACGCACCATGAGTCGCTAGCCCCAAATCTGTAGGCATACAAAGACTGAATCCCTTCCAAATTACAGTTTTACATTATCAAGTTCTCAAATGTAGAGAGAAGCATTCGACATGGAGCAAAGTAACAGAATCGCCTACTGTGGTGATCAATTGATTGGGGTTTCCATCACGATCGCAATTCTTCAGACGATAATCGTCGGTGCGCGCTTTTACACCAGATACTGGCAGAGGCTGGCCACTGGAATTGACGATTACCTTATGATTCCTGCGCTGGTAAGTCTCTTGATTTGATGTATGGGGAAAGTTCTGATGCTTTGTTAGCTTGCGAGCCTCGGGCAAGCTGGGCTTTATATCTACTGTATGCCATGGCCCGTCTACTTTCCATGTAGAATACTAACTAAGGTCAAATGGAAGTGGTAAAGCAAGGTGGAGTCGGTTACCATCTTGCATATGTTATGCGAACCCCACAGAAGCTGGTAACACTGCAAAAGGTCTGCTTCCCCTTGGTCGCTTTCGAAGTTGACAATCTTATTTATGTGTCGCTGTAGGGCCTCTATGCAAATGAGATTCTTGACTTTCCATTCACCGTGACTCCCGCAAAGCTATCAATTCTCGTATTCTACGCTCGCATCTTCAGCGTTCGCCCCTTTAGAATCTTTGCATATATCATTGGAGCGGTTGTTCTGTGTCACGGAATCGGGGTCCTCTTCGCCGCCATTTTTCAGTGCTCGCCAATTGCATACACATGGGATTCAACGATTGTAGGAACATGTGTTAACCAGCAGGCATTTTACCGATGGGTATCCCCTCCAAATATCTTGACCGATGTCCTCATCCTGGTGATGCCTTTGCCCTATGTCTGGAAGTTGCATACTTCATTAGGGCATAAGTTGGCTTTAACAGGCGTGTTCTTGTTGGGAAGTTTGTGGGTTTTTTCCTTTCCTGCTGCTTTTTCTTTAGTTCTGACCTTGCGCAAAGAGGAACTGTGTTTAGTATTTTACGCATGACAACATTCTTCCAGGAGAGTGCGACAACAGACCCAACTTGTATGCTTTCTTTAGCTGAAAGAGCCAAGGCCACATCAACTGACATATTATAGGGGTCTCTGTCAAGCTTGGTATATGGACCATCCTAGAGGGTGGGATCATAATCTCAGCAGCTTGCCTGCCTTCAATTTGGCCATTAATATCCAGAATACTTCCTCAAAGCCTGCTCATGACCCAATCATCAAAAAAGCAGTTGCCGCGCTATGATTACCATAGAAGTTCTCGCAACGCTAACGTTGGAGAGGGTTTCTCACGACTGGGTAATGACAGTTCGGAAGGTATAAAATGGTCAAATAATGTGGAAACGTCCCGGGCACAGTCCGATCGACATACCGATGAGACGGAACTAATGTCTCTGCAGAGCATTTCGCGGGTTCGAATGGCATAAGCAGATGGACATGCAAGTCGCTCTCTAATATTTGATGAGGTTCTCTTATCTGTCTAACAATAAAACGCCACGAACTAGCGGTGATCATGGGATCTCCCTTGCAGCATCTAGCGCAAAACCTGATTGCAATCACAGCCAGAATTGTACGCACTGCCCCTCCCAACGATAATCTTTGCCATATCGCGGATGCTAATGCAAACTAAGTCCCGGGCCGCATACAGCTCCAAGAGGACATAAGGACAACGAGCCCACTTGCCCGATTTTGAGACCCGACGTTGCTAAGACTTCATCTTCCCCGGGGTTGTTGCCCCATTTCATTGTCTCCAAGTCAGTTCGGTGGCTCGCACTTGTCGTATCCATCATGACTTGGTCCAAGCCATTCTTGAAGCTTCGCGATCAGCGACCGTGGCTGTTACCGCAGAGGTCGTCGCAGTCCTTTATCGTTACGGCAGTTTCGTGGTCGATGTTTACGGTATCTACCTCAATCCAGATTAAAACACAAAGTACGATATAGCTAACCCTTGCTGATCCAGGACCTTTTTCTATATGCCATGGTACCCATGCTCCAAGCCTGACCAAGTCCTTCGATCCCCACCTGACTGGCTGCAGATCGTCCCCGTCATGCCAACTGCCTTGGTATCCAGAGCTGGGATAGCCTTTGAAGATAGTACGTGCTTTTAAAGAGAACTGAAAGATAGAGATGTTAATGCAATGTCATTTTACAGGGGAGTATTGGAACAGCGTCCTCCTCGTCTCAGAAGCCATTGCAGCCCTTGTATGCAGTCCACTATTCGGATACATGCTCGACACTTCGGGGACACGCCAGGGTTCATACCTCTCTGGGCTCGTGCTGTTGTTTGCATCTATGATCATACTCATGGCCTCACACTCGGTGGCATGGTATGTTGTTGCGCGAGTACTCCAGGGTGCAGCAACGGCAATGGTATCGGTAGCTGGTCTTTTGATTGTGACGGATACAGTTGATAAAGCTAGTCTTGGACAGATGATTGGGTATATTGGGACTGCCATGACACTGGGCTTGATTTCTGGCCCCTTGCTCGGTGGACTGGTGTACGAGGTTGGAGGTTTCTATGCGGTTTTTGGAACGGCTGTTGGAATAGTCACTCTTGACTTCTTCCTGCGCCTTGCTGTTGTTGAGAAGAGAGTTGCTGAGCGTTGGTTGTGCATTGCTGAGAATGAACGGCCTACTGAGGAGAATGGTTATGTCTCTGAGCAGCCCCCATATGGGACTATCACTAACCGGACTCGTTCTTTTACGATTATCTCCAAGGGAACCTTTGCTCTGGGGAAGCTCTTGCGACAGCCAAGAATTCTTATCAGTCTGTGGGCTGTGGTAGTTGGCGCTCTTGTGGTATCGGCGTTTGACGCAGTATGCGATTTATGTGATGTTCACGGCCTTCCGCTGATGCTCTATACAGACTCTGCCAATCTTCGTCGAGAATACATTTCATTGGAATGTTCTAGGTGCTGGTATGATCTTCCTACCTGGCGCTGCAGGTGCAATCCTCCAACCATTCTTCGGTGAGCATCTATACCGTCAGCTCCTTCCTATAACATAAGCCCATTCTCATCCACTGCACAGGTCTTTTATCTGACCGTATCGGATCCCGAATAATTGCATTCGCAAGCTTCACCATCCTAGCGCCGACGTTGATCTGTCTTCGTTTCGTAGAAGACAACTCAGCACTGCATAAAGTTCTACTCTGTATAATTTTGGTTCTGGTCGGAATGTGCATCGACTTAAGCGAACCAGCTCTCATAGTTGAGATACAGCGTGTTCTGGACGACATGGAAGCCGCAGATCCTGACATCTTCGGCGACAAAGGTGTCGTAGCTCAAGCTTTCAGCCTAGAGAATATGGCACACTTTGGAGGCCTTGCCTTGGGTCCGATGGTGGGTGGAATAGTTGAGTTTCAGTACGGCTGGAAGGTTATGTCATTAGGGTTGGGAGTCCTGTCTGCAGTCACTGCTCTCCCTATGCTTTTCCTCAGTGGTGCTGTTATAGAAGACACTTGGACCGAGTCTGCTGACGATGAATTGGAACGGGAACCCTTGCTGGCGGAGTAAGCTTGCATCGGGCTGTATTTAGTGACACAAAAGTAATATTTCTGTTCCATCCGGGAACTTACATTTGCTAGATAATTGCGAGGCAACTAGTGTAAGCAAGACTCATCATTTCAAGGTTGTTTGCCAGGCGGTTAGACTCCTTTGATACCGAATTTTGGCTCAAAGGAACCAATTTGCATTGCGGATGGTATGATCTTTTTTGACAGTTCATAAATTCTCGAGTGAGATACTTGTCGTTTTCGAGTTGCAGGATAAGCTTGGAGGCAAATAACTTGGTAACTGTGCGTAACGTCGAGGTAGTCATAGTTACTCCAGTCGATGATGCACAAAACCCACGAACATCAAGGCAACCGGATTGCGAGTTTAATAAAAGCCAAGCATTCCATCTTGAGGCTCGCAGGATGGTGACATGCACCAGCGATCAATGAATCTCTTCGAGAGACTCCGCAAGGACCTCTCAAAAATCTATACAACAACATACGGCCGACTCCCCTTCTCGCATACTGCAAAACACATCAGTCAACACAAAATCCAACAGGGCAGGTACATCTTCCCAGCAGAGTCAGAACGCCATGAAGCAACAATCATGGGGTTTCCATCCCGGTGCTCCCTACCCCCGGAAAAGTATGATGCTGTCTGCAACGAACTTATTCAGCTAGCGGCGACGATTACTGAATTTGAGCCCGTTCGCATGTACGTGCGGCCCGAAGACATCCAATTGGCGGAGTCCCTAGTCAAATCCGTTGTCAAAGATGCATCAAGATTAACCCTCATCCCGTGTCCAATCAACCACTGCTGGGTGCGCGACACGGGCCCGGTCTATGTGCGCGACACAACAGGAGAATTTCCAACCCGACGGTTTGCACTCAACTTCCGTTTCAACGAGTGGGGTGGCAAGAAGCCCGAGGATGACGTGGTCTGCTGGGGTCAGCGATGGCCATTGATGAATGACAATGCACTACAGGAGAACGCAGAATTCGCGCAGTGGGTTATCGAGCATGACTGCATCCCCAGCTCTGTTATGCGAATTGACGCTCCGATTCGGGCTGAGGGCGGCGCTCTTGTTACAGACGGCGAGGGGACAATGCTCATCACAGAGAGTAGTATTGTCTGCGACAAGCGAAACCCGGGGATGTCCAAGGCTGAAATCGAGACTGAGTTGAAGCGACTGCTCGGCATTGAGAAGGTGATTTGGTTCCCTGGTCGGCGCAATGTGGACATTACCGATGTGCACGTTGATGCTGAGGCGAGGTTCGTGCGTCCTGGTGTGATTGCGTACTCGAAACCTCACACCATTGCCATTGACCTGTGGCAGGAGCTGTCTGCAGAGATCCACGAGATTCTGGGCCGTGAGACGGACGCTAAGGGTCGGCGCTTGCAGGTTCACACTATTGAGGAGCCGGACCCACGAGGCTTGGTGAAGTCTGATCACGATGAGCTGTCGGCGAGCTATGTAAACTTCTATTTCGTGAATGACGGTCTGATTATCCCGAAATTCGGTGACGAAGAAAGGGATCAGAATGCATTAGAGATCTTGCAGGCTTTGCTTCCCGAGCGGGTGATCAGGCAGGTGTATGCCAGTGCAATCCCCCTTACTGGTGGAGTGCTGCACTGCGTCACTCAGCAGGTTTTGATGGTAAACCCCGGTCAATGAATTCATGGACATGGTGTTGTGGGAGAACAGTTGGTCAGTTAGTTATGTCGCGAATGGAATACGAATCTTTGTGCAGAATTACTGTGCGTTCATCCTGATCGCGCCCTGGAATTGGGTATTTCTCGGACGTTAGGAGCCGGGCAAACAGTTGCCTTGTACACTCGCACAGCAGACGAGTTAAAGGTGTCCTTGAAACAGTGGGTGATTTATTTGCCGATCCTGAGTGGGACGGGGTAAGACTCCAACACATCGAGAAGTACATGTATGGAGTACAGTGCAGCAGTATTGATGCTAGCCAGCCACCTCAGTCGGAATGTACAGGTTCAAAGTCCTGGAACCGAGTTCTCTTCCTCACACGTCAGATCTGCAAGTATTTCAGCTGTGGAAAAAGCAAAGACACTAAGCCATGCAGAAAACCCAGCGTTCTCTTTAGTGACACATCTGATCGTAATGTAACAATTGGTATAAATGCCCGAGAAAGCCAATAGTACATGTACATATGAACATAGAAAGAACTGAAACGAGTGATGCTCCATACATAGTGAGGAGGCATTTTTTCCCTGCTGGACGTCAGCCGCACCCACTTAGATCGGTGTATCACATCAAGGCTCGAAGTGGTTCCTGCATGTTAGAATTATTTCTATGACATAAAAGTTATTAAGTTAGACCGCCACTAATGTATGTATATGATTCTAATGCCTCAATCCCTTGAGTTGAATACCCAAGCTCAGATACCAACCCCGTCGTTGTCAGTCTTCACACATGTATGCTCTTCTTCCAATCCTTATATGACAATAGTAATTGGGACTGCGCTTTGATCGCGGTATTTAGTCTTGTAGTGCAAGTAGAAATGCTCTACTGTATGTCGATGTATTCCCCTCGAGTTTCGCCATACAGCTCGACATTCTCACTCATTAGCACTCCACACCACGCAATCCACAAAGCAATGACTGCCAATGATCGTATCACATTAGTCTACCGAGTCCTCATCCGTGCAGAAATGTTTTAATCCGCTGATCCTGTTCCAAGGCGCAGCTCAACTACCCCCACGCCCCATCCTGCACATACTATACGCGAAGTTCTAAACTACAGAACACGTCGAATATGTCTCAATGCAAGTATAATTGGCTCTCTCACAGCTTAACTGGGGCTTATAACGAGCACTTGAACTGGTACGACTCATTGCTTATTTTCACCGTAAGATCCAACGTAATGCAGCATTTTAATTGCGTGCAAACTTACTTTTTAATGTTTCTTGTTTTTGTTCGCAGACAAAGCTGCAGCTAACAAGGCTCTATAAACCAGCTTTCTACCCTGGACCTGGAGTTCTAAATACACATTACGTGAGCGACATTCATATACTCGGTATCATAGTCCATTCGGTCACTAGCTGTCTTGGAATGTTGTTTCAAAGTCACAGTCTCCAAGTCCCCCATATTCTTCTCGACCGACTCATCTCCAGTGTCATGGCTCTACTACCCGTTCCCAGTGGGACTAACCTTCCTAGAAAGGTCACCCACACTCCCCACAATGTCGAATATCGAAAATCTTCTCCAGATGAGTTGGTCGATCTCGCAATTGAAGGCAACATCGCGCGTATAGCCAAGTGCTCTCTTGTTGGTGGCGATGAATCTTTTTTCGTTGCCGATTTAGGGCAGGTCATTCGACAGCATCGCCGTTGGACCCAGAATCTACCAGGGATACGACCGTATTATGGTATGAAAATCTACCGTCTTTCCGCTTTTTAGCCGCAAAGATAAAATATAACTCTATAATGTCCTTGGTAGCTGGATCTAAGGTTAACATTTCTCCAGCCGTCAAATGCAATTGCGACCCAACATTCCTCAAAGTCCTCGCCAATCTAGGGACAAACTTTGACTGTGCATCCATAGAAGAAATGCGCACAGTTCTCAGCCTCGGCGTGGACCCAGCCCGGGTCCTCTTCGCAAATCCATGCAAAGCTCCCGCGGCCATTGCATTTGCGCGCGAAGTTGGCGTGCTGCGCACCACATTTGACAACATCGATGAACTAGATACTATAAAAGCACACATGCCCGAAGCGCAACTCTTACTTCGAGTCTACGCAAATGATGATAGCGCCTTTATCTGCTTGGGTGAGAAATTCGGTGCACAGCTGGATACAACGGAAGAATTACTGTCACGAGCGTGGGAATTGGGACTGAACGTTATTGGTGTTAGCTTCCATGTTGGTAAGGCAATCCACACCTTGAAAACTTGATTTCTCAAGTTTTATAACATATACCAGGAACCGGCGCCACAAACACGGCATCATTTTGCAAAGCAATCAAAGATGCGCGGGTAGCATTCTCGCAGGCACAGCGTTTAGGATTCACCCCTTATCTTCTCGACATTGGTGGCGGATTCCAGGACGATTGTTTCGAGGCCCTGACTCCGTTTCTTAAAGATGCGATTCAGTCAGAGTTCCCTGCGGGCATCACAGCCATCGCAGAACCAGGTCGTTTCTTTGCCCGCAGTGTTTATACCCTTGTGTGTCGGGTGATTTCCCGTCGACGTCAACTTGGGAGTGCAGCCACTGCTAGTATTCCGGATATGCTTTACCAAAATGATGGTGTTTATGGGAATTTCATGAATGTGATCATGGAAAAGGAAATCATGGTCCCTCATTTGGTTGGTAGCAAGAAGGGCACAGTTTCACATAAGATCAAGACCAACGGCGAGAGTGAAAAGCCTGATGGGCATCGATATTCGATCTGGGGGCCCACTTGTGATAGCACTGATTGTGTTGTGCGGGAGGTAACTCTTGACTCTGAAGTCAAGATTGGGGATTGGCTCAAATATAAGAATATGGGAGGTGAGTCGTGACCCTGTCTAGCATTTATCATGGAGCTAATTAATATGTTTGCAGCGTATACCACCACCACTGCAACACAGTTCAATGGGTTCAGTAGTACGTATGATACGTGGTATGTCAATAGCGAAACAATGCCTAATTATTGAGCCGTGGTATTTATTTGCTAGTCGTTTCGGTTTTATGATGTTTCTAAGGAGTTTTAGAAAGGGGGCAGACTGTCTGTGTTCATAAGCGCTATGTCTCAAGCCAACTATGGCACTGAAGACTGTTATACATAAATACACGAGGTATATTTGATGTTCTTAAACCGATAATGATACACTGGTCTTATTTATCATAGAAAAGCAGCGACTGAAAAATGCGTAGAAAAGGAAAGAGGTTGAGGTTTTCCGCTTCCCAACTTCGTAGTGCTCCCACACTCAAACTTAGAAAGAGCCACTGAATGCGCTTTTTCTGTCTTAGTGTTTAGACTTGATGCCGTTGGCAAACATAGTGGCTATTTTCATGGTTGATTTCAACCAAAATATCGAATGGTTATCGCAACATATCTGGGATATCGAATAGCCGAGCGCTTGAGGAGCATTTGATTGTGAAACAAACAGCTAGCCCAAATGGAGCAGAACTCGTGTTTTGTCACGATATAGCGCAACGCTTATAAGCTGGGTACGGGGAAAGAAGCTGAAAGAGCGTGTCGCCATGTGACGGGTGACCTGGGGCATATCGATAGGCCCGAGAACGGGACTGGAGAAGAATTAACCGAGACCAAAGACCGCTTGATCATGTCTTGGAGTAAGAATACAGAGTCCGAAATGACAGATTAATATCTTTAGACCGATGAATAGCCTGCATTCAGTGAGCTTGAGCCAGCAATCTCTTGCGTATATCTATCTCAAAAATCACAAAGTCCATGACCCGAATAGAAGGATGGCCCAGCTCGTCCCAAATGAATCAAGCAGCGCATACAACCAGAAAAACACCATAGGCTCATTCCCAAGTTTCCTACCAATAAAAACAACGAAACAGTAATAATAACAAAAGAGGATATCAATCATGAAAGAAAAATCACAGAGACATGAGATCAGAACCAAAGAGAGAGAGAGAGAACGAGAGAAAGAGAGTATAGACGAGTAAGTGAAAATGCAAGAAAATGAAACAAATAGCGAGAGTCAAGAGTAAACTCTTGGATGAGACTAAGCCTTCTCCATGCCAGACATCTGAACATCCTCTTGATGAGCAGTCTCCGGAAGGACAGGCTGTTTGATATCCATGCCGTAAGATTGAGCATCAGGAGTAGCAGCAGATTCACCCTGCTTCTCTGGCATGTCGGATGCAGCTCTGTTTTCGGGTCGTTTCCGGCCCAGGCGCTCGCACCAGTGCTCAGCACTGACCAATGTATCATTGACGACACCACTGACTTGGGCCATCATGTCGAGACCCTCTTGGGCCAGAACAAGGATACGGTGAGCGCTGACTGTTGCATCGGAGGATGCAGCCGGAGAATCCGGTGGTGGCTGCGAGGTGGAGGCAACTTGGAAGCGGTGCGGCAAAGAGGTTAGGTGTCGACGCACCAGATGGCGGGCGTTCTCTGGCAGGGCACCGCCTGCATACTTGGACACCACGTCAACCACCTGCTTGAGTGTCGAAAGGACATCTGCCTTGACAGCTTGGATGCGCTGGATCAAGAGGGAGGCATTCTCCTGGCGACTACCTCCGGCCTCGACGTCCGATTGAGACTGGCCCTGCTGCTGGGCTTTTTGATTTTCCCACTCGGTCACGGCACTCTGCAGAGCTATGATCGCCTTGCCGAGCCGTCCGTTAGCCCACCGAAGCCAGGTCAGACAATATTGTAGGCTGCGCAGCGATTCGTCGCTCATAGCAACACCGAGGCCTGATGTTGAAATGACTAGTCGGCTCTGCCATGTCGGCGAAGCGCGCCGCCCTTGCTTTTCTTCATAGTGCGGCGACCTCATCTCATCATACGGGGGTAGTGACTCGGACATAGACAAGTCTGAAGAACTCCGTGGTCGTGATGGTTGCGTTGCGCCGTCCTGTCCTTTCTCAACATCCACCGTTCTAGGCGACACATTTCCATCCATCTTGCGCCGTTTCTTGGCGTGATTGGAGTCCGAGTTTGTAGAATCTCGTCGCTGCAGTGCCCAACGAAGACCACTCTCTACACCAGTCTTGCGACCAACTGTGCCGACAGTATTTGCGACAGGCGAGCCGATATTCCGCTCAATAAATTCGGCGCCGGACTTGAAACGCGGCGAGTACGACTTCGACGTTGCGTACGCAGACACGGAGCCGTTAATCGCAGAGGATATAAGGGGATGAGAGGATGTCAGTAGCGACAGTAGTGGCTCTGGCGGTGGTGGGTCCGGTGAAGCGATGGGAAGGGATTGTCGTGATGCTCGAGGAGACTGGCCGAAGTCTGCGAGTCGTTAGTTGAGATCTTTGTCGCACAGCGGAATCCACTTAGGACCGATGGGCTCGGCATATCATACCGGAACGCAGTCCCTCCAAGGCCTGCGCGGCCTCGATATCATCCATAGATAGTACACTGGCAGCTCGACGAGAGCGATCCTCTTCCATCATGGAGGAATGGGCATGCTGGAAGGGAGAGGGCGAATTGGAGGTCAGAGGGCCTGTGGCGTTCTTTCTAGGGATTTTCGGGGCATCCATGGCGGGTCCTTACAGAGGGGAGAGTGAGCCCAAGAGATTCGGAGTTTCATCTTCACGTGAAGATGTCACTTGAGCCACTAGCCCCGATCGGGAAGGTTAGTAAGGATCACATTCATGGTACTCCTTTCGTCATACATTTCACTATGGCCCGCTAAGTACTTCTCACATGCAAACTCCCAACATTCCCTTCTCTGCCTAGGCATATCCTTCCCCTCTTAGGCCTTTGGCATCGAGTTTACCGAAAACATTTAGCCATAAGACTGGTTGTCCATATTCATTTTTGATTTGATCTTACCCAAAGTATAACCCTGAACACTGTCCTACGCATCCAACGAGAAACATGTGCATGGAGAGCAACATATTCAGCTGCTTTCCTATCCTTGGTCAATTCCGCAAAGACAGGGGATCTCCTCCATCCAAGACCCAAGAGACACCGCTATGACCATGCTAGTTAATCATTACTGGGATTGTCTAATGTAACTCGACTAAGTTAGTACCGTTCATGTACCCCAACATGCGCTAGGATATCCTTGTACTACCTAATTTCCTTGGTTCGTTTGAATGTTCGCTATACTGATTTGGTATTTATGCCAAATGCAGCAAAAAAAAAAAAATGAAAAGAAAAAAAAAAGAAAATACTGGGGGAAAAAAAGGAGAAAAAAGAAAGATCGACAGCTATGTGATTCGAACACACGCGGGCGAACCCACTCGCTTAGCAGGCGAGCGCCTTAACCACTCGGCCAAACTGTCAGCATTGAAGAATTTATACAATTCTATCTTACTTGAGTAGACCTTGTATTGTCACTAAACAGACAAACAAAAACATCCACGGATCACATAGCTAGTATCAATTCTAGCCGCCAGCCAGGTACTGTATAGTGCCTTTGAAGTTTTTAATAACTTAGCTACCTCTGTACGCCCAAGCTTTCAGCATTAAAGAGATATGACATTTATGTCATTTCTACTGTACTTGACTAGACCCTCTCTTGTCACGTAGTAAACAAACAAAAATATATTAAGGTAGCTGCCAACTAGGTATAGTAAGGGTTATATAGTCTACCTATCCAAGAACAAAGATGTTCTACACAATGCCCACAGCCACTGCTACTGGCGACTAATGCAAAAAGACAAAAAGAAATACGACAGCTATGTGATTCGAACACACGCGGGCGAACCCACTCGCTTAGCAGGCGAGCGCCTTAACCACTCGGCCAAACTGTCACGTGTTATGATGTTTTGATCAAAAACTAGATTCATGTGGTCCGTTAGAAGTCATCTGCTCTAGGAGGAGAAGGAATGGCTGATGCTCTGGCTAACCCATATCCCATGGCGTACTTCGCAGGCGTTGTCTAGTTTAGGTTAAGAAAAAGAATATGCGTAGAGCAATTTTTAGTAATAACGCAAAAGTTAAAACTAGGGAACAGGTAAAAAGTCTTCGAAGGCTTGATTTCCAAGAATTTTTACCCAATAAGCGTGGGTTGGTTGAATTCCAGCTATTCGTCTCCCAAGCGAGTCCCACCATACTTTCCCTTTTCATAAAGTCGAGCTTTTAGCAGTCAAAATAAAATCTCCGATTACGAAAACTGCTCTGTTTGAATTTGTTACACAGGATCATATCTGCCAGCTTATTGTGTTGCGCGGATGAACAAAAGTCGTTTTATTGTACGGATACGCCTTGTAGGTTCTTTCCCTATCAAATAATACCCGGTTCCTTGGGCTCGGAAGTATGAAATGGGGAAATTTGCCACATCTAGGACAGTTTGGCCGAGTGGTTAAGGCGCTCGCCTGCTAAGCGAGTGGGTTCGCCCGCGTGTGTTCGAATCACATAGCTGTCGATATTTTATTTTTTGGCTCTCTTCTTCTTTTACTTTTTTAAAGTTCTCGAAAAGATTAAATTTTACGAGCGTATGAACCTGTCTATTGATAACTGGTAGTCGTGTTGACAGCAGAGCTATCTAAGTTAGAAAGATCCATCTCTTATGTGGATGGACCCGTGGATGGGGTAAATCCATGTCAACTATCCTTCCTGTGTCTATAGACGTTACATTATGAATCTGGAAACATGAATAAGTTACTTGACAGATGCGACTGCTTTGTACTTGTTGTTCATAACTTTCCCTCTGCCTGCTGTACCTGTTCCTAATATAGATCGTATTCGTTCCCCTCATCGGAATCTTTACCGTTTCCCATACACCACTACCCTGCACTCATATGCTTACTCGGAATACGGTCATCCGCTAGTATCACATGCAGCTGTATGTGAACCCAATTAGCCGTACAGTTTATCCAAACGAGAACGAAGCCGTCCAATCTCACCACAAGATGTACAAGTGCACAGAAATATAGATTAGGCAGTTGAAATCGGCATCCAAAATTTGAGTTTGCTCCCTTTAGGCTCAAAGTCCCACAATTGTTGGGGCAGTTTGTTCCTTTGGCATGTGATGTCCACGGGTCGGTTTGAGCACTTGCTTTGTACCTGTACATGTACAACATGTACTTAATCGTTCTTGCGGTCTGCCAGTAGATAGTTTGAGCCTTTTGGTCAAAGTCTGAGGTGTGGTTTGTGGGTTGTGGTTTGTGATTTTGTTCAAAGTAAGTTAATGTTAACTTAATGCTTTCTATGTACATGTACAGTGTAGTAACATGTGATGTGCCCAAGAACCATACATGTCTGCTTCTAGCATATGTAATAAAACAAAAGGGTATCTCGTACTACTGTGCATACAAATATCATGATCATCACAAGGGACTGTCGCTCGGAATCAGACGAAAGAAAAAGGGGTAAAAAAGAAACAAATCATACGCATGGTCATCGGGGGCATTATTCGTGTCTCATTCGACGGACATCCCATCATCCCAGTCATCATAATAAGCAAAGGGGCCTTTGTCAACGGAAATCAAAGTCTCAATAGCCTCTCCGCCTTCGTATTCGTCCCCGTCACTGTCATTGTTGTCGGGCAAGTCATTAACCTTGAGATGGGAGACCATCTTCTGGTTTACTCTGTAACAAGCAAGAACCTCATTGGTAATAAGGCGAGACGCCGAGACAGACGCCTTGATCTGGCATAATGTCTCTCCAAAAGCGTGCAAGACGAATCCCGAGCGCGGATATCGGCCATATGCGTACGAAGCTAGCAACTGTGACCACTCGGTCCGGCTGTTCTGCCAGGTGTGAATCAGCGGGTGTGTACATATGCGGGGAGGAGCGAGGGCACTGGCGCTCTCAGCAGCTTGGCGTGAAATGGCGGAAAATTTTTCTGCGCTTGAGGCGCTGTGGCCTTGGATCCATTGCTTGTACAGCTTGTCGATTGATAATTGGATCCCACTGATTGTTTTTCGTAGATCTACAGGGTGTCGAGGACTATTCTCTGCCAGTTCGACGGCTGTCTTCCATGGACGCATGAGGTCTTCGTCTCGGTTATCGTGAATTTCGCTTTCGGGGAATGCATCATTCAACTTTGACAAGACCATGCGTAGCTCGCGGTCTGCGACTTCGAACTTGAGGTAGTCGATAATGTTTGAAACTTTGGGCTTGCGTTCTGGGTTTCGATATGCAGGGAGCGCGCGTTGCTTGGGACTTATAGTCTTGCGATACTCCTGCCAGGCCTGCTCTGAAAGGTGAACTCCGCCTTTACGGCCATCTACAAGATGGCTTAACAGACAGGCTAGCTCTTTTGCTTTGCGAGAGTCAATTGATTCATCGTATGCCAGTTTCTCATGTTCAACCGTGCATCGGCCAAGATTTGACATCGTAAGGTTGAAAATGAACGCACTCTCCAAAAAATCTTCCGTCGAGACTAACTCAGCCATTTGAACCGACTCTTTAGAGAGTCCGTAGTGCTCTGCAGGGAACTCTTGCGAAGGCAGAGGAGAGTTATGAAAGTTCTGCACAATCATCGGATCCCAACAAATCCACGGCGTATCACCATCGTAATCTCCACCGGATAACATATGAGCCAGTGGGATATCACCTCGCGTGGGGAAGACAATGACATCCTTAAAATGGCGAAGCTCAGGTTTCCACACAGCTCTGCACCGTTGAATATCCGAGGGATAATGAGCCGGGAGTCGACCCACAAGAACATCGACGCCCTCGAGCAGGTTGTCCTCAAATTGACCTTGCGGATCTCGCCAGTTATTGGAGAACCCGAAATGAACTTCGCCTTCGTTCAGAACCCCATAAGGGTCAGCAATACAGTAAGCATACGTAGACAGGGGGACATGGATTTTGAGTTCCTCGAGCTGTCGCTCCAGAAGCCATGTCAGATACTTGCGGATCTTGACTCGCAGCGGATAGAAGGTCTGCGGTTCAAAGCCAGCCTCTGAGAAGCGGATGATAGTCTCTGCATCGTTCATCATCCACTGCTCCAACCGCCGTGATTTGCTAATTATGTTGTCACCAGAAGGCTGAAGTTTCTGCAGGAGCGCCCGGCAGAGAACGGGGCTATTAGATTGAAGCACTTGAAAGAAGTCATGGTAAAGCGCTTGTACTCCATCACGCGTGAGCTTGGCAATGTACTCCTTGACACGTCCTCCATATTCAAGGATCGAAAGAAGCTGGATATTCAGATCGACAGGGTGTAGTGGCTTAGCCCAGTTGACAACTTCGAATGTCAACTTCTCGTCGTCAACAAGACCCATCCAATCCTCGGGATGCGGGTGGATTTTTAACTGTGAGTCGGAGATCTGGATCCAGATGTCATCGCCGTTCATGCTTGCGATACTGGATTGGTGACGATCGACCATCCAGAGACCCTTTGCTCCTGCGATTCGGCCTTGGAAGCAACTCGGTGTGCTAGAAGTGATTCCTAATTGATTGCAGATTTGGTTTGCAAGAGTCCTTGACATCAATGCGCATCCATCATTCATTACGGTGCTGTTGGGGTAATCTCGCAAGCGTAGAACTTGTGTTGTTTTCAACGTAACTGTCACGAAGGTTTTTGATAAACCTAGTGATAGACGCTGGAAGAGCTTGCAGTTGGTCTGGCTGTCGTACGTGGCCTTCGGCATATGCCATTCAAGCAATGCATCGACACCCATGAGTGTATGTTGGTCACTCTGCTGTCGAGGCGGGGCTACCTCAGGCGGCAACTGACATCCACGATCGAAGTCTTCGCCATCAACAGCAAAGAATTCGACGCGGAATCGGGGCTCACTCTTGGCTTTCCGCTTGGTCTTTACTTCCTCGACATAGAATGCCTTCCATGTTCGACCAAGACAGTGGTGGTCATTCCGAGTGAGCCAAGAAGCAATACTCTCACGAAGAACTGAAGGATACGAAGTTTGTCTCTGATGTGAAGGAGGCCGAGTCGGGGCTGGAATAGTCAGAGATAGAAATCTATCCGACCCAAACCGTCTATGGAAGCGGCATGTCCTCTCCGGTTTGAGTGGGTTCAGTGTTAGTTTGAAGATCCCCGGCTCGGATTCTTCACACCATTCCATGTCTCCCGATAACACTATTGCTTCGGAGTGTTTGTTCGTTTTAAAATCGCCAACAGCAGCATCCCAAGCCCTGCCAGATGATTTTTCAGGGAGTGGACGGCCACCACGTTGACTGTGACCACTCAGCCATGACCAGAATCCATCTTGGCTGTTGAAGGGAAGACGATTACCAACAAGCATTTTGTTGAGAGGAACGCCCCATGCACGTCCCACGCGTTCCAACTCATATCTGAAACGTAGAGGGATTGTGCCTGGTAGCGAATGTTCTACAGTGAACGGCCCATCAGACAAGAGCTCATCGATAAGTTCTTTCTCCAGGAGGTATTTTGTTTCAGCAGGATCATGATTGACCATAATAGACGTGACAGCAGCGTCCATGCTCTTGGTCATTTCGTCACTGACCATATACCCAACTACCGAGTCGGCATAGGTTGATTGCGTGTCCATTAGCTCAGTGATTTCCGTCATGACTGTATCAAATGACTCATCCATGCTCGTATCCCGAGAGTCGAAGACCGATGATCCCGTAGTCGAAAAGCTGGTATTGCCAGACTGGACTGTGTTATCACGCTTCGATTTATCGGATCTCGCGGTGAGTCTCTCGAGCAGTATAGGTTTCTTGAACTCAGGGGTACCATCCTGGGCCGGAGGTTCGTCGCTGACAGGTTTGTTTGTACTAAACCCGAATGACAAAAGATCCATTTGTCTCATTGGTGATTGAGACAGTGAGTTGGTCGGTTTTGGATTCTTCGTCGAAGTTTCTGTCGGAGTTTTTGTTGGACTTTCAGTTGGGAACTGGGGAGCTCCCTTGGTTCTCGTCGGTGACTTAACGTTACCCTGAGGCTTCGAGGGAGAAGAAAAGTTCACAGATTTACTTGCTGGCGATTGAACAATATTTGAGTCTCCTGCCGGCTGAGAGGCCATCATTTGTGCGGGTGATTGGACACTTCCCTTGTGTTTCGGAGGAGATGTAAAGCGCGTTGGACTCTTCGCCGGAGATAGGAAGCTTTCTTGATTCATGGATGGCGACTGAACAGCCGCATTGTCCCTAGCCAGTGATTGCAACCCAAACTGACTCTTAATAGGAGACGTCAAGCTCGCCGATCTTTTCGCTGGTGACTGGAAACTTCCCTGATTCCCCAATGGAGACTGAACCACACTCGCCCTCGCAGGCGATTGAAAACTCCCCTGGCTCTTCACAGGAGAAACCAAATTCACAGGATTTTGCCCCCTCGCAGGCGAAGTAAAGCTAATAGCTCTCCGGACAGGCGACTGGAAACTAGCCGAACCCTTCGATGGAGATCGAAAGGCCCCGTCCCCATTCTTCCCCAAAGGCGACTGCCGCACAGGGACAAAAGGCAAAGCCTTAATAGGCGAATTAGGCGCAGTATGAAAAAGCTCATCGGGATCCTCAAGATCGTCATCCCCAAGGTCATGGTCATAATCAACGGAAAACCTTCGTTTTTTTTTTTTTGGTAAGCCCACAGAACTTATCGGTGGATTCTCTGCTAACCTTTTATTGCCTGCAGCATTATCCTGGCGCTGAGTCTGATTCTGATTGTGATGGCCTGTTTTTGAAGTATTTTGGGTAGACGTAGACATAGAAGTATCAGCAACACGCCCATTCACCACCATATACTCCTCGTCCTCAATAAGCTTAAGCAAGTACCTCATGCGATCGCCTTTGGCGGATTCACTGAAGGATAATGATAATCGAGGTACGTCGGGTGGTTCGACGCTCATCCGTGCGTTGTTTCTTGGGCTTGGATTATCCTGGCCTCTCCGTTGCACATATCCATATCCAATCCCTCCCCCGCCGATGCCGGTGCCGGTGATGCTTGGCCAGCAACCCATTCCCTCAAATCGACTAGCAACCCATTCGCACAGCCTTTGTAAAAAAGCGGACGGAGCCGTTTGTAGATTTGCCATGGGGGTGTTGTATTCCCTTCTCTTGCGGAGGGGGATTCAATGCCCGGAACGGGGATTTCGAGGGCGAATTCTTTGTTTAGGGCTTTGATGTAGTCGGCGAAGGATTGTTTTTGGCGTTGGGGAGTTGTTGGGGCGGTTCGAGGTTGGGTGTGGTTGTGGTTATGGTTCATGGTGGGCGGGTTTGGAGCTCCATTCGGGGGCCGGGTGGGTTGGAATTGATATGAATGTGAATGTCACTATGAATTTAACTGTTTGAAGATATCAGGGAGATAGACTTGGATTTGGGTTTACTACTTCTTTTTGTTTGTTTGAGGCGGGTTGTTTATGGTGGGGGATGTAAACAAACCGAGTGATGCATCGAGGTTGAGATTATTGTTTGATTCCCTTGGACATGGATAATCTGCAGATACGAGGGAATTCCAGGTCGAGAAAAAACAAACAGCCTCGTTTTCTCTATGTCTTTGCCACGCCAGAGACTGTTTAGCCGTCCGCTGTCTACATAGTGGGGCAGTCACTGTGACAACTCATAGAGCTACAGTGGCCATTGGAGAAGGCTGGGATGTATGCATGTGCCCGTTTTCCCAAGTCCAGGGACTAAAAATACAGTAGTTACACGTTTGATTCGGGGTAGATATAGAACACTCGATTACTACAATGCTCAATTCACTTCCACGCTCTCGTGTTCCGGCTCGTTCTTGTCCGTCCACAAATCGGCTTCTATGGGGAGAACACGCTTGCTGTTGACAACAGCCACTTTGTACCCGATAAGCAAAATAATATAGAAAGGGATACTGATGTAGGAGGCGATGAACGACCCGGCATCGAATTTCCGGGTACCAGCCTCGTAACTGAAAGCGTCAAAGACAATTGTGACGGCGATGAAAAGGCAAAGAACCAGAGCCAAACAGGTTCCCGGTAGACCGAAGCGAGCCCTGAAGGCCAGAGCCTTGTCTGGGATTCCTTGGGCCCTTCGTGCACGCACAAATGAGATGTGGGTGATGAGGATCGAAATCCATGTCAGAAGGCCAAGCATGGTGACCATGTCCACGAAATACCGGAAGACGACCGTCGAGTCCTGACAGACATTGAGATACGCGAGTGTAGCCATTGACGAACATACGCCCAAGGAGTAGATTGGAACGCCGCGGCTAGTGGTGCGTGATAGAAATGCAGGTGCACGGTGCTTGAGTGACAGATCGCACATTGCTTTAGTTGCCAAGTAGAGATCGTAGTCTGCAATGGACAAGACGAATAACAAAATGCATGCATTAAGCAAATCGGGTAGAACCGAGATCCCGGCCAAGTATAGAGCAGCGACGAAAGCCGATGCTGCAGCTTCATGGTTGGCTTCGCTGTTGAAGGCCACAGACACCGAGTCTTGGGGAACAATCATCCCAAGAAGAGTGATTGCAAGAAGATGGAACACCATGATCCGATAGAAGGTATTCTTGATTGCCCGCGATGTGGCCTTTTCAACATTCGGAAAGTGGCAGATACCCGATCTCTCGCTCCCAATGTATGCAAACGTGGCCGAAGACATAGTCGAACAAGTGATATAGAACTTCTCGAGCAACCCATGTGCATGGTGGTGATGAGCCCCAAAAGGACCAGGATCCGACCAATACCGAAACCCTCTGCGATCATGATCCGGTCCTCCGCCCAACGCAATAACCGTAGACAGAATCATGAGTCCCAGCATGACAACCAATTTAAACGAAGAGACATAGAACTCAATCCGACTGGGGAACTTGTGGCTAATGCAGTTCAGCGTCACGATAACCGAGAGAAAGATTGTAATCCATGCTCCGGGATTGACTCGCTCAGCATCTACCCAGTAAGAGACGACAAGTGCCGCAGCAGTCAGCTGGTTCGGCGTGACGAGGGCATATTTCAACCAAAAGCTGTGAGGACATGAGTAACCAATACCAGGTCGATGAAGCTCCATGCAATGGGGGACTTACATCCAGCCCAAGCTGAACCCAAGTGCCGGATCACAGAATCGGACAGCCTGGTCGGCGACTGTATATGGCTTCGGCAGCCACGAAGCGACCTCACCTAAAGCGGAGAGAACAAGGAAGACGGCAAATCCGACGATGGTATATGAAATGATAATGGCTGCAGGCTGCGCCGTATCAATATCTCCGTTCGTGTCCTCGGAGGATGTCACTTACGCCGCTCCTACTAGGCATCAATGCTGTTCACGCGGGAGATACTTCTGGGTAAGAGATCTTACATGGACAATGCTCTTCCCGTACCAACCATCAAACCCGTTCCAATGGCCGATCCGATAGCTGGGAGCTATTAGTATATGTGTCGTAGAACAAGCCTGCAGATACAGACTGATAACGCTGATTTGTCGGGGTGTCAATGACCCGTAGATATCGGCGAAACCAGTGGCAGGCTCATTGTGGTGAGCTTCGGGGGCATTCAACAGACTCGTCGGGTTGTTGACTGGTTCGGCGCTAGGAGGTGTGGGTTGAGATGGTGATGCCGGCCGGCGTCGCGCAAACATCCTATGTAAGTTCCTCATTGTCAACATCCAATTGACAAGATCGAGAAAGCTAACAGTCAAGAGGAGACGGGAAGAATAGCCATTATCGCATATCATGACAAGAGCCAAAATGGAAAGAACGAAGGACAACTGATGGGATCACAGATCATTGGAATACATTTTCTATATGCAAAAAGTCCATAGGGACCACTGAATGGCATATGAAACAAATAGAAGTAATTCCTAGACTTTCCAGCAATTCTAATTGCCGTCAGCCCATCGCACCAAAAAAAAAGTGGCATCTATAGTCCAAAAGCCACAAGATCACGAACGCCCAAAAATTGTCACACCCAAAAAGCACCAATCAGGTTGCATACGGAATTTCCATGTCCCCTGCAGGGGCCAGAGGGGATAGCAGAGATATCATAAAGTCTTTATCAAATTACCAAATGGAAGACGGTTCTCGGGCACGGCGTTGTCTGAGACGTTCGCTTCCCTGATGAGGTGAAGGGAGTGGAGTTTTACGTCGGAACACGTGGGGGAGAGAGCGTGTGGATCGTCATTTCATCTCGACATGAGCGAGTCGCTGGACTCGGTCCGGGGGAATATGCGCGTGTAAAGGGAATCGCTGGACTCGGTACGGGGGAAGTGCCGTTGGTGCTTGCGGGAGATAACACGGTCGGTGTAGACGCCCTTGGCCGAGCCGCGGATGACCTGCTCGAGATACTCGCAGAAGTCTGTGGGTTGGAACTCCGGGTACAGATCCTGCGTAGTGTGGTAGCCAAGATACTTGGCGTATTCGGGGTTGTTGTCGCCGCGGATTCCCCACGAGAGCTGGTATTCGGCCAAGTAACGCGGGATGAACTTGATCGGGTCGAACGGGTAAGTTTCACTAGCTTGTCGGGCCGCCACGACTCTGCTGCAGATGGTCTCCTCGGGCACCTGTGCTCCGGAAAAGAAAAACGGTTAGTCACTTGCTCATTTCGGGCCGACAGGGTCTGTGCGACATACGTAGTTCCGATCGATCTTCTCCTCGCTGAGTTGCTCCATGAGGTCGTAGATCTTGTTTTGTGTGGAGACCAAGTTGTAGGCGAGGATCTTCTTGTTCAGGGTGCGGGGGTCGGAGATGATCATGGCCATGTAGCGACCGATATCGCGCAGGTCGGTCAGAGCTGTGGGCATGTTTCCGTCGCCGATAATCTCGTCGTTACCGGATGTCATGGCATAGTCGACACGGCCGGAGGGGAGACGGGGGTAGGCCAGCTGGTACCACCAGCCGACATCGACGATGGTATAGGGAATCCAGAGCTGGCGAATCTGGTTGTAGACAATTTCTTTCTGTAAAGCAAAACAGGGTCAGCCCACTACTAACTGTATATACCACGCCACAGTGCTCATACCTCGTCACGCAACCACATGATACCGCCGGGTGGGCAGACGGTGATGAAACCGCAAGGCACAAATCGCTTGACGCCGGTCTTCTTGGCCGCTTTAGCGAGAGGGATCTGGTCCTGCTGTTCGGCGGGACCGACACAGCTGATGACCACATCGATCTCAGCCAGGGCCTCGATGAGCTCCTCCTCGGGGGCCTTCAAGTCGCATTTCCGAATCTGAATGCCCCGATCCTGGAGACGTGTGATGGCAGGCTTCTGGGCCGAAATAGGACGGACAAGAGCGATGACTTCCTATAAAAATCGAAGCAAACCGAGATCGTTAGTCTAGGGGTCAATTGGCGGGAAGGTGGGCTGCGTACAAAGTCACCGGTATCCAACAAACCGTTAGCAATGGAGCCTCCGGTTTCACCCGCTGCGCCAACCAGCAAAACCTTGGTCTTCGACATGGTAGATATTCAAGTAAAGGTGAAGGGGAAGGGTGTTGGGGAAGTGAAAGAGAAAGAAAGGGATTGGGTAACAGGTTTAGGACCTGACGACGTTATAAATTCCCAAGGCTAACCCACTTTCCCACCAGTGGGTCAGTGGATGTTCGTTCCCCCTCGTTTTGAGGGGATGATTTTTCCCATGATGTCAGTCTTAAGCATTACTTATATATTCTCGTTTTCTCTTCTATCCTGTTATTCTAGGATTTATATCTTTTCAGTACTCTGTACTCTTCAATTTTTTTACGGGCCGGGTTCGGGAGGGGTTACGTCATTTTACGGCTTCCCGGGCTTGGATAATGATGATGTTTGCGGCTAAGTACTGTAACTGGAGATATACGGAGTACACCAACCTAGATATATTTATGCTGATTTCTATTCTCTCAAGTCTTGCAAATGTACAGAATATTGGTCTAACTTGCAGAATCTCCCCACGTCACAGATCTCGCCAGGTTTCAGGGAAGCTTAGTCATCGGGTGGCGCAGACCGAAAAATGGTGAGCCATGGCCAATGAGATACTATAGAGGACTGCCCAGGTGCCTATGAGGAAATAGTAAGCAATAGCACGGTTCCCTAAAATTGCTTGTGATCCAAATAGGGCCGAAATCCTGGTTAGTAGGAGGCAATAATAACTAATAGAGGGGGGCGCCACAGCCGCCGGAGATCTGTGCCGTTATTCTGCAAATCTTGTCTTCCCTCCCTGTTAACACCCTATTCATCATATTCGTCCCTAGGCCCATGGTAGGCCCTTGGTAGGCTCTCGGTGGAGATCACTCGCCTTGGATTCTGTTCTTGATATGGCAGGTAAGGGTGGCGATCTCGGGATCATCGCGGGGAATGCATAAGAAGGCCCAAGCAAAGTGACTCTGTGAAAGGATCATCAGGTAGTAAGAACTGCGGGGGGCATGAAGCTGGGGAAAGTGAAGTGTGTACATGTGATGCAAATTGAATTCGTGATAGCTTCGCATTAGGTTTCTGCCAGTCCTAATAATGAAGAGAGAGGTGAAGCCCAAGTTGGGCTCTGGCTGCTTCCATCGCAGTGTCGCTGTCGTTGCAGATTCCAGACTAACCTGTGCCTTGACATCTTTCTGTACACGGGTAGCAGAAGTACCAGGATTCCTGATTTGAGTTGTCGTCTATTGGTAGTTGTAGTGGTAATGGTCTACGGTACCTTTTCAGATGGACAGGGGGGCGGCAGGAGGAGGAGAGGAGGGGCAAACACAGAAACATAATGTGAACTGCCCGACTCCAATGATAGTTATGCCCAACATCTTGAACATGGTGGATGGTGGTTCTTGACCTCTAAGTAGATCTTTTGTCGTTGGGTTTTCGGCTCGGTGAAGGTTCTACTCCATTGCAATGAATTTTGACGGAGTCTTCGTCTACATTGTTCATTGTACCAATCAGTTATTTTCATATCTCATATCTAGAAGATCTTCTCCACATGAGTCAGCACAATATAAAGTAAAGGTAGCATTACGATGAAATACGTTGATATTTCCCCCTTTTCTCCCCGCAAGTAGGTGGCTGCCTTGCATCGACTTCCTAGCTGCCCTCTCATCCACGTACACCTGGGTACTGGACGCTCACTTTGAGCAAAATATATACCCAAGACGTTAGCCCGGTGAGTGTCCGCATCGGCATCTGCGCTTAGAAACACTGCCTACATGTACTGTAAGCTTAAGCAAGGGGCGGGTGCCCCGTTTCCTTGTAGGGATCAAGAACGCGGGATATCCCGTGCTGGATAGCATCATAAATGCTTCAATCGTCCCTAGTATCGGACAACCCATTCCTCTGCCTATGTATTTGATTGCTGTATTTGTTCTCACATGCTAGAAAATTACCTGCATCGTTCCTGGCATGCACACGCACAGAGTCAGGATCTCCCTATCCTGTGTAATAGTCAATGAATACAAAATAGAGATAACCAAGTTAAACATCAAGAGGCTTATTATCATAAATCCTTTGTTCCTGCATATATCATATCTGAAACGATCGTCTTTCTTGCGAATCGAAGTGTTAGCTGTTGAGTTTACTCAGCCACCCCTTATTCACCATAAATCTCCACAGGTTGTTGGAACTTGCAGAGATATCGATCAAGACCAAGGACACCAATGAGTGAAGCAGCCATATAAGAATATCAGCGTTTCATTCCAAGCCTTTAGGTAAATAAGGTTATATAGGAGACTTGCCTTGCAACAGTTTGCCCACCTATAGTCATTTGGACAGCCCTGTCAAAAAAAAAAAAACAAGATCTATGTCAGCCTCTGGAAAATTCAAGACACCAACCCCAAGGGCTTAAATACCAGAAAATTATCCTGCTCATTCCATCATATGCCTAAAAAAGCTGAAGTATCAGAATCTTGTTCTTACATCTTGGGTTTGCTGTTCGGTGCTCAAAGGGCATATATCGATATCCTCACACCTAGTAATTTTGTTGATAAAGTGATACGGATAGCTTGATGTATGGTACGCCTTCAACACTGTCTCATCAATCAACATCATAGAGTTCGAAACGTTCTGGGCGTATTCGCAGCCTGGGCAGTCGAGGGCCCTCTGTAGAGCTTGAAGCTGTGGGGAACTGTGTGCTTTGGTGGAATAATAACGTCTCTTGTTCCTAAGAGAGCAGGATTTGGTCTTTGAAAGGCCTTTTTTGATAACCTTCCACTTAGCTGATGAGGAAGTTTTGTCTCTGGCCTTTGTTGACTTGGATAATGACAACTTCTTCTTGGATTGACGAACTGCCATGCTGTATGTGGGTAAAAGGATAGATGTGATTTGTTTGAAGCAATTGCAGTAGTGCGTGTGCAGGAACGTGACTGGCAAGTGCAAGTGGAGATCCATTTATGTGTTGACCAAGAGGTTTTTGGGTTTGTTATAACAAAGCAACAAAGGGGATCATATTGTTTCAGATGCCAAGGATATAAGAAAAGATTGCTTGTACATATTTAGATCCACTTACTTTAAGTTGAACAAAGAAGAACGATCCTCAGGGCAATAATGAACAGCAGATATCCCATCCTTCGGGGTAAGGATAGACCTAGCCACCTCCTTCTGGCCTCCATAGATAGATCTCTTCCTCTGTAACGAGGTCCGTCTAATCGACAATTTTAATTCTGGTCAGTTCATACATAGGTAATAAATATAGACCTGACTTTGGGCTAGTTTTATCAGACGGCCTACCTAGGCAGCTTGTCCCTATAACCAACGCAAAGCATAGTCCCGGTATTTGTCGCAGCAACATGCTGTGAGTGTGTTCGCCCACAGCCTCCTCGTCCACAGCCCTGCTTAGCATATGCTGTAGAAATGATTCCTATTTACCCTCAGAGCAACTTGGAACGTTTTTCGTTTCCCTATGTCTTTTCACCCACCTCACCACCGTGAACTGGACAACCCTAACCTCGCATCCGAATATCATCATAACTTTTACGCAAGACATGAATCGGACTCAAGTGCCCGTCTTAGAGGAGGCATCACTCGTGTTCCCCTTGAGCTGTCTTCTGCTCTCGTTCCTTTTCACAATTTGCTTCTACCGCGCGTCATTCAGGAACGTACTTCGAGCCCCCACCCAATGCGTCGCTCGCGTTTGTCAGAACTTCCTCACTACAGTGAGTGAGAATGGTGGTCCATTCTTATACCAATACGTCCTTCCTGGCACTCAGCATCTCTCCCGCGTGGCCTTCGTGGCCGTCATCGTGAGTCTCCGGGTCTTTTGCCGTCTCACAAGATACATTTTCTCTCGCTTCTATCATGCACTTGTACAGCACCAGATCGAGCGCATAGTCGAGTGCGTTGTAATCTGTTACCAACACCTTCACGCTACCCATCGCCACAACTTGGCGTTGGCGTTCGATCATCTTCGAGCTTCCTACCTATATACCGTTCACGTTTGGTATGCTCCTTACCATGTGGCAGTCGAAAGATTTCTCCAGATCTGCGTTCGCTGTGTCGTTCATGGATACCAACAACTCAAAGAAAACCTCAATATCAGGGAAACCCCAACGATCCACATCCTCGACGACGAAAGCGATGCAGACGACGAACGAGGTCAAGAAGATGAATCGGTTTTCCAAAATATCAATGAAGATGAACACCTACTCTCACCTGTAGGACAACTGATCAGCCAGAACCATCAACGCCGCCCCCACGAGTCATCACTGTTCGTCAACATGAGTTCGACAGCCAGCAACGCTAGCTCGTCAGATAGCAATGACCTCAACACACTCCCAGACCCCCCAACTCCCAGGACCTTAGCCCGACATATCCAGTGGAACATGCCCACTGTACCACAAAACCGTCGACCCCGTCTTGGCGATTTCACTCCAGATGGGTACACTACCCACAACATCCAGACTTACAATCGGAGCACACAGGCGGCGGATATTCCAGTCTGGGAAGTGGAGTACTATGAGAGGATTGATGGATTCGAGTCCATGGCTGGAGTGTCCTGGATTAATGTGGCGATCGACTGGTTTGCTGAGTCGGTCTTCATTGTGGTTGCTCCTGATATGGTTCGGGACGAGGAGTGATGGTTGATTGATCTTTGAGGATGTAACTTCCTACTCAGAGGAGAGATGGTGGAAGACTTTGCGAGATCGGTGGAATGAGGATATTCCGGGGAATTGATGTATGTATAGTATCACAATCGACATTCAGTCTGAGTTCATTCCTCGATCCTTATTCGTGTGTAGCCAACCAATAGGAGTGTGTCTCATATTGTGACCCCTTGGACGTTTGAAGGCGGCGATTGAAAGCAGTTATTGGCCGGGCTATCGGCACTAACGCGCCACGCAAGGGTTGGAGCAGGGATTTTATGGCTTGGGCTCGGGAATCGCGCACATGCTGAAAATTGTGTTTTAGTCGGTGGGAGGAAAATGCTTCCGTGCTGAGAGGTATGCATTGCAGGCCAAGATAGTGAGGGGGCATCTATTCTTTACTTAATGAGAGCTGTTGGGTGTACAAAATTATCTTAGCTTTGAATGCACACATATTTCAATTCAAACTAGTCCGTTTAGCTTTTATTTATCGTTCGGTCGTCTATTGTCTCATACAAGATCAAAGGAAGTCATTCACGTTATTCCCACCGACATTAAGGGCCAAATAGAGATCCTGATTCTCGGTCGTGATCATTATACTTTGGTGGATTATTTATGGCGCACAGTAGCCACCGTCGACAATCAAATCGGCGCCGGTAGTGTAGGTTGATGCATCGGAGGCCAAGTAGAGGTAGGCACCCTTCAGCTCGTGGGCCTGACCTTCACGGCCCATTGGGATCTTATCACGCCAAATGTTCTTGGTGTCCTCGGGCACGAAGCTGGAGATCTCGGTGGCGATGTAGCCGGGCGAGATGGTGTTGGCACGAGCGAAGCGAACCCACTCAACAGAGAGGGACTTGCCTGAAAATATATTAGAAAAGCAACTGAGCCAATGGGGACAGCAGCCTACAGAGGTGAATCACACCAGTCTTCGCGGCGTTGTAGGCGGCTTGCATTTGAGGGAAGTTGACTATGTGACCGGACATGGAGGCCGTAGCGACAAAGCTACCGTAAGTAAAGTTGGTGAGCTTTTTGCCATTAGCGTCAGTGCCCTCTTCCTTCTGGCGCCGCCAGTGGTCGGCCGCGTATTTGGCACAGTAGAAGGTTCCGTCGAGATCAATGCCGATTACATCACGGTAGTGCTCGAGAGGACCGTCGACCATGGGACCCTGGGTCCAGGGAACACCGGCATTGGCAATGAAGACGTCGAGACGACCATTGAAGTCCTTGACGACCTCATTCACTGCTTTCTCGACGGCCTTCGCGTCGGTAACTTCGACCTGGTAAGCCTTGGCTGTAGTAGAGACGAAAGTTAGTGAGGCTAGGGAATCACATATATTCAAATCGTTGCGTACTCTGAACACCGTACTGCTGGGCGATCTCGGCAGCGCGCTCAGGGCACTTTGTGTTGCTCCTATACCATAAAGCCACATTGGCACCGGCTTCTGCCAGACCCTGAGCGACAGCCAGACCGATACCGGCGCCAGCACCAGTAACAATGGCGGTCTTTCCCTTGAGAGAGAACATGCTCATGAGGCTGGGGTGCTGAGGAGCAACAGTATTATTGTGGACAAAGAGTCCATTCTTAGTCACGGGGTTGGCAGCCATGACGATTAGATATGCCACGAAACAAAGTAACGAAAGAGCAGGCCCCAGACCGAGGGAGATCACTTAAATAGGACTTCTAAGCTGTTAGACTGATAGACGGTGAGAGATGCACTGGCGGGAGGAAGCCGGATGAGCTGTGTTGCCTGTGGGTATGCTATGCGCCCCCAGAATAGCCCGGGGGTGGGTCGAGGTTGGCAGATCAGATATATCACATTTTGCAACAGTACGGTAGACCTGTGAGAACAGATCTTGCTTTCGACAAAAGCTCATGCATAGTGTCATCATTTTCCGCTATTCCATGTGAAGGTGAGAAATGAGAACCTTGGGTAGTTGAGAGTTGAGAGTTGTTGGAGGATCTCAGGCCGATCACCTGATCCTCACAAAAGAGGCCCACATGTATAACGGTTTCTTCACGTCGGGTCCTGCGAGCTGCATTTCACCTTGCACTGTTAGATAACACTGTTTCTTGCAGTGAAAACTCTAGGGCGGAAGTGTTTAGCCCATGTACCATTACGCCCTGGGAGAACAGTGATGCCGAGGTCCCACCATCGCCCCGAGAAGAGTGACTGGACATCCCGAGTCCCGACCCCAGAAAATGACGCGACGGCCCTTGGCTTTTAACAATTGAAGAAAAGCTGTGGCTTTTGAGTGTCGCGATTCGGCGTCAGTGGCATCCAATCGGGTTGGAAGTATGCGCCCCGGTTGGGGCCACAGGTACTACGGGGAAAGACATTCATCGCACCTCACCATCTCATGACAAACGGTACATATTCATTTACTTACAGCAGTCGCACAAAATTGACCCGCCCATAGAGAATCAATTTGGGGGCTGATCGTCCTCCGGGGCGAGCCCTGACGCGTTGATCGCAGTAGTATCGAGTATAAATCAGTGTCGATTAGGGCATTCAATGATCATTCCAACATCATGGAATTGGCCCTTTGACGTGCCAATGGTCCCCTGGGGCTACCTTATTCGTCGAGGATGCCATGCTCGAACCTTGGCAAAAGGGGGTAGTGTGGCAGCCAGCATTCCTGAGACTCGGGTGGTGATGAAGCAGCATTCTTTGGTGGGCATCATTTTTCCAATAACAAACGTAGGTCTCTGGGAGGAATGCTAGTAGCGCTGCACCTGATTCATTCTCGCTGTTCCGCCAGGGCTTGTTTTGAGGTGGATGTATCTTCCTGTTCTGTCAAGCTTCACACTTGCCGTTCGGTAGAGGGATAATATTGAACGGTTGCTGCATGAACCACTGGTTTTCTGGATGAAGGATTGAGCAGATACTTTCTGTTCAGTGCGCCCACTTTGTCTTGGAATCAGCTCAGTGACGCGCCAGCAAGGCGACCATGCTGGGGCTAAGTGCCGTCGTCGCCATTGCCGCTTCTGGCGCGGCCATCTTCGTTGTCATTTCGGTGGTCAGTATAGTCGTCTGGGTCAGATATCGCAAAGAGCGTCATGCATTGGCGTTGCTTAGCTTCAAGCAGGGGCAATATGCAAAGGGACTGCAGTCGTTCCCAGTGGATACTTTGACGGAGTTGAGCCAGGCGGAGGGAAGTGCTTTGAGGACGCATGGTCAGCTTCCATATGGCAAGCCAAGTGAATGGGGGCAATTAACCTCGCGAGAGAGTTTGCTTCGTCCGAAGAACAGCTCTGAATCTTCGATCTCCCTCACGGAGAAAGCTCGTTCCCTCCGCAACTCGCTTTCTCGTTCTCGATCGAAACGTCTGTCAAAGTCTTCCCACAAACGTATGAGCTCGTTGGGAACTTTGGGTGAATCAAGTCATCTTCCCAGTCCTCCTCGAAAAGGATCCATTTCCAGAGAAGACGTTCCTCTTTCGGCTGTTGAAGGGGTTCTTGAGCTTCCAGCAGAGAGAACCCCCGGCAAACACCAGATCCCAACGAAGAAGATACTGGCTTCCATCTCGGGATGCGGCCAATCTCTCCCGGATGGCCGTTCCCATGGCCAAAGGAGCGATCAGGGCTCTTCCCTGTGTTGGAAGATCATGATTCTTCTCACGCCTTCGATCCACCACCCATGATCTTCGATGAATCTCCCCAGCGCCTGCGAGGTGGAAGCATCACCAGTCAAACCGCGGGTATGGTGCCACATCACTCTATTCCTCCCCCACCACCAACAGCATATCCGCCAGATAGATTCAGTTATGCTCGCAACGATTCAGTCTCGCGCATGTCTTCCATGAGTTTGGATACTACAAACAGCTCAATTTTGGACGACGGCAGAAATGGACCCAGGTCGGCAGATACTGATTTAACTTCACCTATCTTCCCATCAGGTGGCACATTCGTTCCCTTCAGTGCAGCTGATGTAGGGGTTAAGGATGGCCGCAGGAGTTTCATCGCGACAAATACCTCCATCCCACCCATGCATAACTTCCCTGTGCGTTCTTCTTCAACTACCGAAACTCGTCATAAGTCTGCGTCCATGTCACCCCGGCGCAGTATGACAACCATTCGGCATTCAGATGCTTCTGGGAATCGGTTCAGTGGAGCTCTCCGTCGAACTGACTCACTCTCGTCGTCCAATCCTCCGTCGAGACATTCATCTCTACGATCTGGCACTCCAGTTGGCAACTCAGGTTATCACAACTCTACAAACAGCTGGCGGTTCTCTGGCTCGCAGATGGCTTTCGTGCCGCACTTCAGCCAGTTCCAGAACAATCCTGACTACGAACATGAGCAGATGGAGAACGACCCCTTCTATGTTGGCTCCCCTGGTGGCGGAACTCTGTTCCACCCTGTTGGCTCACCAAGCAACGCATCTAATAACCACATGCCACCAAGCCCAATGCAACGTTCAAGTCTCTCCCTCAAGGCCCCTCTACCCTCGGCACTGAAGGGAGGAAACTCACAACGCAAGGGTCACCGTCGTCAAAACTGTGTTCGAATTTCTATTCACCCCCCATGACATTTGGGTCGTCGACATTCTCTGAGACCGTGGAAGAAGAGCCTGAGGACTTCGACAAGATGGAGGAGCTGGATCTCCGAGAAAGTACAATTAATAGCCCGGCGAAGCCATTGCCCTCATTGCCGCCATCTTCAATGTCGTCTCCTGCTGGTTCACGACGCAGCAAGTACGGCAGCAGACGAGGCAAGCCAGCACTTGGCTCCCTTGGACCCCTGGCTGAGGAGCCGCAGCTTACAAGTATCAAGACCAATGTCGACAACAGTCCTGATAACAAGAGAAAACATGACCCACTCTTGTCCACTGGAAACAAGCACCTGGGTCAGAACGACCGCTCTCTTCCCGACATATTCACCTCCATTTCCCCTTCTGACGGCATTTGCCTATCCCACACCCCCTCTCCTGAACGAGTACCACCGATTTGGGAAGTTCCCGAAGTTCCTACGCCGTCATATGAGAACTCCTCCCCAGGCACCGGAAGCCCTCGACGCTCCGCGGTCAAGGGACCACGGCACCAACCTCAGCCTCGCGTCACAGCAGCCCGCAGTCAATCTACACGTGTATCATCAAGGTCTTCTGACCACATGACACCAAGTCCTCTCGAATCACCCAGCCGTCTACCTCTTGTCACGAGCATCACCGGTACAGAGGGCAGCGACTGGCGTCGATCCACAGAGTCCCTGCAGCGAACACGAACCGACGCAACGGACCGTACATACCGCCGAAATCGTGATTCAACGGGCAGCATGGAGGCTAGACTAGGGCCAATTGGTGCTTCCTCGCCATTGTATGGTACACGCCGGCAATCCATAGTCCAGGACCGTGTTCATATCTTCGAGGACGCCAACCGCACCGAGTCGCCGTACAAATCACCGTTCAAATCGTCTGATGTCCAGCCCATTGGCACTCTCACCACCCCGGAATCCTCTCCGACCCGGGACAAGAACAGCATTCCCCGTTCTATGCCCAGTAATCTACCTTACCCGTCTGGAGTATCTGGTCAACGCGTACCACCTACCCCTACTTCTGCTCGTCGGGGTATGACTACCCCGACGGGCAAGGGTCTTGGTCTTGGTCTTGGAACTGCTACCCCAGCCAGTTTGTATGATGGTGACGGGTTCTTGCGTGAATAAGTCATTTGCTATCTTCTGTGACGAGTATTATTGGAGTGTAGATTCAGCAGCGAGGTCTCATTCTGTTGAATTGTGTGATTGCGATGTTGGGTTAAAAGCCTCAGCGTCCTTGTTTCATGCCTTGTGACAGACTTGTTGACTTCCTTGCTTCTTCTCTTCTCTTTTCTTTTGTTTGTTTCTTGTATCGGCAATACTCCCCCTTTTCTTCTGTGTTTATGTGTGACGTGTGTTTGATATCCATGGTTTAAGTAGTTGTTGGGGTTAGGTTTAATCCATTATCAATAATACTGGACAATACTTTCGCAATATTCACAGTAGCCAGCTTCAGCTTCTAACACATCCTGAACTCCATTCCGCGCCACTTTTAACTCCTCCAAATCCCCCTGATCACTCAGTCCTCCGCCACTTAGCCTCATCATCCTCACCACCATCCTCATCCCCACCAACCCCATTCTCCCCCTCCCTAGCCCTCACTGTCCCAGCCCCAGGCCCAAGCGGGAAAGAAGGCGGCTCACCCCCAGCAATCCAATTGCCCTCCTCATCAAAAAAGTCGCCCATATTCTCAGCTGTAATCCACCCCGAACTCCCAGCAACAGGAGGCGGCAAACCCCCGTCTCCAAGTCGGACAACACCATCCGCATCCTCCGCCGAGAACCACTTAGCGCCGTCCTCATCGTCCTCGTCCTCATCACCAGGCTCAACGGGGTCAGGGTGCAAATTCGAACAGGCAGAAACGGAGTTGTAAAAGATCTGAGTGGGTGTTTCTGTCTCGCCGGATCCATCGCTCGTCTCTTGTGTTGGCGCGTCGGCTGGCAGTACAATTGTCATCGTGATAGATTCTTCCTCGTCGTCTGCCGAGGGTGCACTTGGTGTTGCGATTTGCATGTACAGGCCTTGTACTTCCGGAGATTCGGTGCCTGGTACGCGCAAGCGTTGGAGGGCGTGCAGTGAGATGGAAGGGTAGGGGATTGAGACGCCGGTTGAGGCGGTGGGGGAGAAAAGCAGGAGTTTGCTAGACGATTGATGTGGTTAGCTGGGGTTCTCTGGGCTTGCGCTTGCGCTGGAAGGAATGGAAGACGAGGATCGAGGTTACTCACTCGGATGTCACCCAGGTCTCGACGCCCTCAATAGCGACTTCCTTCTCGTCATCTTGCTCGCTGGCTGCGGCGCTCTCACCGCGTAGAGCACTGAGTGCCGGAGTAGCGACGAGGTCGCGCTCTAGGATGACGATCTTGCAGCGCTCACTGTGGTAGTGTAGCACCGGCGGTCCTTCGTAGAAAGAGCTCGGCGTGCGCGATTGATGCTCTGCGAGCGGGACGAAGGCGGAAGCTTCGGGAGAGTTGCGTAGGACCTCCATATTGTTGAAGGTATGGTTGTATATTTGGTGAGTGTGATATGGTGTTGGAGAAGCGGTGGTTGAGAAAGCTTCGGCGAGGAGCTTTTCCGTCTGGTTGCGGCGGATTTCCCCCACGATAAGCTTGAAGAGCTATAACAGCGATTTTCAAATTGAATATATTGCCTTGGACAATGAAAATGTATTTAATGTCACAAATTGCATGGATTCCGACCGTTTCGCATTTCGATTCCCAATGTTTAGATTATAATTTGTGTAGTTTCATATATATATTCGAAAGCTTCCAGCAACGAAACCGTAAGAATTATAATGCAAATGACAATCTACATAGCGAAACATTGGATATTTTGCTGGATCTTCCGGTGGCCACCTAGTTTTATAACATTTTGGTACAATTAAGTCAAGGTTTTAAGAGGATTATTAATTTCTTGCTTTGACAGGTACCCAGGGTTGCTGCATTCTTCAAGCTTCATCCGAGGAATAGCCGCACATATTCACATGTTGCAGCTAAGTAGCGTATCTGGTCATAGTGCGATGTATCTTATGCTTTAATACCCTTAGTCGGTCTTCCAGGTCGACTGGTTTTATGATCCCAGACATAGACACCAGAGTCAGCTCTGGAGACCACCATCAAAATACAGCACCGGCACGACGATAGACTGAGGGACATAGCTATCCAGGTCAATGAAAGCATTGCAGGCTGAAATGACCCGCGAGCCTCGTCCAGGGCACCAGAAAGAGCCCGGCGTAGGGACCCCTTGATATACAAGCCCATGTACTTCAGTTCCAGAAGCTCTGGGCTGTAGGGTTCGACAATGAGCAAAGTAAATGTTTCATGCTGAGCAACATTTCCCAGATCCTCCACAATTAGGGGCGAATGAAACAAAGCAGTTACTTGCAACACCTCTCAAGATCATTTCACACCCAAACTACCAAACGCTCTATCCAGCTCCTCCCCCTCATCATGCGGCACCATAGTAGGCATCTGAGAAGAGCCCTGGTCAGGGGTAGAGCTATCCAGCAAGCTCGGCTGAGCCTCACCCTGAGTACCGGGAGAGGTACTGGCGCGACTAGGCTGAAGCAACTTCTCCTCGCGATCAAGCCACCCAGGCGCCACACGTCTCTTCTCGGCCAGTTCACGTTGTTGAATGGACTCTTTCCACGCTTTGATGGCCTGGTCGGCGTCGCTGCGCGTCTTGTTTAGGTGTTGTTCGAGGGATTGACACGCGGCGAGGATGTCGTCTGGGTGTGCTGCGTGCTCGCCACTGGAGGAGACAACATAGCGCGCTTTGCCATCGGGGTTGCTCGGGTCGACTGTTACTGATGGTGGGAGGATCGAGGAGACGGATTTGTATGTGTATGGGAGTGTGACGGAGGTGGGGAGGTTGATGAAGGGGGAGACGGTCAGTGGGACCTGGGCGAGGAGAGGATGGGGGCCTGTTTGATTAGATATCTCAAGGATTTGTGAGAGAGAAATCCCAGAGAGACTTACGATATGAGTCGTACATAGTGAAGCCAGGTCGGGTTGTTGAAGTTGGAAATGCGGAGTAGCGGAGATGGCCCGGAGATGATGGCGGGGAGAAACGTAAGCACCGCAGGGTTTTAGGGTTGAAAGCTATTAACATTCAAATTTAATCTACTAAAGCGATATAAATTCTTAGATATCCAGCAGGGAATTTGAATGACTCCCATTAGGTCTATCATTGATGTTCTTGGCTCATATTTTATCTGTTCCTTTATACACCGGCAACACTCGAACAATCGCGGCAACTATAAGAACCGCGAATTTACGAACTACCAACCAACGACAAAAGGTGCAACAAATCATGAAAGGCCACTGAGAACCAGAGTCAATGCTTGCCAACCCAGGCTCAGCTTTGTCGTACATGTGTTTTGGATTGTTGATTCATATGCCATGGAGTATCTCCTAACTCTTGTAAAGCCAAGTATAGTGCTATGCAGACGGATAGGGCTGTTAGAAGTGCAACCTTGAGATAAGTTGTACATACAAGCTGTTCCAGTACGTGGTAAGCTCGCGATGACTAGGTGCAATGGCTTCTGCTTCACGACTAGTGGCTTTTTGGCACCGGTGTAGGCCATGATTGGCAAGTTGGAAGAGATAAGTGCTCTGGTAGAGATATTTGAACCAAAGGAAGATAGAAAATTTCATGATTCAAAAGGAATGAGAACTTTCTAATAAGGCTAGGGGATTGAAACCGGATTTGAACAAAGAACATGCAGCTAAGTCTCAGATTGGCCGTATTGAAATACGAAAATTAGCTAATCTATGGCCGCATTCGCAATCAACACTATCCCAAAAGCAAAGACTCGGATTATGGGTGTAGATGATCATCCTGAGACGAATGCTGCTTGCTCTATCGCCGTAAAGGAGAAATGATAAAACCCAGCGATTTTACTGCGCAGTGGATATAATCAGAAGGAAAATTGCTGACGATCGAATCGACTATGTCAGATATCAAAATCATGAAATCCAAGTTCGTGACTACCAAATCGGGATTGGAGCTGCTTCAGATTGAGCAGTTCTCAGAAGGTGCTACGATGAAGGTCGCAGCAGGCAAAGGGGCCGGGTCGAGTCTCATTGCTTTCGCACTGCCGATCTCGTCAAGCTACCTATAGTAGTGCTTCCAGGATATGATCCCTCAAATCAAGCCGATCTGACAAATACATCACAGCAGTCATTCGATGGTGGAAAGATAGCACTTATCCCAAATATACTGCAAACGCTGGGCAATGAAACAGACCCCATTCACCAACGACCATCCAAATACAGGCACAAACCAAGCCTGGCTAGCCCGTCTAAGGCAAGACATCCTTGGTGGAACGTGACTTACTTACCTCCAGGCTCATAGATTGGCAGTAACATGACCAAGAACGGGTGTACTTGCACTGCGTGGTTGAGGTTGTCACGATCTCGTCGGGTGGTCAGCATCACAAGATGGGCGTTGACTGTGCAGGGATATACTATAAACTGGAATGAGTAGTAATTATTATTGTGACGTCCAAATGAGCACTACCTTTTTCTTAACGGGAAATGGCATGATTACCCCAGGAATCAGGCCTTTTTTGCTTGCCCTAACCAGTCCATAGGACTACCTAGGTATAGACATAGGCCATAAGTCCTTTCATACCCCAACTTATATAAACAGATACAACCCGACGTACTCGGAAATTCGCAACAAAGAGGTGAAAACAATGTATGAAACGGTATCGTCGCTTCGAGGCTTTTGTGAAGAATCTGTCCAATACTTCATCAGTGGCACTGTTTACACACTCCTCTCCGCTGTTGTATTTAGTCTGCTGCTCCTCCATAGAGATTCATCATCTTCGTCTCCTTCTCTTCTTTGTAGGGGCCCTCCGTGCATCAATACCAACAACAAATCCTACGAACTAAAACAGCGGACGCTCGCCATGAAAGCAAAGTTGAGGGCCGTTGCCCGTAGATCATGCTACAAGACTTGCTCTCGGGGGTTAGAAACGGACTTCAAGCTACAAGTGAACACCGCGCGCAACACATTATTGGGTTTGATCAGCCTGTACTACGCCGAGATGTGTTGGCCTAAGGAAAAAATATCCGTTCTGGTGTCACAGCCTTCGTTATTTGGTGCCTAGGCCGTTCTAGACGTGCCATACCTAAGCTTATATTGAACTTAATTTTCCTTTGGGCATCATCTGAAGAACCTGGCAATTACCTTCATCTGTCGGCCAGTCGGTGCTTGGATTGTTTAGTCCATACATGCCATGTTAAACTTATATCGAACTTAATGGCTCTTGTTGAGCCACCTCAAGGATCGGGCGTTAATTTTAAAGGAGGGTTACTACCAGTTCATGCCGAGATGAACCTGTTGTCGAATCATTCCCAGTTGAGGGGTGACATGAGACTTGACGTATCCTTCATTTTGCTTCACTCTCATGATTCTCATCGGTAGCTGATGAATAGATACCGAAAGCCTAAACAGAAAGGCGATGAGCTGGAGTCCTTTTATTCAAGAAATACGATAAAACATATAAATATGCCCATACTCGCCGAGAATTACCAGTTTTTCTTCTTCCCAGGACAGTCTGCTATCAAGACACTTTTAATCATTCAAACAGCCCCTCGGTTCATCAATATGCTTTCCCAAACCACCATTGCCCTGGGCCTCCTCTTGGCTGGAGCTTCTGCTCAACAAGCTGCCAACTGTGAATACCAGTCATTCAAGTGCGGCTCCGTGCTACTTGCTGCGCCCTTCAGTAAGCAATAATTGATACGCAAGGAATGCCAAATATACTAATTGTTACCTGTTTGAACAGCCTACACCACGGCCCAGCTCACTGCCGCTGTGAACGACACCGGCTCCATCCCTGCACTGACCACTGCCCAGCTTTCCCAGAGCCTGTTCCACTGCACCGATATCCTGGGCGCCATTACTGGAAATTCTTACTGCTTCGCTGGCTGTGACTCAAAGCCCGGTTCTCGTAACGACCAGTGCATCTTGTAAGCGTAATGTCACGCACTCTTTACGTCTGTGACGAAAGAGATTTGCTGGGCCGCACTTGGCTGCACTCGGCTTGACAGGGGGATGGCATGAATTGTTGAGGATTTATTCTTTTCTTCGCTCATAGGATGAGCCCAGCACATACTCCCTTACTGTCCTATGTATAAGTATGGGCTGTTGGTCCCCTCAGCTTAGTAGGGCTTTCAGGTATTCATTCGCTGCTAGTCAAATTCTATGATGAGTTATTGTGGCTTAAGCTGGTAAATTTAACAGATTCGTCTTCACTGGCGTAGACTTTTTTTCATGAGCAGTTATTTATCTCTGTAGGTGTTAGATTGCCTATACATGATACCTAAGAAACTACCTTCATTTTGTCTGTCTGCCTCTTCTTTTTTTCTTCTGTTCCTTCTTTTCTTTCTTTTGCTCTTAGCTATTCGGCTTTGATGACAACGATCGGGTCGGACATATAAGATGACATGATGAGTAGTAGTTGGCACGATTATTAGAGACTTTAATGCCAGTGGATTAAAACGAGTGACATAATGGCGTTTTAACAACAGCAGAAAAAAAATGGTAACTTGCAGAGTACACTAAGCAACTATAGGCCATTCGAAATAAGGTTGGTTCTTCACAGAACACGCTCTCACCAGACCAACTAGGTGTGCGTTGAGTCACATCATCCTTGATCAAAATCTCAAAAACGGAGTCATAGTAGGCGGATGTATCGTGTCCATACAGGTTGAGCAATTGCCTCCGTAACAAAATGTCAGGCATTTCGAGTAGCAGGAGACTGGAGCGGCAGTAGTAACCGTGACTGTAGTGGTAGTTCCGGGGCCCCCGGAGAGTTGGCATTGATCATCACGAGTAGCATTATTTGCCGGGATACATCCATCAATGCACAGACTATTGCCAACGAGGCCGCCGTTGATATCCTCACACCGGTATATGACCTGAAAGAGCTGAGCCATAGATAGCTGTGGGATCGAGGATGTCTTGTTGACGGCAGCAATCAACTCAGAAACAGAGTAACCTATCCATAGCGTGTGGTCAGTTGATTGGAAACCATTTGATGTAGGATACTTTAGATTGCCATGTTGACCAAACAGGTCCACGTACCATACATCGTCGCCAGGGTAGAGCCACATTTATCCGACTGATAGATACAAGGAATGGTGTACGCGTTGACCCCAAAGATCAATGAGGAAGCCAGCTGCAGTGCTATCCATGGAATTCTGCACATTCTGTCCTCGGGGGTGGTGATGTTAGTACTATCAAGGTGTGAAGGCTTAATGGTGAGAATAGTCGACAGAGTATATAGTCTGGATTGACCAATGTATAGCATCCATTAGACTACGAAGTACCTTTTCTGTATCGTATTCCTCAACCGCCACAAAGAAGCAATGCAACCCTCGAATATGATTTGGTGATGGTTGTGTCATTGTGTTCCCCAGTTATCCCCAGTTGACCCCAGAGATCAAGAGAAAAGTGGGGGTTCAGTTCCATCGGGGAAAGTCGTCAATACGAACAGAGCATGTGTTTCATTCTCCGGCATTTTATGGGGAAGCATGAGGGAATTGTAGTTGATCTATCTCAATCCATTGGGTTACAAGCTGGTCTGGTGTGCAAGTTCCCAAGTCACAGGTACTAATGTGTTGGGTACTCCTAGAGTAACTTTATCCCCTCTTGCGGACTTGTTCTTAACATAGACTTGTGCCCAAGCTTGGATGGAATGTCGGTATGCTCTTCTCAGATAAGCCCAACAGTATTTAAGGTAGCTCACAGTAATAGCTGCAGGTATGAAGAATTTTCGCTTTATGCAGATCATCAATCCTGCATACCTGAGCGATCTAGGCATATTAGGCCTAGTTTGCCACAATCAACATAGTGGAGATGCAACTTCGAGTTTGAAGAAAAGAGAAATGAATTGGCTGACAGCTATATAACTATATCAGACAAAAGAGACCAAATGTCTTTGAAATCGGGGGAAGCTGATAGCCCTGGGCGTGGGGAATGGGGAACGGCCATCACGCAACTAAGGGATCATTGCTGCCTTAGGCATCCAATCTGACATTGAGGCTCCGAGGTTCAGCTGAGCTGGATTTCGATCTCCAGTCCTACTTTGACCTACGCATCTAGCGAGATCCAAAGTCTCGGAAAGAAAGATCGGATTTTGTACATCGACCGATCGTTGGTGGTCCACCGAGTTAGCAGCGGCCCAGAAGCCGCTTATCCAATTTGTTTCTCTTTTTCCCTTCACACTTCCCCAAAACACACACTTCTCCCACTGTGGGCTCTGCTTTTTCCTAGACACCCGGCACCTTTTCCACCCCAACTGACTCTACTGATCCGATAATCCTCTTCCATCCGTGGGAGCTTCATCCCGCCCTGAACTCACCCCGCCACATCTCCGCGCGGTTTCAAACCCCCCCCCCCCTTTACTCCGAACCCTTCAGATATCAACGACACGTCAAAATCAGCCAAAATGGATAAGGCTATCGCACGCGCGGTGCACGAAAAGAAGCCGGTCCCGGAGATCGACTTCACATTGCACACCATGGAGGACAGCACGCAGGTCTCGACAATGGAACGAGTGGTCAAAGGTAATGCGGTCTCGGTCGCTTCACGACATTCCAAAGTTGCAATCTGATCACTGACGGTATTTCGTGCCCTCAGAGGTCCAAGCGCCCGCCTTAAGCACTCCCCCAGATGATATGTTTTGGTCCCCCGAGGATCCCTCCAAGCCCAACCTCCAGTACCTCAAGCAGCACCTCTACCGCGAAGGCCGTCTCTCTGAAGAACAGGCGCTATGGATTATCCATGCCGGTACTCAGGTTCTGCGATCAGAGCCCAATCTGCTCGAAATGGATGCGCCCATTACAGTGTGTGGTGATGTTCACGGCCAATACTACGATCTGATGAAGCTGTTCGAGGTTGGCGGTGACCCTTCGGAGACAAGATATCTGTTTTTGGGCGATTACGTCGATCGAGGCTATTTCAGTATCGAGGTGCGTTATCAGATGTCCCATCCGAGCTAAATGGATTCTGACATTCTCTCGCAGTGTGTGCTGTATCTCTGGGCATTGAAGATCTGGTATCCCGATTCGCTTTGGCTTCTGCGGGGTAACCACGAATGTCGTCACCTTACGGACTACTTCACTTTCAAGTTGGAGTGCAAGCACAAGTATAGTGAGCGGATTTATGAGGCATGCATTGAGTCCTTCTGTTCGCTGCCGCTGGCGGCTGTCATGAACAAGCAGTTCCTCTGTATTCACGGTGGTCTCAGCCCGGAGCTTCACACTCTTGAGGACATCAAGTCCGTAAGTACTACCATATCTGTATACAGGCGATACTAGGTACTAAAGTCAACTGCAGATCGACCGATTCCGGGAACCCCCGACCCACGGACTTATGTGTGATATCCTCTGGGCCGATCCTCTGGAGGAATTCGGCCAAGAAAAAACAGGCGATTTCTTTATTCATAACAGTGTTCGCGGATGCTCCTACTTTTTCTCTTATCCAGCTGCATGTGCGTTCCTGGAGAAGAACAACCTGCTTTCCATTATTAGAGCGCACGAGGCTCAGGATGCCGGATACCGCATGTACCGGAAGACGCGCACCACTGGCTTCCCCAGTGTTATGACCATATTTAGTGCTCCCAACTATTTGGACGTTTACAACAACAAGGCGGCCGTCCTCAAATATGAGAACAACGTGATGAACATTCGCCAATTCAACTGCACTCCTCACCCATACTGGCTTCCCAACTTCATGGATGTTTTCACCTGGTCCCTGCCGTTCGTTGGTGAGAAGATTACCGATATGCTCATTGCCATTCTCAACACCTGCTCGAAGGAGGAATTGGAGGACGATACTCCCACCTCCGAAGTGTCTCCCCCCGAGGACAGCGCCTCGATTACCTCTCCTGTATCAAACGATCCCGAATCCACCGAGTTCAAGAGACGCGCCATCAAAAACAAGATTCTTGCCATTGGCCGTCTCTCTCGTGTCTTCCAGGTCCTTCGTGAACAATCCGAGAGTGTCACTGAGCTGAAGACGGCGGCTGGCGGTCGTCTTCCTGCTGGAACTCTCATGCTGGGTGCAGAAGGCATCAAGCAGGCCATCCACAACTTCGAGGATGCCCGTAAGGTTGATATTCAGAATGAGCGCTTGCCTCCTAGCCAGGAAGAAGTCTTCCAGAAGAGCGAGGAGAGCCGCCGTGTGGCTTTGGAGCGTGCTGAGCACGAGGCTGCCAATGATGCTGGACTGGCTACTGTTGCCCGGCGAATCAGCATGTGAGTTTGAACGACTGATCATAATTCATTCAGAAACTAATTGAGGTTCACAGGTCTGCTGGCTCGCGTCCTAGTCGTCGCCCACGGGATCCTCCCAAGGATGCTTGAGATGGCCCTGGATGTGGTTGAGTTGATATTATGACACGATCTATGCATTTCTTCTTCCTGTCCTCCAGCGCACACGCCTTTCTGCCCCGACACGATCGATACGATACCCTATCTATCTGCTTGATCCTACCTCTTGCCAGGCGATCAACCCGTGAATCACAATACTAGCGATCATAAAGGACAGTCCAGTTTAACATGTATGCTTTTTCTTGTTTGATCTTGGGATTCGTAGGAATTTGTAAATACGAATATCTGTAAGGTAATTTACATCAGTATCATATGAAACAATCTACTAGGCTGTCGAAACCTTCGAATATTGGAGCATAGACAGAGCATAAACTGGTAAACAGAGGGTTCCGAGACATGACTGCCAAGCCCCGATCCCGCGTCCACTTCCGCTCAAGTTCATCCATCGAGCTTCAGAATTGCCCGCTCGTCACACGCCTCAATGGCCCCCAGAATGCGCAGCGCGCTCACAAAGAGCCTGTCGCGCTCGCTGGACAGTAACTCTGTTTTCTATTGTCCGTCGTGCGCGATTTGGCGCCGCATATTATCAACACGCGCCAGCGGTCGCAGCATTGACAAAACCGACACATTGCGTCGAAGCAGTCGGCCCCAGAACATAATCACAGCGTCGACTCCTCGGCCATTCAACACATCGTCTGTCATTACTGCGAAATCTGTTCCGCCCCGGTTCAAGGAGCTCTACACTGCCCTGGAAGGAGTCAAGGATGCGGCGCTTGAGCAGGTGAATCTTAGTAGGCTGCAGTTTGCGCTACGGGGATTGGAGTCTGAGACGCCACTTATTCGTGTTGCTGGTGAGTTTCTGCTTGTTTATAGCCTTGTTCTTTTGGGCATTGGGTGTTTCTTGAAAAAGCGCGGTACTGATTTGAGTCTAAATGTAGTCCTCGGATTGAATGATGCGACCTGTGCCCGCAAACTCGTTAGACTACTACTTGCAGACCCATTAACACCGCGGGAAACTTGGGAAGACATTCTAGACTCATACAATGCCGACTCATCGCGAGGGCTGTTGATTAGGTATGTATAACTTCCGTCTTTTATGTGTCCGTCACAGTCTATACTGACTCGAAATTAACTATGTAGATATGGCGAAATCTCAGAATCTATCCCCAATGATTTGCTACCGACAATATCAGTGCCCTCGCCCATTCTCAGGAACGGAAACCTGGAAATCCTGGTCAGCACGATCGGCTCCGAGCCTGACCCCAATGCCGCTACGCTCCACGCCGACACCTTCCTCGTTCCAACTGTGACCATTCAGTCATCGCACTCCGGTCGGCATAATGTTGTTCGGTATCCTGTGCACCGCAGTATCGTCTGCGGAAGCGGGGTGGATGGCCTACTGGCTTATAGCACAATGATGGGCCGGTCAGACCTGAAGCATGAGCTCGCTTCCGTGCGCGGTGCTATTGAACTCGCCTTGGCAGATCAAAAATCCAACAACGACCGACTTACTCTGGTGGATATTGAACGTGCCAGCACGGCCTTAGACAGATTCCGCGACTCCGTCCAAAATGCCGGAGACTACGAACGTGGATGGAATGGTAGTGGTGTGCAGCCGCTCATCGACTGGCTTGCAAGCTCCTCGGAAGCATCAACTCAGGACAAATTGAACCCAGCCTTGGTTCCTCTAGTGGAGTCTATCCTCGACTCCGCCGAGGCTAGCGTGCTCGTCCGGGATGCCAAGGCGCTCCAAGACCAGACCGCCGGCATAGCTCCTGAAGAGCTCCGCTCCCAGCTCGATGAAGGAATCACAACCTGGGCAGAGCGCGCTCACTCTGAGCTACGCAGTTCTCTCGAAGCCGGTCTGGCCAGTCCGCGCTGGCGGGGCCTCGCGTGGTGGAAGCTCTTCTGGCGGGTCGACGATGTGGGCATGGTCACCTCCGAGATCCTCGAGAAGCAGTTCCTCCTCCGCGCCGAGCGGGAAGTCATCTGGACCGCAGGCAAATACCAGCAGGCCGGCCTGCTGGAAGAACCGACTTCAACCCCCAAGTCAACCACAGCCCCTGTCCCTGCTGAGCCCGTTTCGGCTCCCTGGCCAACCCAAATCTCCAACCTACGCACTAAGCTCCTCACCACCACCGTCCCCTCCCTCCAAGCCCTTGCTCAGAGTCTGGTCCTTTTCAGTGTCTCCACTACAACTCTGACGTCCGCTCTGTCCGCTCTAACGTACGTGGCTGTGCCGTCCGCCTCGGTATATGAGTCATGTACTCTTGCCGCGGTTGGTCTGATCTACTCTGTGCGCCGCCAGCAGAAGAGATGGGATAGTGCCCGTACCTTCTGGGAAGAGGAGGTCCGCGAAGAAGGACGTACTGCTCTGCGGGAAACTGAGGTCGCTCTTCGAAAGATTGTGCGGGACGGTGGCAAGTCTGTCCAAGAGTTGTCGGATCCTCGTGCACGGGAGAGTGTTGCGCGCGCGAAGAAGGCTTTGGATGAGGTGAAGGCTTGACTGGCTTGTCGTACAGCTTACTGTATATGTATTGCCTTCTTAGAATAGACACCGAGAGCTACATCTACTCCGCTATGTATCATAATTGTTCAAGTTCCTTGGCTCACTGGACCCGTCCTCATTGATCCTAGTCTCCAGAATGTGTCTTGCACATTTCCCGCTCGTGTTTCTTCTATGCTGAACATGGCCTGTTCTATAAGTAAGTCTCCAAGATCTGTCTCATCGGGTCTGAAACAATCGGCCAGGACGAAGTCTGCTCCTCCCCACTGTAGTTCGACCAACCCCGAGAACAAGAAACAAAACGGATCAAGTCACATTGAAGCACGAGCTCCACGGCCATTTTAATTAAAGGTCCACATGAGGTCCTATACAGAACAAGTGCCGGAAAGTTAGATAGTGTCAAGCTTCGCACATCCGACATGGTCGTTTCACCGCGGATATACTGTATGCAAGATCTGAGACATCGGGCTGGGGTATAAGATCTGATCATTGCAGAAATAGGTAAGATGCCCAAGACTGCCTCAAACGACTACTGTCTGAGCTAGTGAAGATTCCGTTTTGACTGGTGCACGGCTTTCATACAGCATGATATAGATGTCCATTGTCTTATAGGTGGATGAAATATATACTTATTGCTTGAAAATATATCATCCATAATAATAAATAAACATGTAATCTCGCCTACGCTCATATCAGAAGACTCATTATCAGACAGGGGTTACGTTAATCTATGGAGTCGTTTCATGATGCGCCGTGCGGTCCAATCCCGAGACTCAGCGTGGGCCACCCCGAGACGATGGACGTTGTGCTAGTGCATTAGCCCTCTGTTAGGCTCTTTTAGTCTAAGAACACGACGTTCGTTTCATATCATTCCTCCACCGTAATAATCCACTCGCCTTGGCGGTTTTATAGTTCGCCCTCCTATTCACTGCTCATTTTAATTTCGGATGAACACCCAATCGCTATAGGTTTGGCTATGGTGCTCGGGCAATTGATCTGGCGTTTACGGGTCGCCGAGAAGCCCTACCTAATATCCAGGATATCGAGGGATTGGCCAGGTCATTAAATTCAGGGCCCTCTCTTATGAACAATGCTCAACTAAGGGGGTGCCACTGGATTACAGTACTTGATCCCCCTCCTCCGCCTTGTCTGTAGCTTCAGCCCTTTTCACGGTCGACTTCGGCGCCTTCCATCTTTTGCCCTATCTCAGGGTCTGTCGCTCGTTCATTCCGATCTTTTGTCTGTTTACAGGCTGTGTCTTTCTTTAAAATTTACTTTCACCTGGGAATTTCAATAACCACAGTGAGTTTATCGAAAAATGACAAGTATGAAAGGCATCGAGTTGGTGCTGACCCCTCCAGGGCTATAGGGAGTAACATCCCGATCAAGGCTTCAAACGACGATCCTGTTTGTTTGTTGACGTCAAGGAGAACGCGCTCAATCCGTAAGTTACATGCTCTAGGGCTTTTTCATTCGCGACGCTGCCATCCCTACGGAATAAAGGGAAAGCATGCAAGGGACCATTCCTTCGCGGGAAGGGAGCATCCCCATCGATCTCCCCATTTTATATCGTTCAAATGACGAATGATTGGCCACCTGGAATCTCCTGTCTGCAACATGAGGCGCCTGCGCTTGCTGTCCTGGCTTTTGAAAAAGAACACGCGCCCAGGTGGGACCTGTTGACTGACATATTGCTTAGCCTCCGACAACAACACTCCGACTGCCTCTCTTTTATCACGCCTAACCGATTGATTCGGTGCTCCTGGCGAGTCGCGCATTTGAAATTATAACCCTGAGATCTATTCATTCGTTCTTTCTCTCCATAGTTGAGCCCGTGGACGCGGCTTTTTCATTCACAGCATGCAGGACATCCGACTGACGGCCATCTTGATGGCTTGCTTCACTCTCTTTCCCTCTTATGCAACTGCATTCTGGCGTCTTCCTTGCCGTGGGCGAACTGGTGTCGCGCGGCTGGATCCCCTTGTGGACCCGGGGAAAGTCTCTTCTCATGTGCATTCGGTTCACGGTGGTGGAAGTAAGTATATTGAAGTCTCGAAGGTGTTCCACAGATAATTAATCATGTATAGGCTTCGGTATGAGTTCTGACCAGAATTCTCTTTTGGGCTCTAGCTGCACGTCTTGCGCTGTGACGCAGGATAAGTCGGCATATTGGACCCCAGCTCTATACTTTATGCATACCAATGGCAGTGCCGAGCTGGTTGAGGAGGTTGGAGGCATGCTTGCGTGAGTTTATTTAACACATTGTATGATTATTGCTAATACATCACCAGCTACTACCTCCTCTATGGAGAGAATGTCACCGCGTTCCCGAATGATTTCCGCATGCTGGCCGGTGATGCCTTCCAGCGTAACTTCACCTGGCCAGTTCCCGACCCTCCCAAGTCCTCGTGGACTGGTGCTCAAGCCTCGCAGGCCGCTTTGCGTCAGAAGGCTATTGGATTCAACTGCTTGAATTATCAAACAACCGCCGAAGCATCCCTTTACCGTCACTTCATGCCGAACAAAACCTACCTCGACGAGCACTGCACGGACGGCGTTCGGTTCGAGCTGATGTTCCCATCCTGCTGGAATGGTAAGGATGTCGATTCCGATGACCACAAGTCCCACGTTGCGTATCCATCTCTGGTTATGGACGGTACCTGCCCCGAGGGATACGAAACTCGACTTGTATCACTCTTCTACGAGACAATCTGGAATACATATGCTTTCAAGGACGTTGACGGGTACTTCGCGCTGGCCAACGGTGATCCCACTGGATACGGGTACCACGGCGATTTCATCCACGCCTGGGACGACGGTGTGCTGCAGAAGGCTGTTGACACTTGCACAAGCGAGACAGGTCTGATTGACGATTGCGAAATCTTCGACATCCAGACAGAAAATAAGCAGCGCCAATGCGAGTTTGAAGTTCCCTCTGTGCTTAAAGACGAAAACGTCTTCATGTATGCCAACGGATTGCCAGGCTCAATGGGTATCGAATGGGGCCCAGCCTACGCTTCGATGGATATGGACTCTTCGGCTACCACAACAGCTGCAGGCATTCTTCCGTCGCTGGCAGTGCCCTCCATCTCTCTGGGTATCACAATCGATACGGGCGACTTGTTCGGCAATCTCAATATTGCCCATACCGCCACCGCTGAAGCCCCGGCAATTACTTCGACTTCTACTTCCACGTCGACCCCCACGCCCACACCGACCCCCACGGCATCTATTGTTCTCGACCCCATCACCGAGGAGATTATTTATCTTCAGCGGGATATTATTGTCCTGATCGATGAGAACGGTGCCCCGTATGCAACCACCACGGGCAGCACCCGCACTTTGTCCACTGCAACCACAACCGTCATTGAGACCTCCACAGCCGTTTCCTACGTGAAGAGGGATACTGCGGAGGCGGACTCTGTAGAACAGGAGCAGCCCGCTACCCACGCACGCAGACATCTCCACCGTCATGGTCACCTGCACAACAAGTTCTAAGAAACATGTTGTTCAAGATATAGTGGGAAACGGACGCAGCGCGTGACTTTCCCAGTTACTTTAACCAACAGGATATAACCCAGCTTCTTGGCCAAGTTGGACCCCGTACTTGCTGGACTGTACCCAGGAGCTTTGATTCGTGTATATGATTTTCTGATTGTTGGACATCTTCCAGTCAGGCGGGGAGGGTGTGCTATGGCCATACTGTCGTTCTCGTGATAAAATTTAAATGCGTCCTGGTACGCAAATGGACTGCATTAGTCAATACAATCAAGCCTACGTAGAAGATACAAGCTCTTTTCAAGCTTTGATCGCATCTTGATTTCGTTTTCTGATCATCAGTTACTCTCTATTTCTCTATATTGCCTCACATTAACATTATAACTCTAATCCTATAAGTATAGAAAATGCTGCTCCACCAAAATGATAGATAGGACGACACCAATCCGTATGTCTCAGCCAAACAGACCTCCCACTACTGAAACACCACCAAATGTTTCGTCCCAAACCCATCATATCGAGAATGTCTCAGTGCACCCCCATACAAAAGCAGCATCAACCTCACCATATTTGTGTAGGCAACGACGAAAGCGGGTACATTCACTGTGTGACATGTGCAATGAACCCCGTAGGACCGATGAGACCCAAACATGACTCGAAAAAAAGCCAGACAAGCACAATATCCAAAACAGAACGAGCTAAAGATGATCTAGACCAGGACAGTGATTGACAGCATCCAACATTCCAACTGGTTCCTGGGATCAGCCAACATCCACCTCATCAAGCAACAGCCAGCGTCGCAGTCATTTCAAGGCACTGTCTCTTATCTGTGCCTACCGCAGTGTAACACACTCATTTCTACTGCGCAACATACGAGCCGAATCTCTCCTTCGGTACCTTTTCCGTCTGAGAGCACTACGTACCACTACGCAGCTAACGTTATCACCCACAAGTGACATCTCACCGAGCTGGGATGACCGTAGTAGATTTCCTGACTACGCTACACACCAGCGCAAACTATTCTCAGAGTGTTGATTTCCCCAATAAGGATTCCTTGTCTTGGAATTGGGTCTTAGCTACTATGTTTTCTGGCTTCCGGTTAGCTAGGCCTATGCTATTGTGACGTATTTGAGCAAGAGCAAGGAGCTCATGACTCTGTTTACCAAATGGTTACATACAGTCTCGACCATGAGGTGGTATGAGCTGAGCTATCTGCGTTTCTGATGTGCTGGGGGTTATTAGTAAGTGTTGCTTTGTCCCTATCAAGAGTGTGTTGGGCTTGCATTGGCAAGGCTGAGATCTTTTGAACTTTATTAGTCTTTAGAAAAGACTAATCTAGCTGTGCTGGTGCTGGAGCTGCATTTCGGGCGATATAAGAAGCGACTCAATCGCCGCTCGCTGCTGAAGAAATCGAGCCAGATCACAGCCTTTGCACCTAATATCTACCTCAATTACAACATTATATTCTATACACAAGAATATCTAGCACCCTGTACCTCACCGGCCAAGTCTTCATCTTACTCTCCCTCTTCCTCTCCGCCGCCATAGCATTCCCCCAACAAACCGGCACGGTCACAGCTTACGCAACTCCAGCGATAATAACTCCAGCCGTAGCGCTCCGCTGCTCAGATGGACAACTCGCCATCTACACAACTGACTGCACACTAGGAATACCAGTATCCTACTGTTCGAGACCAGAGCCTCCAATCAAATGCCCACAGGGTTTCTTCCCGTCAGTTTGGCATCCAGACCACTGCATGGAACAATCAACCTGTTTCCCGCTTAATGCAGCGTGGATCACGACTGAGTGTTCGAATGGTGCGCTTGCGTATGCTACGTCAACCCTATACGATGGGACGCTTGCTGGAGGACAGTCGACTATCATAAGTGGTGCGTATTTTCTTTTTCTCGGGTCTTCATCTCTTTTCAATTATTCGCCTCGCCAGAGAAAAGGCCAGGAAATGAAACCTCTAACTGGTTTTCCGTGACCAAAGCTGTCTCCTGCTCCTGCGCCGAAGATCAGTGGTACAGCATGGCCCTCCTCGAAGGCTCAACTACCTACGATTCCTTCTGCATGCCATCCAGCTACTGTCCACCAGGCATGACGACCTCGGTCTCGTTTAATGATTACTGTGTCACTGCACCTGCGAGAATCTGCTCTGGTATTCCTATGGAGACTAATTTCTGTAAATGTGCTTATGCGGGGCAGACGCCTGTTTATCCTGAGTATCAGGGTGCTGTTCCTACTGGGTGTGAGTTTTGAATTTTCAGGTATTTGTAATGAGGATTGGTTAGGGTGGCTTGGCTTTATTTAACAGGGTAATGGGTTGTGTGGCTAAATTCAAGTTCTAGTCTGTTTATGGTTGATCTTTGGTTGTTCCTCTAACCCTAATGCCAATAGCGTCTAGGTGATGATATTAGATAATTGCCCCAGATATCAATACTTCTAATGATTTGAAATGCTGCGCATTAGAGAAATTGGTTATATTGCTCATGTCTCGTAGGTGTATGATACATGGCAGAGAGTCTGACCTTGATCATACCGAGAATGGAAGGCTTTAGAAAACCGTCAAGGCCCTTAAACTCTTCAGGTAATGGACCCAAATATTTGACAATCCCGATTATCATTCCACCCTTGTAGACAGAATCGAAAGACGCATGGCCAAGGTAAAGTAGGGATAAGACGACCATGTAACTCCATAAGTCGCAGGCAAAACATGGATCTTTCTTATGAAGACATTCTGGGGAACAATATCTTTGCCAGACCAATTTTATTTGCAGGTCAAATCATGGTGGAAGTCACGACAAGGGTCCCTTTAATATTAATTAAGAGAAGCCTTAGACAGCTCGTCTATTTTTGAAAGCTGGGTTGAGCTAATGTTATGCTTTGAACGGCCGGGATGCAAGTATCATGCCTGTCATCATATTGGCATGAGGCAGACGCAAACACGATGCCAATATACGGCTGTAGTAGAAAAATAAGGCAAGGAAGTCGTGGGGTTGATCCTGAGTATCGCAATATCAATGATGGTTGTCAGGCAGGCAGACACGGTAACGGCTGCAGTGGCTATCGGCATCGCTACCATCTGCATCAGGAAGACCGGAAAGGAACGCCAAAAAAAAGGATAAGATGGGGGGAAAAGGAGGCAACTCCCCTCGGAGGTACCTAGGTGACGATTCCTAGTGTTCGTTGATAAACAGTGTCAAGGTTGAAATTGCCATCATGCAAACGGTCCTAGACAGAATCACCCGTATCCTCGCTGTAACAACCGTAGCCCAAATACAATGAAAGTCACGTGTTACAACTAGACTAGAAGAGAGCTGTTAAGAAGAGTAAGGGTTAAACTTGATCATAAGGTGATGTTTGTCATCCCGATTAGGAAAGTAGGGCTCCATCCATATCAAACACGTGATGCCCCACATATTGTCTCTTTAGCTACATGCATCAATGCAGCATCATGCATGCAGCACGTAGATTGTTGACAGTCGCGTTGTAGCATTAGCGCGCAATAGAGAAATATTGCTTCACATCTCACACCGCTCTTATGCTATTCTATCTTCTCTTCTTGCACCCGCCATTCCGTAAGATTAGAATTGCCCGTGATTGCAAATGAATCCAATTACTGCTTTCCAATGGCTACATTCCCACTAGGAATTGCGCCCCCTTGACGTCTGAGCCTGAGTGATATAAAGACTACCCAGCTAGGAAACCCCCACGTGGCCCTCTCTATGATTCGCTTTCTACGCCGCTAACTAAGCCACACTTGGTCAAGCATTTCCAACTGCACCAAATGCAATTAGCCTAAACGCGCCATGCCCCATATTTCTGGCGTCACAAAGGTCCAAGCCCACCATCGGCGTCCCAAAGCGGGAAATGGGGGAAAGCAAAGAAAGCTCCGAATGCCGTCTTAACCCCGGAGCCCCGCATCGGCCCGTGTCTGTTTCGTCATAAAGAGAGGGTTCTCCCCGCATGAAGTCGTCCTACAAACTTAACTCTACTTTATTCTCTCATCATGTCGGACACTCTGCCTGAAATGCAATATCGCTTCCTCGGCCGGACTGGGCTGAAGGTCTCTGTTATTTCGCTGGGAAGCTGGCTTACTTATGGCGGTCATGTCGGAAATGGTATGCTTGCAGAGGAATTCTATTGTTACTGTCGATTGAGATTAATCAAGTACAGAAACTGCCCTTGAATGCATGAAGGTCGCCTACGATGCCGGCGTCAACTTCTTCGACACAGCCGAAGGATACTCAGGCGGCCAGGGCGAGATTGTCCTCGGACAAGCGATCAAGAAGTTCGGCTGGAAGCAGAATGACCTGGTAATCTCGACCAAGGTACATATCCCAAACCAAGCATCCATCTCACGCAAAGCACTCACACCTCACAGCTTTACTGGGGCAAAGCCAACAGCGCCAACCCAGATAAACCTCTCAACAACAACGGCCTCTCACGCAAGCACATCATCGAAGGCATGAACCTCTCGCTCCAAAGACTGGATCTCCCTTACGTGGACATTGTCTTCGCGCATCGCCCAGACCGCGACACGCCCATGGAAGAAATCGTCCGCGCCTTCAACTACCTCATCAACAACGGCAAAACGTTCTACTGGGGCACATCAGAGTGGTCCGCCAGCGAGATCTCCGACGCCTGGCGCATCGCTGATAGACTCGGACTCATCGGTCCAGTCGTCGAACAACCGCAGTATAACCTGCTCGTGCGCGAGCGCGTCGAGAAGGAATACCGCTGGTTATACGAGGCGCATGGGCTTGGATTGACTATTTGGTCGCCGTTGAAGGGTGGGGTTTTGACGGGGAAGTATAATGATGTCTCTGCGCCGCCTGAGGGGTCGCGGTTGGCTGAGTCGAAGGATGGGTATGTGCAGAATTTGAAGAAGACTGTTGGGGATGATACTTGGCAGCGGCAGCTTGATCAGGTTGCGGCGTTGAAGCCTGTTGCTGAGGCGCTGGGCGTTTCGCCGGCGCAATTGGCTCTTGCTTGGGTTTTGAAGAATCCTAATATTTCGTCTATGATTACTGGTGCTTCGAGGCCGCAGCAGGTTACTGATAATATTCGGGCTTTGGGGGTTGTGGAGTTGTTAACTGAGGAGGTTGTTGAGAAGATTGAGGCTGCTCTTGGGAATGCGCCTGCTGTCGAGACGAGACGGTTTTAAATTTGGGTCTGTTTGATTGTCGATAAATCAAAAGTCGGGTATATGATTTGGATATGAACATATGAAATCTTTGAGCTTAGTCAATCTCTTCAAATATCATCGTTGATATAACCTCAAAAGACAACGCATTAAACTTCCGTTCTACATGTCTCGACGACTCCGAGTCTTAGTCCGTAGCTGCGACACATCCTATGTATAGTTTTCCCTTTCAGAAAACTAGAATCAAGACCAGAACCCTCAGATGCCTCTAACGACATCGCCTGAGCAGCAATTGGTACTTTGTTTCCGCGCGAATAATATAGGGAGAGATTTCTTGCAGGTCTGATATGGCTGCTAGAGGACATCGTTACTCTTAATGTATAGGAATCCGATGCTGGTGAGGGCACGCGAGCGATGTATCTACTTTTACCCCACGTTTCTGCTGGGTAAGGTAAATGTATATTAAGACTGAGATATGGCAATCTTCAAACACACTTTCCACCATCAACAACCATCTCAGTACCATTGATAAATCGACCCTCATCGCTAGCCAAATAAAGACACATGTTAGCAATATCATCAGCCTCAGTAAGGCGACCCAGCGGCACATTTCCAATAAACTTCTCTCTGTTCTCGGGAGTGTCCTCCATACCCGTGAACATAGAGAAGAGCCCAGTACCAGAAAGGAGAGGAGCAACGCTGTTGACTCGGATATTGTGTGGACCATACTCCGCTGCGAGACCTTTAGTGGCCTAAAGCGACAAGACATTAGTAATTTCTCGGAGACAAAAGAACAATCACAAACTTACGTTGGTAACTGCCCCCTTGGATGCATTGTACCACACCAACCCAGGCCGCGGCCGACTCGCACCAGTAGATGAAATGTTAATCACTGAACCGCCCGAGCCTTGCTCGATGAAGCGTGGCATGACAGTCTTCGTGGCGAGATAAATGCTCTTCACGTTAACATTGAACACGCGCTCCCACTCCGCATCTGTGACCTCTGCTGTAGGCTATCATAAGAGTCAAATAATCAGCAAACAGGTCCTTGTATATGTAATGCACTTAATGTGTTCTCAATAACCGACCTTGTTCCGATAGGTAGTGCCCGCATTATTCACCAGCGCGTCGAGTCGCCCAAATTTTGAGAACGCCAATTCCAAAACCGCTTTCCAGTCGCCCTCCTGGGTAACATCCATACGCTGGAAGATAAGATTGGAGGGGTTCAGTGCGGCGACTCCTTCGCCGCCTTCAACGTTGATGTCCGTGACGATTACTTTGGCGCCTTCTTCGCCGAAGCGTCTGGCGATTGCTGCGCCGAAACCTGAGCCTCCTCCTATCGAGATTGATGTATTAGATGGGAGTTGGCTACGGTGCGGGGGTGGTTTGCTTACCGGTGACGATGGCAACTTTGCCTTGGAGCCTTGTACCTTGGGACATTGTGTGTGGCTTTTGTGTTGACTGGAAGTAAACTGGAGATTGTCAGAGATATCTAGAGAGATAAGTCTGCTTAACGATGTTCAGGGGGCTGTCAAAGAGGGGTTTCGGTAGCAATTTTGGAGGTCGGAGTGAAATCCGAGGGCTTCCCCGCAGTGACTTGTCCCATGCAGGCTTCATTGCTCTTGACCTACTTGTTTATCTTTGATCGTCAGGCGAAATGGGATACTATAGTGCCTATTTAATGGCTGCACCTGAGCGCACACTGCAAAACAGAGAAGAATCGATTGTTATCAGCTCTATATAACTATCCATGGATACCCACTTGATATAAACTCAGGTTTAAAGCGAATTTCCTCCATTAAAGGGCAACACTTTCTGCGATACTTAATCCAATCCAGTACGGATCATTGTGAAGCTATTCCCAAGTCCCCTGGGCACATTGAACCAGATAAAGACTTTACGGAGGACCCAGCATCTATGAAAACTAAGTTTCGGCTCACTCTATTGATTTGTTCATTGCAATTACAAATTATCACCCCTGTTGCTTTATAATTAAATTAATAAAACACGGCAGAAAGCGAAAGTACACGATAAAATGCAAGAGAACACATCTGGCGAGGATCGCCAATGCAAAGTTCCGCTCATAGTTTGGGGTCCACTTGCTGTCGATGATCATTGCGATTCAAAGTAAAAGCAGCAGTCAGTTTTAAGTTAATGGCAAGATACATACATGTATAGGCGGTCGCCTCATATTTAGCATTATCGTTGGTTGTGCTCTTCTAGAAACAGTTCCAGTTTTAGGTTGATATCAAAAACAGCCCCCAATATGAACAACGCTACTATTTTAGCGTTTCTTTTACGCCACCCGCTTATCATATTGTATTCTGGGTCCTGCAGTTCGTTGAGATATCACAGGTTCTATTTCGTTGGCCGAGATCTTTACAGTGCGTGCTATAGATCCATACTAAACTTAACATAGCAAGATGTGCTCGGGTTGTTTCCGCCATTCACCTCTGCTATCGGAAGGTTTGCAAAAGCGGGCCATGGTCCATCTTGTCATCTTGCGCGTTGACACAAGGCTCCGAAGATGAAACGGACTATTGCATCAGTAACTGTCGGTGTTCGGACGTGAATAAAATCCTTACGGCCCCCACGGGTCTCTATACTGCTGCCTTGTCCGATATTGGACCCTGATCCATACAATCGGTTTCCGATAAGTAGCTTGCTGGATCCTTGGAGTATGTCAGATGGTCTGTTCCTTCCACTGATCTAGCATATTGCACCCTAACTGCAATCTGTCGCCAAGCTTGTCTTTCTCCTCATTGAGCTCTCAGCCTACGATGACGTCCTGTAACTGGGGCTAAATAAGTAGCAGATGTCAAGTACACATCCCAACTCCCAAGGGATATAGGTCCCTGGGTCTCGCCTGACTAGTGAGAGTAGATCTTGGGACAATTGTCAGCCTCAATGGCGTAGAAGAGTATAGATCAAAACAAGCCATAACCAAGCAGGCTTTTCAGCCCCCAAGGAAGAGGCGTCTAAGCGTGAAGGATGCCAAAGCGCGGGGATAGAAGAGGAAAGGCAGTGGGGAGTGCCGATCAAGGTGCCCCTGTTTTCCGCCCCGCTCCATCGGAGCCTTGTCGACTTTTCCACCAATTCGCTCATGTCTGGCGTCACCTTCGACTCAGATACGCATGGTGGCTCCCATGACTCCCATGACTCCAGATACACCAGATACGGAAACACCGACCGAACGAAAACGAGTGCGCCGCTGGCACCACCGAGGCTTCACCGGCTGTTCAACATGCCGCCGCCGTCACGTCCGCTGCGATGAGGCATCCCCGGTTTGCAATAATTGTGTGCGCTTGGGACGCGAATGTGATGGGGCTCAGGGAAGGATGACCTTCAAGGTCTATGGGCCTACCTCAGAATCCCCGCCAGAGCCATCGGCACCGACACGACGGAAGAAGATTACGAACACCTCAATACCCAGCCCGGAGTCTGGGTCGAGCGACACATCTACAGTATCTCCGTCAGCAGACGGGGGAGATGGGTGTGAGATGGCTTGCGAAGCTGTGGTCGTCTCACCCACCGTGACTGCACCGCGGACCAAGTTTCGCTTCCAGGAGCCCGTCACGTCGACCAGCATCGCCATGTCTATCCAGCGCGCCGACGAACGATACTTAACACACTTCATCGATCAGGTCTCCACCCTTCTGATCATCTATGACAACCCCAACACCGTCAACCCATACCGCGCATATTTCCCGGACTTTGCTCGGTCATCGCCGACAATGATAAATGCCATGCAGGCATTGGGCGCATTACACCTTGCGAATACAGCAACAGGAACACAGCGGAACAAACATTTTCAACAAGCGATGGGGAAATACGGGACCGTGGTGAAGGGATTCCGTGCTCGATACGTAGATCCCAGCCAGCAGCTAGGTCTGACTGATTTCGCCACGTGCTTGTTGTTATGTCTATTCGAGGTTCGAGCTATACTCTGTGGATAATTCCCGTCATGTACTAACATATTACTAGATGATGGACTCCCAGCACCAGAATTGGGCTGTACATCTCAAAGGCGCGCGCGAGATCTACAATCTACTTTTCTACCCAAATACCGGAGATTCAAGACGCGAAGTCCAACGCGTTGCTGACACAAACCACCCACTCCGCTCATTCCTCGTTTCTTTACTCTCCTACCTCGACGTGGCTGGCGCGTGTGCAACGCCAGGTGGCACAGTGGTCAGAGGTAGTTATTGGAAGACCATGGGAGGAGGGTGGGAATATAACCTCGGTACCCCGAGCCTATCCACCACAATACCGGATAACCCACGTCTGGTTGAACTACGAGAAGCGTGGTCCAGCCTGATGGAAATCCAGGCGACGATTAGCACATTCGCACAAGATAAGAAGACGTGGATGACGAATGACCAGTCTGACATGATGTACAAAGATATCTTCAATCAGCTTGTGATGTGGCGGGCGGAGACGCCCGTCTCTTTGCAGCTGGTGGGTGATCTGGATGATGAGAGTATTGCTGAATATCCGTATCCCGATGTTCTAGAGTATGCTGGGTGTATTGAAGCATATGAGAAGGCGACTTTCGTCTATCTGCACCAGATTGCTGGGGCTGGCCGTGTTCGTTGGATTACTGATTACACCTATTTGGATATGTTAGTTAGCCGCATTGTCATGTTGATTTGCAGGCTATCTAAGGGTGTTGGGCAGTTGGCTGTTTTGTGGCCGCTTTTCATTGCTGGGCAGGAGACTCGCAATGAAGATGAGCAGAAATATGTGCGCCAGACTATGCATGAGTTGAAACGATTCGGTTTTAAGGTGTGTTTGGTTTTCGTCGAAGGCTGAATCAATGCTAATGGTGTATTAGAATGTTGATAAAGGCCTCGAGGTCCTAGAAGACATCTGGCTCAAGCGACGCTCCTTTCCAGATGGCTGGATCAAGACATTGGATGAAGTCCAGCCGAACATTCTTCTTCCCTGAGAACTTGATCCCGATATTCTCCGTCTTATATTTCGACATCCAGTCCCTCTGCTATTCTCATGGTTCTGCAACGGATCAGGGACTTCCATACTTCCTCAACAGCCGCCCAAGTGCATTTTATTAACCCTGTCGCCACTTCTTTCTTGAACGACATATCTCCTACTATTATCAACGTTAAGATACCCCACGCCATGACTCTTCAAATTGTTTATTATTTCCCTATGGATCACCTCCGACTGTACTCCCGTGCAACAAAATGTATATAGACGAACGAACATATCAAGAAAGCAGCGAATCAAGAACATAATCACGATCATTTCGAATCAAAATACTTATGCGAGACTGATAGTCAAATACTATACCCCCATTGCACTAGTCACAGCATGGCAGGCCCTTTCCGTCTTTGTCCACTGACAAAATACCAACTCGGCCGGGAATAACGCACGTCATGCACTTTTGGCGCCGAGAACACGAATAGCCAGTAGGGGTGCCAATATTCCAGGCCTCATGCTCTACCATCTCCATAACAGCCTCCACAACAGCTACCGTTTGATGCCAGAGCTCCTTCATCCAGTCTATAAGAAGTGAGCCGTGTTCTGTGAGCACCACCCATGACCGAACTGAGATGATCGGTATTCCGAAAAGCCACACAACCGTGGACCTGTAATTGACTCTGTCTGGGCGTACCTTGTCAATCTCCTTCGCGGTTGTAGGACCAGAGAATCCCGTGTTGTCTGTCTGTGATGATTTTGGAGATGATATACACGCATGCGTCTGACAGGCGGACCATTTGCAGGGAGGGGCATGTTTGTTGAGTCTCCCTACACATCGTACTTGACTAGGTACCAAATCAGTGAGCTTAAATTGGTCCAGCTTTCGGATCGACTGCGATGTTCAAGCCCATATTGTCGAAAGAAACTTGGCTAGAAAGCTCTCCTCTCCTCCCCCATGTAATTAGTACACCGAAGGGAACTCGTTGAAGAAGCCGTCAAAGTCCGTCCATGACATTGCTTCTGTTGTCCATTGTGAGGGGAATTGTTTCCCAAATTGCCATTGCAACCCCGAAACAAGAAGGGTTTTAACTGGTCCAGGCGGATTACGCCGTCTTGAATGGAGTCGTCTGGCCAGACGATGCCTCTCACCCTGGTCACCACACGGTTTAAAAAAATGTGGTCCGACAGCTTGACAAGCTCTGTTTCAGATACCAGCGTGGTCTACCGTGCATCACGTCTTCCACGTTTTCCAGTGACATGCCAGCTCAACCACGCACGCTCCAGTTCGCAGTTTCCATAATCATCCCTGGATGTGTAGGTTCAGATAGGAGGCTCTCTTGTCTCCCTCCCCGCTTTTGATGAATTTGCGTGCCCCAGCGATGTACACCGGGACATGATCGTTATCCATATTTGAAGGTGAAGTAGACTGGATGTTTCTGGTTCGTACTCATTGATTGGATGGAACAAAGCCAACCCGCATCATGAGGACACAATGAACCAGGCAACGGATATCCGGGCTAACAAAAGGTTGGCTCATGACACTTCGCAATGACAATCGCCGGCTTTGATGAGGCCGCTCACTCATTCTTGTCTTGTGGTCGTGTGAATCTGACTCATAGTCAGTAGCGACGATCCGATCCTCTTCATTTCACGACTATACGGTCTCCGGCCTGGGTAATTGGCTTGGTGCTGTGTTCCAGCCTTGTCCATGACCAGCTCAAAATTCTCGCTATTCATAGCAGGCATAGGAGGCGCAATACTCCAGTTAGGGAGAGCCCAGGATGAACTGAGGTTAGTCCCTGCTTTGGTGTAATAAGCGATGAGAGAATCGGAGATCTGGAGTATGTCGCCTGTGGCACAGAGGCCCTCAGCATCGTCTAGGGTAAGACGGGGGGCAGTGACGCGTCACTTGAGTTATGCGGCAGAAAAGTTCTGCAGAATAGCTTCTCATTCACTTCTGATGAAGCTGTCCATTGGTTTGATGAGTGTGAAAATTCAAAGGTGCTTTGAGAGGTCCAGAAATGCGTCGAGCATGACCCTCTATCGAAATGAGAGTAAGGGGTAGAATGTCTGACGCTGGCTCCTGAAAACAGCAACAGGCCTACCGAGGTCTTGTGCTGGTTTAATTAGGTATCAAGTGCACGACGACAAACACCCAACCGCTCGTGTCCTGTTTGAGCGTTAGAAAATGGCGATGCCTTGTTGAATGGATGGCATGAATATACTAAGGTGCACACGATTCCATTCGGCCTCGGTCAAGATGAGAGTAACTGACGCGTTTCAGTCGCTTCATCCTCTGCTCTGGCATTCTGAGGCATTTGGCATGAAGTTTGCCCCGTTAGTAGTCCTAAGGTCTTTGGGGGAGATGTTTGATGCCACAAGGCGAGCATGCCAGCGGGTCGTTATTGAATTGGTAGTAAGCCAAGCAGGGATATGATAGATGCCAGCGGGAGCACAAGCTAGAGAGAAGAACGCGCTCTTCGGCCTCCTGAGTCTGGTGGTGTTCTTGTCTCCTTTCCTTTCTCGCCCTCAAGTCTCTCATGTCGTTGGTGATTTGTCAAACAACATTCTTGATTCACCTTGTACTCAAGATCACAAAGGGTTCTTGACGATTCGTCCCTATGTATGCAGGTCAGCTTTCATTCTTAGATTGTCAAACTCCTCAAACACATACCATCCACTCGGAGTTTTGCTCGGAAATGGGCATTTTGTACTTCATGTTGTGTGCTGAAGAATTGGGGACAGTAGAAAGTGAGAGTGAAAAAATGAAGTCGTACAGATGCATCGACGTAGTGTCTCGATGCATACTTTGGTCAATTCCGCCTTTCTCTCGTACATGTGGCATGTCGACGATGTGAATTAGGTCGTTTGCCAAAGGGCATCTCAACTTGCTCCAGTCTCAGATCTCCATGTCATCGCGTGGGCTCTCTTCGCCACTAGGATATCTGACGGCATTTCTCCGAAGCGTCCATAACAAGAAATAATTCGCGTGGGCAGATAGAAAACTTCCCAGGAATTCATTAGTCCAGCCATCTCCAGTGCAAACCGAATCAACTCACAAGCATTTTGATGCCTAGCATCCAATCATCTTGATCAGGAAGTCTGGCGTCCCCGGATCCATCTCCTTGGCTATGCCTTGCTCAAATTCAAGCTGTCAAAATCAAGCTCACGGATTGTCATATTTTGTGATTGACGGTGTTGTGGACGGTCTCGGATCATTGTTTGCTCTGGCCATGTGCGAAATCAGTGTGCTCTTTGTCTTGACGCGAAAGAGGAATGACTGGCTTGAGCAGTTGAAATCGCTTGTTTGTTATCCGTGTGACGATATTTCCGTTTTATCGACTAACAAAGAGAGAAGCATGTCTTGTAAGAAGAAAGAAGGGTGGAGGATGACGAACGATAAAATGAGACGAGGCAATAAGAAAGGAATATAAATAAGGAAAGGTAGTATATATATATATATATAAGGGAAAGAAAAGAAAAGACCTCGAGACGTTGAATTGAAAAAGAAATCAAGAGAGGAAGCAAAGCGAAGAAGAGAAGAGAAGAAGAGAAGAAGAGAAGAAGAGAAGAAGAGAAGAAGAGAAGAAGAGAAGAAGAGAAGAAGAGAAGAAGAGAAGAAGTGAAGAGAAGAAGTGAAGAGAAGAAGTGAAGAGAAGAAGTGAAGAGAAGAAGTGAAGAGAAGAAGTGAAGAGAAGAAGTGAAGAGAAGAAGTGAAGAGAAGAAGTGAAGAGAAGAAGTGAAGAGAAGAAGTGAAGAGAAGAAGTGAAGAGTAGAAGTATATATAAGGAGGGAAAGAATACGAATGAGAACTGGAAGTTCCATGGTATACTTCAGTTGCAATTCAGATTGGCAATCTCAAAGTGTCTCATTGTCACTATTCACTACGACAATTTCACTTTTACAGCCTCAAGGTCTAACAAGTCATGCAAGTAAGGCTACCAAGACGACCACAAACTTTATCACGATTATACAACACTAAGTCTATACAATGCAAAACTTCATGAAACCCAATGGTCATAGCTCTTGCCCTTTTTTTCATCTCACTTGAAGTATAAACGCAGATATTATGTTGTGGAGTAGCACACTGGTTGACTCTTGACCTCGAAAGCATTGATCTAGACACCCCATGAAAACAAGAATCAACATTCCAGTCGAAGTTTCAGGCAGTTCCTCGTATTATCACACATAACGTATCAAACACAGGATATAGAACAGCTCATATAGCACTTGTGGGCTGTTATAGCTTAGTCACATCACGGTTGGCGCGGGCAGTGGGTCGTCCGCAACCGGTTTCGTCGAATATCCATGCAATGTCATGCAATAAGAATGTGCTCTGGTGAACAGGTTTCAACTTTTGAAATAAAATGCATGCCCATAAGAGAAATCCGAGCTAAACGAAATATTAGGCCACCTACTGTTTAAGGTTAGGCTAGCAAAAACCTGCCCCCAACCAACTTTCCGCGGACCAGAAAGCTCCGACTTTTGCGGGATCTGGTTTGATCTTGACTTTTGCCAGTTGGGTGTACTGGAGTATTTTTCTATTTATTTTCTGTCCCATTGATTTGTTCATCCTAGTTCGGTACGTAATTCTTACCTGCATGATCTGATCTGAACATTAACACGGGAGTCCAGGCTCGTAATTAAAGCTGTGGGGTGGAATCTCCCCTGCTCTTCCCGCTGAGTGGGTCGTTCGCCGAGCTTGACCGGAGACCGTAAAACGGCGGAAAGTCTATCAAAAAAATTCTCCTGCAAACAAGCAACTCAAATACACAGTTGTTCGTGTTTCCTTGCGTGCTAGATCCGGATATGGCTCCTCACGACGCTACTGCCGGCCCCGCCGACCTGCTCGTCGAGGGCGAGGGCGATCGCAATCAGGTCGAAGCCAAGGATGATGCCGCTTTGCTGGTAAGTGATGGCACTCGAGCGACTCGCAAATACAAAACAGTGGACTAATATGTGATCTCTAGCGGACCATGGGCTACAAGCCGGTATGTCATGTCAACTGGAAAATCAATGATTGGAAACTGATCTCAACGAACAGGTCCTTCATCGGACATACAACTTCTTCGAGAACTTCGCGACTACATTTGGTACGTGTTAGCGACCAGCTTCTTTACTTACAATGCTAATTTCTGTCTAGCTGCCCTCTACTTTGTCGGTGGTGTGCGTGTCACTTTCAGCACTGGTATTGCGGCCGGTGGAAACCTGGCCTACTGGACCAGTTACGTGGTCACCATGGTCTTCACGTTCATTACTGCCGCTGTCATTGCGGAGGTGTGTTCGGCTTCCCCGTCTGCGGGCTCGATCTACCTGTGGGCTGCTGAGGCTGGTGGTCCTCGCTTTGGTCGGCTTCTTGGTTTTATTGTTGCTTGGTGGAGTACGACTGCTTGGACGACTTTCTGTGCCAGTATGTTCCATATCCTCATGAGGCTTGCGGGGTGATGGCGATACTGATAGGAACATAGGCAATACCCAAGCTGCAACAAACTATATGCTTTCGGTATGCTTCTTCCTCTGTCACGCCAGGATCTGCTAACATTTCCGCAGGAAATCACTGTATTCAACTTAGACTTCCCGTCAGACACCAGCGACGTCAAGTTCCGTGCCGTTCAATGGATCTGCACCGAAATCCTGCTCGCTCTGGCAGCCCTACTGAACTTCTTGCCTCCCAGGTACTTCAAGTATGTCTTCTGGTTCTCAGCCGGAGTCGTTATGCTCGACTTCTTCCTGAACCTGATTTGGCTGCCCATCGGCACTGCCCAAACATGGGGCTTCCGTACTCCTCATGAGGCCTTCATGACCACGTACAACGGTACCGGTGCCCCGGCTGGCTGGAACTGGTGTCTTTCCTACCTTGCCACCGCTGGTATTCTGATTGGATTCGATGCTTCTGGTCACGTTGCGGAGGAGACCAAGAATGCCTCTGTCACTGCTGCTCGTGGTATTTTCTGGAGTACCGTTGCCAGTGGATTTGGCGGCTTGGCTACTATCATTCTTTTCCTGTTCTGCGCGGTTTGTCTCGGTCAATCTCTACTTTTCACTGTTTGATATGCTAACATGTTTCTATAGCCTGACACTGAGACACTCATGAGCTTCGGCTCTCCTCAGCCATTCGTGCCTCTGTACGCCGTTGTCCTGGGCAAGGGTGGCCACATCTTCATGAACATCATTTGCGTGTTTGCCTTGTGGGTGGTAAGTCATTAACTCCCTTCGATGATGACAACACATGCCTAACCATCCTAGAACACCGCGATCGCCATCATCGCCGCTTCTCGTCTTGTCTTCGCCGTCGCCCGTGACGGTGTTCTCCCCTTCTCAGGCTGGGTCTCCCGCGTGAACGGCGGTCAGCCACGGAACGCCGTCATCGTTGTCTGGGGTGTCGCTGCCTTGGTCACCTGCACCATTCTCCCCTCCAGCGTCGCCTTCACCTCGCTTGTCTCAGCGGCCGGAGTTCCCAGTGCAGCTGCTTACGGTCTCATCTGCCTTGGTCGACTGTTGTGCACTCCGAAGCGCTTCCCCAAGCCCCGTTGGAGTCTCGGTCGCTGGAGCAAGCCGTTCCAGTTCATCGGTGTCTTCTGGAACGGATGGGTTGTTGCCGTTCTGTTCTCACCGTACGAGTTTCCTGTCACCGGTGAGAACTTGAACTGTATGTATTTCTTCCCTCTCGTGGTCTGTTTATATTGCTAACATTTCGGTAGATGCACCTATTATCATGGCAGGTGTCACTATCCTGGCTTTGATCTCTTACTTCATTATGCCTGAGAGTGCTTGGCTTCCTCGTACTCGCCTCGCGCACTTTATTGATAGCAAGGGCGCTGTTGAGGAGACTGTGGAGGAAGTCAGCTCTACAGACCGCGGTGAGCCCAGTACTCGATGATGTATTGTGGACTGTGGACTGTGAAACTCTCATGGATAGTACCGATCTGGACATATGCCTTTAAGATTTCACTAGATATATTCAGCGTAATTAATTAGCTATCTCAACTAGTTGCTGTTGGTTCAAGGAATGATTTCTAGTATCTAATTCTCTTAACTTTTGAGTATTAAAATATCTCTACGTCAGTGACATGGAGATGCTCTCGGTTCGTCGATCTTCCCCGCCCCCGCGAAGATGGGCGTTCAACTAAACAAGGGGTTGAACCTTCGACCAACTCTCATAGGTGCAGAAATCGGACAACACAGTTCCTCGGGTTTCATTAGGGAACAGGTAGCCGCTTCCCCTCTTCCAACCTCCGAGATTCGGTGCTTGTCCAAGTTCCCTTCCTGTCTTATTTCTTTCTCTTCGTTTTGCTTTTGCTTTTGTTTCTGCTGCGTCTTTGCTAGATCGTCTGTGGTCTCAGTCTCTGTCTTCTGCCTCCTGTTTCATTCTCGCCCGACGCCTCTCAGTCCGGCCTGGATGCAGTACCCCCCGGCTCATTTCCTCGGGCCCAATAAGCATTCCATACATGTGACGACGCCCCAGCGCAACGTGCAACTTGCATGATCTCTCACCATGGGTGCTCCAGCGTCCATGCGGTCAGCGCTGCCGTGTCTCGCTCGCGCGGGGAAACTGGTGTCGGTGACGCACTCGGGTAAGCTTCTCCAATCTCCAACTGAAGCTCGCGTGCCGAGCCGGCGCGCAATTCCAGCCATTTTCTAACAGGATACTTTTACTTTCGGACTTAGCTTCTCAAATTCGACATGCTACCTTTCTCTCGTCTTTGCATGCTAAACGCGTACCCGTCTCTCCTCCGCTATGGCCTCGCGTCTCAAAGCGGACTGCTACTACCTCTACTCCAACTCCCTCGGAATCCGTGTCCACAAAGCCATACGCGGAATTGACTATCGGTGTCCCTCTTGAAATCTTCCCCGGTGAACGCCGTGTCGCGATCACACCACAGAACGTCGCCCTGCTTTTGAAGAAGGGTGTTTCTCGTGTCCTTATACAACGCGGTGCGGGTGAAAATGCACAGCTGTTGGACGATGCCTACGAAAAGGCCGGCGCGACTCTGGTCGACCGCGATGCTATCTGGTCACAGAGTGATATCGTCTTGAAAGTCCGCAGCCCGCAATCGGAGGGTCCATTCAATGAAGTCCAAGCTCTCCGTCAAGGCTCCACGGTTATCTCGTTCCTGTATCCCCTACAGAACAAACCCCTCGTTGAAGCGCTCGCAGCTCGCGGCGTGACTGCTTTTGCGATGGATCGCATTCCTCGGATTTCCCGCGCCCAGGTCTTCGACGCTCTTAGTTCTATGGCGAACATTGCTGGTTACAAGGCTGTGCTGGAGGCTTCTAATCACTTCGGTCGGTTCTTGACTGGTCAGGTTACTGCAGCTGGAAAGATCCCTCCCAGTAAGGTCCTTGTTATTGGCGCTGGTGTGGCTGGTCTGAGTGCAATTGCTTCTGCCCGTCGCATGGGTGCTATCGTCCGTGGCTTTGATACCCGTCCCGCTGTCCGTGAACAAGTCCAGTCTCTAGGCGCTGAGTTCATTGAGGTTGATTTCCAGGAAGATGGTGCTGGTCAGGGTGGATACGCTAAGGAAATGTCTAAGGAATTCATCGATGCTGAAATGAAGCTGTTCATGGAGCAGGCGAAGGAAGTCGATATTATTATTACTACCGCTTTGATTCCTGGCAGACCTGCACCGAAGCTCATTACTAAGGAAATGGTTGCTGCTATGAAACCCGGTTCTGTCATTGTTGATCTTGCTGCGGAAGCTGGTGGCAATTGCGAGGCAACGGTTCCTGGTGAATTGAGCAAGTACAAGGATGTCACTATCATCGGCTACACGGATCTTCCTTCTCGTCTGCCGACTCAGTCTTCGACGCTCTACTCAAACAATATTACCAAGTACCTTCTCTCCATGGCTCCCCTGGAAAAATCGTTTGGTATTGACTTCAAGGACGAAGTCGTCCGTGGTTCTATCGTGACTCTCAACGGCGAAATCATTCCTCCTGCTGCTCCACCCGCTCCCCCTCCGGCCCCAAAACCTGATGCTCAAGCAGTAGCAGCTAAGAAGGCCGAAGAAGTTGCTTTGACGCCTTGGCAGCAGGCTACCCGGGATGTGACAATGGTTACCGGTGGAATGGGTACAGCCCTAGCCCTGGGAAAAGCCGCCGGTCCAGTCTTTATGAGCAACATGATGACCTTCGGACTCGCAGGTCTGGTCGGATATCGCGCTGTGTGGGGTGTAGCTCCTTCGCTTCACTCGCCACTGATGAGTGTGACAAACGCGATTTCGGGCATGGTGGGTATCGGTGGATTGTTTATTATGGGTGGTGGTTATGTGCCCACTACCATTCCTGAGTATCTCGGTGCTGCATCGGTCTTCTTGGCCTTTGTGAATGTCTCTGGTGGCTTTGTTATCACTAAGCGCATGCTTGATATGTTTAAGCGTCCCACTGACCCTGCCGAATACCCATGGCTGTATGCCGTCCCAGCTGTTGTGTTTGGTGGTGGTTTTATTGCTGCTGCAAGTACTGGAATGTCTGGTATTGTTCAAGCTGGTTACCTTGTCAGTACATTGTTGTGCATGGGCTCTATCTCTGGTCTGGCGTCTCAGCAAACCGCCCGACGAGGTAATATCTTTGGTATTCTGGGTGTCATCTCCGGTATCCTGGCTTCGTTGGGTGCAGTTGGTTTCTCGACGGAGACCCTGACGCAGTTCACTACTGTTGCCGGAACAGGTGCCATCATCGGAGGCTTGATCGGCCGTCGCATCACAGCAACTAGTCTTCCCCAGACTGTTGCTGCTCTCCACTCCGTTGTTGGATTGGCTGCTGTTTTGACCAGCGCTGGAAGTGTGTTGGCTGACATTGCCGACATCACAACCCTCCATCTGACCACAGCGTATCTGGGTGTTCTCATCGGTGGCGTCACATTCACCGGTTCCATCGTCGCCTTCTTGAAACTAGCCGGTCGTATGTCCTCCAAACCAACCATTCTACCTGGCCGACACCTCGTCAACTCAACTCTCCTGGGAACCAACATGGCAACAATGGGCGCATTCATAACAATGGCACCAGGAAGCCCCGCAATCGCCGCCACATGCTTAGGAGCAAGTACGATCCTCAGTTTCCTAAAAGGATACACAACAACAGCAGCCATCGGCGGCGCCGATATGCCCGTCGTCATCACCGTCTTGAACGCCTACTCGGGCTTCGCTCTAGTTGCTGAAGGCCTAATGCTCAACAATCCACTACTGACCAGCGTAGGATCTCTAATCGGTGTTAGCGGCTCCATCCTCTCATACATCATGTGCATCAACATGAACCGGTCCCTGACAAACGTCCTCTTCGGTGGTATCTCATCGCCGGCGGCACAGAACCAGAAAAAGATCGAAGGGGAAATCACCCAGACCAGTATCGACGATACAGTGGAAGCCCTATCCAGTGCTGAGAACGTCATCATCGTCGTCGGCTACGGAATGGCCGTCGCCAAGGCGCAGTATGCCCTTTCCGAGATTGTCCGTATCCTGCGCGCCAAGGGTGTCAATGTGAGATTCGCTATTCATCCCGTTGCTGGTCGTATGCCGGGTCAATGTAATGTGCTCCTTGCCGAGGCATCAGTGCCATATGATAGTATGTGATGAGGCCCGAGACTCCCTCCCCTTTATGGAATGAATTGTTACTTACAGTTACAACCAGTCGTCCTCGAAATGGAAGAAATCAACGAAGACTTCTCCGACACAGATGTCACTCTCGTTATTGGCGCTAATGATACTGTTAACCCCATCGCTATGGAGCCTGACTCGGCTATTTCCGGTATGCCTGTGCTTCACGCGTGGAAGAGTAAGGAGGTTATCGTTATGAAGCGGGGCATGTCTAGCGGTTATGGTGAGTGCTATCTGTCTATCTCTATCCAGGATTATTAGGATATCATATTATCCCTCTATGTCTGTGCATGGACTTGGCTAATAATTACTCTTCACAGCGGATGTACCAAATCCCATGTTCTTCATGCCTGGTACGCGCATGCTCTTCGGTGATGCTAAGACTTCTTGTGATGGTAAGTTCCAATCCGGTCTTTCATATTTGGCTGTTAAGACATCCATGCTAATTTCCCTTTTCTTGTAGCCATCAAATCTGCCCTAGAGGCACGTAAGTAGGCTTTCTCTAGGACTTATAGCCATCCACGTCGATCAATTTCTTCATCGATCTTTTGTTTCGAGTTATTAGTTATTTATCCTTCGCGCTCATAGTTAGCTTTTGCATTGCATTGCTGATGGAATACTGCTTTTGTCACAGGCATGCACTTGCCTTGGTTGAATTGAGTTGTTATTCGTTATTCTCCAGCCCTAGTTCCACCACACAGAACGGAGTAGACTGGACCCAGTTACCCTGAGCCCAAGTCCTTAACGTACATTAACCAACATCCCAACCTTATTCTATCATCTCAGCAAAGACAAACTCAGGGGTAGGCTTTAAGTCTCCCAAGTACGTCACCGCTACTATAAAGTGGATATCCGTTCACAGTTTTCATCCGCGGGGGTTGCGTTTCCGGGGGCTTGCAACGGCCTACATGGATATCAGAGCTCGGAGGTAAAGCTGCAACGGGCTAGTTCGGTGGCTTTTACAACCCTGTACTCCGTACAGTAGCTGCAGACCCGTTTTTCCGTTTAATCTATATTCGCCATTTTCAGTACATACTTTAAAAACTCTGACACTTGGTCAAAGCTTGTACTTTTTATTTGTACTTTTTAGGTTCGGTGCATGTATGTCTCAAACGGCTGAACGGCTGGCAGGGATGTTTATTCATCAGATCCACTCAGAGGAACTTTGACTCCGGTGAGTAGAAAAAAAAGTACACGTTTGTGCAGAGAAGGGGATTGATATCTGAAACATCAATATAATTGGTTTACTATCTTGGTTGAGATCTACATGTAGGTAGTTTGACTAGCTAATTGCATGAGTATCTTTCCAATATCGCAAACAAACCATCATCAAGTTTTGCATGCCAGTAACTATATCACCGAATAAACCAACAGGCAATTGTAAATTGAGGAAAAGCAGAATATAAAAGGAAAAAGAACACCCAGTAAATAACTTGTCCTTCCTGATAAAGCAAAGAATCAAATCCCAAACGCCAATTTGAATAGATATAGACATTAGCCATTCCATGATTCAACTCGAGATAGATTACTTCCAAGTTGGAAGTCCGAGAAGATCAGAAAGAAGAAACAAGATAAGCCGTCAAAAGAAAGCAGGAAACATATAAACGCCTAATATCGATCAAGACCCAAACGAGAAACGCCCAAAAAAAGAAAAGCAAACAAGCCGAGATAACCCCGTTCCACGCGAGAAGGTGAGATTACCGCCCATAAAAACATTATCGGATCAATATGTCAACAAAAAGAAAAGGCAAAAGATAAAACAAAAGACTGAACCAAAACAGTCAAGGTAAAAAGGAAGAGTAGGAAGGAAATTAGGCCTTGTTATGCAACCTCTTCCCAAGCTTCAAACCCATAAACCCACGCGCACTAGGAAGAACACTAGCATGTCTCGCATGTCTGCGCTGACTAGACTTGCGCACAACATTCGCAGTTGCATTTGAGTTCGAGTTCGAGTTCGAATCAACCATCGAACCCGATCCCGATCCCGATCCCATAACAGGCTGCGTAGCAACAGAAATCTGCGAAGAAGAAGGTCCAACAGGATCAATTTCAGAGCGCAACGAACTCATAGAATGAACACTCGACGACGAATGCTTCCTCGTCATACGGCGCATCATCAGCGGAGAGCGGTGTGCGAGGATATTAGAGACGCTGTAGGATGATGATGACGAACCGTGTGTTCGTTTCGAGGAGGAGAATGACTGTGGTGGAGGGGTGTAGGGGACAGAGACCATTGACATTGAGCTGTTAACCCGCGAGAGGGGCTGGGTGGTTGGGTTCTGGTCGTCTGGGTAGGGGGAGGCTGGGCAGGAAGTGTAGGTTTGGATGGTGGTGCTGCTGTTGCTGCGGATTGAGGCTGGTCTGGCTGTTTCTGTTGGTCTGCGGGGGCGGATGTGTAGTGGTGGTGGCATTGTTCTGTCTGCGCCTGCGGTACGGGGGCGGGGAGTATATTGGTATTCGTTTGTTTTGGTGTTGGTTGGGATGGTGCGTGGTGGTGCTGGGAAGTAGGGGACTATGGGGACTTCAGAGACGCGGTTGATTGTTGCGCTGGGGGCAATTCTTTCATCGGATTCGTCTGGGGCTGGGACTGGGATTGGTGATTGCTTTCGTGGTGCTGGCTTTGGAGTTGTCTCTCTGTAGGAGTGTCGTTTGGAGATGTGCTCTGAGGGGCGTGGTGGTGCTAGCCTGTTGTCGGCTCTGGCGAGAGGAGGACGGCTGCGGCTGCTTTCCCGAGAGCGAGAATGGTTTGAGCGGGATCTTGAGCTTGGTCTTTTTCCCAGGGCGTTGATCAGGACCACTGTAGGCCGTGTCTGGGGTTCCATGAAAGTGACCTTCTTTGCAACTTGGATGTCTGCCTCCTCGACTGAGAATATCGAGGAAGGTGAAATAGATCGAGATCTGGTGGTTGGCTTGGGCTTCGGCGAGACGTATACCGATGGCTGCAAGAATATGCTGGACGCCAGTTGTGGAGGAGAGTCTGGCGATGGTAGCTCAAGCACTAACTGCTCCTCCGGGTCAAACACATAGGCGTCGTCGTCAAAGGCAGCGTTGCTTGTCCTCTTGATAGTATCCGTAGACACAGGGCGTGGCCGTTTGACTGTCGGTGGCGCCAGCATATGTTCTTCACGATCCGAATCAGGGTCCATGTGAGAGGCATCATCGGCACTCAGGTCTGAATCGAAGATGGCAGCTCGTTGGGATTCAACCGGAGAGCCCATCGGCGAGGAAAGTAGATCCTGGGCTCCGGTATCAGACTCGGACACAGCCTCTTCGTCCGATTCATATCGATCTTGGAGACTATGCCGGCTCAAGCGGTGTAGATCCAGCGACGTAGTAGACTCGTACATGATTCCAGCAGTCGACAGGACCGATGATAGTGTAGAAGAAAAGAATAGTTGTCACCGGTATCAAGCTGTCAAACTGTGGATGGATCCAAAGAAGAAGAGAAAAATAGAGAACAGGAGATACCAGCCCTGAACTAAGAATGCCAGCAACGACAGGGTGAATGGAAACCAGTCCAAGGAGAGATGACAGCGCCCTGATATCCCACGGGAGCAAAGCTGCAAAGGAGATCCAAAAATCCACTCCTTCACACACGGGGAGAGGAAGGCTCCTTTAAGGGGAGTGGGACCAGGGAGCTATGGACAGGGGATGCATTATTCGATTAAAAAAAGCCGATGAAGAAAAGAAAGCAGGAAAAGGCTTCGAGAGGGGCCAGCACGTGTGAGAATAAAGGCCAAGGTTCACTAACCCTGAAATCATGACCTGCATGGCTGAGCGCGTATGGATGATGGGGGTCTGAAGGCAGGGAAAGCAATGTGATTGGGAATATCACCCTTGCATGGAATAGGGCGGAGCCTGGAAAGGCCAGTTTCAGCATGGGGATAACGCGTTGCGGTCAGCTTGAAACTCTATGGAAATAAAAAAAATATTAATTAATTAGTATAGACAAAATCTGATATATCAAACCTGAGCTGTCGTTGGTCAGGGCCAATGCGCCTAACGCTCGAACAGGGCCCTATATACGCCATGATTGGACACGTATCAGCCCGGGATACCACGGACAAACTACTGTGGCCCAAGCCTGAAGTAAAGAGCGGGATGGATATTCTAGGGTCCACCAGGAGAGAATTCTCCTTAGTACTCCATAGTGTGGATCGACTGTATTAGACATTTTGATTGAAATGTGAGAGCGAAGCGCCCGCAGTGGGACGGGAAAATGGAAAGATTATGGGAACAGGAACATAATTAGTGCACAATCAGGTCTTCATCGTCGAATCATAGTCCATCGTGAGTTGCCAAGTTAGCCGCCGCCTTAGATCAGTGGGGCATGTATAGCTCAAACACGCTACACCACGAACTCCCTGGGGGCGCTCTAGCTTCAAACCCTAGTGTCTTCGGTATCCAGGTGCCGAATGCCCGTCCCTGCTAAGAGGTTGAAGCCAGGGGGATTGCCTTGACCCAAAGGGAGAATCCTTCAGGGAGAATCAGGGGCAATCCATGGATCATAGGGACTCAAATCCTAGAACTGACGTTGAACACGAAGACTTTCCGAGGTTTTGCCAGTGTGGAGGTAAAAGTCAAGTTTCCTAGGCTTACTGGAGACAAATTGGGCAAACTACAGTATACGGAGAAGAAACTATAGAATCCCTCCTTACATGCGAAACGACCTCATCGCCTGTCACATCTCGGCGATTTTCCTCTCCACCAACTGTAAACTCCAATATTTGATTACTCTCTTATTTATAGCTTGTCATCTATCATCTGCAAATAGCCCCGACCATTGCCAAACCATTCCTATAAATGCAAGGACTCCGCTCCCAATATTCCCCTCTTTCATGCAGGTACAGCCTGCATACTCCGTACTCCGTAAGCGCCTCTAGGCAATTACCTAAATCTTCAGTTCAATTTAGCAGTAGCAGTGGGTCTGAACCGTGTCATTCGGTGCCATGACTCCATATGGACTGCTCAACGCTTTTTAAACCTGCCCGGGATATGTGCTGATCCCCATCCCCACGTCGACATAGCAACTAACCTACTGCCATCGTTGCTTTTTCCTTTTCTTTTTCTTTTTTTACTCTCTTTCTATTCTTGTTCTGGCGTCTGTTCTCCGCAGCTACCGGCATCTAATACTTTCCGACCATGCATACAATGCAGCATGCAGTCTCCGAATTAATTGTCCGCATGGCATTCACGCAAGGCGCTTGTTCGGGTTGGAGGCTGCGGGTGGTCGGGGATCTAATGATTATTGATTTACCGGCCTCTCTGCTTCTATCTCTACCTCTGCCTCGCTTTACTTATTGAATGAATTGATGCCCCAGCCCCATGGCTGGTATTGGTGGTGGGAGAGATGACGCTCTCCGGGGCTGGTAAGAGGCTGGTGCCAGCCCAACTTCAATACTTGACTTCCCTCGCTTGCTCTGCTGGCCAGCTGTGAGGCTCCGCCCGTTATCCCTTGATTTTGGTGTCGTGATCATCCCGTTGACTAGTTCGCTAGTGTTTCGATATGTCACTTTCGTGGCGTTGTGTTCCCCGTTGCACAGGCCACATGATTTGCAGATCTACACTTTCGTGTCTGCATTTCGGCCGCGCAATTTAGGATGTGATGCTGCGAATTCATCTTGAGCTTGGATCTTGGTTTACTGTTCGATGTTGCCATATCAACCGGTGCGGATTGTTGTGTTTGTTTTCGGGTTCTGTGAGTGATCAAGATCCGGCGTTGAAGTCTACTGTATGGATATGGGGTATGGGCTCCAGATTGTGCATTTCGATATAGACTGGGTCTGCATACTAGTAGGGGATGCATGTCTCTAATGGGCAATCAAACATTCCTTGCTGACCAGATGCAAACCAGACACATACACATGGCATGCTAACTACTGTAGGTGCTGTCCTCACGTGTCCATGTGGCACATTATATTGATGCAAGTTGAACACGATAACATGATTACATTCATCTTGATATATGGAGCATCTATCAATAATACTTTACTAACAATAAGGGCGAAGGGTACAATAGAAGGGCCTGCCACCGACAGACGGGTGATAACGACAAAGATGAACAAAAGAAGAAAAGTCGACATTATAGAATACAACCAGGACAAGTCTGCCAGGGCAGTCCAACAGCATTCCTGGATCGAAATGAAATGCCTCGCCCCTAGGTCTTCGCCCTGATGTGATGTTTTTTTTTTTTTTTTTTTTCCCCGAGAAAGAAAGTTCGGCACATGCATTCCGACAACTCCGAGGCACATACCCCATGTCCGGGTAATGGGCCTGGCATCATGAGGTGGTCATTCATTAAACAAGTATGGAGACAATTCACCCAAGAGCAGCTACACAGCCCTTCTGCTCTTCTGTATCCACGGTTCTTGGGTAGACTTCCAATTGTTCATCCTAAAATGATGGAACAATCGAACTCGTGGACACTTATTCTTTCAATTCGCACAATGAACCCATTCAAATGCGATTTTGTCACCCAATGGGCTACTTAGGCCTTGCGGGAGCGAGTGACCGGGCCGTTGGAGCGGCCAGTGGAGGAAGCGCTGCCGTTGGACTTGGCGCCACCGTTCTGGTTCTGGGAACCGGCGGGGGAGGGAACCTCGAAGTTCTTCATGTCAATGAGAGACTTCTGGCCAGTGTTGCGGCGGGGGCGGCCGGTCTTGGCGGTCTTGTTGTAGGTAGCAATATAGAAGGAGATGAACAGGACCAGGTAAGAGCTGATGATACCGATACCAGCCATGGCAGCGAACTCCTCACCGGCACACTTGCCCATGTTGGGGAGCCAAGGGAAGTAGGAGGAGGTGAAGTAGGTGTACGAGGCGAAGTAGATGAAGCCTTGCATCTGTCAGTATTTGATGTGTGGGACTATCCGGGATTGAATCACTTACCGACGTCAATGACGAACTGGAGGATCTGGAGCATGGTGATGTACTTCTTCCACCAGATGCGGACGCCACGGGCACTCTGGAAATAGTACCAGTACATCACGACGTGGACCAGCAGGTTGATGGTGATGGGCACCCATTGCACGGCAGTCACACCAATAAGCTGGGTGTAACAAAGAAGGGCGGTGGCACCGTGGTGGTAGGTGTGGAGGAAGGTCAATGGCTTCTTCTTGAGGGCCAGGAAGATGGTGTCAATGAACTCGACGTATTTGTTGATGTAGTTGAGCTGCCCAGGGTTGTTAGTCTCTTGTTTTGACGGTCCAAACACGAAGCAACTTACGTAGTACAGCACAATGAGGGGCTGAGTCCACCCACCGCGCTGGTCACAGATCGTGTAGAAGACTCCGTGTCTCCAGAGTGTGGGCACAAGCTGCTCAATGAACAGGACCAGCAGGATACCGCTGACAACAGTCAGGAACAGGTTGTGGACCATGAACAGGAAGTTGAGCTTGAAGGCAGGCAACTTCTTCATGATCTCCCGACCACCAAAAATGATAACGTAGTAGGTAATGAGCATTGTCGCAGTCTCTTTGAGGGTGGAGAGAGGGGTCACGCCCTCTTGGAACTTGAACTCGCTAGCGGGATAGCCCATGACCTTCTCGTAGGCCTGGTCGAAGATGGGCCACAAGTGGACACCAAATGGCCGATCGAGGGTTGGGACGGGGACATTCTGAAGGAATTCGGCCGCCATTGTGAAATGGAGGGTTGTTACTCAACCGACACGATGCGATGAAAATGGCGACGCCCTAGGAGGCAGCAATGGGGCAGTGAACTGCAATTAACTGCCAGACAATCGCGTGGAGATGCGAAAGTCAAGTAAAAGAAAGAAAGAAAATAAGGAAGGAATGAATGGGAGGAAGGGGGATAGAAGAGAGAGAAGAGACAGGAGAAACGATTACATTTTGCGGCCGGCGCGTTGAGATCCCAAAGGGGACTAGCGTGGCATAAAAGGGGGTATCAACTGCACCCGTGGCTTCCGATCGCAACTACAGTGTATACACATCTGAACTCCACGGAGTCAAGGGTCTCAGATTGTTGAACTTCTGATTGATTGTAATTGCAATTGCAGTCCAGGGTACTCCGTACTTTCACACTATCTCTCTATGTTAGCTATGTTCAGATCCTCGGGAATATCACATGCTAGTGTACATGCCAATAGCGCACCAGATATTACGGAGTCACTATGTTGAATAATCAGGGGTCTTCTCGTGAACTGCTTGTTCAATTCGAAACTTTCTTGCCATCGCAGCAATTGACCATCTTTCACAGCACACGCCCATTCACTGGTGGATTTCAGTCCCCGCTTTGCGGAACCACATCCATACTCGGAGGGTCGCGTCGCATTGAGAATCTCACCGACTTGTTTCTTGCCAAAGTTGGGTTGCAATTGCATACACAGTGAAGTACAGCGTGTCATTGGCAGTGGTCTTTATGCACATTTTTAGACAGGGCTGAAGTACTGTACAACCATCTTTTAAGCCACCTGGCATCCCGGCTCGCATCAAGAGCATGAGAAGAGAGCATATCCGGTAACAGACACAAACTAGTATCTAGATTTCCGTTAGGCTCTTATCTGCTTCCCATTATAGGCATACTGGTAAAGCATATCTTCGCAGTCACAATTTAAGAAGATTTTGTGTCTGTCGTTGCTATAAAGACAAAGCAATGATACCAGACATCTGACGCGCACAACTATTTCATAGAGTATATGGTATATTACTATAAATGAGAGAATTGGCTAATCCAAAGTTTACATACTTAGGGAAATATATGTGAGCGGGTGTACGTATTGTGGCATCATGCCATGTCGAGGCGGAGATATACTTGACAATATCTCGGTAACATCTCATTCGTGCAGCCACATGGCAATGAGCTCGAAATGTTAGAAACCATCTAAATAGCGTGTCTCGATATATACATATTTAGAGATGTTATCTAGAGAATCCATATTATATATCTGAACGACATCCAGTCTGGGCCTCGGGATTACAAAACGAAGCATAGACCGAGGCTGTAAGTACATATGATATATTTGATTATGGCTTTGATATCATAGAGTTTCTCAACAGTTCGCCTCATATATCCACAGATTAGGAAATAAATGGTGTACTCAGATCACAATGCTCGACCAATGACGCGCTCGTTGAAAGGTGACAACTGGACAGCCAATCAGCGTGCTCCCTTAGAGATCAACGGGGCCAATCGGGTGATGACTCAGCAACACCCGTGTGGTGCCTGAGGCGGCGACACCACACCACCGGCAAAATCCTAGAGCACTTCTCACCTCCCCTTCCCGTCTCCATCCAAACCTCTCCCCTCACCATTGTTCCAGTCCGGTCCACCGTGGTCCTCCGCCTACAATGCAGTCCCTCTCCATCTTCCGCGCCGCAACCCGCGCCGTTCGCCCTACCGGCTTCTTCAGAGCTCCCCAATTGGCCCGGTCCCGGATGCAGTCCCCGGTAACTCTGGCCGCCGCCCGCGCCCACAACTTCGGCACCACCTCCAAGCTCCTCTCCGGACACGAGGACGAGACATACGAGGAGTTCTCCGCCAGGTACGCCCCCAATCGCTAGCCATTGATGTCGGAGTCGGTCGGAAGAGGGGAGAAATGCTGTCATCGCGATGTTAGCCGCTTCCCGGAACAGACATCGGGATTTACTTGGGGATAATTGGAAGCGTGTTATACTGACTGTGTATGCCAATCGCAGATTTGAGAAGGAATTCGACGGTGTGCAGGATGTTTTCGAGCTCCAGGTATGACTTATCTCGTCTTGCAACCCCAACATGTTGATCGACATGCGGTATATGGCATGAGCCATATCTGCCCCCGTCACTCATGCGATCCTATACCCGTATCTATTCGACATATGGCTAATGCTTCTCTTCGCAAATAGCGCAACCTGAACAACTGCTTCGCCTACGATCTCGTTCCCTCCGTTGAGGTCCTCACTGCCGCTCTCAAGGCCGCCCGCCGTGTTAACGACTTCCCTACCGCCGTCCGTGTCTTTGAGGGTACGTTCCTTTCACCTTTTATACGTTGTTACTAGTGTATATCTACCACAAACCGAAACTAACGTCACTTTGTGACTAGGCATCAAGGCCAAGGTCGAGAACCAGGACCAGTACAAGCAATATCTTGAGTCCCTCGAGGGTCTGCGCCAAGAGCTGGGCGTCGCTCTCCGCGAGGAGCTCTACCCCCAGGAGGAGTAAATTCGCATCACCAATTCTCCTTTCGCGTCAATTTTCTCTTGAACAAACAGTACCCTTTCGCATGTTGTTTATCCAGCACTGTTTGACTGGCTGAGGAGCAGGTCGGGTAGAAGAGAAAACTGTATTCATATTTAGAGATCTCTTGTGTTGTTAGTGCCGCTCTTATTTGGAAAAAGGTCTTTGGTGCCTTGATTGGTGCTTAATTTATCTTGATTCCATCGTGTTCCCATCTTCTTCAGCCATCTTACAACTGTTGTATTCTCAACCGCTCAATTCAGTCTTCAATCTTCAATCTTCAATCTTCAATTTCGCTACAACCATAGCGGATCAGATATCCGTTTGTAAACCGCCAGACTAGTCTGGATCTCAGTTCTTGTTTCTAAGTAGCCAATATATCACACCAAATGACAAACTGCAACAAAGCCCAAGAGACACCACACCAAATTAGATCGAGCCTCCGAATTGACCATGCGCAATGGATATAAGTACAATGAAGACAAGGCCCCTGTAGCTCCCCAGGAGACAGCAACACGGCCAAGAACGTAATTTGTGACAAGGAATTAAACCAAACTAGAAAAGAGAAAAGAAAGAGAACACAGAATCATCAATACACAAGGGTGTGTCCGCTCAAACGCCGGGGACCAAGCCACTGGTTTTCAGGAATATAGTCATAGAGGTATGCAACGTGATGCAAAGAATGGAGTCGTGAGTAAGGCACTCTCCAGAAAGACAAGAGACAAGACAGATCATTCAAAGATCTGGGGTTTAATGTGTTCCGACGTACTTGAAGTAAGTCGGGCGGCAATCCTCCTTGGAGAGCCAGTCTGCACCTTGGTAGAATTGACCAGCTTTGCAGCCGGAGCACTTGGGAGAATTGGGGCAGTTGAGATACGGGATGTGGTTGTATCCAATATCGCGGAACCTAGATATTCATGTGAATGAGTTTTCTCATCTATGGGAAGGGACCATCACGTACCAGTGAACGTTCGCGGCATCAGCGAAAAGACCAATGCCGAGGGAGTGGACGGGAGCATCGCCCCATCGCTCGTAGAAGAAACCACCGGCACGATCTAGGTGTTGGAAGTACGCCTCATACTTCTCGCCACGGAAGAAGTCCAGATCGCCGATCTCGAAGTTGGACCAGAAATGGCAAGTGGAGTATCCGTTGCCGCCCTTCGTGTGTTCGGGACGAGCCACGTCATCTGTAATCCACTCCCACATGTTGTTGTCGCTCAGGTACGAGGGGTTGGCAGCGAGGAAACGCTGAGTCTCTGGCCAAAGGGACGGGATACTCTGAGGGGCGTCGTAGAGGTTGATGGTGAAACCGTAGGTCTTGTTGCCATCCTCCATGTACCGGAAAACATCGTAGTCAACGTCGCAGAAGAACTTGACGTTGGGCTCGATGCGCCAGTAGTAACGGTATTCCTTAAGAGCAGGGTGCTTGTAGAACATGCCGCTGTTCCAGCGACACATCTGATGGTAGGAGACCTTCGAGCTGTACTGGATGTCCTGCTCCTCCAGAACCTTTGCGGATTCCTTGAAGAGCTCCATGTTGATCCAGCTCGGGACTTCCCAGTGTTCCTTGGGCACAAGCTCTGCAACTAGAGTTAGCTATGTTTCTCTTTCAGCAGGACGGACAGGGAGAGCGTACCAAACTGGCACTTGGCCTTGGTGACCGACTGGACCTTCTGCTTGAATTCCTCGGTAAAGGGAATATCGTTGAAGAAAATATAGGGGTAGTTGAATTTGCTGTTCCATGTGCGCTCTAGATCACGCATGGTATCGAGGAGTTGGCCTAGTTCCTCATTGCGGACGAGGGAGATGAGCGCGGCGTTGGTGCGGGCCGATTTGTCGCTATCGGGGGAGTAGTCATGTTCGGTGGCTCGCCATAGGTTTCCGGCAGGTTCTCCGGTTGCTAAAAACACAATGTTAGTATGTTGGGAAAGCGATGGCTGCGATAGGGGAGGTGGCAAGAAACCGGGGTCACGCACGATCTACAAGAGGATCCTTTTTCATGCCGTGGATCAGTTTAGACCCATCATTGGAGGGGCTCTGATGTAACTGGAATACAAGAAATAGACAAAGAAGGATGCATGCTGCACCCAGCATGCGGATCGGTCGCGCGATAGCCATGATGGGTTTTGAAAGGGGGAGATGTCAGAGGGAGAGAGAGGCGCGCATATGAGAGGCCGTCTTTCCTTGTCGGGACTAGCGTCATCCAAGCAAAACATCCCGACTCTGCTTCAACTTCAACTTCAACTACAGTCGACAAGGATACTGATGTGACCTTGTCTTGTCTGTCTTGTCTTGCCTTTATCTGAAATGGCTTTCGCGGCTGATCTCAGTACGCTCACCGATGCCTTGATTACCTCTGTCACTAAGATATCACCGAGTCAGAAGGTAATATCCATTGGTTTATACTCCGTCATTTAATAAGTTCCTAACTTTCGTGTAGGGATCTGCCCGCGTTCAAAGCCTCAAGCGTCGCGTACAAGGGGGTCTCCGGACTGGTTCTCATACGCGCACCGACCAGTTTGCAGTTGCTAAACAACTTGAAGGGCTGCAAGAAAAGTTCCAAGTCTTGAATAGAGATGAGCTTGCCGAAGCTCTTCGCAGCCGCCTGATAGAGCTGGAAGACAGTCGTAACTCCTGGCTCCCAGAGGTACTCAGCCTGTTACTTCAGCTATCAGACCGCCCCGCTCTACTGTCCACAGTTGAACGACTCCGGAAGAAAGACAAGACCTCAGAGGCACCAGAATCTCTTTCATGGTCGGATCTCAACCCAGAGGGGGCCGCATACAGTGATGAAGGAATCTGGGAACAGGTAGATTTCACTGCGGACTCCTCAGATGACGACGACTTTTCATCCGTTGTCAGCGATGTCTCTGCTCCAAGGCACAGGCCCCCATCCTCTACATCGATTGAAGAGGATTACGTCGTCCCAGATGAGATATTTACTCCAGCAGAAGATGACGATCTCATCGTCTGTATAGAAAAGGCACAATTTTGGAGGTCAGAAAATCATCCTCCAGTCAGCCAAGGAAAAGATAAAGCCTGGCAAACCATTACCGAATTACAACTCGCGAGAGAGACTATCTTTATGCTTCAGGGTCTTCCGACATCTGTATTCTGGCGTTTGGATGACGATGTCGAAATAGATCGCAGTTACACGCTCGCACATTCATCCAACGAATCACTAGCATCACTTTTGCAGTGCTTTGGTGAAATAGGAGCCAAAATTAACGCTGTACGAGATTTTATCAAGACACCTCAGACGATTCCATACATGCAGACATTTTGTCGGGGCGTTGAAGAGCGTCTTCATGAATTCGATGGGGCACTTTCCCAAGTTCAGTACGGATACCTTTCCGCTGGTTCAACAATTAGTCTTCTCCAGCTTCTCGCCGATGTCCGTCAACACTCTCACGAGCTAGCTTTACTAGCAGAAATGATAGCTAGACTAGGGAAGAGCTCGACCGATCAACCGATGCGCTGTCTGGATCTGCTATATGATCTAATATGTATGCTGGAAGCTCTCGGGGATGAAAGTGCATCTCGACGCCTTGCAAAACTATTCTTCCTGTGCTTCAAAACATACACGAGATCGATTCAGCTTTGGATGGAAACTGGCCAAGTTGATCCTTCAGATATCACCTTCTTCGTTCGGGCGAATCGTGAGGGTGATCTTCGTACCCTTTGGCACGACTGGTTCGTTCTGGATGAGGGGCCCAGGCGGCAGAAGATCCCCCGGTTCCTCGAGACCAGTGTTCAAAAGATCTTCACAGCGGGCAAAAGCATGGTTTTCTTGCGCCATTTGAATGCATTACTTCCAGAGACCCGTGAGAAATCGGACATGACACTTGATGAAATTTCCTCCTCTGACTCTTTACTCTTGCTTCCATTTTCTGCATCAGTGGAGTCAGCTTTCGAGAAACTTGTGGATATAGATCATTCACTTAGTGCCATTCGTTTGCGAGAGGAACTTGATGAAAAATGCGGGCTGTGGAATTCTCTAGATGCTCTTCAACATGTTTACCTTGGCAAAGACATGAGCGTCCTCAGTATGATCGATACCAAGGTTTTCGAATTGATAGACCGCGGTCGCTCTTGGGATGACAGATTTTTGCTCACTGAAATCTCAAGGACGGCTTTCAGTTCAATACCCGCCATCGACACATCGAGACTCCTTGTGCGCCCAGCTAGTACCACTTCGCGTAAATCACAAAACCACCGAAGCGTGGGAATCCTTGAGTCAATATCCATCGACTATGGTCTTCCGTGGCCTGCGGCAAACATTATTACCGAGGAAGAAATTTGCTCGTACCAGCGAATCTCGACCTTTCTAATGCAGATTAGGCGTGCCAGATACACCATAGTAAAACAACGCATACGAGACGCCCGCAGCACGCCAGTCGAAAAGGATGACACTTTGGTGCATGCTCTCCACCACAACATGCTCTGGTTCATCGATTTCATATACGGCCATCTCACTTACCTTGTCATATCCACTGCAACTCAATCCCTGCACTCGGCTCTATTCGAAACAAAAGATGTCGATTCTATGATTGCCGCTCACCAGTCCTACATGTCCTCATTGGAAGCCCAGTGTCTGCTCTCGGAGAATCTGTCTCCGATCCACAAAGCCATTATCAGTCTCTTAGATATCTGTGTTCATTTTGCAGATCTACAAACTGCACACTTGTCCGGAACGTCCACCAGCGAAGAGGAAGATGACGAAGAAGACTCCATGGAGGCTCTGAAGATACGGTCAACAAAGAAAGACCCAGAAGATGAAATTGACTCCGACGACGAAGACGATGATATGGGCCACGAACATACGCTTACGGTTTCATTCCATGACTCAACCTATGACCAACAAATGCGAAAGGTCAAACTACAATTTGATCACCTAGCTACTTTTGTCGCGGACGGCCTCAAAGGTATAGCTAGGGCGGATGGATTACCTAGCTGGGACATCCTTGCTGAAAGGCTTGAATGGCGCAGGCATTAATATCTTTCTGTAAACGAAAAATGAATGAATGAATGAATGAAACCAACAGTACTTTTGCTTAATGTTTGACCGACACTTCTTCGAGAATATGAACAAGCATAAAATAAATTTGTAAGTTAACGTTATGCTATCCACAGGTAAAGTTCATTTTAGTATACTGTCGCTGTATATGCCGGATTTTAGACGCTGGTCGCGGTTTTTCTGATCGGGGTGCCGCCAGGTGGAGCGCCGGATAAGGGCCGAAGTAGCCCCTTATTAGTAGGTAGACTTGGCCAGTCCCAAGTGCGAGCGCTTTGGCCCCAAGTAAGGCCGCCCATGACGCATCGATAAATATAGAGAACCCCACGGACTGCAGATATCTGCAACTGAAGCGAAGATCTACGGCGCGGTATGGTCAAGCATTTTTTCCACTCCCAACGGTGTGCACAGTCAACGCGCGCAATCACAGGTTTTTTTTTCCGGGCTGTTATTTCGAAAGGACTAAAAATGTCATAGACATACGCGTCGTATGCTCGCAAGACTGATAAATGTGGGAGGCCTGATGTATGTGAATAAGTATATAGGTTGGCTTGCCTTGATGTGTGAACTAGAGAGCATTCAACCAAAGTTGTTTAATGTGCTATCCTAGCCAGAATCTTCAAGAACTATGTTTAATCCTAAGTTCCTCGCAGGTTTTGTGTTTTCGTTCTTGGCAGCCGTCTTCATCTCACCAGTACTCGTGGACTCAACGGGATCCTTTCTTTGGGACCCTACCGTGGACAATGAAATCAATACTTATGCCCGGGTCATTGAGTTACAGCATGCAGGTGATAAGAATGGCAGGCTGTTAGCTACTTGGGAGCACACATACACGGCAGGTCGAGATACGCGCAAGACGAATGGAACAGCAGGCGAGTTTATCATTCGCAAAAGTGAAGACGAAGGCGAGTCTTGGAGTACCTTGACGACCGTCCATGATACAAAAGGGGACCCTAAACATCCATACACCCGATCCGTTCTTCTTCGAATTTCCTCGCCAGATGGGCAAATATTCCGAAGGCACATTGCTTTTAGTCGGCAATCTCCTACCGTCCAATGGCTCCACGACCAACTTTTTCGCCTGGCGGTCAGAAGACCACGGCGAAACCTGGGATGCTGCAGGAGAATGGCAACACGGCGGTCCATCCCGTTCAGGCATTTGGGAACCTTTTCTTTACATGGATAAAAAAGGTAGACTCGTGGCGGCGTTCTCTGACGAACGACAGAATAGGATGCACAGCCAAATGCTGGCCAATGTCGTTTCCGAGGACGGCGGCGATACCTGGGGTGATATCGTGAAGGCTGTGGCCAGTTCCCGGGTCAGGGATCGACAAGGGATGGCTACGGTAGCGAAGATGGGCAATGGGGAGTATATCATGAGCTACGAGTTCTGCGAACACCCCGATTGCCCTGTGCATACAAAGACTTCCAAAGATGGCGTCTCATGGAACGCAAATGATACCGGGATCAGGATCGATACCGCTGATGGTATTCATCCTGTGCACAGCCCGTACACAATCTGAGATCCATCGACGAAGCAAGTGATCCTTTCCAGCCATACACATTGCTCAATCCCAAAAATCAGCCTTCTCCCGAAAATTCTCGCTCCGTCTTCATCAACAAAAGTTACGGCAAAGGTGAATGGGTTTGGGCTCCAGCCCCTTGGACTGTTCCAAATGGCACACGATACTGCAAGGCCAACTATAGCCCCGATTTGCTTCCGCTTTCGAATGGGGTTGTTCGATATACGGCGCCAGCAGGTCAAGGTAACGGCAGCTTTTGCTGGGAACGGACAGGAAAAGCGCCCATCGGTGCCTTGCCTTATACGGCGAATTTTACGGCTTACGGACAAGCTGGTTGGATCGACTTTGGGGGAAGTGGAACGTGTCGGGTGATGAGTATGGATTTGAGCCAGTCGGAAGAACCAATGCGATATCTGTAACGGGATCAACCGGATGGACAGATTACAAGATTATCGGCGATATCATTATCACTGGCAGCTCTGGTTCAGTTGGACTGAATGTGCGAATGTCTGCTTCTGGCACGGGTCTCAATAAGTTGAAGGGATACGCTGTGGCTGTCGATAGTGCTACTGGCAAACTGACCACCTATCGACACGCCAACAACAAGACTGTTATGCATTCAGGAGCTCATCCTGAGGGAATTTAGGGAAAGAAATGGTACCATTTGTCGGTGGTTGCGAAGTCTGATAAATTCACGGTGACGCTTGCCGGAGAACAAGGCGGTTCGAAGACCACCTACACCGTCACTGACGGCAGCTTCAAACAAGGCATGGTAGGAGTTTTCGGAAATAATGGTGGCGGGAGTTTCAAGAATATCAAAATAACCAATTAAGTTAGGGAATATATCGGGAGTGTCTGAATTCCAATATGGATCACAGGTTGAGAAGTGGAGAATTATTGTTTGTTTCGTAAAGGCTCAAGGCTTGTAATTATTGAAGAGCATTGTACAGACTTGCATGGATAGATCCCAGCTTGATCAAAGAGGTCCTAGATTGTTGAACTACCAATCTTGATGGCAGATTGAACGTACTACCCTAGGGGATGGGAGCGAATTGTTAAAGGCACTGCCTTCGAAGTGTGGGTCGGGATGAATAGAAATAAACAAGCGATTAAGTACTGACAGTAATGGACATCTATTATCAAATCAAATCCAAGCCGCAGTATACGCTGGAAACTTGGATGTTGCCAAGCTGCTCCTTGACCACCGACGTACACGTCCAAGGTGGTCACTACATTCAGAGTAATGGGAGCGCTTCACGGAGGACTTCACCTCTGTCGACCTTAGGTATATATATATATATATGTGATCTCTCCTCCGTGGGGGACGGGCGGAATAATTAACCAGATTGTCTACCTCGTCGGACCACCACCTCACGCTCTCTTCCATGTGATTTGTTTAATGATTTTCTTCAATTACCAGCCCCTGGCATTGTCATCTGCAAACTTCCATTTCATTTGCCAATATCTCGCTGCAGTATAGGAAGAACGAAACGAAGCAGTTCCATCCCAGACTCTGAAGAGAGCAAAACTCCAGTTTTGGGCGATAACCGCACTGCAGATTCCATCTCCAATGAGGCCCCATTGGCTTTACCTTGGCCGTTGAGCACAAAGAGCAGCTAGACAGCATTTTGCTCGCCTATCTCAATCTTCCCTTGGGCTCCGATTTTGATCATCTCCGCCTTGGTCTGCCTCTCTGTAAAGACACCAAGTGTCCGTGTAAAGACATTGCTCGGTCCACCCGACGGCACCCACGAGTAATTATCTGGCTTTGAAACAATGACTGAGTGATATCGTGCCGCGGGATACTCAAGCAGGTGACCCGAATAGCTCTCCCAAAGAGCCTCATAGCTATCCTTCGACTCCCCACCACCTACAGGGTGTTATTTGCCCTTTTGAAATCGGCCCTGCTCTTTCAATTTTTCCTGACCTTTCGCAATTTGTGCAAAGCTGAGGTATCCTTTGCCACTCGCTCCACCAAATTGTAGAACTAACACATCACACTCGCCCCCTTCATCGAGCTGTGGCCGGTAGAAAACACCCTCCGGATGGTAGCATAACTCTCCTTCATGAAGGAGATCTGGTGCAATAGACACGTCGCCACGGTATGCGTACCGGAACTGATCGAAGGTATGCCGGTGAACAGGCGAGTAAAAGGCGCCTTGGCGCGATATGCTGAAGAGATAGTTCTCGGGAGTATTCTCCTCACCGAGGAAGAGATATTTGAATGCTAGCCCGCTACCTCGATGCTTGAGCCCAAGCTCCTCATAGTGTAGCTCCTTGCCGTGTCCTATATCCATGGTGGTGTATGTAGTGTTCAAATTTCTGTGCCTTAGCAGTTCAAGGTACTTGGCAGATAGATAAAACAGAACAAGAAAGAGGCTATGCTACTGTCAGATGTTCAGATATTACCCCTCTTCTCTTGCTTATTGTGGAAGGATGCAGTTGCCTGCCACCATCCGCCAACGAATCAAAATTGTAGTATTGTCAGTGAATTTCAAGGTTATGACAAATGTGGAATGTCTACTAGAGTATGTGCGAGCCCCGATTGCCCCCGCGATTTACGGACCCTTCGGCCACAGCGATTGCTTGACCCCACCAAAACCTCTCGGTCTACGCTCCATTGGTAGTAGCACCAGAATTCTCAAGTCCGTCTTAACTCTTGCTATGGGCGCATGTTCCGTGTCACACCAGTGCTACGCCCATTTCCATCCGCACTTGAAGCTACTGGTTTGCTACATTCCCAAGTATTGATTGATCTATCAGTAACGCAGTCGCTTTGAGACTTACCTTGCCATGGCAAATCAACCCCCTATTGCAATTTTGATCGTTCATGGGGCGTATTTTCTCCCCTCGGCCTGGGAAGACTTTTGCCAGCGTCTTACTCAAGCAGGGTTTATCGTCCGTTGCCCGCGTTTGCCTACCTGCGGCGATGAAAGGCCACCCACTGCCCTTCTCGAGCAGGACGTGATGGCCGTCCGAACGGCTGCCCAAGAGCTAATGAACTCTGGCCACTTCATTATAGTTCTGGCTCATTCATATGGTGGCATCGTTACATCGGAAGCGATCAACCAGGATCTCTACGCGCGCGACAGTGGCAAAGGGGTTGCATACCTCATCTACCTGAGCGCATGGCTGGTCCAGCCAGGAAGCTCACTGGCGGATGTCATCGCCAAGTATGGCTTCCAGTGCAAGGTGGACATCGGCATCAACGAAGATGGCACCATGGTTGCGAAAAACGCGCCCGAGTCCTTCTATAACGACATCGACTCTGCAAGGGCAGAAGACCTAGCTAGCAGCAATGTAACCCATAACTGGCTTGCAGCGTCAGGTCAAGTGAATGGCGCACCTTGGAAAGACATGCCGATGACATATATCTATTGCACTCGGGACCTAGCCATCATGTTGCCACTGCAGGAGAGCATGGTACGGGATGCATTGAACGCGGAAGGTACCTCCAGGCTCATCACAGAGACCATAGACTCTGGTCACTGTCCTTTCTTGAGCAAGCCCGAAGAGGTCATTCGGATTTTACAGCGAGTGGGGGCTGAGATAAGTTGAAACTTGCTCAATTCAAGGGATAGGAAGTTAGCGGGCAAAGGCGCGAACGGGAATACCGAAAGCCTCCAATATCAAGCCTTATGCTGCGTCGGCCAAAGCGAATGAAAATGGTACGGTATCGGATGACGAGATCAGAATCCAGAAGTCGATTGGAAGCATTTCACCTGAATTGGTGCCTGTGTCAATATGAACCGTCCAGTTAGATAATTTGATTAATTAATTTCAAGGCGTTTTGGTTGATAAAAATGGCCTAAAATAGAAAGTAGATGGGTGGGTGCGCAGCTCGGTTACCGAATGCGGTAGTTAACCAGTAGTTATTTCAATCCTGTGCGTGGCTGCTAAGGCGTTAGCTCAGAACCTAGTGCGGTTCAGGAGCAATACTTGCTGTGTCTTGCGACTACAATACTTTTGTCGAGATACAATATGCCAAGCTGCCAATAGAAAACGCAGTAAGAATCCCGACAAATCCAGTCATTATGTGACAGTTTACAATTGAACGAATGATCGGTATTCCACTAATCTGAGTGCAAAAGAGGGTAATGGTGGTTAACTAATTAAACGTAATACGCAGTGATAGTGAGATTTTTGCTTATTATTTCACTACTCCCCCTTGGCGCCCGCCCGGGGAATTTGGAGAGACCCCCGCTAAACGGGGTCCTACCGCCCTAAACAAGAGTACCCACTACACAGCCTGACCCGGGGCCAAAAGCTTGTCTAAGAAACCAAGAGAACCTTATTCCCGGCCCAAGCCTCGTCTCACAGTCGAATTAGGAGCCATTCATGACAGTTGATCCTTTGTTTCCCGCTCAGCTCGTACTTTGTATTGAAGCGAAGCGTGCCTAGGCCGTTTGAGTGATTTTCAAAATACTACTGGAACGCCCAATGCTCTAGGTAAAGCATAGATGTGGCAAACAATAGTCATTTTAAGTTCGCCATTGTTCTCGATTATTCCCTTGCATTGATTTGGGAGAGAGTACCTAGGTAGACATGGCTTTCTGAAATATCTTCACAATGTATTACTAGTAAGAAGGTAGAAGTTGGGGTAGAACTCAATAGGCTCTGGTTTCTATTGGTAGTCTGCTAATCTATCAAATTATGGGAAAGCAGCTGCGTAATTCTCTCCGTCACCAGAAATAGTTTGCGGCTCAGAAGAGCCGCACTGAATCCCTACACTAAGGATGTTCAAGACAGTTACGTAAAACAGTCGCCTTCACCTATGTGATGTAACGTTATAACTGATGCGCCGACATACATGAACGCTCAGCCGCGCGCGTCATCAAAAGGGGCCATGGCGAGGTCTAGAGACATAGCAGGCTGTGTTCGACTTTTCGAAGCTCATCCTTTGTCAAAAATAGATGCCCTTGGAGTGTTGGACCCCTAAAGCGAGGATTAATCCTCTATAAATGCCCCGTCAATACTTCCCTTGATCAACTAATTTCACTGCCAAGAACCGGATTATCAGGGGAATTACAACGATCAACAAAGACGAAGAAATGCAGTTTTTCAGCCTCCTGCTTGCTGGTTTTGTCACCTCAGCTCTCGCTATGCCTAAGATCCAGCAGGCGAATGATTTGAGTGAGATAAACGTAAAGGTCAATATCCCTTTCTGTACCTAAATGTGTTTGATTTAGCCTACTTATAAGGATAAAATAACAGGAATGCAGCCAATCGCCTGACTCTTGTGGTCCAAATTATTATTGTGCGGATGGCGTTTGCGAGCCAAAGAAGGATACTAGCAGCCTGGAGAAAAGAGTACGTATCTCACTCTATAGCCAATACATCGGTGAATCAATAAAACTAAAACAAACATAGGCATGTCTCAAGCGATGGATAGCCTGTGGTAAAACGATGGAACGCTGCTGTCCCGGCCTCCACTGTACCGCAGGCGGCTGCCAACCCCCGTAAGGTGTGAATTATCTACTTCTACATGAGTTAGTACCTACTAGCTTCGGAATTGGCCACCTAGCTCCTAGATCAGTTTCTGATGCCAGCAAGGTCAGGTCCGGATGATAATCAATACCATCAAAATATGTGCACCAACAGAAACACTAAGTTATTCTTCACTATCTCAACGACCCCTGTCTTGTTGAACTGTAATTAACAACTTGAAGTGCCACCGACACTTTCCTGATGTATTGAAAGTCGAATTTACTCGACGTTTGATGCTTTCAAGAGTTCTCCCTTCTTTGAACCGAGACTTCAACGCCCTTTGTGTAAGTAAAGAATCCATTTTTCAATGACCATTCATTTTGTGGATTGATGAGCTCAAACTAGAGACAGTCTATAAATATGATTTCCGCCGAAGAGGTGCTCAATTGAAAGGAAACACACCTTGAACCTTCTTAACATTTCAGGGATGACCTTATACATCTCCAGGTACGAGATGTTTTTTCCGAGACAGATCCTCGACCCTCCACCAAACTTGAAAAATAACAAGCCAATGTCAGTACCATCAATCGGTTAGAGGCAGAACACGCCGACGATGTAAGATTTGAATTGCCGAAGAACTGACCGCAAATAACCCGCGTTGCATCTCTTTCCTCTCATTCTGCCTAGCTTCAATCCACCGCCCCGGTCTCCAGAGAGCAGCGTCTGCCCCATACACCTCTTTATCCCTGTGCACAACCCAAGCGTTGACTCCAAGTACTGTCCCAGCTTTAAAATACTTGCCACATAGCTCTAAACCCTCCACAGGCGCAACCCGCTCCAATGGGATCCCTATCGCCGGAGTCATCCTCAAGGCCTCCTTGATGCAAGAATCAAGGTAGGGAAGCTTATGTGCAATATCCCAGGGAACGGGCGACGGAAGATCAGCATGATCCAATTCCGCAAGCAAGGTTTCCATGGAGTCCGGATACTTCAAAAGGTGATATATCACTTGAGTCAATGTAATGGCAGTAGAATCTGAACCGGCTTGAACGTTTTGTTGACACCAAGATATGATCCAACTGGAATGTTTTGTATCAGTGGAGTAATAAACGTAGTGGCAGGGGATATCTTACGAGTCAGGGATACTGGGATTACTATCCTTAGTGTCCAGAAATCGAGACAAGAAGTCTTGCTCTTGGAATCTCTTTTCAGGTTGATCATGTCGCTCATTTTCCCGCTCTGCTATTCGTTTAAGCGCAAATTTCAGGACCGGAGACACGCTTGGCTTTGAAAAAAGGCCAGAAAGAAAGCTCGCAAAAGGGTTCTTGTGCAAAAGCTTATCAAGCCAAGGCATTTGCCCAGCCTACCTATCCAAGTTCGTCATCGGCTTTCGTTTTCAAATTAAACACTCCCCAGAGGAAATGAGAAGCGGTAGTTCCGGTTGCATATCAGGTACAGTGCTATACTTACAACAGCGACTTACCAAAACCGTCCCTCTATTGTTTCTAGAATTCCATCCACATCCTCCTCCCTCTCCAAAAACCCAAGCCTCTTTCCAAAAGTCATCTCCATAATGACATCTGTCGCGAACCAATGCAGCCATGTCCCCAGGTCAAAGGTCCTCTCCTCGTCCGCTAAATTCTCTAGTTTACTGATGAGGAGGGACTCAGTGCTTTCCACCAGTGGCTCGTACGTCTTGAGATTTGACATGGCGTACACTTGCGCTATGGGACGTTTCATTATCTCGTGAACAGATTCGTCGCGCGTGGAGAATATAGTAGGAACAACCTTCCCATGGGCGACGTTCCCCATGACCGGGTAAAAGGCTGATTTAATATGTCGAGTTCGTGTATTATATAGAATGGGAATCGCGGCGGGGGAGCCAACAGAGACGTTGTTGGGCCCAAGACGTACGAAAAGGCCATGTCGCTCGTGAAGGCGGAGGTGATGTTCATGGGCCAAGCCAGTACGAACCAGCAACAGCCGATGCAGGTTAGTCACTTTAGCGAGGAATGGGCCTGGGACAGAGCGAAGATCGGAACGAAATAGCGGAAAGAGGACGAGATGGTAAAGGAAATAAAGAATGAAGGGTATGCTGAGGGTCACACAAAGTGGTAGAGATGCAAAACCCACATAAGAATCTACTTTGTTCATATTTAATCACTTAGATGTCGCTTTTGCTTTAAGTCAACATGTTATCCCCGAGTGGGTGGTCATGGATATTTGACTGGTTCATTATCAAAGTGGGGTCCAAGTGTCAAGCCTCGCCGTGACTGTGGAAGCCCCCGTACTAACTCTGTGGCTTTGATCCCGTCACTCATGCCCCCCCTTTGCCGCCGTAAGTTCTAAGGAAACCGCGAGTGGTGCACGTTGTGGAATCATCTCTTACTACATTCCCAAAGGTTTTTGCGAATTCCTTGAGGGGCTTTTCGCACACAAGGAAAGTTTGTCTATTATAACACTTTTTCTTGCTGCTGGCATTTATGTTTCGAGGCTCAACTCAGGTTTGATACATAACCGACACTTTACAAAATGTATGTTTCTCTGCCATACAATTTAATTTGCATTGGAATCTCGTCATCTGTAATGGATACCCGAGAGAGATTCGGGTTACAATTGAGACCGTCTCAGTTTTCATAGTGTTAAAAGATACCAATTTACTAATTTATAGGCGTATACTGAGTTCGCAAATTTTCCGAACCGAAGAGACCGAGGCTTTCCCATGTTCAATACTCATAGTGTGACATGACAGGCTTGGACAAGGCGCACTGTCGATCACTCAATTCGGCCTAGCAAATGGCGGTCCCAATCGCAAAAAAGTACATGAGCTGTGCTTGCCTGGTTTTAGCCCCAATGGGTGCGGGGTGACAAGGTCTTGAGCCAGCTACTAGCCAGTCAATCTGCCATGACGGGATTGTGATAGTATTGAGGCATTTCTCGAATAGGCCCAAAACTATCACTCGGATCGTGTGCGTCGCGTTCTCCACGCTGAAGTCCCATGAACTTGAAAGCAAGTGTACTCATTTTTTAATTTCCTCCACCACATCGTTGGCTACCATAGTACGGCTTCTAAGAGCATACTCATTAATTCGAGTCTCTCGGACCTCACTGTGGTGAAAGGATCCATGGGTCCTGGCTTGTCACCTCCTTACGATCTAGAGGAGCAAGGCACCGTAAGGTCTGCCTTGGAAATAAGACAGGCAATTTAGTGTACGTAATTGGCCTCTTGACCCGAAATATCTTTTAAAAACCAGTTGAAAAGATAGAAAGACTCGGGGGTGGCATGATATCAGAAAATGCACGGACCTCAAGCCTTAGAAGGGAGCGATCTTCGCCCACATTCTCTTTTATACTCATTTTCTATTTACATACCCGGCGAGGTATTGACTTCTTGATTTTGGAGCAATTTCTTGTACTCTATTAAGTCTTTTGTTATCTCCATCCCTTAGGTTTAATATTTTTTATTTTTTATTTTTTATTTTTTCATTATTTTTTGTATTTTTACTTCTTCGCCACAGCCTAAAAGTTGAATTTTCTCATATAACATCCAGGCTCTCTTAGAGTAAGAAAGTCCATAGCGGACAAACTAGGAATCTTAGTAAGGAAAGCAGAGAGCGTTTAAAAACGGGGAATTTCATTCATGATAATGCCACGTTGGACACCGTTCATGACTTCATTTTGCTGTCGACCCGGAATCAAAAGCCCGCTGACAGGGCTTCGGGGCTTTGGAGCTTCGGCATACTCTTCAAAGCATGCTCTCGCTTAGACATCTTTTGGACTCTCCCGGTTTACATTGACTAATCTGGCCACAATTGTGTGGGTTATTTCAAGGATCAATGCAACTTGACCTAGTTCCCCAGGTGTCTCAGAGCCTCGCTGTCTTGACGATCATGATAATCAGCGCTATCACTGTTACTAATGACAGCAAAGTGCAACTATTGCAGGGATAATGAGGGCTAAATAGATAACAAAAAACCCCGTTAGACCTTGCTAGTCGTTGTTCGAATGATGCATTTGCCCTAATAGGGTAACGTCCCTGTCGAAATTCGGCCCCCTATTTTGTCGTAGACAATTTCAGACTGTGACGCGTGTCAGAGTGCCATTTGTGGATTTATGGATGAAGCTACCGTTGCCTGTTGGCTTCCTTATTTAATCTTGGAGCTGTCGCTCATGTAGTCCGCCACAACACCCATTAGCATCTTACCTGTACCTAGTGTCACCAATCGCGGCGATGGCCAAACAAGATGTCTACCATATTCACCCCTCTGGGTGGGAGGGGGACCCCGAGGAGGAACAATTTAAGGTATCGACATTGGACTACCTGACGGTCTGTACATACAACAACTATGCGTTGTTTTTCCGGCTTGAAGATGTCGAAAAGAGCCGCGTTGTGGAAGTCTTGATAGCCGGACTTGAACGGACATTGAGTCAGGCAAGACATCTTTGCGGCGTAATCGAGAAGGACCCTGTAGGCGGTCATTCCTTTGTCAAGAAAAAGGATAGCACGGTCCGTCTCTTTGTCCAGTGGCTGGATTCTCCCGATGTCAGCGAGGACTACCCGTCCTTGGATGAGATCCACGATGGCAATTACCGCACCTCACTTCTGGGCGACATCCAGCGCTGGAGTGTACCGCCGATGACATATGGAGAGAAACCAGAGGCTCATCCGGATAACAACCCGGTCGTGGCTTCGTACAAGGCCAACTTTATTCGAGGTGGCCTGGTCTTCATTATGCATAGTCATCACTATTCTAACGATGTTATGGGATGGGCCGGTTTCACCCACCAACTCGCCGAGAATTGCTATGCGATTATCAACGAGACACCATTCCCAGCCTGGGACCGTACTTGCATGGACCTTTCTCGTCTGATCAAGCCCGAAGTGTCCGAGGAAGAGAAGGTAGATGGCCCACCAGCACCCGCCCGTCATCCGGGCCATATCCCAGCCGAAACGCTACTATTCCATCTACCTAAGAGTAAATCCGCAGAGCTGAAGATGCTTGCTTCACCGACAGATGGGTCCTGGGTCTCCACCTACGACGCCTTCTCAGCATTTATTTGGCGAACTATGTCACGTCTGCGAGCCCCGGTTTTCCAACCAGACCTCTCAGCACCGCTCTTTTGGGTTGAGGCCGTTGACATGCGTCGCCGTTTCCACAGTCCCAAGGTTGCATCCCGTATTCAGCACAACGTCATGGCCGGAGCCCTGTCTTCTACTGCGCCAGTGACCGCGCCGACAGCCGCAGAGGTCATATCCGAGTGGCCGCTGCCGAAGTTACAGTGACTGGCCATAAGTTTGGGCACCCTCCTTAGACCCACTTTTATACCGCTTTCCCTTATAGCCGACACCGCCTAGAGAGACACGCTAGCTACGCGTCGCTATTTCTTGCGATTTTAGCTATTCTAGCTATTTTATAATACTATTTCATGAAGCCTACCTTTCAAAACCTGCTATTTTTACTATGGCTCCACGCTCAGAACTTACACCTGCTTTACGCGAGAGGATCTGTGAGCTTCATACGGCTGCTCATTGGGGTTATAAACGTATCCATAAGAGATACCCCTGAATTTCACTATCGGGGATCCGGTATACGATTAAAAAAGAGCATGAGAGACGTGCCGGTGTCTCAAAGCCGCGTTCTGGCCGACCGAAGAAGCTTAATGAAGCCGATAAAGTACGCCTTTTAGACTCAATCCACGGGAACCCTCGCGTTACACACGAAGACCTTCTTACTGAGGTCTCTTATAAAGTGAAAATAAAGTCAATTCGACGGCTTTTGAATGCTGAAAACCTCCGGAAATGGCGATGTAGCTGGCGACCTTATTTGACTGAGGAACATGCCTTTAAACGGCGTCAATGGGCTTTTCGCTATCAACACTTTACTCCCGAAGATTGGGCTCGCGTCTTTTGGTCTGACGAATGTACGGTGGAGCGTGGAATTGGTGTCCGTCGAGAATGGACATTTACTCGGCCAAAAGACCAGCCAAAACTTGGACAAGTTCAAGGCTTTCCACAACGGGGAAAGCAAGTTAAGCAGATGTTTTGGGCTGCTTTCTCGGGCGCTACCCGTCGAACTGGTTTGATTCCGCTATTCGGGGATCCGGAATCAGAGCGTGGAGGTGTGAATAGCATCGTTATCCGGGATCTATACCTCCGTATCCTACCTACCCTAATATCGAATGAAGGGTCGATTTTTCAGCAGGATAATGCGCCAACACATACGGCCCACGTCGTCCGAGAAGCTCTACGGGACTTAGAGCTCGAGGTAATGGAATGGCCGCCACATTCGCCTGATTTAAATCCAATTGAGAACCTCTGGGCGTTGTTAAAGGCAGAGATCTATAAGCTTCGGCCTGATCTCATTGATATGAGGAATAATGAGCAGACAAAGGCTATTTTAATAGATACAGCACAGATTGCATGGGACCGATTGAACCTTGAGCACCTAAAACATCTCTCTGAGACTATGCCGCATCGGGTGCAAGCTATTATTGATAGTGAGGGATGGTATACGCAGTATTAATTAAATGGCATGAGGGTTTAAAACCGGCAGAAAATTATGTAATATCTGAGTGGGTCTAAGGAGGGTGTCCAAACTTATGGCCAGTCACTGTAGCCTCGTACATCCGCCAGCTGACCAACAGTGTCACCCAGGAGGCATTGGACCAGACACTAGATATGGTTGCTACCGTTCGCGATAAAACAGCGTTAAATATGCAGATTGACGCGTACCCATCCATGTCAATTCTTCAGACAGATCACCGCGACGCAGATATTACCAGTGCCGACTTTGGATTTGGTACTCCGACTACGTACCGTCATTTGCTTGATTGTATGACCCAGGGAGTCTTGATTATCTACCCACCGCGCGATAAGGCTCCTGAATCGGACGAGGGACCAGAGTTCTCTATCACCTATGAAAAGAGCTTAAAGCAGGCCTTAATTGACGACGTGGAATGGAACCGATACTTTGAATACCGGGGTGTGGACGCTGTTGAGGCTTGCCAGACGAATTGAAGATTGGTGGTAACTATAACCAGTCTTCCTCTTGGCAGCGTATAGCCTCAGGATACCCCAATTCAATCATGTCTATACAAGATTATGTCTCTACAACACTGTCAGTGTATATATCAAGACTGGAACTGAGTCCTCTGGGTCGGTTAGTCGTTTCTTATGCCAAGACCATGAAAAGAGCCCCTTACGTCTTCTTGATCACAGAGATCACAATCCTCCGGCATTCTCGCAAGAAAGAAACTGACCGTAGACGGAAACACCTGGAAATCGTGAGCCTGTCGGCAGAGCCTCCTCTAAAGACGATGCCCCAGTAACGCAGACAAGGACCTCATTTACCAGTATGTCGATCTTAGATGCAGGACGTAGCCGCTTCCACAATGATTCTTCCCAAGGCCAAGGGTCTAGAAAATGTGCTGGTGTTTCATGATCGTATACTGCTCATTAATACGTGATCTATCTGGTGTTGTTTGAACCGGTCACCTAAAGCGTGATGGGGCGATGATAAGGCAACTGAAATTTTGCACCGTCCATGGACCTCACCTAGACCATGGAAGTGCGCGAGCTCATTGGAAGATTCCATGCAACTCAGCAACCAAGGAGACAGCTGACAATCTGTCAATAGAAACGAAGACGACACGTAAAAAGAGACGTATAAAAGCTTAATAACTTATAGAGTAATCTACTAGATTTAGAAGCGATAGTGCGTATAAGTAGACTAGGAGAGGTAGAGGAAGCTTTATTAGACTACACCGGAGGCCTGATGCCCACGTTGAATCGGGCCAATATGAGGAGACCACATCGATATAGCCTTTGTAAAACGCCAAGAAATAAGAGAAATAGGTGCCAGAGAGGTCTAAATAGCTTTATTTTCAATAAATTCGCGTTGCAGTTGTATAAAATACGTAATAATAGTAGGTATAATTAGTGGGTGCGGCGCTTGCGGCGATCGGATACGAAACCCGTTATGCATTAAAAATCATGAACGCCATGCAGACATTTCTTTTCTCCCAGTCATCCCAGCAAAGTCCCGAAGCAAAGACGACCCTGTACAAACTGGAAATATTACCACCTCTTGTATCGGCATCCCCTAATCTTATTAATCAACCATCTAGGCCTTTATGGCCTGCTCCTCATCGTCACTGAAAGCGTATTTCGAGAAACGGCGAATAGCTTCTCCCTTGAAGTAGAACACATAGGGAATGAGACAGCAAGCCAAAGCGAGGAAGGCAAGAAGCGAGCTAGCCCACTGGTAGCCCAGACGGTTGTACATTTGTTCGGTGAAAAGAACAGTAGAAGCACCCCACATCGAACGAAGGAAGGTCTTCGCAGCGAGGGCGGAGGCTGCTTGGTGCTGATAAGTATCCACTAGAAATTTTGTTAAAAAATATTCATATTCAGTGTGATAGTGCTGTACATACCAAGGTAGTTGTTGGCCGAGTTGTACAGGAAGATAAAGCCGAACCCAACAGGCCAGCCTCCCATTGCCGGTCCCATCCAGTGCAGATCCTTGTAGGAGGTCCAAGCAAAGATGAACAGACCGACGGGAACAAACCAGCAAGACCACATCATGGGAATTAGACGCTTCTCGGCAGGAGGCTTGCCACCGCATTGAGCAGAGATCTTGAGGTAGTGTTTGTTGACGAGGGGAGCACAGGCTGCGCTCATGAGCACACCGATGGCCAGAGGAATGAACATGAGACCGGTCGAAGAGGCACTCCACCCTTTACCAGATTGGTAGACGATGGGGTATGCAACAAAGAACATGTATAGCAAGCCGTACAAGACAGACATGTAGAGAGCGATGAACAAGACGATAGGCTCGAGGAACAAGAGCTGGAAGGGGCGAAAGAGGAAGATGCGCAACTTCTCGCCCAAGGGACGAGGGTCAAGCTCAGCTTCAGTCGTGTACTTGTCGTCGTTCTCGGCCTTACGGAGCTTCTGGGCTCGCTTCTTCAACAGGATTGGCGCATATGTCTCGGGGACGGTGAAGGTAATCAGAACCCACGCAACGAAGCTCAGAATCAACTGGAGCCAGTAAAGCCACCGCCAGCCAGCGTGGTCACCAAGGAAACCACCTGCAAGAGGGCCAATGGCGGGTCCAATGAAGGGCGCAGCGCTGAACGCTGCCATCGGAACACCTCGCTCTTCACTCTTCCACAAATCGGCGAGAGTACCACCGACCAAAGTCATAGGTGCACTGAAAGCGATACCATCGATCAAACGGCACACAATTAGGGTTCCAATGTTCTTGGCGACGGCACATGGAATGATGAAGACAACGGCAAGCAAGAGGGTGGCAGCATATATTGGCCGACGTCCGAACATTTCTGACATAGGAGCAAAGACCATGGGGCCTAGATAGAGTTAGAACCACAATAACCAGGAGTGGAAAACCAGGAGTGGAAACCGGCGAGCGGACTTACCAACACCGAATCCAACGACAAACACAGTGACAACCACCAAGCTGACTTCACGCGAGACGCCAAAGTCTTCCATAGGGCCTTCAAGATCGGCAGTGATAACACTGCTAGCAAAAGCCACCACGAAACAGGTAAAAGCAACCACCATGGTGCAATACCATTTGTAAAGCTTCGACCAGTTCTTAGGGTTCTCGGGATCGTCGATGGTGAAAGTCACCAACTTCCAGTCTTCCAGCTTGCCAGTAACATTGGACTTGACGGGCTTGATGATCTCGCCTTCCCTTGTCTCGGTGGTGTATTCTCGAAGATCGGCGCCATCGCTAACTTCACGGACCGGTAGGTTGACATAGTCAAGCGGCTCGTGACCAGACCCGAAAGAAGCAGTCCGGCTAGTTGCGTTCGTATGGGTATTATCTGATCGTGGTGTTTCCATTATGTCGAAATAGGTCAATCGATATAATGGTGGGTGTACCCAGACAGAAGTATGAGATGTTGTTGCTGCGATAACCTGTCGTGGAACGTTGCATATACCCCTGGGGGTGCCATGGTTTTATATATTATTTGTACAGACCCACATTGACGAATAGATCCCTTAAAAAATGGGAATGCGGCATGAAACAGTGGATGGTTGCCATGTTCCTGGCAGGGCCTTTTTGATATCGGGCCGCACCATATGGCGGATTGCCTTTTGTGGAACAACCGCGCTAGCCTTATCTGGTAATATGCTACGATGACCCATACACTGCTTATCGATGTCTTGGTGGCGTCACGTCAAAGATTGGCGTATACGTCTGATACAATTTGTTCTTATAGTTGCTGCATCATTTCTGACTGCTTAAGTTTTCTGCTTTTGAGCACAGTTTCGCGTCCGGTAAGTGGGGTCCCCTTGCGGATGCTGTAGGTTATTTTCCAAGGCGAATCCATAGCAGTGGGGATTATGGAGATACGTATGCGTTTTTCTACATGGCTACTCCGTAAAGCACCACTTATCCAGAGCTAGATCAGTGGGGGATAGTTCGGAGAGACTGGTGTCTGGGGAATAGGCAATGTTACGGTAAATGCCGTGTAGACTCAATTTACGCCTCTTTTTGATAATGCGATAGCCCATAAAATAACAGAAGTGAGCGAAAGCTTACTCTTGGCATCATAGATCTGACTTTTCTTAGCTCCAGTGCATCAGGCTTATGTTACTTATTCGCCAAGCAAATAGAACTTGGGGGTTTTCCTAATTGAGACATTCCCTACACTGTACCCAGTTAAATTTGATATCAATCCTCCTTGAAAATATCACTTGGAAAATATGAAGAACACGAAAAACTCGTGGTGGCGGAGAATCAAGATCTGCCTCGCATGATATAGTCTCAATGTGGTAATTCTTTGTGTGTCCGTATCCGGTAATATGCTCCGATCTCTACAAAAAGGACGGAAAGGAACAAAGAATGCTGACCCACTGTCCAGGGATCGTGTTACCTGGCGATAGAGCTTTATGTCTACACCGAATGGAGACCCACGTTGTAGGTCTATGAGCCTTACCTTGCCTCTATGGAGTACTCGTTTCCCAAGTCGTCGTACTTGTACATGTATCCAACCGGGTCGTAAATTATCAAAGTCAAAGTGCTCCACGTGAAAGTCCTAGACACGTGATGTCAAGTATCCTATGTCGGTGTAGTTAGTCAGGCTCTCCCTAAAGCTCAACCAAGTTAGTGGCGCATTGACAACAATATGACCTATCCCGAGAGACATGGGCATGGACTGGCGCGCCCCTAGAGAGCATGTATAGAACATAACCAGAAGAACCTTGTGAACCTGTGAAACTAAATTGGATTTTGTCAAAGCATGCTGTACACTCCGTCCATGGTAACAGGGTTATGGTCATCTTCATGTTCTTGCATTTTTCTTTCTATGTCCTCGATCGCTAGGTCCAGACTTGATTGGGTATAAGATTTGATAATGATACCGGCTGATTCTCACTGATGTAGGGACTTTCGACTTGTTTTTCGAGTGTTTCTTTCTGGAGTGGGTAGTGCCGCCTGGTAGAAGTATATTACTGAATTGGCAAGCACTCCACAAATACCTTAATCACTATGTCAAAACCGAGCTCAATGTCGATTCCAACCTACCTATTTCTTTCTATCGTCATCCAAAAATGAAAGAATGAGTGAGCGGTGTTGGCTCCCTAGCACTATTACTATCTAAAGCCTCCAATGAAGCGGAACATCCCATGTAGCTAGAGAGCTTGCTGAAAGTAAACTTTAAATAGAAGAAGACATTGTAACCCAAACATTTGTAGAATATCAGTAATTATAAAAGTAGCTCAAAAGAAAGTCCGACAATTTCGCAGATTTTTAAATCCGGGAGGAGGCGGCTAGTAACTTTTTTTTTCTACTTTGCTTTTATGAAATAAGAGGATACTTGAGTACTGTCATACGAGTATTTTGATAGTTCTTCTGTTGCTAATTGTTTATTGACAAGGCTGGGTTGCTTGCCCTGGAATGTTGCCTGTATGTCTCAGATCTCCCCGCACTTTTCTACCGGGGAACAACGCTCTGCAGCTGGCCATCCGGCTGGCACTCCAAGATTGACAATGATCCACATAGTGTTTCCCAATAATAAATCTTCCACTGCAATGCCTAAAAGGAAGAGATCACCGCGAAACTCGCGAAAATTTAGGGTTTATAGTAGGAAAGTATAAATGTCCTATCATCACGTGATACTTTTAGATAAGCCGCATTGGGCCTAGGGCGGGGCCACTCATTTTTTTACAAAAAAAGCGATAGAGTCATCGCCAGTCTCCTCTAGCGATCTCAAGTCCACTACTTGAGAGAGGTCTTGAGCCACTCAATCTCCCTTGATTTTAGGAGATTTTATTTATCGTCTCCCTGTGTCAGATTGACTCATTGGGAGAGCCCGACGCCTCTTCAAAATGACTTCAACCGATAACTACCTGGCCATCCCGGGCTCCGTGGCCTTCTCCCGTTCTCGTGGACATGCTGTTGCTGCCAGCATTGGTGTCCAGGATGTTCGAGCCCAGTGGATTCACTATGTGCACACCACCCAACCGTTGGACGAGCCACAGCGTGCCGTGCTTGAGCAATTGCTCCGGTACGGTGATATTACGGACGTCCCTCCCACCTTCGAGTCCACCGACGGTCAATTCGATACCTTCTACATCTTCCCACGCACCGGTACCATTTCGCCGTGGAGCTCCCAGGCAACAGGCATTTCGCACGTCTGTGGCCTGCAGAAGTACGTCAAGAGGATTGAGCGGGGTATGAAGATTTCCTGCCTTCGGAACAGTGCGGAGGATTACAAGTCGGATTATATGGATGTCCTCCATGATCGGATGACTCAAATCATCGGTAACGATGAGCCCGATCTGAAGCTGATGTTCTCCGAGCACGCTCCCCAACCCCTCAAGACCATCTCCCTCCAGGGCGGCACCAAGTCCCCCAAGGAGATTCTTCAAGAGGCAAACATCGAGCTGGGTCTGGCCCTGGACGAATCAGAGATCGATTATCTGGCTGAGGCATATGGCCCCAACGGCGCCATTGCTCGTGACCCCACTGATGTCGAGCTGTTCATGTTTGCTCAGGTCAACTCGGAGCACTGCCGACACAAGCAGTTCAATGCTTCCTGGGTGATCGATGGCAAGCCGATGCCCAACAGCCTTTTCGCCATGATCCGCAACACACACAAGAAGCACCCGGATCACACCGTCAGTGCCTACAGTGACAATGCCGCCGTGCTGGAGGGTCCCGAGGCCGCTTTCTGGGCCCCCAACCCAACCACCGGAGAATGGATGCACACCAAGGAAGTCGTTCACTTTTTGGCCAAAGTTGAAACTCACAACCACCCCACTGCTGTCTCGCCCTACCCTGGCGCAGCTACCGGATCCGGTGGAGAGATTCGTGACGAGGGAGCCGTCGGTCGTGGATCGCGCCCCAAAGCTGGGCTCTCTGGCTACTGTGTGTCTGATCTGTTGATTCCGGACCTGAAGCAGCCTTGGGAGCTCGATGTGGGCAAGCCGAACCATATTGCCAGTGCCTTGGACATCATGATGGAGGCACCCATTGGCAGTGCTGCCTTCAACAACGAGTTCGGTCGCCCTTGCATCGGTGGATACTTCCGTACTTTACTCACCGAGATTGATGTCGGCAATGGCGAGAAGGAAGTGCGAGGATACCACAAGCCCATCATGATTGCTGGTGGTGTCGGCACTGTCCGCCCTCAACATGCCATCAAGCACCCCGAGGTTGTCAAGCCCGGTGCTTTCCTCGTTGTACTCGGTGGACCCGCTATGCTTATTGGTCTTGGAGGTGGTGCTGCTTCCAGTATAGCTTCTGGTGAAGGATCCGCCGACCTCGACTTTGCCAGTGTTCAAAGAGGCAATGCTGAAGTCCAGCGGAGAGCCCAGGAGGTTATTAATGCCTGTGTGGCCATGGGAGACAACAACCCCATCAAGTTCATTCACGATGTCGGCGCTGGTGGTTTGTCCAACGCGCTCCCCGAGCTGATTCACGACTCAGGCTTGGGTGCTACCTTTGAGCTTCGTGAGATTGACAACACCGACCGCAGCATGAGCCCCATGCAAATCTGGTGCTGTGAAGCCCAAGAGCGCTATGTCATGGCTGTTGGTGAAGACAGCATGAACAAGTTCACTGCTATCGCCCAGCGCGAGCGCTGTGGCTTCTCCGTTGTTGGCCGCGGAGGTGGCACCTCCGAGGAGGAGAAGAGACTCATTCTCCTCGACCGCGAGTCCAAGGAATACCCATCCCCCATTGACCTGCCTCTGTCCGTTCTCTTCGGAAAGCCCCCGCGCATGACCCGAACTGTCGATTCGCGGAAGCTTAAGCTGCCCGCCGTCGACTCCAGCCTCACCAAGTATCTTCCATCTCTTACCTCCAAGGTGGAGCTTGTTGATGAAGCCGTCAAGAGAGTCTTGTCTCTGCCCGCAGTTGGCTCCAAGTCTTTCCTGATTACCATCGGTGACCGCACCGTCGGCGGTCTCACAGCCCGTGACCAGATGGTCGGCAAGTGGCAGACTCCCGTGTCGGATGTTTCCGTCACTGCTACCTCCCTGGCTCAGGGTATGAAGACCGGTGAGGCTTTCGCCATGGGTGAGAAGCCTACCCTGGCTTTGATTTCCGCGGCTGCTTCTGCTCGCATGGCTGTTGCTGAGTCCCTCATGAACTTGGCTGCCTCTGATCTTGTGGAGCGTCTCAGCCAAGTGAAGCTCTCAGCAAACTGGATGTGTGCTGGTAGCCACCCTGGTGAGGGAGCTGCTATTTACGAGGCCGTTGAGGCTATTGGCTTAGACCTTTGCCCGAAGCTTGGCATCAGTATCCCCGTAGGCAAGGACTCTATGTCCATGAAGATGAAGTGGAAGGACGAGGCTTCCAACGAGGCCAAGGAGGTCACTGCCCCCATGTCCCTTGTCGTCTCTTCCTTCGCCCCCGTTGGCGATATCAGCAAGACCTGGACCCCAGCTCTTCGCAGATTCGAAGACGTTGGTGAGACTGTCCTCATGTTTGTCGATCTCTCGTTCGGCCGCAAGACCCTTGGTGGATCCGCTCTTGCCCAGGTTTTCAACGAAGTTGGTGCCGAGTGCCCCGACGTTCGTGACGTTGATATCCTGCGCGACTTCTTCGATGCTACTCAGCAACTCCAGGAATCCGGAATTGTCCTGGCCTACCACGACCGCTCCGATGGTGGTCTTCTGACTACCCTTGTCGAGATGATGTTCGCTGGCCGTTGCGGTGTTGAGATCATGCTCGACAACATTTGCTCCTCTTTCCACACCCAAGATGTCATCGAGTCCCTCTTCAACGAAGAGCTCGGTGCTGTCTTCCAGGTCCGCAAGGAGCACGAGATCCAGTTCCGCTCATGCTTCGCCACCTGCGGTCCTCCTCCTGGTCTGATTCACAAGATCGGACGAGTCTCTGAGCAACCCAAGCAGAATCTTGTGATCTACCACAAGGCCTCCCTTGTCTACCGCAACACCCGTTCCAACCTCCAGCAAACCTGGGCCAAGACCTCCTACCACATGCAGAAGATGCGTGACAACGCCGACTGTGCCGAGCAGGAGTATGCCAACATTCTTGACGATGCAAACGCTGGTCTCTCGTGGAACCCTACCTTTGACCCCAAGGACAAGGGCTTGCCCATGATGACCAGCCTTTCCCAGTACTCTCCCTTCGCCAACAAGCCTCGCGTTGCCATTCTTCGCGAGCAGGGCGTTAACAGTCAAGCCGAGATGGCCTTTGCCTTCAACACCGCTGGCTTCTCCGCCGTCGATGTTCACATGACCGACATCATTTCTGGCCGTGTTTCCCTTGCCAGCTTTGCCGGTCTCGCGGCCTGTGGTGGTTTCTCATACGGTGACGTCTTGGGTGCCGGTCAGGGCTGGGCTAAGTCTGTTCTGCTGCACGAGAACACCCGCAAGGAGTTCCAATCCTTCTTCGAGCGACCCGATACCTTCGCTCTGGGTGTCTGCAACGGTTGTCAGTTCCTGTCTCGTGTCAAGGATCTGATCCCGGGTGCCGACTACTGGCCTAGCTTCGAGCGCAACACCAGCGAGCAATACGAAGGCCGTGTCTGCATGGCCCGCATCTCCGACCCCGACCCCTCCAACCCCAGTGTCTTCTTCCACGGTATGGATGGTACTTCGCTCCCTATTGCCGTTGCTCACGGCGAGGGTCGTGCCTCCTTCGCCGGCTCCCGGGGTATCTCGGCCTCCGACTTCGTTCGCGAGGGTCTTGCCCCCGTTCGCTTTGTCGACAACAACTCCCTCAAGCCTACCATGAAGTATCCCTTCAACCCCAACGGCTCTCCCGAGGGTATTGCTGGTATTCGCAGCCCTGACGGTCGTGTTTTGGCCATCATGCCTCACCCCGAACGTACTGTTATGAACGGCATTGCCAGCTGGCTTCCCCCGAACGCCGAGAACTGGGGCGATATTGGTCCTTGGGGACGTATCTTCTACAGCGCCAGACGCTGGGTCGGCTAAAATATGTCCTCATTTACGAAGCTTTACAATTTATTTCCTTTTTAAGTTCTTGTTTATAATTTCTTGGTGGTGTTAAAGAAAAGCCAAAATGACCCCGCCCCAACCCGTATATACCAAAATTGAGCAATCCACGTTTACTTCCAAATATATTTTATATAAATGTTATGCAGATGTAGTCAGAACACGGAGTATTAAGCGCTTATCGTTGTACGGAACGGTTCCGATACGGCCGATCCCTGGCTCCCGTTCCAAATTTGGTGGGGTGAGTCAAAAATCTATCCCACCTTTTCTTTGTTGCGCCTCTTCACTTCTACACTCCCCCAATTCCGACTTCAGTCATGGATTCCGCGGCTCAGGCAAGATACGATCTGATCACTAACAACCTCGCTGAGGTTCTGGACCCTGAGATCATCCAGAAGGTCTTGGCCGAGGGTCGCAACCCCCGAATTTACTGGGGTACCGGTATGTTCATCGACGCGGCAATCGCCGATCATTGCATTGCAATACCTATTATCGGGCTAGAAATTGCCCACACGGGGATTAAACGCTAACGTATCTCTCTTTTTCGACCTAAAGCTACGACTGGACGGTAAGTTACAACACCGGGACTGTTAAATGGCCAGGGACATTGTGTTAACGTCGTGTTTCTCTAGCCCCCATACCGGATACTACAGCCCTGCCCTCAAGATCGCCGAATTGCTAGCTGCAGGATGCGACGTTGTCATCCTCCTCGCCGACATCCACGCCTTCCTCGACAACCTTAAGGCACCTCTTGAACTCGTCGAAAACCGCGCGAAATACTACTCGAAGGTTATCACAGCGATCCTGAAGTCTGTCGGTGTGCCTACCGAGAAACTCGAATTTGTTCTAGGCAGCTCCTACCAGAAGAGCCCTGAATATGTCATGGATGTCTACAAGCTGTCTTCAGTTGTCTCTGAAGTACAGGCAAAGAAGGCTGGGGCTGAGGTCGTTAAGCAGACTGGCAATGCGCCTCTGAGTGGGTAAGGATATTCTCCTAATTTGCCTACCTAGGTAGGCTCTAATTTGCCTTGACTCATCCTAGCTAACAATCACTAGACTGTTGTACCCAGTTCTCCAGGTCCTTGATGAAGAGCACCTCAAGGTTGACGCCCAATTAGGTGGTATCGATCAGCGCAAGCTGTTTGTTGCCGCCAAGGAGTGGCTTCCTAAGATTGGATACCGCGAGGTAAGATCATTGACATGAAAGCCTATCGCAACCTTGGAAGCTTACAGAAGTCTAGCGTGCCCACCTGCTCAACCCTATGGTTGCAGGCCTCTCTGGCGGAAAGATGAGCTCTAGTGAAGAAAGTATGTCTCACCTCCCCGGGTCTCTATGTCTATTTCAATCAATACTAATGGCCGAATAGATAGTAAAATCGATCTTCTTGACAACGCCGACACCGTTACGAAGAAGATTCGCAAGGCAGAGGCATTCCCCAAGATCGTTGAAGGCAATGGTATTGTTGCACTAGTCGAATTCATCCTGCTTCCAGCTGCCGCTCTGAGGGGCAACAAAGAGTTCCGGGTCGAGCGTAGAGACGCAGAGCCCTTGGTCTACACCGATATCAAGCAACTCCAGGACGATTACACAAACGATATTGTATGTTCACCTATGGTATACCCTGATCGAGAACTTAAGATTGAGTACTGACGTCGTTATAGTTGACCCCACAACTACTGAAGCCTGCTGTTGCCGCTGGCCTGGTCGAACTTATGGCGCCTATCCAGGCTGCCTACGAGACTGACACCGAGTGGCAGGAGATTGCATTGAAGGCTTACCCCCTCCCGTTGTGCACAAGAAGGTGAAGAAGCCTAAGGACAAGGGCTCTCGTTTCCCCGGTGCCAAGCCGGAGGCTGGTGAAGCTGCTAAGCCTACTGATGGCGCTGAGCCTTCAGCACAATAGACCTAGATTTGTGAAAAAATATAGTGCATAGCAGATACCACAAAGCAAGATTTACGCCTTTCATTTTTCTCATCTCCTTGAAGACCATTCAAACTAGGCCTGAAAAGTATATGTAGACATTGTATGGCTTACAATGTGGAACCTTAATTGGCGGTGGGATGGAAAAGTGCTGACATAATCCACTTTGATGCCGCTCATCGCATCAACTTAAACAACCAGGCCCTCTTTAACCCTGTCGTCGCGATCAAGAGTCAACACCAACACCTCCAGCCTACCCTGTACCGGTAATAATATAACTTAATCCCCGCCATGGCCTCCGATGCCACCGCCTCGCCGGCCGAGCTCTACGACTCTACCATGACGGTCCCCTCCGACTCCGAGAACTACTCCGCGAACCATGAGATGTCCTCTTCATCCACAAGCTCGCCTATGATTCTCTACAAACCGCCAACTATCTGGGGTATCCTACGCGGCGCAGCTATCAACCTCTTCCTCCCTTTTGTCAACGGCTTGATGCTTGGTTTTGGCGAGTTGTTCGCACATGAGGCTGCCTTCCGGCTGGGGTGGTCTAACACCAAGGTATGCATGATATGATTCAATGCCAAACCTTACGACTGACAAGCACTCCTCACAGATCTTCCCTACATATCGCCGGTCACACTCAGTGGGCCCTGGAGTTGAGCTTCGGGAGCTTCCTTCAGAGCGGAGACGCACCCCTGCTGGACTGAAGGATACCGCATCTCTGGAGTAAAGCATTTCCCTCAACTATTTGGTCCGTTCAAGAATGACTGCATTTACACGGAACACAAAACCGAAGCATCTTTGATTTGTGATTGATACCTTCTGTGTACACCTGAAGTCTGTGTACATAGACCCGTTGAACTGGATGGCGTTTGGCGAATTAGGATATGCAAGCTCTTTATGAAAATATCAGAATATCCCCGAATCTACCTCTGTATAGAATCCCCGAGGCCCCTGTACCTGGACCGTAGCCATGATCCGGGATGTTTACCGCTCCGCCCGGCAGAAAAAAGTCGCGCCGAGAGAGGCAGGAGACTCTCTTCCGCATCAACTGTGTCCCCATCACTTGCTTTTCCACCTCCCACTACAATGATGGGACCTGTTGGCCTAAAAGGGCCTAATGTTACCGCGGCGTTTGCTCGTCAGCGGGTGGCTGCCATGTCCCGGTCCACTCGATCTGTTCGTTTCCCCGTGACTTCTCGGACCAAAAACATTGACTGACTGGATTTCGCAGATCTCGACCTTCCGGTCCCAATCGCTTCGCTTCCCCGCCAACCGGGGACAATTTAAGTCGGCACTGTCCGGAAATGCTCCCTGGCGCATGGCACCGTCCGCCATCGGTCCGGCCGCTATTCGTTTCAACTCTACGTCCTCGAACCAACCACCCACCGAAATCGCCGATAAGGCCACAAATTCCGAATGGTCAAATACATCAGACCTTTTTGACATCACAACGATTCCCGAGCGCATTGGATATCTCAAGGAGCTTGGACTGGATTACGGCTGGGGCCCTTCGTCCATGATTCAATGGCTGATCGAACACGTGCACATCTGGACAGGCATGCCCTGGTGGGCTAGTATCGTGGCTGCTGGTGTCATTACCCGTCTACTTCTGTTGAAGCCAGTCATGGATGCCGCTAGTATGGGAGCGAAGATGAGGAACGTCAAGGAAGAGACCGACCCAATTCGCACGAGAATGGTCGAGGGAACGCGCAACGGTAACCAGCAAGATGCTCAGATGGCAAGGGCTGAGTTGTCTGAGATCCACAAGCGGGAGGGAATTGTCGCATGGAAGTCCTTCATTCCCATGGCGCAAATCCCGCTTGGTTATGGTACCTTCCGTGTCGTGCGAGGAATGACTAGTTTGCCCGTTCCCGCTGTGGCCTCTGAATCTGTCGCGTGGATTAATGACCTCACTATTGCTGATCCGACATATTTGCTGCCGGTCATGTCTGCGGCCATGCTGATGGTGGTTCTCAGGGTAAGTTTGATCATATAATGTTGAAGCAAATGCCATGCTGACTGCGGAACAGAAAGGAGGAGAAGCTGGCACAATGCCCGTCTTGAACTCGTCTGCAGGAAAGGCCCTCATCTACGGTCTTCCTACCGTTTCTTTTGTTTTCATGGCATTCATGCCTTCCGCCTTACAGCTTTACTTCGTCGTGACCGGTGCCTGGGGTCTTGGCCAAACGTATCTCATTAACTCGGAAAAATTCCGGCAATGGATGGACATGACAATGATCAACAAGACAGACGCTGGAATGAAGCACCTGTCCAACCTCACCAAGAATACCCACAGCAAGGGCCTTCGTCTTCTGATGGAACGGATTGAGTTGGAAAAAGCCGAACGCGAAAAGGCGCGCGCCCAAGGCTTCCACCTCCCCGAGAAGGATAATGGTGACAGGGCCCCGGGAAAGGTCAGTCTCGTTGACCGCTGGGTGGCCAACGCCAAGGAAGCTGGTAAGGGTATGGCAAAGGATATCCAGGAGAAACTGAACACCAGTCCCACGAAACAAACGGGTCGTCTCACTGCCGAAGAACAAAAGCGGGCTATGGAATATGAGTCTCAGCGAAGTGTTGAGGAGAAGGCTATCCGTGAGGAGCGCAACCAGGCTCGCAGAAAGGAGCACATTACGAGACTCCGGGACGAGATGATGAAGGCAAAAGACTCTTCGAAGCGCAATTAAGACGTTGCGCTTGGACAGCAAGCGTGGGTTTAATTGATGTGTGTTTATACAAACTGTAAAATATGGCGCCACCGCATTTGTACTTGTGATTTGAGATTAGAATCTATTTCGACTGCCATCTCCACTGGCTTATTTATTTTGTTGAGATAGAGGGTCACTGGGGACTCGGTACTTAGGTGGCTATACATAACAGAAAACCGCTGCACGCCAAAATGCCACTTTCGGCCTTCCGTTTGCCATCTCATTGTATACCGCAAATACAAATGAGATGGCAACCACGTGATCATGCAGGTAGTAGAAAGGTCGACAGTGGACGAGTAGAAAGGTTCTACTGTTCAGAAACCTTTGGTGACTCGTACAACTTGATTATAACTTGACAACACTACGAATAGACCTATACTCCGGTATTGGTTAGTTCGGCGCTCTACCTGGCATCGCTCCTCGATACCCCCGAAAGGACTTAGCCCGTATAAAGCCTATTAGGCAACGGTACGGTTGAGAGACAGATCGTTGACGTTGGAAGCAAGGAAGCATTCAGGCTATATAACCCAGAAATCTTCTAACAGACTACACAGGGCTAGATGGGTCGTCTACGAAGAAGAAAAGGAGACGTTCGATCCAAATCTTCTATCCCTCACTGTTCTCATAGCCGTAGCTCGCAGTTCCAGGCCCATTGGCCAGCTGGGCCTGGTGTCAACTACCTACCAAACCCATTCTTTTCGCTTTACGTTGAAAAATGCGCTTTTGCATCACGCATAGATGAAACGCCAGCAGTATGATGCATGTCTGCTTTTCCTCCACAGTGTGTGCAATAATAATCTTAGCTAAATACGTCCAGAATCAGGACAACTTAGTTATCTCTTGGTTGTGTGTGACTTTCCTCGCGAGAGTTCATTGCCTGGCGAACTGGGTAATTGTCGACAACGACCGCAACTTGGTGTGGCCAGACGCCCTGCGGACACTAACGGTGACTGAATGTTGTCTTAGGTGTTTTGATATTCTGGGTGCGGCAGAAGTGCCAGAGGCCTTGTCTATTCAACCATCATGTTGATGAGCTGAAATGGAGATTGAAGTTATGGAATGACCACATTATTCGCCGGGTTTAAATTATATTGAGGACCTCTGGGCACTTAGACAGCCTTTCTAAACATTTAACGGCTCATCCGCCCAAAAAACCAAACACCTGAATTCAATACTCTCTCTTATCTCTCCGTCTCTGGCACCAGGATGCTCAAAAGACGCATGCACCGCCACACGCCCTTCATCCAACCCTCCTACAAGTTGTGAATCAAAAATCTTCATCAAAAGCACCTCCTCAACTCCCATGTCAGACAAATAATACCATCTCTGTCCCATATTGTACCTCGCCATCGCAATCTCCCAACCCACTGTCGTCGTTAATCCCTTCTCCCCTCCCAGCGCTTTCGCCCGCGCATTGCTTGAATAATCCATCTGAATAGGCAATAAATCACCTGGTCGCAATGTGCTCCCATCACAGACAGCGAGCGGATCCCGTTTGATAGCTTTAAGAGGGCGCCATACATTGATAATCGCCCATCGCATCTGGGCAAGTCGGGACGCGTCCTCGTGCGGGACCTTTTCATGAAAATATTTCTTTGCGCCTACGGGAGTGTGATCCAGGTGCGCGGCTCGTGCGGGACCAGGCATCCCCGTGTATTCGCTGTTGAGGTCGGTGAGGGAGGAGCGGATTGTGTGGGAGACTACTTTTATGTAGCTTGGTTTGGGGGTGATACTTTTTGTGCTCATATCAATATCTGTGGAGCAGTGCCACTTTCAGGGGAGAGACCGTAAACTTACGTGTTCTTTAACAACTCCGCTACCTCCGCGTACAAATCCAATTTAATCTTCGAGGAGTCTAATATCGGGATGTACGCACTGGTATGGGTGATATATTGGAAACCGTTTTTCGACAGAGTGAATTCATCTTCCTGTCCACGGACGTTGTGGATTGTTACGGATTGCTTGTTGTTTGCATAGCCATAGAAGTCGGCAGTGCCGTTCATAGTTCTGACGGGAAGGTTGGCGGGGATGAAGTTGATGGTTGTCTGGACATTTCTTTCCATTTTGATTCCCTTCTTCTAGTAAACTGTTAAGCTAGGGTGACTTATTAATGTTATTTGGAGGCTGGCAGGAGGGAGGTCGTTGACTGTCAATAGTCTGCCGGGACTCTGAAGAAATATATTGGGCCATTCGGTAAAATTCAACAGTATGGATACTCTCAGATGCAGCACCATGCTGCATGGTGGTGTGTGACTCGTCCGCTAATCTATTTTGACTTCAAATCTACCTTTTACCATGCATACACTAGGGTGTGTGGTATTCGTGTAACCTAGGAATGACTACCTAAGTCCACAGAAAACACCAAATGATGCATGTAATCTCGACTCAGGAACGTCAGACAATGCTTCCTAAGATAGCGGCTCGAAGATCGAGAATGGCGGTGTGATGTAGCATAGTCATGAGTGAGGAGGCTGGCTGAGTTTCTTTGTGCTGGACAGAGTCCTGCCAAGGATTGGTCGATCCACGGTGTCGGTTTCACCAGATCCAAATAGAAGATCCCTACCTACAGGCATCTGTCTTTCTTGTTAGATGTGCTCTCCAAACTGAGGGATTGGCGATCAAAAGATCTTGAAGATCACGCCATATAACATGGATCGTTTTCAAGGTAAAATCTTCGCGTGAACGTGCTTCAACTTTACTGTTGCTGTTTTGCAAAGTGTTCTCCATGCACCTGCCCAACTCAGGAGGGATGGAGCATTTTTCTGGCAGTAACTATTGCCTCGAAGAAGCCGTATTGCCACATGCGAGCAATGTAACGTCAAGTGGCGCCTATGACATGAACTAGAGAGATTGGACGCATAGGAATTAATTATTCTCTTCCATGTTCTCTTCTACTGGACTGTTTTAGGGTACTCTGCTGCCTCAAAAGTCTTGTTTGACTAGGTCTCTGGGTATTAGGATGGAAGCGAAATAAGACGATTGAACGGATTTACATTAAACTAAGTTCCTTAAACCAAGTTCTTGAGGGAAGCCCAGGATTAAGTCTCGAATTTCTAGCAATTAGTCCCAGGGGACTGGGCACTCATGTTATTGCAGGGTGTTGGTGGATTCGTCGATCATGTCCTGATATGGGAGCGTGCAGTTAATCTTCAGACAGGATGCACCTGACGGTCCATAGCGGAGAACCTTGGAACGGTTCATCGCATACAGATGTGGGGCATAAAATGTGATCTGTCTCCACTGCTACATAGCATGGTGCTGTGGATTTCTACTAGTGTTACCATTGGGATAATAACGATACGAAGTGCTCCGCACGGCTATCTTGGACGATCATTGGAACTTACACTTTTGGACTTACGGCAAAGGGTTAGGCGTACATTGCCATTTTTTTATTTGACATATCTACGTGTATGATCTACAATGCAGTTCCAAGAATATAGTAGTGTAAAATTTCTCGTTATCTTAGTTCTCAACAATTATATAAAGCTGGAAGGTACGTCGACGGGAAAATTCTGCCCCGCTCCTTGTTCTGTTTCGAAGAATCCGTCTACCTTCCGCTTCTAATATTAAAAAGTCCTCTTCCACACTCTATCAATCCTGATAAGTCGCAATATACACACAATGACTTGCGCCAATGGCCTGAAATCCACTAAGACAACCATATTGGTAGATCTAGGGGGTATCTTCGTGCATCCTCCCGTGGGTTATCAACTGGCAGCCGGGGAATCAAGCATTAGTCTGGGAAGAGTCCTCTCATCGTCATTTTGGATGGATTACGAGATCGGAAAGATTGGTGAGGATGAATGCTTCGCACAGGTAGCAGGCCAGTATGGCTTTCAAGTGGATAGCTTGAGAGCAATAGTTTCCAATCTCCGCGAGACTCTGACATATGACGGAAACATGCTTTCTATATTCAGAGAAATCAAGCAAACTCCAGGAGTAACGATTGCCCTCGTCTCGAACATTTCTGAGCCAGAGTATCATGCCCTTCGCCGTCGATGGGACGACTCTTTCTGGAGTACATTTGACCATATATTTACTTCGTGGATGCTGGGTGTCCGAAAACCTAGTCTACGCTTTTATCAGGAAGTGCTACGAGCAACGCGTGCTGCACCGCGGGAAACCCTTCTTATCGACGACCAGCCAGAGAACGTGCTCGCGGCAATGTCTCTCGGGATTCGCGGGATTGTCGGCACCATTGATCTATCACAAACACTTAAAAATTTTGTTGGTGATCCTATTGAACGCGGACTTGCATTTCTGCGACAAAATGCTGGGGAGCTTTACTCTACTACTGTTGAAGGCGACTCTATCGACGAGAACTACGCCCAGCTTCTTATTCTGGAGGTCACAAAGGACGAGTAAGTGCACTCAAGCCCCGCTGGTTGTCTTTCACTGACTGGTAATCAGGAGTCTTGTAGATCTGAGACGCCCGCCTCGGCTGTGGAATTTCTTCTCGGGCAAGCCGAAATATACAAGTCAAGTCTATCCAGATGATATGGATACGACAGCTCTTGCTCTTGTGGTATTGAATTACGAGGCCGAGCTTGCGCACTCTATTCTCGATGATATACTCAATCATGTCAATGAGGACGGACTCGTGCAGGTATAAAACGCCCCGCCCCTTAACATTAATTATCAGCGGGCCACTAACTCGGGCTAGGTATACACCGACAAATCCAGACCCAGAGTGGATGCAGTAATCGCACTAAATGTCCTTACTGCATTCTATAAGTACGGGCGAGGCTACGAGCTTCCTCAAACACTGGACTGGATTCAGAATATCCTACTCAATCGAGCGTACATCCATGGAACTCGGTACTACCAGAGTCCCGAGTGGTTTCTCTACTATGCGACTCGACTACTAGCTTATTCAAAAGATCTGAGTCTCAGGGAGAGACTTGAAGCTCCTCTCAGAACACGCCTTATTGAGCGTATAGGAGTCAATGGTGATGCCTTCTGTCTGGGTATGCGTTTGCTAGCTTGTAATTCTTTGAGGATCGAGAATAGTCCGGATAAAGAACAACTTGCCAGCATGCAGCAGGCAGATGGGGGTGGAAGCCATCTGCAATGTATTTATTTCCAACAGACAGGAAAGTGGTTGGAAATCGGGGCACCACGACAGCGTTTGCTGTTAAAGCCCTTCAAGGCGCACTATGATATATGTATGCAGTTCTCCTTAGTGATACCTCAAACAGAGGATGAAATTCAGTGAAGATTGTGCTCGTATCCAATGAGACCATCGATTATATCGTCTGCAGAGTCACTAGAATTGATATCAGGGATTCTCCAGGACCTTGTAGGTTGGCCCTGGGAACAATGTTGCTCCTGAGATCACCAGTAGAGCTTCGTCTCAGAAGAAAAATAATACTCGTATAGTACAGAAGTCAACTAAACTCGAATAAGTTAGTCTAATAGAGGGTAGTTAAATACTAATGTCATCAGACTGTATCATTGACAGTGGCTGTATGTAAAAACGTTTGATGGCGGATTTGACTTTACTTTGTCGGCGGGGGTTAGGCGCACGGTTCTGCTCTACTGTTATGATTTAGATGGGTAATATTGCGAGAACGGGAATATTAACTACTCCTAACCTTAGCCAACATGAAAATTTAGCGCAGTGGATGACGCTGCACTCTGAGAAGAAAGTCTTCTACATAGGAAGAGCCAAGGTCAGGTTGAGAAATTTCGAGCTGAATAGCCATGCGCCACGAACTATTAGAGAGAAGCTTAATGGGCCGATGCTCAAATGGCGATCAGAGTGCTCTAGCTACGGGCTGTATAAACATAGCTATATAAGCATGGACAAACAAAATCTATTCTACGCTTTAAGCATGGCAAACACCCTCGAGAGTATGCTGCCACTAGGGGAATGAACTTATGCTTAGTCGACCTACCTTAAGCTGGGTTAGTGTTTAAGGGCAAATTCCACTATAGACCTAGAGACGAGCACTTAGCTACTCTAAGGTAGAAAAAGGAGTAGCAGCCGACCAATGATACTAAACATCTTTCATCAAGACTATGATTGCTCTGTTAGTCCTTTCTCCCCCTTAGAGTCGTGACACAGTAAAAGCACCACCCCTGGTTATCACAGTCGTGATCTCCGCCTCCTAGGGCTACGTTGTTCTTATCTAGGAGCAACAAGTCCTCCGGAAGTTATGCTTGCAAGTAGCATCATGTCTAGGAGCTCTACACTAGGCTTCTAGGGGCAGGCCTAGCACACTAGGGAATAGGGACACATTTGGGAAGGCCGAATACTCTTTTCAAGGAACACACCATAACGAGTCAACAAAATCTTAGAACTTAGAGGTTAGCCTCCGTGATCTATGGTATAAGCTGGGTTTTATGACCCCGACTAGCCAAATTTGTTGTACGACGGTGTCGTAAGGTGTTCAGGGCTAGAGACTAAGTTTTCTAGGGAGCTAGCGGAGAGAATATCGAGGCTTAGGACTGCGTGCACGATTTGAGTCTTCTTTCTGACCACTCTTTGCTATCATACACCGTATTTCTGAATACTGCTGCCTTTTTCTAATACGTCAGAGCTACCCCACCTTTGCAATGGTATTGCTTTTTTATGATGCCCACTTTAGTATGCTCCTGTTAAAGGAATATGGTGAAAATGATAACGAAGCGAGACAATTCGGGGCAGGCAAAATTCAATGCTGCATATTTGGCATGCATGTTCCAACAGATTTGATCACACCGCATCTTAGAAAGTGTACATAATTTCCGGAGATTGCCAGCGGTGTGCAAAGTTGATCCGCCTGAATTCACTCGCTATGCAAGCCACCGGAAGACCTGTGGAAGAGAATCGATTCACGGTGACCAACGTCAAACTACCATCTATTGTTCGATAGCCATTCTGACTTTCTTTTTACTGGTCTTCAGTCCACTAAAATAGCTAGAAAAGCATATATATCGGCTTTATAGGTTATTTTCGGGCGTAGTAAGCGAAGCCTAGCAATGTCTCAATGTAAAAGGGTGTCAGTCGATCTGGTGACCGATTGACGCTAGGTTTCCTGCAATCTACGTGTCTGTAGAAATCTCACCCTAGTCATTAAAATGAATGATTGGTCGACTCAGTTCTAGCTTCATTTCTTGCATAGTGCGCTATTCTTCCGCCTGACTATAAGATCTTTGTTCTACCCTAGGTTAACAAATTGTAAATTAACTTCTATACACATCTACAGTACACTCGCATAAGACTTTTGATAATGGCAGCGTTAAGTAACGGCGTGTACACCATTGTTAACCAAAAATCAGGCACTTACCTTGCTATACCTCCTTACGGCGGGGTAAATGTCATTGGCGAGTGAGTTCAATCCATACAGCCCTCACCTACTTCTCTTCTGACGATATAAATAGCGCACCTAATGATGAATCCTATCAGAAGTGGAACGTCCTCGAGAGAGATGGGCTCTTCCACATCAGGAATTTGCTGGACGAACGTTTCCTCTCTTTTGAACCGGGGCGTATGTGTGCTCTGTGATTTGCGATATTACATGGCTTAGCTAACTGACGCTTTTAGCTGTTGGAATCTCGGATGGCCTTCCTGTTGTGGGAAGGTTCGAAGAAAAAGACTTTCGTATAGAACTTGACTCTGGCAACTCTGGAGGTTACAGGTACACAAATCTAAAAAACTTGATTCGCAGTTTTCTTATTAATCGCATATAATAGGATTATCGTTCCCGACACTAGCCAATGTATAACTCTTTCGGATCATGGTAACCCTGCTTCAGGAACACCAGTTACACTTTGGGAGAACTGCGGGTTTACAAACCAAATCTGGCGCTTCGAGAAAGTTTGAACCTTAAGCCGAGCCCTTTTCAACATAAGGGTTATTTTGAGATAGGTTATTATGTTTGCTAAGAAACATCAACTGCTACTTCAATAATGCATTTAGGGTTTTGATATTCCGACCCCCCCCCCATGCCTTGCTTCTCAGGCCAACACACCTAGATAGGTTTAGACAATAAATCCTATACCCCTTTCTGCTCAAGACCTCGGCTTGGCTCATGGAGACCTCTCCAGCTGTTACAGAACCAGATTGTGAGCTCTGGCGGGGAGCGGTGAACAAGGAAAGCCCCTGTGATAGGATTGCCTGCATGTTTCCTCTTACCACCCTCCGTTGCGATCGTCTTGTATCTTCCAATTATGTTTTGGAAAGTTAGCGCGTCGTAGGTGGCTTCAACTGCCTGAACCCACAGAGCCTAGGAAGTGGGAGAGCTACTCCGTAGAGGGAGAGAGCAAGGTAAACAATTGGCGATCTCCAACGTGGAGACAGGGACGGACCAATCGGAAATCAAGCGAACTGGAGAGGAGAATTCTGGAGCGATCCTATCGCCTGTCCCGAGGATATACAGCACTATCGATGAAAGTGGCTGGATATGGTTAACGTATCCCTTACTCGTGTCGAGAGTGCCACTAGACCGAATCCTGCAACACCTCACTCCTTGTGTTTCGAGTACCTTCGTTGCTTCTTCATCGAATTTGAGCCTGGATCCCTTGGTTAGATCCCAATGTCGAATTTCTGTCACGGGGGGCTGCCCTAGGGCAGCTAGGGTGAGCGGACTCGGCTAGGTAAATCGCTAACGGCTCAGTTAACGCGCAAAGGTGCAAATCTTCTGTTCAAGTTATGTATTGGTAACAAGGAATTGCTCTTATTGCTGCCTCTACCGATGCTTACTCGTGTCCTCCCTCCATCTGTAAGTTATTGTAAATGCCAGAAAGCTGAGACATCCAGCGCTCTATTGACCTTGTGTTGCTATTCTGGGAGCAAGCATAGGAAGTAAAATGCGTGGTTGGGCCGCTACCTCTTTTCACCTTGGAGTGGCATGGACCCATTTACTCAAAAGTTCCAGAAGCCTTCACGGGCTACTAATCGTGATTGGCAGTTCCTAGTGTCGTTGCGAACGAAGAACATACTCGAAGAAAAGTACTTGCCGGGTAATAATTCGGCCAGGCCGAAACTGAGCATAGTACTCCCTACTCTGTAGTTACAGACCGGAGTCGCGCCTACAGACTTGCAAACTTAGTGCAGCTTCTCTTCATCACCACCCCATTTGTTTGTGAAGGGTAGTTGAGGGATTATTGTTACGTCTACCGTTGATTCTCAATTAACTAATAGCAGTGTCTACTACGGATTACTCGTCGGGCAAGTAGAAGCTTTCCGGTTTCATGGATATAAACCCTCTAACCCTCCACGACCCACCATGTTTGTACAATGGCTACTCCCAAAGTCCACGGGCACATCGTCCAGACTGCATTAAAACAATGGGTCAATAACTCTGAATTTTTGTTGAAACAAACCAATAACGGTATAGGTCTTGGGTTAAAGCTGACCGGAACAGAGCAGCCAGATTCAGTCATATTTATCCATATATATAAAGCCACTCCCAACCTACTGATCAGAGAGCCAAGCATTCAATAATATCAGACTAAGAAAAAAATGACGGCTATGTATGAAAACCGAATCAAACCCTAGTACACAGTACGGTAAAAGGCGTCACGCACAACCGTGGCTTCCCCCATAGTCCAGAGAACTTGTACTTGCAATCAGGGGTTGCTGACCTCACTACTTTACACAAGGGGGTGAGGGCCAACCCTCGGCGATTCGTTCTTCAACATGGAATAGATGCAAGGAGGCTGCAATGCGGTAGTGTGTTCGGAACAAGAACGGATCTGGAAGAGGTAGATTGGCGTCTAGGGTCTCCACGATGAACATCTGCATTGTCCGGTCCCATGGGCTGCCATCGCTGACCAAAAGCGAACCACAAGGCTCGGGCCACAATCTGGAGACGAAATACTAGTACTAAGTCAGTCAGAAGTACTTGTGGTCTAAGCCAAGATCCCCAGAGGTACAGACATAATTTTTACTCGCCGTTTTGATTTTGGTCTCTGTGTCATCATTCCACTGGTAGTCAGTATCAGTGGGGGGAAGATTTGGATGTGTCCATTTCGAAAAGCCGAATGAATGCTAGGGGAGAGTAGGAATACATTTCTCAGTCGAGATTCCAATGTGCAGAAGAGTCTGAAGCTCGGATGTTTTGGCAGGGGTCAAGAAGGCTTGCAGAAGGGCATAGAGAGGACCCTAGCAGTAGCATGATGTATTTTTGGTTAGATTTCTACTCTTCAATCTAAGCGTAAACATGCCACTGTCATCGAAAAGGCTCGGTGGGATCACCCAGGCATGATCGAAACGAACAGATATGCTCGGCTCCGTTGGCTTCTGGTTCAGCATAAAGCAATGCGAATCTTCCCGAGCTTCGACCAAAGTTTGTGCATTGGACGAGACTTTGTCTCGCTTGGCCACTGATATGGTGGTTAGCGAAGCCTCAGGAGCACGCTCCGTTTCGACTGACACTTAGTGACAACTCGCTTCCAGTCGAGTTTAATTCTTGCAAGGCTTGCTTGGGAGGATGACCGGAACGGTCGTGGACCCTTTCCCATATATACTGAGCAGCATATTCCGGATTGACGGCCTCGTCCAGAAAGGGTCTCCAGATCGAGTGCTCGGCTGGTGTGAGCCGGGTGGATTCAATTAGTCTGATAGTTGCGTTATACATTCCAAGTAACGGCTCCATTCTTGACGACGGGCGAAGAGTGTGTCTAGATCGCAATGTCTAACGTACTTCTGCGGCGAGGTCTAAGCACTAAAACGGAACGGGGACGCCAAGAAGTGGCAGAAAGACGCTAGTGTAAGGCCCTGAAGTGGAAAGCTATACATTTGAATCCATAGCCCGGACAGTCCTGCATAGACCCATTTGAGATCTACCACTCCAATGATTGTGAGGTCGCCCTTAACTTCCCACGTTCACATTTAGGAGATTTCAAGCCTATCAATGTAATGTCAAAGAGAGAAGGAATACAGATCCAGTCTGTCATTTCAATTCTCGAAGCCCATATCATCAACGCTAAGTTATTTATAAGTATGGATATCCTACAAAGAGAAGTATCCCGAATTTATCGAAACAGCCGTCTTCCACCAGCACTTCCTGAGTTCCATGTGAATGCACCTCGGACTCCCAGATTCTCCATACTCAATCCCGAGTAACCGACACCACCACCTTCGCCATCACGCTTGACGCGCCGTACGGCTTCGCGCAGATGTGAGGGTAGAAGCTGACCACGGTGTGGGTTTGGAGGGGGGCGGAATTCACGTTTGGGACGGAGAGGAGTAGTGGGATGAGAAGAGGGTGCAGAGTTGTGGTGAGGGGGAATAGAGGATGCAGGCGTGCGGTCAGAGTCATGGGGTTCTTTCTTGACATTACTGGCAGAGCCGGGGACTGGGGTGCCTCCAGGGGTTGGTGTTGAGGGTTTCGAATTTGTGGTTAGACCTGAAGCTCTTGCCTGCGCTGCGGCTTCGGCTGCGGCTTCTTCAGCCTCGAATGCATCGCGTGCGGCTAGATCGTGCGCGACAGCCCATTGGGCTTGCACTGTCCGTGCCATTTCGATCATTTCACCGGCAAAGACCTTGGTGAAACCGTTGACCGTGGTGACCACGCTGGCTGGGACGGATTGTGATAGAGCATGGTTGACGATACGGCGGAGTGTTTCTTTGCGCAATTTCGCTCGCTTGAAGAGGTCGTATCTCTCTGATTGCATAGGATTGAAAGCATCAACCAGGATCCTGTTCAGGAAAGTTAGTACCAGTACTACCAAAGAAAGAAACATAGGGCAAAAGCGTACGCAAGATTCTTCTTCTCAGCCTCGGTATCCGTAGTACCCTCTTCCCGCCCAAGTAGCTCCCCCTCGTCGTCGTCCTCATCATCATCTCCATCATCTGCACCGCCGCCACCACCTCCGCCGCCGCCAGAAGGTCCACCTCGAACGGAGCCCTCGTTATCAACCGACCCGAATCGCGTGGAATCTCCTGCCCTAGCGCTGAGGACATCTTCGCGCTCCCGCTCACGCTCTTTCTCAGCTTTGCTTTTTCTCCCTCGCTTCTTGCCCTTTGCTGCACCAGAAAAGACTCCATCCGCGCTCGCTCCACCGAGACTCCCTGTGAAGCTCCCTGTCACGCTTCCGGCATCACTGGTTGCCCCGAAGCTGCGCTCGCCAGCGTCCACATGTGCAGGAAAGGAGGTTTGGCGCAGTGGGTGCATGCGCGGCTTTTTGCCGAGTGGTTGTGAGGCGGAGGAGGAGATCGATGGTCGTTTGAGAGGGTTGGAGGGCGGTGGTGACGACATTTTGAAGGGGTTTGGCGGATATGTAACGGAATTCTGAGGCGCAATCTATGAAGATAATGAATTAAAGGCGATGAGTGATGACAGGTGCCGCAATGATGTTCGGTCGATTGAAAGCGGTAGAAGAGCGCTAGTTGAAGCTCTCGTGAGGTCCGCGGATATCGTGCCGTGCTGTTGCAGTCGGCCTGAACGTAGAGAACAGGCTACAACTGGGCTCAATGATGCTTTGAGCTGGAAGTAGCCTAAAAGTCAAGATCGCAGTGATCTTTTGAATGCGACGGGTATTCGACAAGATGTGCTGCTTGGACTCCAATGTCGAGGACTCAAGTTTGATGAGACACGAGATATGGACGCATCTGACCGCCTTCCGCATGCAGTAACTATACGTCGCAGCCCTACAACGGCGCTGTGTTCTGTACAATGAACAATTGACTTCCTTGGCTCTGGATTTCTTCAAATATACAATTTTCTACGAGGTTCGGGGATAGAATAGACCATAAACTCGATCGAATTTAATATAAAAAGCGCCAAAACTATTATTGAAATTTCAAATGAATGAATCGAAAACAGACAGGTCGCTCAGAGCGTAAGCATGCGATGCTGTGTACTATGACACAATAAATGATTGACGGAAATAAATGAAAAGAAAACTCGAAAACAACTGTGCAAACATGGAGTGCAGAATTGACACGATCGCAAACAACTGAAAGGTCGGAACGCTAGAGAAAGTACAACCCGAGCAAAAGACTCAAGAATGAGTCTCGCTAGAAGCCCTTTTCTCCAATACGCGGTGCCCCCCTTTCCAGTCATTGCGTTCGTAGTAACGGAACACAAGGTCGTAACCGTTCAGATCGTGGACAATGCGGTCAACACGGCGGTAGCCATCGACCTGCTCCATCTTGTTGCTGCGGCGGAGAGCGTGGCGCTGAGCATGCTGCTGATCATGCACACCATTGACTTCATCCATCTCATCAATCGCAGGCTTGGTCTCGAACAAGGTAATGCTGAAACGGCCAGGCTTGAAGATATCGACGACCTGCTGAATGATGTCGGCAGTGGCCTTGCCGTTCTGGGAGTGCGGCACGTTGGTCTCGAAAGATGCGTACGAGCACTGAGGCTCCGGCGTGACATGCACGGTAAAGTAGTGGGTCGGAGCCTTGCCATCTGGGGCAGGCACGACGCCGTTGGCAGAGAAGCCGCACGGCGTGAACAAATAGGCATCGATGCGCGCATCGGGGAACTTGCTCTTGGGGTACACGTCGGACAGGCCGCACGACTCAGAGACGACGGTGCCCAGGGCGTGGCCCTCAGTGGTCAGCTCCGGCGGCAAAATACCACCAGTCTCCTCATCCATGTCGGAGGTATTGCTGAAGACATCCAGGTGGTCGTCCTTATCCGCGTCGCGGTGGCGCTTCTCGGCCACGGCGGTGGCATTCTCCAAGTAAAACTGTTTGGCATTATCTTCGTCGAGATCGGTCATCAGAAGCTCGAGGGTCTCATCGTGCTCATCACAATCAGTGCGCGGAGCGGCCTCGGGGAAGCTCAGAACCTTGGTCTCGGTCTCGGGAAACTCGATTTCCTCCTTGGGGCTAGCCGGCGGTGTGAGCATGGTGCCAGGCTCAGTGAGGTACAGGTACCAATGCTCTCCATTCATTTTGCCGATCATGTAGGCGCTGCCGTTGACAAAAAGTTTGTCCATAGAGCGCACCTCATCGCGCCAGCTGCGGTGAGGGCCACGCTGGCGGTCAGGGAACAGGAAGTTCTTGCGGCTGTAGAAAACTCTGTAAGGAGCCGCGGCCACCGTGATACCACGAGATGAAGGGGCAGTGGCGCGAGGGAACCCTGCGAACAAGGCGGCGATCTCCAAGATGCGTGGGAGACCCGAAAGAAGAGTAGTGGTTCCGCAGGTCTTCAGAATCAACTTGTGCGGCCAGACAAACATGCTGGATTCAGATAGAAGGTAGGCATCCATCTCATCAGACGAAATGACGGATAGCACCTGGCAGTTTACAAGGTCCAGCATGTCCTTCCAAATCTCTCCTGGGACTTTTTGAGACCCTCAGGGCCGGCGGCGCCTAGATCAGCAGGGGACGGTGCAAACCAGACCTCCAGAAGCTTCTCGGGACCTGTAAGATTCATTAGCAATGCGCTAACCACGGCCACGGAAGATTTGACAAACCTTCAAAGGCATTGGTCGAGTCGAGATCCTGAGTGGCCTCATAGTTGATCGTCAGAGACGGCGTCCCCGCGAACGAGGATGGCGACTGAGTGTAGTTCTGTGGAATACCGACGTAAACCATTTCCGCTGATTGTTTTAGCCGAAGCTGTTGTACTTGTTATGTTGAACGAAGCTGGAACAGTGACGTCGGACCGCCCTATGTAGTCTCCGATAGGCTGTAGAAGCACTGTCTACTTACCCAGACGAACAAGGGGGCGATGCCCGTCTGAGAAGAGAAGGCCCTTGAACAAAAAATAACTGGTCAGACCAGGCAGGTGAAATCTCCAACAGTCCAAAGGGCTGCTAAGGAGGGCGAAACGCGAAGGCGAGGAAGAAGATGCTAAGAGAAATGGTGACTAGCAGTCGGTACCCTCGTTCTGGAAGATACCGATACCGTTCAAAGTATCGGGTCTAGCAGACGAGAATTCTGCTTTTTAAAAAAGGGTATTGGGAAGATGCGCGCTTGTGAACACGGGAGTCGTGTTATCGAGGCCTAGAGACAAGATAAATATTAGCGATTGTTAAGACAATGGATTTGCTCCAGGACTGAAAAGCATGTTTTTATGCAAACAAAGCATTGACCATCTAGCCTGATCCAACGTCATCGGATCGAGGCTTTCACGTCGAGGAATAAAGGACGACCTACTTCGCGGGCTTAGACAAGAATCGCAGAAGGTCTCTCGAGCTCATGGAAGGCGAAAACAAAAATCGTCTTAGAAGAGCACGAAGTAGCAAAGAGCTAGAGTCGTGAACATCGGCAGGGTGTAGGAAAGAGCGTCGGTCAGACAGTCTCACCCGATAGCCCAATGAGTGCCCGAGATCACAATTGATTACTCGGGAGCAGCGAAGTGATATACAGGGGATCTCTCGCTAAAATTGGCGATTGGCGCGGTTTTGTTTAGGCCTTGTTGACCTCGAGAGGAGGGGAGGGTTGCAAAATGTTTGCGGTACGGCAGTTTGGTTGGTAATGAGTGATTTTCTCTGTGGGCCCGCTCTGGGCGTGGGGCGACGGGAGCAAAATCTGTCTAACACCAGGGTTCAGGTTAGATTGATTAAGGGATTGAACAGAGCCAGCAGAATAACACGCCAATGGAAATAGGTGAAAGGCTGCAGTAATATACAGACTGTCGACGGTGTTGGCCAGATAGAGGGGAAAAAGGAAAAGTGGGCGAGGATCTAGGAATCTCGTTCGCACACGAGCGGTGACGGCGGGCAAAATACACTTTCCGGTGCCTGACGCTTAATCGTTCTACGCAGTACAAGAGATATCTAGGTATGCATGCATTGATCAAATAGAACTGTTGAAATCCATATGTCTCTGGAAGAATTACCCCCTGAACGCCCCTAACACCATGCCGCGAAAAGCCCACGACCTATTTTGCAACACTAATATTGTTAAGATGAACGGGCTTAGGCCTCGAGAATGATATGCGCCAGCTGCATTTCACCAGACTCCAGAATCCTGGACGCAATGATTTCACCCACCGCGTCAGATAATCGTGCCTGCAGGTCATCGGTCATAGTATGGCCATTAGTCAGGGACTGCTTGCCCCGCAGTGAAGCCAGAACAGATACGAGCGCAGTCAGAACGCGTTCAGCAGCCGGGCGACGAGCAGGGTCGTCCAATCCATCACTGAGCAACTTGCTGTATTCACGAAGGTTGGGCACGATAAGAACTCGAACTACTTCAGATCCTCCGATAGCTTGCATTCCAATGACGGCACCGTAGTGAGCACCGAACGGCTTGGAAGGATCGAGGAAGCTCTTGAGACAGGAGCGCACGAGTCGAGGCTTAAGCATGTGAGAGGCGTGGGTGTATTTCTGGGCAATGCGACTGAGGAGCGAGGCGGCCATATCGCGAAGCGCGAATTGTTCGACAAGATCGGCATTGCCGCCGAGTTGGCGGCCGATCAAGCATGTAAGAATAGAGGGCACAAGCGAGGCAATCTGTTATAGTTAGCTTCTGAATGCCCCGTTATTGGCAGGCTTCACTCACGTAGGGATCCACGTAAAGAGACTGGTTCTGGACCAATGCCTCGGCCATGTGCATGACCTGGGTGAGAACAAAGATATCCTTGAGGCTGTGCGTGACCTTTTCGGCGATGAATTGGACAAAGTATGGTACCAGCTGGTGCAGACCCGGGTCCTCGCGTAGGCTGGAGTATCCAGAGGTGCGATAATCCTCGCTAGTCTCATCCAAGAACGCGCTGCAGACCTTCTCGAAGTATAGCTGGAGCTCTCTTGAAAGAACATGTTTCACCAACGGTTTCACAGACACGTCGCCTGTGCCGCTCATCGCCGAAAGTGTAGAGTTGGCGTTTGGTCCCTTAGAGACCAGTTCGAGGTTGCGAGAGTCCGCGGCGGTAGGATTCTGGGGGATTGACGGTTGCACACCTTCTACAGCCAACCAGTGGGCTAGATAGTAGACAGAATGTTAATGACTGGAAATCAAGCTTCATTAAAGAGGGAAACACTTACCAGTAAAGGAGACTTCGCGGGGCACCTTTGGCAAAGGCGCATTGATCAATTTCTCAAAGTCTACCTCCTCATCTTCAACGTAGAATAGCGGTTGACCGGGGCCCAGAGAGGCCTCGCCAAAACGCAATGGGCGGGTCGAGTCGTAGCCATACAGTGGCTCCACATCCAGGTTGCGCAAGGCCAGCGATATGTCCTGAGTGGTCAGAACTGTGCGCTTTCCATGGCGCATTGACTTGAGCGCCTCCTCCAGCACCTGCGCAACTCGGTATTCGACGTCTCGGGCCAAGTTCTCGGTCACATCGTGGTTGAGGTTGTTGATGCCGACGGACTCAGCCACGTCGCGGATGTTATCGGGGTTCCAGACGGACATGCTAGGCAGTCACGATTTCGATTGCAGTTGTAAAAGAAATAGAGGAGTAAGTGATCCGTTGCGGACGGTGAGGCGTGTCGCGCGGGCGCCGCGAGCTTGAATTGAATATATGGCGGATTAATAAGCGGGTCGCATGCTGGAACCGCCAGCGGATTCAGAAAGCTAGACGGATGAATGAAAGTCCTCTCAGGGAATTAAACAGATATAACCCTGAACCAAAACTGAAAGCTGAATAGACAATTCTCACCAGGGTGAAAGCTTGTCGATAAAGGATTGCGCTAGTGGCAGTGCAGTCACCCGTACAAGCATTTGGTCCAATGGACGCACCCGAGGTCTAACTACTAGGTTCACATTAAAGTAACAATGCAATTTTGTAAAATTAATGATATCAGGATAACAATACAGCGAAGTGGGAGAGAGCACAAATGACCAGAAGCCAGTACGCAAGAGCGAAGAACTATTCACGGCTCCTCCGGGTATCACAACAGACAGCCAAATTCACTAAGCACTCTCTTCTAGCTCTTCCTAGGTAGCCTGCTTGGGGCCTTCCTGCTCTGGGATCTCAGCTGGAGCAGGTTCCTCAGCCTTTTTATCCTCCTGCTTGTCTTTTTTGTCCTCCGATTTGTCTTCAACCAAGGGAACAATTCGAGCACTGTCCTTCAACTCGGGGCCCTTGCCACCATAGGTCTTGGGAATTTGCTCCACAACCGAAGCGGGGAACTCGCGCGCCAGGTTGGCACCGTTGGTGATGGGGTGGAACTTGCGGGTGGTGTTGCGGCTCAAGATGAGCTTCATGGCAGTAAACATCCAGCCCATGATCGCAGGGACATTGACGAAGAACTTCTCGCTGAGGAGTTCGGGATAGGCAGTGGCAAAGACATCAATGACTTTCTTGGTTGCGGTTCGCACAGAGGGGTCCATACGGAGGAACTTGACATTCAGGTAATCATGGACCTGAACCATCTGGTATGGGTCCTCGCCGTCATACTCAATGACCTCGGTGGCATCCTTCATCTTCAATTCCTGCACAGCGAGCTCCATGAGAGCGGCGCGCCATTTGACAAACCTAGGAAATGTTAGCGTGGATTTTGGTCAAATGATGTGACAACGTACTCATCGGAGTCTGCGAATGTCGCATTAACGTCCTTAACTGCTCCATAGATGTTCCAAGTAAACACAAGCGGCCGACCATCTTTTTCGTAGGTTGTCAGGTATCCCAGACCAGCGTATTTGGATGCGCTGTACTTGCCCGACTCGATCAATGCCAGCGGGTTCATGTCCTTGCGCCATTGGAGTGCCTTGCGAAGCTGGTCCTCGGCAGCCTGGACATTGCCCTCATTGGCGCGCAGGAACTTGATTAGCACATTGACAGTAGGAACGTCAGCGCTGTCCTTGAGCTGCACCCCCCACATCTCATCGTGTCCGATGCTGGTGAGGATGGCCGGAAGACGATCGAAGAACTGGCCGAGCGCCGGGGTCTTGGTCAGGTAGGCAGGCTTCTCGGCCTTTTCTTCAAGCTTAGCACCTTGGGGCTCTGCATTGCTGGCAGTAGTGTCTTTAGCAGGTTCTTCTTGCTTGGCCGGGGCACTGATCGCGGGTTCATCCTTGGCAGCCTCGGTGTTTTCCGCCGCAGTCACGGGAATCTCAGGCTTATCGCCTTCTACAGCCTCCACGGGCTTAGGCTCGGGCACAGAATCAACTGGTTTTTGGTCCGACATGACTTGGAATTGAGGATGTGAGGATGGCAAAGGAGGGAAATAAGGGGGATGTTATGGGCAGGGGGTAGTTGCCTTGTCAATAGTCGGGCCACATATCAATCTCCCCACCCTATTTAGTTTCACCTCTCTATTATTACTATGTCTAGAACTTCCCTTGATTTTGTTCTCTAATTGCTATTATTCGAAACATGGCAGATCTCGAGATCGGCACAGACCAGTCACATGGCTTTTGATTGATAGACCTGGTTGTAGCTCTATACATGATTCAGCTAGATCTGTATCCCGCATAATATCTTATGGCCCGTCCCAGTTGGGTGCCAGCGCTGATCAAGACCCGGTATTAGTCATCATTCTCGCTGGTCCTGTTCAGCTTTTAGGGAGTGTATGTTCCTCGCCTTTAGTTGGTCCCGCTCAGCTGGGTGCCCTCTCCGAACAGGTCCTCACTGAACCACATGCTAGTCTCCTCGACCAGCCAGCGGCTATTTTTCACTTGTTTGGCCTTCAATCGCCAATATGCTACCTAAATTCTTGCAGAGTAGTTACACCCGCTACAAAGCGGATACCAATACATTTGCAACATGGCTACTGGAGACAGCCAACCAATGTGGCTATCGACCACCTGCCCTCTCTGCTACCATTTCCACCGCGGAAAAGGGCAGACGCAAAGGCAAAAACGATGGCTTAGTTGCAGATCCACTTCACTATAGTGCAACTAACAAAGATCTGCAAACGCTCGCCGAGGTGGTTGCATGTTCTGCTGTCACGGTACCTAAGTCAGTTCTCACCATCGCGAAACGCGCCATCAAATTGAGAAAAGCGGTCACCTCCTGGTTTTTGGACCAGGGCGACTCCACAGGCAACAAGCATCATGCTCATTTCATCACCGCGCTGGAGCGAATCTGCGAGACTCTTGAGTGGAAGACCAACCAGCCCTCGAAGCCCGATGCTAAGCAGCCACCGCCGACTTCTGAGGCTCAAAGTGATGACGCCGGTACTGACAGGTTTCTAAACAAATTTGCTGTTCTCACCGTGGAGGAACCCCAGGATACTGCCGCGCAAACTCAACCGACGCCCGCAGAATCGAAGAAGATGGTCAATGTGACTGTTGTTGAAGAGGACGACAATGAGGCAGCAGACTCGTATCTTAGTCAATTGTTCTTCAAGACCCTCTGCTTACTTCAGGACTTGAACAATATGCGAATATTCATTTCCATGACCTGGTCGGAGTATCGAGATAAGAAAATCGATCTTATGAACGCCGCTGTCGTGACTGACAGTGCTTTGCAACTTGCCCGAGATCTCGTGCAGGAGGTGGAGGCTGACTGGCGCACTTCCCTTACGGGGAAAGGGGATGATGTCCAGAATATTGTCTATAACCTCGCCGTTTTTAACCGCGGCATTTGCGCGTCTCCATCCACTGAGATTGGCCTGCCATACAACAAGAACATGGCTGATATAGCCGACTGGTGCTATGTGCCAACCAAGGTCCTACTTGAGTCCTTCGCAGATGTTCTCCAGGCCAATCATCAGCCAGTCTTTAAAAAAGGCTACTTCGGCACCTACAATCCGAAAGCGGACAGAGAGCGGATGTCTCTGGGTCAGAAATTCAACGAAGACAAAATCATCCTTCTTTCGATTTTGCCAGAGTTTTGCATGGTAGATACATTCAAAATCCAGATGCCTATCGAGGACGCGATAACTCGAGGCCTTACTGAGTTTGCCAAGACCAAAAGGGTTACTTTGTGGCTTTGCTTCGTCTCCCAGATCTTCCTCGACGTTCATCATATCATGCGACACAGTACCTTGGGTGCATTTGGAGACCTTCGAATGTCTGGACTTCGCATCCAGAAGACTATTGATGACTACCTGCAATTGTCAAGAACACACCCTCAGCCCAAATTTTGGCCAAAAGAGGGTGACAATGAGATTCAAAATATAGGGTCAACTGTGAAGTCATGGATCATACAAGATCTGTTCCTAGATATTCGTGTCCGGTCTAAACTCGACGGAATTGGCTCCCCACCCGAAAAGCATGCACTCTTCTCGCAGCACGCTATCCTCTGCGGCTTGATCCTGTTCAATCTCAATATTCGAATGCAGTTTCTTGGCCAGCAGCTCGTCACCCAATGGTACGACGTCCAACAACTAGCCTTCTTGCACAACCTCGTCATAAATTCTCCAACACACAAAGATCTGAAATGGCCTGATATGGATGCTTTTATCAAGATCCATGGCGAGTCTCATATTTTCATTGGTTCGCGGCCAAAGAACGCCAATGAATCGCTGAACAGGCTAGAGTTGGCCGCAGGCGTCTCATCCGCTGCCAATTTTGCCCGCGATTCCCGGAGCAAAAGATTCCATAAACCTGACGGCAAGAATACCCGCTTGCTCAAGCCCACCACTGCAGTCGCGAACTTGTTTTTCGCCCAGTACGTTGGTGCTCCTGAGGAAGATGCCGGGATTTTAAACATCGACAGGATCTTGGACGAGCTTTCGCAGAAATCGAAGCTTGAATCATCCAGCAAGGAGCTTCAGGGAGCCAACCCTGAACTCATCATTGCGCGAAAGTGGTCTAATACCCATAACATCGACACGCTGCAGCTTCTCGCCTTCCTGAAAAGCAAGCTATTCGAAGAGGAGCCTATCTTGATGTACAACTACTTCGGCATGCACAAACGCTCCGTTGAGTTACTTAGACTGATCCGAGACAAGGAGCACCAGAAATTTGTTCAATATTTCACCTCGGCGTATATGCCTGATGAGTCCTTCATCTCAAACATCGTCATTCTCATCCATCACGTTGCGCAAGGCTCGGCCCAAGGTGCGCGCGCAATGGGACTTGCATCTGGCGGAGTTGAGGTCGTGAGTCGGATTGTCACGAGCACTGGCGACGTGATGCGGGAATATCTGAAGAAGAATGGAGATGTGGCATGTAAAGAGCTGAGAGTGTTCTGCAAGAACAAAAAGCCAATCCAAGATGATGTTGCCTATGATAAGGGCAAATCGGACGAGCTGGTGTATTCTTGGCTCAGTCTTGAGGACGTCCTCGGTCCCAAGGGTGTGGCCTCGCTTATGACTGGGATCTCTATAGCTTAGGCGTATGGACCTGGTGCCGCGTATATGCCAACAGCGGCCCGGACGTACAAACTCTGCTTCATTTTCTACTAGTGATGGTCCATACGACTATCTTATGACATCTCAAAATTTCCACATTCAAGTTCAACAACTATCGCACCCCGAATTTAGCTAAGATATCACTTGAATATTTTGGGATGTGTCCATCTTATTGTGATTAAGAGTAGGTAACAGGTGAGTCAATAGCCCAGGCAGGATCTGTGACAAATCTCATTTATTTAGATCGTGTCTCGTTCTCTCACCATCTCTCTTTCTCACTTTCTCCATCCTTAGTTGCTTAGTTGAATGCTACTATGTTGATATTGTCTCCTCGTACCTGAGCTGTAACAGGATCTTTCAGTTCATCTTGGAATGTATGCCTAAGAGTTTCCTTGTTATATTTCATAAGAAATGTCTTGGAAGAAGACGGTTACTATAGTCATTACATGGGCTAATCAGTTGTATATTATTTTTTTTATAAAGTTTGGGTAAAAGGATTTCTCCATAGAGGTAGGGCAAGGGGTTTCTAAAGGTTTGTTATCAAAGAATAGGGGTATCGGAGATTTCCTTCTTATCCTGGGCAGTGGGTGAATGCTGGAGAATGCCGTGTCCTTTAGATATAATAGCTAGAGCTCTCTCGTACCTCACCTTCTCCTCTACAACTCCATTACTGGAACAACACGCTCCTCCCACGACGACACTTCACCCACTAGACCTACGTGCTTTGCGTATGTCCTTCATTCCACATCCGCTAGTCCGAAGAGGGAAGCCAAGGCGGGAAATTAGGGTTCAAGGTGGGGCAGGATCCATCGGTTATGAATCCACTGTCCACGGGTGACGTCCATGTTTATATTGACACCTTCTCTTCTAAAGCCTATTGAAAAGATTAATTGACATCGTAGTTAATATCAATCATTCACTATCTCTTGGTTCTCTCAAATCCTCCATCCGGCATTTCTCGAGGCAGAGACTTGCTAGAACTACCAGTAACAAGCCTATTCCGATATGTCGAATTCCAAGTATTAGTTTGCGCAAGAAGATTGACGAAACAAGTTTGGCGGTGGACTTGAGCTTTGTGGAAGAGGGCTGGACTGATAAATTAAATCTAGTTTCTATCAAATTCGGTGCAAATGGAGCTAAATTTTTATGGAAACAGATAGGAAGCTACGAAGTAACAAGAGTAAGACCAGGCCCGTTCTCGAGATGCTAGCCGTTGGTTGAAGAAATGACGGGAGAAAGAGATCGTGGTCGTTAGGTAACTTTCTACATTTCGTCACTGAGGACTGAGAGGATGGTCGTAAACGTGATGGAAGGTTGAAGATCTCTTTGTCGCCCAGAGGCTGTATTTCAAGTTCCTGGCTAACTTAACGTGGTATAGCGACTTCTGGACCAATGCTGAATATCGAGCCTATGAGTTCGTCAAGGAAAGCAACGATTCCCCTAAACAATTAGATGATGTCCCATTGCGAAAACAATGCATTCACGTCACCGACGTGGTAAATCCAACCCTTCACATACACGCGAGGCTCAAAAAGTGACATGTGAGCAGATGCTGAAGGGCTGGGCAGAGCAGGGTTACCCGATTTCCACATCGGAAGAAAGTACCTCAATAGAAGTTATTCAGGTCAAATGAATAGTCACGACAAATATCCAGTTCCGTCCACCACGACTAACACAAGCAGTATACAACGCAAGCACCTTCTTGTTTACTTAGAAAGTTAGTTATTTGATTATTTCTAGTTATCGAAGCCGATATGTCTCCTTTTATGTAACTAATGAGGAACTGAATTGAGGATGAACTCTGGATTTATAGCGGCCCACGTGATCGCCAAAACTGTACCAAATTCGATGGCTTTTCATCCCAGTTGTTCTGTCATTACCCAGCATCACTTCACAGGCAAAAGTGACATGATCAACTCCTCTTTTTAAACGTATCATATTGATTGGTGCATCCCTTCTCTACCCACGTCTTGAAATCTTTCCGACTTCTGGCATTGGAACCTACAGCCAGCCCCAAGCTGCCCCTCAATTTAAGTAATGCCATATCATTGTCATTTCTCTATTCTTTGAACACACCAGATGCCCACAAGCCATTTGAGCAATGCAAGTGCAGACAAAGGTACCGAGATGACACGAAATCCTTTTTCTGTCGCGCTAACCTGGACAAGACTGCCCAAAGTGCAAGGCTCGGCGTATAAATTGCGATCGGACCCTACCAGAATGTAGAAAATGTCTTTCCCGGGGACTACGATGCCCGGGCTATGGGATCATTCTCAAATGGGGACATGGGGTCGCTAGCAGGGGAAAATTAGCAGGAAAGCTGCTCCCGGTTCGGGCATCCACCGAGGCAAATCCCGACTTTCCTAAGGATTGCCAAGACAATTCTCTGAATCAATTTACACCCATTAGCCATTATTTCACATCGGTTGATCGTGGGTTAGCGGTGAATGTTGACCCTACGACGTTGGAATTGATGCATCACTTTCAGCAAAACATTGCAGGGAAGCTTGCTTGGGTGGATGGACCTACGAATCCATGGCGACAAGTTGTCATTCCTCTCGCATGCATGTCACCAACAGTGCTTTGTGCTATGCTGTCTCTCTCTTCCGAAGATCTTGCATACAAATATGGGCAGGATCGCCCTCGATATACATATCTGCAAGGCATATCAGTTCAGTTTCGAAATACTGCCTTAGCCTTGCTGGCGAAGCAGATAAGCTCTTTGAGAGAGAGGAAATCCCACAGATTGGGAATATTGACCCGAGCGAGATCCGATATGCACTCGCTTCAATGCTCATACTATATAACGTTGAGCTCGTTAGTGCAGAGCCTATCAAGTGGCGAATGCACCTCCAGGCAGCTCGAGTGATACTCCAATGGAGAGAGCAGGCTTCCTCTTCATCTTCTCGTGCAACCTCACTTAACGAAATCGACACATTCCTTCTTTACGAACACTATTATGCTAGTGTGTTTGCAGGTCTTACGACATTCAATGCAGCAGATGAACTCACAGGGGGTAAATTTGAAAACTCAAACGATATCACCATCTTCAGCGACTTTGTGCGCGTTATTCATCGTGTGACACAAATTGAACGAGCTGCATATGATCAAAGATCTACCGTGGATCCAACCCAAATTGAGGAGATTATTCGTGAAGTGGAAGTGGCAAGGCATAGAATGGCGCAATTAGGCCAAAAAATACACCTACAGGGCTGTCATGCACAACAAGATTTCCAACATCTGGTTTGCATCTTTTATCATGCTAGTCTGATTTACAGTTATCGGGTATTGACAAATGATTCTTCCTCGGACTCCAATGCTCAAGCCTCCCGCGACTCAATTTTGGATCATTTACGCTCCCTCTCGAACCGGGAAACTTTCGCCCATGATCTCGTCTGGCCCCTGTTTATTCTGGGAACCGAATGTAGAGGACTTCCGGAGATGCAAGAGATTGTCTCTCGAGAAATGGAGGCTGTCATGAAAATCAGCGGTGCACTCCATCGACGCAAGGTTATGCTCTTCCTCCAACATTATTGGTCACTCGATCTAGATCGCAGTGCTACATGGATATATCTTATGAGAGAGATGATGCCGGGTAACAGTATGTTAATTTTGTAAATGAAATGGTTTTAGATTTAGCTAAATTTTTATACGCCGTACTTCTACTCCAATTAAGAATCGAGACCGTGTCTAGATGCAGGGCGCAAGAGATAAACATGGATCCCGTCTTCGTCTTCGTCTGTGAACGGACGCAATATGTATTTAGGCACTCTTGAACTTGGCAGGTGCCTACAACCGAGCAGATACTATGGGCATAAGGCGAGGTCCAAGTATCATAGAAGTGACGCATTTTTCTACTTAGAAAGGCCACCGGTCTTCCAGTTCAATATGTAAAGGATCGGTTGAGTTCACAAGTCCGGTGCCAGGAAATCTCGTCGTCAATATCGAGAAAAACCGATTGAAGGGCGAATTAGGGTGCTCCCCGCCAGATAAAACTAGAAACGGGCATTCTGGAAGCTCGCGCCATTTGCAGCGCGGCAGTCCCTTGTATGCTCGTTCGATCTATCCACTTTAGGATCAATCTAAGTGGCGATTGTACGATATTGGCGTCCAATTTCGAACCATGAACAGTACTAGACTGACAGTCGATACAATACTTTATGAAACAGATCGTAGGCTCTACGTCTTGTAATGCTTGGGATAAGTGACATTTTAGGTGTCGTTTCGCATATTGTTACTGCATCGGTCGAGGCCAGGTGAAAACTGGTCGCAAGAAAGACGGTATCCATGATCCATACATTGGCACGACAAGCGGATTTCGATGCTACCATTTATCGTAATCCTGCCCTGGGGCCTTCTTGTAAGGGAGAGGGATTATGATGCAGTGACGTAAATGGGCTTGGGCTAGTCTCACATGACATGTTACTTAGGTCGGCACTATGCATCAAGATAGGTTCTAAGACCGCGTATTCTAAAACCCAAAGGTTATCTATGCTCCGCGCATATATTGAATTGCCTCTTCTGTGTTTCGCTTATCACGTAGTACAAAGCCGTTTGACGATCGTCAGATCTCTAGAGCTTATTCCAACGAGGGACTACAGAGCCTACAACTATAAGTGTTCCATTTGAAGATTTAGTACATTGAACACCTGTGAGAAGGTATCACAAGAGGAAAAGACTAGGGTTGAGGAGGGCAACACGTTGCCTGTGGAACAGCTTTAAGCTGAAACGAAAACGAATGGAAGACCAAGAGAAGGAAATTGCGCTGGGGGATATTCATGGACAAAAAAGCAGAAAGCAGACTAGTGCGAAGACAATCCGAAATCTAGAGATTCCACCGTAAGGGAAGCAAGTAGACCAAGAATATCAAAGAAAAGGAAATGACCCGGGAACCTAAGTTCATTCCTATTGTCTACTGCGGAATCGCTGAGGCATTTGAGGCATAGGAGGTGGGGGAGCAGGCTCCGATCCATCATCATCTTCCATTTCCTCATCCACATCCTCGGGGTGACTAGAAATAGAAATTAGCGGAAGAACAAAACCAAAAACAAAACAAGACAACACAAACTCACGCAAGCAGTTCCTTAATATTCCGCATCTCATAATGCTTCTTCCGCTGCTCCTCAAAATGACGGTGTTTCTCACGGGCCTCCTCAGTACTCAATAGCGGATCATCAGCAGGCGCATCCGAGCCATTCGCCCCACCACCAACATGAACATGCTTCTCGCTTTTATGCGAGTCCATGCTCATACTGCGGTCCCGGAACACGCGAGGATCATCCGAACCCACAGGCTGGACGTTCTCCTCTGGCTCACCAAGTTCCAAATCCGGAATCTCCTCTTCAGAAACACCCTTGCGATGCGAGGGCTTAGCCAGCTCAAGCTCATCAACAGCGATACCCTGCGCATTGAGGAGGGATTCCTGAGCCTCGTCGAGGCGGATTTGTTCGTCGTCTTCGGCGGGGTCATAGTGCGGGGCGTATGGGGTCTTTGGCTCGTCGATCTTCATCTTTGCTGTGCGCTCTTGCTCGGTTAGATAGAGGTTTGCTTCGTCCCATTTGAGGCGAGGCTCGTTTTCGTCTATGGCGCTGGCACCGGACTGGCGACGCGAGTTTGTCCCTGGGCGCGTGGTCGATGAGGATCTCCGGCGGCCTGCGTTTTGCAGGGTATTTTGGAGGGTGAGTTCCTTTGTTTCTTCCGGCTCGGAGATCGTTGGTACGGTGGGTGGAGAGGTGGCTGTCACAGGGGAGGGAGCTTGGCCGGTGAAGGAGTTGGAGTTCTTGAGGATGCCTTTAGGGTGACTGGTTAATTTGGTTTGTTGCGGTTGTGGGCGTGGTTTGAAGTTACCCTTTGGCCGTGCGTGCACGTCTTCGGAGCTGTGCGCCTTGGCAGGCATGTGTGGTGCGGTAGTCATGGTGGGTTGGTAGATAGAAAAGAAGTGTCGGTTGAGTTGAAAGTGGACTGTGGAGGTGGTGAAGAGGTAAGGGTGTGGGAGAGGAGGGAAATCAAAATGGTGTGGCTTGGTTTATTTTTATTCTATCACAAGCCGCTCCTCAGCTGGAAAGAGGCTGAGCACCTGATGGAATAAGCTGGGGAAATAACCGGAAATCTGAGTCAGACCAAAAGAGTCAAAGAGTCGGAAAGTCACAAGAGAAATGAAAGAGGAAGTTGATAAGGTCAAGTGGAGGAGCCCTCGATGACGTCGGCCCGATCATCCACCCGATGCCTGAAACCGTTTGGGTATACCTTGTTGCCTCTCTAGGTGAACTGTGGTCTACAACGGGAAAAGATTATATTACTCTAGTTTCTGACGCCAAGTTCAATGTCCTATGAGCCTCTGTTTTATATCTTTTGAGTTTCAGCCCGCAGAAATTGGCGCATGCAGTACGTGCAGCTATTCCGGAACGGTCAAGGAAAAATAAATTAAACTAGAAGCAACCACCACCACATCTTTGAATGTATTCAAGAACGCCAATCATGATCCCGAGCCAAGCCCAGAAGTAAGACCTAGGCAAGACCACCAAAGTACATGAATGCCTCAAAAACACCAAATAGATTGCATCGCCCGAAGGGGGTATATAGATATATATGCAGAGGCAAAGCAAGAATCAAACAAGAAAAAGAAAAATAAGATAAAGAAGAAAACAAATCTCGAACCAGCGGAGAAAAAGAATGGAAAGGGCCCTAGGCAATAATGCCAGGGATATGGACAGTGAAAACAACTCTATGCAATAGAGTCAAACTCCTCACGCTCACGAAGCCTATTTCGCGCCAGAGTATCACCCCCACTGGCAGACAACTGCATCCAGTGCAGTGCCAGACACATGCTCTGCGGATCCGACTTTGAGTCCTTGTCTCGGCGGTACATCATCTCAGCCTTGAATGTATCCCGCGGAAGAGTCAGAGGAAGGGTCACGCGCGGCAGAAGCTCGGGATGAGTCAGGTATAGAATGGCAAGCTCGCGCTGTGCGACTGGGTTACCCTCTTTTGCGGTGATGATCCACATGCCTGCAGCATCTTGGATGGCATGGCCAGGCTGCGGTTTGAAATCTGATGCGAAGGGAGGATGACGACGAGACAGTTCCTGGGAGACGATGCGGTCTGCGATCTCGACTAGACTGTAACAGATTTCTTCTTTGAGGCTTAGTGCCGCTAGACCAAACTGCAGGAAAGCCGTGCCACGAGTTTGGTCTAGTTTATCTCCTGGGACGAACGCTGAGATGAATTGAAGATCTCTGAACAGGGTCTTGGGCTTGACTTCCAAGATGAGATCGCGCATCGTTGCCACGATCTGTGACTCGGAAGGAGTGGAGTAGTCGGATCGTCTGGAGCCACCGGTCACGGATTCAGGTGTGGATAAGGGTAGTACCGTGTCCATCTGGGGGAGGTTGCGTCTTTGCACCCCCGAGAAACTGTGGCGCGACCGACGAAGCTGTTGAGGACTGCTCCGCATGTCGCTTTCCCCAGCAGCGAATGTCGTGGTTGAGCCCGCATCCTGCGAGATCAACGACGCAATCACCAAGGACCGCAGGTCGCGTAGAGCATTGAGTTTGACGAAGGGACTGCCATGGCGCGAGAACACCTCAATCAACCGATGGAAAACAGCCTTATACGAAAAGTCCGACTGGTCATCAGATGGCTGTGATACCTTGGGCGAGTCCTCTACACTAGCAGCTTTATGACCAGAAGCACGGAGATCATCGAGAGACCTGCTCCGACGACCTTTCAAACCACGCGGCTGAGGCCGCTGTTCATAATCAGCATAGAACCTCTGAACAGCAGCGCGTCTCCGCATCTCGATCTGGATCCGCTTCTGGTTCAACGCATTCGCGAACCAGGCGTCCGTTTCACTACCACAGCTCCATACTGGCGAGCCTAGGTCACTGAGAAGTAGACTAGTCAGAGTCTGTCTCAAGCCATCCATGAAAGCCGTCTTCCCGTGTGTTTTTCGTTCGACACGACGGGGTTGACGGGCTGCCGTTTCACTGAACATTGACGGTGGCCGCGAATAGGCGCTTGATACACTCGCAGCATACATGGGGTGACGCTGGGGCGCGGACCAGAATGTACTGCAAGTATCACCAGTCGACGTTGAAGCAGGGCGGCCTGGGGACCCTCCAAGAGAAGAGACATCAATTGACGGCAGGTCTCGCTGAGGCCGCCACTTGTCGGAGATGATACTTTGGATAGACGGCTTGCGTCCCAGTGAAGGAGTATCTTGAGAAAAGCGAGACATGGGATCAGGCACCGGTAGGTTGCCTCCATAGAACTGGGAAGCATGGTTTGTTTCTTCGTTCGCTGTTGACGGGCGAGGGGTCATAGGCAGGGACAGGCCCGGAAAGGCGCGAGTACCGTAGCCCTCATACTTTGAGCGTTCCCTTTGGAAGAGCTCACTTGCCCACAGCACTGGCGTCTCGGCCATTGTCTCACCTACTAGTTTGTTGATGCTCGTTCGGACCTCGTAGCAGAAGCGATGGATTCGCTCCTCCCCTTTGCAGAAATTCTCAATACCATTGTGTGACAACCATTTCCGGGTCAGCTCGACTTGTTCATCCGACAGTTTGTTCGGTCCACCCTGACTGCTAGGTGCCTTCATCATGTTCATGACCTGCACCTCAGGCTTCTGGAACAAGGACCCGCCTAGCGACCGAGGTCCATAGCGAGATCTCTGCTCTTCAGGATATTGGCTGAACAGTCGAGCGGAGTAAACCATCGTTTTCAAAGCCATAGCCACATGCTTAGCCTCTTCATATTTCATGGAGTTCTTGACATCGGTCATGTACCACATCTTATCACGGATCTTGAAAAACGTGGCCATTAGATCCTTGACCTGAGTTTGAAGTCGGCGCAGGCTGTGATCCAAAGATAAGAAATCACTCTCACAACGGTCAATCACAGCTCGCGATTGATTCAACGAGCGACTGTAAGAATCATGCATCGGACCCAGAATCCATGAATCGTCCGACCGAGTTGAGCTGGGTGTCGCCCGCTGCCCAAGCTGCCTTGAAGCATTCCACCAGTAGTGCGCACCGACGAAATCAGAGACATGGTGACAGGAGGACATGGCCTGATTAAATTGCTGCTTCAGAGACATGTTTTGTGTACGGGGCAAAAATTCATCGTCCGAGTCTCGGATGCGATTTTCTTTGACAAGACGAACGATTGCAGTCTGCAAAGCTTCGTGGTTTTCATCCAGCCCAAGAGTGGAGTGTCCGTCATCGTCGCTTTCAATGGCCAGACTTTTGGATGTGTCATCTTTACTTTCCGGAAGAAGACTCCAGGTTAGACCATGGCCGTCTGCTGCAACCGAAAATATTGCCCAATGCTCGTTTGAGGGATGTTCTAGACTCAAACGCTCATTAGGATGATCCAGGTCAGTCAACTCAAAGCGGATCCGAGCTGCCTTTTCACTCAGTCCATTGCCTGCGGCTAATATGGATGAACTAAGTGAGAATATGGAACCGTTGTTTGAGGTGGGCCTTGAAGTATCATATTTTGAACGGATAAATGCAGATTCCATAGATTCTGGACGAATGCTGAAGGAGGGTGAGAGGGTGGGCGAATGCATAGGTGCAGAGGCTGGTGAATGCAGAGACGAATCAGATGATGACTGCTGGAAAAGAGCGTCTAGAAGCGTGAGAACATCCAAAGCAGACATCATAAGGAAAGCCGAAGAGGGATTTCGCCGAGGGGGTGGTGTTTGTAAGGAAGGGATGGGAGAATCAACCGATACTTGAGAGAGCATGTTCTCAACATGCTCCTTGATAATTGGACGAGGGATTGAGAAATGATGCCTAGGAGTTGTCAGCACCAGCACCAGCGCCAAACATCGACATGGTGTAGAACGTACATTGAACGCAAAACAGCAAATACTTGAGAGTAGGCACGGTGCCCAACCTGGTTCAACAACTTCTCGCGGGCATCCTTTCTGATATGGAAGTCGAGGAGAAGACCGTGGGTCTATGGAAATAAAATGTCGTCAGTCTCATAAGAACATCATGGACTAAAGACTCATACCTCAGGGTACGTCAACGCGCCATAGAGGAACTTGGAAAAGAACCACTGGACAAACAAAAACTCCAAAAAGCGATTACGGCTCTCGGGGCTATCCAGTTTCCGCAAAACGGCCTTGGCAAACTGAAGAACAGCGTGGGGGAAGCCGCCGTCTGGATCATCAAGTACGCGGAACAGGTCATCCACAGCCGAAGCAAAGAACTCCTCTGCAACGTCCGTTCGCAGTGGATCCAAGGCATCCATATCAAAGTCCAAGCCGGTCGGTGCAGTTATAGGCTCCAAAAGAAAAGCACCGGTTTGCAAAATATCCATAAGGTAGAGTTCAAATTTGGGGCGGGCTTTCCAATTGCTGCCAATAGTCCAGGAAGTAAGTATCTGGCCGATGAGAGGGTAGTATCTACTACTTCCATGGGAGATTAGTTGAGCGCAGACGGAAGACCACACGTCCATCCGTAAGCGGGACTCGGCCGTATCTGGATCCAAGGGGGCAGCAAAAACGTTAAAGAGAAGTATAGACAGTGGATCGGTCCTCTCAAAGGCATAAGCGTGGTCCTTGAAAGCAGCCGACTGAGCCTGGCTTCGGCTAAGATAGGATTGGCCGCGAGCACGGGAGGTAGAAGGAAAAGCGGGATCATTGGAGTCCAGAATAGTAGCCGGGGAGGTAAAAGCGGCCAGTTGGGACGAAGACAGGCTTCGTAACCGGTCGACCAAGAACTGAGGGTCAGAGCGGACCAGCCGCAGAATCTCTAGGAAGTCAGCCCTGGACTGCGGGCTCATCTGGTGAAGGAAATCCGGGAAACGATCAATGTCCATGGGGGACGGGAGTTCCATGGAGTCCGCCTGGTCATCGTTCAAGGGTGAGTGACAAGATTCCTGGATATCATGCAGTGTGTGGTAGAGAGCAACGAAATTGGCCTTGTCATCGTGCCGGAGCGCTTCAACGAGACCTCGCTGGGAAGCGAGCCCGACACGGATCATGCGCGCGGAGACGCCAATAGACACCTTGGTAGCCCGCAGGCGCTTCTCCAGTCGTTTCCTTTGGGCCTGCTTGCGCTGGGTTTGGTGGTAGCGGGTGGCAAATTCCTCAAAGGAGACCTGGGGCGCCGTAGGTATAACGGCATTGTTTCCATTGGCAGTGGCCATTACCCTGGGACTGGGACGGCCCGAGCCACCGAACTCACCTGTCCCCACGTTTTCCAGTAGCAACATCGGATATGGAGAAGGAGAAGGAGATGGAGATGGAGGCAAAGGCACCGATGTGGGATCTTGCGCCCGCGAGTCACATGGTGGGTTAGCCGGGGAAGCAGGTAATTGCACTGTTGGTGTTGGTTAGGTTGGGCTGCAATAGGGGGTGGATCCCCAACATACTGGCTACAGCCAAAGAGTAATCTTCCAGCTGGGATTCCACCATTTCGACAGTAGACAGTCGCAAACCCCCTAGCCGGCGGCGGATCTTTATCGCATGGTTCGATCGGGAAGAAAACCAGCTGGTTCTCAGAAGAGTGCCGATGCACTCGATCGGAACAGTCCAAGTCCAGGATGAAGGTGAGGAAAAGGGAGGTAGAGAGGGAAGATGGTAGAGAATCCCAGAGTCAAACACGGTCAAACTCGAGAGATCTTAACAAGCGCAAGGGAGGTACCGAGTACAAGACGATGCGTTGGCAATGCATGAGTGAGGTGGACAGTCACCCCTCATTCGTCCGTCTCCCCCCTCAACTTGCGGAGTCAGCGTCGCTTTTATACCTCAGATGTATCGTCTAGAACTTGACCTGTATTTAATGTTCAACAGCTATAAATCATCCTAGTATTCGGTAATATCCGGAAACACGCCGGCCCAGAGAAATGATGTGGAAAAATAATCCACGCTTGGACATTTTTGAGTGGCAAACTATCCTCACATGCAGGGATACAAAACTTGATATACTACAACACGCGCACAATCGGGTCTGCCGACATTTGACCCATGCAGCTAATCCGGGACACCCCGAGAAACATACAGAAAATCATAGGAGGGTCAAAATGGTTCATAAGACATGTCGCCAATCCATAACTCCGTTCATACTCATGCAAGTGTACGCAAAATCTTAGGGTATCACCGACATACCCATTTCTTGTCGGCCTCCCGCTCTCCCACGCGAACAGCGACTAGGTCAAGGGTGGCCTTCAAAGTCTCTTTAGATACCTTGGGGAATCTATATACATGTTAGTACAATGTGTGGAAGCGGGCATCGGAGCACAAACCGTTTCTTTAAGATCTCGACTAACCCGATTTTGCTGAGATCGTTTCCTTCAACAGCCTCTTTAAATTCACCAAGTTGCTCTGGCGGGAATGGTCGCTTGGCCTTTGAATTTGGGGGTAGAGCAGTGCCCGCTGGTCCACCAGGGACGGCGGGAACACGGAAAACATCCAGTCCTGTGGGACGACCAGAAGCGCCAGGCACGGCAGTTCGCTTTGCAGCCGGTGCTTGCTTGGACTTTTCCCAGTAGGCAGTTGAAAAAGGATCGATGGGGAACTTGACCGCGTCGGAGATGGTTTGAATCTGATATACCTGGAGCTCGGGATCAACTCCATTGGCAGCCCACTGAATCCCACTGCAAACAGGTTCGAGGTCACCGACAATTAAGCGACGCTTGCCGTCAGCAGGAGCATCGTCTTCATCATCGAGGAAACCGTCGAGGTCATCGTCGCCGTCGTCACTGCCTTCTTCTTCTTCTTCTGAGTCCAGCTCTTCGCCCTCTTCGGGCTCTTCCCACTCCGCTTCCGAGTCATAATCGTAATCTGTATCCGGCAGGCCTCGATAGTATGGGTTTCGTGAAAGTCTTTTGGCAGATGACGCGGACACACGACGAGTATATGTTCCCTGATAGGGAGGGCGTATATCCTCGCCGAACTTCAGTGACTTCATAGGTACTCTGCGCAAAAGATCTTCTGGTTTCGTACAAGTCCCACTGCTCTGATTCTGGGGGAGATGCGTTGAATCTTCCTCGGCTTTTTGTAGCTGTAAAAGGATATCTTTCACGGACGCGGCCGCTCGATCTCTCTTACGATGGAATGGAATCATATGAAAAACCTCAGAGGGGCGGAAGGGTCGTGGTTGTGCGGAGGTATCAGCATTCAGACACGCATCAATGGTTTGGCGTACGTGCTCTAGTGATCCACAGTCACGCTCAAAGCGATGGGAGGGTGCAACAGTTGTATGTGACTGTAAGAAGAAGGCGGGAAATGCCCGCTCATAGTCCGATTTCTGGACCGGGGGCGTTTCATGAATGATATCAGTCGAAGCTAAAGGTTTCCCGGGCGAAACAGTAGTTTTGCTCTGCCCCAAAGAAGCGGAGTCGGCCGGAGGTTTGGCGAAGAAAGAGTTCAACCTCATTTGTGACTAGATGGGCGATGGGTCAGCATGTCTGGGTGTTTGTGCCTGGAGATGCCACTTACTCGCGCCTTCTTCTCCTTCTCCTCGTCCTTCTTGCGTTTCTCCTCTTCTTTGGCAGCCTCTTTAGCAGCCTTTTCATCCTCCTTGGCCTTCTTCTTTTCTTCTCGCTGTTTCTTCTCTTCCTCTCGTTCAGCTTCCCGCTTCCGCTTTTCTTCGTCACGCTCGGCGTCGCGCTTCTTTTTCTCTTCAGCCTTCAATCGCTTCTCTTCTTCTTTCTTGGCCTTTTCCTCTTCCCTCTTGGCCTTCTCTTCTTCCTTCTTCGCCTTCTCCTCCTGTTTCTGGCGCTCCTTCACATCCTTTTCTTGCTGTTTAGCATCTTTGGTAGCCGTCGTCGCCTTTCGTTTCTTAGAAGTCGGAGTATCTAGCTCCGGGTTCGAGGCGGTCTTCGGAGAGTTCTGACCACTAGAAGACTTCCTCACAACAATCTCAACTGTCGGCCGTTGGAACGAATTCCTGAAATTATCCGTCGGAGGAAGAACCTCATCCGATTGTGAAGGCAGCGAAGGATCACGGTTCTCCTGATTCTCGGCAGTATATTCAGTCAATGTACGCTTCGGCTTTGGAGAAGGGGTCGCCGCATCATCAACTTCATGGATAGAACGTTTTCTCGGTCCTGCTGATGGTGAGCCGTGAATTGGTTGGGCCGGCGGCATCGGTGATAGACTGGCGTTGGGCTCCATGGACTCTAATTTTGTCACAGCGACCGAGTCAAGACTCTAGTCGCCTGTGTCGTGGTCCAATAGGATGGGATAAAGGGTCGAGTTGTCGTGTGACAGTCGTGTTTTCAGTCGGCGATCTGGTTGTTCTCAAAGGAATAGAGATATGTAAGGTGTATTGCACACTGAACAGTATAAAGTTATGGACTGGCAATGAATGCAAGAGAGGTTGGCTCCGCTGGGGGAAGCGACCAGTTCATCGGAAGGAGTTGTGCCTGACAGGGGGACGCGTTAATGGATCGCGATGCGCGACCGATAACGTGTGTGCTTAGCTAATGGCCATCCCGCAACTTGCGTGGGGTTTCTACGTGGTGCCAATTGGGGATCCAATTGTTCATCTCATACCTTGTGCTAAATGTTATGTTGATAACAGTTGTGGTAGGGTTTAAGCAAGCGATGCGAAGCTACTAAGCACAACACCAATTGAGTAAGTATTTGGTTTACTATTACTATCTCTAGATAAAAGAGAAGCTATGCCAGATCAACGCCAGGATGACCCAATATGCAGCCACAAAAGCACGAAGACAGCCCGCATAGCTAATCCAAAGACCCATAGTGTCATCAAGGATATACAGCAGAACAGGGTAGCCCTGGGAGACAGGAACACAGCGCTTGAAGGGAATAAGAACCAGACAGTAAAAGCGCAAAAGAATATGAACATAACATGGATGACACATAGCTCAAATCATCAAGATTTGCCAGATGTGCCAGAATTGGAATTGCAGCAAGGGTAGGTATTATGTGCAGTAAGTGCGGTAAGAGAAATCATGTAGAAATCATAAGATGTAAAGGCGGGATCAGGCGAGAAGACAAAGGGTACGAAGAGAGGCAGATATTGGGTGGAAGTTGAAAGACGCTCAGTCGCTGAGATCGGGGTTTGCGACGAACAGTCTCACATTCGTCATGGAAGTAGTTCGTTCGTCCACACTGCCTCGTCGTCGCAACTCATCTGCCTTCTTAGCCTTCTGGGCTGCCGCATTGGCGGCACTTGGAGCTTCCATATCGCCAACGAAATCCTCTTGTTCTTGCTCACTACTGTGGGTTGTTGCAGCATCATCCTTAACCAAGGAGGAAAGTCTGCTCTTCTCCTCCGCTTGAATCTCAGCGGGTCGATTTTCTGACACCTCCGGAAGATCGGTCTTTTCGTTTGGAGGTGTGCTGTTGCTACCCATTGTGCCTTGTGGCCGCGAGTACCCACTCGGATAGCGAGTTTGGCTTCCGAGTGAGCTCCGCCCGCTACCAGTCCGCCGGTGGATTGCACCACCATCGCTGCTGAGAGCGTCATCTTCCCCGTCGCCGATCTCATTCGCACTCAATCGCACAGGGACCTTAGCGCCCACAAGATTGGAGGGCGAGAAGTCTGCTGCACCCTTAGGTCCGTGGCGGATCTTGCCACTGGCCAGGGTTCCTGCCCGGCCGGCGCCTGATCCGTGGACCTCGAGGTACGCTCTCTTCTTGTCACGCATCGCTTGCTCGCGCAACCTGGCGTCTTCAGGCTGTGCGCGATCACACCAAACAGTCGCCTTTTGCCGCCGCATGAGAGCCACATACCCAAGCTGGGAATTGGCGGAGCGAGAGGAGGCCGTGCGCCGAATATCTGAAACGCTTGGCGCGCCATGCGCCGTGGGGTGGTTACCAGTAGACGAGGTTGAAGTTGTGGTGCTCGACATGCGGCGAGAGGGAGAATGGTGAGGGACAGTCATGTTTTGAGGGATAGGAGGAGGTGGCGGAGCGCCGTGGTAGTGGTGGGAGCCTTGGGTGTAGGGCAGAACGCTAGAGGAGGTTGTGCGAGTCCGACTGTGGGTAGTCTGGGGTCCGGCGAGATGAGGAGCAAGCTGGCCTCGGGGAGCATCGTATGGCTGATAACCATAGCCAGGCTGAGGACCGGCGAGAGGCTTTCGGGCTGGAGGGCCCTGGTGGAGGGGCATTCGAAATTCCGTCATGTTGGGCGGGGATAGGACACCAGCCATATAATCCCAACTTGTGACTGCTCCAAAAATCCAACGTATTCACCAGATCGCAAAGAGACCTGTGAATTATCCCAGGAGGTGGGAGGCTGGTTTGTGGTGACTTGGCGAAAAGTGGTCCTTTGCGTCTTCGATGCGCGCGGCTGACGGGTAAGGAGATGTTGTTTCAGCTCCCACTGCAGTACACAGCTGCACGGGGTCCGATTTAGGAGGTCTTAAGCGGAAGGCTGAAATTGTACGCCTGAGAGCTGCACAGGCGCCTGTCTATCGTAAAAGTGGAATGGGGTGGAAACTCGGGGTAGTTTGAGGCGAGGGTTGGGAGCGCACACGAGGCAACACACTGGGGGGATTTAGAGAGTTGTAGAGTCTCGCAATGAAAGTGAAGAATAAGCGAGAGTGAGTAAATCAGAGTATGGGCAGTTGGACCTTAAGGGGAGGAGAGTTAGGTCGGGGAGAGAAGAAGGACTTTGACCGGCCGTTCCTTGGTTGGGCAGAATGATTGGTCGATACGGAACACGACGGACAAAGTACCTTCCAACCCAGTTTGGTGGGTGGAGTACTTAGCAAAGCCACACTGAGGCTGGGTCAATACAGTTACATGTACAGAGTTACAGTTGATTAGTTACCGTGATGCTCTAAATGTTTCAGTTGTTTCACTTTCTTTTTCTTTAGATGTCACTTCTCTCTTGAATGCTACCTTACACATGCCTCAGCCCTACAGATTCGCCTCCCGAGCACGTGAGTGCCCGAAGGCGACATGACCATACTCCCGAAACCCGTGATTATTCTCCCCGAGAATAACAGCTCGCTTACGGAAATGCTTGGTGCGATGATACGTGTCGTGGATCTCCAAACGTTCCCAGCCAACATAAACTACAAAGCAGGGGCTGTAGCCATCACCTGCTCCACCATCCAACCACCCGTAACACCAGTGTAGCCAGGCACATTGGCGACAATACCGGTCCACAGTGCCCACGTCTTCCCCCAGGTCGCAAGGTTGGCAGTCAGGTAGATAGCCGTCCCTGTAATGGGCGCACCATTCCCTAAGCTGTTAGTGTTAGGCGAGAATTTGAAGATCGTGGCATGGCGCACCGTGAGCGAGAGCTAGCGTCCGAAATGCCGGGCGAAATCAAGGTCAAGTCAATTTTTGGTAATCTCCTGCCACTCAGGGGGGCCAAGCAGGGCATAGTGCTGGTGCAGACTGGCTCGAACTGGAACGCTCAAGGGCGAGATTACTTTCTTGCTTGGCTGCAGCGGTGATCCCAGCCGTGGCTGGTTCCTTCACTCACCGATGTGAAGATGGAGCTGGCCTGCTCCTCCACATGTCGTCCCCAGTACAGGCGACGGAATCCGGACCCGTGTTCCAGAACACTCAGATCTGCAACCAGAGCTGGCCCTGCTTAGTCGGTTCGTGCGTCGAATTGCGCGTCTTCTTTGATAGGCAGGATGATCATCTGGGTGGGGACTGCCGCGTATACCATTGCCCCAATGCTTGTCTGGACGTTGGATCTATAGAAGTAGGATGTTCTTTTACCTAAGATATACGGTGTTATGTACATGGCGCTACCTGGTACACACTGGTTTAATTCAAGCCGGCCATAAGACCGAGGACCGATGACCGCGGGCTGATCCTAATATGCTCACAATGCGGGGTATACATCCCTGCTAGAGTAGGGGAGCTAAAGGCATTGCCTTTGAACAGGAATAATGTTATTCGCATTCGGCTATTTCTTCACTCCAAGGGCACCGGGGCTGTCTTAGCGCATACCTGAGCAAGGAAGATGACGCTATAACCCCTTCGCTTAACGACGCAATTCCGCCCTTGAAGGCAAAAACAGACGAAACCGTTCATACCTAGCAAACCCTATCGAGAATTCAATTGTACTCTGTAACGGAGCAATACGCTGCGCCACACTATATGGGCTGATTATCTCAGCTGTGGATCTGGGGATTTAGTCGTGACGTCAACATGTTTCGGCGTATCCGGATTTGCAGCCCGTTCCTGATGAAACAGACATTGACAGCCAGGAACACATGTAGTGTGATGTAACAACATGACCCTGGATATGGGCAATACAGGTATGTAGAAATTGAAAGACAGCAAAGACATCAGAGAATCTATCTACAATGCAAGTGCCAGACCACCCGAAACTAGCGTCAACTAGCGGGGATACGCCAAGTTACAGTTTAGTCCTGCCATTCGCCGGTAATAACGCCCCATCCTGTCGAACGGTGAAGTCCTTGTCTTGCTCCCACCCCATCCACACCCTAAGAGTCTCCGCGCCTCCATCACCGGGTACAAGAATCCCGCCGCTCCACCCACCCTGATCGGCTTGGATCGGGGCTGCAGGCGTGCTCGCCAGGTGGACAATGGGGCGCTGCTCGTAGCCTGATGCTTCGAGTTCATCCTGTTCCAGCACGGGAGTTGCACAGGCATCCGTACCGTCGAAGATGACCTCCCACTCAGCGCGGGTCTTGTCCTTGAACCGACGAGTGAAGATATCCCGTAGGGCAGGCCAATTAGCGCGATCTTCACGCTTAGGAGTCTTCTTCGGATCGAGATTTAGTCCACGCAGCAGCGCCGCGTAAAACTGTGGCTCCAATGCCCCGACTGCGAAATATTTGCCGGCATCTTTGGTCTCGTATGTATCATAGTAGGGGCACCCACTATCCAGCAGGTTCTGGCCTCGCGGCGCGCCCCAGGCTGGAGTCTGACGCGCAAGTCGGGGGAATGTTGCTAGGTAGGCTGAGCCGTCGACCATGTTGGCTTCGACCACTTGCCCGCGGCCAGTGTGCGAGCGGGAGATGAGTGCTAGCAGAATACCCTGGAAGCAGACGGCTCCGCCACCGGCGAAGTCGCCTAGGATGTTTCCTGGTGCGTAGGGCTTTTCGCCGGCGCGTCCGAGCATTGATAGTACGCCCGATACAGCGATGTAGTTTATGTCGTGGCCCGCCATGTCTTTGTACTTCCCATCGCGTCGGAAGCCCGTCATGCGCGCGACTATCAATCGCGGGTTGTGCTTCAGGAGAACTTCTGTTGGAGAGAGACCGAGGCGCTCGAGAACACCTGGTCGGAATGGGTCGATTAGCACATCTGCTGCGGTAAGCAGTCGGATGAGCACGCTCCGCGAGTTTACATCGCGCAGGTCGAGTGTGATTGACGTTTTGTTTCTTGTTAGCTGGTCTGCGCTCACGCTTCCTGGTCTGTCTATGCGGAGTACAGAGGCGCCATAGTCGGCTAAGAGGAGACCAGCGAATGGGCCTGGGAAATTGGTTAGTGGTGTACTTAGTAGGAAGTTGACTGCGCACCTGGAGCTAGACCAGCCAATTCAATGACTTTGATGCCTTTCAATGGAGAAGCCATTGCGTGTAGAAGTAAAACATTGGAAGTAGAAGAGGTTCGCAAGTTAAGTTACTCCGCAGCCGAGTGTATCCACGGACCTCGGCTGCGGGGAACCATGTGTGTATAAGATCGACATGGAGTACGTATATCATGGATATCCTCGACATACTCAAGAATATTCTCAATACTGTCGACCTCGAACAGAAGTCTCAATGAACGAAAGTAAGTATAAGAACAAGCTTGAACCCCACCGCATCACCAGTCAGATAAGCCGCATTCTCAGGGAATTCTTAGATCCTCTCCCCAAGCCTCTCACTACCTGAATCTGAAGAATCACCATCTTGTTATAGAGCCTCAAAGAACAGGTTCAACAGGTTCAGCAGGTGCAGCAGGCGCACCACCAGGCCCTCCAACAGCACCATACGTCGCCGGCGAATGCCATGGCCCACCGGTCTGATTGTTCACGTGGTAGCAGTATTGTGAAGCTGGGTCATATTTCGCATACCACGGGTAAGGAAGACTATCTGGAGCAGTCTGTTGACCTCCGTGTCCGAATGATGAAGCTGGAGCATGGTACGCCCTTTATCCTCCCGGATCGGGCATGCTGTAGCCAGAATTTGGAGTGCCATATCCGTAATTTTGACTTGGGCTGTAGCTTTGGTAGTTTTGGCCGTATCCCTGACTGGGTCCGGAATTTTATGATTGGGGTTGGTAGGCGGCGTATAGTGAGCCAGTTGTGGTGCCGCTGAGTCTGTCGTGGATTTTGTCGGAAAGTCCAATTTTGAATGAGGTATTGTGTATATGAATTTCGAAGAATGGGTATCGCTCTAAATGAAACATCCGAAGAGGGAAGATACTGTTCTAGCAGAGACTTGGAGTTATACCACGGATGATAGCGCAAGCACAACAGACAAAGTAAAATAAAACCTGCCAAGGTAGCTTGGCTATCACCTTTTAATTCCATAGCCTTGTCATCTTGGTTGATCCGTCGTTAAAGCAGGACCACAGCCATTCGCGAGCCTTGCGAGACGACAGGGGCTGAAACATCTTCTTGTAGACCAAACCTGAAGTCGTCAAGGTATTCTGAGATTTGAGTGCAGCGATAGAGACTGTATGTGCTTAATTAAGTATCATTTTTCTTGCATCACAAGGAACGGAAATATACTGCGACTCATTCCCCGTGTTGAACAAAGCAAAGCGATAAGCATCAACCACCAAGCTTCTCACAGCCTGAACCCACCTCGCATAAACCAAATCTCCCCCTGAATCTCAATGAAAGCAAATCAACACGAGCCTCATAGTTTGTCAGTGTATGTCAGTCAGTCCCGTCGAGATCCAGACCCGGCCAAGACTCAAGCATCAACACAGGCCCATCTCACACACCCTTCTCAAAGTGTGAGCAAGATGCTTAGGCAAAGATTGGCTGACTATTACAGTTGGCAGCATTTTTGAGGTAAGATCTAATAAGTCTACAGATTTGTTTCATATATACAACTAACATTTTATTTTGTCTATTGCAGATAGTATAATGAAAAAAGTACGATAACACCCAGACAGGGAATGACAAGCGAACACAAAGTCCACAGAATACACATTGGGAGAAGTCATTAGGAAATTGAACAGTGAGATTTGACCGAGGGGTCTAGTCGGAGAAATGGCCAGAGTAAATCACAAAAATAGGCCAAGAGGTATTGAATCACGCCAACAAAACAGGGAAGGGTAACCCCCCCTCTGAAATGCCAGCGATCAGTAAAGAAAGAATATAATAAAGCAAGATCATAATTAAAAATAATCGCCCAGGCAATTACAGCTTCTCTCTGATGCAGCATCGTGAGATCAGGCGCATCATGTAGGTGATGGGATCATGCTGACCAGATAATTGGACAGACTCACAACAGAACGAACATGGAGAGAGCGACGGCGAGGAGGGAGCCGAAGAGGCCGGTGACGTTGGCCTTGGAGGCGGCGCCGGTGTAGACCGGGGAAACGTCCTCGGGGTTGCTAGTGGTGGTAGGCACCACAGGGATGTTGGTAGCGACAGTCGAGGGGCGGAAGGCCAGGGTCGACGAGGTCTTGGCTGTGCGGACAGGTGCAACTGGGGTGCTGGAGATGCTCTTGGAAGAAGACGCAGGTCCAACGGGGCTGGATCCGGATCCGAAGCCAGAGCCATGGCCGGAAGAGCCGGAGTTGGAACCGGAGCTGGAGCCCGAGCCAGAGCTAGAACCCTCACCCTGACTAGAGGAACCAGAGCCGGGGTTGGAACCGGAGTTGGAGCTGGAGCCCGAGCCAGAGCTAGAACCCTCACCCTGACTAGAGGAACCAGAGCCGGGGTTGGAACCGGAGCTGGAGCTGGAGCCCGAGCCCTGGGCAGGAGCGGTAGCAGTGGCAGTCGCAGCAGTAGTTTCAGCAGCAACACCAGTGGTGGTAGGAGCAGGAGGCAGAGTGAGGGTCACAGTGGTAGGAGTGGCAGCACAAACAGTGCAGACAGTGACAGTGGTGGTCCAGCCCTCAGGGATAGAGGGGCTGGTGGTAGCCGGGCCGGAGGTAGGAGCGGTCACACCAACAGTACCAGTACCAATTGCGGCGGAGCCAGTCGCGGTAGCGGTGGCCGGGGTGTTGCCGGGGCAGTAGTAGGTGGTCAGGGTGGTAGTGATGGTGGTGAAACCGGTGGGGCAGATGCTGGTATAGGAGGTGACGATCACAGTGGTGATGGTTTCCGCGGAGGTGGTGTGCAAGGGAGTCGGGGTCACGGGGATTGTGATGGTGATGTCGGAGGAGGATCCGGTGCCGGTGGGCTGGACGCCGGAAGACTGAGCTCCAGTGGACTGGGCGCCGGTGGGCTGAACGCCAGTGGACTGAGCACCGGAAGACTGGGCTCCAGAAGACTGGGCGCCGGTGGGCTGAACGCCAGTGGACTGAGCACCGGAAGACTGGGCACCAGAAGACTGAGCGCCAGTGGGCTGGACACCAGTGGACTGAGCACCGGTAGCGGAAGAGGTAGCGGAAGAAGCAGAGCCGCTGGGGGTCACGCTGGAAGAGTGACCGGGGACCAGAGGAGTGGAGCTGGAGCTAGACTGGGAGCCTGGGCCAACGGGGGAGCTGGGAGTGGGAGTTCCAATGGGGGCAGTCACAGTAATAGTGTGGCTGGGGTGTCCGGAAGAAGCCACAGGGCTGCTGGCAGGGCTGCTGGCAGGGGTGGATGCCGAGGGTGTCTCGGAGGTCTCGCAGTCAGTGGATGAGGTAGCGGAGCTAGAAGCACTGCCGCTGGGGGAGACGGAGGGAGTTCCAGAAGGCGAGACGGTGCCAGCAGGAGAGCTGGGGGTGACTGAGGGAGTTCCGGAGGGAATCACAGGCACCGAGGAGGAAGGAGACACGGTACCAGCAGGAGAGCTGGGGGTGACTGAGGGAGTTCCGGAGGGAATCACAGGCACCGAGGAGGAAGGAGACACGGTACCAGCAGGAGAGCTGGGGGTGACTGAGGGAGTTCCGGAGGGAATCACAGGCACCGAGGAGGAAGGAGACACGGTACCAGCAGGAGAGCTGGGGGTGACTGAGGGAGTTCCGGAGGGAATCACAGGCACCGAGGAGGAAGGAGACACGGTACCAGCAGGGGAGCTGGGGGTGGCGGAAGGTGTTCCAGAAGGCGAGACGGTGCCAACAGGAGAGCTGGGGGACACCGAGGCGCTAGGGGGAAGCCGAGCTCGAGGGAGCAGACGAAGGAGTGGTGCTAGGAGCAGCAGACAACGAAGGCGACACAGTGGAAGAGGCAACAGGAGAGCTGGTAGGTGTAGCAGAGCTGGAGGGAGGAACAGTGGAAGACTTGATAGGAGTGGAGCTGGGGGTAGGGGTGGCAGTGGAAGAGACAACAGGAGGAGCACAGCTGTACAGGATCTCCTTGATATGCTCAGTATAAGTGAGACCATCAATAACGTTGTTGTCACCGGCAGTAGCCTCCCACAGCATGACACCGCCGAAGTGCTTGGGGTACATCTTCATGTAGGTGGAGATTAGGGGCTCAGCCTCATCAGGGGTCAAGTAGTATCCCTCGTTAGCAGCGTCTGAGGAGGCGGGCAGACCGATGTAGAGCTTAGCATCGGGGTTGGCACTGGCCTCGATAACCTCAACCCACTGGCCGAAGTCGAAATCGCCGTGGCCATCGACCCAGTTGCGGGCAGAGCAGGCAGCGGTGTTGTAGAACTGGACCCAGATGAAGTCGAAGACGGAGTTCTTGATAGCATCGCTCAGTTGGGCATCGGGGATGGGGCACTGAGGAGCGCCGGAGATGTACATCTTCTGCTCGGGGTATTGGTCGTAGTAGGAGCGCAGGCGGTTGATCATGGCAGCCCATCCTATTGACGTTAGGGTGTTACTTAGAGCTTGAGGAGAGGGAACATACCAACGCTTCCGTTGTACTCAATATCAAAGTCGAATCCATCAACACCGGCAGTCAGGAATGGGCGAGGGTACCCGAGACTGTTGGCCAGGTCGTAAGGACCAAAAGAGTGCCACAAGAAATCAGCAAACCACTCGGCAGTTTCGTCGTCCTTGAGGTACTGGTCAGTGGCACTGCCACCGCCGATGGAGAGAAGGACAGTCTTGCCTAACTCCTGGCAGTAGGGGATATCCTCCCAGATCTGGTGGCAGCCACTGAGCAGGTTGGTACCGTCGAAGACGGTTCCATCACACTGGTTGGCGAAGTTGCTACCGGGCCAATCGTTCACAGCAGTAGGGAACTCATTGATGAACCCGAGGTTGATGATATCGTTTGAGGTCTGGTCACAGAAGTGTCTCAGGCGAGGCTGGTTAGAACCTTGTCCGTAGTAGACAGCAACATTGTTCTTCAAGCTGGCATCAACAGCAAAAGCAGAGGAAGCAAATAGTGACAGCGCCGAAACGGCCGCAACAGTTCTGGTAAGCATTATGGCTAACGAGAAATGAATGTAATTAGATATAAGAATCGCAGATCGACCTGATAAAAGAGTGACAGGCTTGCGATCAATGAAAGGACGCAGACAAAATGTCTGCTAAGATTCCCAAACGACAAAAAGAGAGAGTTGTTTGTCGAAAGAAGGGGAAAGAGACCAGAATCCATATAAAAGCTCCCATCGGGGGCTATCTGAGCCCCCTAGAGAACGTGCCGACCTCCGACATAGAGCGCACTAAGCAGAAAGTAGAAGCGAACCATAAAAACGTGGAAATGAGCATATGCGTGATGTCCGATACCAGGATGGGTAGGTCAATGCCCAGTGTCCACCCAGCCAGCGTAGCCTGGCACAGGTGGATTCGATGCTTGGTAGTGTAAAACGCTAGGTTATGGGGCCAGGATCTATCTGTCCACAACGGCCAAATCCCGCACGTAGAATAAAGCGTGGCCCGGGGAATTCATTGCAGAGAGAGGTGTCACAAGCCAAACGCGTGGCATCATACAGCCACAGGCGTTCGAATGTCACATTGTGGGAAATGAGAGCGCCATGTCAGCCAGAGGGCTTGCTGCGGACGAGGGGAGTGTGGTGGCTCCGTGCCTAGATCGGTATGATAGAGCCGCATAAAAGGGACTAAAAGACCCTAAGGGACCTTAGCCGCATTTGTCTCAGGGTCAGATTGGATAGTCCATGGATCATGCCCAATCATGTTAAGAGAGATATGGCACAGACATCAAGTGGTCCACTGCCCGTTGGGCTCCGAAGGCGCTAATCGCATATTTCTCGTCGAGCCATTGATTGCCATCTGGAAGTTGTGTTAAATGCAGTGTTGTTTGCCTATGTTAGTATCCACTGGTAACACCTTATAAGCAAGTAAACAACAGTTCTGCGAAATTGAGAAACTGAAAGAGAAGAAGAGAACGTCCGGGGAGATCGCAAGCGACAACAGCTAAGCAATCATACTAACCTAAATGGCTCTAGTTATTCCCGAACCCACCAATCACACCCGCCGATCCGGGTAGTCGGAGGCACAGCCGGATCACCGTCCTTCTTCGGTTACAGAAATTGGGCGGATTCAGTCTTGTTTAGTCCTATTTAGTCATTAGTCTCTGCCCTAATGCGAGTCGAGAACATCTCAATGTGACTGTGTCTTCTAGATCGAAATTACCAGTCACGTTCGGGGCTTAGGGTCTCTAGGTTTGGCCTCCAATCCCTTTTCCCTATTTTTACCCTTTATGCAAGGTACCAGGAACGCCGGACATATGTCCCAGTTCAGGGCAGGTTTAGGCGACAGGGACGCCTCCCAGAACAGGTTCGGACTATTCAGCGGAGGAACTCGTCTAATAGAGAATCTTTTTTTTTTTTTTTTTTTTTTTTTTTGGCACAAGCCGCCACCAGCTGTGATCTATTTCGCGGTCTTTGTCCGAGACGGAGACATATCGTAGACACACCAACTACCGGTGGTTGAGAAAACCTGGCATATAGAGCAGATCAGGTGGGAAATTGCGTGGGTGGGGGGACCTTGGGAACTATGTGGATCGGACTTAATAGTGCAATCTAACTACCCCTCTATACTCCGTGTATACTCCGTTCAGCCTTGTTTTTGCCCGAAGGATCAAATGGTAATCTAATTAAAATTGGAGCCTCTCCGGCAAATTTTAATGCAAAATTTAGACAATATTGTGCTTTGTTGAAGGCATTATTTTTTTATTTTGCATCGACTATAATTTTCGATTCCAGCGGTGCCGGAGTACCGATGGAGTTACCGCGCTAAGTTGCCCGAAGGACAGCCATTTTGTATCGAAGCTGCACACCAAAAATACAAACAGTAAAGCAGAAAATTCACCTAGATTTGAAAAGCCAGACATTATTAGCGATCAGGAACATCCATCACGTAAGCCACCCCGAAGCCACAAGATAAGTGTACGCAAAGAAGTGGGAACACCGGGCCAACGCAATACACAATACTTAATCGGCAAGATCACCCAGAAATATCTCCTCCCGTCGCCGACGCAGTGAAATCTTCGCAGCAGGATCAGCCTGAGCCCTCACCCCGTACCGCCTAGGCCGAGGAACCGACCCGTCGGCGAGTTTGAACTCATACTTCAAAAGGATATGACACAGCACAATCTTCATCTGATTCACAGCAAAAAATCGACCCGTACATGCATGGCTCCCCAACCCAAAAGCCATATGCTCCGGCGAGACCGAGGCAAGATTCGCAGAGGCCTCGCGGCCTGAAACCTGACGCAGCTTCACAAATCGATAAGCGTCAAATGTCTCGGGATCCTCGTAGAATTTCGGATCCCACATCCAGCAGTTGGAAACAGCCAGTCGAGTCCCCCTGTCGATCTTGTGTCCGTCTTTCAGGTACACGTCGTCGCTAGCAACACGGCGCATTGAAACTGATATTGCCGTCAGACCATCTAGGTCGTCTACGAATGGCAACAGCACTAACACAACAAAACCAGATCATCACTTACCAAGTTCCAAAGGCTTCATCCTCTGACTCTCCTTCAAAAAGCTATCCATCAACTGCAACTTATACAACGAAGCGCGCGTCATCCCCTCAACCCGAAACACAGAAACAATCTCCTCCCTCAACGCCCTCACCACATCCCCCATTTCACAAAGATTAAATACTACCTGCGTCATCAGGTCCGTGGCTCCGACAATAGCAACAATTATCAACGCCAACTGCATGCCCGCGGGGTCATAAAGACGGCCATTAGCGCATTCCTCAATCCACTGCATAGCATCATCATGTCGGTCCGGTACTCTCCCCTCGCGTACGGCAGCGTCCTGACTTCGACGTCTTTCTTCGAGGACCGGTATAACCAGTTTGCGGGCTTGGGTTAGATTATTGCGGAGTTGACGTGTTATTGGGAGGAAGAGGGATATCAAGGGCCGGAGAGTTTGTGGCCATCGGCGTAGGGCTTCGGTTGCTTTCATTAGGTTTGCGGTGTAGTCTGCTGTTACTTGGAGCCAGAGTTTGTTTCGGCTTAATTCGTTGCCGAGGAAAATCTTGGAGGCGATTTGGGATATTATCTTTCGGATGTCTGGTGTTAGGGTAGTTGTATGCCAGTCTTTTTTTGGGTTAGGTTTTATATACTTGATGGGAGGGGGAAGGGTATGTTTTATACCTGTGCCTTCTGTCCAGATATCTTGAAGGGCAGCGGTGGTTTCACTGGAAAGTGGTTTCGTAAGACTTCCTGTAATGATAGTCAGTATGAATTGACCATATTACGCAAAGGATAGTCATCTACCTAAAGCCCGTGTCATCTTCGTCCGAGTTGCCACTTGAAATATTTCGGAGGGTAGAGTGATCTGCAACATTGGCTCAAATCCCTTAATATAAGGGTGAGTCTCAGTGATCAATGCCTTGGTGAAGCTAAGGAAAGGGTGATTCCGGATTTCATTTGCATATTTTGGTGATAGAATCAGTAGGGTGTCTGAGTCGCCCACGAGTTTGAAAAGGCTAGACTGTTGGAAGTGAGCACACCATAACCTGGCATAGTTTGACTAGTTTCGATCAACATACTTTCGCGAGACCTGACTCGATGAGACTTTTGGCATCTGCTAGGTATTGTTTTCTTGCTTTTGTGCCGAGGAAGTCGAGTCGAGATTTGGCATTGATAATCACATACTTTGACCTGACAGGGAATGTGTAATAAAGGAGAAGAGGGACCAACAAAATGGTCCCGATTATGAATAATGACTGGGGCCAAGAGTGTATGAATAGATGATTATTCATTCTGTTATATTTCTTACGTTGTGGATGCGTTGCGAAAAAAACATCTTCAAGTAGTGCATCCCATTGAAATCCATCTCACTCTTTTTATATTTCTCGTCAAACAATAAGCATAACATCCATACCACGCCGTGGAAGATTAATACAGATTTATCCATCACAATGCTCTGCATAAACTCAAAGGTTGCACATAGTCATTTGATTCCAGTCCATGTAAACGTCATCACAATGACTATTTATGACGAATTATCCAATAGCTCAAGGTCGTTCGATGCAGAGAAACGTTCCACAAAATTCATTTTCTTGTAGCATGTGTAAATGGCCGGGAGCTAAGTTTCCGAAATACTTAAGCTGATGAAATCAGAGATCTGGGTAACTTAATAGAACCTACTTTCAGCAGTCAAGCTCTATTTACTATTTAGCAGAAGCTAATTATATTATATTTCTGCTAATCTCCTCTTGCGACAGATATCTAGATACCCAGTTGTAAGAGTAAATATATTTCAGGTCATTTCTACTATGTTACGCAGCATCGAGGCAATTTTTACTCATTTGTCACACACAAGGTTGCCAACGGGATGATGGAACTGAATCTAGAAGTACCTCGCCCAAACGGTGCCGGAATACCGGAAGCCAATATGACCCAAGGCGGGGCTGGGGGAAACGCAGATTTCGAAGAGACGAATGCTAAACGCATATTTCGTGAAACGCTCACATATATGTGTAATGAAAAAGCCTTTGAGTATATATCAGACTAGAATTTTGCTCAGGCGAGAGAGTCTATGGTTCTATCTCTAGCAAAATGACAAAAGTATGTTCTTCTAATAATGACATTCAAGAATGTCTAATAAATAACACAAAATTACACTATATGTCCATACAGTGAAGCACTGCCAGAAAAGGAAACCGAGAAATGACGGCATAGGGGGTATAGTTCAGCCACAGAAGACACCGTCTTGAAGATTGAATCCGGCACTAGCGAACATACCGACCCACATAGCCTCGTCGTTGAACACAAAGTTCGAGGCTGCATCTAGTTGGTTATTGTAACACATATTTGAGACGGCGGGGAGACCGTTTGGTCCTGGTGGGATGCCAGCCATAGGTGTATCATAGGCAGGATCGGGATTTGGAACAGATGGCCGGTGGAAGTATGTGGCTTGGATGGATTGTGGATGGGGAGGATGGCTTTGTGGCTGCATCATGGTTTGTTCTGGATTGGTTGGGTCTGGTTGCGGGTAAGGCCTCGCTGTGGGAATACTATTGGTCTCCGCGGTTTGCTGGATTGGGGAGTGAGATGGGGCAGTAGCAGGGGAATCTGGAAATGAGGTGGCATTTGATGTTGGAGCATTTGTGTCGACGAATCCTTGCGGCCGGTCGATAGATCGGTGTCTGTCTACTGGACGGGGGCGTCGAAGGGTTGCAAATTCCATGAGGATGTTGTTTAGGAACCGGGATTGGAGACTGCAGCTTGTACTTAAAGGTGCGGTTTGGCCGGTGAATACATTTGCCGCTGCACGAATTGTTGCAATTGTGTCGGGCTCGATCTCCTGGCTTATCATAGGAGGAGAAGAAAGAAGCAGCTATAATAATTGTGAGAAGGTACCAAGAGAAGCGAAGTATGGAGTGCCTTACCTTGATGAGAAGAACTGCAGAGTAGGCAGTCATGACATGTACAGAGTCTTGACAGAGGCTCAAAAAGGACGGAAACTCGGCCATCAACCGCAACATGGTCGTAGCACTGTGATAGCTGATCCACAATGGCTTTAGATCGCAGGTTTCATTAAAGGTTTGGTTCTTCAAAGTCTCTTGGAGAGGCATAGAGAAGAGTTGCAAAGATTGATGAGCGCCGTAGAACCGGATCATGAAATTATGGCAGCTTCCTGAATTTACGAGTTAGTATAAGCCGAGTGGATGTGTGTCATAGTGAAACTTACCTGGATCAACCACATCAAGCCACTTATTTTGCCATTGCTCAATCCTATTTTGAAGAATTGCCAACGGCCGAGGCGCTGGATAGTGATTACCAGGACTGGAAAGGTCGAACACTTCCGCTGCCAGCAGCCGGAGAGTGACAAACGCGCAGAGAAATGGATCATTATCAATGGCGAGTGGATGCCTCCACCAGTCTTGGGCCGACTCAATAAATGGAGTTCGCTCAATCATCCAAGGCTTGCCTGTCTGTAAACTCATACTGTTTTCAATTGTGTCAATGCAAATCAACAATTGGGACTGGGAAGCGCCTTACCTGCGATCGTACACGAACAGCACCAACCACGTCCGTTCGTCATTCCTGATTTCTCTTTGTTGAAGCTCGGTCAATTTCTCTTGCCTTGCGAGACCATGTCCTAACTTATGCCAACCCAGATCCATTGACATGCGGATTGCAAGACCAACAGACATCCAGGCTCTTGTATCATTTGGCTCCTTCCAATATGTAAGAACCATGATGGCTTGGACTGTCTCGGCAGATTTATCCCCCCGCCGGAAAGCCTCCATGTATAGCTTTTCGGCATGTTCATGGAGACTTGGGTATAATGAGATTTCGAATGATTTGGACGCAGCGGTAAGAACTGCAGCGAGCAGAAATGAAGATTTCTGTCGCACGTATGTGAAGGAGTGAAGGTGAGGATCCAGTTGGCTAACGAAGGGGTTTAGTTTCGTCATAAAGCTGTTAACAGATTAGCAATTGGCCTCGCATTCCTATTGGAATCCGCCCACCTTTCAAACAAACGAAGAGCAACCTCATGGCTAACAATACCACACCGAGTTGGATCATCAGGTGAAACTGATTCAACCGGTCGGTCAGGAGTCGAGCCATGATTTGTACTGAGGATATTCTGCAGCGAGAACTTCCCCTTCATCGCCTGATGGCTCAGCAGGCCATTAGGCTGAAGGCCCTCCGACTCCGCCCAAAAGTCGGAAACGCGTTCGTCCCTCGGTGAACTGGGCCGTCTCGCATCACCTTCGGCCGGCATCCCTTCTGGGAATGATGGGCCCTGTGGCGAGTCGAGCGACCGCTTGGCATTGGGCTTGATCAAGCTATGTGCGGGGCAATGTCAACACACGATCCTTACAGGTGCAATTGAGTCACATACCGCGTGCCAGGCTTCCTCCCCCGACGATGTTCACGGAACATGCAGTCCAGTGATTTGCGCACACAGCGGTCGCACTTAACGGCATCGAGCGTCATGGTGCATTTCATCTTCACGCGCCGACATGCCAGGCATGCATTGGCGCTGCTGACAGGTCAGATTCAATCCCAATTCCAGGCTGCAAGGGTCTTACCTAGCTTTCGGGGCCCCATGCACGTCCCCGTCCATAGCGAGATGAGTGAGGAGGTGGACCAGGAAGACTCTCCACGGGGGTCGATCAGCCCGAGGAGCTTCTTCCGTTATCGAATGGGGCCGATGTCCGAATTCGGTTAGTCCGTGACGATCGTCTCCCGAGGTTTACCGGGGACTCAACCCGGTTTGAACGCCGGCGGAAGTTAACGCAATTTCCTGAAACGTTGAAGTCGCCGGCCGGTGAGTTTCGTTTTGCAGGGATCATCTATGACAGGCGTGCTTTTTCATATCTTTGAACACACACACTTCAGGATGGCACCCTCAAAGCCCAAGGCGGGCCATGTTAACATGATGGCTGATACGAATATCGCCAATCTGCCCGTCGAAGGACTGCGAGCTGTTATGCGTGGCATTCTAGCCAATAGACCGGATTGTACGCCTATCTTTGAAGAACAGACGAAAAATTATTTGGAAGAGACTGCTTCCAAATTCTCTGATGTCGTTGTGGTCGAGCAGACAGTCGACGGTCCTTTCCGAACGACACCCTCGTTCCAGCAACTACGGAAACGCATTTGTTGCATGGTGGGATGTGGTCTATGCTACCAGGCCATCCCTCTGCTCCAAAGTATCGTTGAACAAGTCTCCCAGATCAAGCTCAGCTCCGACCAGTCGGCTATCGTGGACGAAATTGCCGGTGTAGATGGTGATATTATCCAAGCCATCACGGCCGTTCAGAAGACTCTCTTTGTAGAGACTGGATCACGACAACTATCGGAGACCGAAAGGCAGCCATTGGAGGCTTTGCTGAAGGCTCTAATGACAGGCAAGTCCGCCTGGGAGACCAACGCACAGCCCTTCGTGTTGGAACGAGGTCTCGAAGCAACTATAGATCTTGTCAATCCTTCTTTGGCCACTGCTCCGGTAGCAAGCACGGAACTACTCTCTGAGAAGCCTCCTGGTGTCATCTCGGAGACCTTTGAAATGGCCGGTATTCAGCTGCCTCGGCTCTTCTCTGGATTGTGGCAGTTGTCGAGCCCCGCCTGGGGCATCGCACCCCGCTCGAGGATCATGCAGCAATTCTCCAAGCATGTGGGGAGCGGTCTTACAGCTTTTGATATGGCCGATCATTACGGTGATGCCGAGATTCTGTTTGTGAGTTTCCTCATTTGGATCATATCAAGTTTGATTTTAACCCAGTCCATTTTAGGGCCAATACCGGTCTGCAAGTAACTACTCCGACTCGCTCTTCGCCGCAACCAAATACTGCGTCTTCCACCCCATGACCGTTACACCCGAAGCTATCCGTGCTAAGATAGATGAGCGCTGCCAGAGATTACGCACAGATAAACTCGATCTATTGCAATTCCACTGGCAATTTGTGAGTTTCAAATTACCCCAAGCATGCATACCCGTGATCTATCACTTACCATTATATCAAACAGTACAATGACCCCCAGTATATTGATGCAATGAAATACCTGCAGCAAGACAGCCGAGTGAAACATCTCGGTCTCTGCAACTTCGACACAGAACATATGGAAAAGGCCATCGAGAGTGGAGTCAAAATCTACACTAACCAAGTCCAGGTATGTATCCACCGACACTTCGACCCATCTTCAAGACCCATCCTCATGGCCCATACTGATGACGATACATAGTTCTCTCTCATCGACTCAAGACCCACAGTGAAGATGGTAGAGTTCTGTAACAAGAACAACATCAAGCTCCTCACCTACGGCACCCTGGTAAGTCATATCCAGCCCTAGTCCCTTACAATTCCTCTCTACGAAGACTAACAACAGAAACAAAGTTGGGTGGCCTTCTAGCCGAAAAATGGGTCGGAAAGGAAGCTCCAGACCTCTACGCCGAAACAATGACACCAAGTCTACGCAAGGTAAGAACAAAACTCGAAACCCCCACCCAGCATACAAACCGACTAAACCCCACTAACACTCCCACAGTACTTCGCCATGATCCAAAACTGGGGCGGCTGGCCCCTCTTCCAAGAACTCCTACACACGCTCCAAAAAATCGGCCGTAAGCACAACGTCTCCGTCTCAAACGTTGCCACGCGATGGGTCCTAGACTTCCCATGCGTCGGCGCCGTGATCGTTGGAGCTAGAATGGGCGTCAGCGAGCAATCACAGGAAAACCTGGCTAGTCTTGGTTGGTCGCTTGATGCGGATGACCAGGTACTTATCCAGGCGATTTTGGATCGGAGTTCGCGGGCTGAGATGTTTGAGAGTTTGGGTGACTGTGGGGGTGAATATCGATGATTATATGTATATGAGTATATGATACTTGATTCTTAATTCTTGATTCTTGGTTTCCGATTGATTAGATTTATACAAATTCTAGATATAGGGTGATGATAGATACATATAGAGGTGTGTGGCCTGGGTTTTGGAGCCTGATGTATGTGTAAGTGTAGTGGTGTACGGTGTATGTGCAAGTACTCAGATCCAATGCAGGATCCTTCTCCACCAGGGCCAGCCTAGTTGCTCGCTGGTTAGGTATTGACCGGCAGCTTTTTCTTTTTGGATTTTGTCGAATTCGGATTTGATGTCGACTTCTTCTAGGGGGATGATCTTTGACTTGAGGAAGATTTTAAAGAAGACGTAGAGGGCTGGCTGGGTGTTAGGATTGTCTCATATGCTTATCTTGCGGATTGGATACATACCGGCGAAGATGGCAATGTTGAGGTATGAAGTTAGGAATGTGGAAGTGTTCCATCTACCCTCGCAGAAAACATCATATCCTATGATAACAAGTGGTTAGTTGCTGCTCATAACGATGTGATATATGATCTGATTTCAGTCTCTGCTTACCAGAAGTCAAAACAATCATAACAACCATAAATCCAGTAATCCAAGCCGTATATGGTTGGAAGGGAGTTTTATAAGGCAATTCTGCGCCAGTCAGCCATAACACTCCGACATAGTAAACCGAGTAAAAAAGAACCCACCCTCGCGAGAATATCCCTGCTTCTTCAAACTAGCATAGAAACGCAAATAAGTCGCCTCAATAACAATCCAGCCAATCAGACCCGCGACAGTTGTAATATTCACAAACCAATTAAAGACGGTCGACGAGTTACTGCCCTCGGACATATACATCAGCGGCAAAAGCAGAACGGTCAAGCCAACAGCGAAATACGGAGTTCCGAAGCGATTGCATCGCTGGAAGAACTTCGGTGCGTGGCCGTCTTGGCTGAGTCCGTACAATGTCCGCGATGCGATAAAGATACAGCTTGAACTGCTGCTGATGGCTGATGTGCAGACTACTGCGTTGATGATGTGGGGTACGACTTTGACGCCGGAGCGTTGAAAGGCCAGTACAAATGGGGATTGGCTGGCTGTTCCGGTTGAGATGACTAGTTTAGAGTCGTTATATGGCCTGAAAGGTTGTTAGAGATGGGATTCGGGTCCAAAGGGGAGTAACTAGGCCATACACAATCAGACCAACGATGAAAATACTCAGGACGTAAAATACGAAGACTCGGATGAATGTCTTCCGGGTAGCATCTGGAATGATCTTGCGCGGGTTTCTCGTCTCGGCTCCGGCAATGGCGACGACTTGGATGTTGCCGAAACTGAACGCGGATGTCAAGAGGACTTTCCAGAAAGCCAGAAATCTGCCCGCGGAACCAGCTGAGATATAGTTGTTAAAGGCACCTGGGTCATTCCAATAGTGGAAACCGAGACGTTCCTGGCCAGGAGTACCACCGAGGTCGATGACAATACCACCAATGATCAGACCAATGATGAGCATAATCTTCAGCGAAGCAAAGACAACCTCCGACTCTCCATAGAGGCGGACATTGCAAAAGTTAAGAACAGCGATACAAAATCCAAACACTGTAATCCAAACCGCAGGATCCACAGGCGGATTCCAGAACTGAACAATGGTCGCAGCAGCCGTAATCTCAGCCGGAGCCGAAATAGCCATGGTATACCCTAAACAATTAGTATATAGTCATCAACTTGCACTCAGTGAAACATACAAAAGTTCCAACCGGTGGCGGCACCAAGAGCAGGCTCAACAAAGCGCGTAGCATGACGAACAAAACCACCACTACAAGGCATAAAAGCCGAGATCTCACCAGTGGTATACGAAACACCGGCAGTAGTCAAGCCCATCAGGATATAAGCCAAGAAAGCACCCGCGGGGCCGGCAGTGGCAATGACCTGACCCGAGCTCAGAAACAGACCCGTCCCCTATTTTCATGAGTAAAGCGATCAAAAATACAGTCGGTCGGAGACTTACGATCATCCCTGCAATGGCGATCATGTTGATATGTCGCGATTTGAGATCGCGTTTGATCTCCTCGTTTTCGCCCTCATAGGAGCTTGGCCTGGACCACTCGACATCTGTCTCCGTGCCATTTTTCTCGTCGAACGCCATGGTATATAGGTGATGGAGATCAGACCATGCAAACGAGTGGATTAAATGGGGAATCCTGCAGCTTTTTCTTCCGAGTAGCCACCTGATAGCTTATCTCTACTCCGTACTGCTGGTGAGACTGGGGTGGTGAGGAGGTGGAGAGAAGGGGAGAATTTTGATCACCGACGCGAGTGGAACACCGGTCCGCTTTGACTTATCTAGAGAACCCGATGTAACTATCTCGACTCATTTTTGAGATCTACACTCTACGATGTCCGACGAATCTTTCCAACTCTATGACCTCCGCATCGAGGTGGTTTGTCCACCGGGCAAGCGCATTATGTGCGGCGCCAAAGAAGGCGATTATTTCACGCTCAAGGGCGAGATGATGTACTTGCCACCGGGTCAGGGCATTAGCATCTACAGTCTGGGTGAGTTTGGGCCCCTTCTGCACCTGATAAGAGATTAGGCCAACATGCTCTTCTTTTTTATAGCTTCCGTTCTACCCCTACTCGCTTCTAAGCAACGAATGACCCATGAAAATGACTGGATGACCACCGACGCCAGCATCGCATGCCCCGATCCTCATTGCCCGTCGCAATTGAAGATTATCAGGACGGGAATTACCACTTTCAATCATTCCGAAACGACTGTTGTCCCGAAATCTACTTGACTGCGTGTGGCATTTGAGCGGCGCATGGATTTTATGCTTCACTTTCTGTATACAGTTGATTTCGAAAACAGATTTCCCCCAGGACAGTTGCAATTTGATTCTCGGCCTGTACCCGAAACCCCGCTAGCCTAGACTAGGCTTAGCTGTAATTAACTCTACTCTAAAAGTAGACGCTTTTTAGCAGAACGCCGAATTGTGAGAGATATATCTTCACAACCTTTCCGACTTTGAGTCGTACCACCTTGTTTACGTTGATGAATCGGGATGTGATAAGCGCGTTGGTTTCTGACGGACAGGCTGGTCACCGTTAGGAGTAGCACCGAAACAAGTGTCATAGTTCCATCGTGACGAGCGGTATCAAATTCTGCCCGCATATGCTTGGGATGGTATGGTTCTTTCTCGCGTCTTTCGTGGCTCAACGGATGCCTCTACGTTCGAGGACTTCATCGATGAACTTCTTCGGCATTGTGGACGATGGCCGGAGCCGAAGTCAGTCCTAGTAATGGATAATCCGTCATCCCACCACTCCGAGCGCCTTTCACAGATGTGTGCTGATGCGGGAGTAAAGTTGGTTTACTTGCCTCCGTACTCACCGGACCTAAATCCAATTGACGAGTTTTTTGCTGAGCTGAAAAGCTTCATTAGACGTAATTGGAGCTACTACGCATGTGATCCCGAACAAAGATTTGGTTCCTTTCTCGAATGGTGCATTAATCGGGTCGGGGCAAGAGATGACAGCGCTAGAGGCCATTTTCGACATGCCGGGCTAAGCGTTGAAGATCTAGAATAGTTGACTTCTCCTTCTGACGACATCATGTCATTAAACGAGACTATATAGCAATGTCACGCGATTTTAAGCTGGCAGCAGCGGTAGATAGGAGAGAGCTAATGTACAAGAATAGAAGCTATGACGGTTGCACCACAAAAGCAGGTATATATGAATAGAACCTGGGAGTCCTTCAAGGTTAAAGGACCGCACATTGGCGAAATGAGAGCCGATTTGTATAACCGGCGGACTGCGGAATAAAAGTAGTGGAGTCCAGCACGAAGGATACATTTGCGAAAGGGTCCTGACTGGTCATGAAAATTTCTCGTCACTGATCCTGTCCAAGATCTGAAATATGACGGTATTCTGCACGCTGCAAATGCTTGTATATATAATCCAACTCTTCAGCGCAGACCGCACAATCATACGTCGTCCCCACGCGTCATCCCAATGCATCGCCGAAGCACTTAGCGCAGGCAAGATCCCCAGAGTAGCGCACGAAACGAAGTCACCCCAGAACAAAGTTTTCACGCGTCCAGGACCGACAGACCCGTCGGGCCAACACAGATAACACGCCCGTAAAGAGTGTTACTAACCTCATGCAGATTCGAACAATCCCTATTCACCCAAGGGTTATACTCCCGAATCGCCGAGAGTCGCCACCACGGTTTCAAGTCCAACTCCCGCTCAATTGAGTCGCACGTATCCCCATCCTTCAAGGTATATGTCTTACACCCAAATGGGATACACAGCCTCTTACCCTCGGGAATAGCGAAACAGTCGATAGGCGGCCAATTCACCGCTCGAACAGCTGCCGAGGCAACCTTGAACTGCGCCGCGATGCCGTTGCATGTGTCCCCCGCTGAAGTGGTGTATGAAAGATGGGTCGCGCAGTACGGGTCCCGCTCTACGTGTGGGTTTTCGAAGAGCGTGAGGTTCGGGATGGCTGTTGGGATGGCGAGGTTGCAGGCGCTGTTGATGTGTTCAAGGTTCGATTTGTAGTTATTGTCGTAGCGGGAGTATGGGGACGTTTGCATCATTTGGTGCCATTGCACGTTGCAGAAGGAGCAGAGTTCTTCGATCGGCATATCATCGATTAAAGAGGTTGTGAAGTCGTCGATAACATCTGCACGCATAATGTGAGTGAGTACCATGCCTATACCATTCGAGACGGGTGGAGAAAGAAGAAGCTACCACCACAATATCTCTCTGTTCCCTCATTCCTAAGACAAGTCTCGTTCCACCCCGCCCACAACTGCCCACCCCGCTGGGCCGGAAAGAGGATCCTCTCCTCTAACGTCGCGCAATCGCGCTCGACGCCCTCAAACCACGCGGCGATGGACTCCCCGCAGCTGCTGTCACAGACAAGATCGCTGAGCGCGTCGCTTCCCAGACCCAGACTCCGCCTCCGACGCCCAAACCGCCCCCGTAGGGATCGCGTCTCCTTGTGACAGTGAAGCCTCCGTGTCATGGATGACCTGCATGCCGGGCTGAGTTTTGAGAGCGTTTTGGCGTCTAGTTTGTCAATTTCGCTCCATAGTTGGAAGCCGCGGAAATCGGGAGGGGAACTTGTTTCATCCACGTTGGGAGTTCCCAGTGCGTGTTGGTGTTGAGAGGGCCCAGCTTTTTGGGCGACGGTAGCACCGCACAGCAGGATTGAAGCAGATAGAATATGAGCACCTCTCATCTTGGGGCAAAGGCTCTGAGCGAATGCGAAATTCGGTCTTCGTTATCGATTAATATGATCTCATTCTCTAGAACCAGGGTAGGCGATCAAATTCCACGTGTCAATCAATCAGGGATCGGAGGGTTTTTTTGTAGCCTCAACCCGAGTTCTATTTGATTTAGAAGGGAGCGAATGGTAGCATCGCTTTCCGCGTACCGAGCCGCCAGCGAGCTTAAGCGAGATGAGAAATCGACATTTCCCTAGTCAATACGCGATGATTCGCCTTAAAGCTCGGATAGCTCGCCGCTAAGCCAATAGCCCCCTAAATCAAGGTTAGACTACGGTAGTATATGCCGGCCCACTCCGTGAAGTATCTTTTTCCGCTACCTAGAACCCAGGAAGTGGGTGGGGGTTGGAGAAGGGGGCGCGCGGCGGGGGAAGCTATAGGGTTCTATAGAATTCTACAGTAGGCGTGAACGCATACACGGCGCATTTTCCTACAGCCCTTAAATTAATATGGGCCGCTCAATAAAGGATCTACTCTAAGGCCTATACGGTGGGGATAGGAAAGAGTTTCTTAGTGTGTGCTAGTCAAGGCGATTTCGAGAATAACTATAACACAAACGGCCATAATCGTTTTAGCAAAAGCTCTAAGGCCGGGCCACTCCTTCCTAATATTAAATAAAGTGACTAGACACGCAGTGAAACGTTCAATACAACCTTTGGATTCTACTTAGTACTAAAAAATGGGGCCTCCACTTAGAGGCGAAGAATACGGTGTTTCCGGGGCCAAAAGATAAGAAGTTACGCCCAAAAAAGGTGAATTCGAGCCCTAGGGGTGCCGTAACAAAGAGAGGGCGAATAGCAAATATGAGCAGGCATCAGGGTATATCCAACCCACCCGGCATCGGAGAAAGAGCCAGCTATGAATTAACATTACATTTTTTATTTGCGATCACTTGTTCATTAGATAGGAGAGTGCTCGTGTGTATAAAACATTATATTGAATCAAGTTATCGAATTAATCTCGTGGGAGAGCGATCGCATCATGTCACTATAAATTCAGTCACTCGAGATCTATACAACAATGCCACACACTCCTACAGGTATTCTTATGAGCTCACACCATTGACCCCTACATTATCTCATCATGGTATATGTCAGAAATAAAGCTGCCTATTATACTTGCGAAGAACAGGCAGGCGATTGCGTCAACGGTGTCCTTACATATCCCTTGCAGAGTACATACACGAAGGTCAGCACCTAGAGAACCAATGGCCAACTCACGAAATTTAGACATGCAATGGACAGACAAGAACCAGAAAAGAAAACGGAAATCTCTATTCTCAAATGTGTAATACATCGTCTATATTAAAAATAAAGCAATCACTGCCAGAAAGCCTTCTGCAGAGCATCACACATCAAAGTAATACACCTCTTACCCTCCGACAAGGCCCCATCCATAGCAAGGAACGGATGCGGCATCCCCTTCATAACCTGCAAATCAACCTCGACACCCGCCTTAACCAACTTCGCAGCATACTGCTCGCCCTCAGTGCGCAACACATCCAGTTCACCAACCATAACCAGTGCCGGCGGCAATTGCGAATAATCACCCTGCCAGAACAACGGGCTAGCCTCGGGGTTGGTCCGGTCGGCATCGTTGGGAACGTAGTGATCGCGGTACCAGTACATCTTCAGTGCGGGGAGAGCGGGGGTCCGCTCATATTTACGATAGGACTCGTTGTTCTCGACAGTGGCCGTGTTGTCGGTCACGGGGACTGAGAGGAGTTGTGCGCGGAAGTGAACTGGCGGTGACAGGGTCAGGGCTTTCTGCGTCATGATTGAGGCCAGGTTGCCGCCGGCTGAGGAGCCCCCGGTTGCCATTTTGGATATGTCTACTCCGAGTGTGGCGGGGCCGTCCGCGATTAGCCAGAGTAGTGTTTCCCAACAGTCGTGGACGGCGGCAGGCCAGCGGTTTTCCGGTGCGAGTCTGATTAGAGAGGAGTCGTTAGTTTCAAGAAAAAGACTGAGATTGGGAAATGTAAATGTCATGCTCGACTTACCGGTAATCGACTGTCACCACCACGCAATTTCCCCGAACGCAGAGGTTCGAGCACACCACATTCTCCGTGTCAATATTACCCAACACCCAGCCACCACCGTGGAAATATAGCATCACCGGCCATCCTCTAGGAGGAGCGTGACCCTTGGGAGTAAAGCAGCGGATCGGCACAGGGGGACCGTCGGTAGCGCGTCGCTGGATGGTGATGTCCTGGGTCTTACCCACATCTAGCATAGGACCTGCGCCAGGAATCAAGACACCGCTTGTTCGCGACGCCTCTACGGGTTGGAGGTGGACTTGCTGGTTGTTGATAACATGCTCGTTGTAGAAGGCCACATATTCCGGGTCCAGCAGGTCCTTAACGGACTCGTGGAGGGGGTAGGGGGGTTGCGTGACACCAGCAGTCATGATTACAGAAATAGGGGTACAGAGAAAAGAAGAGACTATTCCAAGAGACAGGTACAAGTACAAATAGTCCCCCCACGGGAGTGGGGGGGGAACAACAATGCGGGGGAGAGATAAGCCGATAAGTATACTCTGTTCAGTAAAGATCAGCAGAAGATGTTACAGTGACTATCTTTAGTCGCTACCGTATCACTTTGGCACTTACGTTTCGCGTGGGATGGATGCGGGATGTGCTTCCATAGCTCCGTTGATAAAGAGCCCTCCGCCGGGAAACTTTTCTTATAATTGACCTCACACTTCCACTTCCTTTCTTACTCCCTACTCTATACACATACCCAAAATGTCCACCAAGACCCCAGTCCTCACCGATAAGGCCCCTAAGCCCCTCCCCGGCATCTACTCCCAAGCCATCGTCGCCAATGGCGTTGTTTACTGCTCCGGCGCTGTCCCCATGGACGCTACCACCGGCAAGCTGATTGACGGCGATGTCAAGGCCCACACTGTATGACACATCCCGTTCTTATTTCAATTGACCGCTATGTGATGATATGGCTTGCTAACAATCTCCTTTTCCACTCCAGCACCAATGTATCAAGAACCTGACCCACATCCTCGAGGAGGCCGGTACCGATATCACCAAGGTGGTTAAGGTCAACGTCTTCCTGTCTAATATGGATGACTTTGCTGAAATGAACTCGGTTTATATGCAATACTGGGGCGATGTTAAGCCTTGCCGGACGTGAGTCATTCATTCCAACCTTGAGTTCATTCTTTTTTGGAGACTTGCTTTTTTGTACTTTCGCGTTTGTGAGATCATCTTTTTCTGACGCATACTTCTGCAGATGCGTTGCGGTCAAGACTCTTCCTCTTAACACTGACGTTGAGATTGAGTGCATTGCTGTGCTGTAATTGGGTTCACTTTGCGGTTTTGAAGATATAGACAAAATATAGAAACTGATTATATGACCACCATTTCTGTACTTTTTGTTTTATCTGACAATTGAGCCAATGTGCTGAGGTATAAAGTAACGTTTGGATTGTACGGGCAAAGGTCCTGTATGCTTTGAGCAAAATGTGACCTGTATACTTCCTTCGGGTAAGACCTGATCCCTGTGATAGTGCGAAAAACCAGATCCTCTCTTCGAAGCTCAGCTACAGGAGGTGGCAAGCACCAAAATCCACAGACCCTGCATACGTTGATGTAGATGTAGGGAGCAATTCTGAATCCTAGAATGAGGTGGCGCTTACCAATGCAGCACCTCTTTGGAGTTAACAAAGTTCTCGCGTGAGTGAGGACGCGTTTGAAGAACCGTAACTAAGACAGCCAATAAACGAGAAAAATCAAACAGTAGTTCAGTTGAAACAAGACCCTTTACCTTGAATACCAGTGTAGGTGGAATGTATCAGACTCATAGATCTGGCAGGATCAAACCCAAGTCGAGACCAAATGATGGCAATGGTTCGCAGTAAGATGAAGTACATTCCCCAACAATAGGCTATTGATGACACTTCATTCAGGTACCTGTCACCTAGGTTCTCTTGCGAATCCAGGTTGACTGGTCCTTACAGGCAAGGTCCCCCCTCGGATCACGTGACCCCTTCATATATCGCATTGCTCGGGGATTTGATACAAAATTGATACGAAATAGTTGCAGAATTAATCCTTTGAATAATTAGGAGTCAGTAGCAGTAATCTCTCTCGTTTAATTATCATTGATGAAGGTTGATGTGGTCAAGTGTTGTCGACTGCACGTCATCGAGGGATCTAGGGCTATGAAAGGCTCCCGTCAACCTCAGCTTCAACCTCCCTCCAAGGTCAACCCTTCCATGCACGGAGAATAACACTGGATTCTTGGAAGATGAGGATCAAATCTTCCATTCTCAGGGACTGAAACTAACTGACGTGTGTAGACTGACCCAGAGGGATACTAACAACCCTCCAATGAGCATCCCTAGCACCAACTGCTCCTCGATTGGGACATTCCTGATGATAGGCGATGACCATCTCCTCAAGCCGAGTGTGATGATCCGCTCAGGATTCTTCCCAGACCCCCTCGGACGCTGCATTCCACCCCTCCACACTCTAACCGCGTCGACGCGCTCCAGGGCTAGGGAACCCTCCATTATTTCCCTTTTTAGTCCTGGAGCTCTCCTCTTTCGTGAGCTTTCTATATTAACTACTTCACGCGCCATTCATGATTCTTTAGTGTGTCTGATTCTGGGTTGGATTTGGACCCGGCGCATTCAATACGTCTGTCCGATACTGGCGATCTTCTCTTCGTTGCCCGGCTTTCGCATACCAGGAAGCTTTGACGCGATCGACATCAAGCTTAACTGTCGCCATTATGGAGTCTGGTTCCTCGGTTCAGCCGCGGAAGGAAGGTACTTGGACGAAGCTTATCATATTCGTTGCGCTATACTTCCTTCTCTTCGAGTCTATTCTGGAAGCTGTACTTGCTCTCTACCTTTACGGAAATGAACAGGTTGACTCAAAGATGACTCTGAGTGTTGTGCTATCTTTAGTGGCAGTATGTTCCGCTGAATCTATATATTCTTGTGCATTTTGCTAACTCCCATCAAGTCGTGTTTCTCCTTTCCTCTGGTTGGTCTGCAGAGCCTGGTCGCCTGGCAGTATAACAACATCGGAGGATTTGGAACGCAAAAAACTGTCTTGCATAACGTCTGCACTTATGTTCTACGACTCGACCTCATGCTATGGCTTGCTACCAGTGTAGCTGGTTTAGTGGTCGCCGCGCAGCAGGTTTATTGTCTTCCCGAAGGCACAGATGCGAGTTATTGGAGAGTTGGTATGAGCTGTGCTTTCCACCGAGCGACAGTGATTATATCTGTGGTCTCGATGTAAGTCTCACGCCACCCCCGATGTCTTCGCATCAACTGACAATTGGCGCCATAGGGTTACCGTTTGCACCATGTACTGTGCAAGAGAGCTTTGCGATCGCCCATATGACGTCTCCCTTCTCGGGATCTACAGGCGCCAGGAAGTTCTCCGAGACGGCAGTATTTTGTCCGGAAACAGCTGGGATAGCGAAGAGACACTCAAGAACGAGATTCTCTACCTTTGTCGCCAACATGACGGCAATGGAACCGGATACTCTTGGTCTGCAGACCCCATCGCCAACAGAGTCAACTGTCATCCCAGTATCCGACACCCTGCTCCCGTTCGCTTCCGCCCCCAGCTCCGAGTCAATACTGATCCTGGCTCGACATATGGGGAGATTGTTTCTGGAACAACTATCTCCCCGGAAGACACTCTGACCCGTATCTCGCCCGGATCACAGAGCCTTGCTAGCGAATTCTACCCTATCTCGCGCACATCTACCGTCATGACTTCGCAAACAGGCAACGAGCTACGCGCCCTACTATCTGATGCACCCGTTCCCAAGGTCCCAACAATCCCTGAAAAGTACGCTGGCCACAAGAGACAAAAGTCGTCACTGTCCTCTCTCAGACGTTTCCTCCCAAGGTCTTTCCCCTTGTCGCTGCCTTTATCGTCGGACCCTCAGATCCGAGCCCTCGCAGACCCCAATGCTGCGTCAGATGTCGAAAAGCAGGTCGTGACACCCAACAGCATGCCCAAGAACACTCCTCAGTCCACAACTCCCCAGGTCACCGGATCTAACAGCCAAGACTTCTCTCCAACCTCCCCAGCACAGGAATCAAGTCAACCCCAGGTCCAAAAGAAAGACCACCCAGAAGGGCACACCCGAACCATGACAATGAATTCCGCGGACGCCCCAGAGGTAGTTCCGTCAGCCCCGACAACACCACCAAAAGTCCGCCGCTCTCAAACAGTATGCCCAATACCAGCACCACGCTCCGTCCACCATCCACACCACCCAAACTTCATAACAGGTCCCCAACCGCCGCGCAAATACTCCCAATCAAGGCGAGCATCAGGCCCACAATTGCAAATGCAAATGCACATGTCCCAATCCCCAATGCGCCGCAGCACAACCGCCCAACCAACTCTCATCCAATTCCCATCCCGCAGCTCATCCTACCACTTCGACCAATCCCAAGTCCCGCGTCACCCCCAATCTCAATCACAGTACCACCCAAACCCCAACCATCTCCAACAGCAGTACATGCCCCAATCAACCCGCTGGACAAGCCAGCGCCGCTTCGACCCCAGCCGCTCTAAGCCCCTAGCTCCGCGCCGCAATGATGTCGAAATCATCTACCCGAGTACCCGTCGTCCGCGCAGCAGTACCCATGGCGGTGCAAGTGGCCCGCTAAGCTGTATTATGGAGACGGTTTCGAATCCGCGGGCTTCAGCTGATGAGACTCAAGCTGGTTCGGCGTCTTTTGGTGGTGAGAGTGGTGGGATTGATCAGACTACTTACCGTGGTGCGAATCGTACTAGTATTAACTTTTATTAAAGGTGAAAGCGGAGGGTGGAAAGAGAAGGGAAAGAAGGATTAATGGATGGAAGAGAAAGAAAGAAAAGTAACGTGTCTATGTCTATATCTGCTGGTCAGATAGACGGGTTTGGTTTCTACTTGTTGGTTACTTTTAATGTCATAACTTATTATTTGTATTTGGGGAGGAATGGATAGTTGTGATGTGTTAGGATAGTTCTCGGAGCTTGAGGATATCTTGAGCGGTTGCTTTTCTGATGTTTGGTTTCACTGCAGTTAGCTTTATAGTTACTTCTTCGATACCAAAAAAATTTATACTCGATCCGAGGCTTTTCCTTTTACTTTCTTTCTGTGGCTAGAAGAGCAACGGGGGAAGGTGCAACGGATTGGATTGATAAGTTATTACTCTTTAGCTATTTACTAGCCAACCAGTATCATAACGTCACTAACTAGTTTCTTTTTTATTGATCTTATCTCGCTAACCTACTGTTTTCTCCTACCCCCTACTAGCATCGTTTATACCTGAAGATTTGACTACTCCGTCTATGAGTACAGTATTATCCTTATTATATGACATGGTACGTCAGCCTCATGGATCAGTCCTCCTTTGATTGCTTGCCGTAGTCCATGACACTATAGGGCCTGTTGCTCCTCCATAGAGTATCCTCATCCTTCTTCCTCCTTTCCCCTCTCCTAGAAGAGTCCTCCGTGCGTCCTTATATCAATGCAAGAAAGTACCTCATCCGAAGTAGCATAGTCGTTCAATTTTATTTCCGTAATAGCTACAAAATGAGTATTCTGCATTCGCAGGGAAGTGATATAATTCGATCCTATACTAAGTAGTTCGCTACAGCTACAGCCATCCCCACTCAAGCTCTAACTCAGCTACATAAAACAAGAAACATTACTATCACTAGACGTCAAAAAAACTTCGAAGAATCCACCTCACTCATCCAGCAATCGAACAGTTGTTTATGTTGTCTTTCCATGCCATAGATGCATAAGCAGGAATGAAGGTATTCGAAGTAAAGTTCTCCGGCATATAAAGGAGACTGTCGTCCGTCGTATAGTTCTTAGACGGATGCTCCAAATTCAACGCCCCAACAATCCTATCGCCAAGGAAATCCGAGAAAACTATGTCCACCTTGTCAGGTTGACCCTCTGATGGGAACCCAGCGGTAGCTTGGATATGATCTGGTTGAGAGTACTCCGAGATTTGGGAGTGGGGAGTATCATCGCCATCATTGCCAAGGTCATCGCAAGTTGTATAACCCGGTGTAGGGGTTGTCCCGCCAAGGACACGGCGAAAGAGGGATTTTGGCTTGAGAAGATCAGCCCCGTTATGAGGCGAGGGATTGTCGCACTCATCGTAACCCAACATCTGACTTGATATGGTATCCACAGTCATGGACGATCGCTTGGTGGATTTCGGTTTGTTTAAAGTCTCGAGGACCTTCGAAGCCAGTGAGTAAGGAACGTCCGGGAAATACCTGAAGGTATTGGTGTACGGGCAGACGATGTAGGAATCATCGAGGGTAAATGGGCCCTGGACCAGGTCATACCGGATGGCTCCTTTGTTCACAATGATCATTCGGGATTTCATTGAGCGGTCTGGGTTTACCACAGTTGCAGCTGCAGCGGTCTGCACCAAAGTGTAGACGTTGCCCTTGTCGCCGAATGGCTTGCATGATACGCAGTATGATTGTGGTGCGCACCCGTACACGAAGGTCAAATTGAGACTTTTCCGACTGTCTGTAATCCCTTTCGTTACTTTGAGTCCATGAGAGGTATCCAATATGTTTTGGGATCCAGTTGCATGGTAGTCAAAAGTGAGTCGATTCCAATCGAGATAGCGACGGGTTAGTTTCATATCGAACGCTTTGGTCTTGTTGCAAGATGCATCGGCAGATTCCACCATAATGCTTTTATTGTCCAGGTCTCGTTTAATTTCTGGGCTTGCTGTTTTGTTTGGCTGGGATTTGATGCCATCTAAAGAAAGCCAACCCACAGTATCGCAGTATTTGCCGGATTCCATCGCTGAGGACATAGGGTCGTAGATGTAAAAGTCACGACGGTGAGTATGACCTCCGAATCCCTGCACGGGAATCTCAGGTCGCATTTTCCGGAGAGCATCCATTAGGAGTGGAAAGGTGCTTAGACTCTTGGGGATTCCAGGCTTTACTGGGTTGTGTCCAATGAGCACGAATAGATCGATGTCCTTGCGATTGACTGCATTCTTGAACCAGTCCTGCTTTACCATTTCGGCAGCTGTTTGGATTCTTGTCATGTTTTTGTTGTTGTTGGTTCCATCAAGGATCACACCAAAAGCCATGATGCGCAGGCCATGCTTCGTCGTGATATATTTAGATCTGCTGCCCATAGACACCCATTCCTTCTTATCCGGTTCACCATTCTGGCAGTTCTTGCAAATATCAATGTTACTCGTCAGGTACTTGTCGCCATACACTTTGGTGAATTTGGTGAATGTGTTGTATGCAACATCGGACGCAATGAGCTCGTGGTTTCCCGGAGTGAGAAGATCGTAGTCGATATTTTCGAAGATAGGATTCGTGACGTTGCCATTGGGCGTTGTCGCATCGCTGAGCCCATTGCCATCATGCAAATCACCTGCAGTCATTGCATTAACATCGATCCGGACATATGGATACGATATGAGCGAACGCACCAGTATCAATGAGCAGAAGGTCAACCTTTTTCTTTGCGGCTTTGTCTTGCATGTGCTTCGTAAAGGACACAAAGTCGCCCCAGTCCGCGCCGTAGTTGCGCTCCTTGATATGTCCTTCCAGCCATCCATGAGTGTCACTTGTGTGGATAAAATTGATTTGTCCCCAGTTCAGAGGCCCCTTTGGCTTTGTTACCGCATCCAGAGCCCCAGGCTGCATACGACGTGTAAACCTGGGATAAACTACGCTTTCCCCTTCATCGTCGCAGGAGGGACATGCAGAAACAATTGATATGGCGAATGCCACTTTGAGAAGAAGGGACAATACCGCCATGGTTTCAATCAAGATACCAAAGGGGAAGAGGTTAGCCGTTCAAGGCCTGCTCAGTAGACGGGTTAAACGGTCCGAACCTACTTTTTTTGGAGAAACCTGCAACATCTTTATAGCGTATTCGAGGCTTTGCTGATCTGCCAACTTATTGCCTACATAAGTACTGTGCAGTATATGTTATAGGTAAGGGGGATGCAATAACTGTCTTGGACATTCTTGGCTGTACGATATTTAACATATCTATATGCAATGTACATTTGATGGAATATGTTCCAGTCTTTATCAACCTACCTTAGGTTTACCTTTTAATGGGAGTTTTATTTTTATACACACATGAAGAATTTGGCCCTTAAGAGCTGTCAAATAGAATAGTTGAGCCCTACCTTTTTTTTGGGGGATCTACAGCGCTTATGTATTGCTTTTGCTGACCAGCCAACTTATTCGCTACGTAAGTACGTTGTATATCATATGCTATAGGCAAAGCCAACCCAATAATTGTGTTGGATTGAAGATTTCCATATGCAAGATCGGTGTTATGGAATGTGATCTGCTCTTCACCTACCTACTGTTAAGGTATGCAAGATTCCTCTTAATGGTAGAGTTGTATTTTAATAGGGCTTTCTATAGACACGCCAAGGAAGAACTAGAATAAATCTTCAGCAATCTATACCCTCCGGATTTCGGTGGGTGAGTCGATCAGTGGGTAGCCTCTGCGAACCGGAGCCGATCCTTCCCAAGGCGATAGTGTCATTGTCAACATTATTACAAAATACGTAGACAGTCAAAATTCAGGAAAAGAATCAATTAATCGAAGCTCGAGGCAACATGCAATTTCCCCAAACGGGCATCGCAAAAAACACAATACATACACCCAGAATCCATGCCAGGAACAAACTGATAACCCATCAAACACCGCTGAAAGAACCAATGACACAATGCAATACAATTCGCAACCAAGATCGTACATCAAGTCTCAGTAGAGCACACCATGAATGTCAAGGTTAGACAAGGCAAGATTGACTCTAAGCCTTAGCCTCCCCACTCCTCGACTTTTGCTTCTGAACATACTTATACCGATAAGCCTGTCCACTCTTCCCCTCACCATCTCTCCGACGATTCTCCTTCCCCTCAGCGAGAGGCCCAGGCCCACGACCTAGTTCCTTTTCACCCCAAGTCATCATAAGAGCCTTAGCCATGCGATCCCGTTCCTTAAGGAGGAGATCGACGCGCCGCTCCCATTCCCGCTCGCGCTTATCGACTGATAGCGCAATGCGCTGATCGACCGCAGCGGCTGTTTCATCCTTTGTGGCGATGACAGCTTCCAGTCGTTTCAGTTCTGATTTGAAGGCTTTGCGTAGGTGTGTTTCTTGGTTTGTGGATGTTGAGCGGAGGGTTGCTAGTTCGGTGCGGAGGTCTGATTCGCGTTGTTCGGCTGCTGTGAGAAGGTTGCGGATTTTGCGCATTGATTCGGCGTGTGAGGCGCGGAGGGTGGAGACTGCCGTTGAGTGCGCTGTTTGGAGGCTGCGAAGTTGGCTTTGGTGGTTTGCTTCCAGTGCGGCGATGTTGTGTTCTCTTGTTTCTGGGGCTGCTGGGGGCGGGATGGATGGTTCGGCAAGCTTATCTTCTTGTAGGCGGGCGATTGTCTCCAGGGACTCAGCGTGGTCTTCTCTTGTCTGGGTCAGATCGTGCTGGGATTTGTTGAGGGCTGTTGTCAGCTCCTCTACCCTATTGGAGAGTCGCAGGTTTTCTGTCTCAATGGTCTTGATGAGAGATTGGGTTTCGGTAGACTGAGCACGGAGACGGTCTGTTTCGGCATCTGCGGCTTTTTGTGCAGCTGATGTCTCCTGCAGTTCCTGTTGGAGTCGTGCAATCTCCTCTTGTTGTGATTGTTGTAATTCCTGGACAGCTTGGACCTCGGTGAGCTTGTCCTTCGGCTGTGACACGCTTGCGAATGCACCGTCCACGGGGTCCACATCTCCATGTCCCAGATCTTTGATCAAGTCAAGAATCTCGCTGTAGGTGCTGTGCCCGGTAATAGGCAAATCTGCAGCCGCAGCTTTCAGAGCACTTTCCTGGGCCTCAATTTGTGACTGAACACGAGTAAGATTCGCCTCAAGCGTGGTGTTTTTCTCTTCTAATGGCCGATTTCTGTCCTCTAAGGTGATAAAACGTTCTTCCAAGACCTGGAAATTATTGTGGGCACGCTCCAGCTCTGTCTCGAGCTTCTCATTTTCTAGGCCGTAATCATCAATCTGAGCCTGTAGTTGATCGATCTCTGAGTTTTTCTCCTGCAATTGCGCATCCCTGTCCCGAGTAATTTCCTTGAGCTTAGAAAATGTTTCATCGAGAGTAGCATCCCGTGTTTTCAATTGCTCTTGAGAAATAGTAAGTTGTTGACGCAAGTGGGCAATTGTTTCCAATCGCTCGGTGTCCAAGGCACTCTGCGAATCACGGTTGTGAAGCTGTTGTTGCATCTCCCGAATTTGCTCTAAAAGGGCATTGAGATCCGCGCCGCCCATGTTAGACTGGTGCAGCATTTTTGCACGCTCCTCATTCTGCTTTTGAAGTGACCGGATCTGCTCACGGAGCATTGCCTCGTCGCTGCCTTTGGCATGCACCTCGTCTAGGAGAGCAGTCTTTTGCTGCAACTCTGTCTGGAGGTGACGAATCTGCTCGCCAGCTGAAACAGCCTCAAGTACACGTTTGCGATTCTGTTGCAATTGATTGTCTCGTTCCCTCACGGTTTGTTCCAATTGTTCAATTTGTTGGCGCAAAGCTTCACGCTCGTTTGCTCCATTGCTTGACGCAATGGAGGGCTTGCGAACAGAAGGCGAGGGCTGCTCTTTATGCTCAGACTCGTCATCATCCGGGTATTCTTCGATATCCTCAAGATGCGTTGAATCTTTGGGGAGAGTGCTCATTCTGCGCAACAAATGCGAGGGAGTCGACATGTCCACTGGTGGCTCGAATTCACTGTATTCACCCGAATCCGCGTCTTCCTCAATTGCAGGTTGTTTTGATTTCCGGAATGACCGTCGCAATGATCCGTACTGCACTTCAGCGTCGTCGTCTTCGTGGATTTCTCCTTCAAGGTCGCCCATTAAATATTTCTCTAAGTTTGCAGTAAAGTCTTCCGGGCCCCCGACATCAGATAGCTTATCTTCGATGTCCTTATGAAACGGCGGCAAGGTTTCCTCATTCCCTTCTAAAGCAAAATGGCCACTGGGGAAATTGCTAAAATCCAAGGTGTAATCGGCAAGTCGCGCATCTAGATCTGAGCCGGTTGGGCTTCCCGGAGTCGCGGGACGTGAAATGTTCTGCGCTTCATTGTCTGAATGATGTTCATCGTCGCTGGCATGGCGTTGGTCGTTCTCTTTCGCTGCGACGCGCTCGGTCGTGGGAGTCTCGGCGGGGAGCGGGGAGTCCGGGGGGCTGGACAAATTCTGTGGAGGGGACGAAGGCATAAACAGAGGCGTCACTAAGGTTGACTGCCCAATAGTGTCATGGGAGGTTGGGAAGGGCGACGTATAACCCGTGTTGGCCATTGTCGCGAATCGGGATGCGCAACGAGCGCAAAATCGAGCGCAAAGAGCGCGGTCGGCTGAAACCAGAGGCTAGATACAGTCCTCTTAGCTACACTAATAGAGGTAGAGGAAGTATTTAAGCAAAAAAGATAACAATAACAATTGCGGGGGATGTTCAAGAGAAAGAATGAAGAAACTCATGAAACGGGTATCCGAACGCCTCAGGCCACAATGTTTACGTGCTGCCCGTTTGGGCCAAGCGGGGATTTTCTTACATTTACATCACTGCGTCGATGCCTGCAACAAATGTATTTTCCTGTTCTATGCACATGTTTTCCATTCTTCGAATCCTGGTGGAACTACTGACGGTTCCTGCGACCGACTGCGCTGTCCACTCTCAAGGCGCAGCTCATTCTCAATCTCATCGCGCTCTATAGCTGCTTTTCTTCCCGCCTGACCACCTTTCGAGGCAATGGCATGCTGTTGACACAAGGAGAATTAGCAAAAGAACTATTTGCTGATGTTAAGACTTGCAACTCACCTGCTTCTTGGTATCCATGTTATGAAAACCACCTACGCCTCGGGCTTTGCCGCCTTTTTTACCACCCTTCTGGCCCATCGCCGAAAGCTCGTCGTGTGAACGATTTCCAAAATTACCAGGGTTAGGATGCGCATGAGAAGGTGCTGCGGTGGCAACACTTCGGCCACTCAGTCCAACGCTCACTGGCCACACCGACGGAGCCAGTCGAGTGAAAGGACGTGACAGATGCATGATTCCAATCAAGGCCATGATAATCTCAGGTGATGTTCAAATGTAAGATCCTGCAGCTTCGCGAGATGTTGCTGGTCATTGAGCGACTGGGTAACCCGATGGGCTTGGCCTCCAGCTTATGTAGCCTGCAGGAGGGCCTCCTGGTCGCCTCTGTCGCCCCCATAGAGTCATCAGTTGAGGCGATGCTCAGTTTGTCTCCCGATATCTACTGATATATCATATATAGGAGACATGTCATTTGTGCATCTTTTGAAGTTACCCACCCCAGGAGACACTCGCCTACTCAAGATGGCAAGCTAGATGTTGCCGCTTGATACAATTTGCTGGAGCACTGATCCGGAATTTAGGTAGTTTGATGTCATACCCAAACGCTTTAAACCTATCCTCTGAATCCATGGTTCCAAAATACAGGCGGTGGTTCGGGATCAAAGGTGGTCATTCTGATAATTTGGTTCGAGTATACCCATTCTATTCTTATAAGCGTGGCTAGGAGAGCTTATTTAGGACCCTAGAGGATTAGATATGGGGTAAATTCGAAGTTGAACCTCGGAAGATTTGTACTCATGCGCTCTCTATGCATGCTATACACAGAATAGTTACCACCCCGAAATACTTCTGGAGCACGCGTTGTGCGTGTAAGCCTTGTCGTGGGCAGGTCCACCCTCTGCTGCGCTGAATCCAATTGGAATAGTTTTAGCTAGGGATACAGTGACCTTCCCTCACCTAGCATGAGTCAACCTAGAGATCTACAGATCTTACTTTTTTTTTTTTTTACAATTTGTCGGCTCGCTGTATGCTTCTTAATCTGCTGATATGATCTTGTCTGGCGTGACCTGACATTATTCTATAGGCACGCCGATCTGCCCAGGCGCTCCCTACCTAGGCTCCTGAGTGCAGATGAGCATTCTATATAAAAATAAGAGACAGTGCTTACTTTCGTGGGCAAAGAATATCCTGTTGTGGTCTATATACAGAGGCCTGAAAAGGTCTGCGAGTGGCAGACGAAGTGAAACGTACTTCCCATGACTTATGAACTCCCCGGGGCCAGATTGACGATTTGAATTTATGGAGCGCAGGTGCTCCAACCAACAACTTTGACGTTGCAGTGATATTGATCGGGTGATATGAATACAGTAGTGCCTGGTTTGGGGTCTGAAGGCGCCTGAGATTTAAGGACTCGAAATCTCGAAATCCCCACATCCGCACCTTCAACTCCCAGCACATATTTGCAATTTTTGGACTCCTGTTCACCCTTGAAAATGCCACCTATTCAAGGCGGCATCGGCGAGCGCCCGCGGGTGATTTTGTACCACCAAACACTCATCCCTGGTGGGGGCCAGTATGTCTCCATGCTCCCACTCCTCGAAAACAACACGGGCATCTCGCATATTATCATCGCTGCCATCCATCTAAATGATCAACCCGGGGATATCACTCTCAACGATGACCCGCCCGACAGCCCCAAATTTGACCCCCTGTGGGCCGAGGTGCCCCTCCTCCAGCAGCAAGGCGTCAAAGTGATGGGCATGTTAGGAGGTGCCGCACCGGGCTCTTTCACACGACTCGACGGCAGCCAAGATCAATTCGAGAGTTGCTACACTCCTCTTCGAGATGTGATCCGCCGCCACGGTCTCGACGGAATTGATCTTGATGTAGAAGAGAACATGTCTCTGCAAGGTATTATCCGGCTCATTGACCGACTCAAAGCCGACATGGGCGATGCATTCATCGTCACCCTAGCCCCTGTAGCCGCAGCCCTCCTCGGCATCGGCAACCTGTCAGGCTTTGACTACCGCGAACTCGAGCAGGCTCGTGCTTCCAAAATCAGCTGGTACAACACACAGTTTTACAATGGATGGGGCCCCGCCGAAGATCCACGCATGTATGCTGCCATGGTCGCTCAGGGCTGGTCTCCGCGACGAATCGTGTATGGCCTGTTGACAAACCCGGGCAATGGATCGCAGGGTTACGTGTCGCAAGACAAAATAGGACCGGTTTTGGCTACGTTGATCGAGCAGTTCCCCAACTTTGGTGGCGTTATGGGGTGGGAATATTACAATGCCTTGCCTGGTGACCAGCAGAAGGCGTGGCAGTGGGCAGCTCAGATGACATTGAGCATGGGTATGAAGGATGTGGTTGTGGCAGCTCGTCAGGTGTTGGCTGGGCCGATGGCGAGCACTCTCAATAATTTGTTTCAAGACATGATGAACCAGAGACGGTGAATAGGGTGAATATATAGCATAGCATTTCAACTTGTATGCGACTCGAATGTTTACATTGCGCACGGACGATTTGTGTTACCGGAGCCTCTGGTCGACGTCATCGCAACTTCCAAGTGGTTCTCTTCCACTATTGCGAGTTACCAACTCAACTAGAATGCCACGGTGACTGTCTTACAATTGGTTTTCGCAATGGCATTCCTGCGCAGTGTAGTGGCCATTAGTTCGACGGCCATCCGCCTGATGGCACTGATCCTGCTTAGATGGGTATGGATCCCTTGACAAGTCAATGAATCTGAACTGACAGTGACCTAGATCCCTGGTCCACCATTTGGTCCTCTCGTATTTACCTCGCTGGTGGTGTATCTGTCGTCGCTGTTCCCTTTAATCAGGGAGGAGCAGTCTGATGAAACTCGGAGAGAGAAGGGGCCGCCACGCCCAACCAGTGAGCCTGTACCTCTCATATAACTGGACGCCTTTTCTGACCATATATTGTCGCAGAGAACAAGCCAGCGTCTGACTCAGCCAAGCCCGCTGATTCCGCGCTGAAGACACTGTTGACAGGGGTGCCATCTGCCAGATCGCCACTATGGACCTGGACGACTGTAATAATCAATGTTGTGTTGGCATTGTTGACTCTTGATTTCCTGATCCGTGGCTTTGTGCTTTACCCTACTACACATGCTACGTTTGCACGGATTGGATATATCTCTCCAACTACGGCAAATTTAGTCTTCCGAGAGCCAGATTTGACTCGGTTGCCAATGGTGGTCTCGTACCAAGATATTGCCTCTCAAAGCCCTGAAAAATGGGTGGAAGAGGGCATCATCTACAAGTTGGATAATAGCACGGACTTCACTGCTACAGTGACCTTGAAAAACCTGAAGCCATCAACACACTATCGATATGCGCTGTCCAACAACCAGTCCGGGACATTTCTCACTGCACCAAAACCTGGGTCTCCAGAAGCAAACCGGCTATCTTTTGTAACATCAAGCTGTCTCAAGCCAAACTTCCCCTACAACTTACTCCGACATCCATTACGAGTTCCAGGTATCGAGCAAATGACCGAAGCTCTGGCCAAATTGCCAGCCCTACTTCGCCCATCGTTTATGCTGTTCCTAGGCGATTTCATCTACATCGATGTTCCCATACGCTTCGGACTATCCATGTCCCACTACCGCAGCGAGTATCGGCGGATATACTCATCACCATCATGGAATTCCGGAGCACCAGATCACCGAGCAATCGACCTTCCGTGGATCCATACGCTAGACGACCACGAGATCCAAAATGACTGGGCTAAGGGCAACAAAACAGCCCCATACCCAGCCGCCGCAGACCCCTTCATCCATTACCACGTAAAAGGCAACCCACCAGTCCCAAAAACACCCTTCGCACCCTCAGACAACGTAACCTACTTCGCCTTCAACCACGGCCCGGCCTCATTCTTCATGCTAGACACAAGAACCTACCGCACAGAACCCTCCCACGAAAACTCCACAATCCTGGGCCACGCCCAGCTCCAATCCCTCCTAACCTACATCTCAACCCCAGAGCCACCAGGAACACATTGGAAAATCATCTCCTCGAGCGTCCCCTTCACAAAGAACTGGCATGTAGGCACAGCAGACACATGGGGTGGCTTCACGAATGAACGAACCAAGGTCTTCGAAGCAATGTGGCACGCTGAACGCACTCTCAACCTCCGAATAATCCTCCTAAGCGGAGACCGCCACGAATTCGCAGCAACCCGGTTCCCAGACCCAGCACTGGCTCTACCCGAATCCCAACTGCAGCCTAACACACCCGGAATAGGCTTGCACGAGTTCTGCGTCGGTCCATTGAGCATGTTCTACCTCCCCGTCCGTACATACCGCCAGACAGACTATGAGGATGTTATGGTGAAGTATGTACCTGAGGGAAATAGTAAATTCGGGCTCATTAATATTGCGGAGGAAGTTGAAGATTTGGAGCCTAAGTCTTCGGCGCCGGTGCCGGTGCGCAGTTCTGTTCTTACTTATTCGCTTTATGTTGATGGGGCTGTTGTTTGGAAGTATCGGCTTTTTGTGCCGTTGGATCGGGATGAGGCGGGTCGTGCTTCATTGTCGGACTATGAGAGGGCTTTGCGGTTGCCGCCTGGTCGTGTTGTTGAGGATCGGATTGTTGATCATTGGGGAGCTGTTGTTGGGGATGCTGTTGGTCGAATTCCCGAGATGGTTAAGTCTGTTGTTGAGATGGGGATAGGTTGTTATAATTACCTCGCAGATCGAGCTCAGAGGACTTAGGCTTACTGAGTCCACTTGAGTTGTTATTCCGGATTTGGTTACCAATTTTCGGTGTTGGGTACACTGATATTTCTTGGCTCTCATTATTCATTAAACAGAGGACAGATCGTTTGCGTACAAAATGAACATGTAAACTAGACCGGTCTCTGCCGTATTAATTCCAAATCAACAGCATATAACAAAATCCATTGGTCTAGGATGGTATATATGGTAAAGTTAGCGTTTAATATCAAGATTTGTTCTCATGTACAAAATTACAAATGAAGCAAAACGCCAAACACCAGCCCAGATGCTAAGGTGATGAGCCAGCGATTCGATATGAAAAGCAAGAGAACAGATAACAGACCCCAAACCACAAACCCGGTCTTAACGTCCTCCTCTGCCACGTCCGCCACCGCCGCCACCACCACCACCCATACCACCCATCAACCCGCTCATTTGGCTCATCATACTCTGCAGATCCATGCCACCAAGGTTAGGCATGCCGCCACCACCCTGTCCACCGCCCATCATCTGCATCATCTTGGCCATATCGGGCATGCCGGGCATACCACCCATACCACCCATACCGCCGGCACCACCCATAGAAGCCATGCGCTTCTGCATAGCGGCCATCTGCTGGTCCTTGTTTCCGCCCTTCATCATGTTCTGCGCACGCTGCATCTGCTTCTTCTGGCCGCCAACACGCTTGGCCATACCGGCCATCATGCGGTGCTGGGAGAGAACATCCTCGACCTCGCGGACGGTGGTGCCGCTGCCGTGTGCAATGCGAACCATGCGGCTGGGCTGCTCGACGAAGTTCTTGCCATCACCGTCCAGCTCGGCTGCTGTCATGCTGTCGAAGATGTAGATCATGCGGCGCAGCTTCAGCGAGCCGTCCTCGTCATCAAGACCCTGCGTCATGTTCGACAGACCTGGGATCATGCCGGACAATTTCGACAAGGGTCCCATCTTCATGATAGATGTAATGTTCTCGCGGAAGTCACGTAGGGTGTAGATACCCTCTGCGATATGCTTGTATGTTTCCTTAGCACCTGCAGAGTCCTTGGTGATAGCCTGGACGTGCTCGACCAGTCCAGCGACATCACCCATACCAAGTAGCTTCTGAACGAACGCGCGGGGCTCGAATCTCTCCAGGTCCATCATGTGCTCACCAGTACCCAGGAAGATAATGGGAGTGTTTGTTGCGGCGACAGCAGAAATAGCACCACCACCAGCAGCATGGCCGTCAGTCTTAGTAATGATAATAGCACCAAAGTCTGCCGTGGCCTTGAAGGCAGCAGACTGAGCCTCAGCAGATTGACCGATTGTGCTATCCAGCACGAGAATAGTCTGGTCTGGCGTGACAGCGGTCTGGATCTGGGTCATTTCAGTGAACAGCTCCTCCTCCTGACGGTGACGACCACTAGTATCGACAATAATGATATCAAATCGCTCCTTCTTGAACTTAGCCACACCCTCAGCGGCCACAACGGCGGGATCCGTCTGCGTCAGACTACCATAGTATGGAATCTTTGCCTTGGTGGCGTTCTGCTTCAACTGATCAAAGGCACCGGCACGGAAGGTATCCGCGCAGACCAGCGCCGTCTTGAATCCACGTGTCTGGTAGTGCCGGGCGAGCTTCGTACAAGTTGTTGTCTTACCCGCACCCTGCAAACCAACAAACATGATCACATTTGAGCGTCCCTTCTTGGGCCGGAAGGAGTCTGCGTGGGGGTCGACCAGTTTAACGAGCTCGTCGAAGACGGTTTTTTGGATCAGTCGCTTCTTGTTGACTGCGGCCGGGAGGGAGGCAAAGTTCACGCTGGCTTTAATCGATTTGCGGAGGGTTCCCACGAGGCGGACGTTGACATCGGCGGAGAGAAGAGCAGCGCAAATTTCTTTGATCATATCATCAAAGGCCTAGCATTGGATTAGCGAGGTCGACTTGCGGCATATTGAACAAGACGGCGTACCTTCTCGTCGAGATTATTGGACCTCGTCATATCATTGACGGCGGCGTTAATACGCCGCCCCAGATCTTGAAGAACCATATTGAATGTGTATGTGAAGAAGAATCAAAGGGAAGAACAATGCCCAGATTGGTGGAGGGGTGAGGGTGAAGCACGAAAGACCAGAGAGGCAATGTGGAGGGGCCAATCGGAGAGCGGTCGCCTTTCACCGCCCCAAAAAAAGTTGATACTGCTCTTTTGGATCAACGCGGTGACTTTCTTTTCACTCTCGCCATTACACATTATTTTGTTGCAATGGCTCCCAGTTACTCCAAGAAGCGCAAGGTCCTCGACGGCCTTAAGGGCAAGACGGGTCGCACCAAGAAATTCCGCAAGCAGCGTGACTACCACAGCAGCTCCGAGGACGAGAGCGACAATGATAACTTCGCTGCCGTCAACCTTGAAGACTCCGACGCCGAAGACGATGGTGGAGTCTCAGTGAACAAGAAGATCGCAACCGAGCCTCCTGCGAAGAAAAAGAAGACTAGCGCAGCACCTACGCCGCAACCGAAAAAATCAGAGGACGAATCAGACGTCACCGACGATGAGGAGATTGAACTAGACGACGAAGATCTTGAAGACCTTGAAGATGACGACGAGGAAAACAATGCCTCTGGATCAGACGAAGACCACCCCGCCGCCACAGGCGCCAACCGTGGCCGATCCGTCCCCAAGCGCAATGACCCTACCGCATTCTCAACCTCCATTTCCAAAATTCTGGCAACAAAACTTCCCACATCCGCACGGGCTGATCCCGTCCTGTCAAGAAGCCAGTATGCCGCAAAGCTATCCAGCGAGGCAGCGAACGAGAAGCTCGACAAGGCCGCGCGGGCTAAGATGCGCGCCGACAAGAAGGAAGAAATGGACCGCGGCCGTATCCGTGATGTTATGGGTATCAAGAGAGGACTCTCCGGGCAAGTCGCTGAGGAGGAGAAACGTGTGCGCAAGATGGCCCAACGCGGTGTTGTCAAGCTGTTCAACGCTGTGCGCGCTGCCCAGGTTCGGGGTGAGGAAGCAGCCAAGGATGAGCGCAAGAAGGGCACAATTGGTATGGGCGAGCGGGAGAAGGCTTCTAACGAGGTCAGCAAACAAGGATTCCTTGAGTTGATCAACGGAAAGAAGGGAAAGCCTTTGAACATCGAGGAGGCGTAAAAGTTGGACCTACGATTACCCATGGCATGTTTCTGGCGTTGGGATAGTTTTTGTGTATATTCTTCTTTACATTGTAATACAATTGCTCTTGTGGAGACTTCTTTTTCATTCAACATAGTACAGGAGAATTTCCATTTTGCGATATAACGCAACTGTGCTTGATGTGTGAGGAATAGTAGAATACATAGTCCAATGGACTAAAGCCTTTTAGCTTGATGCCGACCCCAAGTGAATTTGTTCACGATCCTAGCGTCTTCCGAACCCTCTCCTCGTATTTATTTCGACTCAAAGTCGCTTGCTTGTAGGTTCCGTGTCATGGATGGCAGTCGCACGACCAGTCCATCCAGGTCCTTGGTCATGAGCACCTGGCAGCCCAGCCGCGATGTCTCAGTCAGGCCGAATGCCAGATCCAGCATGTCGTTCTCGTCGTCCGATGGCTCCTCCATTTTGTCAAACATGTCCGGGTCCTCAACAATTACATGGCATGTTGAGCAAGCACAGGATCCACCACAGGCACCTGTTGAGACAGTTCAGTTAGTCATGGCACACAGAAGGAGGACCGTTGGCTCAACATTACCCTCCATCTCGAGATCATTCGCCTGGGCGATGTCTAGCAAGTTGTCGCCCTCGGCAACCTGAAGATCAACCTTGCTGCCATCCTTGTCGATAAATGTGATGTTGATCCTGGAGATGTATCAGCATGCCACATGAACAAAGCGCATGCAGAGCGGGGGCCGGTGAACATACTCTTCACCGGGCTTTGGCGGCGTGATATGACCATGCGCAGCTTGTGCGGTCACAGAGAAAGAGCGCCGGGCTGCGCTATATCCTTGCCATGATGATTGTAGGCTCCGGTGTACTGCCAAAGTTGACCGAAGCTGTGTTGTGGTTCCGATAGTCCTCGTCTTCGAGGATGTCAGGTATCTCCGCGATTGAGTCAGACCGACGTCGCTGGCGGTTTTTGGTACACGGCACAATTGCTGGCCTACTTGACGCCAAAAAGCCATTTTGTGAGGGAGGAATGAACAACAGAAGAGCAGATGCAGAGGGGAAGAGAAAAAAGGGATCCGGGGAGAGTTGGGAGTGATCGTCCAATGGCCGCGGAGGGAAAAAAAGACTGACAAAGCTACGGACATTCCACTCCCGACTTCCTTTCCCCGACCTCTTTATCCCCGAACCACCAACATGACGACTCGTGAAGGGATCAATCCCTTGCGGCCTTATTACATTCCCCCGTCTGGGCTGTCGCCAGCTTCAAATGCTCCGCCCGAAGTGACATCGCCGTCATCGGCTCAGGTGTTCGGCAGCACGGCGCGCGACCTCATCCATGACTTGGACTATGCCGATTATTTGGACGCCTCGCCATCGGTGTCCGACTGGGTTCGCGATACCTTGAACCGGGCCTTGGTGCGCTACACTAAGGTTCTGACTGCCCAACCGTTTGATGTCGCCAAAACCATTTTGCAGGTGTATGTCGTGCCCGACGCCGCTGATGAGCAGTGGGACCGGAAATCGACGCCGGGAGCTAGCGGTAGCTCTTATGACTCGGTAATGACCTTTTGGATAGCAGATATACATCTGTGTGAAATATCATATCGGATTACTGACAGGTTTGCGTACAGGAGTCTGAATCATCCGATGACGAGAGCAGTTACTTCACTTCAGCAGCCCCTCCAACACCGACGCCAAGTACACCACGGTCTCGCAAACCAAGACATCATATTACCGACCGTAGTGGCTATATCCGACCCGAGTCTGCGGCAAAGCCTGCACATGCGTTGGCTCTCAAGAACTCGAATTCCCTGACCGAAGTTCTCTCCCAATTATGGTCCACCAGCGGTCCCTCTTCCCCCTGGAAGGCCTCCAATGCTACATTTATTTACTCTCTTCTCCTACCGACCTTGAACACCTTCATTCGCAGTCTTCTGTCGGCAATCGTCGGTTTGCCTGAGGAGGACATTTCCTCGTCGATGACAGCCGACATTCTGACCGCATCCTCTCCCCTAGTGACGCTGCTTCTATCGTTCATTTCATCGTCACTTTCTGCTATCATTCTAGCTCCTATCGACACCGCTCGCACATTCCTGATTCTCACCCCAGCCACCCATGGCCCGCGGTCCCTCGTCCGAGCTATTCGCCAGCTCCCCACGCCCAATAGTACAATCCCCTCGCACCTCGTTCCTATCACAGTCCTGCACTCAAGTCTCCCCAACTTCATCATGACCTCGACCCCGCTCTTCCTCAAATCTTACCTTTCAATTGACCCCCTCCTCAACCCGACCATATGGAACCTTTGCACATTCCTCGGCTCCGGTCTCGAACTTGCCGTTCGGTTCCCACTTGAGACGGTGCTCCGTCGCGCACAGATCGCCACATATACCTCCCTGAGCCTGCGCCAGAAGTCGTCCGGTGGCAGCATCCGCGCGGCATCTATTGATGCCTCCGACGTTGAAACCATTGTCCCCACTCCGCGCACCTACCGCGGCATCATTGGTACAATGTGGCACGTCGTTTATGAGGAGGGCGTGAGCTCCACACCATCCGACACAGAGCGTGCTCAAACCCTTCTCGGCCAGCCATCCTCCCAGCAACATCTCAAGAAGCGGAAGCAGGGCCAGGGTATCCAAGGCCTATACCGCGGCTGGCGCATTGGAATGTGGGGTATCGCGGGCATCTGGGGTGCCACTCTACTCGGCGGAGTAGCCGGTGGCCCAGAAGACGAAGTGACAACAAGGGGCGGCCACGGCCGATCCAGCGGCGGACGCTTCTAATCGAAACAGGGACCTTCAATTTGAAGCCAAGCCCACCCTCAATCCATTAATCCATCGAGACACCAAGTCTCTTGTGCCTTTCGATCGATCTAACATTCCACTTCCCTTCCCAGCTGAGAAAGCCCGAGATTGGTAACCAAAGCATTTCTCATCGTCTTGTGCATCTTCGTTCTCCACCTCTCCTCTCTATCCTCCTCCCTCTGTTTACATCTTATACCCCGGGAATGGAATCCAGGGGACAGAGGCGATTGGCGTCTTGTTTTGCTTTTTTTTGGTGCTCTCTTCACTGAAGCCCGTGTATAAACTCTCCACACACCCCTACCACATAGCTATGTAACGAGATACGGTCACAGCGAGATCTGGTTCTCCGCTTGCTTGGTAGTTAATCTATTTCATAATCATTGAATCTTGCGTATGGAATCATAGAGGATAAGTGTGGTGCTTGGTTCCCATAGTATCATTCTACCGTAGGGTGAAAATCGAAAATCCATATGAGGTTGAGAATTGTGATAGGATGAAATTTACGATCCTGTTGCTGGACGTATTGAAAAAAGAAAAGTATTGTGTAGTGCATATCATTCCATTCATAACGAAGCCACGTTGTATACATAACTCTCAAAAAGAGAAAACGCCGCTAAAAGTCCATCCGTCTAGCAAATGAGAAGATTGGAGGACGCCAAAACAAAAATCAAAAAAGGGAATAATGACTACCGGATCGAACCACTGACCATGTTCATAGCGGTCAGAAATGCCCGCGCCATACTCTATTGTTGCTTTGTAGAGAGCGGCGACATCAAATGAGAAGGAACATATGCTTTTGAGTGATAAAGGAATCGAGAACAAGTTCTGTTCTCTTCGAGAAGAGACTATGGCCCGATTCTCCTCCAAGAACAGAACACACACAAAAAAAAAAAAGACAAAACAAGTCCGAATGATGGTACATAGAGCGGCCGGGGTTATGGGTATCAAAGTCGTCCCGCGAATAAACACAGGCAAATCACAAAAAGGAGAAAACAAGAAACAAGTAGAGGAAAGCCGACCGCAATGGATTCCAAGAGAAGGACCATGCTTGTTTATTTTTTTAATTTATTTTTCAGCGAAACGTCTGTCGAAGTAGCGCAGCACGCCCATGACGCTTGCAGCTTCGACTTCGATAGCTCCCCGGCTACCACGGGCCTCGGCGAGGGCGAGGTCACGAGGGTTGGGGAGGGTGTGTAGCTTGGGCAGCCAGGAGGAGATCTCGTCACTGGCGCGGGAGAAGTTTGGGTGGCGCGAGAGGGTGGTGAAAGCGTCGGCGCAGCTTAGCGTTAACTCTGAGGGCGAAGCGGGCTTGGGTGCGGGAGGTTGCGGAGGCAGGGTGGTGTTGTTACGCGCGGGGGTCGTGGAGGCGGGGGCATTTCTTGACATGCAGCATCCGCCGTCCTTTCCGCCTCCGCCGCAGCAGCCTCCTCCCGATGGAGTTCCGCTCGCTGACCGGGAGGCTGCCAGCGTCTTGCAAAAAAGGGTGCTTCGGGGGTCGGCAAGACACTGGGCGCAGGTGCCTGGCCCGTTGGCGCAGGGGTTGGTTGCTTGGCTGATTGGTGGGAGGGTTACTTCAGAACGGACGTCTCCCTCTGATGGGGGTGGTGTAAATTGAGAGATGGACTGGATCGGGGCGAGGCGGTTGTTCTCGAAGGAGTTGCGACCGCCGCGCTGCTGTTCCTGGGCGGCCATCTCGGCGCAGATGCAGGGGGTGCCATCCTGGCAGAATCCACAGGGGTCGACTGGGGGTGAGGAGACGTCATTGTCGTGCGATTGGGCTGGGACGCCAGAGAACTGGGCCGTGAAGTCGATCTCCATCTCCTCTGGGTCAGGCTTGATATCAGGATCACCAAGGTTGCGTGTAGGGCTGCCGACGCCGTGAGGTGGGTGCCTAGAGCGGGATGACTCGTGGGTGTCGATAGGAATGGCAAATGCATCTTCAATGCACTGGCAGTGGGCGCTGGAGCAGTTGTTGCAGCCAAGCGGCACGTTCATCTGTCCGTCCTCCTTGTTCCGGTCGGCACTAGTGCTAGTAGGAACAACATCTTCCATGCGGGAGCTTCGGGTTGTTGGGCGGTTGCGAGGTGGCAAGGGCACAGAGTCTGGGATAGCAGCGGCCCTACTGTTAGGGTCTGAAAGAGACGAGCGGAATTCCTTGACTAGGGCTTCCTTTGCACTGCGCTCGATCGAAACTTCCTTCTCTAGGGCATGACACCTATCGCGCCACCAGCCCATCTCCTCACGGACCTGATCAACCTCATTGGAGAGGTTACCGATTTGTTGGTTGAGTTGTGCCACTTGCATGTCGTGGCCATCTTCGATGTCCTTCATTTGCTCCTCCAGTTCGCTGACTCGGGCAGCACGACGTTCACGGAACGCTCGCTGAGCTGCCCGGTTCTGCGCCTTGCGCTTGGTCGGGGGTGTATCCGTAGCCGGTTTGCGGCCGGGCTTGGGGCGTGGGGGAATTACCCATTCTTTCGACGTGATAGAGCCGGGAGTACCAGGACCGGGCGATGGGGCCACAGAACTCTTGGCGGCCAGTGCGGGCGCCGGTGCAAGAGCCAGCGAGGGGACTCCAGCTGGAGTCGGGGTGTAAGACACACCAGGGGTGGCCATTTTGACACCGAATTGATCAAATTCTGTGTTGGGGTCAGTTGGAAGCTCAAGATTCGGAAGTGTTCGGGCGTACGCACGAGCCGTGTTTCGGTCGGAAGAGCGGAAGTGCGCTCATGCGAGCCGATAAGCGAGAGGGTCCAGTAGAGGGGTCGAACAAAGAGTACTAAAAACCCTGCAGTAGTAAGGAAAATAATGGCCACCGGAGGTAATAAAACTAGGAAGAAGAGAAAGAGGTAAAGACGGAGGGGGAAAGCCGGGAGAAAAGTGATGATCAGATTAGATTATGTGCTCACATGATGCCGGTTTCGGACACGACGCTCGGCTGTATACTTTGTGGACCTTGGACCTTGCCAGCAGATTTTTTATCTGATCCGAGTAGTGGAGTTAATTCCGAGAAGGCGTTGGTGGGCTGACGCGGAGCTACGTTTTTCATTGTGATTTTCCTCGCTAACTGCGTTTGTTGGCTTATTACGGGGAGCTTACCTCCAGGGCTGGTCAATCAGACTTGAAAGAGCTCGAGGCAAACCTAGTCCAGACTGACCTCTAGCTCAACTCTCTACATCTCACCCGTCTATGACTCTATGACTCAACAGTCAACAGACGACCCGGATCCGAACATTCCAGCAGAGGTGGAGTGTCTCGTCAATCCGTTGACCATGGATGGGCATGAGAAAAAGAACCCCCTGCATACGACCCACGCAGCCATTACCTAGCAAAAACGGCGATTGAACCAATAGGAACATGCCAATGCGCAAAATACCTTTTCCCGGAGGACTCAGGCAGCGGTGAAGGGGCATAGATCGCCATGGGACTCGATATCCGAGCAAAAGCCATAGGGCCGCTCTCGGGGCATGATCTTATCTGATTGCACTAACGCAAAGTGTTGCTTCTTTGGGCAATGCAAGCGACACCCGATCCATGTTCGCACTTGTTTAAACGGGCCTTGTCCCTTCTGTTCGAATGATAAAATCGTGATTGGACAGCTTCCCATTCTGCTCAGCGGGCTGGGGTCTCCACATAGGCAAATTCTTATCAATCAGTGACGCTCCCACCAACCCGAGTCAGAGCCGAAGAACGGATCTTTCGTAGACTTCGCCCGATGGGGTTGGGATTCCCGCTTATTATTGCTGGCTGTGACGTGCAGCGAGGGAATTGTGTCGCGTCATTGGATCCTTTCTCTTTCTGGCCACCGTGCTTAGCTTGTTATGGTGGCGATCGGAGTCTATGATCCACTGGCCCCAGTGATCTTTTTCGTGCTTCTGCCTATGATGCGTTCTACGTTGGTCTTGACGCACAATTCAATTCGGACTCAAGTGCCGGAGTTCAATAATTAAGCAAGGGTCACTGCGTTTTAGATACATGTCTCTACCTGTTTAAGATGGTTAACATTCAGCATAGACGCCATCATGTCTCTTCAATTATGGCAAATTTACCTAAACTTTATATAAACTATTTGACAGTAATGACAGGCTCTAACAACTAGTAGTCAAGCCGAAACACCCAACTTTGGATTGATGAGGCTACGAAATACCATATGGCATCAAAGTTGAGTTTTGGTTGTTTCGTTTCAGCAGCTTACAACATACGTTATGAACAATCATTGCAATGTTTCTATTCGTGGGATCTCATTTGCTGTTGTCTGAAAATTGGTCTGTGCATGTTTCATATGCGTAGGGCAAGTCAAGTCATATTCAGCGACTAGCAAATGCTAAATTCCATGATCTCCCGAAGAGCCTCTTAAAGCGCACCAGGAAGTATTGACCTTCGACAAGGTCGACTAACGCCATCTTTCTTGGCTTGGAGCACTGCTCTACTCTTCTTCCGCTTCCTCCTTATCTTCGGTTCCCATCTCTCGCTTGTAGATTGCCCATGGTTTGAACCTAAAATCCCAGACCCCTGCAGTATGGAGCTTTAGGTCGTCCAGTCTCTCCACAATCTAAATATGCAGGATGTTTCAATTTTATATATGCTTCTCGAAATGCAGATTGCAGACATTATCTCTTTTATATATCATGTCCCCATTCCAAGAACCTCATGTCGACGACATACAGCAAGTCAACGATCTGGTGCCTCCTCAGAATCCAACATGTCAATAACCACGGGAGACGGCGGTTGATTCTCCTCAAGCTCTTAATCCAACAACTGACCCAGAAAGTTCAGAATTGGGTGATCCTACTTAAGATACAAAAGCAAACTCGGAATCAAAGTGACAAAGCCCAAAGCCCAGTCGCAGTCGGTGCCAACTAGGCAACAGGGCAAAGGTCTAGCTAGTGTGGTTTACTAGAGAGGAGTAGCAGAGGGATATATATCTAGTCCGTCAAAGCTAAGAAGCGGCTCTGGGGATTGCAAAACTCACGCCTATCTTCCTCGAAGGTTGTATATATTGCTGCCTTTATGCCTTGTCGCTTGATATAGACTGCATTCTCCTTCACGTCAACCATTCTCGTCTTTGCTTTCGCTTTCAATCCTTTTCGGTTCCTCTATCTTTGTGAGATTGCTAGACTGTCGTAGTTTTACAGAATGAATGCTCAATATACATTCAACCTTGAGATTCACGGCTAGAAATCTACTTGAGCTGATTCAGACTATAAATGGCGTCATAGGGCTTGTAAATGTTGATCACTCTAGAAAACGTTGATCAACAGCAAATCACAAGTACTGCTCACATATTTGCACCAGTCAAATAGCTCAAAATAACTTATTCCAAAGTTGTTACAGGCTGCCCTGGAGATCTCGTCCGTATTCCAGCCAGCTGCATCCGTTATCAGGCACCGGACTTGGCGATAAGCAAGGGGAAGCCCAGCCTCCGGACTCCGCCTTTCCCCTCACGAGTCATTCTTTCTCTCCAACTCCTTCACCTTCACTCTACCCTCAGCTACACTATGACCCGAAAGTACGCTTCATCCCAAGGCCTCGATATGTCCTGGGCTTCGCAAATGTCTGCCCAGTTGCCAAACCCGTTCCTGTACCAGGTTCCTGCAACTCAGCCAGTCCGAGCTCAGGAACCGCCCGCCCAGCGGACGGATGAGCCTGTACGCCCCGAGGACTATTCCAAGCCCTACTGTGAATTCATGTCATCCAACCCTACTATCTTCCACGCCGTGAAATCCTTCTCCAACCAGCTCGAACAGCACGGCTACAAGTACCTCTCTGAACGTGCGGTGTGGACATCGGAGTTGAAGCGTGGTGGCAAGTTCTACACCTCCCGCAACGGAAGCTCATTGATCGCTTTCAATATTGGATCGGAATATGAGAGCGGTAACGGTGTGGCCATCGTTGCTGGCCATGTGGATGCCCTGACCGCCAAGCTGAAGCCTGTTTCCAAACTGCCTAACAAGGCGGGCTTCGAGCAGCTCGGTGTGGCCCCGTATGCCGGTGGCCTCGGTGCTACCTGGTGGGACCGTGACCTTGGTATTGGTGGTCGGGTGCTCGTCCGCGACCCGGAGTCTGGCAAGGTCGAGACAAAGTTGGTGAAGCTTGACTGGCCAATTGCCCGTGTGCCTACCTTGGCTCCTCACTTCGGGTCTGTTGCGAACGGACCATTCAACCCGGAGACTCAAATGGTGCCTGTTATTGGTATTGACAACTCTGATTTGTTTGAGCACTCTAAGACTGAGACTAGTGATGTCAAGTTTGGCAAATTTACCTCGACCCAGCCCGAGAAGCTTGTGAAAATCATCTCCAAGGAGCTTGGCATTACGGACTACAGCACTATTGTGAACTGGGAGTTGGAATTGTTTGATACTCAGCCTGCTCAGTTGGGTGGTCTGGAGAAGGAGATGATCTTCGCCGGCCGCATTGATGACAAGCTTTGCTGTTATGCTGCCCAGGAAGCACTCATTGCTTCTTCCGATAGCACTTCAACTGGTACCGTCAAGATGGTTGGCATGTTCGATGACGAAGAGATTGGCAGTCTGCTCCGCCAAGGAGCCCGGTCGAGCTTTATGAGCAGCGTCATCGAGCGCATCACCGAGGCCTTTGCCAAGGACAACTATGGCCCCAACCTCCTCTCTCAGACCGTGGCCAACAGCTTCTTGGTTTCCTCGGATGTTATCCACGCCGTGAACCCCAACTTCCTTAATGTGTACCTGGAGAACCACGCACCTCGCCTGAACGTTGGTGTTGCTGTATCTGCCGACTCAAACGGACACATGACCACCGACAGTGTCAGCGATGCCATCATGAAGCGTGTTGCCGAAAAATGCGGGTCTACCTTGCAAGTCTTCCAGATTCGCAATGACTCTCGCAGTGGCGGTACCATCGGACCTATGACCAGTGCCCAGATTGGCATGAGGGCTATTGACTGTGGTATTCCACAATTGAGCATGCACAGCATCCGTGCAACAACCGGTAGCTTGGACCCCGGTCTCGGTGTCAAGCTGTTCAAGGGTTTCTTCGATCACTACGAGGAAGTCGACAAGGAGTTTTCCGACTTCTAGATTTCCTCGCAGTGGCCCAGGGCCTCATTAATATAAACCCCACAGCTCCTTTGTACAAGCCCGCATTGGGCGGGCTCTCGCTTTATGTTATTTGAGTCTACACACGAGACTGTACCAATGTGATTCCGGTATCAACTTAAACCTCTCAAGCCATTGTCATTAGACCTATCTGTGGTTCGATTGCTGTACGTCGACTATATATCCAAGAATTTCCATACAGACGTTATAGAAAGAAAACCATGTCCAAGATAACCAAAAAAGGAAACAAAAGAAAACAAAAGAGTGTCGACCCGTAGGGTCGTAGGTGGTGATTGAATGGCAGTCCTCAGACTTGAAAAAGACAATAAAGCTCAAAGCACGAGCAAAGAAACTCAGACACCCATCATGCATATCACATTATCCAGCATGAAGAACTGGCCCATAAATCAGACCGCGAGGAAATAACCAACCCCAAACAATCAATGCCTCAACGAATCCACCGACTCCGACGAAGGCGTAGCATAATGCACAGGACCATGAGGCTCAGGAAGCGAATAAGTCTGCGTCCACTCCTTCTTTTCCTCCTCAGACCAACTCTTCCCATGGCCATGATCGTTGCTAAACCCATTACCAGGAACAAGCTCAAGCACACGCTCCGGGTCACCAGCACCGTACTCGGGATCATCGCCGGGCGTGTCGAGCGTTGAGCCGTCTCCGTTCCAGGTTGAGTTGCGCTGCGTTGTGTCGCCGTAGCTGGGGCGGCTTGCGCTGAAGGTTGTCATCATTCCTGGGAAGATGCGGGTGAGTATCGGTTTGAGCGTTGGAAGGCAGGCGCAGATTATGCCTGTGTTGCATTCGACTGCAGACCAGGCGGCGGCAGCGACGTTGTCGTCTGCGTGTTAGGTTAGCTTTGTTGTTAGGGCTTTTGGTTTGATTTGGGGGTGCGTACAGGTCGGATCGGTCGAGTCTGCTATCTTTTTTAGGCTAGTTAGACGGACAATGCTGGTTATGCAGACACTAGCGGGTATTGTTAGTTATGGAGTCCCACGATTGACCTGGTATGTATTAGCAACCACTCACAAGCCTCCCAAGCCAAACATGAGCATCAGAGCGAACTTTTGCTTCCGAGGCAAGTCAATCACCAACAATGCTGGGATGGGAATGATCAAGATGGCGAGATCGGTTGCGATATGCATACTAGCATTCGAGAACCACAGACCAGGCTTGCTCAAACAGAAACCTCCTTGAATTGTAGGGTCCCAGAATTTGGCAACCGGGATACAATTGAGGAATGCACTGATTACCGCCCAGGTACCATAGACCCCAAGGATGGTGATCATAATCCAACAGACGACGCGCATGCGATGTGTTGGGAAGACGCGGAAGTATTGCATCAGAATTGAGGCTTTGGCGCAGAGGACGGCGGCGTTATAGAAAGGAATAGTGAGCCAGAAAGCCTGTTGCGGTGATTGTCAGATACTGCATTGACTGGTGGCCAACCGGGTTCGGGCAAACTCACCTTCATCTGAATCTCAAGGATTTGCGGTGGGATGTCCTTCAAGTGCATACCCATTCCACTAATTGCTTCGACTATATCCAATCCCATGAATACATATGAGTTGACCTGTTTGTCTGCATTAGCCATTGGTCTTCTGGCGTCTCGGCATGGCGACATACCAAAGCGATGATGACCATCCAGTCATTTGCTTCGACCTTTCTCATGAGTTTGATGCGGGTGTACATTCTCGCAGCCACGAAGCATGTTGCTAATGCCGTGAAAACAACGCTCACGGTCAAACCCTGTACTCCGCGAGAGGACATATAGGTGCCGTCATTATCCCGCTGGAATATCGCATCGCGAATTTGATACATATTCATCTTGAAACGCCTCGTTGGCCCTGGCAAGGAGACCTGGGGGTGAAAGAAAATTCCTACCCCCGATCTAGTATCAAAAGAATGTGGACAAATCTGGGGAATATGCAGAATATTTCGAAGGCCAGATCAATGTACAATGTTGATCCGATCCACAATGACCAGTATAGCCAAGGCTCAAGATCGAAAGCAAGACAAAGCGAAATAACAGCGAGCGATAAGAGAAGAATCTCTCGAACCGCTTGGAGAAAAGGGAGAGGCGTCGAGGAGATCACCTTATGTATAAGCCGATTTGACAAGCAAGCCCATAAACAATGCAGCCAGACCCAGAAGTCTAACGGCCGAGGCGAGAATGCATAACTAACCCCGATTCCACGAGAGCCGAATTTAATTGATCAATGATCTGCTAGTATTGCGTCTCCTCGCCTCCCCGGACTGGCTGACCGATGCTTAAACGCGAGACAGTAGCCCAGTTTCAATGAGAGCGTGTTTGCAGGTGCAGCGCAAGGGGCCGCATACAATGAATCGGGCCCAGAGTAGATCCCGAAAGAGTCGATATGTACATTTGGGACTGCAGTTCTAAGTTTTTGATTTTTCTCCTTCCTTATTTTCATTTCCGTCATCTTGCATGTACAAGTTGGCTCATTGTGGCTAACTTTCCCACATGAACGAGGAAGAATTATAGTTTGCAGGGGATGTAGATAGATCGATTGTTCTGAAACTTCTAAAACTTACACCCCTTTCCTCTTCACTGCTCTGGATGGTGAACTAGTCGCTGATTATCACGACGATCGCATGTGGAACGATCCGCCCGAGTTATCGACCAGATCAGGTATGCATTGGCCAGTGTGCCTTTATTCCCAAAAAAAAATTGATGCATGGCGGTTTATACTCCTGTGACTATTAGCGACCTTAGCTGGTATTTCATACGCAATGCAGTCGTTGAAGAGATTCCGAATATCTTGTCGAGAGGTCGGGACAACACGCTGCAGACTTCAATGTTCAATCTCCGCAAAGAATTCCACGGAGATCATTGGTTTTCTATTTCCGTCGGTGATTCCGAAAATGACAGGGACTAATGATGAAGATCATGGATCCGGAGAAGAATATCCTCCGGGCTCCAGCCTGCTCAACTATGTAGGTATTAATCTGCCTATTTAAGCTTGTCATTGGCGTTGATCTATCTAGAACGTCGCAGATCAATATAATTTAGCGTCTGTTGGATGGAGTCAAACCCATTGGACACTAGAATTTGGATCGTGAGTATGCGCGTCACTCCACGCTATAATATACACATCACATCCCTGCCTATGACAACGCCGCAATCCCAACTTGTGGTGGGCAAGGCACGGAAATGACAGAACAAAACACCAAATAGTAAAGAACTGAACTGCCGGGACAACTGCCCTCGATCGATTATAACAATGGGGGCTCACATCCGATCCTATGCAGTACATCGATCGAGAAACGTATTCGGTTTGTAGCCCTCGTTCTGCCCCTCTATTGTTACCTTGGGGATTCAAAAAATGATTGAAATAAAGTTCAGCCTGTTTCAAGAGTTGACAGAGAAACGAAGCGTCCACATGCGCCAGGGACTCGAATTTGCTTGGTAGGGCTTTGTTAAGCTCGTCGCACAGGTCACTAGTCGTGCAAGGGGTGCCCCAGAACTTTCCCACAAATATACTTGTTTTGGGAGGGCGGAAATTCAATCAAATGTGGAATTCAAAATTTGAATTAAATCTCCTATTTGTTGGGTCAAATCGCCGTTCGATAGTGGCTGGTTCCTTGTAAGGGATTGTCGTTACCTGGTTATAACCCCGACGTAAACACGCAAAAGCCTCATTATTTGTGCTTTAACTTGATAAATGTATGTATTTATTTATGAGTATAACATTGGAAACTGATTTTATGCTTTAGATCACCTCAGTCTTTGTAATAGAGCTAACGAGTTCCATTCAGTCGGGCACTCACGTCTCACAACAGGCAAAGGTGTTCACGATCGCTTCTCAGCCCGTGGCAAAAGCTGCCAAAGTAGTTTTTGGGAAAGCAATTAATCTGTAAGCCATTGAGATAACCAGCTGAAATGTGTGACTGAAGCGAACTCCGCCAATGTGGAGTTGACAAACGAGTTTACATGTCACATCCGGGGCTGATTGCCTGCACGAACATTGATAATTGCCAATCCATCCTCGCAGAAGGGACTGCAGACATCTATTCGCGTTCTTGAAGATTCGAGTTTTCTAATTTCGTTACGTGGTGGCTTTGGCAAATATGCAGGGCGCTAGGTTCTGAGCTTGCATGCACATATATTGCCTTGGTTGCCGAGTTGCTAGGGAAGCTCGGTAATTAACAGATGTGTTGACATAGTAGATATCGCCTGTTAATGTTATTTGGACAACTGTAGAAAACATGGAAACCTTTCATTATGTGGGTACTCGAGACGAGTCCACCGCGACTGCGATGCCTACTGTAGACCACTCTGACGGGTCTGCATATGGTTCAGTTAGCGATGTCATGGAAGCAAATGCACAATCAAGTCTGGTTCAAAATGAGACAGTCCGCAGCAACCATTTCCTTTTGGCTGCTCTGGACAGAATGTGGTGTGTCAGTCATTCATGAACAACGCAAGTGTCCTTGAAGGATGGTTGTCGAAACGCTGCTCGGTCAACTCTGCTGATTCATGGCACCAGAGCCAAGGATTTCTCTTATGTACTCAGATTCTTGTGATGAGAATTTCAAAATTTGGAGTCTCAAGTCAGAACCCTATAAAAAAACGTCAAAAAGGAGTCAAATCACCGGGATCTACCGGGGCGATCTCCAGGAATTGACCGCGTTCTTTCTGCGCGGTATGGCCTAGCACAATTAAATGTAGTGTTTTATTTAGGCGGGGTATTGCGAAAGTAGGGATTAATCTTGATGAGGAGGGCTGTTTGCCATTCCGATTAGGAAGATAGGCTCCAACTTTGATATTTAGAGTGACCCGTTCATATGACACGTTATGTCCCACAGATTCGTAATATAAAACATTGCCTAAAGTCTCTAGGTCTATAGTTGAATATCCCTTTGATTCTAGTATTAATATAATCAGATTCTCGGCCATAAGCTAAGTCAGTGTACCATGACTTACACCTAGATCTGGTGGTGGTCTGCTTAAGCCTCACGGCATTTTCCTTAGCCTCAACATGTTAGGAGTATACAGAAACCTGGGGAAGCTTTTCACGGAATATGGCAGCTCCTTCAATTCTCTCGATAACTTTAGGCCTAGAGGCGTTCAAATGCATTCCCGATCTGCCCTTGCTTTTTGTCGGATATACTATGTTTGGATTATGATACAAAGATACTGGTGATTTAAACACGATATATACATCACAATATAGATAGTTTATGGCAGTAAGATAAGCCAACTAAGTGTGAGTCGGCAAGCCTTGATCAAAAGAGTCCATTTATCCAAACCACTAGTGAGAATAGAGAAAGAGAACAAGAGGGATGCTAGGAAGCGTCACACTAAATGCTATCCATTCTGCCTCACTTAGAAACATTACTTATAAGACTCACTTACACCTCACTTTTGCCTCATTTATAACTCTCACTTACTACTCCTTCAATCAATCTAGGATATAGAGATATACGTATATATGCTAATTTAGAGCCTAAAAAGGAATATTTATTGTTTCGTGTATTCTACCTTTTGACAAATTGTCCCGAAATGCCAAAAATTCAACTATGTAGAAAATTGGGAAGATTTCCACGCAATATGACAGCTCTTTCGCTTCTCTAGATAATTTCGTGGCTAGTGACTGGTATACGACTCTGTGTGATAATATTTACAGTTGGTAGATTTCTAAGATTAATGTTTGACAATAAAGCAAACATATATTCTTGATTCCTCCCTACTTGTCTTGAGGATCGGGATAGCTACATTAGTTGACCAACCGCGACTAATTCAAATTATTTATCCATAAAGATACCAAGACCAGTTCTCCATTTTTCAAGAGCATTGGTATAACATTTACTATGCTTCCAGAGGTAGCCCTGTTGCCAACAACAGCGCCAATTCAATATCCCCACATATATATACTATATAGACTTATTTATCAAGCAACCATCACAGTATTCGCTGAATGGGTCCAAGGTCAATTGGGAAACAAACAAAAAAGAAAAAAATACCTTGGTGGTTATAGATGCGATAAGATAGGCCGATAAGGACGCACAGACCATTCACAGAGAAATTTCATCTTCCAACACATTCACTTTCTCAAGTCGCCTGCATTTCCTCGCTCTCTCGTTGTTGACCAGTAGGAATATTCCTGTTATACAGGTCAATATGGCGGAGACTACAAACGTAACTCCCAAGCCCGTCCACACAATTGTGTTGGACGCGGGTCCGATTCTCAAGAATACCCCGCCGCTTTCGACCCTCCTCGCGCAATGTGAGGAAATTATCACCACCCCCTCCGTGGTGGCCGAAATTCGCGACCCTGATGCCCGCGCACGTGTCGAGACTCTCTACCTGCCTTTCTTGAAGCAGCGCACGCCCACACCAAACAGCTTCAACATCATTAGCGAATTCGCTCGCAAGACTGGTGACCGAACTGTGCTGAGTCGAGTCGATATCGAGATCCTCGCCCTTGCATACGAACTCGAATGCGAAAAGAATGAAGGAGACTGGCGGTTGAGAAGTGTCCCCGGACAGAAGAAAATCAACGGCAAGCCCCCTGTGAAGGAAGAGCCCAAGGAAGAACCCAAGGAAGCCCAACCCGAGTCTACAGAAGTGCAGTCTATCACAGAGGGTGTGAAGGAAGCTGTGATTGAGGAGACCCAAGAACAGCCTAAGGAGGAGGAGGAAACTGTCCCCGCCTCCAACGAGGATGTCGAGATTATTGCCGCGGAAGAGAAGGACGAAGACGAGCCTGCGGATGATGCCGATTCCGACGGCGGAGAGTGGATCACACCCTCCAACTATAAGAAGCGCCTGGCTCAGGATGAGTCTGGTGGAGCTGCATCTCTCACGGCTGCGCCGAAGACGATGCAAGTTGCGACCATGACCACTGATTTCGCGGTAAGTACACCCGAAACCAAAACATTGAACCACACACTAAGATAGTTGAATAGTGTCAAAACGTTCTCCTCCAGATGAACCTTAACCTTCTGTCTACCACCACCCTGCAGAAGATTCAGCACCTCAGAACCTTCATTAAGCGCTGCCACGGCTGCTTCTTAACCACCAAGGACATGAACAAGCAGTTCTGCCCTCGCTGCGGCAAAGACACCCTTACTCGTGTCTCTTGCACCACCACTGCTAATGGCCAATTCACAATGCATCTAAAGAAGAACATGCAGTGGAACAACCGCGGCAACGTATACAGCGTCCCCAAGCCCATCGCAGGCAGTGCGAACGGCAAGTGGAAGGGCGGCGGTGGCAAGGGAGGATGGGGCACAGAGCTCGTCCTTGCTGAGGACCAGAAAGAGTTTGTCCGCGCCAACGCAGAAGAAGAGCGCCGGCAGCGCCGTGAGCGCGATCTCATGGACGAGGATTACCTTCCTGGCATTTTGACTGGCGAGCGCAACAAGACCGGTGGTCGTACCAAGGTCGGAGCTGGGCGCAATGTCAACTCTAGAAAGCGCTAAGTGTGCGATGTGGGTGACTTTGCATCTTGCATTACATGGGCTGGAGTTTTGGGGCATGGAAAAGAGAAAAAGTTTCGTTTCACTTGGTCGATGTCACTGTGGCACTCATGGTGACGATCGGCCTGTTCATGAGGAATGACCATGTCTTGTCTTTTGATTTACAGTTGAACATAGATTATGTAGCCAGTCATACGATTGTATATGAACAGTTATCAAAGTCCTTGTTGTTGACGACCTAGATCAGGTATCATATTCTCTAATTTGTCTAGGTCAAGCCCCGACAAGAATATCCAACGAAAGCAAAGCAAGTATGCACATCTTAGCCATCCGTTGACCGCAGAAAAACACCATTCGCCGAAACATGGGCTATGCCGCCCGGTAATACACTTTTCTCAGTGTTAATTGCTCTAAGGCTGGGCAGGGTTGGCAGCTGTGATATCGATGTTAGTTCTAGAAAGCGCAATTTGGGAAAAGATTCGACGTACCGGACTGCTGCGTGAGGAGAAGACCGTAGCGCTTCTTCAGGGTGACACGGTGACTGCGGAAATGGTTAGCTCACTGCAATTCCAACATACAACACAAATGCACCTACCGAGAGTACTTGTCATCGGGAGAGAAACGGGCGGGATGGGCAGACTTGGTAACCTCACCGTTGAGGACCTATAGTTGACCGATGTTAGAATCATGCAAGGTACAAGTAGGACCAAAGGAACCACTGAGTCTGAGTACACCAGATTTTCCTCGGTGCAATTGTTCCCATACCTTCTTGAGCGTGTAGACACGCTTGCCTTCGGTGTCGAGAGTGTACTGTTCGTTAAAATTAGCGACCGATTCTGGGACGGAGCTGGCGATTCGTGCGCTTTGCGGTTGCGATGAAACATACCATAAGATGCATTCTGAGATAGAGGTTAGCAGATCAATATAATATCGAGTACAAGATCAATAACTCACTTGACGGTATTGGTGCTTCGTTTCGGCTTGACGGCGATAGTGGAGGAATTTTTTTCTCGATGAACCTGAGCGAGCTCGGGCCACCCTGCTGAGTCATGTTCTGCTTTAAATGGCCGGGCTTCCCGCAAAAATTCCTCTTCCTCGCAAAGAGCTGCAAAAATAGTATATTCATCTCTATGACAGCGCATGGCCATTGTTGATGGGCAGAAATGCCATGGTGGCTTTAGTAATTGACAGTTCAACTTACTTCAGCATACAGACCTCCAGGTAAGAATGACTTCTTCCCTCTCCCCATGCCCTTCACCTTCGGTGATGACACCTTTATTCATGCTCAGGCAGACGGCACTTTGATTTCTAGCTGTCTGTCAATGATTCGCTGAATTGACTACAACGGTATCTGAGAAGAACCACACCATGTCGAATGAACACTTCGCATGTGGAAAGACATTCGCTAACATCGAATTTCTTCAGGACTTTTGAATCTCAATACGAGTTCTTCCAGTAGTGGCTTCATAATGGCCGCTCCAGTAACCAGCACTGAGAGGCCTGCGTCTACCCAGTCCGGGCCTGCAGATGCTCGCCCGCCTCGTGCTCCCCGTCCTCCTAGGCCCAACTTCAGACATATTCACCGGTTCCCTCTCCCGGTCACTGTACATCATGTTCCTCCTGTAATTCCTCATAACCCTCTCTCTCTTATTAGTGTTGTCCTCTCGTATCTCACATTCCTTATCTCCCCGCCCCGTCAAGAAGTCTACTCAGCCTATTTTGACTCGGCCACTTCGTCGATCCATGTTACGGACGAGGATGCCATTAAGGCCTTGTGGCAGATGGGCTTCTTTGGCAAGGGTAGTTTAAGTCGAAGCGAGCCGAGCTGGCTGGCACGTGAGAAGAAGCGGAGAGGGTTATTGGGCGGCAAGTCAAGTGAGGAGGTTACAAGACAGCGACGGACGGAACGACGCGAGCTGAAGCTAGAGCGTGCACGCATGGAAAAGCTGGCCATTGAGGAGAGACTCAAGGCTGAGGCTGCGGCCAGGGAATCTGGCGCCACGCCTGACCAAGATTACCAGTCAACGCCAGCAGATGGCACGGCTAACGACACAGCAACCTCGACTGAGAAGTTCTCCCTTAGGAAGGCAAAGGAGGCCAGAATGCTCGAGGCACGCAACCAAGCAGCACAAAAAGCGGCTGTGACGGATTCAGCGGATCAAGCCGAGAAGTCGCCAAATGGGAAGTCTGTACGCTTCTCGCCAGTCGTGCAAAAGAAAGAGTTCCTCTCAAACTCGCCGTCTTCCGTCAAACTCACGAATCCCCTTGTGGATAGCATTGAAGCGGACGAGGAACCCATCTTCGAAAATGAAGAGCATCTCCAACTTTCCAAGGAAGAAGCATTCTTCCTCGCCTACTCCCTCGGCGCCTTGAACGTCTATGATGCCCCCGTCAAGGCAGGCCAGAATCAGCCGAACTCAATCATTTCAACTACATCCCTCCTCAAACTCCTCTGCAACCACTCCTTCTATCCCTCCCGGGATGCCTCTGCCGCCCTCCAACCCGACGACCCCTTCATGCTCTCCTACGTCATCTACCACCATTTCCGCTCTCTAGGCTGGGTCGTCCGCTCCGGCGTGAAATTCGGAACAGACTACCTGCTCTACAACCGCGGACCCGTCTTCTCACACGCCGAGTTCGCCGTCATCGTCATCCCCTCCTACAGCCACACCTACTGGACCGAAACCGAGGAACGGAAGGAATACATTGCTGCCAAGCAGGCTCGGAGTTGGTGGTGGCTGCACTGCGTCAACCGAGTCCAGGCCCAGGTCTTGAAGAGTCTTGTTGTCTGCTACGTGGAAGTGCCGCCGCCTTCTGCTTCCATTGATGATATTGGCGCTTTGCTTGGTACTTACCAGGTGCGCGAATTCCTTGTTAAGAGATTCGTGCCTAACCGCATGCGTGATTGAGTAGCATGGTGTTGTTTTTTTCGTTTTTGTACAGGGCTTCTGATACCCTCAGCTCATGCTGTTGCTTTGAACATGAATTGTTGCATACTTGTAATATCATTGCATAATGACCCATGATGTCAACGATTTACTATTCCAAATACTTTTATCAATGTAAATATCTTGTAGAATGCACTCGTTTGCCGAGTCATGAATCGTGCAAAAAAAGGCATTACTACCACGCTAGTCTATAAGAGGCAATATTACTCTCAACACTCACGTGACATGAATTTCGCGTCCGGCTCGCGTTCGGGTGCCAGCCCATCAATTTTGATGGCCGGGTATCACGAGGAAGCAATTTAGTACAATTAATATCTGAGGTAGCTATCTTACCACACTGATCTATGAGGGTATCTTGGGACTCTATATGGCCCGAAAATGGAAAGTCAGGAGGATAGCATCGATTTTGCGAAGTTGCGACGCGACGCGTTGGGGCTAGTATGTACCAACCCTGCAGCGTTCTTCGCCCTCATTGGACTAATCCAAAAACCCAGCACTCTCCATCTCAGCTGTGTCACTCAGGCTTTGCAGATACTGGCAACGAACCAAGGAACAAACTCAGTTACATATACCAAGTGAACAGCGCTTCTGGCACATTTTCTCGCCAATCTCAACCCCCGAAAACGCCATCAGACCCCGCGAGATTTTCCACCAGAGACCAACACTCCCCGACTCGATCCCGGCAGCATGAATCACAACCAATGAGTTTCCAAAAAAGCGATGCCGGACCGGAGGCTGTACCGGGATCGCAATTTGACATGAGCTCGGGAAATGGTGCTCCGGGGGACACCCAGGTTGTATCGCAGTCAGTGTACGACAGCCTCATCCGACAAAACGAGGAGTCCATGCACCATGATTTCACACAAACAGGGGCAGACCGAGCAACATTGAGGACCTTGCACGAAGGCGATAGCGGCCATATCGACCTCTTCGCCGAATTGGACACCGCACGCCACGGGATCGAACTCACCCAGTATAACGACGAAAACGATGACGCCAGTAATTCTGATCCGAACGAGTCTTCTCCGATGGCCTATGCGCCCGATCTCTTCCCCGAGTCGCAAAGGTTCCTGGCCGAAACTCCAGGAACGGGGGTGAAAAGGGCCGAGGCAAACGGCGCGACCACTGAGACCCCGAGCGTCTCGCGGAACCCGCTTGCTGGGGATATCGAGTCCAGTGGTGGCCTGATGGGTCTCAGCCAGGTATTCAGAGCTACACAGGCGCCGTCATCTCCTCTCGTCAACCTGCAGTCGGAACTCGCATCGGACCGCCCATCGCCGAATATTCCGATCCAGAAAGCCCGGATTACTCACGGCATTTCCTCGCCGTTGATGGGTGTCCAAAACAACTTCGTCAGAGAATCATCCGAACCGAACTTGAACTATATCTCGATGAAGGAGTCACAGACCAGGCGCGATCGGACGTTAGGAGAGAGGTTGACTCGATCGGCGGGCAACATCCAGTCGGACCAGAGTGACAAAGAGTTCTACAAGGAGTCGAGCTTTGTAGAACGTGCACGGCGGCAACGGGAGATTGATGAGGAAGCTGCGGCCCAGTTCGCCGGTCTGAAGGCTCCTGCCAGATCGACATCAAACCTTTCGGCCAGACCAACTTCTCCCCAACACTCACCGCAAGACGTCGAAACGGTCGAGCCTGTTGCTAGCGAGGAAGAAACAGAACAAGAAGAAGATAGTGTTGTGCAGGTTCCTCAATCACAAGAGCCTCCTCCATCTTCAACGGAAGAGGATAAAGAAAACTACGACGGCCCTCCGTTGGATGCTGCCGCCGCCGCCAGTGCCCATGAACGACTATCTCAGGTGCTTGCCTTTGAGCTAATGCATTCACCATCTGCTACGTGTCTAGATGCAGAACCAGAGGACGACATCCATCGTCCACGCTCCTTCCGCTCCCAAACGGGTAATCAACCCAACTTTCGTTCTTCCCAAATGCAGGTGAACGATTCTCAACCATCGCCTCAACCAACGCCGCAACCCTCACCGATAAGCATTTACGACGAACCTGTTCAGAACAATATGCCTCAATCGCCATCGCGCTCTCATGTGAATTCTCCTTTGCCACAACGTCTTCAATCCTCTCCTCCTTGCTCTCGACCCGATCAGCGATCAAGACCTTCAAGTCGCAATGGCCAACAAGCTAGCATTGTGCCAAATAGCCAGGATATAAAGTCTGGAAAGGACACACCATTCTACAGGAACGGAGACGCACGATCTAGTGCCCCATCTGAGCAGCAAGACATGGGCTCATCTCACCCCAGAGACCCGGGACTTGGAGTCAATTCATCTCTGCAATCCCATGTGACTGAAACGCCTGTTCATCAACGCCTTAAACATATTGGTGATATGGCTCGATTGACAAGCATCCCTGAAACAAGCCCCAGTAACTCCCAATGCCATTCAGAATCTGGATCCAATGGCGATGGACTGAACAATGAAGATGATGATCTTCCACCGATGTTCAATGGTATTTCTAATAACAGAAGCAGTCAGATCCGTCCATCTGGAGCTAGGGCACTGTCTTCGCCACTCAAAAAACTGCTTTCTAGCCCAGGCGGAGGGCAACGCAGAGCCTTGACCGAAATTGCGGCAGATCTTTCACCACAAGTTGGAACGGGAGGATTCGACATGGGGATTGGGATTTTTGCGAACGACGACAAAGAGTTCAGAGCGCTCGTCGATGGATCACCAACCCGACATAAGAAGAAGCGCCGCGGCAATGAAGGTCAAAGTTATATCGCCTCCGACCCGATCATACCTTTCACCCCTCGTGCGCAGCCTCCTAAGTCAGTCACGCCACTTCGCGCACTACACAATCGACCACCGCCTATTCCAGAAGAACCAGAGCACGTATCGCAGATACAAGTGCCTGCAACAGACGTCCGGAGACAATCAAAGCCCCCGCGACGAGCTCCCGAAAATGTATGGGAAGTGGAGAACTCGCCTGAGCAGCCCTTCCGCCGGAGATCGAGGATCGGCCAACGACTCGGCCAGCGCGCTATGTCGCGATCTTTGCGAGAATCGCAAAGCCCGGAAAGGAACACTGGGAAGCCTGAAAGATCCGCACCTAAGCCTAAAGCTGTCGTTCATAACCCACCACCACCTCCATCTTCTGATCCCGCTGGTACCAGAACCGACTCAGCCGATATTGCAGAGTCAGAATCAGCCTCCACCATAGCATCCCCTACTACACCCCGACCATCCCAAACTTTATCAGATAATACGCAGATTGCTCCAAGTCAAGTGCTTGCAGTCTGGAGAGGCCAACAATTGGCATACTTCCCCGCAACATGCTTTGGAACCCCACTAGGGGTCTCCCAAAATCAATTTTCGGTTAAATTTGAGGACAGTCACCCTGTGGAAGTGCCCAAAGTTACCGTGAAAAGATTTGAGCTGCGTGTCGGAGATGAGGTTAAAGTTGACATGCCTAATGTCCCTAAAGTGACCCACGTTGTCCGCGGGCTCGATGACAAACTTACTAAAGAAGAGCTTTCCAAGGCTGTTGACGATGGCCTTCATCCCATTACTGATATTTATGGCCACGCTACTGTCATCCTTGGTCCCAAGCAGCGCAAGAGCCTGCCACGTGGTGGACTAAGCGGTACTGAAAACATCATCAAGGTGCCAATTGGCCGCATCTATCTGGATACTATGCTCTGGAAGAAGCTCCAAGATCGGGAGTTTACACATCGGCCCGATCCTGTTCGTCAAGAAAACAAGGCCGCAACGCCATCTGAACCCCCGTCTGTGCCTGCATCTCCCAGCGCTCGCTTCTCTCGGAGCATTCGTCAAGCCAGCGGGATCTTCGCCGGAATGGCATTCGCGGTATCTTACAAAGAAGATGAAACGTCCAAAAACCGTGTCACGAAGATGATCGAAGAGAACGGCGGCACTTTACTACACGAAGGATTCACTCAATTGTTCGAAGCCTCATCGATTATTCCAAACGATACCCCGACAAAAACCTCAGCCAAGGATGAAGCCAAAAACCAAGGCCTACGTCTTACAGCCCTCGCCGAAGATGTTGGCTTTGCTTGCTTGATTGCCGACACACATTCCCGTCGCGAGAAATATATGCAAGCACTTGCATTGAATCTCCCCTGTCTGTCAGGACGCTGGGTAGAAGACTGCCTTGCACAAGGCCGCGTTCTTGACTGGGACATCTACCTTCTACCCGCCGGGGACTCAACCTACCTCAACGGAGCAACAAAATCCAGACTAATGATTCCAACACCCCCATCTTCCGCCCGTCTCTCCGAAACCATCTCAGCACGACCCAAACTCCTCAAAGGGCAATCAGTTCTCCTCGTCATGGGCCGCGGAAAAGCAGAAGAAAAGCGAAAAGCTTACATCTTCCTCACATACGCCCTGGGAGCTTCGCGCGTTGAACGAGTTCCCGATCTCGGCACGGCCCGAGCCTTGATCGACTCACAGTCTGATGCCGGTGTACCATCCAGCTGGGACTGGATCTACGTTGACGATGCGGATCAACGTGCTGCACGGTGGATGCTTGAGCCGAAGACGCAGAAGATTCATCTGACTCATGGAAAGAAGCGGAAGAAGTCTACTGTGACCATTCCTTCTACTCCTATTCCGAGTGAGCGGAAGATTACTCCAAAGGTTGTTGGTAATGAGTTTGTTTGTCAGAGTTTGATTCTCGGTCGGTTGTTTGCCGAGTGAATGTTTTTTTTTCTGGTTCTTGATACCAATGTCATAAAATGTACAAATTTAATGATTTTCACTGTATTTTTGGATACCTGTAGGTTGACAGCTTATTCTCTGCCTTTTTAAGGAATCGCAGCAAGGGTTTTTTAAGAACATCCGTGTCAATCATCTGAGCATTAGTGAGCATGCTCGATGTTCGGCCCATCAGTAGGCTCATCTGGTTTAATGGGCATTCGCTCTTTCCCTTTTGCCTGTTCTCTGTTCGCTCTCTCGGACGGCCCTTTTTGACCACCAGTATCGAGGCCTTCAGTATCTCCCCAAGTATGATCATGAGCACTGTTGGAAGATTGTGTGGGTTGAGTTTCTCGCTGCCCATCTTGCTCTGCAGCCGATGCTTGATCAACGACAGGAAGAGGCCCCTGCACATTTGGCCCCTGGGCCATATCGAGATTCTCAAAATTGGATAATTCTGGAAGTTGAGGCGCTTGCTCTGCAACCTGCTCAGTAGCTGGTGCCTGTCCAGCCGCAGGAGCAGAACCACTTTGTGGCTGTTCGCTAGAACCTCCAACAGCAACCCCACTAGTCTGAGCATCCGACTGCCCCGGGCCCTCCGAAGAAGGTGTACCAACTCCATCAACAAGAAAGAAGTCACCATTGAGCACATCCATAAGCACCCCAGCTTCAGGCGGCGAAGGCACAAGCCCAGTCAAAAGCTCAACAGCCCTAACCTTCCGCCCATAAAACTTCTTATTGGCATCAGCCCGCTCAGCAATAACACCACCTTCAACCGTAACACCGCCATACAATCCACGAGTCTTCGAGTAAGCAAATACCCCAGCACCGCCCTTCACCCCCAACACACCCCCGGCCTCAGCACTCCGGCCAATAGGCCCCAAAGCTGCAGAGATATTCCCACCAAGAGTCAGACTCCCAGCCTGCATGAATGTTTTCACTGCTGAATCGGTCGTCAGGACGAATACAAAGTCCGTTAATTCCATGCCGAATTGGCCGCCTGCTCCGACGCCGCCCATGCCCATTGCTGATGGGGCTGACCAGCTTCCATCTTGGAGGCGGGCGATTATTAAACCTGATCCGAAGCGGGCGGAACCTAGGAATCCAGCTCGTAGGGCTGTGAAGATGGCGATTCCCTGGAGACGGGGCGGGAGTAAGCACTATTTCTGATGGTTGTTTCACTAAGGGGTGTGGTACCTTTGCCCCTTTGAAGACCTTTCTTGGTATTTCTCCGTCGATCTTGAGTTTCGGGTTGATGAAGGATTCTAGGATTGCAGCTGCTTTCTTGCACTCGCCTGATGGGTGGTCAGTTTAGGGTTGCTGTATGGGGAAAGTGGATCATATGTACTAGATAGCGATGCTGGTAATGGGTTATGCAGTGGGTTTTTCATGGTATGTGCAGTAGTCTCTTGCTCGCTTTTTGTGAGTGACGATGTCTATGGGATTAGAATTTGACTGGACAATGGGGTCGAAAGGCGCCGTTCTCGTGTTCAACCTTGGGCTGTCGGGTTGTATTTGCAGACATCCGCAATTAACAAGTCCCTAGAACAGAATCGGCACTTGTTAGATCGGTGCTCAAGTTAAACATTGGTAGTTGTTCTATGCTTGTAACATGAGGTCTAATAGGGGTTGAGGGGCTGAGTAGATCCTGGTGTGCACGGACATTTAGTATACGCCCAGCTCCATACCTCACCGGACCTTTCGAATCTAGAGACCCGATTTTATTGAAAGCCGTGGAGCTCATAGAAATTCAAGTATGTGAATTGTTTCAACGCCAGTCATATTGAATTGCCTCAACCTAAAAGAAGTGAGACTGTCAAGCCTCTGAGGTCTCCAAGATGAGCCTCACCGACTCTCTGACTATCCCCAAGGACAAACTCTATCATTTCGTAGATTTGACCAAAACCTGCGTATAAGTAATTCTCCTATTTACCACAATCAGGCGAATCGACCGGATCGCGCAGCTGTACGGGTAATAGTCTAGTTCGTTAGACTAGCCTGGCCTAACCGGCCAGCAATATTTTGGAGGCTCTCCCAACAAAAGGGACCAATATTAGCATACTATATCAATCTTTCCATAGATAGAGACGTACGAGATCTGAATAGTGTCTTTATAAAGAGTCGGCACAGTCGTGCATGTAATGCTTAGTGGCTGCCTTGAGGGAACACAGGGCATTCCTTGTTTGGTCGCATCATCCCTCTATCTTGGGCCTTATTCCATCTCGATACCCTGGATGTACGTAGCTAACGCTATCATTCACGTGGAGATGCTTGGAAGCCGGGGCTTGGTCGACTCTTTGAAAAGGCCAAGAAATGATGATAGGAGTCAACGATGGGGAATAAGGTGAGCGCGAGAGAGTGAGAGAGGCATTAAGTTAACGTTAAGCTCAATGTATGCAGCCCACCCTGAAAGTGAGCTCCCCTCAAATGATAAGTGACATTAGTATATTCTAGATATGGTATTGTATTAAGTAGATTATTCATTACGTCGTTATAGTGAATAGAGAATGATATTAAACATATTGATAATCTTTGAAACTGAAAACTAGGGAAAACAGAGGCGAAGTAATAGGCAAAAAAAAAAAAAAAAAAAAAAAAAGACCGTGACGCAAAAACCAATCCGACATTCTAACGCCTGCGGATATTAGAGAAGTTAGGCATGATCACGATCATCTACCAAGCATGACACCTGAAGAATTTCCATTGGAAGATTGAATATATGAGACGGCCCGTGCCCCGCCCTAGTGGAGCGTTCATGTAAATAGTCTGAGCACGGGTACAGCACTAGAACAGCGTGGCGGCTAAACATTGATTTTTTTGACCAAAAACAACTAGCCTTTGCCACGGAAATCGTATAACCGTATCAAGTGTGCAATATTATCTTCGCGTTAAATCTCTACAGGAGAGAAGAAAGGTTACGCGGTTGTGTTAGGGAAATACCCCTAAAACTCCTGGCTTTAAGTATGTCTTACTTTGATGGTCAAATTGCAGCATTGTTCCCAAATGCAGGGGAATCGTGAAGCTAGCTAAGATCAAGGAAATCAAGAGTTCGTTCTCAGGCACTGTATTCTGGGTCAATCGGAATAATCAATCTAAATATTAGCGACGTGCATCGCACCGATCGTCTTGGCTTGAAACAGACCGGCTCACTGGGGAACCGACGCGGACCTCAGCACCAAAACCCGCATGGCCCGTGTAATGTGAAGTGCTAGTTGCAGGAGCCGAAGAGGATGTGTATTGTATCGCAGTGATCGCTTAATAGACAATTGATCTATCCGACGGAGTAGGCCAAATCCGGTCGGCAAACTATAATAGAGTTTGGCGGATCGGGCTGGACCACGGGCGCCACTTATGCTTAAATTTGCGGCGAGGAAATCCCTCGGTATGAGCCAAAGAAAAGGAATGGAAACTGTCAGCAATTAGCTGATTTAGTGCAAGACTCCAGTTAAACTGATTCAAGGTGGGATCTTGAAGATTTTTGAAAGAGCTACTTCCAGTGTTCGTGGGCTATCATTACCCCTTTGATCCACCCTTCATCATTCCAGTCACAGTCACACAGCAATCCACCAAACATTAGCCGCGGGATCCGAGCTGACCTTGTAAAGCTTTGAACTTATGTCGGCCCCTCTCGCTGTAATGGTAGGCCCGTCTAGCCCCGATTCCCCAGCAATTCAACCGTCCGTCAAGATGCTTTTCCGGGCTATACTTGTAGCTCTCGCGCTCCAGGTGAGTAGCGTGGCAGGTGAAGAATTTGAGCGGCGGTCTGGCCCTCTTGTTGACCAGACATTTGACTATGTGGTTGTTGGCGGTGGTACCGGCGGAGCTGTGATTGCGACGCGATTAGCACAGAACGAGTTCAAAGTCGCTTTGGTGGAAGCTGGAGGGTATTATGAGCTACAGTCTCTGGCTGCAGTTCCTGCGGCAGATGTCCTACCTGTGGGAGCCGATCCTAATACCTATTCTCCCGTCGATTGGGGCTTTATAACAATGGACCAACCAGGTGCCAATGGGCGAGCCATTCACTACGCGCGAGGAAAATGCCTCGGAGGATCGTATGATTTCCTTGTTTTCCTCTACAATTACAGGAAAAGACAGTTGTAACAATGTTTTTCCAGATCGGCTCTGAACTTCATGATCTACCAGCGGTAAGGTGGCAGGGACTATACACTTCGGCCCCTCAGCTAACACCCGATCTAGCCCAACACGTGAATCTATGGACCAATGGGCCACTGTTGTCGACGATGATAGTTACAAGTTTGACCAGGTACTTCCATTTTACAAAAAAAGTGTCCAGTTCACGGCACCAGATACCCAATACAGAGCTGCAAATGCCTCGGCTGCCTATAACGCCGACGCATATGAATCAAACGGAGGCGGAGGCCCATTGCAGGTCTCGTATGCCAACTTCGCAATGCCATTCTCTTCATGGATGAACCTGGGTATGCAGGCTATTGGTATCAATGAAATTCAGGACTTCAACCTCGGTTCTTTGATGGGAGCCCAGTACTGTTCATCCACCATCGACCCGGCTCATGAGCTTCGCAGTAGCTCCGAGGAGTCTTTCTTGTCCAAGATTACTCCATCTTCTCTGACAATCTATACCAACACCCTCGCAACAAAAGTTGTTTTTAAAGAGAGAAAAGCCACCGGAGTTGAAGTGAAGGGTCTTTTTGGCAACACTATTACCCTTTCGGCCTCGAAAGAAGTTATCATCTCCGCTGGTGCATTTCAGTCTCCTCAACTTCTCATGGTTTCTGGAATTGGCCCTTCTGAACAGTTGGAAGCTCATGGCATTGATGTTATCGCTAATCGACCTGGTGTCGGGCAAAACATGTGGGACCATGCGTTCTTTGCGCCTACATACCGTGTTCAAGTGACCACATTAACGAAGTTTGCCAATGACCTTCTCTATGCGGCTGGACAAGTCGTCGGTGGAGCCTTCACCAAGACTGGATTATTGACGAATCCAGTCGCCGATTTCCTAGCCTGGGAGAAGATCCCCGACTCTTTGCGCTCTGGTTTCTCTCAGGTAACGAAAGAGAGCTTGGCTAAGTTCCCAGACGACTGGCCCGAGGCAGAGGTATACACAAGGTCAAGATGGTGGCAAAATACAGAGCAAATGCTAACAGGTACATAGTACATTTCCGGCGCAGGATACGTTGGAAACGTCTCCAATCTCCTGACAAACCAGCCCAAAGATGGATACCAGTACGCCTCAATGCTTGGCGTGCTAATCACGCCTACATCTCGTGGGAACGTCACCTTGAATTCAGGTTCCACTACTGACCTCCCGACAATCAACCCCAACTGGCTGGACACTCCCGCAGACCAGGAAGTTGCCATTGCCATGTTCAAGCGCATGCGCCAGGCCTTCCAGAGCGATGCCATGGCACCCGTTGTCATTGGCGATGAGTACAACCCCGGTACTCAGGTCCAAACTGATGCTCAGATCTTGGAATGGATCAAGAACAATATTATGACTATTTGGCATGCGGCTTGCACTTGCAAGATGGGTACCCTGGAGGATAAGATGGCTGTCGTTGACTCTCAGGCTCGTGTATATGGTGTGCAAGGACTGCGTGTTGTCGATGCTAGTGCTTTCCCTTTCCTTCCTCCTGGTCATCCTCAGTCGACAGTTTGTAAGTTTCTTGGCGATGTTTCTTTTTGGTCGGTTGCTAACTGCTGGTATAGATATGCTTGCCGAGAAGATCGCCGCTGCCATTATTCAGAACTCCTAATCTCGCCAAAGTTGATTCATTTAAAGGTGGATACTTTAAGTAATCAAATCGTTGTCCATCGGACAAGCTGATTTAGTCTGTTTAATATCCATGTACATAAGTTGTTTTCCAACCATGCCGTGCCATGTTGAGCCGACTATGGGCTATGCTGCCTTCATATACAAAGCAACCTACAATGGCAACTGTCCAAAGAAATATGATATACTTGGAGAACTTGATGGGGAAATGCTCTTTCTATTATACAGTGAACACCAGATTCAGATCCTCATATCGCTACAGAAACCCAAATTCATTGAAACAAGACATCGCACATACTGCGAAAGCCCTTATTTCTTGCTCGTCTTCTTCTTGCCCTTCAGACTCTTCATCTGGGCAGCCCGCTCAGCTCTCTGCTCCCGCTTCCTCCACGCCAACCACCGGTTGCGACGATCATAAGGCATAGCAGTGATACCGGCCTTCTCAGCGGCACGGCCAATCTGCCAGTTAGCGTCACGGTACATGTAACCAGGACGCCACTGGGGGCCAGACTGAGCATCAACAGCCGCGACATCAGAGATCTGAACACCATTCTCATCAACCGAAGCAACAAGATCAGACTGGCCAACAACCTTCTCCACCATAGGCACAGAAACCATATTCAGCTTCCGCCGGCTGGGCGCGTTACGCGGGTGCGGGAGCTTCTCATCCTTGTTGAAAACGACGCCGATAAACCGGCGCTCGGAGTGCTTCAATGGGTCGAGGTAGTACTGGACGTATCCAGCCTGTGTAGCGTAGATTGTGTGGTCACGGCCCATTGCGCAGTTCTCGCCGGGGAACCATTTCGAGCCTCGCTGCCGGAAGATGATGCATCCCGGAACGACGTACTCGCCGCCCGAGCGCTTGGCTCCGAGACGCTTGCCGGCCGGATCGCGGGAGTGTCGGTTGGCTGTTCCTTGCGAGGCATGTGAGGCGTAACGCACTTGTGAGAATGGGAGGAGCGTGCGGGAGAGGGAGGGTGTAGGTGTGGTTTTCGGAAATGTGGATGCGGAGAGTGTTCGTAGGACGGATTGCGATTGGGAGAGCGCGTTTGTCGATCGGATTGTCGGGGTGAAGGCTCGCTCCAGCGCCCTTAGGGGCGCCAGTACTCGTGGCTTAAACATGGTGGGTTGCAATTGAGTGTTTGTCGAGTTGGACGTCGAAGCTCCAAAGGGGAAGTTTTTCGTTGGAGATGGGGCTTGGCGTCACGTGCCGACCATACGGCGTAAGCTGGCTTCATCTATACCTCTTCGTTTTGGTCTGCACACCTACTACAGATTTATTTCACGATTGTTGTCGTGACTTTGGAATTTTGAATCATGTTGCAAAGCTGGCGCCAAGCCCTCTGGGCTCTTCTTCTCCTTGTGTCCGTCGCCCAGGCCCAATTCAACTTCTTCGAGCAAATGTTCGGAGGCGGCGAGCAGCAACAGCGCCAGCAGCATCGGTCGCAGAGTGCCCCAAGTGACAGCGGTCGATACCAGCAGATGTGGAGTGGAGGTAAGTCTCAACGAACGGGATACTCTGGCATTCCTTGGCGAGTCACTACTCTTGCGACCATATAACTAACTTGGGACATCTGTTTATAGCTCAGTGCGACAACTATCTCTGCCCCGGTACTCTCGCTTGCGTACACTTCCCACACCACTGCCCTTGCCCACACCCAGATGTTGAAGAGAAGTTCGAACTCGGGGAGGGAAGCGCTATCTGTGTATCGAAGGGCGGATTCAAGGCAGGCGAAGCTGCACGAAAAATCGAATTGGCCCGTAAGGGACTTTTGTGAAACCATATATCCTTCTATGGCCATGTATTCGGTGCATTCAGCTTGCATGCATTCGTTGGTATGATCAACTTCATGGAGTTGCCGCTGGTCGGATAGTTGCGATTGGTCTACTTTGAGCTGTTTTGGAAAAGAGCAATTGATAGAGTAATGGGCAGCTCATATTGCATACAAACCTTGCGCTTAACCACTCATAGATTCGCGCAATGATCTGGGATCTGGAGCCGTGTAGTTTGCATGTGTACGACATGTACTCTTTACAAAGTATCGTTCTGTAGTTACGGGAGCAGTTAAGGGAGCAGTTTAAATAAAATCAAGACCAACAAGCTTAATCAACACCATAAATCTCTATAAAAATCAAAGAAACATTTGAAGTCGAGCGCCACGATCTGCGCAAACGAGCGTTGCTATCTCCGTTTAACCCCGCGGCGAACCTCCGTCATCAGAACGTCCCGAGCTCTTCACTTCCGCCAACTTCGCCTCCTATCGCGCATCGTCACAAACAGATCAACCAAGATATTTCTATTCCAAACAATCACTGGTACATCCAATATCATGTGGAGTTTAAGGCTCCGACCACTGCAAAGGCAGTGGGCTCCAACTCACTGTCGAGCTCTGTCGAGCTTCAGAAGCCACGGCAGTCGGCGTGGCCCCCGCAACAGTATACAAAGACCAGACCTCATACAGACCTCGAAGAAGGTTGAACCATCGTCACATCCCGAACCTGCCGCTCCCGAACCTCAAGATGCCTACAATCCAAATTACGACCCTTCACAAAACACTCTACTCTCTCCCGTCTACCTGCCAGAAGACCCCAAAGGCGTGCTGAAAGAAAACCACCCGGCGATTTCAATATTGGCGAACTCGGGAGTTGTCGTACAGCGACAACTTGAGATGATGAATGTCATGATGTGAGTGCTTCAAAAGTCATTGTTTTGATGTCTTTTGAATATGAGACTTTACTAACGGCTCATTGCTGCAGTGGCTTCGAACAAGCAAATAAATATGTCATCATGGATGCGCTGGGAAATCATATTGGATATATGGCAGAACAAGAAAAAGGTATGGCAAATGCTATGGCGCGACAATGGTTCCGTACCCATCGGAGCTTCGTGACACATGTATTTGACCGACAAGAAAACGAGATTCTTCGAGTAAGTCTACAAGGGGCGGCTATATGGCTTGGCTCGGGGCTTTGATACTAACTTTCGCAGTTCAATCGTCCCTTCTCCTACATCAACTCCAAGATCCGAGTATATGATCCTCTTGATAAAACCCCTACGTCCCCCTCTTCATCTACGTCTCTGCAAGGCGTGACGCCTGGGTCTCTCACCCAGCCTGGCATCACATCAAATGCACGGGTATCGTCACTCGATCTTAATGAGATGCAAGTCATCGGTGAAGCCCAGCAGCAGTGGGCACCTCTACGACGCAAATACAATCTTTTCACCTACCACCAGTCTCCGAACTCAGCGACAGACATGGGAATGCAAACTTTCCCCTTATCCGGGTCTCAACTATCGCAGGGGCAACAGATGCAGCTTGCGCAAACATCTGACCATGGCCAAGGCGAATTCAATCAGTTTGCCTACGTTGACGAGCCATTCCTATCATGGGACTTTTCGTTGAAGTCGGCAGACAACCAGTTGATCGGATCAGTTAACCGCGACTTTGCGGGCTTTGCTCGCGAGTTCTTCACTGACACCGGTGTTTATGCACTGCGAATGGATTCTGCGGGCCTAGGTGCCCAGGTACCAGCCGGCCATCGTGATAAGGTTCCCGGAATGACCCTGGACCAACGTGCTGTCATGTTGGCTACGGCTGTAAGTATTGATTTTGACTACTTCAGCCGCCACAGTGGCGCCGGTGGGTTTGGCTTCATGCCACTCTGGTTCCCCGGTATGGGCGGCGAAGCTGCGGCCGGGGGTGCAGCAGGTGGTGCAGCAGCGGGAGGTGCAGCTGAAGCTGGGGCAGTTGGTGAAGCGGCTGCTGGGACTATTGGGAGAGCCGGGGCCGCTGGTGGTATGACGGATGGCATGGCTGCGGGCGCCACTGGCGCAGGTGCAATGGCTGGATATGAAGCGATGCAAAGAGGTCGCGGAGGCGATCAAAATGCTGCATCGCCTGACCAGCAACAATCGCAGCCAATGGACCAGGACTCACAGGGCTTTTACGATGAGCCCCAGGATCCCTGGGGCCAAGATGATCCCTGGGGTGATGCAGGAGGTGACGAAGGAGGAGGCGACGATTTCGATTGGTTTTGAATGCCAGTTTATGTACAATAGCTTCTGTCAACAAAGACAACTTATAGATCTGTTAACTTTAGAAATACTCTCTTTAAGTGCCGGTCCTGACTCGATCCAAATTGTTCTCTAATCTACTATCTGTCTGACTATCCCTTACCTTTACTTTCAATCCTTCCCAATTCACAATCTCACTTCCAAGATTGTTTTTCACAAGATTGTTTTTCACAAGATTGTTTTTCACAACTACCCCAACGTCACTGTCCACCGCCCCGGAATTATTCCATCCCCACTCCGTCGAACTTCATCCCACCAACTCCCCGCATACTCCTCGCCACTTCTCACTCGCATTCAAATCAACCCAAAATGGCGTCCAACGTCGCTCAGAAGCGCCTATTCCACGAATACAAGAACCTCTCTACGAACCCACCAGATGGAATCACCGCCGGCCCCGTCTCCGAAGATGACATGTTCTACTGGGAAGCCCTGATCGAAGGCCCAGGAGGCACACCATTCGAGGGCGGCGTCTTCGCAGCCGAGCTGAAATTCCCCAAGGACTACCCCCTCAGCCCGCCGACCATGAAATTCATCGGAGGAGGCGTGTGGCACCCGAATGGTACGTACCCGATGTCATTCCCACCGCTTGCGTATCCCATTCTTTGTCTCCGCTTGACGACTGCACAATGTAAACCCTGTTCTGACAACTCCTAGTATATCCCAACGGAACAGTCTGCATCTCGATCCTTCACCCGCCCGGTGACGATCCCAATCACTACGAACATGCGTCGGAGCGCTGGTCGCCTATCCAGAGCGTGGAGAAGATTCTCATCTCTGTCATGAGTATGCTTGCCGAGCCGAATGATGAGAGTCCCGCGAATGTCGAGGCTGCTAAGATGTGGCGTGAGCGAAGACCTGAATATGAGCAGAAGGTCCGCGATGAGGTGAAGAAGGGACTTGGACTTTGAGTGCGGTGGCACGATTCTCCTGCTGCCTAGCATTGGAATTCTAGGCGTGCTTTTTTTCCGGGTGCTGGGATCTTGCGGGAGTCAAGATTTGATGACTGGCGTCAGGGGTGATATTTCTTTTTTTTTAACTTGCATAGCTGGGATATACGATCTCTCAGTGTATAGCTTATTTTATCCTTCCCAATATGATAGCGAACAAAATTCATACATTTTCATTGACTGTCTTTTTCTTTCTGGGGCTATGCTAGAGCTCCGTATTTAGTTTAGATGAAGATGGATGTGCCTATGATTCAAAACACAGCCATCGGCTTTTCTTGCCGTAGACCAGGAGACATTAATATTAATTGGTATCTAAAATGTTCTACAAATGCAGATAGGTATCAATATAGCTCAGCTCTAGTACATGATATATCACTCCTGCCGAAACATCCTCCGATCAATCCAACCCTCCAACCCCCCAACACACTCATACAAAATCTCAATCTCAGCCTTCAAATTCAACACCAGCATCCGCTGCAATTCAACCCGCCCTTCCGGCTCAGGCCCATCATTCGCCCAAACAGGACTATTCCGAAGCATCGCAACAATCTTCCCCCGGTCTCGTGTCGTCAACGAGAGAAGAGCCTTGTCGCCCGGCGCATCAGGAACGGCTATGATATCTGTCATTCGGACGCCCAGCCACTGCAGTCGCGGGAGACTCAGTCGAGCATTCTCGTGTACGTGTGCTGCGGACCCGTACTTGTATGTTGACAAGATAGCCATGCCGTGCGGGTCGCCGTCAGTGAGGCCGTAGAAACGGGGAAGGGGTCTGTTTTGGCTGGATGCGGCATTTGAGAGTTTGTGTAGGAATTCTCGGGTTGATAGATCCGGGTATCCTTTGCCCTGTTTGAGGGATGTTGTGGTTAATTGATGGGTTTGCTAATGGTTTGTATTGGAGAAGGGCTCGGCGTACCGTGACTAGGATTCCTTCCCCGGCTATTGCTCTGCTGTGATAGTTGCTGCGTGTGAGCCGGTGGAAGACTGCCTATCGGTAGAGAGCTGGTCAATGGATGTTTCATACGTTGCTTCTCTCCTCGTACCTCTTTCTCAATGACGAGTACCCATCGGACTCGGGCGATGTCGATCTCATCGCCCGCCTCAATGCGAGGGATCAAATTGTCCTATCTGGAATATTAACTTGGCTCTTAGATCATCCTAGGCAATGGACTGACCTCAGTGGTAGACTGGGCATCGACCACGACCCGCGAATCGCGAATTAAACGAAAGCGCCCAGCTATCAGGCCCTTTGCTGCTGCTTCCTATATAGCCATGTACTATGTTAGCAGAATTGGTCTGAGTTGCTGTGGCATCAATTCAAGGTGTATCAAGGAACAAACCACGTTCAACGCAGCTCTGTCCACGCCGATAGTGTAAACAAGGTCATCAATGACACCGTCAACCGTTCGCTGAGAACGAAAGTATTGAGGGTCGATATAGTATATATCTCTGGGTAGTGGACAGGGGCGTTCAGCATGTTCTCCAAACCAGCACTACCAAGCATACTCAACCCACCTTTTGGAGATCAACTGACCAGTCCGAATAGCTTTGTCAATAATAGCCAGGATTCGAAGAGTTACAGCTAGAACATGATAACAGAGCGTATCAGTACGTTCTTCCACGGGTGTAAGTTTGTTCCAGCGCTGGGAAAAAGAATCATACTGAACTTCCAGGCCTCAAACGCTGTCTTCCCTGGCCAAGAGTACGTCTTGTATGTTTCGACTCTGGGGCTTGCTTCTAGTGCCCCGTTGTTGGGGTTGATAATGCAGGCTGTTGGATTGGCTCTGCGCTTGAGGGTGATTGATGGGCGTGCTTCCGCTGAGGATAGTGAGAGCTCATGGACCAGGGCTGTGAGTGTGTTGTCGATGTATGCTCGGACTGTGGGATTTCGACTGTCTCCTCCACCCAGGCACCCAGTGGCTAATGGCTGAGCCATTGCACCTTTATTGGGCTTGGGTTGTGGTTCGGATGCTGAGGTTCCAGTGCGGATGTGAGTTAGTAGAAGCACGTCAATCCACGGGTTCTACAAAAGGCTTCTTCCAACATAGTAGATTTTTTGACTACGTGGATGATAATGTAATGACATCTATTGGTGCTCTTAATTTTCAACGATGAGCTTCTGTTCTAATATCTCAACTGCTCGAAAAAAGAGGAGAAAAAAAAAAAAAAAAAAAAAAAAAAAGAACTTGATAACGAAGCCTGACGGACCATGGCAACTGGTTTTGAGTGCAACAATGTCAAGTGCGATATAACCATGTATATAAAGCCAGATCGCAGTAGAGGGGCCATGTAGTTCACTTCTATTTGGATCACCTCGCAGTGTACGAACTCACACTTGCCGCTTATGAATCTTCAACTATCAAGCTGGAGGATCTACCACCTATTCGCGCAGTTGCCCTGTCTTCGGGCCTTTCTGCGGATCTCTTGGTCGAAAATCCTCCAACTCTCTTCCTTCAGGTGGATCCATTGAAGTGGGCGAAACACAAGAATGTCAAGCAGGCCTGGGGGAAGCTTCGCGATAAGTATCAGCTTGACCAGCATGCTTGGGAAAAGGCGACGTGGGATTTCTCGGTCATGACTATTGGCAGAGACTGGAGTTGTGTAGGGAGCATGAGCAAGGCTCGGAAACTTGGATGGACTGAGTATGCTGATACGGGGGATGAGTTGGAAGATACATTTAGAGAGGTGTTTTCGCCTGCTGAGTGGCTCCGACGTGACTTTTAAATTGTGGGGATTTCAAGGTTCTAAAGCTGGACATTTTATATGTAGAGGCTATCTACAATCTGCGGCCATATACTTTATCCACCATATTTACAACGTTAAATACCCTGTGCTTTATTTTCCCCGGTAATTTCCAGTATCTTCTTCTACATTTATTTTGCTTTTTATATGAGCAATTGAGGCCCGGTCCCTATGGTACCGATTTTCGTATCCCGCTCTTGAGTGACATCCTATCAGCGTCATTGACTAAAGTCTTTCAAATATACAGTCTGTGTTATTCCCATAGAACACTTCCTGTTACTCTATTTTTTATTACCATCATGTCGAACGGACAGGGTCCGCGCGTCCTATTGACGGGCGCTAATGGTTTCGTCGCCTCCCACATACTTTGGATCCTCATAGATGTAGGCAGTGTGAACTCCTATCACAAAGCCTTGCTGACCACCTAATGGCGTGGATACAATGTCACCGCAACAGTGCGCTCTCAAGAAAAGGCGGACGATATCATCAAAACCCATCCTGCCTGGTTGGAAAAGGTAGAGTTTGCAATCGTTGCGGACTTCACCTCCGCAAAGCCCTTTGATCACCTCTTTCATGATGCAAAGTCACCATTTAACTATGTGATCCACACGGCATCCCCAGTGAAATTTTCAGTGGAAGATATCCAGAAAGAGATGATCGAGCCAGCCGAAATGGGGTAAAGCCAACTTTTATCTACCATACATCAATTGGAGATAGCTAACATGTTCTTAGAACAACTGCAATTCTGATAGCCGCCGAAAACTACTGTGGGGCTGCTCTAAAGCGATTTGTTCTTTTGGGAAGTGCTGTATCCGTACTGAACTCATTCGAAGACATTTCTAAGCCAGGAAAGCCTTACACGGAGAAAGACTGGAATCCTGTAAGCAAGAACACTTCCATTCTCAAAATACTACGGTCTGCTAAGCAAAATCTAGGTCACAGCCAAGCAAGCTATTGAACGAAAGGACAATGTCCTTGGATACAACGTATCTAAGATCCGGGCCGAGAGGGCTGCGTGGAACTTCATGAAGGAGAAATCCCCTTCCTTCGATCTGACCGTGATAAACCCCGATATTATCACCGGTCCAATGACACACCCCATCTCAGGTCCGCATTCTATCAACGAGACGAATCAGTTTGCCATTAAAAGCTTCATCGATGGGACTCACAAGGAGATTGAAGGAGTGATATTCCCTTTCTACCATTTTGTAAGTTTTATTTCTACCTCGTTACCTTTGAAGCCAGGCAGGATGGCATGTGTGGAATCTTGACTGACAAACTATTCAGGTGGACGTCCGTGATGTAGCCCGGAGCCATGTCGATGCGCTGGAGAACTCAGCAGCTGCAAATCAGCGCATTCTTCTCATCTCCGGAATTATCACACCACAGCTAGTGGTTAACTACATCCGCAAGAATTTCCCTGAGCTTAGGAGCCGTGTCCCTGAAGGTAACCCGGCCCAGATATTGCCTCCTGGGGTACATCCCACGGATTGGGATACGGGAGTTAGCCTGGATATTCTTGCTAAAGGTACTAAGGATGGCAAATGGGAGTATGTTGATCTAGAGACCAGCGTTACTGATACTGTTAAGACGATGACCAAGAATCGCGTAATCTAGTTTTATATTGTTGTTGGTGGGGGCATATAAATTGTTAGGCTATTTGAACGAAAGGACATTTTACCCAGATTCTAAAATTTGTAGATATTAGAAACTCCAATCGCATTTCTTTTTCTATTTCCCGTGTGCTCCTTGTAAAATAATTAATCTGATCAAGATTATGTTCTGGATAATTCGGGTTTGTGTTGTATACCGGACTCTGCACCGGAACCGAACCACCACAACAACTCCTTTTTCTCAAAATAGATAGCTATTGACTTGGCACTGCATATGTATGCACGATCTATATTGTCTACTATTTGTTGATCTTCAATATTGCTGCCTGCATGTGAATGTTCTTGTTTATACACCGCAGTCGTGATACCGATGACTAAGCTTCCCCGGCTTTCCAATGTTTGATCCACCTTGGACTTTGCTGTTTACATGTATCTTCAAAAAACTCTCAATTGATAATGTCTTCTACTCCTCATATTGGCCCATGGAGGACGCCATCCCAGGGCCATCTCACCCCTGACGCCAATGGAGATCCGCAGACCGACTACGCGCGCTGGCGATTGGTCGATGAAGAAGGCCGCCAGACATGGCGGTATCTCGAATCCGACGAGGAAAACCAAAAATGGCCGCAGTCAATAGCAGACAAGTACCATCTCGGACTTCCAACTGTATTGATGCCCAATTAACACAATGTGATCTTGAAACCCACTTCTAACAACGCTATAGGGTCTTCCCGAACTCCCAGAGGCCAGGACGCCGTTAGAAGCTGCCGAGAATGGACTATCGTTCTTCTCACATCTACAGCTCGAGCCTGGTAACTGGGCCTGCGAGTATGGTGGCCCAATGTTCCTACTGCCGGGTATTCTGATCACTTACTATGTGACCAAGACCCCTATCCCCCCTGAATATGCAACAGAGATGAAGCGTTATCTGTTTGCCCGCCAGCACCCCGAAGATGGTGGTTGGGGCCTTCACATTGAAGGTCAAAGCTCCGTTCTTGGTACTTCTCTGAATTACGTTGCTTTGCGTTTGGTTGGTGTCAGCGAGGATGACCCACGCATGATTAAAGCTCGAGGCCTTCTGCATAAGTTTGGAGGTGCCATCTACGGGCCTCACTGGGCCAAGTTCTGGCTTAGTATTCTGGGTGTCATGGAATGGGAGGGTGTCAACCCGGTTCCCCCTGAGATTTGGTGGGTGACGATCATCATCTGTGTACATGGTTCCTCATTGACTGGCTATCTAGGCTTCTTCCCGATTGGGTTCCTTTTGCCCCTTGGCGGTGGTGGTGTCATATGCGCCAGGTTTTCCTTCCGATGTCCTGGCTGTGGTCCAAGAAGTGGTCTCACCCGCTGGATGATCTGACCAAACAGCTCCGAGAAGAGCTATACACTCAGCCATACGACAGTGTGGATTTTGCAGCGCATCGCAATTCCATTCACGAGGCAGACAACTACTACCCCAAGACTTGGTTGCTTAATACTGCTAATGAGTTGCTGGTTCGGTTCTGGAACCCCTACCTTCGACACCCTAGCATCGTTAAGCGAGCTGAGGATTGGACCTGGGAACTGATTCGCATGGAAGACGAGAATACCAAGTATGCGGGGCTGGGACCCGTCAACAACCCAATGAACATGGTGGCCTGCTTTGTCCATGATGGCCCTGACAGCTACTCCGTCCGCCAACATCGGGAGCGATTGAATGATTACATGTGGGTGAAGGGCGAAGGCATGCTGGCTAACGGAACCAACGGCGTTCAAGTGTGGGACACGGCTTTCATCACCCAGGCCATTGTGGTTGCTGGCTTTGCAGATGACCCCAAGTGGCGGCCTATGTTGACAAAGGCTTTGGAGTTCCTTGACGATCACCAGCTACGGGAGAACGTTCCAGATCAAGAAAAGTGCTATCGTCAACACCGCAAGGGTGCATGGCCCTTCAGCACTAAGGATCAAGGCTACACTGTCAGCGACTGCACCGCCGAAGGTCTTCGCTCCACGCTACAGCTGCAGGAGATGTACAACTTCCCCAAGTTGATCTCCCTTCAACGATTGAAGGATGCCGTGGATTGTCTCCTCCTTCTTCAAAACCCCAGCGGTGGCTTCTCCGAGTACGAGATTACTCGCGCGTCGCCCAAGGTAGAGTGGCTAAACGCCGCAGAAGTCTTTGGTGGAATCATGATCAGTTACGACCACCCAGAATGCACAACCGCGTCCGTGACAGCACTTTCACTGTTCAGCAAGTTCTACCCAGATTACCGTGCCGATGAAATTAGGGACGCAAAGAAGAAGGCTGTCGCTCACATCAAGCACGTCCAGCGTGCCGATGGTAGTTGGTATGGCTCTTGGGGAATATGCTTCACCTATGCTGCCTTGTTTGCGCTCGAAAGTCTGGCCAGTATTGGCGAGACTTATGAAACAAGCGCGGACTCCCGTCGGGGCTGTGATTTCTTGATTGGGAAGCAGCAGGCTGATGGTGGCTGGGGCGAGTCGTACCTTAGCAGTGCAACCCATCAATATGTGCAGCATGAAAAGTCGCAGGTGTGTCAGACTGCTTGGGCGCTTCTTGGACTCATGGAGGCCGACTACCCACACAAGGAGCCGTTGGAGAAGGGCATCAAGCTGTTGATGTCTCGCCAACAACGAAACGGAGAGTGGCTGCAAGAGGCAATTGAAGGTGTTTTCAACCAGTCCTGGTACGTTTTCCTGGTTTGAGTGTGTATTGTGGATTCTAACACTGACTTTATAGTATGATTTCGTATCCCAACTACAAATTCTACTGGCCTATCCGTGCGCTTGGCTTGTACAGCAGGAAGTACGGAAACGAAAAGCTCTAGATCAGATCACTGCGAGGGAATAAGGTCTTAACCAGGAAATATGTACTTAATCAATAATGAAGCTGAGAAGCTATCTGACATCTACATCTACTGCGTAACCCGACGATGCGATGACTCGTTTATCTCGTTTGAGCGAGCTAATAAAAGGCCATTTGTTTTTTTTTTTTTTTTTTTTTTTTTAACTGTTTACCTTTCCTTTGTTTCTTCCTTCTCTCTTTCATCCTGTTTCATCAAGCAACAAAATGCCCGTTGTGTATCACCCCGATATGTGGGGGACCTCTCCCGAGGCCCAGCTCCAGTATTGGCTGCAGTGGCACCGCTTCCACTCCTCCGCCTACGCCCACCGCGAAATCCTACGCTTTGGCCCCGAAATCAGTCACAGAGAACTTGAAGATCCCTCCTACCGCGCAACAGCAGCCGCAATGAACGCCGCAGCGCAGGGCGACAAGGCCCTCTCCAGCTCCAACCTGCCCCTGGCCATCCAGCACTTCACCCAAGCCCTGACGGAGCTACCCCGCGCCCCGGCCTACTACATCTCGCGCTCAACCGCCTACACACGCCTCAAGCCCGCAGACGGTGGCCCAAACCCGCAAGCTGCCCTCCGCGATGCCGAAATCGGCCTCACCCTCGCCCGCGAGCGCGGAAAGCGCGAGCTCATGCTCTCGGCGCAGATGCGGCGCGCCATCTCGCTGTACCAACTCGGACGATACGGAGACGCGGCATTCGTGCTCGGGATTGTTGACGAGAAGGCTGGCGCTTCGTCGGTGCCTGAGGATAAATCTGCTGGCATCCAGGCTGCTATGTCTGGACAAAAGAAGGGCGTTTTCGGGTCTGAGTTGCCCGTTTGGTTGGCTAAGGTGCGCAGAACGATGCGCGAGCTGCCTGAGGGGGATGAGAAGCTTGTTGTTTCTGTTGTTGAGATTCCGACGGATGTCCGTATTCCTACTGAGGCCGAGCTGAAGGCTGAGCTGGAGGCTATTAAGTCTGGGAAGGGTGTTGGAGCTGTGGAAACTGCACAGGAGGATGTCTCGAAGGCCGCTGCGGTCTCTGCTTCATCTGATGTTGCTGGATCATCGGCGGCTCGGGCTCAGAGCGCTCATGGCGGTGCTTCTGCCTCTGGTGCCGCCCCGGAGAAGGTGCGCCATGAGTGGTATCAGTCTCAGGAATCTGTTGTGGTCACCCTCTACATCAAGGGAATCCCCAAGGACAGTGTTACAACTGAGCTAAAGGAGGACTCTGTAAGTCACATATCTAATCTTCTTGTCGTATTTGAATCAGGGGCTAATCAAGCTACAGGTCTCTCTGCAATTCCCTCTCCCATCTGGCTCCGAATATGACTTCACCCTGGACCCTCTCTATGCCACTATCGATCCCTCTGCCTCCAAGGTGTCTGTGATGGGCACGAAGATCGAAATCACCTTGCAGAAGCAAAAGGCAGGCCAAAAGTGGAGTGCTTTGGAAGGCTCTTCCACCACCACTCAGCTGGCCGACCGCCCCGCTGCGCCGGCTGCAGCAGCTGCCCCAGGCCCATCCTATCCCACCTCGTCCCGTAAAGGCACTAAGGATTGGGATCAGGTTGCCTCTTCGCTTACCGAGAAGAAGTCCAAGGGTAAGGATGCTGCTGATGACGATGCCTCGGATGATGAATTCGGCGGCGATGCAGTGGATGGATTCTTCAAGAAGCTTTACGCCAATGCTGACCCTGAAACCCGCCGCGCCATGATCAAGAGCTACACTGAGAGCCAGGGTACTTCTCTGAGCACGAACTGGTCTGAGGTTGGAAAGGGTAAGGTGGAGGCTCATCCACCAAGCTGATGGCAAACGACCTGCTTGAAATGGCTCTTTCAAAATGTTTGATTTCATGATTTTCTATTGCTCTGTCGCATCCAGCGAAAGGTGTTTGCTAAATATTCTTATTCCTATCATTATCATACTACTTGCCAATCTACTAGTTTATCTTTCCCAAGACAGTGCTCATAGCCTTGAAACCGTACTTCAATTTGTACCTCGAATTCACCACTTGTGATGCCAGGGTATACCCACTGTCATAGTAAGAAGATTGGGCCTGGAAGTGAACCGAAAATATCCCCATCCCATACCATCCCCAACCGTGATCTCATCCAGCCCTAAGCCTGGTTTCTAGGGACATTTCAAAATGCCCGTGGGCTCACTCAAAGGCTTAGCCGACTTTCCATTGGCACCCTTCAGGACAGCACTGAACCCATTAACACCTGGCCCAATGGAGAATTCACAACCCGGCGTCATAGATGATGTTCCTAAGAACGATGCGGCATCATAATACCTCACGACGGTCTCAGTTGGCAGGATTTTTTCCACGGCACTCCTCATCAAGCCCCCTTTTGCTATATTCATTTGCTCGCACAGAATCAACACTTTGACCTGCTGGTTTCCAAACACTGTGCTCTTGATGCTTGGATAGGTCGTGCAGAGCTTGTTCATGGCATCCTTCTCCAAGTCAGTCCCGGCGGAAATGTTAGATGCCAGGAAGCCGTGTTTGTTGTACACTACCACGATGCTGCAAGTGCCGAACCCAGACATAGAGACTTTTGGGTAGGTACTCCAGTTGCCGTGTGCTGTCTGTTCAGGCACCACGTTCATTGCGGGTTATCTTCGGTTAGGTGTGTTCGGACTGAGGTATTGAGTCGAGTGGTTGAGTTTGGGAAGGCAAGTGATCTCTCGTCTTGAAAGGAGAATTGCTAGGATGGAAGGATTTAGTAGGGCTTTGTCTGTTCGGCTTTGTGTCTCGGTTGCTCTCCGACTACATCCTCCATGGGGTTTCCACAACTATATACACAGTTCCACAGTCAGAAAAGAATAGATAGTAATATGTACAGTTGGGCTGGAACCAGGGCTGCAAAGCCTAGCACCCAAGTCAGAGGCAAACTTCCGGTGCGAAATACAGTTGGCTGGGAAGCAACCACTGGTCTATAATCTTATAGACTGGGAGAGCTATATGGAATCATCCCACATCCCGAACCGTGGATTGAACCTGCATAAGTCAAAATAGGCAAACTCAAAGCTGAAATAATAGGCTGGTAATTCGTTAGGGCCCTCACTTAGCCTAAGTGCTATTCGTTCTCCGTGAAACTTATATTGCCGCCCGCCCCCCTCGACCCCAACCCGATACATCCGCTATATGCATCTTCGCGGTAAGATTTTTCTTTTGAATGCCCGACATCATCGGCCGCTTGCTCTAGCGTGTTAGTATTGAGATACATGCATAAATAGTCCAGGGCTGGTTGGCTAGGGGTTGTCAAGTTGCCTACTAGGGTCGTGGTGAGACCGTTATATCGCGCAGATGTGAGACGCGAGTCTGCGCTAGTTCGGGCACCACATACGGTATTGGAACTCGGTATAGGCTCCGGCGCTTGCTTTTTGATATATCTATTCGTAGTATATGGTGTCAAGAATCCAATCGCGGATCTGCAATCCCTGTTCCATACCAGACTCTTCCCTTGCACTTCGCCAGCTCGGTTCCCTTGTCGAGATTGACCGCTAGTTCGTCCATGCTTATTCCAGGTAGAAGAAGAAAAGTTTCTTGCATGTGTTACTATACTGGCTCATATTTGACCTGGTCTTTTGGGCTTAGACTTGAAATCCAAGAGAACTGTGACTCTTGGTTTCACAAACTTGATCACCCAACAGCGTTTTCCATTATTTCACTCAAGTAAGGGAATCGGAGACAAAAGGGTCATGCTGGTAGTACTTGCATCCTAGTTATACAGCTCGTGTGCCCAGCACTGCGGCCTGGTTCGTCTTGTGTCATCCTGGATATGATGTCTTGCATAGGGTATTTGCCGCCATTAGCGAAATGCAGAGGAAAATCATATAACATGAGGAATTTATGTGATTGTGATATCGGACCCAGAAGGTCAGATGTCTCAATAGATACGGGAACGGTTCACATTGAAACAGCACTTGTTACATAGCTGATTTCAAAAAGGTTGTTGGGTGTCACTGAGGGTATCTCATGACTGTCATTCAACGAATGTTTTGACCTACTCGTGCGCTTGAATTGTCACTGATTCTCGAAATTTGGACTAAGGGTATGCCGTTACTCGAGACAATTTATATACAGAATGATATCGAGCCCTCCTTTAGTCAACGTGCATGGCCAAAAGATACTATTGATTTACTTGTCTACGTGAACAGTGTGACGAATCAGTACCATTACTCGGTTCCATGACAGACAAAAAGAAGTTCCAGTTGTTGATTTGGAGCTCTGACCGTGTTCTCAGTATAATAATTTTGTTAATTTTACATTTGTCATTACTCCTGGTCATCATGCTCATCATCAACACCCTTGCCGTCACTGTAGAGGAAGAACTGCGCGAAAATCGCCATATCCAACAACAGCGTGCCAGCACTACCAACAAGCCAGGACAGATTGACCAACACATACCGCCCATAGAGAGCGGCCGCCTCACCAGAATGACACTTCTCGCGGTGGCGATGACCCATAGCATCCACAGAAGATGATTCGCCGTGGCAAACAGGCGAGTATGCCAAGATGGACAGCACATAGGTGAGATTACCAATGCAAGCAAATAGGAAGAACAGCAAAGAGACTCCATCTGTCGACTTGCGGCGGAAGTTCAGGAGTAGCTGGGGCAGACGTGATCCCAGGTACAGTACCGCGCAAAGGTACCCGAAGACTTGGCCAAGGACATCCATGGTAAGAGGTTCCGGGTCCGGCGCTGACGACTTCGAGGCCGGGCTGACGTACCATCCCAGCACGCCTGCGGCACATACTAATGCCACGGCGGTGGAATTGAAGAGGATGGCTTGGATGGTTGAAATGCGACGGCGACGAGCTCGTTGAGAGCGGCTGCGTGACGAGTCGGGCTCGACGAATGGGGTTGCAGGGGAAAGATGTGTTCCATCCACCGATGAATGGAAGATATCATGGTACGAGGCAGCTGAGTGTCGCCTTTCGCCTGAAGCAGAGACTGGGTGTATGCCTTCTTGATAGGACTGTCCAGCTGCGTTTCGGGCTGGTTCTTGGATTTGAACATGACCGTTGGAATTGGGGATCAGAGCGGATCTCTCCGTAGGTGCTGGGTGCTCGACACCACTAGCCTCAGCATCCTGGATGCCATTGACTGATGGTGTAGCTTCCGGAGTGGGCGAAGGAGACAACTCGTCTCTGAGATTAAATCCTCGGTAGTAAAAGCATTGACCCAGTAAAACTATGTCTGCTAGAGTGTAGTACACAGCAAGGATGATCATGGTGGGAAGCACACCCTGCATGACGGCGCCTAAGATGTTGAATACATCTCCAGCCAACCAAACAATGAGGAAAAGAAGGGAAAGGCCATCTGCAGAGCCGCGTTGGAAATTTTCAATGATCTGCGGAGAGAACACGACGACCCAGCAGGCAATTGAAATTGATCTGAATTGAATTGGTTAGTGATTTATTCGAAAGGAGCAATTGACAAAATCGAGGGATCGTCGGTCTCAAAGATCTACAACCTGTCACAAGCATGTATGCAGCACTAGGATGGACCTTGAGGACGATATACAAGAAGAACAAATTGAAAAATACAACAAAAACAGAAATGTAGAATTTGAAACTTACCCACAGATGCCGCTCAGGGCCTCAATGTTAAAATTAGCCGCCTGCGAGGGGAACATGTTGCAGGCGGAACCGTATGATTCAGATGCGAAGATTTTCACTTAGATACCAAGTCGGAGAAGCAATATATTGCACAAAGGTCGTTGATCAAAAGCCAAAAATACATTGGCTGGGCAATCCAGCTCTGCAGAAGTCGACAATAGAACAATTGAAGGTGCGGGAAAAGAATTGGAGAAATCGGATGGAAGGTTGGATGACGTATGAGGCAGGTCACGTGCTTTGGAGTATATATCGGAGAATTAGACAGGAGGTGTAATACTTGCTATTTCTAGCTAATGCTAGCTATCTTTGAAATTTTCCAGAAGTGCCTGTCTATGCCTTGTCCCCGGATCTGAAAATCAGACAGCAACCTTCATGATTTGCTCCAGCTTGTCCTGGAAATCGCAGAAGATATTTACAGCCTAGACACCATCAGCAAATATCTAATTTTAAATAATTAAATGTGTACATACCTCAGTCAGCTTGATCTGACTAGCTCCACCAAGGTCTCGTGCAAATGTGATCTGATAACTGCCCGGGTCATTCACGAAAGAGATGCCCTTTGCGGGAATAGGCAGAGTAGGGCAGCATCAAACATCGAGTTGACATTTCCAGCGTAGGGCTAGGTCAGCAGACTCAAAAGATGGGGTGCAATGGTGAGATGGTCCACGCCAGCAAGGAAGTAAATCTCCTCGGCGGAGGTCAAGCTAGCGGGCAGGAACTTGGTCGGGGCTGCCGTATCAAGAACAGACCATACTTCCGGTTGGTATTATCCTCATCTCCCATGCCATTGTCTTCACTAAGGCAACAATTGCTGAGACCGCCGGCGACTATGTCGCCAGCCAGCCTCATCGATCGAGAACAATGGACCATCTCACAGCGTATTGTACGTCAATGCTGCGAAAGCGCATATCGGCTATTGGTGAACCAACCGGACAACGAGACTAAGATTCAAGAGATCTTTGACCACCAACTGACATTACCTGAGCGTAATGGTCTGATCACGGCGTTCTACATGGCCATGAAGAGTGATGTGATTGACGATGTAGAACGCCGTGATCAGTTGTATCAAATGCACGCTACAGTTCGCCCTCTCCTTGCGACTACCTTGAAAGCGGAGGATTTTACACTCATCAATGACTAGATAGCTTCGCGATAGACTGACAGTTGCGAACGACAGATTCAGCAATGGAAAGGTAATTTTTTCCGCTGGCGTTCCAATCCCAAGTCTTCATCTTTATTATTGCATCCCCAGCTCTTTTCTGAAAATCTTCCTCGCTCTCCTGGTCGTCCCATTCACCCTCCTTTGTATTCAGCGGCTCTTCGCGCAAAATGTAAAAGGATATAAACGACAATAGAAACTCTTCTACTCGACACCTGATGCAATCGCCCACCGGGTGATCGAGGAGATGACCAATCAATGATTCCATGTACATGCGAGGTGTTGGCGTCAAGATCTTTCGCCTGCGATCAAAGGTAGAGATGACTTCGACTGTATCCTGGAGCGAAATGCCAACAAACGACAATGGGTAGAGAAGTAATTTGAAACCGCCATGTAGCTTGTGGATTTTGCCACCTCGCTCCCACGGTCCGTATCTGTCAGTGTCGCGGGTGGATGGGCGCTCACAGAAAAATCCACGGTCTGAGAGGATCTGCGATGAACGACTGAGCATTTCATCGGGGACTGCCCACTCGACAAGCTCGGGATTCGCAAGTTAGCGCAGTGCCGAATACCGCGGTTTTTGTTACTTACCAGAAGGACTACAGGGTCTCCATGACGCCACTCTAACTGTTGCCCGTACTCCACGACAGGGATACCCTCGTCATCTAGAGCCTCCGCAGCTTTTCTGAAGATGGGATGATGAGGTTGTAGCAGGAATGTCTCTTCCTGGGATGATGGTTCCATCTTTCCTGCCTAAATGGTAGGACGCTTTGCGTTGGAAATCGGACTTTGGAAAGTTCGTTAATCTTTTGAAGGGTGGAGATAACGAAACGTCGTGATATCGCCGACCTCATGGGCGGTCAAGGAACATATTACATAGTACACGCAGTCTGTGTGTCGGGCACCTGCAGGCAGGCAGGCCCTACAATACAGTACGGATAATTAATTTCGAATATTGTCTATGCCAAGAGCTTAAAGAAAACCTTAATATGACTGTGGAGAAGCTATAGTCAAATGATAAGATAATTGGTTGGTCCCTGTTAGCCAGAAAATAAGGGCCACCAAACAAAGCTGTCAGTGAAGGGATAGTAGGAGTAGCGTACCGCGTCTGCTCCTCTGGTGGCTGTGTGCAGATGCCAAAGAGACTGGCGTTTTAGAATCATTGGTTTGATCCAATAGTTTTTGACATAACCTAGCTGAGAGAGATGCGTACGTTTGCTTTACGTGGCATAAGCTGAATGCTCACCCTCCCTGCTCACCCATTTTCCGGTTTCTTTTGGGAATTCATGGTTTGTGCAGGAGAATTTATCGATCTTGTACAAGTTTCCACACACCCTGCCAAAAATTGAGAATTGTCTCATCGACCGACTTCATCAATTGATATTCGGGTATACTTCGAAATTAACAGTACGGCGTGACAATAATTCCTTATATTCCACATGGCCAGATGATCTCTCTCCTTTCTCAATGAGCTCAAGACCACCATGGGACTGAAGTGGGCTGGTTCTGCCCGATGACATTGTTGCAAAGCAAGTCCAACACGAGGATATGAAACACTCCAACAGGCTCTCAGCCAGCTCGTCAATCCAAACTCCATCTTGACACAACGACTAATGTGAACGAATGAGTGGTACATCGAATCTTATAGATTGCTACTAATAGCCCCACTAGACTAGCCTCGGAGAGGGCCAAACCAAACACTGAATGTCGATTTTCCACCTCTTCTCTCTCCTTCCAACGCAACCCCCACACCCCCGGGAACTAGATCAAACTGCAAGATGGTCGAATCAACCAAGACGACGGACCGACCTCTACGCATTGGAACTCGTCGATCCAATCTCGCCGTCGTCCAGGCCGAGGGCATCCGCGCCAGTCTGCAAAAAATAGCGCCCGATCGGACCTTTGAAATTGAAACCCTTCACACACTGGGCGATAAGGACAAGTCCACAGCACTCTACGAATTCGGAGCAAAGTCCCTCTGGACCAGCGAATTGGAAGAGAAGCTCAATTCGGGCGAGATAGATGTTGTCGTCCATTGTCTAAAAGGTAGGCACCACTTCCCTTCGTTCCAAAAAAAAAAATAAAATAAACAAGGGGAAAAAGGGGAAAAAAACAAAGTCTAACAAGGACCAGATATGCTAACTACACTCCCTGACTCGTGCGACCTCGCACCAATTCCACTCCGCGATGATCCTCGCGATGCATTGATCGTCAAAGCTGGCCTGCCTTATACGAGCTTGCAGACTCTACCCGAAGGCGCCGTCGTCGGTACTTCATCCGTGCGACGCTCGGCGCAGCTTCGTCGCCTGTATCCGCATCTGCGCTTTGCAAACTTGCGCGGAAATGTCGAGACGCGTTTGGCCAAGGTGGATCATCCCAAAAGCGAGTATACCTGCATGGTGATGTCTGCCGCTGGGCTGGAGCGCATTGGATTGAAGCATCGTATCAACCAGTACATGGGTTCCAAGGACGGTGGAATTCTGCATGCGGTGGGTCAAGGAGCGCTTGGGCTGGAGATTCGCAAGGGCGATAGCGAGATTTTGGCATTGGTGAGCAATTTGGCGGATCGGTGGTCCACTCTTGCTTGTCTTGCGGAGCGGGCTCTTATGCGTACTCTTGAGGGAGGTTGTAGTGTTCCGATCGGTGCTGAGACGGAATGGGTTGATCGGGCACAGTCTCTCTTGAGAATTACGGCGATTGTGGTTAGTCTTGATGGATCTCAGAGTGTGCAGGACTCCATGGATGTGATTGTGCAGACTGATGAGGAGGCTTCTGCGCTTGGACAGGAATTGGCGGCGAGGCTTGTGAAAGGAGGTGCGGGTGACATTCTGAAGTCTATCATCACCAGCCGACCTAGCAAGGATTGATGCCCTGGCAGGTGTTCTTTTCTTTTCTTTTTTTTTACAAGTGACAATACCCCCCTCGTGTCTTTAGAATTGCATCTTGTCTACGAGGCGATACCAAAATAGTCACCTCATCATCGATCTCAAGGTACCTTGCCTCTGGTACAAAAGGCTCACATATTAATCAAAACTCACAGTTCAAAAATGCAAACACAAAGCTCTCTTATTTAGGAACCATCCTCAATCTAGATAAAGCCTAGCTTGTGTACCCCAATCAGGGGGAAACGTCTTCTATAAAACAGGAACATGCGTGTATGGGATCATAAAGCATCAAGAACAACCGGTGTATGTGCGTCACGATAAAGTAGAAATATGAAAAGGAAAAAAGGAAAGAAAAACCAGTCCAGCGCCTTGAGAATATAACCTCCATCCCCGGGTATCTAATGAAGAGCAAGACCGCCATTGAACCCCCCACCCAAAGCCGAATTTGTATCTGAGAAAAAAAAAAGAAAAGAAAAAAACAACACCTCGAGTTCGTCATCAGAAAGCCTCTACCGGGTCGTGGCAGAGCGCTTGAAAGATACCCGAAAGAGTATAAAGTCGTGGCAAGAAAGACACGACTACTTAAATAGGCTGTGGTACTCCCGCATGCGTGCCTCCTGCACTTCGCGCTTGTCCAGCTTGCCACGGTTCATGGACATGTCGGCGAGCTGCTGCTTCTTCTTGGCAAGCTCGAGGATCTTCTCCTCGATGCTACCTTTCATGATGAACTGCACCGTTTCCACAGCGCGGCGCTGACCCAGTCGATGAACTCGATCCACGGCCTGGGCAACTGCAGCAGCAGGGTTGTACTGGGGCTCCATGATGAACACCCGAGATGCCGAAGTCAGATTGAGACCAACACCACCAGCGCCAATGGTGGCCAGAAGCATGGTGATTTCGTTGTCCTGGGCGAAGGCCACAAGCGCTTTGCCACGTGCTTGGAGACTCATGGTACCATCCAGACGGACGAACTTGCTGAGGCCCTTGTCACGAATTGCGATTTCGATCAAATCTAGATGCGAAGTCCAAGCTGAGAAGATGACACTCTTGGTGGGAGCTTCACTAACCAGCATCTTGCTGTCATCTGCAATTCTTTGCAGATATTCAACAAGTGCTAGAGTCTTTGTATGCGGGCCCTTATATTCACCAAGCATTTTGTCTGTCTTCTTGGCGTTTCCTTGCACCTGTTGGTCTTCAATGCCATCGGCGGTGATGGTGGCATAGTTCATCGGAATCCAACCATCACATACCTGGCATTGGGCCTCCGGCTCAGGAGTTGAATCAAGGCAGTTTTCCAGCCAGCGAAACAATCGGGGCAGAGGACACACCAGCATGGCAGAAAAATGGCCATCGGTGCATCGCGGTCCACAGCTCCTGAGCCGGTAAGAGGTTCAGACAAGGGATTGTTGCAAATTTGGCAAGCCGGTACCCCGTCTTGCCCCATAAGCATGAACATTTCGTAGGCTTTCTTGTTCATTCCAGACAGACTGTCGTTACTAGCGCCTTCTTCCAAGACGATCGCATCGTGCCCTTGATTCTTTCGCGTTCCTCAACATCAAAAAGTTCTTTCCCACGAGCGCTAATCTGTCGCAAAATTATCATGGCCTTAAGCACATGATGGTACAAACGGCCACCTATCTTCGTCTTACTTTCTCCTGCGATAACACGCATCATAACCTGTGATTCGTTGCGGAAGAATTCGTGCAACTTGTGCTCTTTCTCCGAACATTCCAAGGTATTGATCTTGTCCTCCCGAGGCGGAAGGTCAATTCGGTCTTTGACACGGCGTAGCGTGAAAGAGTCCACTAGCACATGTAGGCTGGCTAGTACGGTGGGGTTGCTAGTCTTTAATGGGCTTAAAATGTACTGACCAAAGCGGGCGCGGTCGTTGTAAGGGAAGAGATCCAAGAACTTGGTAACTAAAAGGAGATCCTCTAAGCGGTTCTGGATGGGTGTACCTATGATTGACCACCGACGCTGCGAGTAGAGGTTGAGGATTGCCTTAGTTTACTGAGCTCCCTGCTCACGGATAATATGTGCTTCGTCTAGGACAATGCGGAACATATTCATTTTCTTTAAAGGGCTTCCACGTTTGACGCCCCTGCCCGGGTATTCGCTGAGGATCGTGTTATACATCGTGATCAAGAAATCATAGGAGGCAAACTCATCCACATCGGTAATCCGATTTGTACCATGATGGACGTACTATGTGTAGGTTCTCGGTCTGACATGCTTTTTGATTTAAGCCACCCAATTATTGACAGCACTGAGTGGCATAACTAATAGAGTAGTCTTGGTATTGCGAATTCCTGGAGTTTGTCGAACGAGATGGCGGTTAGGCATTTGCCTCGTCCATTCGCGTGACTCTTTGAGCGAAGAGAGAGCCAAAGAAAGAGTCTTTCCTAGGCCCATCATGTCGGCCAAAAGGCCACCGAGGATCTGCGGAGGTTCCTGATCAACAACGACGCCACTGATTATGTCTTTGTACCGTTTGCTTCCATTGGACTGGATTTCGATACGCCACAGCGAATTGTTGTCTTCTTCTTTCGGTCCAAATGCGCGAGGCTTTTCCTTCTGCGTCATAAACCAGAATACTTGCTTCTGGTGGTGCAGAAGGGGCGTCTTCACCTGCGAGGAGGGCTCCATTGACGGTATATCGGCAGTCACGAGTTGATCGAACATCTCCATGACGGCGTCATTTATCTTCTGTTTGACGGGCCCTTGAGTAAGCTTAAGCTTTAACCTACGGAGTGCATTAATAACAGTCTTCTCCAACGAGTATGAGTAGTATGGGTTAGTCTGCACAGGACTCGTCCACGAATATGCTGTGCCATTCCAGCAGCCATTCGCACCATCTTGGGTTTCTATTAGTGACACCTTTTCCTTGACATTTGCTTTCATTCAAGACATACCGCAATCTCGACGGCTAATTCTTCAACGGTGATTGATGAGTACTTTGCATGCAGTGTATAGGCATCAGCTACAGATGCGGAAATCACCTCGGCGCGTGCTGGTTTGGAGAGCTCGGCGAAGGCAATGGCCTGGGCGGTTAGCATCCACCTTACCCCAAGATGTGGTGGTTCATAATTGGTGGGAAGTGCAGTCCTGGAAAGGGCCCAGAGTTTTGGCAACTGTGAACTGTCAGTTTTCTGTTCATAGACATAGATCTATTGCGAGGTTGCTCACCTTCTTCGTCCATTGTGTCGCAGTCAATAACGGTGCGCGAACGCATGTAGTCGAGACCCGTCTGGACAGCCATTTTGAATGCAGAGGAGATTAAATTGGAATCAGTTATGTAGGGGACACTAAATACAAGGTCTGAAAAGGCAAGTGATGGGAGAAGAGATGAGATGATAGACATCCCACTTCTCCAGATAGAACCCCAATGACCTATTATCGGGGTACAAGTTCCGGGGCCCCATCAGTCCACCAAGTGGCAAGTCCAGGCACTTTCGCTCGGCCCGAGTACTTAGATGTTCTCTGGACTACGTTGCTCCGCGCTGCATACATGTACATTGAGGGGTAAGTTAGTGCTTATATTATCCCAATCAGGCCTTGGATTCTGTAGAACAAAAATATAAGATTGATATATGCCGGAAACGCCCCGCGATGCAAAATGACATAATGGGTAACCACCCCGAAATACTGAGGTATCAAGCTAGATACTCAAAATGCTTTTCCTTGGCCTTGGTTCTATTTGGCCTGGGTGGCCAACCACGCCTCGTGCGTCTTCTTCTGGCGCTCCCAGTCCTTGCGAAGCTTTTTCGCGCGGCTCTTGGTGATCTCCTCGCCAGTGGCGTCACGGGTAGGAACACCTTCCTCATCCCAGGCGCTGAACTCGTTGGTGCGGAACATCTCCAGGTGACTCAGCTTGCCCTTTTCGGCCTTCTTGAGGGCTTCCTGCTCCTTCTTCAGCTTCTCCTCTTGTTTTTGGCGAGCACGGGTTTCCTTCTCCTCGCGCGCCTTGAGCATCTCCTGGGTAACCGGTCGGACAAGAGCAGGTTGATTGTCCCGATCCTCGAGGTAAACGCCAACATCGAAGAGGTCAATGTCACGCACCCGGTCGCACAGGGACAGGATATCCTTGCCAATTGAATCAGATGACTCCAAGGACACAACCTTGTTGCGGAAGTTGGAGTAAAGCTCCGCGTAAGGCTTGGCAGACTCGGAGGCTTCTTGCGGAGCCGGGGCACGGGCAACGGCGTCTTCGATATCCTTGGCCGAGATGCCAGCCTTTGACCGCGCAGCTTGTCGCAGAGTGTCACGAATAGCCGAGAGGGGATACAGGTAAGGCTTGGCCTCCTCGGGAACATCGATACCAGACCAGCCAAGTTCAGCATTGTCAGCCGACGCGGTACCGTTAAGACCAAAGATGTTGACGATAGAGGTGACCCATCGTGCAGCATCCTCGGCATCCTTCGGGTTCAAGGTGGCCTTGTCGACGACGTTGAACTTGGTGATGAGCTCCGAGATGGATTGCATGACACCTGGAGTGTTGAAGGAGTCGCAAAGCTGCTCATCGACAGCCTTCTTGGCCGCTGCCAAATCAGCGGCAAAGGTGGTGTCGGTGCCAGACGACTGGGCGGTCGAAGGGTTCTTGACCTTGAGGAAGAAGTTGTTCACCTTATCCTCCCACGAGCTGCTAGTGTTGACCAGCTCATCTGTGATCTCAACACCGTCCTTCCAGCCACCTAGAAGGAACACAATGCGCAGACTTCTCGGGGTCCAGTCCTTTCGGTCAAGCGCTTCCCGAATGGTGGTAAAGTTCTTCAGCGACTTGGACATCTTAGATCCTTGAATGGACAGGTGGCCCATGTGCAGGAAGTAGTTGACCCACTGGTCATGCTTGTGGTCATCATGCCAGTAGGCCTCGCTCTGAGCAAGCTCATTGTCGTGATGCGGGAAAGCAAGATCAATGCCTCCGGAGTGAATATCCATCTGGTTGCCTAGCCTGGCAGAGGCCATGGCGGAGCACTCAATGTGCCATCCAGGGCGACCCTTGCCCCAGGCACTGGACCACGCCGGCTCACCAGGCTTGGAGGACTTCCAAAGAGCGAAATCAGAAGCACCGCGCTTCTCTGTCGTTTTGCTGGCCAGCGAGCCTTCACCTTCTGCAGCCAACTTGTTGTCAGACCGACTCCACGGCTCAAGGCGAGCATACGGGTGGCCGGCGGCCTCGAAAGCGTTGATGTCAAAGTAAACCGATCCATCTTCTGTGGCATATCCAAACTTGTTCTTAACAATGCGGTCCACGAAAGCCGCAATCTCGTCACCGTATTCCGTAACGCGAGTTAACTCAGTGGGATCAAGAACATTCAGATCCCGCATATCGTTGAGGAACCGCTCCTCATATCTCTTAGTAAGCTTGGTGAAGATGCTGTGGTCGTTGGCATCAACGGATGCGCCCTTCAGCGCATCAAGATAGGGAAGAATAAGGTCTTGCGCATCCGTGTAGAACGACTCAGCAAACAGAGCAGGGTCGGCGCTCTTGCCATCGCGGGTCTCAGCCTGCGCGATGACATTTGCTGCTGATGCAGCTGTCTTAATGTGCATTTTGACCTTAGCCTCATCATCGCCAGCCTTTTCATTCCCGGCCAGAGCTCCACCGTTCAGAATAGTCTTGTATGTCTTTTCCACCTCTACCTTGTATTGCGACGGAGGAAGTGCGGAATCGAGCAAGGGCAGGTTCTTCTTCAAGTAGGCACTGAAGGCACTCTTGGCGATATCGAGAACCTCCGGGGTAATTGTAGGACTAGCGGCAACGAATTCGTTGAACAGGTGTTGTTGTCTGGCACGGAGAATGATCTATAGGATTCATGAGTCACGCCATTTGGGGTCGTTGGCATCTACACCACAACGCGAGTACATACCTTGTCGTCGACGTCCGTAATATTCATAACAAAGTTGACATCGAACTTGAAGTAATCGCGCATAATTCGGCGGATGATATCGGTGCTAACATAGTTGCGGGCGTGTCCTAAATGCGCATCATCGTAAACAGTCGGGCCACATGCGTACCACGTAACCTTCTTGCCGGCGGGATCGATCGGGACAAAGGGCGTCTTGGACTTGGTCAACGAGTTCCACACCTTCAAAGCAGGCAGTTGCGCGTCCGGGCTGGACGGTTGCCGCCATGGCGGCTGTTGACGTGAAGACATGGACCTAAAAGAAGCGAACGAGGGTATAAACCGCTGTCTAGACGGAGAAGAAAGGAAAGGGAAGGAACGGGGGAAGAGCATAAAGAGAAGCAATGGAGGGGGAGGGGCTCTTGTTACGACTCATCCAGCACTTGCGGACTTGCTGTGATTGGCGGTAGCTGGGGATGAGAGGACCAAGCCCTGAGCCCTACTTTATACCCCGATCGGGTAATCAGCATAGCAACTTTTTCGTTGCGGAGATCAAAGTCCTGACGTTACCAGGCAGTTTCGCATTTCCCTCCTGTCACTCACCATGCCGTCTCCATTCTTGACGCCGAGCGCCACGGCCGACGCAGACGGTCTCGCTCTTCTACAGCTGCGTCGCGACCAGATCATTCCAACAATCCTCCGCAAATACGACGACGAGAACCAAGGCTACCTCGAAGGAAAGGTGACCAATACCCGATTCGGATCCTTCCCACACAGCACCATCATCGGCAAACCCTGGGGCTCGCAAATTGTCGCCTCAAAAGTCGACACCGGCTCGCGCGGCCGCAGAAACACCACAAAGCGCAAGGCAGAGGAGCTCGATGCATCGGGAGCAACAACACCCGCAGAGGACGAGAAGCCCGAATTGAAGGCCGCGGTCGCTGCAACCAGTGGTTTCCTGCACGTTCTCGCCCCAACACCCGAAGCCTGGACCTTGTCCCTTCCCCCACCGCACTCAGGTCGTCTACACACCCGACTACAGCTACATCCTCCACCGACTCCGCGCACGACCAGGAAGCACAGTCATCGAAGCCGGAGCGGGTAGTGGCTCCTTCACACACGCGGCCGTGCGCGCCGTGTTCAACGGATACCCCGAGACAGCGCAGGCGAACAAACGGCGACGTCTAGGAAAGGTGTGCAGTTTCGAGTTCCACGAGCAGCGCGTGGGCAAAATACAAGCAGAACTCAAGGACCATGGACTCGATGGGCTAGTGGAGGTTACACATCGCGACGTCTACGAAGACGGTTTCCTACTAGGTGATCCCAAGACCGGCCAATCGCCCAAGGCCAACGCCATCTTCCTGGACCTGCCTGCGCCCTGGCTGGCATTGAAACATCTCACGCGCAACCCTCCCTCCGGCGAGTCAGCTCTTGACCCGTCATCGCCTATCTACCTATGCACTTTCTCGCCTTGTCTCGAGCAGGCCGAGCGCACGATCCGCACAATGCGCCAGTTATCATGGCTGAATATTTCCATGGTAGAGGTTGCCCAGCGTCGGATCGACGTGAGGCGGGACCGTGTTGGGTTAGATACTGAGGGCGTGCGTGGTGCAACCCTGTACCCGAAGACCGTTGACGAGGCAGTCGCCAAGCTGCGCAGCGATGAACAGCGCGCCAAGCGCATCCGTGACCACCGGCAAAACAGAGAGGATCCCGATTACAAAGAGATTGTGGAGGATCCGCCGGCTTACAAGGAGGCGGCTTCTGATGCGCCTTCATATGCCCTAGGTCGCTTGACGCACCGGACAGAGCCGGATCTCAAGACGCACACTTCATATCTGGTTTTTGCTATCTTGCCTCGGGATTGGTCTGAAGAGGATGAACAACGCTGCAGGCAACAATGGCCGTCCGAGAAGATTTCTAAGCCGGATGATAAGCCGACGAAGAGCAAGAAGCAAATGAAGAAGGAGGCTGCGTTGGAGCGGATACGGATTCGGGAGGAGAAGAAGCAACAGGAGCAGAAAGCAGGGGCTGGGGAAGCTCAGACTGAGGTGGAGGTTAAGACAGAATTGAAGTCTGAGGAGATGACCGATGCATGATCAATGATTGTACAAAATAAATTATTCTGCCAACATAGAGTAACGGAGTTTCAACGTGGTTATTCATATGACAACCAAACTACAATAAACCCGAAAGATAGGTATGGCAACGGCTCAGATGGAATAGTCTAAAAGTAAATGCTATGAAGAGTGCTTTCTAGGATTATAAAATCATGATATGCAACAAGAACAAAATTGGGATAGATGGTATCAACAAAGATTGCAAAGCTCATAGATTATTCTCAACCCTGAACTTATCCCAAGCTTCATTCAGAGTTCCGAACACAGCTCCAGCAATCATGCGCTGTTCAGTGGTGGCAGTAGTAGAGATCTAAGCAGAAAGTCAGACAAGAACCGAGAATTGGAGGGGAGTACGAAGAATCAAACATACCTTATCAGGATGCACCTTGCCAATCCCCTTCATATACTGAATCTTAACCTTGTTTGGCAGAACCAGCTCTGCCAAACTAACCTTCTTCCATCCGGCTTCGGGCCACAGCACAGAGTCCAGACTGCCCAGGAGAGCGCGCAGGTTATCCTGCTTGCCATTCCTCCAGGTGGCCAGTCTTGTATCGACACTCTCCATAAGAGCGAACTTCTCCTCATCGGCGCGCTCAGCTGCCTGGTTAGCTTGTCGAAGCCGACTAACTGCTTCAAAGTCCTTCCCAGACGCCGAAGTGGCCGTGAGGTCCGATAAAGCAGACGGTTGCTTAGGCGTCGGCACAGGCTTCTTCCTGGCAGGAGCGGCCGGCTTGTGTTGGGGTTTGCTGGTGCCAGCGGCTTTCTCGCACCGGTTCCGGCCTGCGATACTTGTGCTTCCGCCGTGGCCAGACTCCACGGCCAGCTTCCATGCCTGTGCTGCATCGCCCCAGCGTTCTAGTTGCTCGAGTGCTTCAGCCTTGCGCATTAACGCCTTGCCGAAGAAATCTTTCATGGGCTTGGGCGCTTCGCCGTTTCCTAGATCAATTGCTTCATTTTCGCCCTTCGATGGTCCGATGAAAGTAAGGATGACGTCTGCATCTTCAATCGCAGACTTGGGTTCTCCAATCTTTAGACCCGTCATTGCGCGGTTACTGCGAATGATAATTGTAATAGGATGCTTGTCAGGAAGCGCACCAAGAGCTGCAGAGAAGCTTTGGTGGGCTTCTGCGTAATCACCTCGCTTATATGATTCTGCGGCCTTGCCACGGTGCCGATGTGTTGATTCAAGCGCCTGTGGGGATACAGGTGGGATAGACCGTGCTGGGGCTTTGGGGTGCACAGGGATGGGAGTTGAACGTGCGGAAGGCGTAGCGGTCTGGGCTGGGGGAGATGGCTTGGGACGACTGGCTGAAGGTGCAGGAGAATCAAATAGGTCGACACTGGGCTCAGGATGCGGTGACGCTTGGGGGCGCCTGCGTCTCGCAGGGCTAACATATGCTTCCGCTGACTGCTCTTCCGCGGCAAACCGGGAGAGTCGAGATTTTGGATCCTGGGAGCCTTGTTGGGATGGGCGCTGGAGGAAATTGGGTTGCTGTCGTGGTTGAGCAGCACTTGGAGAGGGCTGATTGCGTGGAATCTGACTCCTCGGATCAGGTTGGGAGCTTTCGCGGGGACGAGTAGGCTTGCGGGGCCGACCATCGCCAGACTCAAGGAGAAGCGCTTCGTTTGTGAAATCTTGCGGATGCGTTTGGATCTGGGCTGGCTGCTCACGACGACTTGGACGTTGAGGCTGGGGAGGAGTTTCGTCGTGTGAAGATGTTTCTCTCATCCAGCGAGGCTGGCTGGGGTCATGATCGGTGTTGAATTCATTCACAGCTTGCTGGAACTTCTTGCTACCGGTTTTCCAGAGCGAGCCTGCGGACTTCAGCAAGTTGTTGCCAAATTGCGACGCCATCTGCGCGGGATCCTTGTCCGCTGATGCAGGGCTCCTTCTGTCATCGCGAGAACGGGGAGATTGTGTTCTCTCTTCCCTCATCCAGGAAGGCGTATCGCGATGACGGCTGTCGCTTCTTTCGGGACGGTCAGCAGGGTGACCGCTCGGCCGTCCGTCGGACTTCTGCCGAGATTCGGCATGGGCCTGGGTAAGAAGCCACCCAACGGCCGCCTGGACATCCGTTCCAGATTCGGTGGTTTTGAGAGCTTGGCGAGACTTGTCGGCAGGGAATCCCATGTCAACCAGCTCCGCAATGGCTCGATCGACGTCGCAAGAAGGCATGGGGGATACATCTTGGTCGCGTCCGCCGTCTGAAGGCGTGGCTGACGCAAGAGGCGATTGCTGACGAGGGATTTCTGATACCGGCTTCCCTAGTAGCCCAAGGAAATCGTCATCGTCGCCTTGTTCGGGGACAGGAGCGGGGGCGGCCTTCGGCTTCAATTGGTTCAAACCGAATGGGTCGTCATCATCAAAACCACTCAGTTCCCCTGTATTGTCCTGCATGGAGATTTCCCCATTGGAAGTTGTCTGTCGGCTATTCGTATCGATTCGAGGCGATGATCTAGCGGAGTTTGGGGCTGGGAAATGAGTGGATGCGTCTACCGGCGCAGCAGCATTGAAAGCAGCTAGAATATCATCTTCATCGGCGGGCGATGATACCTGCTGGGGGCTGGAGCTGCAGCGGGGCTCTGCGTACGTCCTTGCTCAAAGTTGTCCCAGAATTGATTGTTCTGTCCTCCGTATTGCGATTCAAAACGGCTGCGATTTTCAGCCTCTTTCTTGGCCTTTTCCTCCTGCATGCGCTTCTGTTGTTCCATAAGAGAAAGGTTCTTATTCCCAGCAGAAGGGCCAAATGAGACCAGATTGGCAAAGCTATCGCCAGTCGATGCGGGGGGCTTTGATGGCGAGCTAGAGCGATTCGACGTGGCGGATAAAGGCGTAGACCTGCCGGAGCCGCCATTTGACGGAATACTGGGAAACAAGTATCCAGAGCTCATGGGCGGAGGTTTGTTTGACTTGCTTGTGTCGGAGGACCAACTCAAGCCGTTGAGGTCCTCCATGTTGAGGTTGTCGCGGAGCTGCGAGAGTGACGTCGGGTCGTCTGGTGTCGGAGGATTAGGTCCTGGGGAATTGATGAAGGGTTTCCATGATCTCACCAGCTCATCAAAGAGGTCTGAAGTAATTGCGCCTTGCAATGGTCAAGCAGATGTACAATGCCCGTTGCCCCCCTGCATGTGGGGGATCCAGACCGCACGGCTGAGGCGCTGGCACGTGATGCTATGTTTTCGTTCATTCTGAAGCCTCAACTCCTTACGTTTGATGTCACTTCGGTCAATTGATTAAAACCACTGGGACTTTGACTTGGAATGAGAGAGACTAATCATTGCTCTCAGATACATCACTTCGTACCAATTGTATACAAAGTGACGTCGTTGTCAGGGACTACCCAGTTCAGATCTTCAGCTTTCCGGCTATCTTTACTTCCAGAAGCCCTACCTGACTTTACTTAGCAAATCCACTTAAACCTGTCAAAGAGCATCTTTGTTTGTTTATTACCAACCGCCATGCCTCAACTACTAAGCGCGGCCCACAGGCTTGCATGTACAGTACAGACTATGTAAAGTGGCAAAAAGCTAAACTGATTGATTTCTCCCGTCCCTATGCAAGTGGAGTGTCCTTTTGCACTGCGCAGCCGAGAAATGTCATCGGTTCCTGGTCCTAATCCTCAGGCATCTAACACTTGGCCTATAGGGTTCCATTTAGTTGCATGCCCTGTTCATGCTAATCTGCCTCTATCGAACTATAAAGGAGGGAATGGCCCGAGGAATTACCGGGCCGTCAATTATAGCAGATTAGAAGAGAATGTTTCTATGGTTAGTCTGTGGTGGTCGCCTCCAATGGGGGGACATGCACATCTGCGCCTTTACGGGGCTTGATGGGAAACACGAAAACCTTCCAAGCCAGGAGGTTTAATCTCAGTGACAATGCCCAGAAAATATGGGGAGCAGCCGTCAGAAGGAACAGTCGTCATAACCCACAAAACTTCCCAATATAGAATGATTTAGGGTTGGCCAAAAGCCGAGTATTTATAAAAGCTTCACGATTTAGTAAGTCTTAGCGGGCAGACTAGAGAAACTTTGACAGCCGGTATTTGAATCTGTCTCGTATAGGCTAACTTTACGAGAACCAAGAAAGGTAGTCGCTGTCAGTGGGTCGTGGCGGCAGTCTCCGTGAATGATTGCTCTGAAGCCCTAAATACAGACGGCGCGCATCTAACTTGGGCTTCTAGCCCACAATTTCCTCTTTTAAGACAATTAGGCTCCCTCCTTCCTATTCTATCAAGCTTCAGAAGTTCTAATTTCCCTGTTCAATAATCCACTCGACCTAGACGCTTCGAATCTATGAAACTAACAGGGGGATGAACTAGCAGATGGGTCTGTGGCTGGGCAAAAAGGCACCAGTGCAGAATGTATATTTACAAGTTCCCATAAGGTATCGTCACTACGCAATGTCCCCATTCTCCCATTCTATCTAGGTGCATATCCTTAGAGCTAATGTAATATACACCCGGTGTGATACAGAAGCCTCAACTACCACAGCAGGAGATGTTCAGGAGCACACGAGCGGAGCCATATCTCCGAATCTAACAACAAACTTCCCAGCATACGCGGGAAAAGAAAAGCCAGGACTCCGCTTTTCACAATAACAGCGGAGTTCCTCGGGTAGATGAGCCGCGCGGTAGCGAATCGTAAGGATCGAATCAGTGGACCATTGCGGTGTTGCCGATTCTTGCCCTGACAGACCCCGAGAGCCAGAAGCAACTTGTAATTTTAATCCCCGAGCGTTTACGGAGTCAACGTGAAACAGACCCAATGGAGTGGCCAGGCCCGTGCTTCCCGCGTTAGTCCCGGTGTTGTATAAAGGGCGGAGATAAAACCCCTAAGGAGCATATGTGCGAAGGATTTGGGACGTCATAGTCCTGTGTCTGTGGAATCCTGCGAATGAGGATTGGGCTTAGACTTGAGTTTATAAGAACATGTCAATACCCGAGTGGTACGCAATATCCAGACCCATGCTAAGTTCCCCTGTTCATGCACAAGCTGATAGGCCTAACGCTGATCAAGGAATACATCCTAGAGAATTCTCCGATCCTCGCCGGGGATTTTACTGCATGTGAAATTCCAGTTAGTTCACTTTTCCCAGGGGTAACACGTATATGTATTTACGTTCTAAACCCCAAAATCCGGACCCTAAAAAGACGGATCCTCACTGAGTTTGATCTACGCGAGGCCGAATTGCGCTTGTTAGAGAGTACCAAAGATTCACGTAGGATCTATTTGACGCGATGCGCGGACAGCTGGCCATTCATGAATCTTATACAGCTCCAAAGTGGGTTAGGCACCGCACAGGGCAGTGGAACGGTACGCCAGTCCGTGCTGGTTTTTCTCCATTCTGATTCTGGTCCAGACTGCCCCAATATGGGATGGTTTGATATAGCGATCTATAATTTACACATCTTCCTTGTGCACTGTGTGGTCCGCTTACTTGTATTCCGACTGGTTCTCTCCTGGCGGGGCAAGTGATTTTTACCTATTTCGGCAATCGGTCGAGTTTGCGTGGAGGACGTCGGGTCTTTAAGCCGTACCCAATACCCCTCTCTGCATACTAATTTCCCTGCCATGGGCGGTACCCGGTACCTCCGAAACTTTTGCCTTTTTTGCCTCAGGAGCTCGATCCAGCCCCTAATTCATTAAATTATTTACACATAATCCACCTTGAACTGTCCCCGCCTAAAAATTCATTAGAGAAAAATACAATTATTAAGGGAAAACAAAAACATTGGAACAACATCCCCCTGTCCGTACTCCGTACTCCCGTACCTACTCTCTACTTTCTTCTTTCTTTCTCCACTGGCCCTATTCAGCCTTAATCCTCACGGTGTAACCTCCACCATGGGGATCTTTAAGCGGAAAGACTCGAAGAATTCTGAGAGGGACGAGAATGAATCATTTGTGTCGGTTAACAGCGCTCGCACGTCAAATACCTCCTTGAGGTCACCAGGATACAAGGGCAGTGGCCCGCCAGCCTCCATTCCAGAGTTGCCCATTGCCAGACCTCCAGACCCAGCATTGGACCCCGCCGCATATCTACGGAGCATCCATGCAGTCCGTGAACGTTCAACGATCATCCTGAACAAAGCCAAGAACAACGAACTGAACCATTTCGATGTTGACCTGAGTAAATTCGAAGCTACCGCGTCCTATATCGTGTCCATCATCAAGGTAAAATAGTGAACGATCATGTGACCCGGATGCGCTAACGTGTCCATCCAGAGAGATTATGCGCCAGACTATGAGAGCATTCCGCCGCATGGACGCTGGCAGCATTTCGACGTGGGGGGTAGACCGCGTGTGAATCAGCTTCTTCAATCATGGCCCAGTCGGATTGATGCCCAAGAGCGCACGCGCCGTTTGATTGACTTGTTTGTGGTGTCTGTGTTGTTGGATGCTGGCGCTGGAAATAAATGGTCTTACCGATCGAAAGAGTCCGGAAAAGTCTTTTCGCGCAGTGAAGGTCTGGCAGTTGCCAGTCTGGAGATGTTCAAGTCTGGTCTTTTCAGTAGCGACCCGACGGAGCCTTGCCAGGTGGATGGTGCGGGATTGAAGAAGATTACGGTCGAGGTGCTTGGCAAGGGCATGCAACATTCTGAACAGAATCCTCTGGCTGGGATTGAAGGTCGCACGGGGCTGTTGGTTCGACTTTCAGAGGCACTGAACAACCAGGACTTTTTCGGCGTGGATGCCAGACCAGGAAATATGCTGGGTACGAAGAATCCAATATCCGACATCCAAACTGTGTTTGGATAGCTGCTAATTTTAGTCTCTAGATTACCTGCTTGGCCACCCGTCAACTCTCGCTTCTTCCGTGCCCATTGTACCAATCACAACTCTTTGGTCTGTCCTAATGGACGGATTCGCTCCCATCTGGCCACCTTCACGAACACAAATTGACGGCGTACCCATCGGAGATGCCTGGAAATGCTCCGATCTCCCCAAATCTCCCCCGGCACAGCAGTGGGAGAGTATCGTCCCATTCCACAAGCTCACGCAATGGCTATGCTACTCGATTATGGTCCCCATGTCTAAATTGATGCACATTCATTTCGCCGGCAGCGATCTTCTCACGGGTCTTCCCGAATACCGAAACGGAGGTCTACTTGTCGACCTAGGCCTCTTGAGTCTGAAGCCCGACGATATGCAGCGTGGAATCAACGCATATAAAGAGAACGCTCAGATTAAGGGCCAACCGAATGTGGAGGTTGCACCTCTCTTCTCCGCCGACGACGACGTGATCGTTGAATGGCGAGCTGTCACTGTCGGCTTCCTCGACGAACTCCTGGATGAGGTTAACTCCCAACTAGGTCTCAGAGGGGAGGAGCAATTATCACTAGCACAAATGCTTGAGGCTGGCACTTGGAAGGTAAGCATCCCTGGAGCTATACCATTCATTTCTTGTTCTAACAACTTTCTAGGGAGGTCGCGAGATTGCGGAAGTTTCGAGACCTAACACCAAGGAGCCTCCTATCATGATACGATCTGACGGCACTGTCTTCTAATACCCTTTTTCATGTTAATTGTACCGAAATGAATTCTTGATGACCTGGGATTCCCTTCTATTTACTCGAGATGTCGTCATCCCAGGACAAAATCCTACTCCACCTGAAAATCACCTGAGAATCAGGATATGAAGATCATGCATGAGTCCGTACGATGTAGATCCAACCTTGGAAACAGCATAAAGATTAGTCTACCTTCTACCTACAAACTTACATTTTTCTCCTGTACTCGGTGTATATAAGTACAGCATCTACTTAAGCTGCCCCAACCTCCCTTCACGTGACACGGCCTAGCATTAGTCCGCACCTCCGCATCTCACGGTTGGAGCTTGTCACCTTCTCTCTTATCTACTCTTTCTTCGATCTCAAGAGCAATGCCCAAGAACAAATAACGAGATTCTATAACAGTCTCACTACTGCCTTGAGCCGGTCAAGCTGTCTCCAAATTGATCCGCGCCGTCCCCGCAAGAGCGGGGCATCCGAGCTCGACGCCCCAAGATTGCCATGATGGATGCTCGGAAGAAGAAGAGAAAGGTGCTCTTGATGGGCAAGAGTGGATCGGGGAAGTCATCCATGCGTTCAATCATTTTCAGCAACTACGTCGCCAAAGATGTCCGGCGTCTCGGCGCCACGATCGATGTGGAGCACAGCCATGTCAAGTTCATGGGCAACCTGACATTAAACCTGTGGGATTGCGGAGGGTGAGTTGTCGCAAATCAATTCCAGATATTCCTACAGAATTCATTCCCACTGATACGAGCGGTTCCACAGACAAGATGCGTTCATGGAAACCTACCTAGCCTCCCAACGCGGAAACATCTTCTCCGACGTTGCAGTGCTCATCTACGTGTTCGACATTGAATCACGAGAAGTCGACCGAGACCTAGACACATACCACGCAATAATCGAAGCCCTCCGCGAGTTCAGCCCAAACGCCTACGTCTTCTGCCTCGTGCACAAAATGGATCTAATCCAAGCCGAGCACCGCCAACGCATCTACGAAGAACGTTCAGCCCTGATCCGCAGCCGTTCCGACAACTTCCGCGTCGACACCTTCGCCAGTAGCATCTGGGACCAATCACTGTATAAAGCCTGGGCAGGGATCGTGCACAAACTCATCCCGAACCTAGTCGTGATCGAGCGCTTCCTCACAGCATTCGCAAAGAAAATCCATGCCGAAGAAGTCATCCTTTTCGAACGCTCGACCTTCCTAACCGTGACCTCTGTAACATCCGAAGTTGGCGAACTCAATCCCATCTACGATCGCCATGAGCGTCTATCAAATATCATGAAGGCCTTCAAACACTGCGCCGCTCGCAACACCCTCACCACCCCGGCCTCGGCTGGCTTCGTTGTCATGCACACCAAAACTCCCCAGTTCAATATCTTCCTCGGCCGTTTCACTGATAATACTTATATCTTCCTTGTCGTTCCGCCCGGCGAGGCTTCCTACAACTGCGCCGTTCTCAACACCATGCTTGCCCGTGAAGGTTTCTCAAAGGCAGCAGCTGGCGGCCGTGGGGATGGCTTCCCGCTTCCTCCGCCGGATACTGAGGATAACGCGACCAATGGATATGCCCCGTGATATGGGGATTGATGTGTGGGATTCAGCTTGGTTTTGTATGGTTGTACATGTCAGGTATATGTTGATCTCGATCTTTCACGATTTCTTGTTTATGACGCAAAATTTATGCGGGCGCTCAATGATGGCGTTTCGGAGATGAATGCAGTTTTGATATGAGTTCCCTTTTTGACTGTCTTTTTCACTTCCTTTTTTTCTTCGAGAATTGAGATACCCTGTTTGTGCATTGTCTGTTCTTGTGGTCTCATTCTCTTCCTCTTCCTCGGGGGTTTTATAGTATATAATCTTCTGGGCAGATGTTTCAGTATGGTGATGTGTACTCACTGGTAACGCAAAGAAAACCTTCATGTGCGGCTTGCAGTTTTGGGTTCAATTGGAACACTGGGAATGAATTAACCCAGATATCCAAATAAACAGCCAGATTAAGCCTGGTACTTTAACTGGACTATACCCAAAACATAACGAGGTGCTACAAGTACAATTGCAATTACACTGCACCAATCTAGACTCTCCACGGTTACGCCAAAGGAAAGCAAGAACATAATTCTCCGTCAACAATCTATATTTACTCGCATCCGATGCATAAGGCGGACAAAAAGGTGTGGAAAAGGTAACAACATGGGGGATTTGATTATCTATCGGACCGGCCGGCCTCAACGGAGAAGCATGAAGCATGAATTGGGGGGTTAGGGAAAGGAGCAAGAGATAAAACAACTGAAAAAGGAAATGGAAAATAAGGGGGAGGAGGCTGTACAAAATCAAACACCCAAGGCGCAAAGCAAGGTCATTTTTTGATTCATTGGACGTCTGGCATGCGCATGGCAATATCGCCTGACTGTGTGATGTATCGCACCCAGGGGAGAGAGGGATATTGCAGCTATAATTGGATGGATTTGATTAGTTGGTAGCTCTCAATGGGTTGTTGTAATTGTAGTGGGAGAGACACAGGATGTGGGATATGGGATGGACATACCTTCGGCTCGGTGATCTTCAGATACCGCACTTGGATACCACTGGTTGTGAAATAGGGAATTTCGAACTTGACGTTGATGGGCCGCTTTGCTTTGCCCATGCCGCCGGCTCCGCCCATGCTTCCTCCGAAGCCACCGGTCATACCACCGCCCTGCTCGTCGTCGCCCTTGACTGAGGGCAGGCCCAGCTCGGCGCGCATGAGGAACTCCTTGCCACCACCAAACTGCTTGATCTTCCAGATGATGGCTGACTTCTCGGGGGCGTAGTGCACTGTTCCGATGTTGGTGCGGAAACGGGGGGAATCTGCGTCTTCGGGGACGGGGACGAGGATTTCGACGTTGTTGGCTGTGCTGCGACGTTTGAATTGCGCCTTGGCCTATTGAATAGATGTATTAGAGGGATTCGGTCTGGGTGGCTGGCTGATGTTCTTACCTTGAGCATATACTCGATACGGGATCCCGAGTGTGATTCAACCACGCACTCCACCCAGATCAGGGGCTTCACTTGTGTGTTCAGTCGGTAGCTCATGAGCTCGAATTCACCATCTGGGGGAATGAAGCTGATCGTTCTGTCGTTCTCGAAGCGCGAGAGTCGGACACACTGGTGGAACTTGACGTCTTCCATTTCGACCGATTTGCCTCGCGTGGCACGGCCCGTGGTCTCGAACATAACCTTATCGTTCAAACCCAACCGCAGCTCTGGCATACCACTCAGGTAGCACTTCATCTTGACGGCGCCCAGAATCTCAGATCGCAGGACATTTCCGTTCGCCGAGACGAGGAGGTTAAGGGACTCAACGACATCCAGGAAAACTTCGTTCTTGCGGTAACGAATACCCTCGCTTCGCCATGAGACGGCATTTGTGACGGCAATGGGTGGCCGTGCTTGGACATCCAGCTTGTGTGATTCTTGGGTGATGTATCTGGATTGAGGGTGTCAGTTGGGTCGAATTACCACACCTCCGGCATTACAGCAATTGCTCACTCTTGTAGAATCTTGCTCTCTGTTGTCTGCGGGTATCCAAAGTCCATCATCTCATCCAGCAATTCGTAGATGACGACAAAGTTATCCCGGATACTCTCCTCCTCCAGCACCTTGAAATATTCGGTGAAGACCTCCACAAGCTTGTGTAGGAACAGTAGGATTTCGGTGGCATTTGTATTTCTTTTCGTCAATGCGAGGATGTAGAGGTTGCTGTGGCGGATATAAAGGTACTAAACAGTATCGCCCCTGTGTCAGTGGGTGGGAGCGCACAAAACGAGGGATTCAGGAGCGGGTGGTTTCAAGCTGCAGCAGGCGGGGGACGCACGTTAATGCCCTCGTGGGAGAAGCAGGGAGGCACTGCGGAGGATTCTTCTTCGGCATCACTGAGGAGGATAGGGAATTTCTCAACTGCGGACATGGGAATGTCCCCGCGATAGTTGCGGGCCAGAAGGGTCTATAAAATCGTCAGCGGGGGCATGTCCCTCGACGCATTGGCGAGTGTCGGAGCTGAAAGTCGCGTCGCCAAGGTTTGCAGAGTGCTGCATAGCCTACCTTGCCCTTTAGGTCGAGGAAGAAGAGTGCGGACGCCATGACGTGTCAATGGGGTTAATGAGGTGACGGCGGAGCGATGTTGGTGATCTGGTCTTTTGAGTAGGAGGCGAAAAGGAAACAAAGCCAGCTTGTGCGCCTACTGCAGCATTGTTGTAACAGTTGTCAGAGCAAGGGAAAAAGCAGCAGATGGAGGAAGAGCAACTGAAGCAAATCACGGATGATTGTTGGCGATGCCCGCATGGTCAACGGAGATGGACGCCAACCCTAATGCGGACTAGCGTATATATTTCGCCATAAAAATCTCTTCGCGTTTCTTCGTTTCTTCTTTTTCTTTTTCTCCAACGCTCCCAACAGACAGTGCGAGGCAGCATAAAGTCCTTGTGATTTTCTACAGTTAGTCTGGCATTCTGTCAGACAGCTGTAGTGCTTTATTGCTACACTTGCGATATAGAGGCGCGGAGACTATGCATCTTACGAGGGTCCCATAAGAACTGGCCGAGTATTCTTCACTGTTACTCGGGCGGTGTCAGAGGGACCGTACATTCATAAATATCATATAACTTTTAGACTAACTTACTGGTCATTGAAATGCTTTTTAATTTTCCGCTGTGGTATTGGGCTGCATAATAAAATAAGTGAGAAAGAAATGGAGAATAGATAAACAAGTTTGTTAAAAGTACATGTACAATCGTGTAGAGGTTCCCAAATCAGAGGGTACACGCCTCAAGTTCCCCTGTCACAGATGGAAATATCAAACAAGCTAACGCCCTGAAAATGCTCCGAGAGACACCAATGCCCCCAAAGGCTCAGATCCTTAAACCGACTTGAGGCCCAGGGGTTCAAGTATCCGCTCCCGAGCCAATTTGGTCGCAACGACAGCTCCCTTTTCCAACGAAACAGCACCGATAATAGCATACAGAGTATGCGCGAGCACGAGATCATAGCCAGATCTGTGGAGATCCTCGGGCTGTAGTAGATACATTGGTTAGCTAATGAAGAAGATACAAGACTGGATCGAGACATACCTGTCTTGGGCTCCATCTGAGAACCTTGGGCAAATCGTACTTGTGTCCAAGCTCAGCAAGCTTCGACCGATCAGTAAGGACCTTCTTGTTATCGGAGGAGAGGTTGCCCAGTCCTTCGAGAGCCGGGTGGGAGAACGGCACGCGACCAAACTCGTCCGTCTTGTTGACAGGCTCCGTGGGTGCCGCGCCTGGTGCCGGCACTGCGACATTCTGCGCCAGAGCCAGCGATGCTTGCAAGTGCACAATGCGCTTTCCGAGGAATGCCAATCGATCGTTGAAGCCCCGGCGCCCTTGGTCGAAACTCTTATGTGTCACTGCCAACCACTTGGTCTCATCGGAGAGGACCTTGTCACCACCATTGCCCAGCAATCGGATATAGAACCGGTCCAACAGCTCCGGGTCTGTGTTGACGTGGTAGACAGGGCGCTTGGAGTTAAGGTGTAAACTGAAAGGCGCCTTGGCCTGCTCCGGGGTGTAGGACCATCGGGGCCTGTGTTGAGCCTCCTCCGCAGAGTTTGAGTAGGTGCGGGATGGGATGACCGTCGCAATCGGGCGAGCGGCAGATTTGGATGCAGCGCAGGCGGTCCTGGCCGCTCGGGAGGTCAAGTACAGAGCCATTCGGTTGGTTGGTCTGCAAGTCCAAGCCGGAGGTGATTCAGCGAAAAGCAAAGAATTCGGTCTTGGCGGTGTGATTCTGCCAACCACACACTCTATAAACTTATCCATTGTTGACTTATTCACTGGTTCACTCATTCACTTTCTTTTTCTTCTGTTTCTCATATTACCCATAGGGGTTCTGAGGATATCCGTTGATCCATTTCTTTAGATCCTTGGATTTCCATTTCGGCGGTTTGACCTGCAATTAAGGTACCTTGGAAGCCGGGAGCAACCGGGAGCTTCACCGCTGCTGCGTGATATCTTTTGGCTTGAATGCTTGGCTTGCGGTGCATCGGATCTGAAGCAGCTAGCACAAGCTCCAGTTGTGGGAGCTTAGCACAGACCAGCAGTGCTTTGGTGATCGGAGGTGGAGTCGAACAAACTTCCAACTGCCATGCTTCCATGCATGTACGATCGAAAGGGTATATGACTCACATTATTTAGCAGCTCCTACACCATCAACGATGGGTCCTTGTGGTGGTCTGACTGTGAAATCAATAGTTTCTTTGATATACATCAGACCGCTGTTTGAAAGCCTAGAGCCAACATATCTGGGTTTCCGTTGACCCTGCAAAAGTTCTAGCTATGATACAAACTATGCATTTATACAGTGTTTGGACCATCTTGAAGTGATAACCAACATTCATTTCATGTATGCTTCCATTGAAGTGGCGCTCAAGGCTCGACTTCGAGTGTAGAACATCCAGCTCGGTCTCGCAGATCACCCCATCACTTGATCCAGCAACATCCTTCTCTGGATAGCACTGCCATACCATCGACCAACGGCAGATTTGTGCTCTCTTGCCTCCCAAGCGATAGGCTAGAAAATCCAGACAGGTAACATCAACCCGCTCTCCGACTGGATGAACGGCGATACAAGAGGTGGCGCAACAGACCCTAAGCGCGGCCCGACCACCGGGGACACAGGTCTTTAGCCGCTGCAGAGCAACCGTGAAATCTCTTCAAGAAAAGCCAAGAAGGATGAAGGGTTCCAGATGGTTGAAAGCGGGGCAAGAGAAGATTCGGCGGTGTTCTCGGAACACAGCCGTTATGCGCGATCTGCCGGATGCAGAGGTCAGAGTTCGACAAAGCTATGAGTTGAGGTGGGACATC